CTCTCCCTCTCCCTCTCCCTCTCCCTCTCCCTCCTCCTCAAAGCATAATTATTCACCGGCAAATGTCCCTGAGAAGATAGCTGCAATGCGCGCAGAGGAGCAGAAATCCAAAGGGATATGGCAAGAGCCGCTCGTTGAAGCGAGAAACTTGAGGATGGAGAGGCTGAAGAAAAACACAAGGGAGGAAATGGCGGCGTATGCAAGCACGTCGGGTGAGGGAGACGTCAAGGGTAAGGGAGGGCAGATAGATTTGGTGGGTGAGATGTCACCGAATGACAAGAAAGTGCTGGATGAAGCAGAGGAGAGACTTCGTCAAGAAACGGCGAACGAAACACCCGAAGGAAGGCAGAAGCGCGTGGCCAGATTAAGAGCTGAGAATGCGAGGAAGCGAGAGAAGTTGAAGACGGAAATCTTGCAGAAGAACACCGAATCAGTGCGAAGAAGCTGAGGCATCAAGGTCCGCCTTAAAGGTAACTCCCTCAGCCTCAGCTTCGACTTGCTTTTCTTTGATGCGATTGTAATAGCTCCTAGCTCGCGCTACCCGCTCTGCGTTTTTTTCTGCCAAAGTCCGACGGGGTGCCATTGCTTTGCGGTCTTAAATTGTGAGGATGAAGACTGGACAGGGAAGTGGACGAGGAAGAAGAGCAAGAGGACAAGTTGGAGTAGCAGGACAAGTCGGAGGAGGTGGACGCTTGACTGTGGTATTCTCAAGTAGCAGTGGGGTTGCGGTGTATGAGGTGAAAGCGAAGCAGAGCGTGAAATCGGTCGCTTGTATCTGTTCGCTGAAAGTCACGAGAAGAAGATAGAATTGGAAGAGTTGAAATCGAGTAGATAGAGCCGCTTATGAAGCTTGAAATTCTCATTCGAAGGTGATTGTATTGTGATCTGATGGTTGCTTGTGAAAGGTGAGTAGTAGGAAAGACAGGGATGGCCAGAGTTGCGGAAGTGAGCTCAGCTAGGACTATGGTACTTGAGGAGTTGTCTAGGAGGTTTCGACTTTGTTCTAATCGATTCTCAAGTCTCAAGAAGGTATTGAAATGCAATTTTGGTAACTTCTCCTACGAGTGATATGTAAAAGAGTGAAAGCATTTTTGTCAAAATGCAGTTCTTCTAGTACCGTAAACATTGGTACATGAGCCATTAATGTCTCAGAGTTTGTGGAACATGATCAACGGGATAAGTAAGTCATTCATAAGAGCGAATTGAGTTTTGAAATATCGTGGATGAGGTAGTGCGAGAATGCTATGAATTCCCTTCTATTTCAAAGAAACTGCTTTCCCCACTTACATTGTCCCACAAACTCTGAACAATATTATCTTATGTTCCACTTTTTACGGTACCGGCGTTCTCATCCTGTTCCAACTAGGGATCAATACCACTTGTGCTCGTACCTAGTGTAGTGGATTCGCTTCCTTGCTAATTTTCTCCTTGCTTGATACCTTCAATCTCAAGTCTCAGCGCCTCGATGCTCTCGTTCTGGTCTGATACCAGCTTCTTTACGATATCACCAACAGTCTTTAGAGACTCGAAGAGAATGGCGAGAGAATGCTCGGATGATGCCTTGATCTCACCTTGTTTCTCGGCATTAGCAGATAGCTCCGAAGTCGAGATTTCGTCTTCGGCCTCCGAGAGATGCTCTTCTTCGTTGGTTTCGGCTTCGTTGGCATGGACCTCGTTTGCTGAAGACTCGTCAGTATATCTTCAAGAACACAGTGAGAATGTAAGCAAGGAAAGGATACTCACGGTCCACAACACTTCCGCTGCCATTTTGAGCAAGCAAGAGGTCTTTGATGATCTTTACTCCGTCCGGTTTCATGCGGTCTGAAATGCTCCGCTTGAATTGGATGGACCGGTATATTGGTGCTGTAGGAATTGTGATTTCCAGGGCATACTGATCTTCCTTATGATACCGGAATCGAACTCTCTGGTTGTCGTTGAGGTATGCGTATACTGGTATGTCTTTGGAGCTGTTCTGCTTTGCCGTGTCCCAAGTACCGACAAGGAGATCTACTTTATCATCCGTGACTGGTTCAGTGGTCTTTTTCTGCTTCTTCTGCTTCTTCTGCTCAGGCGCCTCGTCCTCGCTTTCCTGCCGTTCCTCATCATCGTCCGATTGATCACGTTGTTGGTGTATACGCTTTTGGGCAGTTTTACCTGCGGTTCGCTCAGGTGGTGCTATGAACTTACCAGGACTAGGTATTCAGATTTAGTATGTCTCCACAAACTCATAGCCACAAACACGAAAGGTCTCCTCGAGACTACTTCTGAGAACGATGCATCGCTGACGTGGGCTTCTTAGGTGGTCCGTAGACCAAGAAATAATCGAAACACAATGATCAGGGAAGTGGTAACTCACTTCCTGGTGCTCATGATGTCGACTTGTGGAAACCTATTTTTTGGTCGAGGCACAGTACTAAACTTGTACTGAGAGGTTTGTACGTCGACTACAGCTCCTGTGTTCAGACAATTCCAATCCGAGTATGATGTGAAGGATGAAAAGTCGATCCGAGGGCACATGTATTTGTAGGATCGTCGATGAAAGAATCGACGTGGAAAGAGTATCTGCTATTGTCACTTGGAGGAACTTCTGGGCTATTGTAGATTGACCTCGGTATGGATGATAGATAATAGTCCCTTCTAGGCAGGCTGACATGTGTTTGCGGATATGCCTTCGATCAGTTCGAAAGACCGTTGGAGGCGCCTACTCTCAAAACCCCATTCATATAACCTACGATACCCACCTCGGAAGATCTACCAAGTCCAATTCTCGCACTTTCGAGATATTGCATGCTACCAGCTAACAATAGGCCCGACTTGGAAAACATGACAACTCCGAACCACCATCTCTTAGTCGGTTCTGTCTCTTGTTCCTGAGGATTAAGGACTACGCACAAACGTGGAAGAGACATACACAATGAAAGAACAAATCAAACATGATACGGGTAGGCAAGCCTGAGTGAAGCAAACAAGCGTAATGATGAATAGAAGAATACAGAATACATAAGGATAACATTGTGAGAGTCTTGGTTAAAACATGATCTATGGTGATGTGAGGATATACGCAAATATTTGTATAGAATAATGCACTTCTGCAGAAATCTTTCAACATAGAAGCCATTTCATGACAGGCATTTCTTGTCATTTTCAACTGATATTCCCCGCCCGTCTTTCTTCTAGGTACCGCAAATATAAGCGCAATGTTGTTCCAGAATGTGTCGGACAACATAATTGGGCTATGTTCTATCAGTAAAATAAAGTTTGAAGGACAATTTAGTATAAGAACGATATGACCTGGGCTTTCTTTCAGATTTCCAGAACCCTACTCTTCCCGTTTATATTGTCCAAAAATCTTTGAACAATATGATCATATACTTCACTTTTCACGGCCAATGGCGAAAGACCTGAGAAGCTTTGCAATGGGGAAAATGACAGATTCAAGGTGTTGGATAACTTATCGTAAAATTGCCTCCACCTCGAATGTGCTGAAGCTTCCGAAGACGGTTAATGTCTTCTATATTGTTATAGTGTACCCCCTCGATCATACATTAGTCTCTTGCCATATAGTAATTTCAAATATACCTGAAGAGGAGAGGACTTATGCCGCTTCAAAGTATTCAGGCCTGGACGGACTTTGAATCTTCATGTGATTTCGCAATGCGTGAGACATTGACTTGATTGTCTGAATTTGACCCAGCAATTGAAATCGCTCTCTTGTCATGTAGATGAAAGACGGACATTCTGTCACCACACGAATTGGGAAGTAGCTATTCAAAACGCAGGTAAATTTCTTCAATTTTCTAATCTATCATTCTCAACCATTACTCTCCTCGATCCTCTGCGCCTCATCCGCAGCATCTTCCTTCTTCTTCTCTCCAGCTTCATCCACATACCCCTCAGTCTTCATATCCGCCAACCCCAGATCCTCCTTCTCCTCCTCAGTCCTCTCATACTCCTCCGTCTCGATCTGCGGATCTTCATTCGGACTACATAAATTCTGCACATAACTACTAGCTAGCGGATCTTTCAAGATGACCGTGAATTTGCGTTCCCCTTTAATAGCATGATCTAAACCATCGAAGAACGCCTTCCATGTTTGTTTAGATTCGGATGGTAAAGAATCGCCACCCGCATCATTCGAATCATCGATATCGAAGATCTGTTGGTGTAAATCGTCACGAACCTGCGTTAGCAGGCCTTCAACGGTCGTAAATCTTCCTCCCAAAGTACCTGGGTTGACCGAGAGACTCAGTTCCGGACATTCCAAGGCACAGGATTCGGATTTGAGGATATCTCGGGCGAGATCAATTGGTCCTTCGACCTTGAGGGTGATTTTCTTTCCCTTCTCGGGAACCTCGCCGCCGGTTTTAACTTCGTTGGAGCGGTAACCACATTGGTCGCATACGGTGCTCATGATGATTACTTGTTTGAAGTGTGGGATGTCGACCATTTTCATATGCGTGACGCAGTATTTCGTGCAGCCGGGACAGGTGGCGGGGAACGAGTAGACCTCGTTGGGAATAATATCGTCGGTCTCGAAACTTGCTGCTGTCGGTTGTCCCGGGACAGCTGGTTCGGGCTTCTGTTCCTCTTCTTCGCCACTGCCTAAGCCTAATGCCTCGTTTTGCTCTGGTGTTCGTGCATATTCGACTTTTGACCATTTTCCTACGCCGTCTTTCTGGTCTGGTTCGATCCACGAATTTCCCGCTGGATCATCGAGCGAGACTCGGAACGGAAAGCTCTCTCCCTTGATCATGTTCCTGCCTTTTTGAACAATTTCCTCAATCTTCGCCCAGACCTCTGGGATCTGCTCTTTCCTCTCTGGTTGTTGCAATTCTAGATCCTCTAGTATCATGCTTAGCAAGCCCTCCACATTCGTGAGTTGTCCTCGACCGGCAGGAACTTCGATATCAAGCTCAATGAACTTTACTACGCAGGTATCCGACTTCACGACCTGGCGCGCAAAGTCTTCTTTTGTAGTGAGACGGAGTTCATAATGTGAGCCTTTCTGTTGGATCTCGCCGGCAGATTGGATCTCGGAGTTTTTGAAGTTGCAGTGTGGACAGTAGAAGGACATTAAGATTATTTCGCGGAAGAAAGGTATGCGTGTGAGGAGGAGTTTTGTGATGCCCTATCGTATGTTGTTAGAAATAAATATTTTTTTTTGCCTTGGATAAAATCTGGGGCTGTACATTCTCATGGCAGTTCATACACAGACTCTCTATCTCATCTACGATCTTTGGCTCTCCATCATCATCTTCTGTTGATTCGAATTGATCGTTGGTAGGAGGTACTCCATTCTTGTCTTCAACAGACAGGTGTTCTGCTTTCTTGCCAAGACTTTCGAAGAAGTCATCAAAGGCAGCACCATCTGGTTTTGGTTCTTCGTGAGTATTAGACGCCATGTTGTCGTATTGTGTTCAAATCTTGGTGGCGGGGTAGGTTTGGAGGGGTTCAAAATATTTTCTTTGGCGATAACGAGTCATAAGGCTGAAGGACAGTTAGTGTTCTTAGTGCAGGGCTAGTAGCGAGGCTGGCAAAGCATGAAATAGGGGTTGGGATTGCATGTCATCTGGATTGTGAAATGTCTTCTCATATCCAATTAAGATGGAGCTGTCACTTACTAAGTCAGATCTAATCAGGAAATCAAATTTGCTCATGAAGAGTATTTCTGTGCAAAGGAACTTTCTGGAAGCACCCAGTTATGGCCACTGGCCCAACTTTCTAAAATATCACTACTGTCCAGGTCATGCCTGTAAATCCAGCGTGGCCAGACAGAGAGCAGAATGTCCCAACATGCATTAGCACCAAGGTATGCAGAGGGTTCCATAATTGCTGCAAATTGCCAGTAAAAACAATTCCATGTGATGTTAGAATGTCATTGATAAATGGTTTCTTGGCTTCAAGGCCCCATAGAGGAGTGCCATCTCCTAAACAGCAATGTCCCTCCCAAACACCAATATTGAGAAAAGAATAAGTCAGAAAATAATAACAGAGATTGAGATGTACAGTAGTCAACCAAGAAACAGACCTTTCGTCCTCTCGTCCTCCCGTAAATGCTACTAATTGATTCAACCAATGACCTCGGCCAAAATATTTCAGTGAACAACACCAGAGTCGCGCCCCAAAAACACAACCCCACCAACACTTCAAAGATGTCGAGTACAACGCGACCTCCTGCGACATCGTCTACGAATGCGCCGTCAGGGGAGAAGTCATATTTTGAGCAGCAGAGAGAAGTTTTATTGAAGGAAATTGGCGTTGTATGTGCTGCTCAATTGATACGAAATCATGGACGCGTTGCTGATCCTGGGATGCAGAGCTTCGAACATGTCCTCGCCAATATCAACAAGTTGAATCGTTCGCTCGAGGGCGTTATTGCTGTATGTCTTGATATCCATGTAGAGAAAGAGAAGAAAATGCTAAGAAAAACAGGTTGGAAATGAATTCAGCTCGGTCGAAGCGCTGTGGTCGCAGTTTGAGAATGTGATGGCTAAGGATCCTGATGCAGAAGCAGAAACACACGCCGGAGAAGGGGAGGAGGCGGAGCAAGACGAGGAGACGGAAATTCGCGAGCATGGTAATGGGCAATAGGGGTTGAAGGAGATTTGAAAGGCGTTACGGATTCACGATACCCAGTTCTCACGAGGAACGAGATATATGGTATGGTCTCCTTGTTTCTACAAGAACACGGTCATGATACATAAGAAACCCCGTTTGTGCAGTTCGCCAGCACAGGTCCCTATTACTGAGCACATGAAAGACAAGATGGAAAAGAAAACCAGTGTTTCTGGCGAGAATAGGTCCACAAACACGCTATCCAGACAGGTTCAATCTGCCAATTGCAAATCTTCCTGTCCAGTTTCTGCGTACCTTGCGCTCCTTGTTATGCAATCATAGGTCATGTCGATATCGTAATAAGTCGTGGCAGAAGGTCATCAGAGGAATCGGCAGTTCCGCTTCTTCTTTCTGACGACTGGGTATTGGGTCTGTCCCCCGGAACTTGGCTCTGGCTCTTGCCGTTGATTACTTCGATCGTTGGCGACAACAGTGTTGATGGCCTCTTCGAAGATCTCATCGACGCCGACCATTTCCTTACTACTGCACTCCATGTATCGTGCTCCCATTTTGCGAGCAACCGATAGACCTTGTTCTTGTGTAACAGGAGTCAATCCCTGGGTCTTGAGGAGATCGATGCATGTTCGTTTCGTTCGCAAGTCCGACTTGAGGCCGACGAGTACCAGAGGTGTGTATGGGCAGAAGTGCAATACCTCAGGATACCACTTCAAAGTTGTTAGTAGTGCTGCGAAGATTCGAGGGAGACGTCTTACCTTGTCCAGGACGTTCTCGAGGGAATTGGGACAATCAATTGCAAAGCAAACGAACAACAAATCGGTCTCGGGGTAAGAGAGAGGGCGGAGACGGTCGTATTCTTCTTGACCAGCAGTATCCCATAAAGCTAGCTCCAGTGTCTTGCCACTTGCTTGATGAGTTGGATAGGTAATGTAGTTCTCGAAGACTGTTGGTACATATTTCTGTTGACAATTAACAAAAACCTCGTTTGCCGGAGCTGCGCATATTACCTCTGGGAAATAGCCTTGACTGTAGCTTATAAGAAGACATGTCTTTCCGCATCCACCATCACCAACTACGACAATCTTCTTCGAGTATGCAGGACCCTCTGTAACATGCGTCGCCGACGACTCCCTTCCAGTAGAATTGCTCATCATTGTGCTGACTGTGCCTTCGCTAGATCTTGCGCTCTGCTCACGACGTGTAGGTTTTCTTCGGGGAGCTTCGTATTTTTCCGACATATCTGAACGTCGGTTGTTGTAGTATTCCTTTTGCTGATATTGCGCCGACATGTCTTTGGATAAGCTCCAGCGCCAGGCTAGAGCAGCAACACGCGAAGCGAACGTCGAAGAATGGGTGAATTTGAACTAATTATGGATCGCAATATTCAATGTAGAACTGAACAGTGGCTTTCGTCTTTGGAGTGGAATGTTAAGATTCAGATGAAAGTTCAAGTGGAAGGGCTGCGGAGTCTGAAATAGGAAGTCACGTAAACACGGTGGTTGCGCCTGGCAACGTCACCCGTTTTAGCTTTTGGGGAAGTCTAATTTTGGCGTAGCTTAATCATAAGTCCCGTAATCAGCATCAACCGAGGCGCTTCACCACAGTGGCTGACTTTATGACGAACAATTGAAGACTCGAGCACCATTGTCACTCCTTTGTAATCATTGGGTTGTTCAGTCTTCCTCTTCCCACACATCTGCCACAGTATACATGCCCTGGCACCGAATGCATCGATGTCCTCGACTCCAAATGGCTCTGGCCTAGAGCTTGAGAAATTCCCAGATGCCCCACCAAAGATAGCAATAAACGCGCCTGCAGATACTCCAGATGCAGGCTTACGAAGTCTAGATCATTGTAAGTATTTCAAATAGTTGCGAGGGCCTATGTGCTCGTTGTCTTTGAGTGGTGCAGTAGTCTGCTGCAACCACAAGCACTCCTAAACATCTCTAACCTCTACTTTAACAAGAAGCAGGGGCTGTGATTATATATTTTTCTGGATGTCATTTCTTCGAACATTAGAGTAGCTATTGTACATTGCTAATAACTTTTCAGATAAGCGCAAGTTACCACAATGGCGATACGATCTGCGGCAGCAGTTGTTACCCCTGATACGATGGGAGACTCCATATCTGGCATGGATGCAAGATAAGATGCGATCACCTGCCCTCGATTCCTACTTTGCCATTACAGCGAACTTGGGAACGCATACCTTCTTCATGGTGGTATTGCCCATTCTCTTCTGGTGTGGGCATACATCGTTGGGTAGAGGGTGAGAGCTGCCAATTTAAGCAACGAACTCTGCTGATGATACTAGAATGGTACACATCCTTGCTTCCGGTGTATTCTTCACTGGATTTATTAAGGATATGGTTTCATTACCTCGACCTTTGTCCCCACCTCTTCAACGTATCACAATGTCTGGTTCTGCAGCTTTGGAATACGGGTTTCCTTCAACACATTCAGCAAATGCCGTTTCGGTGGCAGTCTATGCTTTGTTCACAATACACTCGCCTGATTGTCAACTACAGCAGTCGACCAAGTTGATCCTGGAGATAGTCAGCTATTCTTATGCATTTTCAATTATCCTAGGGCGTCTTTACTGCGGCATGCATGGTTTTCTCGACGTTATTGTTGGCAGCATAATCGGAGCTGGTATTTCGGTCATCGAATGTGTCTATGGTGCCGAGATTGACAGGTACCTGCACAGCAGCTCTTGGCTAGCTCCAGCAACTATTGCTTTGGTTATCATTGTTCTCATTCGTATTCATCCGGAACCGGCCGACGACTGCCCATGTTTCGATGATAGTGTCGCATTTGCAGGCGTTATGATAGGTATTGAGATTGGAGGTTGGCATTATGCATCTGGCAATTGGGCGTGGGACATTCCCGTCCCAGCCACTGTCCCATTCAGTCTTCAGCATATGGGGTGGGTGGTCGTGATTGCGCGAGTCCTCATCGGAGTCCTGGTGATCTTTGCTTGGAGAGAGGTAATGAAGCCTGCGATGCTTAAATTTCTTCCGCACTTGTTCCGCATCATTGAACAATACGGATTGAGTTTGCCTCGCAAATTCTTTATGCCAGCTTCTGAGTACAAGAACATTCCTTCTCGATTGAAGGTAGATAACGTGATGCCGTCCGTGTCGGACTTGCCAGGACTTCTGACTTCCATTCGTCATCCGGGTCGGGGGCGTGCCGTATCCGTGGGACCACAATCAGCAGCTGATGCCTACGAGACTTTGGCTTACCGTGAGAAAAGAAGAAGAGACAGCTTGACCAATACTGGAGAGATGGAGTCTGGAGCACAGTCACCACGTTCCACTGTTGCGGCGCAAGCTGACTATTTTTCCGTTCCGGGCAAAGTCGACAAAGAGGGAGCGGTTTCCCAAGTGTCTGGGATATCTGCACCTTTAGGTCTATTGGCTACTGGCAATTTGCCCACTCCAGCTCAATCCAGAGTTGGTTCATACGAACAAATGATGGGCCAAGGTCATGTGTTGATGACCCCATCAACACCGCCCAATGGTTTGGTGGACGATGCCGAGGATGAAAATGTCGAGATCTTTGTTGGACAGCAGAACGAATTGGGAGAAAAGGAGATGTTTTCAAGACTGGAGAAACCTCGTGTGAGGTACGATGTTGAAGTTGTGACAAAACTCGTTGTCTATACTGGTAAGATGAATTCACTTCCAGTAGGCCAATATGCTGACCTGTACCAGGAATTGGGTGGCTTGCTGTTGAATTCAATCCTATTATTTTCGAGGTCCTCGGACTTGGGATGGGAAATCATCGTCCCTTCTAGAAGAGAGGACGTTTTGCTGTTGATAACTGGACTTCTTGTTGAAGCCTTCTTTTGCATTTGCATAGTCGCTAGGAGTTTTGGACAACAGGGGCACGGAATCATAGCGTGCTTGAGGCGTTTTGGGAATAGGATGATACATAACAGTGTAGCCTTGGTATAACCTAAGACTGTACAAACATAGCATTGTAAATTGATGTCCTTCCGACTTGGTTTGCGGTCTACAGCCAATTTCGCCTATGTCCACATTTTTGTCACCATCCTCGTCTATTTTAGAGATGTACCTCAGTACCAGTGAAGATCCAGACCATCCTTCCATTTCACTTCTGCACATGCGCAACACAGCAGCAGCTCGGGACATTCTTCTGGATCTGCCAGGCGTTTTGGCAATATCATGACGTCCAAGACTATATTGGCCCCTGTAGCATTTGCATGTGCCAGAACTACCTTAAGGTTTGAGTTGGGCCGCATGAAACTAGCCACATCTACCAAGGGTAGAAGGTTTTCGTGAAGAGCCAATAAATCAGCCTTTAACCAGCCAATGGATTGGCATGCATAGTTATGCTTTCAATTTTGATTTCCTCCTTGGGTCTATTCTTCTTATCCACCTCAATCTTCTCCATCTTAGCCAAGGTTGCCAAACTGTCGTCTCCCAGTACATGACCAAACACCGTATTCTTGCCGTCCAGATGAGGTGCCTTGTCGAAGCAGATGAAGAATTGACTGCCGTTCGTTGCGGGACCTTTATTTGCCATACTAACGATTCCTCGTGCGTTGTGTCGTAGTGCGGGTGAGATCTCGTCTTCGAAGGGTTCTTCCCATATTGAGACGCCGCCCTTGGGTTGGGATGGAGGGGCTCCAGTCTGGATCATGAAGTTGGGGATCAGTCTGTGGAAGGCTGAGCCATTGTAATAGCCGGATGCGCAGAGGGCGAGGAAGTTCTGGGGAGCTGTTAGATTTGACTTGTCTTAAAGAAGGGTGGAAGGGAAATTTGCTTATGTTTACCTCAGCTGTTTTTGGCACGCTCTCGCAGAAGACTTCTATCTTGATATCACCGAGGTTCGTGTGGAGAGTAACTGACATGCTGGGCAAGAGTGAATTTGGCAGTGCAGCATGGTCGTGGAGAAACTTCACAGGAAAAAAAGAGGAAGGAATTAAATAATGAGAACGAGTGTTCAGCCCTATCGCGGGACAACAGCCGTGAATAAATTCGGCCCCGCCATGCTCGAAGCGCGCTAGCTCTCTTCGAATCACAAAGCAGGATGCGTGGTGCCTTGACCAGGCAATAAGCGATGCTGGATGCTTGGACTGACAAGACCGAGACTGGGACCTTGGAAAGACGACGACGGACAAAGAGTCTCGACAATGAAAGGTCCGCTGGTCTAGACTGGACGCATCACCTCGCTATCGCCGAACAAGAACAAAGCAAAGCAGCGAGCTTCTTGTCGCTCGCGCCCAGGTCGCTGTTAAGGTTACCATTGGGTACGAGTCTCCCGATACCGACGATTCCCCAGCGAACATCAACACACGGCTGAGCCTTGCTTATATGGTGACGACGAAAGCTCTTCCCACCTCGACCCAACCCAACCTCTGCGCATCCTACGCAACCATCAACCCCTCCCCTCCTATGATCCCCAGGTCACGATAAGCTCGTCCTCTGGTCTGTCGACAGCCCACATCTTGGCGCAAACCGCGCGGTGGCGCAGAGTGAGCCCGAGACTGGCAAGATGGCTGCGTTCGTGAGAGTCTCGGGGCCGCCAAACAGTAATTTTCTCGTGGGATATCCGGGCATCTCGGCGACGCTGGTGAGGAACCTTTGCTTGTAGCTCTGAAGTGACTCGTTTGTGCTAACGATGTTGGTGCTCAGCCTCGTATAGAAGGCAAGGTGGAAATTAGACCCCTCACTGGCATCTCTGCGCCGGTTGCGATTTCATTGGTGAGGATATGCTTGCAACGGAGAGAGACGATACATCCGTCGGCAGAGTCGATAGCGAAGAAGCATCTGGGGACGCCGAGGAGAGAGACAACCGATGTGGTGGGGAAGGAGCTACTGTTATTTAGGTGTCCGGCTGGCAGGGAATCCGAGAGCGTAGTATTGATGGACCTACCGTTCGTATTGTTCATACCGTTTGGCAGAGGAGGCGAAGAGAGCAATAGGCGAATACCCCCCGCATCATTACAACTTCCCAGTCGGACGGCGGAGACATTCTATGAGTTGGTGGTGACCGTCCAGCAAGGCCAGGAGCAGAAGAAGTTTGCATTCCCAGTACCGATACAACGATATGATACCCTCTCTACCTTTGGAATGTACAATAGGCCGGAAGCTGCAGAGAAAACGTCGGATCATCTGGTAACTTTGGGTATCTCGTTACCACGTTGGTCTTATGGTCCTTTGGATCCTGTAAGCGTCTACATAAAACTATCACCAAACCCAGATTGGATGAACAAGGCGAAAAAGGTCATGATACAGAAAATTACAATCGGCATAGAAGAGGAGATCACTTATAACCCAGAAGGCGACGAACCAACAAAGAAGATTAATCGAATAGCCAAACACACTCAAACGGTGGGGGTCAAGATGCCAGAAGCAGGCTATTTCACAAACTTAGGACTTGTATTTCCATCGAAAGAGCTACGGGATCCGGAGGGTATTATTCGTCGAGGGAAGCCTGCATTTCCAATGTATTCGGTCAACTCATTCACAACCACAGGAACTCTTTACAAGATAGAATTCTTCTTGATCATCAAGGTAAGTGTTGAACCTCAAGTTTTGATGTTAACTGACGAATTTAGGCACATATGTCTGCAGCAAGAGACATTGTTCTACGACAACCCATAGTGGTTTGTCCCCTGGATCAACAGGACTGTAAAGAGGAAATGGATGCCATCGAACAAGCCGCAAAAGACGCATCTCACGTAGACCCTCACAACCCCATGTTACCAGCCTGCACCATCATCCGAGCCAACGACAAAGATGCATTGAAAGCCCTCGGCTGGACCATGGTAGGCGGACAGAAGAAAATGGTGATTGAGTGAAAATAGTTGCTCAACACTAGTACGTCGATTCCCACGGAATCACCACGATGACGACACGATTTCGCATCGATTTTTTGCATCTCAAAAAGACTGAGATACCACGATATGATCTCCAAGCAACATCGCAGAGAGAGGAATCAATTCACGTCAGCACGAGAAGGCGACGATCTGGGCACGGCGCTGGCGTTATAGGGCGGAGGCAGGGTCATCGAGCCCATAATTCTCAGAAGCAAGGCGTGCGCAGGATTTGAAACAAACGTCAAAAGAATCTTCCAGCAGATACTGGATGGTTTGGCATTTACAGGGGCGTTGGACGAAGCCTTACTTCATCACGTTGTATATGAATGATGGAATGGATGAAAACATCATGGCCATGACCAAACAGCGATGAGATGATCCCATTCTTGTAATGTACGACGTAGTTCAATTGATAACGAGTGCTATGACACCTCTTCAAACTCTCCTACAAAACCCATTCCAAGCCCAATGAACAGGAAATCTGCCTTGACACGCAAGCCCCCGGAACCTTCCCCATCCTTCAAGCACATGTCCCCCGCTAACTGGCCCGTCGGCCCCCAATCACAGCACTCCCAAACTCCCAACACACTTTCCAGCTAATGCGGTGAGATATTACACTTTCGCAAGAAGTGTAATTGGTTGCCGAGGCTGCAGCAGCAGCAGCGTGCTTAAGCGCTCGCCTACCTACTTCCGCAAATCTTTCCTTTACTTTGCCACAATCACGTTTTTCATGGGATTGTCGTTTCCATTGTTGGTAAGTGAGGTGGGCGGTAAAAGTGGGAGAGTGGATATTTGTTACTGTAGTTGTTGGAGTCTTGGTTTTGGTCTTGGTCTTGCTGATGGCTGGGTTTGGTGACTCATTGATTCCAGTGTGGGATGTTGTAATGTTTCAAGGCTGTCCCATGGCTATCGTACATTCTCTCCCTCTTGGAAGTATAATTGAATTGGACTGTCAGTCTTCTTTGCGAGTTATACATAGGTTTGAGGATTCAAATGCCAAAGACTGCTTAGATAGTCGAACTCTTGACACTTGTTATCTGCGGCTTACTTGCTTTCGCTCCCACGATGATTCGTCATGTAGGAGCGTTGTGTCAAAATGACAATCACCATTCGCAAGACTTCCCGATATTCGATATACGAGATGTCACTTTGCACAGAAGAGATATTAGAAGCGAGTTTCCATTCTTATTAAAAAGCTACGCGCGAGTCATGCTTTGAATACAAGTAAACCTCCCAGACCCACGTCTCGGACGTTGCAAATGCAAACCAAGTAACCACCGCATGCGTCTTCAGAAAAAAAGCAAGTTGAGCTTTTCCTCTGCCGCATATGATGCAATTTGTAAAAACGACGCGCAAGAGAGATGAATCTTTGGTACAAAGACAGAGTAGAAAAAAAGCAACGTATGCATAACGCCAATTATCCGTACAAGAGTACAGTCCCTCGCGAGCGAGTGTCAATCTAGTATCCATCCCTAAGAGACAAATGTATGCGTCTCCCCCTAAAAGAAAGATGGCTTGGTGAGTACACGGTATTCTACATAGTCCTCCCCGTCAATGCTAAAGATTTGCGCCTGGCTAACAAGCTTTCCTTGGAATGGGCCATTTTGCTTGCGCTCGTACTTGATGCCGTTGTGATATCGGACTTCGTTCTCGGTGACCATGCTTCCTGAAATGCTTGATGCTCGAGTTGGCTCCGTAGCTTGTTGTTGGGCGATCCAGACCTTGTTGAGCTTCTTCAAGTTGTGCTTCAACTCCATCTGAGCAGCTTCTTGAATGACAGCTTCGGCCATTGCAACCTCCTTGCGAGTCTTCTCATTTTGTCGCTCACGGGCTTCAGCCTTATCCTTTCTCATCTTCTCAGCGGCGGCATCAGCTTCGGCTTGGTTTCTGGCGGAGAGTCGATGTTCCGATCTGGAGCTATGACGAGGCTCGAAATCAGGACTTCCGTTCTGATCAGCAGCGATGCCATTAGTGCCATGCTCAGCTACAACTTGTTGAGCTCTCTGAGCAGCCTTTAGCTCGTTAGTCTTGCGCTCCTTGTCCGACTCTCTGTTCTCCTGCTCGCGTTGACGAATGCGACAGTACTCCTTGACCTCCAATCGATTGAGATGGGCAATATGAGGCTCGAGGACAACCTTATCGTAATGGAGCCAGAGCGCACCAGCACCGACAGGGAAGTTACCATCAACAAATCGGCCATCACGAGTTACTCGTTGAACTTTGACACGGAAGCAGTCGGTTCCACTGAGGACGCCGTAGACGGCATGCTTATCTTCCAAACGAGGTTCATCCGAGTCGGCCCAATACCCAAGCAGAACACCAGAAGGTTTAGACTCAGAGAATGGAGAAGCCTTTGGAGTTTGCATGTCGGCCGCATTGACAGCCTGGAAGCTTGGCGTCTTGTGCAGGGCTTGACGAGGGAGCGAGTGACGGTGAAGCCCAGTGCGGCCAAGCGAATTGCGGTGTACAACAGGCTTGAGTCCAGGCGATGCACCCTCGTGCTCGGCAACGTATGCTTTAGCCTTCAACACGGCTTTGGTGTCAGCTTCATGTCGCTCCTCGGCAGTTGTTTCTGGCTTCATTTCCGATCGGATCTTGACGTATTCCTTGATCTCAGCCGAATTAAGCCCCTTCAAATGCGCGTCGAAGATAACTCTCTCGAACGTAACCCAACATCCTCCAGCACCGGTGGGCGCATTGGCAATCAACTCTTCGCCACGACGGTTCATACCATAGATGCGCGTACGAAGGCGGTCGTGGATGTCGATGAAGCCGTAGATGACATGCTTGTCGGCGTCGTCTGGCTGATCACTGTCGCGCCAAACACCAATGATGACTCCTCGGATCTTTTGCGACTGCTTGGTGCGCTTTGCGGGTGGTTCGATATGGGGACTTCCTCGGACGAGCTTGTAGTCATTTTCGTCTAAGTTGTAATTGACCGAAGCGCGCTTCCTCTTGTGGAATGGCGTGACGACTTCCTCATCATCCTCTTCCTCTTGGCCAGGCATAGTTGCGGAAGATTCGGCAAATCCAATGGCTGGCGCCTCGACGACAATGCCCTTCTCGGTGTCTGTGCTCAGAGAGTTGTGGGTGTCGTTCAGTGGTGTGTCAGACCTATGAACGCAATTCTGTTTAGCAGGTAATCTTATTGTTTCATTCAGGGCTTAGCTGAGTAACCGAAGAAGGCGAGCGAGAGCCCAAAAAGCAAGAGACTCAACACGTGGCAAGAGGTAAGGAGCGACGGACGGAGGGCCGTGAAGCCAAAACCACCACGCAAGGTGCCGCTGCAAAGGCTGAGTCAAGGGATAAGAAATCGCGACAGTGAATAATAATTAAAATGCAATGTCAAGGAAAGAGGACAAATAGATATCGCTTATGTCTTACGCGTCTGACACGCCGAATGGCTATGCAGCATGCAGCGATGTATGTAATTGATTGGAAAGACGCGACGCAAATAAGGAACGCCAAATAAATGCAATGCACGCGAAACGAGCGAGCGAGGGTGGGAGTGAAACTATTCAGAACACATAATCGCGAGCGTAAAGTCGTGATGTGATGTGCGGGTGCGAGGCAAAGTCGGCCCTTGCCAGCGGCAGAGGTGCGTGTAATTTCGCTGATGAAGGGCTAATAACGACGGGAAGGGAAGTGCAGGAAAGGAGAACGCATGCAGGAAAATGTATCGACGTACCTAGGCTCGGGCGACTCCAGAACGGACAGGCCATCCATCTCCTCCGTGCTCAGGGACTCTGAGCGTGAAATACTCAAAGGCTCCATTATTGAATGCGTCTTCGGTGTCCTCAAGACGTGAGACGTGGGAAAGTCAAAAGGAGGAAGGAAAGAAAGAAAGAAAGAGTGAAGAGTGAGGTGTGTGGGTGGGCGGGTGTGGGTGGAATTGAATTATTAAAGAGGGAAGTGGAAAAGGAAGAGAAGAGGGAAAGAAGTTATGAGGTAAGAAGAATTTGAGACGTGGAAGAGACCAGTGCCAGTAAGTTAGAGACTTAAAACGGCGCTAAGAGGGGATTGATTCGGACAGGCGCGCAGCAGCAGGTGTTGTGTTATCAAGAAGAACACTTGCGAGATAAGTCTTCCGTAGTTGGTAGTAGTAGCGTCAGGTTAGTCAATGATTGTCACGTATTGCAGGCAGGCGAGGAAATGCAAATTGTGTGGGATGGGATGAGATGCCCACAGGCTGGCTCGCCCTCAGGCTCAGCAACACAGGCTAATATTGTACTGCCAAAGTCCGACAACGACTGAGTGATTTATTATCTTTTTTGTTTGGCAACCTGCACCAGCTGCAGGAAGCCGCGCCTCGATTATTTCTGCATTGTAATTGCTAAATCGAGTGCGCCCGCTTGATTAATCTAAGTCCAACCCAATAGGTAGGAGCCATATTACACCTTACACAATCAATTCACATGCCATGCCATGTTCATGTTCCATGCCTAATCACCGGCGGCCTTTCCCTCTGCCACGACCACCTCGCCCTGCGCCACCGCCTCTCTTTGACCCAGAATTACCACCTGCGTCAAATCGCTCGTACATGCGTTCATCGCCAAAAGCAACCTCCCCTAATCGCAAATAGCTAATGACGCCCTGGTCAATTACCGCCAACACAACATTGCGCCAACCATTCTTTAACCGTTGGTACACCTTGCCTTGGCCCTCAAATTCACTGCCTTTTGGGGGAGCCCAAGGGGTGCTTTCCAACAGAGAGCTGATTTGCCCAAGGGAGGGAACACAAGTCGACCGCGCATCAGTAATAGCAACCCGGAAGTCTGGAAGCCCAGGGTTGCTTTTGGCGAATGTGGGGAGTCTACTAGGCTTCCATAATAGGAACACGACCCGATAAGGATCATTTGGTATTGGTGCAGGAGCTGAAGGATTCGGGTTAGGCTTGTGTCTAGGAATGACTGCGATTTGACGATAAATCGAGTTGTATGACCTGTACATTCCTGGCTTGACCAACGGTCCATATTGAGAGTGTTGGATCTCCTTTTCTGCAAAGAATTTCCCAAATAGCCAAGAGAAAGCGCTTGTTGGTTCAGAAATTAATTCCACTTGATGGCTTTGTGGCTTCCCAGGTTGTGTGACATCCCAATCAGAAGCTCTGAGTATAGCATAGCCCATCCGCTTGAGATGTGCGTAGACAGTGTATCTTTCCAGGCTAACTTTGCCTCTCTCGCCATCTTGACCGATCAACATAGAGAATGCAGCTTGTAAACTCATAGGAAAGCCTTCATCTACCTCGTCCTGTGTGTCAACCTTCTCCTTCATGTCTGTATTATCCTCGTCAGGAACAACGCTCGTGTAGGAGGATCGAGAAGGCCACCAGAGATCCAGATTCCCTCGCTCAACCAGGTAGAGCGCCTCTTCTGGCAATAGCCATATTCCAGGATCCCTCTTGCCTGTATTCGTCTTGCCCATTGTTTTGAAGTGTGGCCCTTTGTCTGACTCTACGAGGATGACATGGTCGTCATCTAAGCCTTGTCTCCAATCCTCTCGAATAACCTCATCTCTGGGTAAGCCCTCCTCCCCGTAATAGAATGCGCGATTGTATTGTTTCGATGTGTGGACCCGTGTATAGCTCAGTGCATCATGCATAGCCTGCCTGCTAGCTGACAGTATGCCATCTTGGTGTTTCGTGCCATGTGGTTCGAAATCCTTCTCTCCGCGTTTAGGTAGCTGGCCGCCAGACTTTGCTGTCAAAGCTGCAAGAAAGCGAAAGTCTTGGAATTCGTCACCTAACTCGGTCTCGTCGTTTGCTGTTGGTTGAGATGACCTTAAAGCTGCGTCTTCGTCGACATCGGCCATCGTCAAATTCGTGAGGTTTCTTTGGTGCTGGCATCATGAACAGTGCTTTTCCTATTTCTGACTCTTGTCAGCCGAAATCTTAGCGCGGCCCAGCCTTGTAGATCGGGCTTAGCAGTCCGCATAACCAATCAGAAGACTTTCTTTGGGACATCACCCAAAGATGTTCATATACACTAATAAGCAATTTTTCGGAAATGGGTCAAGTTCTCGGAGTAAATAGTTTGAATGAAGACAAAAGCGGGAGTAATTGATGGCGCGGGAGTAATTAGAGTCACGGGATCTTGGGAGTATTTAATAGCTGGGCAAAAACCACCTACTCGGAAGTTAAATTCCTACTAGGAGACTACTTCGGGAACATATTAAAGCACAGAAATGCTTATTCCGCTTCTTATCACATGTTACTTGTCAATTGTGGGCGTACTAATACCTAGGTATACAGTTTTCCTTTTGGTTTGTTTTATCTCGTGAGAAAGCTCAGGGGTAAAAACTATGGAAAAATGAAAAAAAAAATTGGAGACTATTTTATTCAGCAAAAAATATCTACAAAAAGCGCATGACGACTGGGGGATTCGAACCCCCGCCACGAATGACTGCGGATTCAAGGTTATCTTTCGATGGCCTAAACACAGCGCCTTAACCACTCGGCCAAGTCGTCCCACATCATGTTCATTTTCTCCTTATTTTGCCCTTTACTCCCTTATTCTGGCCGCTCGCCAAACTTAAGCCCCCAGTACAAAACCAGTTAGGCTGCAAGTGCTCCTAACAAATGATGCCGAATTGACACCGAGCATCCTCGATCCTTCAAGTCCATCTTCCACATCGAATCCTGCTTGTAAAAAGCTAGAAGAACTTTATAATTGCCCTCGATTGTCATCGTTGATACCACCGTGGTGTATTGTCGCGTCATCATCCTTTTCAGAAACGCTTTAAATATCGGCATATATAAACCTACTTTCCACTTCTCCCAGGAAGGTCGAAATTAGCGATTGTTCGGATTTATTCTTAGATTAATAGACAATATGTAAGTTTAATACTAATAGAGCATAGAAAGAGAGAGATATTTTACTTTTTGTTTGCACCTAGAGATTTCTCGTAGATATTGAATTCTTTTTTACTTCCAGACAATTCACGTCTGCATGTTCACAGCGGTCCAAAAGTCTTTGGCTCAACACACAAGATTTCTAAATTCTAGACCTTATAAGATTAACAACGTATTCCCAGGAGGTTTCCAGAAGTTTTTGGTACACTGTCTAAGGGTTCTTAGTTCTAGACCCTATAAAGTGGACAAAATATTTCCAAGATTGTGTACCATGTTCTCAATCAGCCAGGTAACGGCTACAGCTATTCGGATTGGAGTTTCCTTGTCTGTAACGATGCCAGATCGAAATCGCGTCCCCACTCCGGGTTTTCTCAAAAAAAGGAGCGTTTTCCCCCGAAAAGAATCGAAGATGTTCCAGCATCCGAGTGGATTAGTCCAGAAGAAGTAGTCAAACTTGCCAGAATTAGCACATCAAAGGATGGGATGGACGCAGGACTTTTACGGCACTACGCAGCGCCTTATGCTTACAATTATCGCGGCAACCTCTATCGACAATGGTGGCGCTTCTTGAATTCAAAAGATCAGGAGGGGAATCCGGTTCTCTCTGATCTCGACATTCGACGTGTTGCAAGCAAATACACAACAAATTGGAATCCCACAGGCAAAATCAGAATTCGAAGTGCAGACCGACAGGCATTCGTCGACAATGCTATAGCCGCCGCGCCAGACGATATTCTTGCACACAAGAAAGATCGACGAGTTGCACTTCCCGATGGATCTAATTGCAAATACGGCTGTGTTTTCTGCTGGAGAAGATTCCCCAGAAAAGACAACAGGGATGCACATGAGAGAAGGTGTGCATCGAAGAGCGATCAAGAGAGATCTCGCTTGTGGCACCCCCACGATTTCGACCATCTTTATGAGGTGATCAAAGCGCATATCAAGAAGGTCTAAATCCGGAAGCTATCTGCAACCTTCTCCAGGAAACACATGGTCTTACTGCGTCACCATGGACCTTGGAGTCCCGCATAGAAACTTGGAGGCTGCGCCAGAAGGTCGACCTCGGTCCTTACTTCAGCGAGATCAAAGGTGCATATGAGCAAGGTGTAATTCCATCGGAGATTCGAAAGCCCATATACAATAAGTGTAAAGCAATGATCAGTGCTAAGGTTTTGAACGAGCACATGCAGCAGTGGGGACTTCACGTGAGAGCGCCACAAGCAAAGCCGGAAAGGATCGAGTCCCGGACTGGAGAGGTTGAGATTGTTCAGGCTACAGCCATGAGAAAGGAGGTTGTAAAGCTGGGCGTCGAAGAACCCGATATTTCACTTTTGAAGACATTGGTCGATACGGGGTCCAGCGACTTGCGAAAGCGAAAGTTTGAGGGTCAAGCCGTCAACGCAGTTGCACAGATAGGAGAGATTTCAGCTATCACTTCGGCGGGGGAGAAGAAGGCATGGTCAGGCGGAATATTATCTTGTACAGACCCGGACGACATTGAACAAGATAACGATGGCGCTTGGGCTGGATGGACAGGATTCCCCCCTCGGCTCCAGCAACTCACACCACTCCTGAATGGATTGAGGCACGGGCTGATCTCTTCCGCTATCAAGAACGGCGCTGGCGTCTATCTGAAACGACGAAACGAGCAGAACAGCTCAGGTACCACATTCTGAGGAATGGCAGCAGATCTTGGATTGCTCTCCAACCTGGACGAAGATCCCAAGACCAGAGCCTCGCTTTGGAGAAGCCATTCAGTCTCCAAATACTAGAAGACAAATGCAGAAGCCGCCTATCCGAGACCAAGCTTGAACGTGTTTTGATTGAAGGCATCGACAGGCTGATAAGTTGGGCGCTGTGTTTAGGTGTGCTGAAAGGCAACTTAAAGCGATCCGCAGTGAGAAAGTAGGTTTTCCATGACCGGGATTGAGTAATTAATACTAATTTAATTTAGTCGCGAGGGTTCGAATCCCTCAGCCCTCATTGGTTATAACTGTAACTCATTTTTTCTTTTTCACTATTACCTTTGACATAGTCTTTTCCTGTCTTTTGCTCTTGGGTACGTAACTGCCTACCTAGGTAGGAAGGGATTGATGGTTTGGTGGAACATCGCTCGAGTCAGCCGAGAAAATGCCGCCTTCTCCTATCCTTTTGGCCTCATCATAAAATACAGTTTCCCTGCTATGATCATATGTTAATTTGCGACACTTATGGAGACATGATGCTTCAGTTTGAGAGGGAGTGCACAACCAGATATTATGAAGATGGGAAAGTCGGTCATAGTCTGGGCAGTTGTCTTCAATTAGCCCAAAAATCAAAATCATAAACCCTCTATAGCGAAGCAAAATAGCAACACATCACAACCAAGGTTGATGCTTGCTCCATAAAAGAGTGCTCTGTGGTGCACGACTTTGTTCGACTCCCTGAAATGCCCAAGAAATTTCCTCCAATCATTATTGCAATGAACACTCTTTACTTTTCCTTCCTTCTGCATGCTCTAATTGTTGTTTGAAAGAGAAAGAGATTCGTGATAGACTTAGACGACGACTGGGCCGTTGACGCCATTGACACCGTTATCCAACTTCTCGGATGGCCATGAAGCAACAGGCTCGGGGGTCTTCGCAGCATTCTTGGTCAGACCGTTTCGGATCTTGAGGACGCTGTCAACGATGACCGCATCGATGCCTTCCTTGACTTGTTGCTAGTTTGAATTAGCAATGTTATTTGTAAGGATTTCAAGGGAGATTTACCTGAACCGTGATGGGATCGTTGTTCAAAGTACCATAGCTGACACAAACCAAGCCACTCTCCTTTACAACTCTAACCAATCTTGGACTGTTGCAAAGTGGTTCAGCAGCACTGACTATACCAAGCAAGTTCCAACGACTAGCGAACCGAATAGCCTCCTGCAAGCTACTCGCTCGAATGTCGCCAACAGGGCTCACACCAGCGTCTGTCAAGAACAGGACTGGAATGCTAGGCTGTTTGAAGCTTAAAAGCAGACAGATATCAGGATTGAAACTGCTGAAGATGATCTTCCTATTCTTACCAAGATCATAGACCTTTGTGAGAACAGTATCGACGAAGCTGTTAAGTTCCACAGCATATGTATCCATGTCATGCTCTTCGGACTCGTGCAACATGGGATACTTCATCTCGATATTGAAACCCACATCTTCAGGTAGCTTCACGAACATCTCTTCAAGAGTGGTGAAGGGTGCTTGGATAAAGTTTCCTCGAGTGTTAGCTTTGTAGCCTTTCTCCTTGAAGTCACGGGTATGCTTCATTCTCTCAGCCATATCAAGTTCAGGCATCATAGGACCAAGTGACAATGAACGTTGACGATCGGCACCACGGACAACGCGGAATTGAGGGTTCTCTTTTGGTGGCGATGGAGGTCGTGATACTCTAGGTGTAGTGTCGTTAACGTGAAGAAATTGCTCCAGTGTAAGAGTATGGACAGGAGCATCAATTCCAGTTTCGCTGACCAAGAAATCATGGTAGATAACAGGCACAAGATCTTTAGTGAGCTGAACATCGAATTCGACATAGTTTGCACCAAGATTGGAAGCCGTTAGGAAGGACTGAATAGTGTTCTCGCCCAATTGGAGAGATCTGTTAGATACAGCATTCTTACCGAGACCTCTATGTCCAATAACCATGGTAGATGACATCTTCTTCCAATATGTCTGGTTCTTGGTGATACTCATATTGGGATGAGAGAAAGGAGTGATGATGAGGAAGTTGAAATTGACAATGCCGATGACCTCGAGATTTGTGCTCATGATTGGCACACTGACGTCTCCTTGTAGGTTCATGCGCTTAAGTCCAATTGCTTGCTTGATGCTGGACAGAATAGCAACTCCTCGGCCGACTTTGTGCTCTTGGCTGCCAGAATACGTAGGGACAATATCGAAATAAAGCTTCACTTTGCTCGCGTCAATGGCGGTAAACACCATTGGCTCAGTGGAGATATTGTCTTGCACAGGAAGGTCGATGATTGTGGGTTCGCCCTGAGCACCACTTGCACTGACGATCACAGATAGAGCTGTGTCTAGTTGGGTGGAGTGCGCCTCTTCAATGGGAATTCGATCCAACTTGACAGCTGGAATATCCTTTCGCATGTCCATTGATCCCAAGCTGACAAGCACCATGCTTTCCTTGGTAAGATAGCGATGACCGAATGTCTTAACCGACTCGATGGATCGCACATTATTGGTTTGAGAGCGAGATGCCTCCATGGAGGTCATTCTCGGAGGAGATGAAGATGCCGTACTTACAGAGCTTTCCGAGTCTGGCTCATCAGGAGTTTCTTGTGCAAGTCGTTCAGCGATAGCCATATGGCCTCTCAAAGCAGCATGCTCTCTGCCTGTCCAACCAGATGCATCCAGCTTCCTCAGATCAGAACCTGCTGCGACGAGAAGTTCAACAATGGACAGATGCCCGTCCACACAGGCAACATGCAGAGGTGTCCAGGAGAAAGTCTTTTCAGTCAGCTCGAAATCGGCCTTCTGATCTGGTGTGCCCTCGAGAAGTATCTTAGCACAATCTGCATGTCCAAATCTTGCAGCTACGTGCAGAGCTGTCTCTCCAGTCTCGTCTTGCCAATTGATGTCAACACCAGCATCCACAAGAAGTTTGACAATCCTGGTAAAGTTCGACTTCGTGGCGAGAGCAAGAACAGCACTTGATTTTGAGATGTCTTTTCGCATTGCGACCTTTCTGTCGTTAGGTCCTTGCCAGTTCTCGCCATTCAAAAGAGCTTGAGTAGTCAATGGATGTCCTCCAATCACACTGAGATGCAATGGAGCAAGGCCTTCTCTGTCCTGCCACTCCTGTGCGTCGATACCGTGTGATACATCGAATTGACCCCATTGCTGCATATATTTCATGACCAGTTCGCATATCACAACGAAGCCAAACTGAGCAGCATAGTGTAGTGGATATCGTCCATAGCTGTCTCTAGTCTTGAGAGCGATGCGCTGACTAGGCTCTAAGTGATCGAGGACATAGGTCAGAAGCTTGACAGACTCATCACTCAAGCTCAGCAAATTGCTCTCTTTGAGATTACTGGTAGCAGGGCCAAGAGGAGGTGATGCTGCAGGAGTAAGATATCGAGTCTCGTCTGCATCCACAGGCAAAAGAGCTATGCTTGTTTGCTCTCCGGTGATGGCTGATTTCGCTCGTCCGATAGAGATAACGAGGCGATGTAAGCAATTGCGCTCATTGATGTCATCGGCCTCGTCCAACGACTTGATCCGCTTTAAGAGATAAGCTATAGTTCGCTTGGACTTGCAAGAAATGGATCTTTGCAAGAGATTGACGAAGAGCTTCTGCATTGCTGGTTCTTCAGGGTCGAAGTTTGCCTCTGCTAAAGTCTCTTGGAGTATGGGTACGTCATCGTTCCTGATAGCTTGGTCCACGGTATCGAGGAGACCATTGGGTAAGTCGAGAATAGATCGAGAGGACACACGCTTGATAGAGTGTGCTGAATGTACCGATTGAGCATCATCCTTCGACTTAGTCTCTCCCAGAACTGACAACCAGTCGTTGATAGTCTTCATAGCCGTAGTCAGAGCGGCATTTGTGGCGAACGGCCTGGGGTCCACCTTCGAAGCTAGATATCGTTGTTGTGTGCAGACATTCTCCACTTTCTTGTCCAATTTCTTTGTGATCTTGACAAAGCCTCTGCGATTGACTTCGCCAAACCACTGCAGCTTTCTAAGCTGACCCCTAAGCTCCAAAAGCGCATCGATAAGCTCGTCGATTTCATTCCTGTCCAAAGCTTCCAAGGCTTGTTTTGATGTACCGTAACGATCTTGGAGTAGCTTCAATCTTCGAGAAGCATCTGCGAACTTTTTGTTGTAGAAGTCGTCGACGTCTTCGAGATTCCTATCAAGGGAGAAGAAGAACTCTGCCACAGCTTGATTAGCTATTGCCATACGTATGAGATTTTGAATGTATTACCAGCAAGATCAGCATCTTGACCAGCCTTGACTGTAGCAACAGCCGCTTTGATAAGCTTCTTCAATCCCTTATAGTTGATATATGCGGATGACCATTCTGGTACTTGATTGCGAGGCAGACTATAATAGCAGATTAGTCGATACTCAATAGCAGGAGGGAAGAAGAATAGGCATGATAGAACAGCAATGGGTAGGATAGGCTAGCTTACTTGCGTCCAAACTTCATGGTGGGCGGGTTTCGATAAACCTCGAACCAGACCAGTAACTCTTCCGGAGTTTCAGATATGATAGAGCAGCATCAAAGCTGCAGAAAAGTGTGCAAAGAAGTCGACTTCGCAGCGAATAGCGCAAGAGCAGCACAATCCCAAAGAGGTTATCGACAAGGAAACGAAATACAGCTGCGTTGGTCGAATAAGAGGCAGTCCGAGGAAGCCATTCAGTCCAGATTGCGATTCGAGTGTTTCGGTTGCGGATTCGAAGGGTTGGAGGGGTAGCGAGGTGAATGCAAGTCGCAATTGCTCTGTCTCGTAATCAATTACGGTAAAAATAGTCGGTTGGGGTATTTTATGAGTTGTGACATGAGCTCAGGTTGTCGAAAGAATATGAAGCGTGGAAGCAGCGCAAGATCTTATTCGCTCCAGAAAAATTCTGCCAATGATGCGTTCGGTTCGCCCCTGGACTAGAGCCACAAACCTCACCAAAACCTGTTGGACTCTGGATATTTGGCAACAAAGGTGACCGGAAAATAATAATTACCTCTGGATGGGTAAAAATGTCTCTGGCAAATATATAATGGGAAATTTGAGTGATTTTTCGACGTTGCAGGCCTGTCAAGTCTTTTGGTATGGGTACACCGCCTTTGATGCGATGAATCGCGGCTGGATCAGCAGGCACGCAGTGGAAGTCGCTACCTTGCTAAAGGGAGGGATTGTCCGGGGAAAGTTGAGACATTGGATCCATAGTCACTCGGTCTGGTGATATGGAACGGAAATTTGATTCATAGAGCAAGATCTCGAAAATTGGTCATGCAGGACAAAAAGGATTGTTCCTTTCCCTTAAGAGGTCAATGGTTCATGATAACGGCGTATCCGACGCATGTGACATCACTTCAAGGTACCTATATCTGTGAGTTTATCAGCCTTCGCGGTCGAGACAGAATACAGCGCCAAATTGACCACTAGGGAGCTCGAATTTGCATCCGGCGATGTGTCGTCTGCTTCATTACCATTTTGAGCTGCATCTCGGCCCCTCTCAAGGATTGTGCGGGACGCTGTGATCCTGCAGCCCATGCTTGTACTCCCAAAGAGGCATGGGAACAACTATCAAGCGACACAAGCCGGACGTTTGTGTTTCTCTCGGGCGTGAATCGGAGCGATGAAGGTTCATAGTAAGTGCTGCTTGCAAAGCTGTCATCGTGGGCCACGATGCTGTGGGTATCTTCCAAATCCATACGAAAAACGACTCTGGTCCTCTTACCAAACTCGTCCTCTCCCACCTCTGCCCCGGCCGCGACCTCTTCCCCGGCCACCGCCACGACCTCCACCTCCTCTTCCTCCCCTGCCAAACCCACCATTCCGTCGTTCTTCTGCAGGAGGGGGTCCATTCCTCATCCGCTCATCCCGTTCCTCTTGAGTCGCGGTGAACTTGTTCTCGATTCCTATCAGATCACAAAATTGTTGCATCTGTGGATTGTCGTATTCAACTGGTCCTTCTTGGACAATTTCAGGTGAGCCTACGACAAAGGGAGGAGCCGTGAGCACGAAATTTTCCGGAATCTCTAATTTTCCAGCCTTCACAACGTTCTCATTGACCCATTCCAATTCTTTCTCGATTCGAGGAAGGTAATGAGCCTCACCAGGATCATGTGGTGGCTTGGCATTCTTATCTCCAAGGACTATATCAAGAGCAAAGACTCTGGTTATAGCTAACCATTCGGGATCATACTCGAACTTAGCCTTCTGTCTAGTAGTTGAGCCTTCTGGAGCCGTCAGTGTCAAATGAGGTTGTACTTCAAGGAGCTGAAGAAACTTGCGGCCAGGTAAGCATTTATCCAGAGCAAGAAATCTGACAACTTTGTTAGGTATTGTTGCCGGTATTGGCTGGCCAGGCTGTGCCCGAGCCGTTGGAGGTGGTGGTCGTGCAAAGGCTGCAGGTAGTTGAGCACGAACGTCTGTAGGGACGGCTGAGGATTCCGTATCTATAACAACGTCATCATCGTCGTCGTCCAGCATGATCTCGTCCGTGTTTGTCGAAGCCACACCCCCTTTGGTTGGTGGTGGTTTCTCTGCATCGTCATCCAGATCCAGATCAATTTCATCTGAATTGTGTGTGGGTGCTGTTCCATTCATTACCCCCGAGCTGCCTCCATTGGTAGTCTCCGGCTTTGCTGTAGCTGGCGTGCTTTCAAAAGAACCATCTTTCGGTGCCGGCGCTCCATCATAAGTCTTAATAGCAGGGAATTTGCAATGCATATGGGCTGCAAACCAATATGGAGGTCTCAGACGATCCATGACATGTGCTGCTGCCACGCTACCCAGAGTGCCGTCCTTCGACTCTTGTTCGAAATCCGGTTTCCACCTGTACAAAGCTTTCTCGTTGCCGTGACGTTCAATAGCTCTGGGCCAGTCATGGCTGATACCAATGTCGACTTGTGTCTTTAGCTGAAGTAGTTTCCTAGTGTCGATTTCTCGAATGTGATATATTGACTTGATGTCATCTTGGCTGTATGGCAATCGTTCGTGATGTGGTTTGTTGAAGTTATATCCTTTCCAGATGCCGGACATGCCAGCAATACGGACACCTCCCACTCGCACAACATTGGCAGCTCCCATGTAGTAGATATTAGGTGCAACCCATCCACCGTAGTATAACTCCCAGAGATGACTGCTAGCTTCATGGTTGCCTCCGACAAAGATGGTCAGGTAAGGAGCTTTCGTGGTTCCAGCGTAGTATGCGTGAAAGTCTCCAATCTCTCGGTATTTGACGGGGCATGACATTACAGTCAGATCAGAAGCATTTCGGACTGCCTATTCCTATTAGCAGAGTCCAACTATACGGGGTGAAGTATGTACCTGGAAATCCCCGCCAATAATGAGGAGATCAACTCCATCCCAGGCACGAGCTTCACAGGCTTTGTCCACAGCAGCGTATATCGCATTGAGTGTGCCATGACCCTAATTACAAGTCAAAACACGTTCAGGCATAGCGATGGTTGGATGCTACTCACACAGCCCTCCACGGCAATCCGTAAGCCCTGTACTTCTTGCAATGCGGGGTTCATGGTCGCGATTTCAATTGCGAAAACGAAGAACAGCAAATAAACGTTGCAGAATCACATCTTATTCTGCTTTCTGCCTGCGGTTCCAATCTCTGACGCGGTTTGGGACGATTCGGTATTTAGGATGGTGGTATGTCCAGTCTTGGAACAGCCTTCCCGTCGCAAGTCACAAAAAATATCTCGACAATCGCTTCGGCATTTTTTAACCTCTTTCATATTTTCTACGCCTCCACACAACGCGTACTCACGACATGTCATCACAAGCTCCGGATTCGAAATCGAGGTCATGGCATCTCCGGAATTGTCGGCGCATCTGCGATATCTGAATGAATCCGCACATCTACTTGCGACTGCAGCCCCAGAGACATCCAGACATTTGATGTCGCGACATAATGCTCTGCTGTTCGCCAATCAAATCGAGGTTGAAGGTACACAAAGGAAGTCTGCATGCGGGGCTTGTGGAGCTTTAGTTGTACCAGGCTGGGAGGGGACGTTAGAGAGTCATATTGAACGATCGAAAGTCTCGAAGAAAAGGAAGCCGGTGGAGCGTACCGTGCAGAAGAGAGCTATGGTCTATGAATGTGGAATTTGTGGAAAAAAGACTTGGGAGACCGTTAAAGCACCACCGGCAGTCAAGAGACAATCATTGACATCGGTGGTCTCACAGCCAGCAGATCATATAGGAGTTTCAGCAAGTCCAGCTGTAGCTACCTCATCCACAAACTCAAGTAGTAAGAAACGGGCAAAGACACGGAAAGGTGGGCTGGCTGCTATATTGGCTCAGAAGAAGACAGCGGATACTTCTGGTTCTGGATTTGATCTGATGGACTTCATGAAAAAGGCCTGAATCAAGCCCAGTATTAGTTTCAGACATCATTATATTCATTTACTCAATGGCTCGAAGATTACTATACAATTAAGAACTCCATAGTAAACATTCCGTATACGACGTTACCCTCGACAATATCATCAAATACCTTTTCTACAACGAACATGTCCCAGAAGGCTGGGACATCTATAAACGCCAACGCTCCTTCCCAATCGCGACAAACCAGGTGCTACTTGCTCAAATGGTAAAGCTTGGCTCCCCCTGCTCCTTTAGGCAATTCCAAGAGATGACTAGCCTATTGTCCTGTTGGCGTAACATGCCTGGCTCAAAGTCCTGTACCAGCTTGATCTTTCCTTCGTTCCGATATACAGAATACTTGTGGCCATCATACTCATAACCCTCCCTAACTAAGTTAGTATCTGCTATGAGGCAAAGAGTAATGCAACTTACTTAACCAGCTCACCCTCGACTTTGATAGCAGGGAACTGAACAATTCGAAAATGATCAAACTTCATGTGAGTAAAGTCGCCCTTACCCGCAACGCTAGCATGTGCCTTCTCTAAGTACATTCCGCCGTTAGGTTGGTCATCAGGAATCTTGTGGAAGCTCCTGCTGAACGTGGTTTCGCTGTCAATTCGTAGCCGGTACGGATCCTTGTACACAGCAATCTCAGCGTCCTTTTGCTTGATCTTGGCAGTGTAATCTGCCTTGAGTCTAGCAATAGCTCCGTTGGTGCTTTCTTTATTGGAAACCATAAGAGCCTTCTTCTTCAGAGCGGCTTCTTGCTTGTCAACTTGTTCCGCTCGTCTTCGATTTGACTCTTCCTTCTTGCTGAGCTCTTGCTCCTGGTTTTTGATGGCTCGCTCCCTCAATTCGAGTGCTTTTTCCTTCTCGGCTTGGGCACTCTCCTTCTGTTCGATTGCTGCATCTCGCTTGTCGAGTTGATTCTTGCGCTCCAATAAAGATTCACGAGACTTTTCGACCTGCTTGTCTTGTTTGGCCCGGTCGTTCACAAGCTGTTCATCGCGCTTGTCCATAGAGGTTTTCAACGACTGGAGGCGATTCTCCTCTTTAACCAGGGCGGCTGCCTTTTCGTCTAACTCTCGCTTCCTGACACGGTCATTCTCTTCTAAAGTCTTCCCAAGTGCGTTAAGACGCTTCTTCTCAGCAAGTACCTCCTTTCGATCAAGCCCAAGTTTCTCCTGGACTTCAAGGACATTCTGACGCTGCATTAGGGATTGTTCGAGCAGCACAAGTCGCTCCTTCTCTCTTGTGAGGTCTATGTGATGCTCTTGCAGCGCGCCTTCCCGTTTAAGGACTTCGTTTTTAAGCAATTTCCCTGTTTGCTCGAAGTTCTGCAAAGCGTCGAACAATCCATCGTCTTCCTCTTGCCCAAGAATGGCTTGGCTAGACAGTGTATAGTTAGAGTGGAGATCGTCATACTCGTCTTGCAAGCGTGGGCTGCAAGAGGGTTGGTGTTCTCTCGAGAATGTCCCGCCAAGTTCCGGACTTTCGGCATGATTGATGAGTCGTTTGAAGATGTATTCTTTCGTTTCTTTTGGGGTACCTTGTCCATATTCAGGCAGGAACTTAACGTCGTCGAAATCGACTGCCTTCTTGGGAAGCACAAGCTTCTTGTTGTCCTCTTCGTGAATTCGGAAGTGAATAACGCCATTGCTTAAAAAAGCATAAACAGATAGGCCATGTCGACGATGTGTACCAACACGATAGTCGCGAATAGGTCTAGTTCCATAGCTCTCCTCAGTAATGTGATTTACGGCACGGCCTTCATGAGTTGCTGCTCAATCACCCAGTTAGCGCCGCACAAGAGGAGATCTGGGACGTAGATCAAAGGTAGATGAACAAACTTACCAGTGAGATACTCAAGCAGTAAGTTTCTCTTTGTCTCGTAGGTAGCTTTATTGAGGTCACCTATTTCGAGAATGGCATTAGCGTACCTTACATCATTCGGGGGTGAGGAGCATAGCAGCATGGTTCAAGGCCGACATCTCGTCTTGAAGATTATGCCACAGAAGGAGATACTCAAGAAAACAGGTATCAATGGAAGGCATACCCTTGTAATATTTAGCGATTGCATTTTTGATCTTGACATCGCGGTACGCCACGTTCGGTGCATCCTGATGAGTATCGCAAGGAAACTCATTGGGCCATGCTTGTGCTACTACTTCTTCCGGTGTCAAGGATTTGGGGGCTCTGATAATGAGATCACCTCTGCCTATGATATAATGTCAACAAACTTACTCCGAAAGCTTTGGCACTCCGATTCGCTCCATTGTCCTCAATATCATGGGACGCCTGTTCTGGACAGTACTCACTATTGATATTTGCCTCAATTTGTACGTCGTGCCAATTGATATGATGGCCAACGTGAATGCCAAAGTTCATGCCAGAGTCGAGCATCCACTTGTCAGGTTGTTCGCTATCTCCATATAGTTGGTCCGCCTTCCGGGCTTGCTTCTTTGTTAGAGGTTCACGTTGAAGGTTTTTCTTCTCGTCACTATTTGTGAGCTTGCGGTCGACCTGAGATCTCTTTCGAGGAGTCGACATCGAAGCAGATACAGACCGATAGACTGTTTCTCTAGTCGTGCTTTCCTGTTCCGGCGTATGAATGCCACCGCGACCTCTGTTTATTGCAAGTGACTGTGCTCTCGCTGTTCTAGGAAGGGGTGACCCGAAGGTCATGGCTTGGGTTTGACGAGCGCGAGGTGGTGTGGCATAATCTCTCGGAACTGTTGAGACTTTGGAAGAGATCCTGGGATCATTGTAAGTATAGGCGCACCTCATAGGAGCTGCAGGAGAACCCTGGAAGAACTGACCTCTTATTTCTTGATTCGGACATCTTGCGGTGCGTTGTCTCCAGCTGCGCTTCAGAACACACGGCGGCAAGGTGAAAAAAACAGATAAAACTTGAAGATTGACCGAAATCAGCGTGAAGGAAAAATTCAGCAACCAGTTCAAGATTTGCTACAAATGGAGATTGGTGAATGAGCTGCGAAAGAAAGGTGATCGGTGTTGAGCGAAGGCTTGGTGGAGGCTGGAGGTTGACGGTTGTTGTCGAGAGATCGAGCTAAATATGCCTCTGACGAAAGTCAGGACCTATCCCCTTCAACTTCGACTACTCGATTTCGACTAGGCGGCGTGTGCCAGTATGTGATAAGGAGAACTCAACACAAATTCCTTATCTTGGAGTACGGACGAGTTCAAAGATGGTAGCAAAGACTTAAAGCTTTTCCATACGTCACTCAACGATATACTCAATCAAAGGGGAATCTAAATGCATTCAAAAGCTCCGCGAGCCGCTTACTTTCTTGCAATACCAACCAGAAACGCCTTGATATAGTCAATCCTTACCAAACTCCTATACAATGAATATCGAAGGGTCTTAGCTCTTCAGTGCTTCCAGACGTCCACGCATCTGATCTAGCATGGCCTCGGCATCTTCCTCGTCCTCATCTTCTGCTACAGGCTCTTGTTGCACCGGTGTAGGCGTTGTAGGCGTTGCTCCAACCTTCGACATCTTGTCTGATAAAATTTCCCCAAGCACCTTGTCCACCTCAGACTCTGCTTCCTCATCTTCCTCCTCTAACTCATCTGGAAGACTATCTCCAACCATCTCCTCGATGATACCGGCCTTGACAAGCTCTTGACTCAATTCCCGCATGGTTCCGGTCAATTCTGGTAACCTTACTAGGCTATTGACGTCCTTCATGATCCCGACGCTCGATCGAATACTACCCTCAATCTTCCGCACCGCGAACGCCTCTGTAACCTGCATCGATACACTATTGAGTTGCGCCTTCGACGTGACAAGTCTGTTATGTTGTCTCCTCGTCCGTACAAGCTCCCGAGCGAAGATCCGGATATCCTTCTCGGCCTGCTTGGCTTGGGCGGGATTCCGCTGTGCCCGACGATTGGTTTGGATGATGAGGGTTCGTGCCTTGTTCTCTGCCAGCTTCATGTTCGCGATATCACGGTCGAGCTTCCGTGTATTCTGACGTATAAGCTGGTTGCACTTCCTAACCTGAACATATTAATTTAGTTGTGCTGCCTTGAGCGCGGGGCTGTGATACTGACTTGTGTCTGCGGATCTGGCTTCACGAACATTGCTTTGAGGGTCTCCATCCTGTACTGTGAATTCGCAGAGACAGTGCTCTGCATCAGAGTCCGGATCGTGGTCCGTCAGGAATATTGGTTGATGAGATGTTTGCTCGAGTTGTGGTTGAATGTCTCGTAGGTAGGTTTCAAGGCGCTTGTTCTTGACTCTCGACTAATTGTTCCTCTGACGTTGGACTCAGGCCCGCGAGCCGCAAAACGTGGGGCACGAAGACATTGACTTGGAAGCCTCTGTGCAAATGCCATACAACTAACTAATAATTTATTGAATATCACGAACAGTCCTGATCCCCAATGTCTTAGACAATCACTGGTTTGTCTCACTTCGAATTCCATGCGTTGCAAGGTTGTTTTGACCGCCTTCCCTTCGGCGCTTCTTCTATGTTCCTAAACTTTCCAGACTTTCCAGCCTTGTTTCCCTCGCCGCATTCATTCTGCAGCTCCTCCCGCGCACACACTTACTTCTCTTCCATCCGACCCCAAACAACAAATTCACCATTCCGCCAACCTACCTTCTCCCCACATCTGAATTGATATTCTTTCCTTGCCGACTCTTGATCCTCCATCACCAGTATCAATCATGTCTTCGGCCGCGACTCCTGAAGGTAAGCTTCAACTCCACTCTGTGCGGAAGCTATTTCAGCTCCCAAGGCTTCAGCCTATCGCTGGAGAAGCAAACCAGCCACCAATGCCTACGCAAGACACTTCTACATTGCAGCAGAGAAGTAGCTAATATTTGTGACAGTTCTCTGGGCTCAACGATCTAGCAAGACGGAAGCAGCCAAGAACTTCATCTACCTGACCATCTCCGTACCTGACGTCCAACCCGCCAACCTAAAGCTTCAGCTCAAGCCCCAAGGACTTACCTTCTCTGGCCACTCGGACTCCCTGAAGAGAGATTATCATGTCGAGCTTGAGTTCTACGCCGAGATTGACGAGAAGGAGAGCAAGATCAACCACACTGCCAAGAATGTCGAGATGGTTCTGCGGAAGAAGGAGTTGAAGGAGGAGTTCTGGCCAAGACTTCTGAAGGACGCAAAGAAGGTCCACTTCCTGAAGACCGATTTCGACAAGTGGGTTGATGAGGATGAGCAAAATGAGGCTCCAGAGGACGATTTGGGTAAGTGAGGATAATCACGGAACGTGAACAACAGCTGATACTGAGTGGCAGGAGGAATGGGTGGAATGGGCGGCATGCCGGGTATGGGTGACATGAGCTCAATGATGGGCGGTGGTGGTGACTTTGGTGGCATCGACTTCTCTAAACTGGGCGGTGGAGCTGATGCTGGTGACGAGGAAGGTGAGGAGGAAGATGATGACGACGACGATGAGATGCCAGAGCTCGAGGACGAGGAGAAGGAGGGCGAGGCATCTTCTTCCAAGCCTAAGATTGAGGAGCTTTAGATTTTCGCTGGACTTAACACAGGCGCAGACAAGATGGAGGCTCCTTGGTACAGTTCTTTCAAGCGTCTCAAGATGGCCACACGGGTCTCGTCGTTGCAGCTCATCAATTGATGGCTCGGATCTCCTTTGATTTTGCATGGGGGTGTTGAATACCTTTGCCAAAACCATTAAAAGCAATACTCGACGTCTCCAATTGTTTCCGTGCGTCTTTTTGATTCTTTGTCCTTTACGCGTCACTGTGCCTCGTCTGAAATAGAACTTGTAATGCTGATCTTACTTGCATCGTTATGCCCGTACTACCTGTCCATTCACTGATGTTCGCATTTTTCTGCGTTGCTATTCACCATCCTTCCTGCCATGCTGGGAATCTCCAAGGTCTAGTTTCCCTCCTTCCAAATTGTTCTACCACAATCAAAATCCACACAACACTATAATCGAGAACACATCAAATATGAAGATGTCAACATCCTTGGAAAGAGTCAGCGCTCTCCTCACCAGAGCAATGTCTCTGTCAAATGCGCACATTGTCACAAGAACAGTTCCATCGCACGCAACGGGTTCAAGTTCAATTTCAGTACCAAACCACACTGCCGCAAAGAACACAGCCACGGATGCTGCGAACTTCTCCCGTCTCGGCGCATGTCTTACAGCCTTACCTGTCGACGAAAAGTACATACTACCCAACCTACTCGCATGTCCAATTACACGTCACGTGTCGATGATCCATCCATCACATCTCAAGACTTCGAACAACGCCAAAGCCGAAGTTGAAGCCGAAGCTCAACGCAAGATGCGGAGGGAAGTTCATCTTCGCTGGTACAGAGGAGTGTCCGAAATACGATACGACCAATGTACGACTGCGGCAAAAGCTGATTAATGATATCGCCTATCATGATGGTCAGATTTTTGATTGGAGGTGAGCTACGAGCTATCGGGACTGAGTAGTTGAAAGAGGCTAATACGTTGTAGGGCTGACGGAAGGCTTCGGGATTTGGGATTGGGGGTTTGGAACTTTGCTTACGGATCTGCATTTGCATCACGTGCTTAGAGGATAAGTGCTGGGATGGCGTTAGAGAACGGGCGTATTGGTGAAATGGATGTTGCAGTCTAGCTTGATCCGAGGAGTTGTTATGGAGCTTCTCACTGGCGTCAGTTTTTGAGATGACAATCCTATTCATCAGAGCTTCAAGGTGGAAGCAGCACGAGTGTGGTCAATCAATGAATTCTCAAATGGAAGTTACATCACCCCTTTCATCGCGTGATGTCGAAGTCAAACATAACGCAGCATCCCGGGCTAATCCAGGACTCATTTGTTGCTTCAAAGCCATCCATCAATGTTTGCCAGACCTTGTTTGGTCTCCGCCAGTTTGCCCCGAGCTTCTACGTCCAAGTCATGACGCAATGGCCCAAGGTCTCCCAGATGAAGTATTTCTCATACGGAGATGCCCTACTTCTTGGCTGACCTCGAATTCTCACTACGTTGGTATCTCAGTGACATATTCTTCTTCTAAATGACTCAGGAAATCTACGTGGCCTTGGGGCAGCTTCAGCACTATCCTTCTTTCCACATAGCAATTCCTTGAGATATTTTCCTGCATTCTATTGTGTGTTTCTAGTACCGAAGTGAGCTAAGAGCAAGTGCTTGAACTGAAATTTGGAACAATATTGAAGAGAACTCTAGAGAGCAAATCCATATGTTGGGTTTGGTCTCCATAGTGGGACAAAGGGTTGTTGTGGTGTTCTGCATGTTTTAGGTTCAGCATCTGAGCAGAGCTAGCCCATCTGCGATGAATTCATTGTCTTAATGAAATTCCTTCCCATTGATGTTGCCTTCACCAAGGGTTAAGCCTTTAGCATGTGCCGACTTGTTCCTCTCTTCAAGGAAGCCTTTTGGCAGCTTGTAGCCGTATCTTAACGCAGGATAGTTTAGCTCACGCTCTCAAAACTTGAGCAAACATCAACACACAAGAAGAGTACGACCACTTACCGACAATTATCACATTTACACTCCCCAGGAAAGTGGCTATCACAGCCCCACTCATATCCCCCAGGCAAACCACAACAAGTCCATCTATAGCCTTGTGGCCAATAGTCATAGAAATTCTTGAAATCTCCTTTCATCTCAACCTGTAGTGACTGGTCAGCATATTTCAATTGGGTAGTAATAGAAAAGATGTTACCTCGAACTTTTGTTTGAGGTCTTCGGATTCCTCCTTGAGGCACGCTCCCCAACCCATAGGCTCACCTAATTCGCTGACAGAGTCCCAAGTCACGATCTCGAGATTGCCACGATGCTCCCCTCCATCTTGGCACTTCCTAATCTTGAACGGGATATTTTGCCAGATTGTTGGAAGCTGTGGACTTTGGATCGGAGTGGTGGATTGTGTGGAAGATGCAATAGACATTTTTGTTTACTTAGTTTATCAACCAATGCAGCTATTTCATAAAATCGTCTACTAGACAAATGTTAGATTGAAAAGTTGTTCAAAAGAGATGGAGGGATAGACACCACTTTAAGCAGTTTGGGGTCAGAATGTCGATCATGTTGCCGAGAGCCTCGTTGCATTTACCCCTGACCTATCATATTGAGGTCTTGACCCATTATATGTGAAACTACAATTGGCTAGAAACTGAAAGCTAAAACACCGCCCTTTCGACCTCCTCAATAGGATGCGGAGACGAGGTTGGAATCCACTTGAACTGAATTTGAAGGATGACTTTGATATAGGCTTCTTCAGTAAGGGCAACGATTCTGTATACTGTAGAAATTGGGAAATACATTGTCCAGAAAGTTCGTCAGACAACATGATTTAAGTACTAAGCTGATACTTTGAGAGATGAAGTGGCTTATGGTATGGCCAGAACTTTCCATGATTTTGAGCTTGGCGTAGCCTTGAACTCTGTCTTGTATTCCGATTTTGGATGGGGACTTGTTTACTCGAGCCGTAATCTGTTTTTGAAGATGAACTACAGATTGAGACTAGACTGTTTTGGGAAGACCCACTTAACCTCGATAAGCTCCTCGCCACGACCTTCGCCCTCTCCAACGTCCACACATCTTTACATGCTGATCATCTAACTTTAATGGCTGCATCTCTACCGACTGGAGCACAAATCCGAGCAACTCAGCGTCCGCTTCAAAGCTGCACTTCTTGTCGGAAGCGGAGAGTCAAATGCAACAAAGAGAGTCCCTGTCAAGAATGTCTCGGCCGTGGATTTCATTGCGGTGAAGGTCAAAGGTCAAATTTTGACTAGCAATTAAGTGTCCCAAACCCCTTTGCGATATCGAGACTTTAGTTAACATGGTTGATAGCGCTACAATCTCGTCGTCATTATCGTACGGTGAGCTACTCAAAGAGAATCAGCAGCTGCGATTGCGGTTGAACTCTCAAACAAGAAAGCTTCCTCAAAATCCACTAAAACGTGTCGAGGTGGGTAATGTTACAGGGAGCTTTGAGAAAGATCTTTTCGATGCTGTCAAGCATTCTGCTCGAGTCTCCACTGTGACTGGGGAGAGCATGTCATCTATCCAAGTGTCGATTGTGCTGCAAGACTTCTGTCATACGGCAAGATATGGGTGTCTTGGATCCATTTTGCGCTCCACCATTCTGCCTCGAGTCGGAGTGCGAGTTTTTCTGGCAAAGAGGTCATCCACCCGAGACTACCGATGGGAGCAAATCACTCTGGCTTGCTATATATTTCAGCTATCTGAGCGTAAGTTGTCTCTCTCGCGCTGTGTTTTCCATGACTCAGCAATGATACTATTGCGAGCGCCTAGGTTCTGAGCTGCAGCACGTATGCGGAGTCTACCATCTCATAGAATTCTGCAAGTGCTAGTGTCTCTCTTAACATAGAGCTTGTTCTTTGCACAAGCCATTCTACTTTTTATTGATGAAGAAGAAGCCATAGCCACTCATTTACCATGTGGTGAGTGGGATAATTCGTGTTCAATATCTTTGGCTCACTCCATATAAAAGATGTCAAAATGCCCCTGCTGAAGTGGTATGATGCAGCTCTCTTCTATTTATATCAAGGTGATTTCCTTCGCAATATGGACTTGAAAAGTGTCCAAGCAATTCATACTTGGTATTATGTTCAACAATGTGGAAGATGCGACGTTCCGTACGTCTTTATGGGACTGTGGAATCAGAATCGCAAGAGGCCTGGGCTTAGATTCTGATAGTCAAAATATGGGAGAGACTGTCGTTGATCGCGAGGTGCAAAGGCAACTTTGGTGGACATTCGTCCTGTGCGAGGGCTTCCTATTCTAGTGAGGGCTCCATATGTCTACGAATCTGATTTTGAGGTTGAGCTTCCGGCACAACTTACAGACGAGCAGCTTCTAGTCCAGTCACAGCCTTGGAACGCTAGAGCTCGACCGATTCAGTATCATATCGCAATGATTCAGATTTCAACTATTTATCGCCGATTTCGATGTGCTCTCAGATCATGCGCCACAACACCAGATGAAGTATCCGCCCTGGTTTTGAGCTCCGATGAGTTGCCAGATCATCTCAAAGGCGAGCATAATGATCCAATACCAAGTCGTGACGAATTGACAGTGAGTCTTGGATTGCATTGCAGAGGACAATCCTCCGCGAGTCCTATTGTATTATCTCATCGTGATCAACCGAATTCTTCAAGATCAATGGGTGCAAGACCCGGACGCCTTTGCTCGAACCAGATCTATCTGCATGGAATCTGCACGAGGAATGATTGCTCTCGTCAGAAATTATGCAGGCTCTATCGTCCGCCACCGACCCTGGTATGTCTTCACGTCCTTCACACTTCATGTCTGTACTAACCTCTCAAGGGCAACTTCATTACATCCATTCTCTGCTGCAATCATCCTTGCTGTGGAAGCACGTTTTCACCCTAATGACGCCGAAGACAACTACTTTGACGACATTCAATTTTGCGTTTGATCTGCTACGGAATATTTCAGAGCGAAGTATTGTTGCGGGCAAGGCAGTTGAAATTCTAGAGGCTCAACTCTTGCATACATGAAAAATGGTTACATGATACCCAGAGTAAGATGGCGGCAGCTAGAATGGGCTCAGTAAGCCTCAGCACCAGCCAAGCGCAGATCCGGCTCTTCGAATGGCCTGTTCCTCTCATGGGGCCCTTGTCGGAGTTTCTTCTCAGTGTTTTCGAAGATGTTCGTGCGGCCAATGTGTTTAGCAGATATTAGTGTATATGTCGATGAGATTGCGCAGATAATAATGACTTACCGTTCCTTTCCTCTCTAGGAAAAGTTTGGCCTTGTTCTTGAAGTCTTCAACGGTCGCGAAAGATGCTGGCGTGTAGCAAGCGTCCATGTTACGAGACAGGAGTCCTTCTGTATCTTGTCCTAAAGTGGGAACTCACATATCAAAGCAAGCAAGTTCTGGCTTCTTGGTCGGACATTATAGTGGACTGTCCTCGAGTCCCACAATATCAAGTCGCCTGGCTCAGCGCACACTTTCATGACCTTACACCCTTTCTCCTCAAACCACTGTGTCTCAGACTCTTCAAACCCAATCCAATCGTCGGGCCCCCAAGTTTTACGTCCGGTCACATCATGAGCCCTGAAGAACTCTTCGCATAAGGCATGCGAGCCTTTCATCACAACAAGGCCGCCGTCTTCTGGTCCGTTTGGTGCGAAGTTCAAGATTCCTTGTACACACTGAAGCCCAGTGCGGTGAGGGGACTGGTCAATGTGAGGCCAGGGCTGACCTGGAGCTCTGGTGGAAGAAGGAAGGGTGAGACTCATTCCGCCAAACGAAACAAGTAGTTAGTCGGTGCCCTAGAGCTTTTCAAAGGCCTTGATCACACCTGGCCCCTATATTCATCAATACTAATATGGCGTTGGAATAACGAAGCGTGGACTTACTGGCGTGCCTCCTAGACGAAACGGCCGTGCTGGATTGATTAGCCATGGTACATTCCACCTCTATCCAACTGTCAAATGATCGGTTTTGGCATCAGCTTTACCTGTTGTGCTGGCCCAAGTCTGATCAACGAATCTGCTCATCCACGTATGCGTGGAACAGTTGCATCTATGGTCAGTCATCATTGCGGCTGCGGGGTAACAAACGTTTGACATGCTTGAAGTTCAATGTTCTCTCGTATGTGGGGGCAATAGTCAATGTCTATTTCTATTTAACTATGAAACATCCATCTGGTCAGCAATTGCGTCTGCCAAAGCTTTGTCTGCTTCCATCTTCTCGTAAGCTAAAGTTGCGTCTTGAAATCTGATTCTGGCTTTCTCATGTCGATCCTTGGCTTCCTTCTTGGTTAGTTCAGCCTCCTCGAACGCGGTCGCCGCACTGATCAACTCCAGTCGCAGAGCTTCTTCCTGGGGATCGTTTCGGGTTATCCCTTTCACACGGTGGCAAACAACTCTGCAGCTCTTCACAATCTTCCCTTCGTCTTTTTCTTCGCCCCTCAACCTTTTCTCATACACAAATTTTGCCTTCTTCCATTCATCCTCCGAGGCCACGCAACGCAGAATTCGAGTTTGTCCACCAATGACGAGAGCGGAAAGGTCTGTGAAAAAGCGTTTCTCGAACATGTTAAAGGCTCGAAGCATCAACTCCTTGTCCGTCTCGGACTCGAACTGTATGGCTCCATTTGTGATAGCATTCTTATCACGGACAAGATATTGTGCTACAACCACGTTATGAAATTGTGCCAGAGCAATGTCAATGTTGGAGACATATGCCACATTACACCGTTCTGCATAGGTCTGTATTTGAAAGATCACATCTTGCCAAGATAGACCACATGGTGTGGCGAGTTCTCCAACGTATTTTTTGTCGAACCTTCCGGAGGTGTTCCAGTGACAGACTTCTTCTCGGTTTCCCAGAGCTTGATCGCCGGGTCCTCTTCTTGCAGTTTCTCCCACACTTCTTGCCATGTGAGATTCTTGATCACTTTCTTGCTCGTTTCGTGCTTGGCTGCTGCATCTATTATTGGTTTGAGGTTCCAAGGGATGTAGTCTCCCCATCGGGACCGAATGTTATCTGCCGTGATCTGTGAGAAAGCCAAGCGTAACTTTTCGTAACAGTGATCAATCTTTGGGTCCGCCATGATTAAAATGTAGGTAAAGACGCACGAGTCTTAAAGTCGAGAAATGCAGTAAGTGTGAAAGTTAGGAAGTGTGGGTTGTATTTGGGAAGTTTATGGTTTCGCGATTTGAATTTAGACTGCCCGTTTGCACGTCACGTCACCGGAAGCTTAAAGCACTTAAGCTTTTCCGGGTGTTTTTAGTGAAGAGTGTCGAACTAAGAACCTTAAACATGATTCCTGAACTAGTGGACCTCCCAATAGCTGCCGGGAAAGTGAGGGTAAAGCCGTGATGCTCAGGTTGATTTTTGCTCTTAGTGATAATAAAGCGCCCTCAGCGCAATCCGCGCGTTTTGCGCATCTCGCGCTGCTTGCGCTTGCAGCGTCAAGATTGCTCTCCATGATGAGTACAATGGCAAGCAACGAATTCTTAGTCTAAGATCGATTTTCAAACATCCTTATATCGTCAAAGATGGCTCGGTGACTAGATGTCCCTCAATCGTCAGTCACTAAACGAATATCGCAGGTACACCGTGAGGAACGACTTTGCCTTCCAGCGAGTTGTAGGCCTATGAATCGTACGAACAGAAACATAACTCTGCTCTTTTAATCTGTTTCGACTCAAGTCCTAGCAGATGCGTGTGATAACTGTTGATTCAAAAGTCCTTGACGCACTGTTGTATTATCCGTCTTCGCCATACTTTAGACTTCAAGGCACTAATAAATCAAGAGACAGCATACTCAATATCCAAGAAACACATGGAACTTCTCAAATCGGCACTCAAATTAGCTCTAACCCCGAGACCTGCGACTTCGCTGGAGACACCACCTATGGGAACAGCTTTATCAACTCCAACCGAGACAGCGCATACTGGAAAATTTGACAGTTGTTGTAAGTGTGGGCACGAAATGGAACAACAATTATGCAAGAGGCATGATCCTGCACATCTCTTCCGCTTCGACTGTTTCGAGGTATCGAAAAGTTCGGGAACTAGGCACCAGGACTGGGACAACAGAAAATCTTTGTCGGACGAGGAAAGTGGTTCCAGAGACGGATAAGGTCGAGGTGTATGGTGAACCGTTGGGAGGAAAGGTATTTCTAGCTGAAGGGAGCCTCCAAATTCATGTTTGCCATGATGCTACATTATATCATTATGCGTGTAAAAGCCAAACTCCAATCTCGCCCCAGCATTTCATTTCTTAACAGCATGCCTTTTCCCGGTCGTCGATGTCGCTGATTTGTAGATTAGCATCTAGTGACGATTTATGGTCGAGAGGGCTTACTCAGTTGGAGAGTGCAAAGTATCTCTTGTGAATAATGCAAAGCCCACCAAAGCCCCGAATATGATGGACGTGATAATATACCCTACAGAAAGTCAATATCAAACCCTCCGAATAGTTCCGACAACCAAAAATAAATTAAGGTACATACCATTGCTATACATAAACAAAAGCATTATACAATAACTAACAGAAAACTGCACCATATGTATCAGACCCCTCAAGATCTGCTCCAACATCACCACCACCAATCTCTCCTTCCGTTCCTTCCTCAAATCGCCCCCTTCTCCTCCTTTGTCCAGTAATTTCTCTTCCATCTCTTCAGGTAAAACATATTCCTTTTCTTGTCGAACGCTTTTGCGGGCTTGCAAGTGCCGATCGAATTCTCGCTGGAATCTTCGGAGGAGTTCAAGGGATATGACGAGAAGGAAGGAGCCTAGGCAGGCGAGGAAAAAATTGAAGGAGGAGCGAATGTGGAAGGCGGAGAAGAGGAAACAGGCGTCTATTGTGTTCCAATTCAGGAGCATCTAGAAGATGTTAGCTTCTTAGGTGGAGATAGAGATGAACGTTGACTGCAGCCTTCTGCTGTCATTCCATTTTTGAAACGCCCTTGTGTTCCGAGACTTCAGATCGCTTCCTTTGATTTGAAGCATAGATGACGAGAGCGAAGTTTTTGCTTGTGAGATATTATCCTTACTGAGAGTTTGCATCCTGTGGATCCGCCCATGGACATTGCCATTGCTGTTGTTGCAGCAGATGCCGCTGCCGTGCTGGTAGCCATACTCATCACCATTGAAGTTGACGACGTAGCCACAGCAGTCACCATATCCATATCCATGATTGTCTTATCCCGTTAGTATTCGTGAAAGTGTGGTTTAGCTCGACCGAGGACAATAATGCGTTTGAAAGACAGGTAGAGGTATCAGACAATGCTCAACCATTCATCAGACGAAAGCTTAGCTCCCAATATCAAAGTATTGAGAAGCTGATGTACTACATAGAGTTCAGAGCGTAAGTTCGCGTCCCACCGCGTGGTATACATCCTCAAAAGAACTCAAATACACGCGAAGATCAGGCGTAGCATGTGAGTGGAGATGAATCAGTTGGATTGCATTATTGTTCGCAATTAGCTCGCTGATTTTAATTCTGCCTGCTTGCCTGCCTGGGCGGACACGAAGCATCTGCTGGAGAGGCTGGGCGGAGGCAAGTAGGAATGTAGAGCTCATCGTGCTCAAACATTCTCAATCTCGGCGCAGCTCGGCTCATCACACGATGCTTTACGCTTTTGCTCCGATCAGAAAACAGCTTGAGAGCTGAAGGAGGTTATGGGAGGTGATGACAATAAACTTCCTCTTTTGAAATGTCATGTAGAAGCTCTGTATGATGGGAAGAAGAAGTTCCGTTCATGGCTGGAACAGACAATATGAAAGTCTTCGTTAAGCAACTACTTTCCGAGAAAGGACTGGGTCTGGGATCTAGGATTCAAGCTACTTTCCTAAGCACTAGAGATTATCTTGAAATCACCTTCAAACAAGAGACAATTTGAGGCTTCTCCTTCAGTTTCGCCGCTCCGTTCGGCTGACGATCCCGCACACAATATTGTTTACGAGGCGAGATAGCTGCAAGGTTTTGCACCCGTCGGTCAAGATGCAAGAGGATAAATCTAAACAACACACCGACCCCTGCCCCAGATTCGCCATCATAGCTAGATGCCTCGAATTACTCCTTCCGTTCCTCTGTATCTGGATATGGACCTTGGATCCGAAAGGCGCATCGCGAAAGTTGCTCTGGTCGGAAGGCGCGTCGAGGCTCCTGAACTCCGACCCGTCAAATGCCATATATTTCTATTCAAACCAGACCGAGACCCCTGAAGTTCCGTACATCTGGTCCGAGAAGTAAATAAACTTATGTACAATGTCTTTCTCGGCAGTCTGTTGACAAGTTTACCAGATTGGCTAACGCCAACGTTATGGTCATCATGGGCACAAGTATCATTGTCGTCTTGAGAGCAGCGTTCCATACATCGAATAGATTCAACACCAAACGTATCGATCTGACTCTCAACATCATACTATTGCCGCTTTGGATTGCTTGCCTGGTTGGACAACAATCTTCGGACTATTCAGACCCGCATCACCGAAGTCGCTTTCCTTGGTATCTTGTCTCCAGTAAGTGAATCTTAGAAATATGCCTTCAACGGCCTTTCCTTAGTCCTTGGAAACATTTCCTCTTTGAAAAGAAGACCATACTGATTGAAGGTCCGTCAGGCTGTTCTTCTGCCCATTTAGGAGCTCGAAGCGCTTGTCGAAATGCTCAACTCACATTCGCTTTCACACTCTTGATGGCGTAAGCCGTTCTCAGACCCCACGCTCGGGATGTCTTCATTAACATTTCTCTAGGCTTCTTTACGGAACTTGGGTCATGAAGACCATTGTATCCGAGATTCGAGATTTCATCAACCGTCGCAGATACCAACAGATCATAGAGCTTCCCTAATGCGCATTTGATTGGCCATTAGGAATGTATAATGATAAAAGACAAGATAAAGCTTCCGAAAAACACGGTGCTTCACCTATGTCAGGCTCTGGCTGATTATGTTCGACCGTGACGCATATGCCACCAATGATTGCGTGATAACATCCTCAAAAGGGTAAGGAACACAGAATACTCAGCTGGACTAGAAACTATTGCCAACTTCTGTCTCCTGGGCCAAAAATTCCACGAACATGTTGTTGGATGAGGTCGGAGAATTAATTTTGACGTGGCCAGTGGCACAAGCCGAAATTAGCTCAAACGAGCTCAAGTGAGCACATTAGCAAACGCTTCCCCGTGCTGAACACTCCATCATGGCTGGAAACTTGCTCTCATTCTTGGCGTTCATATCGGTTATCTATCAAGGTTCGGACGAAGGAGTAGCGCAAATACTCTTCATCGTCCCTGTCCCTGAGCCGTTTTCTTTCAAACATCTGGATTTCCAAGCATTCTTGCTGCCTTGCCAGTTCCAGACCTCTTTAAAGACGTTTTGATCCACTCCTCACTGAGTGTCATAATCGAGAAAAGCTTGTATATTGTGATGACTTTAACTTTATCGACAATTAACGTTGACTTTTGACGTTCTGGTCCTAAGCCAAATACAATATGCCACTCATCAATGGATGCAAGTACTCATGGTATTCATTGTTCTTATAATTGAATCAAGAGACACTATGCTCTCCAAGATGCGAGCTTCACGTATGCCGGGAACTAACATTCTCTTAGTGAGCCATGCATTCGAGGTCACCGCGCTACATCTTGCGCTCACACGGATCGAATTTTGATAGAGGTACGAAAACCTGGGAGACCACTTGAGAGTTGCGGGCATAACCTGAATACTTGCCAATGCGGAAGACTTGCAGAGTCATTTCTCGTAGGTGATGGTGCGAATTCTACTCTCGTTCTGCCCATCGATGCCATGCTTACCCCACACAGTGATTCCCAATCCGACAACCCCGCAACAGCTCGGAGCAGAACCAGACCTCAACTTCATCGTCACGACACCTCCATCTCTACCATCCGCATCCTCGAGAACTTCAAGCCGAGCCGGCAACAAGTCGAAAGTCGTCAAGAAGAGCTCTTCTCGGAAGAAAGCCGAAACGTCCTTGGCGTCTCCGCCTCGGAAAAGGGGCTCTCGCGAAACATCCACATTGATCGACGATAACACGGACACTCGAAGCTACAGTACCAGTACAATGACCTCGTCTCCTGGTATCCAAGATTCGGAATATGGGTTTCAGCAGCAAGATCAGAGAAGCTTCCAAGCACCACCTATGCAATATCTTCCGCCGATGATGCATGATGATTACTTGCAGTATCAGGGGATGGGAAACATTGGTCCTCAGACGGGAATGGGCTACGATTTTCCGCCGCAGCAGCAGCAGTACCAGGGCCCGTCGCCAGATTATTCGAGTAGAATCGAGGATGTAAGGAGAGCGCCAAGTGAACAGGATCAGGAGGGCGAGGGGACGGAGGTTAGATCGCAGTATATTGTTGCTTCACCAGATAGCATTTGGAGGGCTGCGCCGCAATAACTTGCTTTTTTGGGTAGCTGTGGATGTACAGAAGTTCCAAGGAGGTCTTTGAATGTCGTTTGGGACTGCGGCGATTGAGACTCGAGAAGAGCAATTACATGAGGAACTTTGATGGCGGCTAAATTTGGGTCGAAGCGAGGCAGTTCACATTTTCAAATAGTTTGACAAGCAAGGTATGGATGGCATGCATAGGCGACTTTGGTTTGGTTGACTAGCCTACCTAGCTCCCAGAGGAGTAGTTGCAAGCGGCACCCAGGTCCAAGAGCGGGCAATTCAGTCAAGTGTCAAGTAGCACTCTCTCAAACTTGAAAATATCGCCTATGTGCAATGTGATGATACATTGTTTGACGTGCTATACATGGTATATATGTAAGCCGGCTATCTCGATGTGTTCGAGACATTTCGTAGCCCAATGACGCTAAATTCAAAAAGTCGCTGCACCAATGCACATTTCCATGTAGACTCAAGAAGCTTCACCTTCTTGTTGGCCATCATCGTCATCCGGCTCGATTGATTCTTTGACACCATTGTCGCCATTCGTAACAGGGGCTTGACCAGTTTTTGCCAACCGCTCGGCTTCTTTCTTCTCTCGGAGTGCCTCAGTCTCTTGCCGTAGCTTCTCCATGTTCCAAGCATCATCGTCCTCATCACCACCTTCATCGTCGTCCTCTTCGTCTCCACTGAATTCCCAGTCTCCCTTCTCGAACATTGCACGGCCCGTTGCTTCCTTGGCGGCAGCTGCTTGTGCTTCGGCAGCTTTCTTGTCCATACGTTCTGCTTTCCATTTCGCGAATGTTTCTGGAGTGACCGGCGTGAGAGTCCCAGTGAGCTTGTGTCGTTCTGATTCCAAGAAGTCTTCTAAGGTAAGTGTTTTGAGTGGTGATTTATCCATAAGAGCTTTCTCGGCAGCACGTTGCTCCTTTGTCTTCAGAACGAAACTAGAAAATCATTAGCTAGTGTCAGGCATTCGGGTGTACGAACATACCCAGGAGGTAACTTGTGCTGGTACATGCACTTATCTCCATCATTCGGACATGTCCAAAACCAACCATATTTTCCTTCCTCGACGGCTTCTATGAAGAACTTGCAGACCTTGTCGGTGGTAGTCTTCTGGTTTCCCTTCTTCGACAACACAACCTGCCTCAGCTTCTCTTCGTCCCAGTCATTGGAAGTCTCTTGTTTCTTCTTCTCCTCTTCGGCCTCCCGAGTATCTTGGTATAAATCTTTTTTCTCCGTTTTCCGCTCGACGTTCAAATCGTGTGAAAACTTGCACTTCCGCCCCTTCTCGCAGTGACCCTTCTTGTAGAATTGACAGAGCACCGTTTTGGGATCGACACCGAACGGGACCTTCTGGACTTGTACCGGCTTGAACAGTTCCATGGCTTCTTTCTTTGCGGCCTCGGATGCAGCCTTTTCTCGCTCCTTCTGGGCTTTTTCGGCCTGTCTCTTCTTTTCCTCAGGCGTTCCCCCGGCTTTGGCAGACTGGGTCATTCGCTCGATTTGTTTTTGGGTTTGTGCTCCCTTCTTATTTTTCATACCAAAGGTCTTGTCTTCCACAATCTTCGCGGCTGAGGGCTTCTTGCCGCCTCCAGCACCTTTGTCGACCTTTTTGGGAGGCATCTTGGCGGTAGCGGGTCCCTTGGGCTCGTAAGAATATATCCGATGGGGGCGATTGCGTGATAGTAATATTTATTCAAGTGTGCCGTATTCCAATATGCAGAAAAGACCGTGAGGGAGTCGTCAGTAGATGCTCAAGTGACTTGGAGAACTTGAGTCGATTGAATAGCGAAATGCACGATTTGGTGGGGTGAAGTTTAACTGGAGGTCTAAGCGATACGCGCTAAGGAAATACGGCTCCAAGCCTCAAAGCTGGCCTCATTGAAATCGCGAGACATTTACTGAATACTGAAGACTTCAATTGACCGGCCGTCAAGATTGCCACTGGTAAGTACCTGCTAATGATAATTGATGCCATCCCTTCAAAGGCACTGAGCTAACTTGTTGTCAGCTTCTCTAAGAGCACCGCGCATCCTCGAAGCACCCATTACGTGGCTTCTCAGAGCTTCCCAAGAGCATACTCCCTTCACTTCCAGTTGTGCAGATTTTCCGCAGACAAGATGATATCCGACGACGAACTCTACCGACTAGCAATCTTCCTCGGCTCAATTGCTATGCTCCTCATTATTCTCTACCACTTCCTCGAGATCAACTCTGTTGAAGAGCCAGCGACGGACAGCAAGGGCAAGGTCACTACAGGTCAAGCAGAAGTCAAAGCAGCATCAATAGGCAGATGAGGGATGGTAGACAAGGTGGAGGTGACATTGTAAGACGAGAAGAAGGTCGCGGTGATTCGAGGAGGCACATTTGCGACATCGACGGATCTCTGTGTTGGCATTATCGGCGTTTACGGGACTGGACATCATGGGATGTATAAGAGAGCACCATTTGGTTGCTGGCAAAAGTTGCAATCGATATTGGTGCGGAGATCTGGACTTTGCTCGTACTCAACGGAGTGAAGTTCTCCTTGAAACTGTATACTACCAGAATTGAAGGCAATTTACCTGAAAGACAATTGATTACGGATTCGAACAAACTTAAATCACTGTGATCTTGAAGGCTTAATGACCCACTAGAGCTCGAACATCGATAGGCAAATGGTGAATATCTACGTAGCTGTAAGGGGCTTTGCACGTGACAGTTGATGACTCAATCGGGCACTAGCGCGAAAACCGCGCCCAGCCCTTCCCCTAGAACCTTTCGCAAGGTCGCAACTTCTGCCTTCCTCCATCCACCAACACCACAACTCAACATACCAACGTCTTCTTTAATTCTCCATCCACTCTCTCGGATACTCTTCTTCAAAGTCTTCAACGCGCGCTTCATCAACCAACTTCGATAGCCGCACGGTCACCTTTTCCTTTGCCATATTCAAGTCGCGTTTCGCACGTCAGCCTCATTCCTCCACAGGCAAACACGCGATACAGCGCACCAAAGTTAGAGTCAGCTAGCCTTCCTATCCATCGCGCGGAACTTGATCGACCTACTATCGATCGCTGCCCTGCCTTCTACTGCTGATCCTAACGATCCGATTGTCAGTCAGCTACTCACTTTCACATCAAACTCAAACCAAACAAAAACGAACACCTTCAAGATGTCTGGAAAGCTTGACAAGTCTCTCGATGAGATCATCTCCACTCAGCGCCGTTCCTCCGTCAGAGGCCGTGGTACCCGCCGCACTCGTCGCCCTGGTGCCAGCAAGCCTGTCGCTGTTGCCCCAGTCGGTGGAATCAAGAAGAACCCAAGACAAGCCAAGGGTGCTGCCAAGGCAGTCCCAACTGGTCCATCAGGAGGAAATACCGAGGGCAGAATTCTTGTTAGCGGATTCGTAAGTCACAAAGAGTATGATCATGTTGAACAATCACTGACGCGCTTCTAGCCCAAGGACATCACCGAGCCCATGATTAAGGTATGTTACCGTTGAGGCTTTCAATGCCTTTGGACTTTCGTCATCGAACTATTCCATCCATACCGAAGTTGTATACCTGCGGGGTTGTCAGGAGTGTATCGCGCGTTAATGTCGATTTGACATCGCGCTTGGCGCAATGCCTCATCAGGACAGTCTCCTCTTCACTTTTGCTTGGGAATTCCAGCGCAACTGTGGATAGTAGTTGAGCTAGTCATAGTCTTGCATTTAGCCTCTGATTACCACATGTTGCCTGGCAAGCTCATGAATCATTGATGGCGTAGACTCACAAGAATGATGACGGTGTATGTTTCAGGCTTTATGCCTCAGATACCGCGATGGCTGAATTTGTGTGGGAGAGTATGAGCAAGCAACAGCGAGCGCAGCAGTGAAGCAAGCAGCACAGCATAGCACATACGAGCCGCGAAGGCAAACACCATAGCGGCCCTCCTAAGAGAAACCAGCCACAATCATAATTGGCTCTCAACTCCAGCACCTTTTCGATTCGAGAAGCACAATCGGTGTGCCTTGGGCCCGAGGTGGGCAACAGCATCAATTTGCAGTCCAAACTGGCAAAGGCAGGCACAACGCGGACTCCCTCCAGGAGCTTGGATTCGTAACGGTGGATTGGCAGTGCGGACCTGGATCAATACCACCCTCTCACCTCCCATTTTCGACACTGGAGTTGCTGACGACTTTACTAACGCTAACTGCTCGCTCGCTGTTGTTGGAGGCTCCTGTATAATGTCGATGGGCTTCGTCCGTTGACTATATTTCTTTTCGTACCGAACGTCGACGTCGAGATTCACGCGATTCCTATGAGATAAACGATTTTCAGTACACTAATCAAACCTTGGGATAAATAGGAGTACTTCGGCAAGACCATTGGACCAGTCAAGAGAGTCGAACTTTCATATGGACCGGGAGGACAGAGTCGTGGCATTGCAACCATCATGTTTGCTCGTTCCGAGATGGCTACTAAGGCTGTCAACACTTGCAATGGCATCCCCGTTGATGGCAAGCCTATCAAGGTTGAGATGATCATTGATGCCAACCTGGCCAAGGCTATCCCAGCTCCAAAGGGTCTGAGCGAGCGCATTACGTACGTTACTCCATCCTCAGTCCTGCATCCCTTGACTAACAATTCAGTAGACAGCCAAAATCTCAACCCAAGTCGGCCGCCAACACGAAGAAGACCGAGACCGCAACCCGGGGAAAGGCTGCTCGTGGCCGTGGAGGAAAGGCAGCTCGCAATGCACGCCCCGCCAAGAAGACTGCCGAAGAGCTTGACTCTGAGATGGTTGACTACTGGAACAACGGTGCTGCAGCTACTGAGGGTGAAGGTGCTGCCAATGGTGCTGGTCAGGCTGCTGCTAATGGCGATGCCAACATGGACGATGATATTTTGGTGAGCTCACCTGCCGATTCTTCACAGATCCAAAACTAATTTCATCAGTGAGCATTTCACCCCACAAAAGAGTGTTATGAGGAACGGGAACAAGAACGGTATCTCACACTTTACCTGGTGAAAAATCGCAACAACACTTCTCTTCCGACATTGAGATTACTGTCTTTGTATTACTGCGATCGTCTCCAAATCTCGCTATGAAGGAGGCTTTTTACATTGGGATGGGTGTGGGGGATAATACTTCGCACTGCAACGGCCATTGACGCCAAATCCAGACTGTACCAGGAATCGCATAGGGGCGTTACTTGCAGCAGAATGCATCATAGTCATTGCACAAATTCAAGTCCACATCAAGGCCAGGAGTGAGACTGTCATTTGGTTGTGAAACTCGGCACCTTTCTGTTTAGCATTGGCCAATACTTGCACCTCTACCGTGACATCTCTCATTTCAATACATACCTCAAACATGATAATATCCATGCCATCCCCTTCTAGCCTCGAGATGAGGCTCTCTCCTCCATTCATAGTCACAGCCACAATCACTCCCGAAATGTAACATACACTAAGAGTGAATCCTCACTTGGTCCTTCTCATTGGTCTTCTCTCCTTGCCATTAGATCTTAGGCTATCTTCCTGGCATTTTAGCTACGGGTATAGTTCCGCTTCCAGTTTGGGGCCCGTTGTTAAAGCTGGCGCTTAAAGCATGAATAAGCATGTGATCGTGCCTTTTCACCGAGGCTCGGCCGGGATTACTGGGAGAAGGTTTGTCAAAGGTGCAGGACGGGAGGGATGATGTGTCGGGGTGCAGTAGGCGGTTGGTGATCCCCCGCATTTTTGTTGCGTTTTTTATTTTGGGTTTGGAGTTGAAGAGCAGTTTTTTTGCGGGCTCTGGGTTTTTTTCTTGGGGAGGTGATGCCAAGAGTATGAGATGAAGGTCGAGGCGAGATCGATCGTTCCTGGGGTATTGTGACGCTGAGCCTCGGACGGGATCTAGTGTCTAGTTCCTGGTTGGATCTCGATGCTTGGATTGCGGATTGGTGGATGGCGAAGATTGGTATCACGTCCCTGCGAAGCTCTAGTTCACCATTCGTTCGTGATGGTGGTTGGGTTACGGAAAGGGGATGTGATCGCCCATGCTTGGAGTTTTTGGGGTCGGTGTGAGGTGCTTATTGGAGGATCGTGCAGATTTGTTGTGTTGTTTGTCGGGGTGTTTTTTTTTGAGTTCCTTTGGGGCGAAGAGGGGTGGGGTTACGTGAGGGAGGTGTACTTAAGAGGCACGATTGAAGGATCAGGCTCGGAGGAGATGCCTGCTTGAAGATTCGGGTCATGTTGAGTTGAGGTTGTGACCTTCTTTTCCCCGCAATTTGGAAGTGCCGTTGATATTCTTTCTCTGATAGTCATTCTTTATATACGTTTGGTGTGGAAGGGTTTGGATATATAAACTGTCGTTTTTGCTGTTATTTGTTTGCTTGTTCGAAGGAGAGATAGAGAGATCTTTTATACCTGCTTCCTTTCTGGGACAAGGAGAGACTTGCGCTTGCATCTCTAAGGTCACTTCTCGAGCTTTGATTAATATCCTCAAGCTTCCTGCTCCTTGCCGGTACTGGACAACCTCCTCAAGATGCGTCTCTCTGTTTGGGCAACGAGTCTCTCCCTCTTCACGCTCACATTCGCTTCTCCATTCCCTGTTGCCGTCTCAACACTTCAAGACAGAGATCTCATTGAGAGGAACACTCCCCTTAACGAATTCCTCACAATTCTCCTCGATAATATCCCAGATAGTTAGTTAATCCCCCTTCATCTCCTCAATTTTAACATCCACCTTTCCCGCAATCTTCTCCCTCTTCTTGAAGCATCCACAAACTAACGTCCCCAGTATCTGGCGATATCTCCGACGTCGTTGGCGTCCTAACAGACTTCGAAGCCCTGCTCGCCGACCTCACAGGCGAACAAACTACCTACAACGAACTCGGTTCCTCGGCTTGCGCTGAATATACCGTTATATTCGCCAGAGGCACAACAGAGCCCGGAAATGTAGGAATCCTGGTCGGGCCCCCGTTCTTCGAAGCGCTGGAGAGTGCTGTTGGATCAGGAAATCTGGTTATCCAGGGTGTGAACGATTATAGCGCTAGTATCGCTGGGTACATTGAGGGCGGAGATCCTACTGGCAGCGCGGAGATGTGAGTGTTTTGCCTTTTTTTGAAGTCCGTAGTGTTGAGCTTTTGATCATTGAGGAAGGATGGTTGGGAATTAAACACGGAACAGCAGCTGATGAAGTGATACAGGGCAACGCAAATCGAATCTGCATACAGTTTGTGCCCAAACACGAAGCTAATCGCAAGCGGCTACTCGCAAGGCGGACAGATAATCCATAACGCTATTGGAGAATTACCTGCCGATGTTGCGAGCTGGATCTCGAAGGTGGTTATCTTTGGTGACCCAGGTATGTTTCCTTCTCTTTCTCCATCTTGAAGAAGGAAGATGAGAAGCTAATGAGAAACAGATGATGGACAAGCACTACCGAACGTAGATGCGAGTAAGGTGGATACTTACTGTCATGTCGGAGACGATATTTGTCTTAATGGAGATCTGATCTTACCGCCTCATTTGACGTATGCTGAGAATGCTGCGGCTGCTGCTGCTTTCGTTGTTTCTTGACGGAAACATGAAGATCGAAAAAATGTTGGTTGTTGTAGCAGACATCATTGAAAAGCTCTATGATCTTGATTGCACATAATTCACTTAGTGTATTTAGTCTTGATAAGCTTTGCTCTTGATTTGTTGTGGATCATTAATCCAGGACTCCAGAATGCTAACTCGGGTGGTATTCCCCAAGATCAAATTTACAGCTGTGAAGAAGGAAGTTTAGACATGGAAGCATTCAAGGAACATTAATGCATAGCTTGGATGCTAAGTGAACGGAAATTGAACGATAGTACAGCACGTGACTCGAACCCCATCCTGCATTCCATTCATAAACCTTTCGTCGAGTGTATTTCAACCCTGATCAGGAAATATTCAGCGTGCAGTCAGTCACCAACAGGCTCTGTAATTGCTGTTGCCCGATCTCGGAATGGGGATTGGAAGCAGTCTCACGTGAGTCAATATCCTGGTCACAGATCCTCTTGGCAGGGACAATGCATCTTGTTTATCAAACATCAGACCAAACATCAGAACTCGAAACCTCCCCAACCCCACGTGTGTTGAGACAACCAACCAGATTGACAGTCCGGGGTCCACGAAGGCTCGAGAGCTGGATGTTCGTCTAGCACCATGAAGAATCTCAAGTGCTCCTGTGTTTCGAAAAAGACAGCGCACGTGTGCATGTTGGACGTTCGAATCAGCGTTCGAACTATTGGATGGAACACTGCAAAAACCCACTGCAAAATACCCAGATGTGCCCCGCTGGTCCAGCTTTCTCATCGCTTCACTCTTCTGGCTTCAGGGGTCACTTCTAGGGTGTTCAGCTCTACCGGTCCAGCCTGCGTTAGGCCTGTCATCCGCTGCAATGCGCTGTGTGAAAAAAGGGTCCAGAGCGTCTAGCACTGGTGACACTCCAGACCCAACTTCGTATATCACATATATCGCTCATTGATTTGATTTTAAGACTTCATCGGGCTGGTTTCGATGGTTTCTACACGTTCTTGTCGTTCTTGATACAGTTTTCTCCTTTCGTTCAATTTTCAGGTTGCAGAGATGGGAATTAAGGGTCTACAGAATGTATGGGGGAAGAAGGGAGATGCGGACGTGGCGATTACGCCAGCCGTCGAAAGAGCTGACGACCACCTTGAAGCGCCAACCGGATTGGAACAAAGCAAGCAGTCTTCTCTCAAGGCGAGATACTCACGCTTCAAAGTAATCTTTTTCGAATCCAAAGCTGTGCGAATATCCTGTATTGTACTTTTCGTTGCTCTGTTGGCGCTTTTGGTCGTAGTTTTGGCATATACACAGACTCGGCGGCGGCGGCCTATCACGACTCATCCCAGTACTGCATTTGTTCATACTCCAATTCAGCCTGCTTCGTATCCTTTGGCAGTACGATCTCCGTATCTTTCAACATGGATTCCAGGAGGCTTGGTCGCGAATCTCCCATATGCCTCTCCTCAATTCTGGACTGGTGCGACACTGGGATGGAGTATTATGGCACGAGTGGACAACATCACTTACAGTCTGATGGGAGTTCCTCAGCCTGCCAATGGGACTTTAGCTGCTAAAGTACTGAAGGGAGAATTCACATCGACACATACTTACTTTACATTGGATGCGGGAGGATCGAATTTGACCTTGGATTTTTTATCGCCGGTGTCTCCATCAAATTATCTTCGACAATCATTACCCTTCAGTGAGTATTCCAAATTATTTAGAAGATGGTGTTGCTAATGTCGCCAGGCTATCTGACGATTACGGCCTCAAGTACGAATGGAAGCACTGTCCAATTGTACACAGAACTCGACGATTCATGGACTGGTCAGGACGCCGACACAACATGGAACTTCACTAGCACCACAAACACCTCGATGTTCTCGATGTCCGCTGTCGGTACCGCCACCTACTCACAACAAAACCAACAAGCACTTTGGGGAGATGTGATCCTTGCTTCGAGACCGTCAAACTCTTCCACACTGAGCATTCAGGCAGGAGGCCGTGCGGCAGTCCGCCAAGCCTTCGCAAGCTCTGGGAGCTTGACTGGAACAACGCCAGACTGGACAGCCAATGGAGTCATCGGAATGGCTCACGATCTTGGTAACGTTCAAGGAGATGAAGCTGTGACATTTGCCGTGGGATACGTTAGAGAGGATGCCATCAACTATCTTGGAAGGCCATACACGGGATACTATCGAGCAACATATCCGAACACAATTGACGCTGCCTCATACTTCTTAAACGACCTTTCAGCTGCCGAAGAAGAGTCTTTACGACTTGACTCCGATGTCGTGAGCAAGTCAACAGCCACAGCAGGCTCCAATTACTCGGACATTGTCTCCCTGTCAATGAGGCAAGCTTACGGTGGAATTGACCTCGTAATCCCCGCCAATACAACCAATACCAGTCAAGTCCTCGCATTCATCAAAGAAATCTCCAGCGACGGTAATGTCAACACCCTCGACGTGATCTTTCCCGCATTTCCCATCTACTGGGCCATGGATCCAGAATGGATTCGGCTTCTTCTCGACCCAATTCTCCAGTACCTTGCTACAGGAGCCTGGAAACGAGCCTGGGTAATTCACGACATTGGTTCCAACTACCCAAACGCAACTGGCCACGACAATCAAGACGCTGAGCAGATGCCTGTAGAAGAAACCGGGAACCTTATGATGCTGGCCTACGCTTACGTCCTCGCAAGCAACAACACAGCCTGGGCAGACCAATACATGACTCTCTTCCAAACCTACGCCGACTACCTAGTTTCCCACAGCCTCAACATCTCTCTTCAGCTCTCAACCAACGATGCCGCTGGCCCATTGGTGAACGAAACCAACCTCGCCGTAAAAGGCGCTCTTGGGCTAAAAGCATTCGGCCTTTTGTCAGGAATGAGCAATTATTCCTCACTAGGCGATGCGCATGCGAATCTTCTCTACACTCAAGGTCTCGCAACTGACGCCGCCAAAACACATTTCGCACTAACCTACCCATCCGCTCCATCCACCTGGAAAGTAACCTTCAACCTCTACCCCGACGTCCTCCTCAACCTCTCCACCTTCCCCACCGCCGCCTACAAAATGGAAGATACCTTCTACCCCACCATCCGCGCTTCCGGTGGCGTAGCCCTTGACGACCGTCAATGGTGGGCGAAATCCGACTGGAACATCTGGGCAGCAGGGACCGCTTCCGCGTCGGGAAGCAACACGACTCGAGACATGATGGTGAATGATATCTGGGCGTTTGCTAGTAATGGGATGAATTCAGCGCCGTTCTCGGATCGTTGGGTTGTCAGGGCTGCGGGGGCGCCGCGTCCCGTTGGGAGGGAGTTTGGGTTGAGGGCTAGGCCTACTGTTGGGGGACATTTTGCGCTTTTGGCATTGAAGGGGATGAGGTATTTGAATTGGTGATGTGCCTCCGTTCGTAGTGGTGATCTTGTACTTGACAAAAGCGGTTTGGCGCTCTGGAGTTTTGGGAGTATTGATTTCGTGGGAAATAGAGGACGGTGAAAAGACGGCAGAGTAGAATATATGGGCCTACGAATTATGTATAGCTAGGTAGTACCGTAGAGCTCATCCAAGAGTATTCACAAGAACATACCTTATATGGCAAAATATTCTTCAGAGAACACGCATTTTTCTCCAATGTCGCATTGCCGTGATCACAAGCTGTACAAAAAGGAAGACCTTCCACAAGCCTGGCAACAATCAGTAACGCTACGCCGGAATCAACACACCTCCTTCTCCTTCACATACTCCAAATCGCATACCATCATCCACGTCCTCTCAATGGTGCAGCATTCAGGAGCGAAGGCTAAAGCATGACTAAGCAGCCGAGGCATCGACCCGAGGAAGGCGCGCGTCGTGATTTTGACATCGTTTTTCGAGCAGAGCCAGGCTTGCAACTTCTCTGTTGCGAGGCATGGGATGAGAAGTAGAGGGAGAGAGAAGGTACGGATTAAGGGTTGTGGGTTAGTTGATGATACATTTGGAGTGCAGCAAGTGCTGATGGTTGTGTGCTAGGTGTGTTGATGCGTGGCATCGGTGCGAAATCCCGGGAAAAAGATGGTGAATGGTTGGGATGTGGCGTCTTTGAGTTGAGTAAAGAGGAAACTTTGCTCGGAAAGTGTTTGGTTGATTGCGAGTCGGCGTGGGAGTTGCGATTGAGAGATGCTCTTGGAGTGAGAAGGTAGGTTGTGGTGGTCATGGGTAGAAGTTTCTGCCCAGATTGCATGATGGCGCGTTAGATTGCGTTTGTTAGAGTTATGCTTTTTGATGTGTTGCTTTCTTCTTAGTGTGCTGTTACGCTCACTTGCTGCCTGTTGTTCAGCCATGTTACCTTGAGCAACTCAAAGTCATGGGGGTGTAGCTGCAATGCTTTGGCTCTTGTCTAGCATGTCTGTTGCTTCCTGCTGTAGGAAACATCCAAAAAGAGTCGGAAGCGTCACTCAAATTTTATGATAGGGAGATTTTCTTCTGCAGAAGTGTCCACTTTTCGCTTCGCTGTTGATGTTAGCTCCTGAATGTTGCGTCGACTTTGAGAAATCATGTGAGTATGATGTATAATCATATCAGCGGTGCATATGCTGCAGTTAAGTAACAAATATTGAGGATCCTTGCATTCGTTTGGATAGACTATCTTCAGCCTCATCCCAGAGACGGTGTTGGCAGGCGAGCCTCGTCTCAAGATTTAGGGGTAGTCTCGCTTAACTTGCATCAAAGGAGAGACAATATGCATTGGGTAACGAGGTCGTCGGTTACAAAGTAGCTTTCTCGGCTTTTTGGCCTTGAGAGGCGGCTCTTCTTATCAAGTTTCGGTCTAGATTCTCAGCACTCCAGCTTTGCTCAGATAACTCAATCTTCCTAACCACCATTGACGGAACGAGGCTCTGGAAAGGACAAGGCTTCCTAAATCGAACCACTCGCTTGCTACTTAAGAGCCGTCGAGGCCGATATCTGCTAAGCCTTAGCGCCGATCTGCTTGCCTCCTCTCTCCCTTCTCCTCGTCTTCTGCCTCAACGTCTTCTTTCCTCAACTTCTTCAAACCCGCAACCTTTTGTCTTCAACCTCCAAAGTCTTACCACTCTTCAACCTGTTACCAGTTCCTCTCTTGCTTCGATCTATTGACTACCCTTTGAGCTATAACTCAGTTCTTTGCAACTGGAGTTGAATTACTACCTCAACCTCGAAGCTCCATCACAACCTCCTCGCCGATTCGCCTTCACAAGCCACCCTACCTCTTTCGATCTCTCACCCAAACCTCCAGTCTTCATATCCGTACCTGTTCCCTTCAACCCCGGATTGATATGCTCAGCAAGACTCTCAACAACAATATCTAAACCCAGCAATATGGACTTCGATCATCCTCCAGACCCAGGATCTTCCTTCTCAGGAGGCGCTGAGGATCAAGGTACGTCAACAAACCTTCTTTGCGTCTTCTTTTCAAGCTCCAATCCCCTCAGCAATATCTCACCTTTGTCATCTTGCTGTTCTCCAAGTTTTCTTGAAATTTTCGTCTTCAGATGTTACTTGTGCTTTCTTTGGAGGGGTCAGCTCTCGAGCGGAGCCTGCACCATCGACTCATCATGCAATTTTGCTCAAATGCCCCTGAATTCCTTTCCCTAGGCTCAATGGATCTTTGTGTTATCTGTCATAAGCTATTTTTTGAGTTGTTGGACTATGATACTGTCTATGCTCTCATTGAAGCCTCTGAGTCTTTGCAGTCTCGTCATCTTCTGAATCGTCTGCTTAACCACACTCGGAGCCTTCTGGATTTCTCTGAAAAGAGACTCCACGCCAAGTTGGCTGTTTCCTGTCCTCGGGTGGAACATTTTACTGGTTGCGTGAGCTATGCTCGGCACCGCTATTGTAGCATTTCTGGCACACTGTTTCGTTGTGATACTCGTTTAGAAGATCATGCTAACATCAACGAGCAGGATTCGACGACACTATGGACGTTGATAGCCCATCTAGAATCGCCAAGACTACATCATCACGATCTCCTCACGACGTTGCTGAGGATTCGAACCTCATCAAAGAAGAGGCTGCTGATGGTTCTGTCTCGATGCAGGAATCAGATACGACAGCAGACTCGGAGCAGAACGCTCCTGCCTTGATTCCAGAAGCATCGTCCATAGCCATGAGCGAGTTTCTTCGGGCAAAGCAAAAGATGCTAACACCCTCCTCCCTCCGAACCCGCCCAGTCCAGACATACTCCCGTGCCATCAACCGAAGCTCCGGACGAAGCAGAATGTCGGACAGGCGAGACATCTTTAATGCATGAGAATGATGTCAAGCAGGAGGTGAAGACCGAGGATGAGCCAGAGTTATCACCACCGAAGAATCACGCCAATAACAAGGATAAGGCCCCAGAGGATAACAGCCGTGTGCAGTCTGTGGATTTGACTGGTGACACTGATAGTGAAGCAGAAATTGATCTCACTGGACAGGATTCAGACGAGGATGATGACTTTGAGTTTATATCCTCTCGAGCTCTATCGCCCGGAAAACCAGAGGGCTCATCAATGCAAGCCGAAGACGTGGAGATGCAAGATGGACTGGAATCAGATGATCAGAGAGCCCCCTTTGTCTCTGGTGATGAGAACGAAAACGGGAGTGGTGGAGATAGTGATGGACTTTTTGTGGCTGGAGAAGACCCCGCCGATGACAATGGCGCTGGTCCTTCTCGATCGAAATTCAAGGAGCCCAAGAAAAAGCAGAGTCGGAGAGGGCCAGCAAAGATGCCCAGTGATTATCATGAGAGACAGCACGATGATGCACGCAAGAATGGACGAACAAAGACCGTTTGGCCAAGAGTTGGCGAGCATATGCGCAGTGGGGTAAAGAAGAATACCAACCGAAAATCATCCAACAAGCAAGCAAGAGGCACGGATGTGCAACAACTGCTCCTAGCTCAATACGCCACTCACGATTTCGCTCCACAGAATGAGGAGGAAGATGTTGATGGCGACGAATTAGATGACCTCGACCCCTCACTGGCCTCAATCCTAAAAACAACAAAAAAGGATCGCTTTACCCAATTGCTGGCGAATTCTGCAGATATTGATTTGCGTAGAACTAAAGCCACGATCAAGGACCTCAAAGAGTTGTGCAAGAGCTTCGGATTGGGAAGAATGAAAGCTGTTGGTAAGAGACACTGGCAGCTGAAGGGCATGACGGCTGGTGAGTATTTGATTCCTTCTTGAGTTTAGTTTTCCTAGATGCTAGAGACTGATCAATTCGTGAAGTTATTCCCCATCATCAAATGATGGGGGCTGCTTGGATGGCCAAGCAAGAATTATCTCGTAATGGCCCTCGTGGTGGGTTGTTGGCTGATACTATGGCAAGTTATAATGTGATGGGGTGTCTTAACCATGTCAACCTGCTAATAGATCTCTCAGGGATTGGGAAAGACTGTGCAAATCATCACGGTGTGTAACTGAGTTCATGATGAGAGGCATCAAAGCTTATTTATTTTCTAGCTTTGTGTTGCAAATCCTCCACCACCTAGTACCCCTTCTGAGCAGAGACAGATACTTATCATCGTGCCGCCAGGTATTGTCAGTATTCCCTCGCCACGCACATTTCCCGTACACTGACACAACAGCAGCTCGAGCAATGGGAAAATGAGATTGAAAACATGGCTGGCGATGTCTTCAAGCGCGTGATGATCTACAAATCGAGCGACAAAATCAAGGCAGTCTATATCGACGATTCTGACATTATATTAACATCATATGCGCAAGTCTTCAAGAGTTGTCCTTTTCCTGACCGAAAATCTCTGGCTTGGTTGAGGAAACAGAATCGGCATGATGAAGCCAATGGCTTACCCGAATGGATCGAATCGCACATCCAGGAAGGCGGGTTACTACATAATCGTTATTGGTATCGGGTGAGCTAAAATCTTGACTCGTTGAATTCTAAATGCTGACCTGTTCGTTTCTAGATTGTTGTTGATGAGTTTGTATGTTCACCTGAGCTGCAAAGAACCTGCGTCATTAACAGAATTAGCATATTGCCAAGAACCATGCAAGCAAGATCAGTCTGGCTCTTAATGCGCTAAAGGGGAAATATCGATGGGCAGTGACCGGAGTATGTTATTGATGCCCTCACATTTCTCACACCATTGGCTGACTGGCGTAGACACCCATTTGGAATCGCTTAGAGGGTATGTTATGTTGGGCTGCTGTTTCTCCTAAAACTTGAGATTGTGACAATGTATCATGCAGAACTTTTCCCGTATTTCCGGTTCCTTAAGGATGACTCCGTCACCGAGGACTACGAGACGTAAGTTGACACAGTCCCGTTAATGTTCTCGAAAACTAACACTAGTCAGATTTAAGAACAAATACTGCGACCCCAAAAACGTAAGTGCTCACTAAATCTTTAAATTAGAACCTTGATACATGTATAACAGAAACCCGGAATCAAGAAGCTTGCCAAGAAAGTGGAGAGAATTTCATTACGGTGAGTACTCACGCCCGCTGGTAGGAAATAGTCCCTGCGTTACAAGATTGACATCTGGTACTTCAGGCGCACAATGTTCGACAGAATTCTTGGGAGACGAATTCTCAAACTTCCTAGGGCCACGGTGGAAACCATCGGGGTCAAGTTTACCGCTCAAGAACGTATCCTCTACCGTGATGTCGAAGAACGCTTTCGAGAATTGATCAATGAGAGTTTGCCCGAGCTTGATGAGCGTCGCAACTTGACATTTCTAGTCTCTCAACTTACTCGAATACGACAGTAAGTCATACCAACTCACCTTTTTATGGGCTGACTAACAGTAGTAGACTTGTCACTCATCCTGCTCTCATCGACCGAGAAATCAAGGTTTGGGGCTTCATCCCTTCTTCGTAGCCATGGTTCACACGTCTCTAGGCTATATTTACGTTGGAAGAATTAAAAAAGCTCATGAAGAAATTTGCTGAAGTTGGTCACGAGTTGGCTGATCGTTAGTATTACAGCAATCTCACGATATCAATCATTGACTTGGCGACAGGTGCAAAAGGGTGGATCAAGGAGAAAGCCCTTGAGCCACGACCAACGGCTGAGGAACTCGCAGCTGAGAAAAATGTCCTAGTGTGTGAGGTCTGCAGAGATATTCCCGAGGATCCTCATATCATCGACAAGAAGAATTGCAAACACCTGTTCTGCGAAACTTGCATCTGGGGTGCTGTGCAGGTGCAAATTGGCGGAGGAGCTGAGGTATTTCCTGATATTACAATTTCCAACTTGTTACTGACAAGTCGAAGGGACCTTCATGTCCGGAATGCGAAGGGCCATTCCAAGAAACCGATATCAAGGCCGTACCAGACCAAAAGAGATTCAAAAAGCATGTCAAGGTAATGACCAAGACGCTAAAGGGCAGAGATTCTTCAGGCTTCATTCCAGCATCACTCGAGACGAAGTGGTTGGAAGACCATGACGCGGGGAAAGTCTCCTTCCTTCCCAGCGCCAAGTTGACTGCTGTTGTCGAAAAGACCAAGGAATGGTTGCGAGCAGCTCCTGATGACAAGATCATCATATTCGCACAATTTCGAATGGCCCAAGCCATCATTGGCCGTGAACTTGGCAAGCTTGGTGTTGGCTTCCTCTATTATTCGGTACGTCTTCGTGCTCCCAAGTTCTACGAAACCTCTCCTTACTAAACATAGGGTGATATGGACTTGAAGCAACGCAATAAAGCAGTTAAGGAAATGAAGGAAAACCCCAATCTCAAGGTGTTGGTTGCGGGCTTGAAATGTGGAGGCCAAGGCCTGAACCTTACCTTCGCAAATCGTATCATCAGCGTGTAAGTATATTAGCTTATGTTGTCACAAAATTTTAACAATACTTATCCAGGGATTTGTGGTGGAACTCAGCTATGTAAGTGTTCTTGATCCGGATACTTTCGAGCCTTATTAACAACAAGCAGTGAAGCACAAGCTTTTGGTCGTGCTTATCGCATGGGTCAATTGAAGGAGACGCACTTCGTTAGATTTGTGATTCGTGGCTCAGTCGATGGCAGATTGCGCAAATGTAAGCAAAAATGAACCATTAATATTGAAGATTGGAACTGATTATTGAATAGTGTAAGAGAAGAAAGATAAATTGATCGCAGAAGGACTCAATGAGCAAGATCTGTCGCCTGAACAAGCCCTTGGTCTTTTCGGTCGGGTGGTCAAGGGTGAGCTTCTCCATATCTATGGTAAAATCAAGATGCTAATAACTCACCAGATGCTGATGGCCATGTCATTCGTGTTGAAGCTGACTACGAGGACGACGATGAAAATGACGCCATGGGAGGCTTGGGCGGTACTTGAGATTTTTCTGCTCGAGAAACTTCATCAATGGCGACCATCAATATCTAGTCCTCAGTAAGTTGACTACATTCTCGCAAAGTACTTGCTCCAGGACTTGCGATCACTAACATCTTATAGTTCCCCGGAAACCCTGCAATATATTCTCATTCGATGTCTCAGAGAGTATACAAACAATTTAGACTCGCCATAGCCAATCTTGTTGCTAGCCATGCTCAATGCATGGTTTGGCCTCTCTCAAGGTTGCTGAGGTCATGTCTGGCGATGTCTCAACCCATCATCTATCTCGCCACAGCTTCTATTGCCATTCATAAGAACAACAGAACAATGAGCGAATTCGACACAGCTCCACCCCAAAAATGTCGTCTGTCTAACACAGCACCCCCAAAATTTCATTGCCGACACATCAGAATCTCGAGGAAGAAGCCGAAAACAAAATTTCAGCGAGGACGGGAGTTCCGAGATATCACTTTCCTTAGATAGACAATTCATAAACATTGATAGAAATTTTGCGTGCTTTTGCAGTGACTGATAATCCGTGAGTTCTGGGCGAGCGGTGTTCGAGGTGGAGCGAGGTTTTGAATGTTTCTGAGAGGAGGTTGTGAAAGATGGAGGTTTCTCGCTTAACAACGAGTATGTCTTGATGATATTTTGAAAGTTTAGGATCTGATGACGGCTTGAAGAAGATTCTGGTCAAAGAATGTCCTTGGGACTTTCTTGGCGAGCTGCGAGAAGGACCAGTTTCGAGGTTGGGAAGTTTGACTTCTGATTCTTGGGGAGCAAGGCATGCCGAGCTGACTAATGTCTCGTTTAGGAGTAGCCTCCGTGACCCCACTAAGTTGCACCTCTGTTATTCTCTCTTTCCCATGCTGGACTAAGACTAAAAAGAGAGAGAGAGAGTTCAAGCACATGCTCTTATTTGCAATTTTTCCATCTGAGTTTAATTGCATCCATCTTTGGTTCTCGGTCAAATTGCAGCACTGAGAAAGATCACGAGCCTCGAGAATAGCAGTTCGGGGCTTCGCAGGTGAGGAGAGACTTTTATCGTTCTTTGCCCGAGACCAAAACCTGTATCTGTATGACTCTCACATCGGACCAAGGCTCTACCTTCTTCCCAAATCAAGAAATTTAGCTAGTCACGTGGTTGACCTTCTGAGCAGCGCGAAGTACTCACTCCTGTGACGGAACAGACACCACAAGGAACCAAGAATCCTTAAGATGGATGATGATTTGATTGAACTAGGAGGGACGAAGTACATCGCCGGCACAACTCCCGTGGGAGCACTATCCTATTCTACAAACTTCCAATCCGAGGAATCTCCAACCAGAATTCCGATCACCATCATCAATGCCGTGTCCGACGAAGCTTCATTTGGTCCATGGATCAAGAGCAGACTCGAAGAGCTCAACGTGATGGACGACGCCATCAGTGCCCCCTTCACCGAACATGTTATAATCAAAACCTTCGGGAATGAGCCGGAATATTTCACGATGGAGGCAGTCTTCGATGGTTACTGGCTAGACTCTTCTGACGAAATTCCTTGTGATGGTCCCTATTTTCTGGAGGGTCGGACCTTGTATAAAGCGTACAGGCTTTACGAGGATGAGTATAATGCTTTTGTCTGTGGTGTTGTGCAATCTGAGAAAGAACCTTTCAGGTGAGTGGACGCAAGGTGGAATGTGCCATGAGCTCAAATACACACAGCTTCAAGATTTTCAGAGACAAGAAGTACATACCCGTCCCGTCCAGATGCTATTCCCAAGTTCTCAATGAGCAGAAACCACTCTCTGGCAAGCGCATAGCTGTCAAAGACATCTACGACCTACGAGGGCTTCCGACTTCGGCAGGATGTAAAGCTTATGGCGCACATCATGGACCCTCCAAGGACACAGCTGAATGTATCAAAGTCCTGCTAGACCAAGGCGCTGTCATTGTAGCGAAAGCAAAAACTGTGCAGTTCGCTTCTGGAATGGCGTCCGCAGACTGGACTGCTGATAAATGTCCCACGAATCCTCGAGGCGATGGACAACTTGACACAGGTTGTAGTAGTGCTGGGAGCGCGGCGGCGATTGCGGGGTACGAATGGTTGGATACTACTATTGGGTCGGATAGTGAGTAATGTGTTCATGGTAGGTGGTTGATGGCTGATCTTTTAGGTCTTGGTAGTATGACTGGACCTGCAGCCGCTTGTGGAGTGTTTGGATTGCGACCCAGTCTTGGCACCCTCTCCAACGTTGGTGCCGTGCCTGTATCTGAGTGAGTATCTTCCGTGGAATTTTGGTTAGGAGACTCATCATGGCAGTCACCTGGACACGCCTGGCCATTTTAGCCGTTCGATCACAGAGCTTTCGCAAATGGGAAGCGCTTGGCTCAGGCCTCTGGAGATTACCTGTGTCAATCGTCAAGAAACCAGTCACTATCCTCGTGCCTCGAGAAAGTCAAGTCTCCTACAACGATACCAATATATCTGCTTGGAAGGACTTCTTACAGGATCTCGAAGCGTATTGCGGTGTTTCACAAACTTCCGTCAGTATCGAAGAGTTGTGGCGGGACGATGCAAAACGGCCGTCTGAGTCTGCTTCGTTGAACGAGTATCTATAAAATGTGAAGAGTTCCATAGTCTTTTGTGTTGCTTGTGCTAACACCAAGCTAGACTGTAGCTCACATTCAACTCCACGACTGCTGGAAGAATGCATCCCAATTTCTCGAGGCATATTCTGAAGACGCATTTGGAAAGCTGGAAATCGATCCATTGATCCGATACAAATGGTATGCTCTAGCTTTCCCGCTGAAGGCTCCAAAGCTGATGTGAGTTCAGGGACCTCGGTCGTAAAGTAACAGAAGCAGAGTATGAAGCTGCTCTTGAAAGCAGAAAAGTCTTTCGCAGCTTCCTAGAACGGAAAATTTTCACGGAAAGAACCATTATGGTGCTTCCAGGTGGTGCTCCAGACGTCCGATTTCGAGATGAGAAGACTTCGTACGTATTTAAGTTACCATTCATACATGATGCGAATAACTGACTAATCGCCTCTGAAGAGAAGATCAGTACAACATGTGGCAAGGCTTTGGCCTTCAGAACACAACATACTCCGTTCTGGGCGGTCTTCCTGCTGTGAATATCCCAGGTGAGTCTGTGCAGTACATTCACTTGAAGTATTGTGTCTGACTCTAGGAAGTTGGTCAAGGTCCTTATCATTCCAAGCTCTCTGGTGATGTGGCACAACAACCAGTCAGCGTCATGGTGCTGGGCTCTCGCGGATCGGATATTTGGTTGATACAACATCTTGAAAAAGCACTGCGCGAAGATAGACGGCATGTCCACGTCGGGTCTGATACGTTCTGACCTCTTTAATGTTGGTGGACCCTGGCCAGACTGCGATGCGCTGGCATACTGCAGAACCTCAAGCAGGAATTTCTGGAGAGTGACAAGGTAGGAAAGCAGATTGAGGGCACACTTTCGTACGATTTCCATCTGTTAAGTGGAACGGAGGTCTTCCAACTCAAATGCAATGATCTCAAAATAGATAATGCTGCAGCAGGACTCGGTTCCTGGAAACCAACTGCAACATTAGATTCATAACATGCTCCTCTTTCAGCAATTGCTTTGGAGTGCGGATGTGGAGTCAATATTTCTGGACCCGGGATCTTGGTTTGTTCTGGAGCGGAGAGCTAAGCTTCAAAGTGGGCCTGATATTGACAGGATGTTTTGGGGCTTTGAAACAATGGACTAAGAAGATCGGGACCTGCAGATCAATATTGAAACGCTTCAGATTGTGATGTTGGTGTAAACAAAAGTTGAAGTCAAGACTGTAGCCACTCTGTTTCATTTGTGTGTAAGCACTTGCTGCTTCCTCATTGAACTTGACATCTCGAATATTTCCAATAATATAACACATAGAAAGGATGAACTATCCTGGAGAATGAAGAGATATCAGACGGAAACGGTGCCGCACACGTCGTTGCACGATGTGCCTCGGCCGGGATTTTAGAAGATTTCCAGCAAGGATCGGACGAGATTCCCGAGCTGTCACTCCAGCCACTCGCTACACCATCACCTATTTGGGCTCTGCTTGCGAAATATGTCTGTCAACGTTGACAACTCGTCGATGGGACACTGCGATACGACGTGACGGCCTAAACGGTTAACCGGCGCAATCTAACAACGACCTCCAATAATGCCCGGGAAGAATGATATGCCGAGATGTGCTCGGGGAGGGTACATAATGGAAGAAGTCTGTACTGCTGACGTGTGATGCGATGTAACTTTGAAGAAGAGAAGCTGTGACAATTGCAAAGATGAAGACTCCAGAAGAACTTCTCGCGCTCGCGGATATCAATCCTGAACTTGAAGAGGTAGGAATCTTGTCTGGATGTGCTGAGGCCGTACTGACGTATCCAGATCATCAAGAAATATGGCCCTATTCCGAGCCTCACGGCAGACAGCGATATCCCCAAGATCCGACAGCAGCTCATTACTCGAAAACGCCAGATGACGGCACTTACTGAGTCTGCCGAGAAGAAAGAAAAATATGTTGAAGAAGATAGGCAGATTCCTGTCCGCGATGGAACAACAATTGCTGTGCGGATACACAAGCCGAAGAACCCCGCCAAAGATGGCTGTCCTATATTCGTCGTATATCATGGAGGAGGCTTTTGTCTCGGCGGGCTGGACTCGGAAGTTCTGCTCTGCAGGAGGTTCACCGAGCTGGGAGGCATTGCGGTGAATGTGGACTACAGACTTGCACCTGAGCATCCATTCCCTGTTCCGCCTCAAGACGCTTATGATGCCTTGAAATGGGTATGTAAAGGCCTCTGCTCGGCCTTTGGTATCTGTTGCTGATATGTCAGACTGCGGAAAACTTCACACAACTGGGAGGAAACCCCAAGAAAGGCTTTTTGGTTGGTGGCATCAGTGCAGGCGCGAATTTCACTGCGGTTGTGACACATCTCTACCGTGATGATAAGCTATCACCACCCCTCACCGGCGCCTATCTCTCGATTCCTGCTTGCATGGCAGCGGAACTTTGTCCGGAGAAATACAAGTCTGTATGGCTAAGCCGAGAACAGAATAAGGATGCTCCCATCCTCAATAATGATAGTATGGGGTTGTTTGAAAGTCGGTTTGGCCTGTCGATTTATTCTGCATGCAAGCAAATGCTGACCTAAATCTAGAACTCTACAATCCAGATCCTAAGTCCAAGTACCGAACTCCAATGCTCTTCAAATCCCATAAAGACCTCCCAGCAACATATTTCCAGATCTGTGGAATGGACCCTCTTCGAGACGAAGCGTTCATATATGAGGACATATTGAGGGAAGAGAACGGCATCAAGACCAAAGTCGACGTTTATCCTGGCTTGCCACATGGGTTCTGGTCCTATTTCCCTGAGGCGGAGTTTAGCAAGAAGCTTCAGGAAGATTGTATCGGAGGTATGAAGTGGCTTCTGGAGCAGAGTAGCTGAAGAGTCTGGAATGCTCGAGATTGTTGATAGCTGGATAGACAACCTTTTCTCTTGAGGTCAATATGCACTAGTAGTCTAGCGTGGAGACCTCTGATTTCGATCATTTGCCTTTATGCTTATGCTTTGAACTTATATCATTATGCTTCTTTTTCAACGGCTCCCCTGGATTTACTTCCTCCTTTCGTTAGTGCTAGTAACGCAACGAAGAAAGAAAGAACACCTCAGTTGCAAATTCACTACACATTTTCACTAGATAGATGATTAAAGTGTTTGTCCAAGAGGCAGAAAATTTAGTGTATTGAAAATTAATAATTATCCAATCTCAGGACGCTCTACCCAAACGCATCGACAACGCCCAAACTCATTTGTGCCACTAAACATATTCATAGACAACTCGAGGATTACGTTATCTGAGTGCTCTCACCGTTTCCAAAAGAAGCGATGGCCACATTCGCCTGTTACCCTCTTCTTCAAGTGGTGGAGTAGACTGACAAGTGATGTTGTCACAACCTCCCATTCTCCATCCCTTTTTCAAACATCCTGGGCAGACATTCGTGACGACCTTCGTCGCTGCTTCTTCTCTCCATTTACGTATTCTGAGCTCTTCCTCCTCTCGGACGCGCTGCTGGAACGACTTCCTAGCGGATGACATGATGTTATTTCGACTCTCGAATGTTTTAGTGCGAGTGGTGTATTGCGTGGAGTTTGGATAGTAGAATGATGTTGATGCCAGTAGATATGTTGTTGAGGAAGGTATGCTAAGCTTGTAGTTGTCAAGCACTAACTTCATAAGCCTCGAGATCTTCGGCTACCTCGATGGAACAAAGACAATGTTTGTTTCGTCCTGAGGACTCGAGATCTTCTCGCCTCTTGGATCTGGAGTGTTTCCGAGACATGGATAATTCTCGAGGACAGAGTGAAAGGAGTAGTTTCGATGTCCGAAGCTGTAGAATTATCTGAGGACGAAAGTCAGTACCTCACATGCTATGTTCACGTTTTTCGTTGCCTTACAGTTTCTCCTTTAGCTAGACAGGTAGCTAGCAGCTAACTCTTCTAGCCTTGCTTCTTAACCTTACTAATTCGCGTTTGACTCTTAGCTGCCCCATTCCTTCGAAATATACGTTGAGCACGTCTTTCCTATCTCCTTCTCAGCTTCATCGTTTCGCCAAGGCACTGGTGATGGGGTCTGATCTGCAAGTAAGCTTCAAACCTGCACTCATGAACTTTTCATGGTCCCGACCGAGTCATGCTTTCTGACCCAACTTTGCCACTCTAATTGGCTCCTCAAAGTAGATTCACATATAAAAACAAGATTATCTCGGATCTCGAGGGATTTGCTTCTCTTGTCTATATTGTCCCACAAGCTTTAGAACCAAAAGAATCTTAAAGACTCATCTTAAAAGCACCATCAATCAGTATAACTTATTATCTCAATAAGAATTAGCTTGAAACTAGAGATTAACACTGATCTCCCGGTGACTCGTCCTCCACCAAATCGAATTTGGAACTTCAACCTTTCTGAGATACCCAGAATTTGACAAGACTTAAGCTCTGCCGTCCGAAGCTTCGTTATACAGTAGATACTTTTAACGAAACGTCATTCACAAGAAAACCAATACTTTGACGGGGAAGTGCTTCCAATTACTCTCACACACTAAAAAAAGGAGAAAAGAAGCAGACAAAACAACTCAAACAGTAACAGCCTCGGCGGCTCCAATTCCTCCACCACCACCAACACCCCCACCAAGATCTCCGCCAGCACCATCATCTTCACTGTCTGGGTCCGGGACCCCCCAACGCAGATTCTCGTCGTCCTCTTCCTCTTCCTCCTCTACGTCACTCTCCTCCCACAATCCTTCCTCTCCTTCCTCGTCTCCTCCACCCACGTCAAACTCCCCTCCTTCCTCCTCCCCCGCAGCTACCCTCCGCACTCCCGCCATCATCCGCCGGTATTCGGCCTGTCCCTCCCACTCTTCCTCCCCTCTCTCCATCTTCTCTCTCCTCTCCTTCTTCTCTCTCCTCTCCTTCTTCTGCCGCCGAAAAGATCTTTCCGTCTGGAACTTCCATTGCTCGGCAACTATAAATATCCCAAGTCAGCATAATCATTCACGTGACACGAACAGACCTAAGCCACCTAAAGCTGGTGGATTTCAGGACGAGACAGATACTTACAGGTCCTCGTCCTCTTCCCCAGCGATCGCTTTTTGCCCCTCTTTGGGCGCAGCGCCAACCCACCGAACGACACCGAATGCCCAGACTCCCTACCCCCCTTTTCGACACGAGCACCGATGACCTTGGTGAGAGCTTCATCCTGTGCCAAGATAACAGATGAATGATTAGTCTTTGACCAATCTCTGGGAGTATAACAATATGACTAACCGCTTGCTTCTTCTCCTTCGCCTTCTTCTCGTCTCTTCCCTTCTTGTCAGGTCTTGATTTGCCCATTTTGGGAGGGACTTGGTGTGTGTTTTTTTTTTTGGAGGATTCTAGAATCAAGATGTCAGTGATTGATTGCAGAGTGCTCATCGTTCAATAGATTGACGGGAATATAGGGTTGGGTTGTACGTACGGGGGTTGCTGAAGGAGTTCAATTCTCGGCGCACGAAAGTAAATAAATCTCGCGACGCGAAGCGAGAGTCAGGTGTCAACAATTTTTTCAATGTCCCAGATACACCAGGACACCGTCTACTATCAAACTGCAACAATAGCATTGCTAGGTGAATGCAGACATTGCGGTCATTAATTCATCTCTTCCTAATATGCTTTCTTCCTAATCTGCTCTGATGCCAGTCTTTTGGCTCTAAAAGTCCTAGAGAATGCAAGAAGTTCTAATGCTCAGAATATTCAAAGTATAAAAGCTCACCGAAGGAGATCCCTAAATCGTATCATAACCATCTTAAAGCAACAACCGTAGAAAGAGACACGCGAGGAGTTCGACATGGAAACTTCTACCGTCTGATTGGACAATAGGAAAGTCGAAGTATTCCAATTATAGAGTGATGTACTGTTGTGTACTTTCCCGTCCTTAGCACATGAACGAATGTCATTATCCGAGAGGAGACTGTTGCTTTTATGACAGAAGACTTCAAGCTTCAATTCACATCTTCAATTGGCTGCAAAATTATGAGATTGCAATGAGTCCTTGCTCAGCTTTAGATGTCCGATTGCTGTTCGTGTATTGTAATCAAATAGTCAAGCAATCCCGGAATGTCACCCTTTAAGATCAACTTGTGAATCAACCCAAAGTGCAAGATGGAATCTACTGAGAAAGTAATGCTTTTGAAGAAAGAGGCTATCAATGTCAGGGCGTTGCTATCAAAACTGTATCAACATGCCATCCTTGCTTAAAACGAGACGTTACAATAATATGCTGCTGAGCGGAAGAGATCGCAGGGATTGTGGGTCATATCGAAGAGTTTGGCAACGGTGCTATGCGTGCTTCTTTTCACATGTAATCTTACAAGATCTCCAGAGATCGAGAAGATGGGAATATTTAGCTCATGTAACTGAAATACCGTCACTTCGAACTGTCCGCCTTCAATTGGGTGGAGGACGAAGTACTCGCGCGGATAAATCTCCGCTTCACTGTAATGATCTAAGCGAGGTTGATAATGCTTTGTGCTTAATCAAAACTATGTAGACGAGAACCGTGTAAGCGATAAAGGCCAATACTTCTCGCCTACGTCAGCTTTGGGATTCGCAGCCTTGTATCAGAACATCATTTCCATTTAGCTCCAGATCATTCTCAACAATTTCTATCAAAATAAAATGTCAATTCGGCGCGTATGCAACGTCATGAGACAGACTCGCTACGCAGTATTGTTTGGACAAGAGGTCACAACAATGATCTATATTTAAAGCACGGCATTGGCAGCGATAATATTTATCCCCTGCATCGCGATGCCTCTCAAGCTGATAAGTTGTCATGCTAACAGCAATTAGGATCACCATTATGCTAGCATAATCATGACATCCTGCCAGCCTACCCGCTTCCATCAACGTCGAGCTTTCACGATAAGAATTGGAGCCAAGACTCAGAAGCTTCAGACCAAAAGCGCTCTACAGCATAGGATAACAGCCGCACGGCCTTACAGCTGCACAATACTCTGGATTGCACGGCAAACTGGCCTGCATGGCTTGCCAGCTGGTAAGACTTGCCAACAAAATGCGGTATCGGACAGGAAACTCAATACAATACATCGACGAGAGTGAAATTAATCATCGAATACCAGCACCTATGGGGAACGGGGCTTGAACAGAAATTGCCAAATACTAGTGGACACCATCAAACTCTCCAGCGCATCTCCCATCTGCTCATTTGGATGCCTGTCACTCGAAACATCTACTATCGCCTACCATCACTACTAGTGACTAGTCAATATCAAAATACTGCAGTTTGGCATATACCCAGAGTACAGTACACTTGTCTTCGGTCCCACAAGTCTCAGATTTCCATGCATCAGGGCAGATCCACCTGGCGCAATGCTCCAGAATTCTGCTCATCCTCACTTGAGGCACATCACCACCAACTGAAACAGTCCACTTGAACCTTTCTCAGTCCTTTCGGTCCCTTATATACTGTTTCAAGTCAGCCATTCTCTTGCACTCATTCGCCCGCATATCTCATCTTCGTGATTCACAGTCCTCTCTCATGTCCATTCAGCACTCACTCACCATTCACCCAGCCCCTCTCCACACCTCCAAGTCAAAACTGTCACCGATTACACATCATCCTCTCTCTTGTTGTCTTCGAACGTCGTTCTAAACCGCAACAAGGAGGAGATTGATGCAAAACGACGTTCAGATTAACGGGAGCTAAATCACGTGTAACATGCCCCACCTGCCTGATTGGAAAGGATCCCCTGAAAGATGCAGATATTCTGATACTGGACACGTGATTTAAGCATGGACATTTATTTGATTTTTTGTCGGGAAATAGCAATTTGAGAGGCTTCGATTTGGATGTCCTCGAACTTCAGCCACAATGGAATTCCAATTACAATGGCATGGCAACATCTCGAGTTGATGTGCCGTAAGATTTAAAATTTGGGATATATTGTTCCAGAGTTTGTGGGATATTTGAGTGTGGTAAGTTTTAATTTGAAATAAGATTTCACAGATCAAATGGTGTGACAACAGCATGGATATGCTGCACTGACGGTACTTAGAAGATAACTTGAAAACTAGCGGTTACCATGTCGAGCAACGTGGAAACTTGAGATGAAGATATTTGGCCCAATTCAAGGTTTGGAGCAGCACAACACAAGGTCTCACATGGAACAAAAGACTTTGCACTCCATATGAATTCAAGTAATACTCTGACTTCTACATGTCGTCAAACTCCCAGAACCGTCTTCCATATTTGCTGGCCCGTGTTACGCCTTGCCCAGCCAAATCTGCCTTCCAGAAGCGTGACTCGAATATTCCATTCCGAAGATGTCTGATGAGAGACTATTTTACATTGCGTTCGTATTCTCCCATTGGCATCCATCCATTGGAGATCCTATTTGGGCGTCGACATGGCAGCATCCCAGTTGAACTGCGTTCCACAAAGGCCTATACACACATGTTAGCTTCCAATCTTTGTATGGGACAACTTTGACTTACAATATACATTGCTGCAGCCACCAATCTTCTCAACTTGGGTCTTGCACGTGGGACATGGTGCTGAAGATTTCTTCGTCTCTTCCAAAGAATCAGACTGTGCAGCACGATCACCCTGACTGAGTGACTTATCGTATTGCTCGCACGATAGTTTGGCATGCCACGGTTTCTGATGCTTGAAGCAAGTTGCGTGAGAACACTTTTTGCAGATCACTTTTGGCTCGGCCAACCCTTTGTGGTGAATTTGACCATGTCCGCACTTTAGATTCAGGCACCAGGTAAAGTTTGAATGGTGACGAATAGGCCGAAGCTCGACATACCTCGCGTATCTAGACATCAGATAAGCTTGAAGTTGAGGACGTAATAGTTCGAGGACTTACTTCAAAAGAGTGTCTCCGGACAGGAATGGCTTGACTTGATCTGCTGAGAGGAGCAAGTTGCATATTAGGCAGGAGATTTGATCCCAAGACTGTGTGGACATACGAGTCTTGATGTGCCGCTCAATGCATGTCTTGCATGCATATAGCTTACCTGCTACAGTAACATCAAGACAGCCTGGATGCGATGCTGGAACCTCAGATGCCAAGACGTCTGTTGCGCATATAGAGCAAAAGACCTTCGATTCTTCGACGAGGCTGTTGTTTGCGCCAGTATTGGACATTTTATTCTGAAGATTGGGATTTGCGCGTGGTCCATCTCTCAACATCTTACGAGTAAGGACTTCTTCGTTCTCCAGAGACTGTCTGATGGTGCTGCGATCTCTAGCCTCCAGTTCAACTTCAAGTCTTTTGAGTCGCTCGAAGAGCTCTCTCGCGGTCTCCTCCGGCTTAGTCTTCTTGTGGTAGATGTTGAGAATGCGCTTCAAAGTCTTGAAGTCGAACGCGTCGAAAGCTTGACCGAAGAGCAGGTCTTCATCATCGTTGTTGCCAGTGGCCACCCCACGTCTTTTATTGACGACAGAGCCCATGGTGGAAGATGTTTCACGGAAAACTTGTTGTGGTGTGGTCGCAGATGTCTGCTTGCGTATGATCAACTCTGATTCTTGTTGAGGACGTACTGCGCTTGGAGTGTGCGTATGAAGGAAGAAGTTGGTCTCTTGGAAACCTCGAAAAGAGGAGACTATATAAGCGGTAAGCGAGGAGGGAATATGGTTCTTCCCTTTGCCTCTTCTCGAGTACGTTCACGTGACGGATGGAGCAGCGCTATAGCGCGGACTATCCCGCCTGTAACACAAGCAAGAATAGTTTAGGAGGTAAGGATGATTATGTGATATGGCAGCTATCTACCGAAAACCCGAGTTTGCTATCAGTGTTCCAAAGTATCAAAGTCTCAAGCTATCAAAGTTGATGACAAGCTTCCCGAAAAGGGCTTGAGATGAAGCAGAAGTCGCGCATCTACGTTGATCGTGCTGCTCTCCACCAGTCGAAGTTAGTCTTGCACTGTGTACCTTCACATTAATCCATGTTAGCTTCATCTACCCTTCTTGACAGTGCGTAATATATAAGCTTACAATACATATGAGCGCAACCTCCACTCTTCCAAATTCGTACATCGCATTTCGGACATGATCTTGTATAAAGCCGAATCATCCTTGTCGTAGCCAGCTCCTGCATACGTTTGCTCCCTTTTACCTCTCCTCCTTTGTTAACAAAGCTGGTGTCAACATATCGACGACATGACTTCGCGTTATGGTCATCGGGGCCATGTCCTTCATCCCAAGGAACGCCATGCTTCATGCATGTCTAAAAACCACATTTCTTACAAGTCATGCAAGGGGATCTCCTACCTGGTTCGTGAATCTGGTCTGAACGGCAGCCAGGTCCTGTACACAAGCAGAAAGCCCTTAAACTCTGTAGGTAGAAACAGACCCTGTACTCGTCATATCTGCAACACTGTCAGTGTCGGTGCTAGAGTTGGCTGGATTACTGTACTTACTCGGAAAGTACTTCAGCGGATGCATATCTCCGGATGACTTCAGACGGAACAATTGCTCTGTAACACGGACAGGGTACCACTTGCCAGTTGGTCTCTTCATCATTCAATGCAGTGTCGATACCAGTCGTCAAGCAGGACTCGCAAAGTCTGCAGTCATGATCACAGTCTGGCGAGATCTTGTCTCGTCGAAAGAAACCGGCAGGCAGGGTATCTTCGCATGCGTCACATGTGTATTCTCAGTGCTGTGAATCATCACTTCATCTGTGAGTTCTTTCCGTAGCGTAGGCCATCTTTGGATGAGATCTCGAGTAATGGGAAGGTCTCGAGACAATATCTGGGTAATTGCGTGCTGTTGAAGTGCAGACAATTCTTTCTCCAGGTAGGTAAGCCTTTGCAGCAGAACACGGCGTACCTGGTCTTTAACAAGCCTTTTCAAAAAGATAGCCAGAATTCTTTTTAAGACAGGGATAGTGTAGTCAGCAGGGCGACGACCGAAGATCGTGTTACGCAACGAGACCTTTAGTGCTTCTGATCGAGTGGCAGTCTCTGACCTTCCTCCAGCTTCCGCTATGTCGCATATCTAAAGTGGAGGATGAAAGGGGGAAGGGTAATACCTCTTCAATGATCGAGATGTATGTCAAAGTGGAAGGATGGTGTGCATGTGCTTGACGATATTGGAGTTATAAGTATGAGGAGAAGAGAGACATCGAATCTTGTCTGGAGCACTCCAGCCAAGATTCGAAGTTCCGAAAGACGACAATGGAACACTCTTTCAGACTCGGTACCTCCTTGCATGCATTTCGCGCATACTAAAACAAATAACCCATTGACGACAATATGATACAACCAGAGCTTCGAATTCTGGGACGTGGAATCCATCCTACTAAGATTGTGCTGACGCCACAACTTTTTGGTAGACCAGCTAAGCAGATTTCTCACTTGAAACTATCATAGAGTTGATAATTGCTGCACAAGGCCATCTATATAGGCATGGAGGACAAGAAAGGTCTTTTAGAGTTGACAAGTACCGCTTTATCTGACTACTGAAACATTCTAAAAGAATCGCCATTTCCAGTCATTTGACACCATGCTTCACGTTATTCGGCCTGTGGATTTGTAATCTTAGCACAGTGTACATTGCACAGCAGTCATCGGAAGTTTGGTCATACTTTATCATAGATCTGCTGGAGTACGAAGGGTAGAGTGTCGTGATTTGGGATTATCCGCTAAATCTCGCTCTTTTCGACTCCGCTTCAACATACTACATGTAGTCTGGGACTCAATTCAGTGTTTGCCATGCTGTAGTCGAGTCCACTCATCGAACAACTTTTTCGCGCGGGTATCCGCGAGGGGCTGAGGATTTTCCCGGCACAGAGGAGGGGTATAGCATTAGCGGGGCTAGACCGGGGAACTTTCTCCACATGAACCTCTCAATGAAGCGAGATACCAAGTGAACGTAAGATAGAAGAAATAATCTGAAGGAGCAATTAACAATCTCGACCAGAGCAGCAGAGAGATAAAATTTAAGCTCATTATGACAACTACCGAAATAGAGACCCTGAGACTCGACAGCACAACCAGCAACTCAGCTGATCAGAGAAAGTACGTGTATTTGGCAGGAGTTGGAGTAACTCATTCGATTGGTATTCATCTGCATAATTATGTTGCAAAGTCTCTCGGCTTACCATGGACTTTCATCAACCAAGAATGTCCCACGGTTGAGGACGTCATGGCTTATTTCCGCGCGCCAACTTTCGCTGGAGGTGTGGTCACGATGCCATACAAGAAAAGTATAATGCCATTTCTGGACGAGCTCGATCCTTTAGCTATTACTCTTGGAGCTTGCAACAATGTGTATCTGACGAAGGAAGGAAAATTACGAGGTACGAATACAGACTGGCGGGGAATCAAAGGTTGTCTGCTTTCTGGGACTTTGACTGGCACAAATGAAGGCAAAGGAAAGCCTGCTCTGGTGATTGGTGCTGGTGGTGCTTCGAGAGCTGCTGTTTATGCTTTATTCACAGAACTCGAATGTGGAGAAATCTACGTTGTGAATAGAGACGCAAAAGAGGTGGAAGATTTGCTTGAAGATTCAAAGGCCTATGCTTCTGGACGACAGCCGAAACTACGACATGTCAATTCTGTCGCAGATGCAGAAGGACTGCAAAGCCCGTTTTACATTGTTGGGACGGTACCCGATTTTGAAGCACGAACGGAAGAGGAATTGAAAGCTAGAGCGGTCTTGGCGACATTTCTACAGAAGGAAGAAAAGGGAGTCCTTTTGGACATGTGTTTCAAACCTAGAAACACACGGATACTGCAAATGGGAAAGAAACATGGGTGGAGAACGGTTGAGGGAACAGATGTGATAGGTTTTCAACAGGAAGAGCAATGGAGACTATGGGCTGGTGCTGGTGAGAACGGCAGGAAAGCTGTGCCTATGGATGAGGTATGGCAGATCTCCAGAAAGGCGGCCGAAGAAAGTCTTGCTATCAATTTCTGATTTACGCCTTAATGTACTATGTATCATACAACGCAGAATATTTCCATAGATGCTACCTGAGAAACTTCTCGTTGTTGGCTTTGTTCCTTGGTGATGGATGCAAATCACAGAAATGGTGGCGCATAAGTCTTCAGCCGCCTGCCCCACAATTTTCTTCTCATCCAACGTCAAGTCCTCGATCAACATCCGGGAAACACTGCACTGGTTCAGCAGCCATGTAGCTACTCAGCGATTTCGGTATTTGCTATCATGATTGAAAATTGCTAACACTGTTACATTTCTCCTGTTGCAGAAGCTATCACCTCCAAACACAGTTCCGAAAGATCACGACGACACCTCTTCAATCCAATATGCCAGCAAAGAACATCCTCGTCCTCAACGGACCCAATCTCAACCTTCTCGGAACCCGCGAGCCACATATCTATGGCTCTGAGACCCTCTCTGATGTCGAATCAAAGTGCAAAGCCCAAGCATCAGCTTCAGGCGCCTCCCTCTCCTTCTACCAAACAAACCACGAAGGCGCTCTCGTCGATCGCATCCAAGCTGCACGCACTGAAGGCGTCGATGCCATAGTGATCAATCCAGCGGCTTTCACACATTATAGCATTGCGCTGAGAGATGCCTTGCTGGCAGTGAGCATACCGTTCGTGGAGGTACATATCTCGAATATACACAGCAGGGAGGAGTGGAGGAATAAGAGCTGGTTGAGTGATAAAGCCGTTGCTGTCATTTGTGGATTGGGAACTTTTGGTTACAAGGCGGCAGTGGAATACTGTTTAGAGCATATCAAGGAGAAGTCGAAGCTGTGAGGAGTAGAGAGACACGAGGTATAATACGAGATGCCAAAAGTTTGTTGATATACAATCTATATTTGCTTCCAAATTACACCGATTCTATCTCAATGCGTTCGTTCATTTCTGGTGAGCTGCCAAAGCCTGTGCAATCGCGTGGTGAACTTGCTTGCTCGGGAGGTCTGCAAGACCTTTCCCAGTCCAATGCCTATCTTGTTCCAAACCTTGGTAGATCATCGCTTCTGTTCCCAGAATAACTTGCCATCCTTCTTTCTTGCTAATCTCTGCAATCTCCGTGAACGGTGTAGGATGATAACACATCTCGAGGATAGCGCCCTTCTCATCCTTTTTCAAAAATATCTCAATAACTTTCCTAGCTTCGATCTCCTCCGCTGTCTTTGGAGGAAAGTTCGGTATGCATGCTACAATTGCCCCTGGAGCAGCCAAAGTCTTAGCTTGCTCAGCACTTTTCACATGCATCAACGAGTCGCCGAATCCTGCCTTTTTGCAATCTGATAGCACTGCTTCGACCTCCGAGACGTCTCGATTGACGATATATATCGGGCCTGCTCCGAGCCACTTGTGCAGGGCATAAACTGCTGATCGACAAGCTCCACCACCTCCTATCACAAGCCCTGGTCTTCCTCGATAGAGCTCTTGGTCTGTCCCGGCCGGAAGGTTCTGGAGAAAAGCATCTCGAACCCCAAAGCAGTCCGTATTTGTACCACACATGATCCGTTTCCCATCTTTCTCCTTGAAGAAAATAGTGTTACAAGCTCCAATGTCCTTGCCTTCCTGGGTGATCTCATCAAGATGAGGTATTATGGCTACCTTATGAGGCATTGTGACCGAGGCTCCGTAGAACTTTGGGTCTTTGGTTAGACCGAGAAAATTGGGAATGTCCGTCGAGTCGAGGGGTATTTGAGACCATTTCAGGCCAAGATTGTCGTAGACGGTTTGATGAAGAAGAGGTGAGAGAGAATGTGCGATTGGATGACCGAAGAGATAGTTTACGCCTTCTAGATGACTTGTATCTGGCAATGTATTGACCTTTTCCCCGTTCGAGGCCATATTGAGTGGTTTTCCAAGCAATGCGGGGTAATTTTAATTGAGAGGCTTCAAGAACTGCGAATTGTGGAGGATATAGGAACGAATAATTGAAGTAACCCAGTTTCTTAGGATTCCTCGGATTGCTTTGCAGTATGATGATGTGCACAATAGAGTGTTTGTCCTCAAGATAATCTCTCTTGAGCTCCTGAGTTTTCTAGCTCTGCAGGGTCCTGAAGCGGGGTAAAATGCAACTGAAAAATCTTGAACTGTGCCCACACAGTCTTTTATTTTGAATGACAATGATACCAGAACAAGAGGAAAACAAACTTCCTGGAGCTTAAGAAATGTCCCCCAAGTCGATTGATTCCTTAAGTCGTCCCGTGACAGCCCGTTGAGAGGACAGGGGTCATTAGTGGGGTATTGGGGTTTCTAGCCTCTAAAACCTTTTCCCTCTGCTGAATTCTTTTCCGACTGCGACATCAACCAACATCGACACCAGCTTCTCCGCATGCGGAATATATGTCGATAATGGAGTCTGACAACCTCATTGGCAGGGAAGGTAAGCTTCTAATGCGGAGGTGGCTATCACTTCAAGGTGGTTGATTTAACAGTACTACGTCAAGCATTTCTCCTTTCATCATCAGTCTATCTTAACGTCGCACAATAGCAGAATAGCAATACACAAGCCTAATCAACCCATCATGTCCTTCAAACCAGCAATAGCCTCAATGTCCTTGGGGCGGGCATGGGTTCACAAGCTCCCATACAAACTCGACCAAGCACAAGCAAACAACTTCCAAGGCATCGAAGTTTTCTTTGAAGATCTCGAATATCTTGCACGCGAGCAAAGCGGGCTATCTGCGAGCGAATCTCCATCCCCAGAAGCACAGAAAGAAGCTGCACGCACGATTAAGAAGCTCTGCGATGACCGAAATCTTGAAATCATTGGATTGCAGCCGTTCATGCACTACGAAGGTCTCCTCGATCGAAAAGAACATGCGGCACGAATTGAGATGTTAAGAGTGTGGTTCGAGCTGGCGAAGATACTGGGGACGGATATTATCCAGATCCCGGGCAATTTTCTGGGTAGAGACAAGATTACAGATGATCTCGACGTGGTAGTTGGAGATTTGCAAGAGGTGGCAGATATGGGATTGAAAGAGACCCCGGTGATCAAGTTTGCCTACGAGAATTTGTGTTGGAGTACATATTTCGATACTTGGGAGAAGGTTTGGGATTTGGTGGAGAGAATTGACAGGCCAAATTTTGGAATGTGTCTGGATACATTTAATATTGCTGGGAGGGTGTACGCAGATCCAGCATCTCCAAGTGGGAAGACTCCCGACGCAGACGAGGACATGAAACGAAGTATGGAGGACCTTGTTAAGAAGGTTGATGTGAAGAAGGTATTCTATATTCAGGTTGTCGATGCCGAGAAGATGCAGACACCTCTTGTGGAAGGACATGCTTTCTACGCTGCTGATCAGCCAGCCAGGATGAGCTGGTCAAGGAATGCAAGGCTGTTTGCGTTTGAGGAGGGAGGCTACCTCCCAGTCCTAGATGTGACAAAAGCGATAATTGAAGGCTTGAATTATCGAGGTTGGGTAAGTATGGAACTGTTCTCGAGGACAATGAGCGAGCCAGGGAAGGAGGTGCCAATCAGTCATGCCAGAAGAGCAAAAGGGGCATGGGAGAAGCTTTTGACAGAGATTGCTCGATGGTATATAACGTAGTATGCATAGTCAGTGTAAACAATAGTATCATCTTTCTTCAAGTCGATGTTCTTTGCCTGGCAAAGTCTTCACAATCATCCTTCACACCGTCTGGCACAGATAGATTATTTAGATGGAATTTTGTTTCCATGAAATTGATTTGGCATTTTTGCCTGATGGCATCTGAAAGTTTGTGTTATGAGTTGACGAAGTCCTCAAGTATGTAATGAAGGCCGTGTAGACTCCCAGAGTCTGAATATCCTTCCTCTTGTTATTGTTGTTGTTGTTTCGGCTGTCTATTGATACAATGTTTTGGAAATAGAAAGTTCTGATGCCCCTAACCTGGACAACCAGACCTTACCGGGAGTCAATCTAGAAGCTTGGTGAGCATTCGCGTGTCCTCCAGTTTGTTGGGTGTCTAAGTACCCGAGGTCGAAATATATCAAGTTTGTGATGGTCGGACGCTTTGAAGGTGGTACGCTCTAAAAGGGAAGGCTCTAGAGACATCGGTGTGGAGCTGCCTGAGCCTAGTATGTATTGAAAAGAGGCGGAAAAGGAAACTCAGGTGGCAGTACTTGAGGAAGAAGCGTTTGAGAAGCGGGTACTTGACGTGCAACAGGGCTAGCAACATGTCTAGTAGCAGGTCCATTTCGGTCTCGACGCCGCTGAAGCCTAGGGGATATCGGAGGTTGAGCAAAGAGAGCATCGTGTCTCCGACGTGCATCGAGTTCTCGACGTGCAAGGTTGACTGTGTGGTACTTGCATGCTGGGTCATGACGATGGTTGCCGTGTCGCATGATGTTCAACCATGGCGCAAAACATATCCAGCAGAACTGATAGTTGCATTGTATGCAGGTCATATGGTCACAACCGTGGTTCTTTTCAATGGCATGGCCGCATTCAGGATTTGGGCATGCTTTGGCGATCTAGTACCAGAATTCCGAAGTTAGTATATATATTTCAGGCAGTAACTTGAGCTTGAATGGGGCTCAGAAGTTTCGGGACATTTATGAGTCGAGAAAAGGGGCGCAAAAAGAGTCAGCTTACCTGGGCAATCAACGCGTCAGAAGCAGATTCTTGTTCCATTCTCTCTCTTCTCGCAGCATCATACTGAGCACATGTCTGACCTGTATGCCATGGCATCTTATGCGCAAAGCATGTTTTGAATTCGCAGGTCTTGCAAGTCATTATAGGCTCCTCGTCTCCACCCCCATGTATTTGTCCCGAGCCGCATCCTGGACCAAGGCACATGGTAAATCCGGGGATAGTTCGAAAGGCAGCTAGCAGTGACTTCTTGTCGTATCTGAGATCATCATTAGCAAAGAGATCGGCATTACGGCAAGGTAGACTTCGGAACTTACAAGTCAAATGCTTCGGCGGAAGCCCATGTCTTGACTACGTCGTAAGGCAGCGTTTCTGGACATTCTGGACATGAGATCTGGTCCCAAGCAGCATCGGCGATCTGAGTTGTGACGGCTGTTGCGAGACAAGTTCGGCAAGTTGTAGGCTCATGATTGCATGTCGAAGTAAGTTTCTGCTCGGGGAAGCTGGCTTCGGGAAGTTCCTCAAAACAGACAGAGCATTCTCTCAGCGCATGTCTTGGAGGGCTTGGTTCTCGCTCGACCTCAAATTTGGCTTTAGCCTTCGATTTGACCTTAGCCTTGCCCTTCGTCTTCGCAGTATCCACGTCTGTGATGTCATCAAGGATGAACTTCAAAGCGGTTGCGGAGTCGCTGTTCGACTGAAGCCATTCTTGAATACCTGCAGCTTCTTCGGATGAAACCTCCTTTTGTAGTGCGCCAAGAAGAGTTAGAAGTTTCTTCTTTGTTGCCCTGACACCAACTCGCTTTTGATAATAGTTGAGGATATGTTGCATCTTGGCCGTTCGATGCTGAGAGTGCTTCAGACCGAAGAGAAGTTTCGGACGGGCAGCATGGCCCTTTGTCTTTCCTGCCATGATCCGTAGAGACTTGGTTTTGTGGTGGCGAGAATAGAGTGATAAAGTGCTGCGAGGATCTTGTCTATTCCGAAGACAAGAGAAGTGTCTTGAGTTTCGAAATAAGTAGCTCTAGGCGTAGAAATAATTTAGTGAGTAGTCAGGGGCGAAACTTCTACGCGAAAGTTACACGAAAATAAGCGAATTTGAGAAGATGAAGTTTGACCGAAGATGAATTCTGCACCGGTTGTGCGATTCTGCTTGTATCTGCCTGGTGAATGCAAGTTGCGATCAAAGGCAAATTGTGAGCGCGAAAGTGACGTTCAAGACGCATGGTTTCATTTTCGGAGAAACAAAGATGAAATTTAAGAAGAAAGAGTAGACAATCTTGTTGGAAATGGAGACTTACAAAAGCACGGAGGCCGAAAGCACTTGTAATCATCCAATCTCTGGAGATCGTGACTCTGAAGAAGAAGTCGTGAAGTAGAGTGAACAGCTGAGAAACTTTGTCTGCTTGGATGAGGCGAGGATGTGCCAAGCGTTGTTACTAAAGAGCTCTAGTTCCGTAAAGTTCAAATATAAATGTGAGTGGCCAGATTGGCCTCGAAATGAAAGCTGGGGAAAGTTTAAAAGCTGAGGATGAGATGTTTTGCACTGGAATGCAAGGAGTTTTTCGCCACACAATGCTTCAATTCCTGATAGTGGTCTGCAACTTTTCTTGACAGATTTGTTGTACCCATGGACGCCTGTCCAACAACCGCCTCTCATTTCTTGAAAATTACAATGCATGCCCTACGCGGACTAAAGGGATGTCCACCTACTATCTCCATGCAGCATATTCTACCCGTCTTGCGCTGCTATCGATATTGAGTTTTTTTTTATTGAAGCTCATCACTTACCAGATGATTCTGCTTCATACCCAAATTACCTCGCTTGCTGAGTGCTCGAGAGTTTTTATTCGTTAGAGAAATGATGCTTCTGGGGAGGTGACAGCCTTGCAAGTGCTTGTCATTGTTAGACAGAGCTCATTAGCTTAGTCATCCCTCCGGTGCATGTTTTCACTGATTCAAGTCTTTTTCTTCGTGCAATTGTAGGATGAAGCGTTCTTGATAGCTAATTTGCTCGACTTGTTCGCAGTGTTGGGAGTGTTGGGAGTGTTCAGAATAAGACAAGACAAGTCTTGGTTTGGCACAAGCATGTGAAGCTATAGACCGTCGTTAAATCTGGATATACTCTCGAAGCAGCACTTGTTTCTTTCTTCGATATCCTGCTACGCGGCTCAGGCAATAAAATAGCAATGTAAAGTAAGCGAAGCGGTTACCAAAGAGTTATAATCTTCTCGAACATGGAAGGGGTGTTTTGTCAAATGGCAAGCACTAAGATCTGGCGTGCGTAGAACGTCCAAAACAATGGGTGAGCTTAGTATTTGCTTTGGTTTTGCGCATACTGAAAATGGTGCTGTTCACTGTTCGTTCGTCTTATTTTTTTGTTTTTGGTCAAGTACGCAGATATTCTTTGCTTCTCTGAGTCTTCAGGCATCTATTAAGAATGCAGTTTGTTCATTGAGTAGGTTGTACCCGAGAGAAGTATCTGTGCGGATTCTGCACTCTCTTGTAAGATGTATCTAAGTAACCATCTCAGAGAGAAGTTGAGAACTTGAAAAGCTTCGAAGGAGCTTCGCAATGAATACGATGGCCGAATTTCTTCTAGCATAACACAGCTAGCTCAATTCTTGCCAACTATTATTGACATATTAGCTGCGATGACACCGCTATCAATACAAACTAAGTAGAAAAAAACAAAAAAACAATGTCTTAATTTTGCGCGAATACGCCAGCTGTTTACATATGGGAGTGGTGGGATTGGAGTCGTGTGAAGCTCGCTAATTTCAGGGGCTCGTTTATGGCTGTGTGTCTGCTGAAGCATTGCAAGGAGCGACATTAAGCTTCACCATTCATCAACTACATGCGTTTCAAGATACTGGCTGCTCGAACCTTAAAAATAGTTAGAATCCATTTATACTATACCTGTATCTTGTCAATGTCATAGCGCCTGATAATCAACACTATCAATAGCTCGAATAGCACTTTTTCGTCGTCCGAACCCCCTCCAGAAAGCACTCCCAAGCAAAGACAGCGTCCCTACGATGACCATACCTGAAGCTACCACAAAGACTGTTTTCACTCCAATCTTGCTTTGGACAGCACCCAAAATAAGTGGTGATATGAGGGCTCCAGAAGCTTCCATGAACGCCAAACTAGAAATTGCCTGTGTTCCATCTGACACCAAGCTGACAGCATAAGTTCGTATGAAAGTTGGGGTTGAGAAGCCCATGGCTGTTACAGCTATAATGGGATACAGATGCCAGCCATGATATGCAAGTCCAACGCACGGCACGGCGAGCGCAAATAGTGCCAATGATGCGATGCCGAACCAGAAATCGGGAGGAGGTCTCTTCCGTGATGACCAAACAAAGGCCTTGGCGTCTGCTTTGCTATGACAGATTTTCCTGAGAATGAAGAGGATACCGAAAAGATAGATGCTGCCACTTGTTGCTGCGGTCGAGACTAGCCACCCATTCTCTTTGACCGTGAATTGAAAGCGTAAAGATGCGTATACCATCACCGCCGAGAGTGTATAAGATGCACCTCCGAAATACAGCAATAATGTGAATTGTAACGGCAGTAGAGCTGGTTCACCAAAGAGTGACCGCACTGATACGACAAAATTCCTGATTAGACTTGGTCTCCCCATACTTTCGTGATCTGATGGTTCTCCGTCTGTGATTTCCCGCGTACTTCCAGCCAACTTGTTCTCTGGAATTGCCAGGAATAAGTAAATAATGCACAGAGCGAACATTCCAATGGCCAATACAAAGCTCGTCCTGAAGTCCGAAAATATTCCAGCGACACTAGATCCTAGAGCCTGACCCAGCATGAACAAAGCAAGTGATAAAGCAAAGAATTGAGAAACTTGGTTATAACCTGGAGCATGAACAAAGATTGCGTTCAGGCATAGCTGAAGGATATTGTCCTTGGCAAAACCTTCAAAGACTCGGCCGCAGAGAGCTATCCAGAGATTGTCAAAATAAACTTGCCAAATTTTAGCTCCTGAAATAAAGGTTTTTGGACTAGAATGCTTCGACTTACCTCCTAGCATGAGAAACCCAACACTATGTGCTCGTGAGATGAGCCAGAAATAAAGTGGCGCTTTTGTGCTCATCCTCCTGAGAAGTGGAAGGATCCCCAACACCAAAATGCCACACAGGTTCGTCACAGCAGTTGAGGCTGCGAAGGTGCCCGAATAACTGTTCTCCTCTTCTTTCTGACATGCTAATGCGTCTTTACACAGCAAAGTAGCGTAAGCAAACAGAGTTGAGGGATTCGTAATTGCCATACTGAAGGAGGCGAAAAAAGCAATCGGTAGAACCAGGTAGAACGATTTTTGAGTTTTCCTTATCGACTGCCAATCATTGGGATGGAATGTTGGTGAGCTGCCTGATGATACAGATTCTGAGTCTGAATTGTCTTCAGATTCGAGTTTTGATTTCATCTCATAGCCTATCGGCTTGACAACTTTCATGTGACCGTGCATGATTGTTGGTTTCTTGAGCTGTTCAGGTGCGACGGTGACTTGATTTTGAGATTTAGGATATTGTGACAAGGGTACTATTGTCAGAGGATGAATGAGACGCTGGAATCCTGGATGGCTTGGCAGTAGACCATGGCACGTGCTCGGAGACCGAGTTTTGAGTCCGTCTGACTCCTTTCCGGTGAGCGAGCCTCAGTGACACTTCAATACAGCTTATCAGTGGTGTCATGTTTGTGATAGCTTATTGGATCATATTTTCCGTGCTGTTCCGAATCTTCTCCTCGAATTTTGGAGCAATGACTAATGTGTATGGGCCATCAAGCAATCTGGAGTTCATCGAGCCCAATTATCAGCCATTTTTACTCATTCTGCGAGGCATAGTGTGCCTGCTTCTAATTTGAATCGGCATTGACGCATGTTGCATTAGGCAGTCTAAAATCTAAAGTCCACAAATAACATCTACAAATGATTTCCATCTAGATTTCGCCATGCCAATTCCTCGCCAGCGTCTCCAACTTCCTCCTAATCCCATTCGCAATGCCAGTAGCAAGTGGATCGTCAAGAAACCCAACGCAATGCCCAAGCACCTCCTTCGGACTATCTAGGAAAGTATTCGTCCCATCACTTCTAGACAAAACAAGGACTTCATCCACATTCCACGAGTGACCCTTTCCTTGGTGCTGATTCGGAAACGACGAATTGATAGCCCGCAAAGGTCCAATTCGCCCATGTAAGGCAGAGACATCTCTAGATCTTCTCATACTCTCTATCCACAATATGATCGTAGCACGGTACAAAGCAGCTGGCCACCAAGGAGGCCTGCTAATCTTTGGCATAATTTGCAAAACTCTCAACACTTGACCAGCATGGTAAAGAGCCTCGGTGGTTTGATAAACACATTTGTTGTAACGCAACATAAATTCGCCAGACAACTCATCGAAGGGACCACTCCGAGCAAATTTCTCGATCTCGGGCATCGACGTGACAGTATTGAGGCTGATGAGATGAAACAATATGTAGTTCCCTTGGGTGACAGGGTTTGAAGGATCGGAATGTTCTTGTGCTGCATTGAGATCGTACCATTTTTGTAGTAAAGATTCAAGCTCTTCGATCTTCATAAGTGTGATAGCTCTAGATATTGCTCTTGACTCTCGTCCTAATCGTGCGACTTCGGCGTCACATGCCAGTGCATGTCGAAGATGGCAAGTGAGAGCATGGAGTGGGTGCAGAAGTAGCTTGAGGTAGAGTGGAGATGGTTGGACTTGTTGATACGCCAAGTTACCACTGCTGAAAAGTTGGAAGAGTGCATGGAGTGAGGGCAAGGGTCTAGTAGAGAGTGACGCCGAGGCAACATGATCCATGTCGTAACTGTGAGATTCTGTGAATGCTTTGAACCAATCATCGGCATTGTTGGCAACCCATAAGTGCTCTGAATCTGGGAGAGGTGTTTCGATATCCATGGTCGCTAGTATCGGATATGTGTCGTGGAAAAGACTCAGTTCTTGGTCTACAGACACCCAGTTGTACACAAGACTAGAATGACATCAGCAGTTTGCTCAAAAGATAGTTCAAATTAAGAAAACTCGTACCGATTTCTGCTTTCGTATTCTTGCCATGCTCTCCAGTCAAGTTCCAGACCCGGAGCTGACGAGAATGAGATCATGAACCGCTGAGGCTCAAGCATACCAGCATACTTGAGCATCTTTCACGCCATCAGTACTCTATCGATGAAACACTACATGGGGCATGAATGACTTACCAAAATCAACATCGGTGTATGTCCAACAGCAACATTCATGTGCCATTTGTCTCCACCCCAAGCTCCAAGTAAAACAAATAAGAAAGCACAATGCAACATGACAAAGTCCGCCGAGAGGCCTGTATTCCTATCGATAGCCTCAAAAAGTGAAAGACGGCAGATTTCTGTCAATCCCATAGCAAGATACTTTGCTTCAGCAGATGACACTGACGTCGAACCTTGCGCAATCATCAATATGACCAACAAAGTCGACGACTGGCTATCGACCATCAACTCGTTGATGTTCAGACGCCCACCAGGAAGCAAACTGAAATATACTGCCAAGTTCCTAGAGTAGTTTGAGATAAAGCTTTCCAGGATATTTGGGGGTGGTAAAATCAGAAACCGGCTGGGTTCAGATTGGCCCGAGCGACCGTGAAGTTCGCCCATCTGCGTAGCTAGCACCTTATGTAAGAAACTTTGCGTGATGGCGACGATCTTCTCTCTGGTGCCGGGACTCAAAGGCACAATTTCCACATCATTTGCATCCATCTGACTGAATGATGTATCGAATGACGTCCAGACATTTTCGTTATCGCATACCTGCTGAAGGCTTTTGAGATGGAAGCTGGCTGTCCGCGGACAGACGCCTGAGAATATCTGAGCGTTGCAGCATGCGATCGGCCATGCGTCTTCAGCTGCAATGATGACTTGAAAATCGTGTGGGCTCCAGCGATCGATGAAGTTCGCATTGTTTATCGAAAGTCTTGCTTGGTTTGGGCTGACTTCTTGGAGAAAGCTGGTCTTATTGATAGATGGCGACGTACAAATCGTCAAAGCTGGCGTGACTAAATTCGACGCTGGGGTTTTGATTGTTTCCATTTGGTCTGAAAGATTATAAGAGTCGAGATCATTACCAGGAAGGATGTTGTCCGTCGAGTACATTTCTTGGTCGAAAGCGAAGTCGTTCCATGATGTGAACTCTGAAATCTGGGCTTCAGCGTCCAGGATATTGATATCTCCTTGGAAGTCATTGGAGAACTTTTGAAGCGGTTCAACGAAACTGATTTCCATTTGTTCTTGTACCGAAGACTCATTCTTTGTAGGGCTTGAGCCGAAGAATTCTGTCGAGTCGAAAACTTCCGCCTCCTTGAGAGTATCAGGAGCTGATTCTTTTGGAGATCCTGATTCATTGCTGCTGTTGTTGTTTGTGTTATCGCCATCTTTTGGGGGCGTTGTTGGTTGTTGGTTCTTGTTTCCTCCCATACCACGGCGGAGATATCGAGGCTCGCATTGTATCTGCTTCGTGACACAGCGGGAGCATGGTACCTTTTTATCGCAGCCCGTTTTTGCTTTTGCGCAAGACTTGCAAGCTATAGCGGTACGTGCCTTCACGGTGGAGGTGGCTTCGATAGAATCCGTGAGCGTCTGGCCATGGTATGCCGCACAGTGGCGCTTCAGTAAGTCCCTGTAACAGATTAGTACCGACACTTTGAGACATGAATATGGACAACAACCTTCTAGAGAACGGTAAATGGCAAGATAAACATCGATGTGGCGTGATGTTGGTATCTAATAAGACCATAAATGAGTCGATGTCTGACTTTCATAGTACACAGATACGTACGGGAAACAAGATGTCTTTCCAAATGTTCTTTTCGTGTGAAACACTTCCCGCAATATACACAGAAAGCCATAGTAATGATATATCAAAAGAACTCTAATAAGTGCTTGAATTTTTGCACGAATTTCACTATCTCTTTGAAGTCAGGACTGAGTGATTGTACAATATGACCCTGAATGAGCACAACCACCAATAACTTAAAGCACCAATTACCTTGATCCCACCAGCTAATGATTATCTCCATCAGATCTGTTCCACACTGACTGCATTGAGTGGCAAATGCCAAGCATGGAACGAGTTATCTCTCTGCCGGTCACCGATTCCGAAGCCTCTTTCTGCACATTACTCGTCCCTCTACACGTGCATCCTGTATTGCTGACGGCGATCCCGGACTTTGGCCTCTGCAGCAACGAGTGTATTGGGAACCCGATTACAGACGTGGTTTGTCATACAGGATCTTTCTGATAACGCAACTCGGTTGACGAAATAAGCTTGCGTTTGAGGAATCCTAAGCCAAGTTCGGTGGCCGGCACTAAGATTAGAATCCTTCACAACTTACACAAAGACGCTCCCTCGTTTGTAAGTTCCTCCCCACGCAAGCAGCACTCGTTATCTATCATGTCTGGCAAAGCACCATCTACCCGTCTATCTACGGCCGAAGCTATTCTCGCCGCCTACAACAGCCTCTCCACATCAGCACTCGAGCCATTGTTGGACTCAAGCTTCACTAAAGAAATCCTTCCAAAGTCTCTTGGAGAGCCTACCAGCGACAGAGAATCATATCTCAAGCAATCGGAAGCTTTTCCTTTGATGTTCAGTAGCTCGATCATCACGCCACGCGAGATCTTCGAGGACGACACCCGAAATGCGGTGGTGGTGTATGGAGGCATGAAAGCAGAGTTTGTTGGTGGAAAGGGAGTCATAGAGAATGAATTCGTGATGGTCATGTTCATGTCTGAGGATGGCAAGAAAGTGGTGAAGATGTTGGACTTCAGAGGGAAGTGAAGGGAATGGTGGCGTGTTGGATCACGGTTCAAGTGGGGAGAAGTACCGGCGGGGTGTCAGCAGTCAATCTCAAGTAATGCTATTTCTGGACGCCCAGAAATCTTGATATCTCTATGAAGCTTCGATCTTCCTCTTTCGTGATATTAACCATCGAAAATTTTCACTGTAGATGCCATTGTTAAATCTCAAATCGCAGCCACCGAATGGAACCCTTTTTCACTGTTCTAAATCAGTTCTCACTAATGATTCTTCTATTAAAAGAATAAATCTCATTAATTGATCAGTGACAATGAGGAATTGAATTCTTCAAAAGATCTCCAATTCACACCTTCGAGAACTTGGAAGCTTCGATATACAATCCATCATCAACCTCACTATCATACAATTTCTGCGAAAGAAACGCGTATTCATCATATAGCTCCTTCACAAATTTCCTCTGCAGCTTCACGCCTCCGGGACTATCCACGTTCTCTCCATTCCTACCAAATCACCACGTTAGAAAGATGCAAATCAAGAATGAAGAGAGCACTTACGCAACGACCTTGCAGTCCATCAAGAACGCACCATGTTCAGCTCTTCCAACGCTGGGAGATACGGCAGAAAGGATAGTCCGACTTCCTTCCTCTGCAGTGCGCGCAATGAGCCGTACTGCTACATTTATAATGGCCTGCTGAATCCAATGAACGTCATCACGGAAAATGCTCGTGTCGCAAGCGCCCGGTGTGATATAGTCGATTACGACACTTGGCATATTGAGCTTGAGATCCGACACAGAGGGAGCATTGTATGGATTTTTGACAGCCAAGTCGCGTACGAAATATAGCAGGAGAAGTTTGGAGACTTTGTAACTAGAATGCACCATCAGCCTGAGTTTCAAGAATGAGTCCAAAGGAAAAAGAGCAACTTACCGATCGTTCATATCTGCAAGTGCTTCGGAATTCAAAGCCTTCAACAAGCTTCCACTTTCGTTCTTCTCTTTGAATTTGGCAATCAAGTGTAAGTCAGAGCCAACAAATACCATTCTTCCCTTAGCCCCATTTTCTATCGAACTCCTTTGGAGGACTTGCAATGCTAAAACACTAAGATACGCAGCAGAAACGACATTGATCGCAATATGACTCTCACATCCTTCTACTCTCGCAAACTTGGTAGTCAAGATACCCGCATTCTGAACAAAGACATCCAGCCGCTTCAAACTCTTCAGCTTCTCTCCAAAAGCTTCAATACTAGCAAAACTAGCTAAATCAACCTCCCACACCTCAATGCGAGTACGTGAAACATGGAGTGACCGAACCAGCTCGTCCGCAGCAGATTCGCCTTTGGCTCGTGTTCGTACACATAATATGACGTTTGCCGCACCGAGACGCAGGAAGTGCCGAGCTGATTCAAATCCTAATCCTGTATTCGCGCCTGTGATAGCGATGACTTGCTCTGAGTAATCGTCCGAAGGGATAGGCAGACGAACCCAGAGCTGGGACTTGAGAAATTGGAGAAAAAATGCCATGAGAGAATTCCAAATTAAGGCTCGTGAGATTTGTGATTTGTGTGACCGAGTTAGGAAATAGCACAGCTATTTTTTCTTTCAAGGTGGCTTGGTAAGTAATGGTTGATGTTTGTGTAGATTGGGATTTACCTTGCTAGTTTTGAGTTGTACCATGTTACTCGAGGTACGAAGCGGAGTTCTCCTAGTTCTGGTAACTCTCGCCCGCTCCCTCGGTCACCGAACATGGTAGGTAGGACATTGAGTGATAGACGAGAGACGAAACTCATAATCCTCACAAACTATTGAACCCGGGGAGCTGAAAATGCGGCGCATGCACGAGGCGCAGGGTTCGAGGATGGAAGTGGGTTGTGTAATGCAAAGCTTATTCGGTAGCTGCCACTCCTCGGGTGTACGTGCTTATGCAGGGCTGCATCTGCTTCCTTCAGCTTCCTATCCCAAATCGCAGGCAAATCTGCTACTCCACACCACCATTCCATTTTCTTGAATGCAGTGCGGATCTCGTTATCCCATGCGGTGATTCCAGAGACGGCTGGAAGGGATTCTAAGATTGGTCGCTACTCGTCTGGTCCAAGTCCTCGGGGTGGGCACGGGATGAGATAGAGACGTGGATTACGCCTTGGAGCTCCCCGCGCAGGAACGCGGCGCTCTTCAGACGAGAGAATCCGCCACAAGCCATGGAGCTCTCTCTTATAAGGGAGCTATGTCTTCTCTGTCAATTGAGTGTCGTTGAAGCTGTGTAGCAGTCCGTCAAGAGAGCTTTCTGATTTCAAGATTTCCTGGCAATTATGCAGGTCTTTTGCCTTGCATCGTTGTTGACCCTAGCTGCAGCAGCTCCTGCATCTCTCTCTGCGACCTATGATTATGTACGTACTGCATAAATGCCCATTCCTGGTTTTTATGCAAGCACCCTTCTGACAGACGGAAACCTACAGGTAATCGTTGGAGGTGGGACAGCTGGTCTCACAATCGCCGTCCGACTTGCAGAGAATCCCAGCCTCAATATTGCTATTGTAGAAGCTGGAGACTTCTACGAGAACGTGAATGGAAACAACAGTGCTGTTCCTGGCTACGATGTCTTCGCCTCGGTGGCAGGCGTCACGGATTGGGGTCTCATCACCACTCCTCAACCCACGCTCAACAACCGTACCCTGGCCTATGACTCAGCCAAAGTTGTAGGCGGAAGCTCCATGACGAATCTGATGGCCTTCCACAGATCCACTGTTGACGCTTTTGCACTGTGGGCTAAGACAGTCGGAGACGACAGCTACACATGGGATAATATTGAAGCTTACTACAAGAAACCGGCAAAATATGTTCCGCCAAACACGAAACTCAGAGCAGCAAATGCAAGCGTGCCAACTGTGCCTCCAACGACTTACTCAGCGGAGGGAGGACCTCTAGAAGCCACTTTCCCCAACTTTGCATATGCTGGAGCTTCGTACCTTGGTCCTGCTTTTGAAGAGCTTGGTGTTGCTGAGCTCGAGAATCTATGGAGCGGCGAGCTAATTGGATGGCAATACTCGCCGTTTGCTATTAGTTCAGACCAGCAACGATCAGGAGCAACTCAGTACCTCAAGTATGCTACCGCACGTGGATTCAAGAACCTCAAGCTATACAAGACCACACTGGCAAAGAAGATACTCTTCAATGGCAACAAAACTGCCACTGGCGTGGTCGTGGAGGTCAATGGGACAAGCTTCACTCTTGGAGCAAAGAGGGAAGTCATTGTTTCTTCTGGAGTTGTAAGTGCTTTTCCTGTCCGAACTGTGAGCTTTGGATTCTAACCTTGCCAGTTCCGCTCTCCTCAACTCCTCTTGGTCTCAGGAATTGGCCCATCTGCTCTCTTGAAAGCCAACAATATCCCGGTGATAGCTGACCGTCCAGGCGTTGGACAGAATCTCCAAGTAAGCTCCCGTCTGCGCTCCTCTTTCTACTCAACTGATCAAAATCTCAGGACCACCCCTTCATAAATATCGTCAACAAAGTCAGCATCCCCACAGGCAGCCGACTCCTCGACCCTTCAATCGCTCTCGCAGAAGAAACCGACTACAAAACGAACCGCACAGGAATGTACACCAATCCTAATGCTGACAGCTTCGGATGGGTAAAATTACCTCCTTCATACGTAGCCAACATGTCTGCCGCCGCACAAGCCCACCTTGCCTCTTACCCTGCGGATTGGCCAGACATCGAGATCGTGCTCGTCGAAGCTGCATTTGCTGCTGGTGCCGACTACCTCATGGCTTCGTGCCAAGTACAATCTTTTATCTCTACTGGTTAGTTGCTCCCTCCCCCCTTCTTTGTAAAGACTAACCAAAGAAATACAGGAACGGTAACAATCAACTCCTCTGATACAAGCAACCCACCCATCCTCAACACAAACACAATCGGCAACCCGATCGACCACGACATCGCCCTCGGCTCCCTAAAATACATGCGCGCTTTCTTCTCCACCGCATCCTTCAACCGCATCAACATCGAGGACGTGGTGCCCGGCGCGGCCGTGCAGACCGATGAGGAGATGTTGGAGTGGCTATACGCTAATATCGGGACTGGTTTCCATGGGACTTCTACCTGTACTTTTCCCTTCCCTCTTCTGCCATTTTCGAAAGAATATGACTAACAGAAAGGAATACCAGGCTCAATGGGCAAATCCACAGACCCAAAGGCAGTAGTCGACTCCCACGGCAGCGTCATAGGCGTCAACCGCCTGCGAGTCATGGACGCGAGCGCATTCCCATTTGTCCCGCCCGGTCATCCGACTGCGCTTGTTTGTACGTCCCCTGCCTCTCCCTTTCTTTCCCCAACCCGCTAACACTACCACAGATGCATTGGCGGAGAAAATCGCAGACGATATCAAAGCGGGCTTGTAAATCGACGGTGGTAATGGTGTCGGGGATGTTGAGAAGTGGGGGTGGTCTTGGCATTTTAGTACACCCAGTTTAGTGTATTTTTTAGAGGAAATAGATTTGCATTCATTAATTTGAGTGTTAAGTTCTTTTTGCTTTTTCTAGTGCGTGGGTCGGGACGAGCCGTGCTGTGATGTGATGTGATTTGTGTGTAGCTAGTGTGTGGCTGAGTGGGATGTTTGTTAGAGGGAAGGGAAATTCCCACTTTCTGCTGGGTGAAGGAGAGTTATTTTTGTTAGTATTATTTTATACTTGTAATGTATATCTTAAGGCAAAAAAGAAAGATTTTGGTTGTTGAGAAGGGGAACGAATGCAGTATACCACTTTCAAAGGAATTCGATGATGGAAAATTTAATTTTGACTTGTTCATCGATTTTCAATTGCAAAGTAAACTAAAGTCACGCATGCGCAACGCAACTTGGGAATGCATTGAAAGCCTCTCTCTGTGAATGCAACGCTCCAGGACCAATCCAGTCCATGCCATTATTCAGACCATGTGTACCTAGGTATGCAGCGCTCTAATGAAGAAGAAATCCCAAAGCCAGCACTACTCAAATCTTGGTAACGCCCGGTGAGAGCTGCTCCAGCTTGTCGTAGAGCTCCTTGTGGAACTTCTCCTCCAGCTTCTTGCCTTCGGGACTGTTGATCTTGGGTCCGGCACTGTGAGAAGGGGTTAGACAAGCCTTTGTTAGTGTAGGAAGAAAGGTAAACTTACGAAGCAACTTTGCCATCCATCAAGAATTGACCATGAACCTTGACGTCTTGATTCGGTCGAACGGCGTTGACGAGCGTACGACTACCAACCTCAGTCGAGCGACCAATGATCGTCTTGCCAATAGCCAAAGCCAGAGCCTGGAAGCCGCCCATGGGATCACGGAAGAGGTCGGATTTGCAGGCTCCAGGGGTCAGGTAGGTGATGATCACATTGGACTTGTCGGAGACGGGGCTCTCAGCAGAAATAGCGCGAACTGCACAGGCGAGTAGAAGCTTGCTGACTTTGTAGCTGTTATTGTTCTGTTAGCTTGGCTCCTTGGTGAAGTGTAGAAGGGAAGTAAGTACGTACCGATCGTCCATGTCAGCCTTCTCCTCAACGCGCAAGACGTCAAAGGTGTTTCCTGGAGTTTCGCCTTCGGCGAACTTGGCGAGGTACTGGAGATCAGAGCCAACAAAGGCGATGCGTCCTCGGAGACCCGTCTTGGCGGCACTCTCTCTGAGCTTGGGGAGGAGAGAAAGTGCGAGGAGGGTGTTGTGGACAACATTGACAACGATGCTGCTCTCCTCACCTTCAACGAGAGCGAATTGCGTGGTCAAGATACCAGCATTGAGGATAACAGCATCGAGCCTAGCAAGACCTTGAGCACGCTTGGCGAAAGCCTTGACGGAAGCAGAGCTGGACAAGTTGAGCTCCCATACTTCGATGATTGAGGAGGTCTTCTTGGTCGACTCGAGGATCTCAGCTGCGGCAGCTTCGCCCTTGGCGGGAGTGCGCACTGCGAGGATGACTTTGGCAGCTCCAAGACGGACGATGTGTCGAGCAGCCTCGCGGCCAAGACCGGTGTTGGAGCCGGTGATGATCACGGTTTGGCCCGAGAAGTCGTAGTTGGGAGTGGGGAGCCAGACGAAGAGCTGACGCCAGAGGAATTCGAGGAAGAAACCCATTGCGAGCGCGGGGGTAGGCAGTTAGGTGGAGTCTGAAGGTGTGGTGGTATGTGTGTGTGTTGCGAGGGAAGTTGACGGAATGGAGGGGTGTACGAAGAAGCGGGCGCTGCTGACTAGTACGCTACGTAGATGCGAGTGAGACGAGTGTGGCTGCCGAAGCACGGGTATCGAGAACGAAAACTGAAGTAGCGAAGCTGCAGATGTGAGTGAGAGAAAGAGCGGCCGAGAGGTGGGAAATCTCGAGCAGAAGAAGGGCTCTGTCGATGGTTGATCGGCGATGAGAAGTCGAGCTGACAAACGCGTATCGGGGATAATCTTCTGGTGGTTGATAATAGAGAATGCACAATTCACGGGAGACGCATTTTCATAGAGAACGGTATTGTATAAAATGCATCTCGGCAGCTTGCTCTACCGGTGCAAAACAAGCCACCACGGCACCCGACGTTTGTTTGGTGCTATGGTGGCTTACATTAGTCTACGTGCGGGCTGTATTTGTGATTCGTCTCCCTTTCCTGCCTGACATCCCTTTCTAAGTCGTTCAGCTCTCCTATGAAGAAGCCTTGTCCAACGGGAGCTGGGAACACCAAGGCGGCCGAGATTGATCCACCTTGGTAGTTAAGGCGGCTTACTCTACGAATTAGTCGTTTACAACACGGCTTACAAATGAGTACCTTTCGACTACCGTAGACAATTTTGACGCCCGAAACTAGCTGCTTAGGTCGTACATCATTTTAGCTTATCGATAACTCTAAATCCAAACGAGGCAATGCACGCCATCTCCCGCGATCCTTAACCCTGTTTTCAGGCCAGGCGGGAATGAAAGTCCCTGCTTCGACGGGATAATATTGGCACTTCGTGGTTTGACGTGGGGGCAGACTGGTGCTTACAATTTTGAAACATGCACTACTATTTTATGCAACACAAGAGATACTGAGAAGTTCCACAACGGGCCCCAGTTACTCCGTACATAAAGTTGCATTATTGTTGCCCGTATTGGTTACAATAGTCATTGTCACGGAAAGATCCCAGCCATGTTACACGGACAGACGATTTCTAATCAGCCAAGCCTTCCGTCGCCATGCAGGGGCACAGTCAGCAGCCCTATGAGATGATGCGCCGGCTAACAGCCAATCTTACTGTAATTGCAGATCCAACATCTGGCACTAAGTCTCAAAGAAGGAAGTTTAGACGAGAAGGAAATATTGCCAACATCTACCTACTCCACTCTGTGCAACACAACTCTGCTGACAACATATTCTCGTCCTACACCTACAACACCAACCCAGCTTATCAATTTGGCAGCACCTCGGCGCGAATCCCCTTACTGTCCAAATGCTGCATAGCAAACATCCGATCGTGCGCCGTCTCAACATCATAATCCGTCGTCTGGAACAACCGCAGCCGGCCCACGTCACTCGCATCGTACACCTGCTCGCTGCCAAAAGACCGGAACAGTCTCCCCACAATGAGATACATCTCTGCGTACGCCAGGTTGATGCCGGGACACATCCGCGTGCCGCGCGAGAACGACACCAGGTATTTCTCTGAGCGCGCAGCGTCGGCTCCGAGCCAGCGCTCCGGGTTGAATGCGTAGGAGTTGGGGAAACTGCTTTCGATGTGGTGCAAGAGGAGGGTCGACATCCCCATGGGCGTTCCGCGGGGAATGGTGTATTTTTTGGAGAGCTCGGGAGACGAGGCGTCGGTGTAAGTGATGTCTTCTTCGGTTGCTATCCGTGCCAAGCGGTGCGTGGTGCCGTAGCCGAGGCGGAGACTCTCTTTTACTACTGCGGTGAGGAAGGGGAGGGCTTCGAATGTGTGTAAGTCAGCATGGTGTGTGGTGCTGGCGTCTGGAATTGCGGCTGCGAGTTCGTCTTTCAGGCGGCGAAGGAGGAGAGGTTGTTTGAGCATGTGGTAGATGGCGAGTGTCATTGGCCAGGCGGTTGAGAAAGTTCCTCCTGCGATGATGGTGTGTGCTTCGTGCGTGAGACGAGTCACTGATTTCTCTGATGCTGGAAGTTTGGACGAGAGAATGTCGTGGAAGATTGTTGGGTGTGCTGTGCTGGATTTCGTGGACATGGTATTGGCGTCTGTCATTGCTGCTATGGCCTGTCCTTTGACTATCTGTCTCTTGTTAGTAAGAATCTTCAAGTGGAGTAGTACTTAAGTTACCCTGGCTTCTTTTGTAACAAACTGGAACATTGCTACATTGTCGAGAATGAACTCTGGCAACGAGAGGAGAGGCTTGAAAAACCAATAGAAATGTTTGATAGGGAAGTTGGCATAGGATCCAGCAGCAATAGCCTCATGGTATCCAGGATCGAAGTCTAATCAACATCAGCTCAACTCTTTAAAGATCCTCTTTTCTCCAGCAAGCAAGGTCTCTTACCTGGTTTCGTAATCCTATTTTCACTCCTCGCAAAGGAATACTCCATCACAATATCTACAACTATATCAGCAATGATACCAATCCCTTCTCTACTCCACTCCACTCACCGTTCGCATAAGCACTCGTCATATGATCCAACCTCACCACCTGCCGACTCCCCAAAAACAACCTCAACTGCCCAAACATCCCATCAATCACCTTATCCAGCACCGGCTGCAACTTCCTCACATTCGCCTTCGAGAAGAACGGCGCAACAGCCGCTCTCCTCACCTTGTGCAGCTCATGCGGCACCGTAGCAAAGAACGCATCCGAGAAGCCCGTCGCACGCATCACCCATTCCGAGCGATCGCGCTTGCGGGGCGCCGAGGCGTAGACTTCTTCGTAGAAGGACGGGTCGTTGATGTGCAGTTCGAAGGGGTTGATGCGGATGATGGGGCCGTAGGTTTTGTGGAGTTCTTTGATGTGGAACTGGTATTGTCCGTCGAGGTAGACGTCGTAGTAGATTTCGTACCTGGGTTTGTTAACTTGTTGTACTGTGAAAGAATCTGGGGGGCGATCTTACCAGAGTGTGAGGGCGGCGAGTTTGGGACCGGGGAATTTGGAGAGTGGGTGCAGGTATAGACGATATACTGAGATTCCTACTAGGTAGAAGACTGTTGAGATGAGAATGAGGGGCAGTATAGGGATTGCCGACAAGGAAGAAAGTAGTTCGAGCATATTGAGCTAGAAAATGAAGAGATTCAGAGAAAACTTTCACTTGCTTGGCCGTGATACACTTCTTTACTTTCAAAGCAAGCAAAGCAATACAAAAGCGACGAAATAGAAAGCACCTATTGTTATTCGACTTTCATGACGTTGGTTGGAAGCGAATAAAGTTGCTGAATGACATACGGACTCCGGCAACGGGTTACTGCACAGGAATCGGCTCTCGACAATCCTCAAACGTCCGAATCACCACCACCAATTTGCAAAACGGAAGTCCGCTTTTACTTAACAACGAAATTCTGATGAAGAAATGCATATGATACGAAATAAGTAAACAATTCCATCTTCAAACCTACCATCTCCTCGTTTCATACTCAATCTCTTTTCCAATCATGCCTGAAGTCAAGATCATCTGTGGTGGCGTAGGTTTCGGTGCATTTGGCACCGAGCCCCAAGTCGAAGAACTGATGGACGTCCTTGAAAAAGCAGGCGTTCACAATATCGACACAGCCAGAATCTACGCTGGCGGAAACGGCGAGAGACTTTTGGGGAATGTGAAAGCTGGCTCTCGTTTCACAATCGACACGAAAGTAGGTGGTGGGTTCCAACCTGGATCATTGAAGAAAGGGGAGCTGGAGAAGAATGCTGCTGCTAGTTTGGAGATGTTGGGTATGGACAAGGTAAGTTCCTTTCAGAAATCTACTATACGACAAAGATAAGAAGTTTGTAACTGATATCTTTCCAGGTAGACGTATTCTACATCCACGCCCCCGAATACAACATCCCGCTCTCCGAATCCCTCTCCTCCATCAACGCCCTCCACCTCTCCGGCAAATTCGCCCGCTTCGGCCTCTCAAACTGTCCCGCCTCTTACGTGCGAGAGATCTACAACCACTGCAAAGAACACAACTACGTGCTCCCGTCCGTCTACCAGGGCCAATACAGCCCCATCACCCGCAAGCAGGAAACGGACCTCTTCCCCACGCTCCGCGAGCTCGGTATGAGTTTCTACGCCTACAGCCCGCTGGCAGGCGGCTTCCTGACCAAGACTCGCAACGCGTTACTAGATGGTGGCAGAGAGGCGGGCAGGTTCGATCAGAGCTTGCCGCGGCTGTCGCCGTTTCTGAAGGAGTATCGCGATATGTTCGACAAGCCGGCGTACGTCGAGATCCTGGGTGAGTGGGAAAGAGCAGCGGCGATGGCGGGGTGTGGGAAGGCTGAACTGGCGTACAGGTGGGTGAGGTATAATTCTGGGCTGAAGGGGGAGCTGGGGGACGGGATGATTATTGGGCCGGGGAATATGGGGCAGTTGAAGGGGACGCTGGAGGGGTTTGAGAGGGGGCCGTTGAGTGAGGAGGTTTGTGAGGCGATTGAGGGGGTTTGGAAGAGTGTTGAGAAGGAGGCTCCGCTTGATTGCTTCAATGGTTAGGTAGGGGAGGTGTTCCTTTGATCGGCAGAAGGATGAGTGCTGCGTTACCTTTACAGACAATTGAATTGAAACCTTACACACAAGCACTTGGCTCTGTCTTGGAGAATTCCCGCTTGCCCTATCGAGTAGTTGGAGGGTCCAAGATAATGCACTCTCACATTACCGTACTGTGCAATAGTGAGAATATATTTACCATGGCCGGACTCGTAGAAATCGGCCAATGGACACTGCATGACTTCGTCCGGTCCTCGTGTGGCGTCTCAGGAACAACAAATAAGAACCAGCTGAAATGACATAATCAGTTTGGCACATCCATGCAGGAAGATCCTTCCAGCTCTCATGCTGTGCCGCCGCGTGTGCTACTTCATCCCAAAGAATCAAACTCGGGTCTCAAGGAATATCGGGTTCGGGTAAACCCATTCTCGGTGAGCGAAGCAAACATAAACTTTACGACGCCACGGATAAGATAAGGAACACATGGCTGACCAACCTCGTGGAGCACCCAAGTAACCATGCATCACCGTGGCGCTGTCAGCAAGCTGTGCCTCACTACCGCCGCCAATTCCCATGTGCTCGCTCTCCCTACCAATCCTACTGAAAACTGGATCGGAAACGCTCAAAGCCAAAACTTAATTGTGACCCACTTCTAGTCATGATCAGCGTAGTCGTGTTTCTGGAAGCTAGAAAAGGGTTGCGAGATAGATAGATAGGTCGAGAGTACGGAGGTAACTAGGATTGCCGCATGCTACCGCACCCTAATGCGAGCTTGAAGGATGCAATGATAATCAGGGTTCTGTGCTAGAAGCTGCTAAGTTGGCAACTAATCGGACAAGTATACGAAGTTTAGCTCCACGCATCAGATGCGAGTTTGAAGGATGCACTGGGCAATCAGGGTACAGAGCAGAAGTTGCCTCTTATGATTCGGGAGACGTACGAATTTTAGCAAGCTCCGTAGACTACCTGATGCAAAGTTGAAGGATGCGCTAGAATTCGGGTGTGAAGCCTGGAAATGCACGCCAATCCGTTATCCGCGCCACAAAGCCAAGCCGGAGCTCCACCTCCTTTTAGGGGTTCAGGGGCGAGCTGTGGTACGTGCACGTTAAGCGAGACAGGAAGGAGTTTGCGGTGGCTGATTTTAGTGACTGGTCCAAATGTGGTGAAAATACGCTTTTCCTCTATAGTTAATAACTTAAAAAAATTATAATCGATAGGCTGACCCACTTTTCAATGCATGCTGGATTATTTACACATTTTAGTAGATAGCAGTAAAAAAATGTAGGTACTTTCGTCTTCCGAGCTCTTAACTTCGTAAGAATCCGCTGATTTTTGGGCCCCGCAGAGGGGCTGTAAGGTTCAGAGATTTAGTGATCGAGGCCTATGCTTCAGGGAAGTACTCACTGAAAATACAGTGCATGAGTAAGTAAACTACAGCGTGTTCATCACCAAATTTCACTTTTTGGCATACTCCAAAGTAAAGTACACACTCGCACTGAGCCGCACACTATGAAAGCAAATGAATCAACAGATAGGCGTCTGCCTTTACGCTGTTCAATGGAGGATTTTCATCGCAAGGCAAACCGATTTTACAAAAACAGTGACAAATTTTTGTGATCATGATTTATATTGACTTGTAGAATTCTATTGCAAATTGAAGCCAAAATCCACATCCTTGCAACCACGCGCAAGACATTCACCACCCTGAATGAAGCTTTCTCAAGACATATTGAGGCCACCCCAGAACTCTCTCTCTGTCATCGCCACCACACTCTCTCATTACACACTCACGCCTTTCTGCTCTTCATCAAAATCGGGAACACCGGGTTGGGAATCGTGCGGAAATCACGAATCACATCCGGAGGACGAACACCATCCCTGAACTGAAAGTCATACTTCTCCAAAAACTCAATAGTCATGATCTTCATGAGGTTGCTAGCGAAGAAACGGCCTGGACAGGCATCTTTTCCGTAGCCCCAGAAAAGCTGATCTCCTGCTGCTGTTGCGAACTATATCATAAAATTAGATGATCTGTTGATGTGATTCGGGGAGCGGTGATACTTACATGCCATTTCTTCTCGTTACCGGGGATCTGGCGGAGCTTGTAGAAGCGGAAACCGTCGAATTTGTGTGGGTCTGGGTAGATCTCGGGGTCGAAACCTAATGCTGCTGAAGCGACACCAACGTGGATGCCTTTCTCGAGTACGATGCCGTTGGAGAGCTTGATTTCTTGGTTGATGCGACGATTTAGGGTGACTGATGTTGTTGTTAGCGACTCGCTTAGCGATAGGGGTATGGGAAAGGGGCTCACTGGATCCAGTGGGTTTGTGTCTTTGCGACTCCTTCAAGAAACTGTCCAATTTCTCAAGTTGCGAGAGACTTGATTTGTTGAATTGACCGTTGTGTTCTCCCAGGACGCGCTTCCATTCTTCTCGAAGTGGCGCGATGTGTTCGGGGTACTGGATGAGGTCGTACATAACTTGTGAGATCTGTCACTCTAGAGTTAGTAATTGGCGATTTCATCTATGCGATCGATACATACAGCCATGGCAGTGGTGTGGATTGCGACGACGGAGCCCATCATTTGAGTCTCCACAATGTGAGCAACGTCATAACGGTCTTTCTCAGATGATTGATCCATAATCCATTGTGTCATGTCTGCTGGCTTGGGGCCTTTGGTTCCTGAGGCGGCTACTTTGCGACGGCTTTCAACAATGGGGGTGAGAACTCTGAGTGATCTTTAGCAATATTCGAGGTTCCAAAGTGACGGAAGACTTACTTGGCACCGTCTACTAGGTATTGCTTGACGGCCTTGACGTGGGACAAGAAGTAGTGAACCAGCCCATGAAACATTTCTGGGTACTCCCAGAGCTCGTCAGATGCTAAGGCAATGTTAGTGCTGAATCAAAGTAAGGCCCATGTCACTTGCCAGTGAAGCCATCGATTGTATAGTTAACGGTTGCTTTATGCTATTGGAGGAGGAGGATTAGTTCTTGAATATCACATATCTCAGAGATATGGACTTACCCATTTGTCATTGCGTCCCAGTGGATGACCAACGAATATACGACCAGCGACATAGCCCACAATTTCAGCACCTTTATGATAGAATGGAATTTCAGTCCAGTCTGGAGTCAGTCAGTGCCAATTCAGTGCACGCAATAGTTCCGCAAACCTTTCAATTCTCCAAAGGTTGTGTTCAAAGCAAATGGCATTTCGTCCTCGAATTCCTTGATAATATGATCCATGTTCTTGGTAACATCGACTTTCACGGCGTTCACAAGCACATCATTGACGCCGAGACCAGTGTATTGCCCAGAAAAACGATCTTTGACCTGGCCTTGGAAACTGAGTTTGGTGTCTGGAAGGTTCTTCACTTCATTCATGAACTTTGGAGGAATGATATGGACGGTGTGATGAGGCGCAGGAATCTTGAATAGAGAATCTTTGAACTGTGATCGACCTATGTCAGCATACCATTTTTTCTATGGAATTTTTGGGCTCACTTTGGAATAGCCTTCTTTCAAGGCACCATGGAAAGATGGGTCCGATTCCTTTCCGACATAAGGAGTTGCCTTCATCTTCTGAGGACTAAACAATCCGAAGACAAAATACAGCAACACCACACTAAGCACACTTGTCGTGATCTGGAATGGACGGCTCTCCATCTTCTCGAGAAGAAAATCAAGCCCGCCACCGAGGTTGCCCTTGGTAGCTGCCTCCCCCATGCTGAAAGCAGCTGGTGAGGGCAAGGTCATATTCCCGAAGAATGAAGAGATCGTAGACATCGTGACTGTATGGAGCAACTTGAATGATCCACTGGAGGTGAGACTAAAGAAATGTAGATTTTGATGATCATATATGAAAGTGTACTTCGAAGTATGAGTGAGCAGTAGGGACCACGGACTTCGGTTCGGACGTGGGGTTCCAATGGTAGCACCAAGAGGGGCAGAGCTCGCACTTCGGCAATCATCCGGCAACCGAATGACTACCAATTACATTGCCAAACATTCTCGATTGCGCAGTTACACTGGATTTGTTATGATAGCTACCGCAACATGGCGGAACTCCACGACGAAGTCACTTCTCCGTCAACGCTCTTCCGCAACATAGCAATCACGATGATTAATTTGTACAAATCAACCTCCAATAAATTTAAATCCTTTCCGACATGCATTTCACTGGCTTTAGTTTTCCAAGAGTTATTCTTGAAGCCAAAATTTGGCCTTTACAATGACACCTGTACCATTATTCTTGATTGTTTTAGTAGCTTTGGTGGCGCTGGAGCATGTGCGTCGCCGTCGTGCACGTCTCCCGAAAGGAACTCGATGGCTTCCAGGTCCTCCAGGTACGCGAACCGTAGCTTCTGAACCTATACTTTCGTACTTTCGCTGATACAGTCCAGGGCTCCCATTCATTGGCCGAGTATGGGACATTCCCCGCCAACACAGCTACAAGAAGTTCAAGGCGTGGTCGGATCAATATGGCCCCATTTACCAGATGAACATTTTTGGTGAACATCATGTTTGGCTTGCTTCAGATAAAATTGCCAAAGATCTTCTTGTTACAAGAAGTGGGGTCTACTCCGATCGTCCAATGATCAAGAATCTGGAAGAGTCCAAGACTGCACCAGAGTACTTGCCTTTGTTGGGATACAATGGTAACTATTCCACACGCAACTCATGAGAGTAACGTTAACACTTTTGCAGATGTATGGCGTCGACAACGGAGATTCGTCCATCAGACCATGGCCAAGTCGACCTCGATGAAGCATCTCAATCTACCTTATATTGAAGCCAAGAAATACCTTGCCGAACTCATGGACTCTCCTTCCGATTATCAGTACCTGATGGAAAAGTATACCGGCAGAGTGATCTCGCGCTTAGCCTTTGGTGACGTCCGTCATTATGCAGAGGTGACAACAAATTCCCATGCTTTGCTAGGAGCTATCTCCCCAGCAGCAAACTTGAGCAATATCATCCCACAGCTTCGACTACTTCCCATGTGGCTCTCTCCTTGGAAGAAATCCGAAAGAGCCCGCCACGACAGAGAACGAGAGTTCTTCGTTCGAATGTACACTCTTGCCAAGTCCGACTACGACAATGGTACCTTGAAAGAGTCATACATGTCCCAATTCTTCGAAGGTAAGGAGAAATCAGGAGCAGATGATATCGAAGGAGCGTATATCATTGGTATGATTGGCTTGGCAGGTATCCTTACCACTGCTTCTGCTTTCATGACTTATATCCTTGCTATCTGTTTACATCCCGAATGGCAAGAGAAAGTCCAAAAAGAACTTGACGAAGTCTGTGGAGATCGTATGCCTGAGCCATCAGATTCTCCCAAGCTTCCTGTTCTTCGAGCAGTCATCAAAGAGATTATTCGATGGAGACCTGTTACTCCCAGTAGTAAGTGTACTTAGACCTGTTAGATTGACACTCACATTCTGACTCCAATCATAGGTATTCCACATGAAACTGTGGAGGATGATATCTACGATGGTTATTTTATTCCTAAAGGGTCGCAGGTCCATCCAAATCAGTGGTAAGCAATTCAGCTGACGATACCCGTTCCCTCGATAGTTTATGCTTACTGTTTCTCTAGGGCCATCACGCGAGAGACATCAGTCTACCCTGATCCAGAGACCTTCAACCCTCAACGATGGCTTGATCCGTCTTTCCCATCTTATCAAGAACCCTTGACCCAATACCCGAGCATTAAGAACTTTACCACTTTTGGTTACGGTCGTCGAATCTGCATGGGCATGGATCTCGTTGAAGACGAACTCCTCGTTGGAATTGGAGGCATGGCATGGGCATGTAATATCCGAAAAAAGCGTGATGAGAACGGACGAGAAATCCCCGTTAGTGCTACAGATTACTCTTCTTTGTTGATTAGTAGACCTAAGCAGATGGACTTTGATCTCACTCCGCGAGATACGAAGCGTGGTCAGTTGGTTAAGTTCAATTATGCGAAGGCATTGGAGACGGCTGAGATAATTCGGGACTCATCCTACTGATGATTTGATGGAATGGAGGTTTAGATGTTGCTGATATCCGAGATGGGATTGTTGTGGTCGTCCGTGTATTTCTTTCAGGCATGTGTGGTACCTATCCTGTTTGTGTGGGATATTAGATTTCTGAGCCTGAGACTGCATATAGTTAGCTCCTTTCTTATGTCTTCGTACCCTCAAGTCTCAACTACTTCAAATTCTATACAACAGATTTCTGCCCCACACAAAGAAAACCTGTTCGCTTGCATTCACTAAAAAAATGTATCACAGGCGCAATTTGACATACAAATTTTGCCCGTCTGAATGGCGTCCTGATTTAGCGGTATCTCTGTGCACTGACAACGAGCGATGGAAAATATTGAATGCACTGGAGAGCTTCACCTCTCATGATTGAAGCCTAAATGTTTTTTCTCATATGATAGAGCAGAAAAATGGAAAGAGTTTTGCCAAGGATAAAGTACATTGGAATGTTCAACGTCTCTGACTATTTAACAAGGAGGTTTGCCACATAATTCATACGCCTTCCATCTCAGAGCTCCAGTTCGTTGCCCAATGCCACTGATACTTAAGAGGTAGACGGGGAGTCCGAGTCTTTGTACTCAGAGATGATTGTTTCCTGTGAAGGCGACCTCGTCAACGCAATCTCGCTGTCAACAGGTCTTGTAGAGTTTTTCCAGGGGCTGTCATCGATTTGGAATTCAGTCTCGAGAGTCGTTCTCAATTTCTTCTCTGTCTCAAGAAAAGCCAGTGCAAGGCCAAACAAAGAGATTGCGAAAGCTCCCTTCCACACTACTCTCAGGCTTCGAATGAAGACCTCAATGACTTGCGTCCTTGCTGGCTCAGATAAACCCGCAATGAACTCGGATCTAGCATTTCCAAAGGCGCCTCCGTTCAAGAGCATCCCAGCGATATGCTCGTCTTGAACAACTGTGATTGCGTTTTCAACTTCCGCGTTGAACATGAAGGCTGGAATAGAAAAACCCCAAAGAAGGCCGAAACTTCGGAAGAATGAGAAGGCGGCTGTGACAGCAGCAGCATCTGAATCGGGTAATGGTGCTTGAGCTGCAGGGAGTGCTGTCGGTATCAAAGCCCCCATGCCGATAGCTCCAAGAACAGAAAGTACGATCCAATTCATTGTGGCTGTGTGGTCGTCCGTAAGCATGAATCCTGCCATGGATATGGCAGTGAGTGCAAAAGATGAGATGTGTGCAATTCGATAATGGCCGGTTTTTGAGACGAGACCACCAATAACCATTGCTGCAGGAAGCAAGACGACGACAGTCGCAAGTAGATCGACTCCTGCTTCTGTGGGGGAGTCTTGAAGGACAGCTTGGAAGTAGATAGCCAGAAAGTATGGCACAAGCATGAGTATTGTGCTTGAGAGGAATGTGATCATGAATACCAACGACGATGCAAGGTTGAAGAGTCGCAGAGGCATGATGGGAGACGGACAGAATCTAGAGTTCTGCAGGACGCCGAACAGAATGAGGCCAAGGCAGCCAAGGACAAAGCTTAAAGTGTATGCTTTGGAGGTCCAGAAACCGTCGCTTGATGCCAATGCAAGCATCATGGCAATCGCAGCTGCGCTAAACACGATTGTTCCGAGGAAGTCGATCTCTTTGATGGCATGTTTCCAAGTGCGGTGTTGCTGGTGCTTTAAGTTAAGGAACAGCCAGAGGAGGACAATGATGAATCCTCCAATGGGAACATTCAAGAAGAATATCCAACGCCAGGAGAGGTATTGAGTAATGATGCCGCCCAAAAATGGTCCTGCAATCAAAGACACAGCACTACCAGCTAAAAGAAGCCCAAGGAATTTAGGGCGTTCTCGGAGTGGGACCAAGTCACTGGTAATCAGATCTGCGAGGACAAAGATTCCACCAGCTCCAAGGCCCTGAACAGCTCTTCCGATAACCATCAAAGTCAAATTTGTTGAGATTCCACAGATTGCGCTGCCGAGACTGAAGTTGAGGACGCTGATGATTGTTGGTATTTTGCGGCCAAATATATCCGCGATTTGCCCAATTGGAGGTTGGATAATTGTTGAGCTCAATGAGAAGGCGTTAATGATCCATACGAACTGGTCTGAAGTACCAATGTCATCGATAATGGTAGGTAATGCCGTGGATGTGATATTGGAGCCCAGTGTCATCAACATCTGAGTGAACACAACTGACATGAAAACGGCCCAGAATTTCCATCCTCGAGGTCCAATTGTTGCATTCTGATCATTGAGCTCTTCCCGATCCTCCACGTCTTTCATTTTCCCATTTTGATGCATTGGCTCGAGATGCACGTCGGTCAACAAACCAACCCGCTCGACTGAGTTTAGGTCGTCCTTGGGCTTGGAGACGCTCATTTTGGAATTTAGTAATGGTCTCAAATGATGGTAGAGATATCAAATTCTCAATCTGAATAGGACCAGTAGCTAGAAAGAGTAGAGAAATCATTCGGGGTAATGAGGTTGAAAAGTACAGAGACACAGGATTGAATAAGCCACCCTCATCGGTTCCAACCGCAGTACGACCAAGACGACTCTTTACGACCCGTAAGACTCAATTGGTCGTATTAGAGATATGGACTTATCGCTGAGCGAAGAGATATTATCCAGATCGGTTCGGGAGTTGGTTCTCGTGAAACATTTCGGTTCCCGGTATATCCGCCCGTTTCCCCAGGTCAGGTCCGTCGACACCTGGGCGGTCATTTGAATGACAAGGTTTCGTCACGATCATTTCTGAAAGTCGCTTTACTCTCATCTGACGTTTGTGCAGCTCAAAATTAGCCTGAATAATTTTGCACCTACACTCCACGAATTCGTTATTGTTACAGTAACCACACCATCACCATGTCGCCAAGAACATCTCAAGAGTACTCTCCGCTTACCAAGGATAGTACCGACTCAGATGCTTCTTTTCTAGAGAAGCAAGAGCTTCATTTTCGTCCAAAGAAAACACTGTATACTCGTTTTGGACAACCGTTGATCCGTTGCCTCATTCTTTTAGCTGGTGTCCTTACAGTTTTCAAGGCTTGGGACTTTTTGACCGTTCTTGAAGTGAAGCTCGATAGCTTTGAAGTATCTCATGGCGAAATCACGGCACCACAACAGCAACAAAGTCACGGATGTACTCGTCCTACGATCCGCCGCAGTTGGTTGACGCTCACGAATGCCGAAAAGAAAAACTACATCGACGCTGTCAAATGTCTTTCAACCAAGCCGTCATATATGGTGCCCAATACGACTCTGCATGATGATTTCACTTGGATTCATATTAAAGACGGGAACTTTCGTATGGCACCTTGAAACGATCAGTGGTATTGACAAGTTTCTAACATGTCTAGAACACTTCGCTGCTGGAAATCTGCCATGGCACAGAATGCACCTTCATCTTTACGAGCAAGCTCTCCGCAATGAGTGTGGATATGATGGATATCTAATGTAAGCATATAAAAATGACTAGCCAACGCTAAGATACATCTGACTGACAATTGTTTAGCTATTGGGATTGGGAAACCGAGTATCTAGATCCTTATTCTTCGAACATTTTCGATCCCGAAACCGGCTTCGGTGGCAACGGAGACACAAGTGGACCATATGTTGACCAGACTCACGGAGATAAGCTCGACCAGAATCGCTGCGTCCTCAACGGCCCTTTCAAGGATTTGACAGTTGCTTGGTACGCTGCATTCCCGCTTGAAGGTCCTATGGATGTTCGTTCAGTGTACCATTGCTTGACACGTAGTTTTGCCCCCAACTTCAAGGACCTTAAGGCTATATCAGGAACTTTCACCGATATTGCCTTTTCGCCCGCTCGTCTAGAGGAAATTATGCAGACTGACGACTACAACACGTTTAATTTCGCTATGGAGGTATTGCACACTTGGCTTCCCAAAGCCGTTCTGGGCGATTTCGCAACTCTGTCAGCAACAAATGGTTAGTAATATAGCCCAAAACTGCGAGCGTTAATTTACTAATCTTGTACTTCGTAGATCCGTTGTTCTATCCCCATCTTGCAAACATTGATCGACTTTGGTGGAAGTGGCAACAAAAGGACGGTCAAAAGAATATGATGAAATATGGAGGGCCTGCAGTGCTTAACACTGAGATTCCATCAAGCCTGGATGATCCCATGCCCTTCCCGACTTTTCCGGGAATGCCAAGGACTCTTCAGGCCAAGCACCTGATGAAGACTGAGTCTGAGATGTTTTGTTATCGCTACTAAGCGGTCATTACGATACTATGGAAGGCATGTGCGCAAGATGGGGAGTTTGTAAGAGGAAAGGAGATCTAGCGTTGTGAAAGGACAAAGGATATTTGAGAGGTAGCCACTAGTGAAACTGTGTTTGATTTTATTGCACTCATTCTCCTGATTGTTCTTTCTTTATTGAGAAGATCATAAATTATCATAGCAATAGATTTCTATTTATATCTTATGCATACATTTTCGAACAAGCTTCTTGATCCCATCTGCTGCAGAAATAAGCATATCCCCCGCATGATACTATCACGTTGGCTGCTCGGACGGACGCCGGTACCCCGTAACGTTAGTCAGTCCGGGTCTCGTGTTCACTACCGGTATAAAATCAAACTCCAACTTGTCGATCCCCGAGCAGTCTTAGTTGCCGAAGCATGAAAGCCAGTTGGACCACCTCCTGCCAACATAAAGTGAATTGGGTTCCCGCTCTTTCGCGTAACTACATCATCGTTTACTTTACTAGTCAAGGTCAGCACATCATTAACAAACAGCTAAGATGGTGTTATCAACATACTCCGCACTGTCCACGCTGCTCCTCGTCAGCCCAGTAGCAATCGTGCTATATGTCTTGGGTGGAGCAGTGTATCGTCTGTATCTCAGTCCTCTTGCCAAGTTTCCTGGTCCTAAACTCGCAGCACTTACACAATGGTGCGCCTTGAAATTTTCGACTCAGCTAGAATCTGCAGATTGCTAATGTTCCCAGGTATGAATTTTACTACGATGTAGTTCTTGAGGGCCAGTACACCTTCCACATCAAAACTCTGCATGAGAAATACGGGCCAATAATCCGCATCAACCCTTGGGAACTGCATGTATACTCGCCACACTTCCATGAGGAACTGTACGCTGGCTCGAACAAGATCAGGGACAAGTGGGCTTTCTTCACCAAGAAGGCGGATGCTGAGCAATCTACATTCTCGACAACATCACACGCTCCTCATCGGAAGAGAAGAGCTGCGCTAAATCCATTTTTCTCCACTGCCAGCGTCAACACACTACAGCCTGTCATTTCCCAAAAGGTCCAACAATTCTTGGACCGAATCAGGAGTTTTAGAGACAGTGGCGAGGTTTTAGTGATCAGTGATGCATTCGCGGCTTTTGCAAATGGTTCGTGCCAACATCTTATGCTTGACATGTATCGTGCTAACGACGGAAGATGTTGTCAACGAGTACTCTTTCTCAAACTCTCAAAACAGAGTTGCTCATCCGACATTCGACCCCGATTTTCATCATGCTGCAATTAATGGTCTTAAACGTGGCTGGACTCTTAAGCATTTCAACTTCATCCTTCGATTGAGAGCTTGGATTCCTGAACACATCGCCGTACGCATCCACCGTAGTACCCGTGAAGCTATATACATCCGCTCAGTTTGTCTTCCAAATATGCTGTTTTCTGCAACTTTCTAACAAATGTCAGAAAATGTATGCCCAAGTTCAAAAAGTAATGGCAGCCCCGGAAGGCACTTATCTCAAAGGTGGTCACAAGACCATCTTTCACGAGATTTTGGGAAGCAGTCTACCTCCCAACGAGAAGTCTGTGGCCCGCCTCGCCCAGGAAGCTTTCACCATAATCCCAGCAGGAACGATCAGTACCTCCTGGACACTGAGTGTGGGAACGTACCACATTCTAGCATCGCCCACCATCATGAGCAAGCTCCGTGCCGAATTGTCAGCCGCATATCCCGATGCAGATACGCAGTTGTCCTTGGTAGAATTGACCAAACTCGACTATCTCACCGGATGCATCTTGGAGGCTCTCCGTCTGAGTTATGGCATTAGTACGCGAAACCAACGCATTGCTCCCGAGGAAGACATGATGTTCACTGATCCAGACACGGGAAAAAAGTGGTCGATACCTCGTGGTACTCCCACTGGCATGTCGACTTCCTTGATTCATCACGATGAGACCATTTTCCCCAACTCCCATGAATTTGTGCCAGAACGATGGCTTGATCGAAAAGAACGTGAGCGGCTAGGGAAGTATATGGTTTCATTTGGTAGGGGTACGAGAAGTTGCCTCGGTATAAATCTTGCGTATGCAGAGTTGTATTTGTTGATGGCCAATTTGTTCAGACTTTTTGGGGGAAATGGAGAATATGGAAAAATGATTGAGAAGGGAGCAAGCGAGGGAACATTGGCATTGTTTCAGACGGACGAGAGAGACGTGAGAATGGCCCACGACATGGGTGTTGCGGTGCCATGGGAAAACACCAAAGGAGTTCGGGTCAAGGTTTTGAAATAGCCGCTCGAGACAAAGCGGCGAGTTTCGTTATCAAAGATTTGTCTACTAGCCACGAACTAACACCAAACCCTAGAAACCTCTGAATTCAATTTCCAAAACTCGCTGCCTCAAACCGCAGCTGTCCAATTGCTTTAGCCAGCCGGTTCATTGTCTCGACAACGAGTGCTTTCGTTGCTACCAATCGGCCACTCGTCTGCCAAGCATGATCATTGTGTAGTATATCATCGATGGCAGTCTCGAGATCTCCTAACGAAGCATCCAATCCCAACAAGCAGTCTGCTAGGAGTTGTTCGGCGAGTATCCGAGACTCTGATGCGTCCAGTTGACTCTCTCCAAGAGTCATTTGGCTGGGTATACATATCCTTGAGAGTGAAGTGGAGGGCGGAGATGAAGCGGAAGAAGAACTGCTAGTGTGTGTGTCTTTTGGGGACAAATCTGGTGCCAGGGTTATGAGACGATGTGAGGAGGCTGCGGGTGTAGCATGCGAAGTCGAGTATACACTCTGGGGAGCTTCTCCTTCGAGTTCAGCAATCGAGTAGGACGAGAATGCGGCCACGTAGAAGTTGAGAAGACCAGCAGCGATCTGAGAAAGGGTGACCAGTGTCTGCTCCTGAGTATTGCATTGCTCACATTCCATTATCTTCTTCCACTGGTCGCATATTTTGTGGCTGGTGTCCAAGATGACATCAAACGGAACAGCCTTTTGATTGAGAGTACTTGAGGCGGTTTGAGATATCTGAGAAAGACAGCCACAAGAGTTTTGCATGGTTCGCCTTGTTGATTTTCGAAGTCGGTCGCTTTTGTGTGTAGAGCTGACTGGCTCATGAACGGGTGATATCAAGATATCAGGAACATAACTGACGGCCGCGGCCTGCAGGTTCTCGAAACAACTCCAAGTGGAGAATTGACCAATCCATCGCTGCGGGTATATTTTGTCCGAGCTTCTTTGGTGGCGTCAAGCTTCTAAAATATTACTTTTGGTAAATGTAGTTGAGATCACTGCAGGATTCAGCCATCCTCCATCTTCAACGCCGAATTGTACTCCAAATCTGTTTAATCAATTGTGCACTTTTGTATACTAAGCTGATAATGCTACTCTTGTGATCAGGAACCATAATGGCAAAACCACGAGCAAATATAATACGTCGGTCAAATTCTCACCTTTTAGTACGCTATTCCACATGCAGGGATCTCACGTTATGGCAGGATGTAGCGGCTTCTATGTGCGACCTCAGGTAGATTGCGTGATGGTGCGGCGTAGCACGGGAGCTTTGCGCGAAGCTGGAGACTTGTCCGTTGGGACCAATTGCCAAAATTGTATTATTCGACCGTGCGTCTTTACACTAGTCTTCGAGCACATGTTTGTCTAGAACCTACTCTACCTACATAGGTTAGGGCTATTTCTGAATATTTAATCGGCTTGATGCGCATCGCCCACTACGTCGCGCAAGCCTAAGCGCAACGGAGAGTGTCTTCAATGTATTGTACCACCCAACTTTGTCTGATATGTTTCATTAAAAAGCCACATGGTCACGATTGGAATATCAGTAAACACCGAACCTCGGCCTACCCCTACATCTGGGAAATTTGTCCATATGACGACAATGAGCAAAAGCCTCGGGTGTAACTTGCTGCGAAAGTCTTCCAGCGTGGCTTTATTGTCGGGTTTCCGCATCCCAAACCCCCACCTCTGTCCGGACAGCATTTGTGTGTTGAGCAAAAGCAGGTAGATAGCACGAGGCACTAGTGACAAGATAACGAGTGAGGGATGACGGCAGGGCATCGACATCTGCTACGGTGTCGATACCAATCGTGACCGAGCTCGACGCAATCCACTGTCGACCCGCACTAACTCGGTGCTACAGTGCTATTGCAGATCGCACATCAGCAGTTCGGATGCTATGTTGAGGCAAAAGTTAAAAGCTGTACCATCGGATTGGCCCTATCGCATGAGACAAGGGAATGCAGAACAGTGTGTGTCCTCCGCTATCAGAACTACTGCACCTGCAAGGCGATAATTATCATTTGATTGGCATGCGACCATCGAGACCGGGAACCCACGAGCCATGTTTCTGCAAGGATCTCAAAAGAGAAGGAATCGCACGACTGCCAATCGTCAGCTCGTTTGTTTGTCGTGTGGAATACCTGCCCCTTGAATTGATCCTTGATGGGACCTGTCAATTATACGTACTTTAACCACATTCTCTCCAATACAACAACAAAGGATCCTGCCTGCATGGCTCAAAACGTGCTTGCCCAGACTGTCGGTCGAACTTCAACTTCCAGCCAAGTATCCGATGCCATGCGTCTTCACGGCTCAGCTCGGACGAGTGGCGTCGTGGCTTTCTCCACGACGGTCCGTTCCTTTACGGCGGAAGTTCTGCCGTTATCCCTTGTCTACCTGCCGATGGTGGGCGCTCTTTTCTAGTCTCATCTTTCGGCGTGTGCTAGTCCTTGGTTTGAACCTCCCAGAGAAGCTGAAAAGCGGTCGACAGTCTCAGCAGGCGTCGAGGCGTCAGAATACGCCGCTCTGACTTTTAAGCTTGTATCTCTGGGCTTTTTGGCAAAAACGCCACGTCTTGGCTGCAAACGCCGCAAATCTCGTCAGAGGACGGAAAAGGGTCGGTATGGGGGCATCCCCTAGCAAGTGAGTCGTCAGCGTGGTGATACGTTTCCTCGCCAATCAGGTAAGTGAAATATGCGAAGCTTATTGGACTTCTACCGGACTGACTTCTTTCCTTACGGATCCTTTGAGCAATAGTCCGACAGAATCAGATCCACTATACGGACGTACGAGGTCTTAATAATCAATGATTGAATACCAGAAATATGGGATCATTTACCGTTAATCTTATTTTCCATCATCGCAAAATTCACTATGCTCACTTTTCCAGACTCTTCAGCTCTGTCCTCTCAATTGTCAAAAGACCGTCCAAATACAGGCAAGTCTTCACGAGGCACCAAAGAACTCAAGTACCGGTCTTCTTGTGATGCGTGCCAAGAAGGGAAGATACGCTGCGGCCAGCAAAAGCCTTCTTGTTCACGATGCGAGACACGTGGTCAGGAGTGCGTTTATAGCCTTTCCAGACGAATGGGTAGGAGGAGAAATTCACAACCGGTTAAGTCTCTTACTGGAGACAATATCCCACGGTCCAGTGCGTTACAGATCGATAGGCCTAAAGACAATGGATCGAGCTCAGAAACATCTCGATCGAATACAATGCCAGATGTAACAAGCCCGCATTTTCAGACTCAGCATGCTGATATCATGCAACTGGAGTTTGATTGTAACGAGTTGAATGACTTTTTCTACACGTACCCTTCCATCGAGACCTCGTCATGTCAATCGCCGTCCTCCCTAAATGGAAATTCGAATAACGAGGATCCGTGGGCCCATCTCGACATCGATTTCACAAACGCCAGTCTAATTAGTCAAAGTTTGCAAACGCAGCAACAAGAGCTAGATCAGTTGATGACGGACTGCAGTTCTGGCTTGGTGCCTCTCGAGACAGATCATCAAGACACGGACGGAGAACTGAGTAATTGCGGCGCAGACCAGTTTGAACACGGCAAAACCCCCTCGAGCACCAATCTATCCATCAAGGGAGACGCCACAAATACTCATTCCAGCCATGGCTCCTCCACAAGCTTGTACAAATCAGAAATCAAGACTCGCAACCTCCAACATCTATCTTCAGCAGTTGTTCCATTTACTTCTGGTCATCAACGAGGCTCTTCTAACCACCAAGACTGTACATGCTACAACTCGGTACTCAGAAACCTTGCCAGCTCCAATCAAGACAATCGAGGATCGGCTTTCTTGGCTGCGGATATCGTTCTCAAAATTGAACACGAGACACAGTCTATCCTGACAGAGCTTATGAAATGCCGAAGTTGTTCTCAGGATGGATCAGCACTGCTGCTGTCCTTCATCAATGTCAGTAAGACGCTTGATCTTCTGGAAAGTACAGCGTCTCTGGAGATGAAGCCGCAAAGGAGAGCTTCTGTCAGCTCGAGCCGTGCAGCGGCACAAATTCGGACGAGTCAAGCAATCGATGCGCGGAATGTGGCATCTGCCAAACGATGTAGCCTTCAGGTTGGAAGTTTCGAGGTTATGGATGGAGGGAGGTCACGGTTTCTGAGAAAGATCTTTCAATCTCGATTGAAGCAGCTTCAAATGAGACTGCGGAGCCTACACCTTGGTTTGGGAAATCCTCCACAGGACTGTATCACTAGGGCTGGGTTGGTTATGGTCACCGGCATTTTGAGACGACTGCAGACTTTTACGGGGAGATTAGAGCTATGGGACGAGCAAAGCTGAATCGGCTGATTGAAATTTCATGTTCATAGAAAGAAGCATACAACCAAACCTGCATAGAATGACTGCGCTTGAGATAGATAGAACCTTTGGAATCATTGTTTGGTAATTCAATATATGCAGCCACAAACACATAGAGAAGAGCGTAGCATTCCGTTTGCGGTATTCCGTGCTATAACGCTTAAAATATGTTACATTAAAGGGTAAAAGATTTCAATACCACGAATTTTAGCAAAAAAATTCGAAATACCATAGCTTTTAAAAATAAAATTTTAATACCATGAAAAAATTCAAGCTCAATATCTTAAACCTTTTCCTCAACCTCACCGTCGCCCAACTTCGCCTCATGTCTTCATTACCATAATATCTATATTCTCAAGTAGCATTCTTGTCTAATGCCCCCCGCCTTCTCTTTTTTTTCCCTCACTCGACCATGAAGAAAGCCGGAAAAAAAAGGTTCAAGATATGCGGGTTCCAAGAGGCGCAACAGCCAAGAAACAGCTTGTAAAGCCTGCAAAAAGTGAAGAAAATAAAGTATAAGTGTCGTGCCATTAATCTATTTATAGAAAAAAGGCCCACTAGTAACTACTCTAGCACTTATAGACGGCTTCTTGTTTAAGCTTGCACTTGAAATTGTAAATATATCATATAGTAAACTAATCTTTAGTGTAATATCGAAATCTTATGTGCCAAAATTCGTGGTATTTTAATCTTTTTCCCTACATTAAAACCTTATCAAGCTATTGTCACACAACCTTACGATCTGTGATCTGCGACTGGGATTCTGATCACTTTATTCCACGTTTCTGACAATAAGCAGCCACCGGCTCCAGGGCCAGATAGCGGAGTAAGCCCTGTAAGCGCAGGGACTTCTTAGGCTGAACCTGCTGTGCCGGATGAGCGCTGCGACCTGAACTTACAGGGTATTTTAGTGGATGCGATGCTTCTAGCGGGAACTACAAGCTGCTGAACAACCCAGGCCCACCAGGCCTGTTATCGTGCTTTGTAAGATGGTATTATTTGCTGCGTCTGACTGTTATCGGACTCGGTGCAACTTCGTCAGCCCTGTGTTCGACGTCAATTCTGGTGTAAGCCAAGACTTCCAATGTCTCTCCTCGGTCTACGTGGATCCGCAGCCAGGACTTCGGAATTCGAGGGATCTGCTACAAGGATGAAGATGGCCGTGGAGCCTCCATGGAGTGGCTGGAGTGCTTCCGTCGTTTAGTTGTTCAATGAGCGAGCATCCCACTGGGCGGGACTGGTCTTACACCGGGAACATAGATATCATCTATTCATGGCTCAATGAAAGTAAGCTTCACTTCATTTGCTCTTCATACGAATCGAATGGTGCTAATGTAAATCGTATTTATCGCTGTAAATGGCATCATCGACGTAAGAATCCAAGAAGATGTCCAATTCGGCGCCCTCCCTTGACATAAACTGGAGCAATGTCCTTCACTGTATCACGACAGCATCCATCGCTGGCCCTACAGAGGCACCTTTCGTCTCTGGGGCATAAATGCTTATCCACAATAGGGCAATACCACAAAACACCGATCTACGTCGATATGTATGCCGCTTCATATTCAATCAACGACTGGAAATTTTCGACCCTTCATCTGAACTTTGAATTTCGGCTTCATATATAGCGGGCCGAAGTCATGAATGTTCTCCCAACTGGTATCGGGAACTGCCGAAAAGTGAGCTACCTTTCCCATCTTTAAAAACGTTGTTGATAGCGTTATCCTCTTGTCAACATCTACAGCTTTCCCCTTCCCTTCTTTATCAGAATACTTTGGGCCGAGATCAAACATGTTCTCTGCACTTCCATCGACGACTTTTGAACAGTTGACTTCTTTAATCGTCCAATGCAACAAGTCTTTACCGGCCGGAACCTTTTCTGCTAGTTCTTTCTCTCGAGCTGATCTTACGGCCATTCCTCTTTCGTTTTGTTTCCGCCGTCCATCCTCGACCGCAAGCCTCATCCTTTCCAACTCCCCAATTCTGTCATCCGCTGCATTCCCAATTCTCGGTTTCACTTCCTTCACCTTAGCTTGAGGTTCAATACCTTTCTCCTTGGGCTTGGCTAGTTTCCTTCGTGTTTGTCTGTTCTCTACTTGAACTTGTTCTGAAGGCATCTGCGGAATCAAGCCCGCAGCTGGTGTCGTTGGAAAGTTGTTATTCCATACTCTCCCAGCAGGATCAGGGGATAGTGAGCCACCCGGCATATCCTGTGGTATTGGAGCTGCAACATTGGAGTACGATGATGTGTGCGGAGTTGGTCTAGGGCTGGCTGGCCGTGGGCTAGAACCCAGGCAGCAGCTGAGCAGACAAGTCAGGAAACAGCAGCCAGACAGCGCAATGACAATGGTGACGACGATGCTTACTGCGAACCCCAAGTGAGCGAAGAAGTATTGATGCGGGGAAGAAGAGTTGTCACTGGGATAGCCGCCATAATCGCCAGAAGGGGTGCTGTATGTTGCTGTGGTGTAGGCAGGCACAACATCGATGTAAGCTTCGACGATTACCCCTGCCGCGATGATAGTAAGCGGTAGTTGGGTCCCCGTTGGAAGTGTGTTGATTACAGTAGTAGAAACGACACTTAGTACTTCGTAGTAGCTAGTACATAATAGTCGGAAGAATCGATAATAGCACCCCATGCTGTGACTTGCATGCTTTGGCCGGCTGTCGTCAGGGTTTTGTAACAGTCCCATGCATTAAATGACCCATAATCGTCAAGAACGAAGCTGCTGTATGCTCTGTACATAGGATCACATTAGTACAATGCATTGAGCCTGGAATCCAAGAGATTCTACTCACAGTAGACAGCAGACGGCCGTTGTTGTATCGGAGAGTTCATATTCGTCATCCGTCCACGACGTGGCAGTTGTGAATCCGTACGGACATGCGACAGGAGATGAAGTGAAATCGAAATAACCTTCAGGAAAGCAAGATATGGCGCCAGTAGTTTGACCGCTCGTTGTCACATATACCAAGTTCAAGATAGCGTCCCAGGATATAGTTATCTCGTCCCGAGATCAAGTTTGACAAGTGACACCACTCTGAAAACTGTAACAAGTTCCTCCGATTAGAGTTGGAAGCGCCGTTGAACATGACGCTGGCGGTGTAAAAACTGTCACAACTGAATCGATTGAAGTATATCGACCTTCAATTGTCGGTGTCGGGCTCGTCGGGTTAGGTGGCATTGTGTGCTACGAACTGGCAGGATTCGAATTTTGCCAATGATTCCTCCGGTGCTCAAATCCACACAGGGCGAAGTTATCAAGGATTCGCAGCTATGGTAGCAGTTTTGGGTTGCATTCTCAGCCTCGAAGTCTGGACAATGAATGATCTGAGATATCCAACCTTCACAGACCACTTGCAAAATTGCAGCCTGCAACGAAGAGATAGACCAATCCAAGACGTGCCATCTTTCAGATACAATCAGTGAGTCTGAGCGGATCCGTTGGCGAGCCGTACCAGCAAGAAGTCTGCCTTATCATTTCGGTGGTTCGAGAGGCCGAAGCCTCAAGCCGATTACATGCGATGATTTTCCAATATGGATGCCAAGGCTAGCCACAACCCTCCACAAGGAATCTTCCGTAAGTGACCTTATCTATTGACGCCCGACCCAGGTTTGATCCCAATTTTCATACTTCACTCCCATAGTCAGATCCTCGAGGAGGCACCTCCGTATGCAAATAGCAAGGCCAATCACAACCAACACGTCGCTTGGCACATTTCAGTGGAGGCTAGAACCAAATATGAAACACAAAAAGCAAAGGCATATACGAGTTGGCCAAAGAGCGTAATTAGAATGTGGAAATTAGAAGCCGTCTTAATCTCCCCTGTGTGTGTGAATGAGAAAATGAGGCCAGAAGTGCCCAAATTTGTGATCATCGGTACACGTGTAAAATCAATAGCGGCTACTCAATCACCAGTGACAAAACTTCAGCACTGTATTGCAAAAAATTCCTTGTAACCAATTTCGGGCTTCTGAAAAAAAATATTGGAACTCTGCCTCTTGGTGCTCACGGGCGATTTTGGGAGAATAAATGTGTATCTTCAATAGTCTTTCAAGAAATCGAGATTTGACTTGCCTCACTCGAATAGACTATCTTAGTTGGAAGTCTGCGCAAATATTAGTCCAAACAACCTGAAACATAGTATGCCCCGAATTCAGCGCAATCAGCTGCTATATGAGATGGAAGTTGCGCCATACTCCTTGCCGTGAAAGATAACCTTCCAGTTGATCCTGTCATCCGCGAAGGTAGCTTCAAGCTTAAATTCAGCTACCATATACTCTTCAGAATTCAGACCAGATCTGCATCGCGGAAACTTGCTGTCTGGAACGTCATTAAGGTTTGCTGATACTCTGCAGATATTGTATGCGTCTAGTTGATCATAAGGTAGTCAGTGACTTCCATATGAGATTTACAGCATTGCAACGAACCTTTATGCGCGTAGCGTTGTGGTGCATCATCCTCGTCGCATCCCACGAGAACTGCAGCAAAGCTACGATCCTCACCGGTGCGAAATTGACATCCACAGGAAATAGAAGCAGTTCTGGGCGTTAAATCTGGCAGTCGCTCCCCTTTACTTACGAGCCATGTCATTTGACCTCTCGCATACTTGGTCCCCTCATACTGGTCTGTATACATGTCTTGTGCTAGATGCTTGCGTGGATTGAACCTCTCCGAAGCATAAGTACCATAATGCTTTCGGGCGAGCCTGACAGCGACAAGTCCAGCTTGGGGACCTTCCAAGCCTCTGCAAACAGCTCCTCTGGCCACTGCCGACCAGCTCCTATACTTTAGTACAAGAGGCGGTACGAGGCAGTGAGTTCTCACGGAAATGAAGGCCTACTGGTCAACATGTTTCGATCCTTACAATACTCAACGATTTTCGAGTAGAGATACTCATTCCTACCGAAACCGCCGACGCTGAGAACCATCTAAACGGGCTGAGGTCATCGATGCACTTATCTAGAGTTATTAGGGCTCTCGCCTTTGGTTTCCTATTGCCGCTTTTCAAAACAGCAGCAACTTGGCCATCAATCAACTCGAGGATACGATTGACGCATGGATCGAAGATCGCTATGAGATCGGAACTATCAAGTATTAGAAGCCTAAGCATTCCAGGGTATTCTCATGTCCCACTTGCCTCGTAACAGTAAGTTGACGGTCTTCGATGCCTTTTTCGTCATCTTCGATTCCGCGCTCCTTCGGAAGTGGAACTTCGAATTCTTCTGGTTTGCCCTCAAAGTACATTTTGGCAGTTTCGAAGGCAGTCATCAAGACGCTCCCGTGGCGAGTCTTGGCCTGTGGAATCTTCCTGAAAGCTTCGGATCCAAGCTTTTTTTCAAGCCAAGTGAGGAATTCCTAACAAGATAGGTCAGAAATTTTTTGGTATAATTTACCGAAAAACATCATTGAAACCGACCTTGTCAACGTAGCTGGCTCCGCACTTGTCCCCGCTACCAATCGCAGCTTCTTCTACCTTTAGAACGGGATGGACTTGAGTGACGTGATAAGAAATGAGATCCTGTAGAGCAGTGTTGGCAGTAATGGTGCGGAAGGTCACAATTTCGACTTACAACTGTTCCACCTCCAGCGTCGCTTAGAACAAAAGAATCTCCAACCTGCAGTCTCAACTTAGAAATATTATTAGAGGGAATCGAGGGAGTTATCTGAATCTGATCCTTCCCCGCACCCTCTTTCATATCCTTTAATGTGTATATGGCCGCAGCTTCGGGTTCCGTCACCAAAGATATCTTACTCACGTCGAACTTTGCTTTGGCGACCGCTTTGACAGTAAGGTCCTTCGCATGTTCTGACCACACAGCTGGAACAGTGATGACAAGTTCCTTGTTTAGGGTAGAAAGTGTGGATCCATAGATCTTCGCGAGGTCACTAAACACATGTTTTCTAATCTCTGTGAGATAGTCTGCCACCACATCAACCGGCTCTTTCCCAGGGTATTCAGGAGGTCCGTCTTCATCTTCATCGGAGTCGTTGAAGCCGAGTCCATCTATACTGAGTAATTCCAGAAGCCTTCTCAGTTGGTTCGACTTGTTCAAGCGCTCGTCCAGTCTGAGCTTCATCATTACATAGACCTTAGCTTTGGTGTTGGGTTTGATCAAGTTGCCCCATAGAATCGTGGAGTTTGGAGGAAGTCCGTAGGCGATGCGACTAGGGACTTTCTCCGTGTTTGCCATACTGGCCAGCCCAGGCCATGACTGAATCAATTGTACGTTTGCGGTACCTTTTGCGCCTGCGACATCGTCACAGAACGCAACTCCACTGGCATTACAATTAGATTCTTTGTTTTTGGTAGTGTAGGGATAAAGGACCAGAAAATCTTGGAACACTGTGTTGAATAGTCTACTTACCTGAACGTGGTACCAAAGTCCAGGCCAATAACTAGCTTCTTCGACATCTTGAAGGATAATTGCGGAAGCAAGTTAGACGAAGAATTGCAGGAAGAAGCCAATGCGATGTCAGGAGTAATGTTCGAGAATCAGGGTGTCAAGTTGTGCTAAGGTTCTGGAGACGGCGAGGAACTGTGAAGAGGAAACCGGCTGCCTGCTGTCCTTCATACACGTCAAGTCCGACAGTCTGCCTTGGCTGAAGAGATAACTACGCCTCATTGCCAATTTAAGGTCCAATACTTGGGCCAAGAGTCCGGGGGCGCTTTAGTCACCTGCATAGGTGCCCTTGACTCAGACTCGTGGTGAGTCGTGTTCAGCTGATAAGCTTGCATCCGCCATCTCCTTGGCAAAGTAAAAGTAATATCGATGAGTAAATGGAAGGACAAAGCATCAGCGGTGTGACGCCCAGTTTGAACAGGTCGATCTCGATATCGAGAAAATGACGAAACATAACCCCAAGAACAAGCCAAACAATCGAAACTCAAAATCAAACACGAGAGAGAATACTAGTAGCGGACTAAGCATGGTAAGCAGTACACATTGCGTTCTGAATGTAGATTGACTTTAGAGGCTGAGCTGGAAGCTTCTGAAGCCCGATGCAATCCATCTCCCAGAATCAACTTCACGAGAACGACATGGGTACAGCAGCATCACTTGTGCATGGACCTGTACCACGACCACCTCTCAGTGGCCCTGCCTCTCACAGCACCGCACAGTCTCGCTCAAAGCGCTCGCACCTCTATGACGAGCATGAGAGCCCGGCAAACACAACCGTCAGACACAGAAACGCCCTTGAAACTTCATCCAGAGAGGAGGTAGAAGAGTTGAAAACCGAGTTGGACTCTGTCAACCGTCGACTGTACAAGGCTGAGGCGAACGTTCAGAAACTAGAGATGGAAAAACTTGAATCTCTGGATCGTTTTCAACCCGTATTTGATGATCACATCATCGCCAAGATAAAGTCCGTGGAGCAAAAACTGAACACACTAGTGAGCTTTCTCGTCAAATGTTCTGCTACCACGGATATTTCAGACTTGGGAACAACTCTCGCAAAATACACATGGTTTAATCGCTTCAGTCGAAAGCTGATCCATATCGACTGCAACAACAGAGTAGTACTTCGAAAGGCCTTGAGAAGCGTGACGTGGATGTTTTTGCATCATGAGCTTTTCTCGACTCCATTTTTGTGCTTCGGAAGTGAAGTTGGAGAACAACTTTCCAATGTCTTTGCAACTCTATATGAGGAACCGCGTATGTCAATACAGATGTCAATCAGAGGGAACATATTGCTGACAGTTAATTTTAGACCTAAATGCCGAATCTGTCAAATGGCGTTGCCTCACCGTGAAGCAACTTGAAGCGTCCAAGATCTGCCAATCCGACGACATTACTTGTCGGCAGTTGCACGAGAAGTTTCAATTGCGCATGGGAAATATGCGTTACAATATTACCGAAGCGGGGCTTTTCAAGGAGAAATCGAAGAAGATGTTTGAGGCGGCTATCCAGCTCGCAAAGCTATTTGCTAGCCAACGAGCAATTTTCGAACTGTTTGACCCTCCGAAAGAGCTTTGGTTCAAAGCTGTCGATAGCGAGTATTGCACCAATGTAAACAGTACTGATGAAAAGGATGACCAAGTGGAGAGATCGGGAGTAGTCGCATTTATCGTCTCGCCAGCATTACGGAAGCGGGGTGATGGAAAAGGGGATAACTTGAATGAGAGCACGCTCTTAACGAATGCATTCGTTCACTTAGCACTGGAACACCCAATGAAGGAGAGTTTCGTAGCTGATTCAAACGTGTTGCACGATACTTGATCCATGTGGAAAGTACTATGGGGGAGCACTGTCTCGACGTATATTACTTATGACTCGTTAGCTTAACACGAATACAGAGCGTTTGCCTCAATAGCATGGGCGTTACATAGAAGAAGAAAAAATTGCTTATTTTTTCATATTATGCTTTGGTTACATCTCTCTCCTAGCTTTTAGCAAAAACTTCGTTAAAAACCATGTTTTATTCTCGGTTTTTTTTGTCCATATTCGTTATTCACCATTTTGAGAATATCGTTATAAATTACGTCGAAGCTTCTCGATGCATTATAAACAGAGATTTCAAAGAATGCGAAGAACCGAAGTGAAATGTGGAAGTATTTTGCAGATGTTGCAGTGTTGAGGAGCAAATCAGCATAGAGAGCGACCGAGCTTTGCCCCGCATTGTTGTACCCTCCGGCTAAAGCTTTAAGCGACAGGTCCTTCCACCAACTGAGTAAGACATGTGATGTGGAGAGAACATGAAGCTTGTAGGGAAGTATAATATAATAATGTATTATACAGTCTTGTACAGTGTTATACAGCAGGTACAGTACATACCTGTTAAATCCTTGCTTTCTTTGGCTTGCCTCTTACTTCCGCAACGAAGCTCCACTCAGCAGCCGAGTCATCCGTTCCCTCTGTTCTATCGGGACAATCAAGTACTCCCCTTTTCTAACCCTCTTGAATCCCTTCTTTTCCCACTCTCGAAAATGTGCAACGCCTATTTTGTGCCAAGGGACATTGAGATCTTTCGAGACTCGATCCTTCCACATTCCCACTGCTTGGAAGTACTCAGTGCCTTTAGGAGCCTCGCCCTTCTCGTAGAATATTTCGGCCATCTGTTCTTGCTCGTTTTGTGCCCTGTTGACTGCGCGGTCCATTCCTTTCACCATCGCAGTTTTGTTGTACGCGGATGGATTCATCCATCGTGCGACTTTCTGGTAATCGAGTTCGAAGCCGGACTTGTCATAAGTCGGAGAGCCATTGGGACCTTTCGCGTAGCAGACATGGAGTCTAATAGAATTAGTAAAGGGTATTTGGAGGGTCAAAGTGTTGGTATATACTCATGGAAACAATGTCCCTCGTTTTCCCTTGCGAATTGCGCGTACTCTTCCTCTTTCTCCTCAAATGTCTTGCGGACTTTCTTTCCAGGCGGACCCTTGAAGGGCTTGATGTTTGGCTCGATAGAGAAATCTTTCTTTTTGATGGGACCAATGCGTCCAGGCGTTCTCTCGTATTCTTTGGGCTCAGGAGGTGGCGGAGTTGCGTTGTTTTTACTCACTGTCGGTTCGACAGCCGCCGCTGGGGTCAAATTCTCCTTCTCATTCTCCGTGGACTCTGCTTCTTCAGCCTTCCGCTTTTTGCTGACTGGAGCTCTTGGAAGCGTGGCTGGTTTCGTTGGCTGTTTATTGCTTTCCTCCAAAACTTTGCCGCTACGGAGGGAAACCATTGTTAAGACGACGGATAGAAAGTTCAATTGACTTACTGACTACGCGAATAAAAGAGATATCAAGTTCATCAAAACGTTGAGAAATTACAAGGTAACATTGGTAATCTCCTGCTTTGTTTTGATGACGTCTGTGAGTCGCGAATCGTGCGCATAGGCACGTGATATACTATACACCAAGGTGAGACCTTCTCATGTCTCTCTTATCTTACCGAGAGGAAGTCTAGTCTTTTAAACTTACGAATTGTCACAATCTCAGTCGGAGCTTCTGTTCCCAAGATTGTGGGAAAGTCCTGAAAGGTCACTTGCCACGGATATCGACTTCCTTTTCGCGGCCACACATCCGAATCAGCGTGCAATATCCCACTTTCGGCCACAACATGAATCGAAAGTGTTATTCTTATTGGCTTCCAATTCCCATGTCATCGGTTGACCATACCCCGAATGTGGGGAGGACCCAGCATTGCGGAGAGACCTTTCTCGAAAGAGCCTAAGAAGATGGGCGGCGAATGCAGCAACGCCATGAACGACATAAACATTGTTCCGTACGTCTCCGCATACAAAAGGGAAAGCTTGTCCTCTTGCAATCTTGGCTGTTCAACACCTTTGTGCAGTCAAAATTTAGAACCATGGCGGATGTCAAGCAGGAAGCACTTCAGAAGGAGAATGTGGCGGATGAAGCAGCGAGAGGGGTAGCCATCGATCAAGATCGTGATACATTCTTGCCACGCCCATCTGACGATCCCAACGACCCTCTGAATTGGCCTATGTACCTGAAGGTAGGCAACCGGGAATCCTTCTTGAGAACAAAATGTTGATTCATGCAATAGGTTATCATTTTGCTTCAAGTCTGCGTCCTTGCCGCCATTGGTACCTTAAATACGGCAATCATCAACCCAGCTTATGACCCTCTATCCAAAGAATTCCATATCACTAAAGTGCGAGCCTCATACCAGACCACTGTTGTCATCGCGCTCAATGGCGTTGGACCTTTTCTGTGGATCCCTCTCGCCAACGTCTATGGACGACGGCCGGTCTACCTCTTCACGACCTTGCTCGGTTTTGCTTCTGCTCTCGGCTCAGCCTATGCGAAGAACTTCACGCAGTTGATTGTTGCTCGAGTCTTCAACGGGCTCTGGCCTGCTGCAATGGCCCTCGGTAAAAACACCTGCTTCGTTACTGGTGTCGAAGCTAACTTCTACAGGCCCTGCAACAGTCGTTGATCTTTTCTTCTATCATCAGCGTGGTCGAGCCATGGGAATCTTCACAGTCATTCTCACCACAGGAGCTCATATCGCTCCCATCGTTGGCGGACTGATTGGTCAATACCTGGGCTGGCGGTGGACCTTCAAATTTGCAGCCATCCTGGACGGTTTCATGCTCCTTCTCATCGTCTTCTGTTTGCCAGAGACACTTTACATCCGAGACCAATCTCGCCTGACAAGAACATTCTCCGAGCGAGAGATAGCTTTCTCGCCAAAGACCTATATCTCACGTCTCAAGCCTTACTCCACGTTTCCCGAGCTGGAGCTAAGATGGAATCAATTCATCATTCCTTCTCTGAAAATGGCAATGTACCCCTCCGTCATCTTCCCCGCCCTTTACTACGCTGCTCAATATGGCTTCGCATCAATATTACCCGCCGTCACAGTAGCAAGCATCTTCTCAGAGCAATTCGGCTGGAACACCCTCGAAATCGGTCTTGCATACGGAGGCGCTCTATCCATAGGAGGTATCCTCGGCGAATTTGCAGCAGGAATAGTACTTGACACGATCATCAAGCGCGCCCGCAAGAACTTTGCAGGCGAGAATCCACCCCCTGAAATTCGGCTCAAAGCTATCTGGACGGGAGCTTTACTTCTCCCAGCAGGACTTCTCATCTATGGCTTCACTCTTCAGTATCATGTCTTTTGGTTCGCGCCGCTTTTTGGAATGGGCCTTTCTTGCTTCGGGCTTCAAGTCATTGCCACTACTTGCTATACTTACAGCATTGACTCCTACCGTGCGGAATCTAGTGAGACGAGTCAGTTGTTTAATTTTATTAGACAGACGTTTGGCTTCACTTACGCTTTCTATGTCGTGGATCTGTGCGAGAAGATTGGATACCAGTGGGCTTTTTTCATGTTTATGTGTTTCGGGAGTGTGCTGGCTTTTGCGCCAATCGTGGCACTGATGTTCAAGGGGCAGGAGTGGAGGGAGAAACTGGGAGAACCGAGGAATGTGAATGCTCTTGATAGCGATGAAATGCAAGCGAGGCAGGTGGTGGTTGATAAGTTGGATGAGGATAGGAAAGTGGATGAAGTATAGGATTCCGGCAGCAGGAGTGGGGGATCGGAGAGCATTTAACATTGACAACATCATAGCTACTGATACAAAAGACAAGCACGTTCCAGCCCTTTGTGTACGTCCAATCATCGTCTATCATCCCTTCACCTCATCTCATGCCCTCTCGCTGTCGACAATATCTCCCATCAGTGAGGCCCACTCCGTCAAGTTCCTTTATACCCTCCATTCGGTTGTCCATACTGCTGCTGCCCCTGCATCTGCCCAGTCTGCTGCTGCGGCATACCAGCCCTTGGGCTGATTGGACGATCGCCATTTGGCACAACTCGAGTGTTGTAGTCGTACTCTTGGGATTTCTTGGCGTTGTTGCGTTTTCGAACCTCTCTGATAGCAAGGGCGATGCACATTTTGTTGGAGTTGATGAAGCCGTGTGCTCTGAGCGGTGTATGAATTATGTTTTGTCTCGACGAGTGAAAATGTGTTTGTTTCGACGAGCGTTGGTGCAGAGATGATCAGTGTTTGAAAAAGGAGTTTGAAAAGCTGGTTTATAGACTTTGAGCTTGATGATGCCTCTTATCCGATGAATTCAGAAGGGAGCACAGAGCAATATATAGCAAAGTTCCCCTACCCATGAGCAGCTGCACATCACCCTTATGATGCGGTGGAGGCGCTCATCTCATTCAAAGCCTCGAACTTCCTTAGGGCTGTGCATCGATTTGACCTATCTACATATAAGGTATCCAGAAGGAGAAGTGGCATTAATATCAATTAGGACAATAATGCGAGCTGAGACCGCAGGAATAGAATGAACGTTTTCTTGTATGCCCGATTGGGAAAGCAGTGCGAGTGGCACGGTCAGCCGAGGGAATTGATTGGTTCAACGGCCGATAGTGGAAGATACATCGTCGGTATTTATAGCAAATGAAATGCAGTTGATGAATTATAACAGGATCATGATGATGCGATGAGAAGTACAAAGGTATGATTGCCCCGCAGCCCTGATGCCTCTCGACGTCGTAGCTAATAACAACTCCTCGATCATAGAGGAATTCAATAACTAACAGCTAAGCACGTCGAGGTAACTTACCCCTGACTAGTACTCTCCTTCTCAGACAATTATTAAAAAAGACTTTCAGATAGAAAAGAGGCTCATGTACAGCGTAACAATGGATCTGAACTAACAGAATTGGAAGCTTCTCTTATGTTCGTGAAATCAAAATGAATGAGCGATACTTTTCAACACTAGCATTTGTTGATTAGAATGCGAAAGAATTTGGTGCCAACAGCGGCAGAGAACTTCAACCCAAGACTGGTTCCACTCGCACTCCTTTGCATAGTTGTTCCTTGTCAATTGTGCACGGAATTCACTGAGTCGCTGCCCATCTGGTGAGCATCTACTAGGCCGCCATCACTGGACTCGAACTTCAATCTGTAATAACTTCTCTAGTGAACAGGATGTCTCAAATAAGATCCTTGTTGTAATTGTGATACTACAGCCATATGCATATGGAACGCAAACGGTGGTCGAGGAGCTGCCAATACCCGGGCAATTTTACCCTTTAGCCATCCGGATTTTATCTAAACTGATTCTTGATCTGTGAATTTCTGAGAGAGAAATTTTGATACCTGAATTCTTGATGTGCAGATTCTTGCCATGCAGATTCTTGATATGCGAATGTTTGACATGTGAATGATTGATATGTTGATTTTGTGGCTAGACGGCGATACCTACGCAACAAAAGCCCGTGATCAAAGTCAAAATAGGTACCTAAGTTGCTTAATTGAGAAGATCAATCGAGGCAGGTGTTGATACGTATTGTTGAGGAGTTGGGGTGTAATTAGGCCATGGTGAACCAGAGCCATCCGTCTGATTCAGAGGGTCGTTGGAATCACGTGTATCTGTTTTGGAACGGCCTCGGGAGGGAAGTGTGATATTGACACCTATTCTTTACAGAGTCACAAGCAATCATTTGAGATGCAATTGACTCTTCTTCTATTCAGTATCTACGGTCTCAAATAGCGCCATGAAGTGTCGAAGGGTCTCCGTCTTCTTCAAGTTTCCGCCTAAAAATACTTTCGACCCATATTACGAGGATGCCACCCCTCGAAAGTAATTACTCCATACACAGACATTCATTGTTATCGCGCCTCGAACTTCTTTACGAATGGCCATAACTCTGTACCTAGTGAATCGTCTTGCAAAGGCTCCAAGTTCACCGTCGATTGCATGCTGAAGGTGTCAGCGCAATGCCCGTGTAGGCTTGGATCGAGGGTATCTTACGACTTACGAAGGGGAGCGCGTCTGGAAAGCTCGGGGAACAGCCACAGGAGGGAAAGTCGACTTTGTAGCCTTTTGTAGTTCAGGCGACTTGTCGTTCGTCGTCTTTCCCAACAGACCCATCAAAGGTGCTCGGAGAGGGGTTGGTGCTTTTCCATCTGCAATCGCAGCCACAGGAGACTTTACAGGGTTCAGGGATGGCCATTCTTGTTCATCAAGCCGCTTTGGTGATTTCAGCATCTCTGGCAGTGACTTCGATGTCTGTAAATCTTGTGCAGGAGAGCTAGATGATGCTGAGGCCTGAGATTTGCTGATGGAAGCTACAGGAGAAGGAACGGTGATTGGGGCTGGGCGGTGGGTTGCAATCTTCTGATTTGAGTTGATAACAGGGGAGGGAACGGCGACCGAGACGGCTTGATTGTTTACCTTCTTCACTTCTGTACCGGAAGTGGAGGGTATTGTAGACGGCATAGGTGTATGGTCTGCCTCAACGTCTGCATTAGCGACAACAGAAGGCAGTTCTGAAGGCATAGACGAGCGGATTTCCTTCTCGGCGGCCATCACATCTGCCTTTCTCTGAGAATGATTACTCGTGAGAGATGACGTGCTCTCCTGCTTCGAATGGCTAGACTGGGATGGTTGACGAATGGATTCCCCAAAGGTAGTCGTACGCTTGCTGGGCTTCTGAGTCTTGTTCTTGGCCTTTGATGCTATCATAAGTCCCTCGTCAGTGGTAGCCTCCACTTTCTTCTTATCGACATTCTCAGATGCTTCATTTCGAGAATCTTTAGAGGCTCTAATAGAGGCTCCAACATTGTCTCTAGGCTTTCGCGTATCAGCTTGGCCGGTGGCATGGATCTCAGCATCCTCGCTTTGAACTCTGGACTTTCGAGACTTGGGGTTCGTGAAGCTCTGTTGTCGGCTTGAGGTTGTACTGAACGAGGTATTGGTACTGGGGTTGCCTGATATGCTATCATTCTCATTGCTGACAGGCGAGATGATGGTTTCAGAAGAGCTGTCGGTCAAGAAGGATGCGTTACCCGCAGTCTTCAGATGACCTCCATTACCCTTCTTCTTTGATTTGCTCTTAGACTTCTTTGGTGCAGCCTCAGCTAATCGACCAATACTCGCAGGTCCAGGTTCGATATCTGATCCGGTCTTGGTACTTGACTCAGGCTTTTGAACCACCTTTGCGACACACTTGTTCGGTTGTTGTTGTGTGAGAGGCTGTGGTGCGGGAACATGTTCAGAGACGGGAACTGGAGTTGACGTCGGGTGCTCAGCAAAATCATTGTCAGAGTTGTTCTTTCTCAACACGTTCTGTCTCAGCTGCTCTTTTTCCAAAGTGCCGTTTGGGAAGCCAAAGGTTCTCTCTACGATGGGTTTCATCGGACTACCAAGTGGTGTCGGCTGCCTTGAGTTCTGTTGAGAATTTCGCTTGGGGTGATTGAAAGTCTTCTTCGCCTTGGGCGTTTGTCCTCTACTCTTGCTAGGTGTTGCCAATGGTGAATTCTCCTTCTTTGGGGTTGAGGGTGCAGTACTTGGATCAAAGAATGGTCGGTCCAGAGCCTTGTGTAAAGCGTTCTTGTTCTTTGGAGATATGTTTTGAATGTCTTGCAACGGCGTAAAATGAGCCTGGACATGTCGATTCTCGAGAGCTTCTGGAACTGCTGCCCGGAAGGACGGTTCACTACGCATATTTGCTGAAAAGTTTCGAGTATGACCATGACCTACGTATCGACCAGGGGAAGCACGAAATTGACTATATCCAGTCTTCTTGCTGATGTTAGACATGCTGTATCCTCGCTCTCTCTTCTCAGGAGGCCTAACGGCAAGCTTGCCTCCAGGAACAATCTCGTAGCCATTCCACATTCGGATAGCAGTTTTGACTGCGGACTCATGGTGAAATAGAACGAAGGCTGTGCCTCCACGATTTCGAAGATGGCTAATTGTCTCAACGCTGCCGCAACATTCCATCATATCTCTTAGAGTATGATCAAGAAACATTTCTTCGGGAGCGCCGGAAAGGAACACGGTTCGTGCAGGCTGCTCGTCAAGCTTTCTCTTTGGGCCAGTGTAAAAGATCGTAGCAGATTGATTTGTGTGAACGCGGGATTCATAGCCTTCGATGCCAAGGTCCTCTTCTGGCTGGGACATGGGCGTCTGAGTTCCTGGTCCTGGACCGTACGGATATGCGACAGCAGTAGACGATCCCGAGGGACCTCTAGAGTGTTGATAATAAGGTTTATCAACACTTGTAACCTTGCCAGGGTTGAAAGGGCGACTGGAAACCTCATCGCTGACCGTACGTCGGGCTTGATAGTCTCTCGCGTTATTATAGAAGCTGGTTCGAGAAGTATTTGAGAATGTTCGTGGTCTGGTTGGAATACTGTACCTACGAGAGGTCATATCGGCAGCAGAGGCACCACGTTGTCGTTGTTCCGTAAGGACATAGATTGGTTCAGTGCTGCGTGGGGTGGCCTTTGGTTGTTGACCCATATTATTGAATCGAGAAGATCCACGACCTTGTTGTGTAGCATTCGACCAGGCTCGTGGCCTGTGATCTCTCGAAGCATTATCAACACCTCCGTGAAGGTTGCGTTGGCCATCCATGAAGTGCTGATAGCTCTGGGGCACGGAATGGTCGGGGCGTAGACCGAGAGGGCCTTGGCTAGGATGAGGATATTGTGGATATACGCTTTGTGTGGGATGGGTTGGCGCATTCATCATCGCCAAACGACGATGTTCTTCCAAGAGTATGGATCGGGCTTTATTCAGCTCGAATTTGAGGGTCTTGATCTCTATTTCTGTGAGAAGCTGGAAGTCCTGACTTTGGCATTCCTCTGGAGTGAGCAGAGTAATGACATCGATGTGCTCCGCAACATTGACAAGTCTCTTCGAGTTTGCGTCAACCCATTCCCTAGCGAATTCTCTGATGATAGAGGGCTGTTCATCATTCAATTCTCGGTTCATTTCTGCGAGACATAAGATTAGCTGTGTATTCTAGATCTGGATTGCACAATCCCACAACGTCTTTTGAGACGACCGCGATCACAAAGGCGATTGAGTTGAACGGCAATGAGGTGTAAATGTACTGGGTTGTGGGAAATATTGCCATACTGTATCCAGAGGCATAAAAACAGATAGCATGACTTACCAGCCAGACGAAAGATAACAGAATAGCAGAAGATCGGTCCTTCCACCCATAGATCGACGGCATCGAAGTAGCGGTACAGATCGAACCATTCTTGAATACCTATGATCTTGCGGGCTTCGACGGGATTTCGCTCCCACAGGGCCTTAACCTTTCTCTGAACATCGAGACCCAAATCAGAACGAACCATGGTCTGAGGGTATGGTGCTACTAGCTTTCGCTTCGGTCGGGATTGCATGCAAGTTGAGAAGATAGCTGGAACGGCATCGGGGAGGTCGTAAAACGAGATATGCAAGCCTGGTGCGGGTGTTGGAATGGCGGCAGTCATGTCGAGCTTTGCTGTTGCTGTAACGCGTCAATCGAGGCTTCAATCAATTGGGAGGTGAGAAACATACAACTTGGGTAGAATGTAGCTGCAGTGGCTACGAGTCGCGGAGCGTGTTCGGGGATTGGCGTGAGTTGAGGAGCCCGCATATGGGGAGGGGAAGCCATCGCGAAGATGTTCGCTGACTCCGCAAGAAGAAAGAAATCAAAGTCAACGCGATGAAGCGGAAGTTATTGAAAGGGGAGGGAGATAATACACGGGTGGGGATTTGAAGATGGGGAAGAAGGTGGGTGGAAGTTCTTGAAAGTTGTGGAAGGAAGTCGCGAGAGACCTTTAGCACGCGAAACTTTTTCCAAGAGTGCTGCGTTCGAAGGTGAACAGCAACTAAAAAATTTCTCGTCATTGTCCCTGAATGCAGGAGACAATACAAGGATTTGCTTAGAAAGAGTTCCGGTATCTTGGATCGGAGACAATGCCTTCCGCTCCTTCAAGTTCTGTAGTCATTGTCCACAGAGCTCAAGAACAATTTCGGCAGCACCATAATCTACCAGAATTACCACACAATGGCAGGGACACTACAGTTCAAACGCTCTCTCAAGCTCTTTGTTTGCAAGCAATTGGCGATAACTCGCTTCCTTTCACATTTACATTGTACTTGCATCATATGATTGCATTCGCTTGATGCAGAGAGCGGAGAAGAAATAATGGTACAGTGCAATTTACTTAATGCTTCGGAAGGGATTCAATCATCTTCAGAATCTCAGACTCGTTGGCTCCAGCTACGGCCTTTCCATTGCTCCAATCAACAGTCTGGGAATGATTAGTCTAATGTGATGTTCTCGTTGCAAGATACACTTACTACTGGTCTCTGGAAGTTCTCTGAGCTTTCCTTCAACTTCTTCATAGCATCCGCTTCATCCCTTGCTCCCTTGATGATCGTGCCAGCATTTCGTGCACCAACGTATTCGAGGATGCTCTTCAATTGATCTTGGGTGGGAGGCTCTTCAGTCACGTCGAGCTCGAATTGTGGTCGGTTAGGTTTGGTTTGGTGTGAGTGATCGCTAGCCTGATCTTCTGTGGCATGCTCGGATGCATTGGCAGAGACTTGCTTCAAGAGTGTGTGAACTCGAAGAGAAGCTGGTGAGCTTGCCTTGTGGAAGAGGGTGATAACATCGAGGGTTTTATGCTGCACAAGAGAGATGGCTTATTAGCAGATGTTTCCCACAGATTGTAGTAACATTATGTTATATTCATTGCAGGTAGTACTAACAAAACGAAACATTTTGACGTGTTTACTTTTCAATTGATGGTATTGTGGTGATCGGCTGTGGTCGAAAACTGAGAGCTTCAGTTTGGTACGCCATATGACGTTAGCAGCAGCTTGCCCCCTGTCCGCGGCTCTGCCGGGTCCACCTTTCCGGCCAAGCCCGATTTGGTTGCCAGAGCGATCGTGTGTAAATTTGGACGAGAAGTGTTTCTTGTCAAGTTCAGAAAAAATCACGTCCACATTCCAGTCTATTCGCAGCAGCTCGGTCTACAGCATTCTCGAACCTATCAATCGCCAAGATGCCACCCCTGATTTTACACAATGTTCCAGACGAAGAATTATACGTAGGCGAGGACGGAGTACAAAGACCTTATGCGATGCTCTTCCCAAGGTAAGCACCAGAACATTGCGCAATGTCGAGTCAAGTCCCTGACCATTTCAGTAACGATGGAAATCCGAGTTTGGCACGAGCGCGAAGGGTAGTCCCAGAGACTGGCTCGTTCGGGAAATCTACACGACGGTCGAGGTCTCGAACAGGCACACCTGCAGCGAAGCGCGAAGATCCCACCATAGCAGCTGGAGATGCCATCTTCTCCCAGTTCTTCGCTCAAAAGTCTGCTGAAGCGTCGGAACTACCACAAAGACGGGGCTCGGTCTCGGCGTCGATGTCCCAGCCAAATCTGTCTTTGAACGCTCCTCTGGCGCAGATCGATGGAAATGCTGGAACCTCTTCGCGCTTCACGAAAGAGCCCCACAAGGAACCCACAGAAGTAATTTTGCGAGGGTTCTTGTCGACACAACAATATGCAGCAATTAGAGAGTTTGAAAGGATCGGTGGAAGGATCTGTGAGGATTATCCTCGAGACCCACCTATCGAACAACGACGATTCAAGGCCGACCTTCGCGATCCAGCAGCATTACGACGAAAGCCCATGACAGTGGAAGAAAAGGCGAAAGCGCTGAAGTTTGCAGGAGGAGAACACTGGATCAAGGTCACTTTCGAATCCGCCGAGGCAGCAGAGATCGCTATCGAGTCCTCACCACAAACTATCCTTGGGCATTTGGTTTATGCTGAACTATATCGAGGTGTACCACCGACACAGGATGAAGCGATACCAACTGTTGGAAAGACTCGCACGCCCAAAAAGACTGCACAAAGCTTAGGTACAGCTTCGGGATTCAACACCCAGCAAGCTACCCGGACGTCGTCAACATTGCCTCGATCATTTGCTACACCTTCTATGCGTGAAGTAGGACGTGGTAGCAGCTCTATCTCTCCTCCAGAGTCGCAAACCTCGTCACATACCCTCGATACTGCCACGATGGCCTCCACTTCTTCATCCGCTACCATGACCGGTACGGCACAAAACTCCGAAGAACTGTTATTTTGTCGAAGGATACCCACTGCAAAGCGAATCCAGCTTCTCCCTGCAGAACAAGCTTTATTGCCTCAAGAGTCATTCTCCAAGCGTGTGATGAGCAAGATTCCTTTGGTTAGCTGGTTTAGCACAGATATTATTGGAAGTGCAGTACCAAGGACAGATCAAGGAGAATTTGACTGGGCCAAGGCAACCTTGTATTGGAAGTTAGTATGGATGATTGATTCATGCACTGGTTGGTTCGATGTGTTTGGAAACGACAAGGAGGACTAAGGTGGATGGCGAATGCGAATTGAATAATACCCTTTCATTGTTTTGCAGCATGGCGTTATTAGGGATAAAAGGTTGGCAAGACCATCATCTGTACATTGAACCAGCATTGGGTCATCATGATTACAAAACACAAGTAATGAAGTAACTCGAGAACTCTTGTTTGTGCCTTGTGTTCATCGTTCAGAAAACATATAAACATTTAAATTAAGTAGTTGAAGAGTAAAGTAGCTCAGGGGTATTGAAAGCCGAATACACGCTAATCAGACACAACGCCATCATCCGTTACACTCCAACGCCTTTCTCTCCTTTCACTTCCACCTTGTTCGCTCTCTGTCCTATCTTCGGGCTTTGCAGCCTCACCGTCTTCTTCCTCTACAGCGGTCGTATCTTCAGTTGCTGTGACTTCTATCGGTACAATCGTTTGCGCAGAAGTTGATTCTAGGCCGCCATCTGGATCTTTATCTTCCGCTTCCTCCTCTTCCGAGATTCCTGTTTTCGGTATGGAGAGTCCAGATGTAGGCTTGATATCCTCCAAAGGATCTCTAACTCTTTCTCCTGGTGTTGGTGAAAACGGCCGTACTCCTCTCGACTTATTCAAAATCCCAGAACTTGGAACATCCCTTTCAGAAAACATGCTCATGACATCCGTATCTCGTGGTCCAGATACAGCTCCCGCAAGACTCTGATATGGCATCCCATCCACAAGCAAGCTATCACTCCTACTGTGATGTGTCAACTTAGGTTGCAAGCCTTCGCCCGTATCGCCAGCAAGAATACTCCTATTCTGAGGCAAGATGCTGAAAATCTTGGCTCCATGGTTCGGATGTGCGTCTGCAGCACCAAGATCATCGCTCGCAAAAAGATCTCTTCCTTTTTCCAAAAGTTCATCCAATCCACCCCCGTTCCATCCTTTCCTAGCCAAAGCTTCGAATATATCCACTTCTGCTCTTACCAGCCCCGCACTACATTCCACGATCCCTTGACTCATTTCCTGACAATCCCTTAAGAGTCCCAAACTGTGTCCACCGCTCAGTCCTGTCAGAGCATCCAATTTGCCCGTCAGCTGGACCAGGTGTTCTCGGAACTTGCTCACATCCCTCTTCCTCTGCTTATGCAACCTCAGCCCCTCCTTCTCCATCTTCCGAATTTCCTTACTCATCGCCTTCGCCTCTCTCTGATACGCATCCTCCTCCTCCTCCATCCTCCTCTGCCACTGATCTAGTTCATGCAGCAACGGAACCTCGAAACTCCTATACACAGTCTCACTCAATATTTGCTGATGATTCGCTATCAACTGATGTACACCGCTTGCTGCCAGCAAGTTATCCGCCGTACAGACTCCTTTCGCGGCAAAGGAGTTCGTCATGCTATCCACTCCAGATGGAGGCATGGATTCTGATCTTGCTTCTTTCAATCGCGCGCATGCTTCCAGTGCGGAGCCAAATGTAGAGGCAGCAATTGATAGAGCAGCTAGAGCCAATCGGTAGGACTTTGCGGTGGTGAGAAGGTCTGCGTATGCGATTTGAGAAGCTTCGAGGTCGGATTTGTTGAGGACGGCGTGGGGTGGTCGAGGAGGTGGTGGCAGAGGGAGGTTGAAGGAACTAGGTATAGGATTTGCAGTGCTGGCATATGAATATGTAGGAGAAGCTGGCACGGGAGGAAGATTGCTGGGCGAAGGCGGCCGGCTTGTTGTGGCCATGTTGGTTGTGAGGATAGGAGAATGTCTTTGTTTATTTTGATGCGAATGTCTGAGTGATGGTTGGACAAAATCTTTATGTATGGGACGAAAACCCAAGTCGGAGAATAGTGGTACAGTAAAATAAACGGGTATTACAAGAAGAAATCGGAGAAGATGGGCATCTGTCCTTCATAGATGACCCGTGTGAACAAAGGTTGGGTGTGTTGAAAGTCGTCAGCTGCGAAGAAGCATGGCATGGGTCTGATAACAAGATAAGAATGAACCCTTGTATTCTCCCGCCGCACATCACAGGCTTGCGAGCTGCACAACATCTTGAATGCAACCACGTTTCTTACCCTCTTTTGACCTGCATATTGCTCCAGTCAACTTTCCCGTTTTCAGTGCCTCAAATTTGAGATACCCTTCGGAGATTCAAAGCACCCACCAAGATGCCTCCTCCCTCAGCTCTGATGATCCCCGCTGTGAAGAAGCATACTGCAACTGTCATTATGGCTCATGGTCTTGGTGACAGTGGAGCAGGATGGGTCTCACTGGCAGAGAACTGGCGTAGGAGATCAAAGTTTGACGAGGTCAAATTCATATTCCCCAATGCCCCTACAATTCCTATCACTGTGGTTTGTATTCTCCTACCCCTCCCTGAAATACCTCGTCCTGACAAACACTCTGCAGAATATGGGAATGCGAATGCCTGGCTGGTATGATATTGTAAGAACTCGACCTGCTGCTGTTCGTTTATTCGTTCCCTCTCTCTTGGAACATTCCTCAGTTCAATTACTCATACCCACTATAGCTCGATTTTGCAGATCTTCAAGCTGGTCAAGACGAAGTCGGTATCCTCAGATCTCGAGACTATTTCCAAAGTCTGATCAAGACCGAAATCGACGCTGGTATTCCTTCCGATCGTATCGTTATTGGTGGATTCTCCCAAGGCGGAGCTATGTCAATCTTCTCTGGAATCACATCACAAACGAAACTTGGTGGTATCTTTGGATTAAGTTGTTATCTGTTATTGCATAGCAAGTTCAAGGAGCTCGTGCCTGCGGATGGCCCAAACAGGGAGACTCCCATATTCATGGGACATGGAGACAGTGATCCTCTGGTTAGGCCGCAATTTGGACAAATGACTGCTCACTTTCTCAAGCAGGAGGGCTTCAAGGTGGATTTGAAGATGTACAGGTAGGTGATAGATGATTCGGGTGGTGGCATGTGCTAACAAAAGAATAGAGGATTGGAGCACTCCGCGACACCCGAGGAAATCGACGATGTTGAGAGGTATCTGAACGAGAGAATACCCCCTGTGGGCGATAAACAACCCACACTTTGACTACAAGACCAGTCTTCAAGACCATCCTACATATATGTTGTCATGTTTATGATTACAGTCGCCACAGCTATCCTTGCATGGCGTGCGTTCAGAGGGAGGAATGGCTACAAGAAAAGTTTAGAGCAGAAGCATGGAGAAAAGAAGTCTTAGAGAATGGATGATTTACAAAGAATTGGTCATGCCATAACGCCATTCAAGTTAGGATGTCTCAATTTCTCAAGGTGCTTGCGGAATCATTCCACACAAGGCTGCCCAAGCGGGAGTCGGAAGACCCCAGCTTACTGATGATTAACAATTCTGGCAGCACAACTTACCAACCAACCCCTGTCTGGGCCCACTAGCGAATCTGCAAAAGGCCAGCCTCGTCCTCCTTGAATCAGTAAGTACCATTTCACTCTTCGATTGGGCATTTTCTCCCTATGAATATCTTCAACTCCCGTCTTGCAACGATCATTGCAACACTTCTTGTGATAATAGTAGCAATCATTCTCTCTCCAGTATCCAAGTACCTGGCTGCGTCCCGAGGCTACTTTCACAGATTTTATTCCGGTTCCACACCTGTCTCCACAACAAGAGTTCATAGTCACCTGATATCTACTCCCCTCAATATGACGAGAACTCCTGTTTATTTCCTCAGCCATGGAGGTGTGAGTGGCCCTAGTCCTTGTACAAATAAGCAAGCAGCTAATTGTTGAGGATAGCCAAATATCATGTATGAGAAAGACTATCCGGTCTACCCTACGCTCCAGAAAATCGGAAAGGAAATCACGCAGAAAGTCAAGCCAAAAGCCATAGTAGTCTTCTCAGCACATTGGCAAGGTGAACCAAATGTCATCGAAATCAACACATCGGAGAACACCGAACTCATCTACGAGTCCGTCCTTCCGCCCGCCTCTCCTGCAATTTTTGCTAACATTTACAGCTTCTACGGCTTCCCAGCCAATTACTACAAAGAGACATTCCCCAACAAAGGTTCCCCAGAAGTCGCCCAAAAAGTGACTGATGCTCTGACCAAAGCTGGCATCAAGACTCAGGGCCTTCGTCGAGGCCTCGACCACGGTGTTTGGGCCTCATTCAAGGTAGCTTTCAACGAGGAAACGAACCCTCTTACAGTACCCGTCGTCCAAGTCTCCCTCTACGCAAACGAAGATCCAGCTAAGCATATCGCGCTCGGCAAAGCTGTTCAATCCCTCCGCGACGAGAACATCTGTCTCATTATGTCAGGAATGGCCGTTCACAATCTGAGAGATATGAGATTTGGCATGAACGGCGTACAACCTTACGCCAAGAGCTTTGATGAAGCGTTAAGAGCAGCTGTTGAAGCACCAATTGAAGAGAGAGATGGAAAACTGATTAAGCTGCTGTGGAGAAAAGATGCAAGACCAGCGCATCCAACCTTTGAACATTTGTTGCCCATCCATATGGGTGCTGGCGCTGCTGGCGGTGATAGAGGAAAGAGACTGTGGACGCTAGCTGAGGGAAGCTTCAGTTGGGCGCAGTTCAGGTTTGGAGATGTGCCCGCTGAGGCGTGACTATCGAGGAGACTGTTATCGAGTAGCACACATCGAGTCGTCGAGCGTTTTTGGAGCTAGTGCATGTCGCTAATTCTTGCTGACGACTTTGTATTATGTTTTCAAGCAAGCAGCAGGTTGTGTGTTTTTCATCAGCTTTCATCGCCGAAGAACTATTTTCCTCGGAGTTTTGACAACGAAACGTCCTCGAAGACTCGAAGACTCGTTGGCTTTGCGCGGCCTCATTCCATTTAGTCATGCAAAGTACTGCTTCATACTCATGCAAGTGCTTCAGGAAGTAAAGCGAGATTCTTTGACAGATTTGGAACGTTTAGATTTCCCCGAACTGAGGATTCTGCACACACCCAGCAATTCTGGGAGAACGACGCAACTGATAACATGTGCATCGGCAATCCTTTACTTCTCTAACATAATCAAATCATACTCCGTCAACCTAAGCGGGAGATCATACTCGACAACAGTACTTCAAGGACGATTTGACGAGTTTTTTTGGTTATCAAACATATCAAAAGTTAAAATCAGCAACAGCAGTCGCCATGCAGACATCAAACATAACGCCAAGCCTAAGCACGCGTGGCTCAGGAGTTCATCCCCAACCTCGTCCCCACACATTTCACTTTGCGCAAACTTTTCTCCGAGATGCCAGACAATGTTTGTCTGAGGCCGTGCATACAGTGGATTAATGTCCGAAGTGGACAAAACAAATTAAACAGCCAAGATCAAGGTTCAGATCGAAGTGAAACTCAAAAGCGGAGCCCTCCCGCATGTTTGGATGGTGGGGCTGTTGATAAGTCAACGCCATCTCGGACGTTTCAATCTCGGCAAGGAGATCAGATCAGAGATTCGTGCGTTGGAGATCAAACTCGAGATTTGTGGGGGTTTGTTAGCTGTGGGGAAGCGTCCACCACATTTTCTTCGCCAGTCAGCAAGTTTTAGCGAAGATTTTTCTGTACACTATGCTTTTTGAGATGAAAACGTTTGCAGGTTTACGCGGCTATCGACTGTTTATGACAGTGCTGGAAATGTTTCGATGCGAGGATATCAAACCCGCTGGGCAGGATTCGCATGCCCAGTGAAACAATGTCGAGGATTGTTTCTCGAGGGCATGCTGTGCCGATTTTGTGATGAAGATGGTCCTTGTGAATATTTATATAGAACTTGTGGAGAGCCGTTCGTCTGAACTGTCGACAACTTCTATACCATACTTGGTTTTGTCGATACATTGGGAGCTGCATTCCTCTTCCAGTATTGGTATTCTGAACTTCTTCAGCTGAGCTTCTGCATATTCCTTCTTCAAGAGCAATCCCTTCCACCATCTTCCCAATCATGGAGTCCAAGGAAGTAATGGAGCCGAAAATCGCGCCAGTAGAGTCCAAGATCTCGGAACCATCAGAAGATGAGAAGCTCTCTACCGCACAACTCGATGCCCTCGCCGCTCAAGCAACAGAAGCACAACACCATCTACCGCCTCTCCAAGCTCTCAAAGCCTACTGGCCAGCAGTCTTCTGGTCAGTGATGGTATCCATGTGTGTTATCATGGAAGGCTATGATGCGATTCTCATCGGCAACTTCTTCGCATACCCTACTTTTGCCAAGAAATATGGAAGTTATGACGCTTCCACAAATACTTACCAGCTCACTGCAGCTTGGCAAGCGGGACTCAGCGATTCTTCAGGAGTAGGAGCATTCTTTGGTATCCTCGCGAATGGTTATCTTGTTGCATGGTTCGGACCGAAGCGTGTCCTGCTGGGAGCTTTGCTGGTGCTAACTTGCTTCATCGCCATGACTTTCTCGGCACCCACTATTGGTATCCTTTGCGCTGGAGAATTTCTATGTGGTATTCCATGGGGAATCTTTGCGACCATCGCACCGAGTTATGCCTCGGAAGTCTTACCTCTCTCGTTGCGAGTTTATCTGACATCGTACACCAATATGTGCTTCATCATCGGTCAGTTGATCGCAGCTGGTGTTCTGGATGGGCTCGTTCAAATCGACAACGAGTGGTCTTACCGGGCTGCTTTCGCTCTCCAATGGTTCTGGCCAGCATTTCTGTTCCCAGCCCTCCTGTTCATGCCTGAATCACCTTGGCATCTCGTCCGTACAGGCCGTCTAGATGAAGCGGAGAAGTCACTCGTCAGACTCCAAGCCAAGACTGCATCCGTCAGCCCGAAAGAAACACTGGCAATGATAATTCACACCAACGACCTGGAACAGGAATTAACAGTCGGTACTTCATATTTCGACTGTTTCCGCGGCTTCGAGCTCCGTCGCACAGAAATTGCCTGCATCGCATTCGCTGGTCAAATGTTCGCTGGTGCTCCTTTTGCTTACAACTCGACCTACTTCTTTCAGCAGATCGGCTTCTCGACTGCACAGACGTACAATCTGAACGTAGGTGGTACCGCTTTGGCATTGGTAGGCACAATCTGCTCGTGGATTTTCGTGATGCCAAACGTTGGTCGAAGAAAGACGTACCTCTATGGCATGATTACTCTCACCACCATCCTCCTGCTTATCGGCATCCTCAACGTCAAAACAGACGTCAAATCAGTTGCCACAGCTCAAGCATCTCTGACACTGGTCTGGACATTCATCTTCCAGCTTTCGGTCGGACAATTAGGCTGGGCAATCCCTGCCGAAATCGGTTCCACTCGATTGAGACAGAAGACAGTTTGTTTGGCAAGAAATGCTTATTATATCGTGAACGTCGTGGCGAACGTTCTTGAACCTTATTTCATGAATCCCACAGAGTGGAACCTGAAAGGGTACACGGGGTTCTTCTGGGGCGGGTTGGCATTCTGCACAGCTGTCTGGACATTCTTTAGATTGCCGGAGACGAAGGGGAGGACTTTCGAAGAGATGGACATGCTGTTCGCGAAAGGCGTTAATGCGAGAAAGTTTCAGGACGTGAAATTGGATGGTGTTGAAAGTCAACAAGGGCGCCTTGCTGAGAAGAGCACGGAGGTCTAGTAGCAGTGGTTTTATTTCTTGTTCATATTTAGGAGCGATGTCTTCCGCATGCACGCAATTTGAGACTCAATGAGAACACGAGATGCTGACTGAAATGTAAAATGTTCATATTGTTTATGCCCCACGATTACGAAACGTAGCAGGTTCAGACAATGAAATCAAGACTAGACCGCGAGGAGTGTAGCTGGGATGACCATGGGGGCGTGCACTAGCAATTTGTATTTGGACTGGAGTTGGCAAATTTAAGGCCGCTCATAATATGATCTTTTAAACGCCAAAAATCTCGCAAACTTCATCGGAATTTTAAATATGCTTGGAAGCAACCAAATTCACAAAGGATTGTTCCTTCCACCCTCAACAATGGCGCAGAGTTCTGCTCCCGACGATCCCACAAACGGCATCTACAACCAGAGCATCACCAATACCGAAGACGATGGAAATAACAAGGATAACCAGCCAATATCCCTTATTGCTCGGATCAATACCCTGCCAAAGGAGCTTCGTTTGAAAATTCTCAAAGTCGAAATGGAATATTCAATAGTCGAAGATTGCCTTGACGGAACTCAAAGACCGTCAATCTTCGCAGCATTGAAAGTCAACCCCGATCAAACTCTCTACAATGAATTCTTAGAGGAACACAACCGCTCTCATGCTGTAGTCCATATTCATAACGAGGAAGACTTCAACAAAAGGAAGATGAAGGATTTACTGCAGATCAAGCACTTAACCATCATTTACCCTCTGACATTTAGGGCACAGAAGCTCACAATACAGAATAAAGTGGAAACTCTATTCTTGGACTACCGATATTCACACAATGACATCAAAAAACTCTCGAAGCAACTGCATGAACAAGGCTACCCGAATAATAACCTTTACAATGACTATATTGACAAAAAGTCCGCGAACATCGGTCCGACAAATGTTTTAGATGTCCTGAAATTTCTAATCGCAGCCAATCAGAAGTCGTCGGGATTGAGAAAGCTGATCGTAAGGACAACGGGCGAAAAGGTCAAACTCGTCGCGATCCTCTCGTCTGGTCTGAAGTTGGAGCCGCAAAAGAGATTCCACAAAGGTTTTGTCTACTACATTTGTAAGAAGCCCAATGATAGCATCTTGACTTGGGATCCAAGAGTATCAGGTAGCTACTACGACGAGAAACTAAATAGTGGTATCTGAGACTTCTCTGGCTTTAGAACAATGGCATATTTACCATTCAATTTGACTGTGATGCATATTGCTGTGCGACGTACAATTTGCATGGGTGTTTTCTTGTAGGCTCCGAAGATTCCAAGTTCATACAAATGAAATTTGCAACCAAATGTTTTCTGATGAATCTGAATTGAGACACACCACTTGGTACGCCATCATCAAGTCCTCAAAGTAGCATTGACCTGTCCATAAATCAAAGAGATGTTGAATTTGTTTGAATCAATAAGAATGAATGCCTTGCATCCAGCTACTTTTGTGTAGAGATGTAATATGTGAGGCCAATCGATGGGGGATATCAGGAAATTCACTCTGCCAACAACGCACAACTGTCTCGAGATTGAGAATGCACCGGTTTTGCATTGATCAGCTATCATCCCAGACCGTGCAAGTCCATATGCTCATCCATGCGTGACCCTTCCCACAAACCAGAACAAAAAGTAGCAGCCCATCTCAACCCCTTAACGGCTTGTAGCCTGAACCTTCTTTGGCGCACCCTTCGCTCCCTGCTTGCTAGTCAATCTTGTGGCTTGTCCCTTGGCAGCACCGGCAGCACTCTTCGCCTTCTCAGCCTTCTTCGCGCTCTGAGCAGCGGCTCTCTTCTCCTTTCCGGCCTTGATAGCTTCGAGACGGGCAGCAGATCGGGCTTCGGGTCTTTGGGTTCGTCGCTCCTTAATGACATCGAGGGAGGCACCGACGATGGCACGTTGTGACTTGACTGTGCGACGGGATCGCTTCTTGGCAACTTCCTATGTTGAGAGCTGTGTCAGCTACTGTGCTCAATGTACAACTCGCTCGCTTCCTTTCAATCCACCTTCACGCCCATTGTAATTGTAGAAAATGCCATACCTCAGAGATACCCTTCTTGTGTTGTCTTCGGAAGAGGACGGTCCAGGCAATGCGACGGGGGTTCTTGCGTTGGAGGAAGAGGGACTCGGTCTTGCCGTTCTGGAATCGGAAGATCTTGCTATCACCACGGACGTAGAGCTTGCCCTGTAAAACAACCTGTCAGCCTGCGCTGCCTTCAATTCTGCGTCTTTCACGGTCCATGTTTCCAGCATTCCATCGTGCTATTCGCCATTGCCATCACGTCGTCGCAGAGGGGTCTTTCGTACCTTTCCAGGGTAGATCTTCTCGCCGGAGAAGGTATCGTCGTAGGTACGCATGTTGACTGTTGCGCAGTTATCCGCCGACTGAGTTAGTTGTTGATTCGAATACTACCCTTCGTTCGTGGGCAGAAGTTTCTTTGTCGTTGATCTCGTCAACTGCCTGGGGAGTTTTTGCGGTAATCCGTTGTGGGCGACGCTAACGGCGCAAGCGAAAATTTAGCGCGTGAAACTTGAGTCTGCATGGAAAGCAGATTTGAGCCTCATCATCAACCACAAAATATCACAATCTTCTAAAGAATCAATGATATCTCTCCATACGCCTGAAGCCATCTGAGTTGCGATCTGCTGCAATCTGCTGCAATTTGTCGCATCCAATGCCTCTTGAGATAGACAAGATTCTCTTGCTGAGCACTATCACGTGATGATACTCACATCTGCACTGACCCGGAGGCTTGAAAGTGATCAATTGGCGGCAATAATCTAGTGGTCCGCCACTATGGTTTTCACTCCTGAGTCGATCCCGTCAGGTGCCGTTGCAAGCCTTAAGGACGACTCGGGCAAATTGTGGACGCCTCTCTACAATCACAAATGCTCGTTCCCTCCCGAAATCTTCAGACAGGTCATGTTGAACCTAATTCGAAATCCAAATATCAACTCAAACCATCTATTTCGAGCAGACATATCATTTGATCAACCATATTGTGAGCCTTTCTCGAATTCTTCGGATCTTCCAGCAAGGATCACACATGTCACTGGCTTCGACCTCAAAACTGTGATGGTGCGGACTATGATTCCAAGGAACATGATTGTGGACAAGCCACTCGATCAAACTTGCATGATCTATGACCAGCAATCAGAATCGGGAGATATTGTTTCTCTAGTCATATACCTCCCACACATCTCGAAAGCTACCGAGTCACCTTTCTATCATCCGGCGGTTCACGGAATTGGGTTTCTGCATACATTTCACCGGTCGGCGAAGGAAGGAAGTATTTCCATACACTACTCTTTCTTTGAGTCCGAACCTCGATCGGTCAAACTGGAGCGAACAGCTCAGCATTTATTAGCTGTCTTGTACAAGCACGGTCAAGGCTTAGCATCGGGATACGTCAAACGCGTCCAACATGATCTAATCTTACCACAAGCCACGGTTCAGAACACCTACGCACGGTTGAAGGCAAAATATGCTCGGAAGTTGGTGACAGGCTGGGTCGAGACTACAGACCCCGCGAAGCATGTCTTCGAGGATCTTGGGATAGCCGCATTCTTGATCGAGCTTTGGGCAGAAATGTTCAAAGACCAGGATTTTCCAGGCTTCGTTGATATTGGGTGTGGTAATGGATTACTCGTTCACATACTTCTGGAAGAAGGTTACGTGGGATGGGGATTTGATGCTAGGAGACGCAAATCTTGGGCGACATTTTCTCAGAACGTGCAAGACAACTTGAAAGAGATGGTCTTGATCCCTTCAATTATTTCTACGCAACCCTTGATGGATGAGACCAGGGATTGCAGGAATGACACATCCCAAATCACTGCAAGCGCGGAAATGCAAAATGTGGGAATACAAGACGGTCAGTTTCCAAAAAATACGTTTATCATATCGAACCATGCGGACGAGCTCACACCATGGACTCCAATCCTCGCCACTTTATCTGAATGTTCATTCATGATGATACCTTGTTGCAGTCATGCTCTCAGTGGTATTCGATTTCGAGCTCCCTCTCCAAAGACGTCAGGTCCACCAACTAGCGCATATGCCTCTCTTGTGGCATGGGTTACGAAGCTGGCGACAGATTGTGGATGGAACGTTGAGAAAGAAATGTTGCGAATACCCAGCACAAGGAATACCGCGCTGATTGGAAGGCATCGCTCTGCACCATTCGACAGCACGGATCTTCCTGCTTTGGTGAATGAGAATGGCGGTGCTGCGGGCTGGGAAGAAAATGCTCTGAAGCTGGTGAAGGGTGCGGCTAGAGGTCATTGATATTGCATTTGCCTGGTCTTGAGGGCCTAGGGACGTGGCTCAATTCAGGAGGTTCGCCTGAATCTAAAGCCATTCCATTCGTTTGTAGTTCAATATACAATTCAGGTACGTTCAATCATATTGCATTATTTTGCATGCGGCTCTCTGTCCTTATTTCACATGTCCTTTCTTCGATGATTATCCATGGTCACGTGTTTTGTTTTCTCTAACCCGGAATTTGGCCTCGTTATCTTTTCAATATTGATCTGAGAGGAACAGTCCTAGATACTTGGATAGTCACTCTTTTCTACTAGGTGTTTGTTTGTATATGTATGGACAATCAGAACAGGGCATCTCTGAGAACATCTCGTTCATCTCATCCTCAATCTTCCCACGGCTACCAGAGCTTGTCAGTGTGTGATCAAAGTTCGACAGGCTTTTAGCTTGATCTAATGAACCATCGAGCTTCTAAAGTACACATCTCGAGTCTACAGACGTCCCTTTACTGTAGAGAAACTAGATCAGGACGTTGCTTCATGGAGAGCTCACGAAAGCTCTCCATGAAACAAGTGAGCTTTCGGTGTTCGCTTCAATTAATTCGAAGTCTAGTAATTCAATCTCCACTCTTTAAGATGCTGAACCCTGCTTTCGAGCTGATGTAGTTGTTCTCGCTTCATGTCTAAAGATTGTCTCCACTGCTATCCTCTCGCGCCCGCGTTGTATCAAGCTTCGACCATTTTTCAAGGTTTGAAGAGGCTAAGACGTCTTCGAAAGCACTTCCACAGGATATGATTCGAAGTGGTATGATTAGTATGAAAAATGGGTATCGAGATCATATGAGCTTTTGGACTGCCGTTTGTTGTTGCAAATTTGGAGAACGCTAGTATTAGTCCAAATTCAAATTATGGTGAAATGCTAGTTGTATCTGTCACAGCTTCAATCCTCACGGCGATTTATAAATTCAGTTCGATTTCTGATCGTCTCAGACGAGTCGCTTTTTTTTCCGAAATGGCCACTGGAAAGTCCAAGAACCCAATCATGGCATCCGCCGCCTCCAGTATTGTGCCTAATCAAACTGCCCATCAAGAACTTCTTTCGCGCATCCTTGACTTACCTCCCGAATTGCGATCGAATGGATTTCGAGATGACATCGAAAGATTCCCAGATGAAGACGCAATGAACACGGATCGACTTCCGAGCATCATTGAGGCTTTGGGGCGCAAAAAACCAACATCTCACCGATGGGTTGCCGCTGTGCCAGACAACAAAATCTGCGACCGACAGAACAGAAATAACCCGCGATTCAAGTCTCGGTCTTATTCGAGGCGCAAAATATGACAATCGTAAATGGACTCGAGTCTGTCTGCTTGAATGAGCTAGCCGCGCGAACCCAGGAAGCTTGGAAACCCGCGACAAAGAATCAAACAGACGGTTTGCATGGAAAAGGTAGAAGGTAGTGAATTTTGCCTGACTTGCAACTGGAATGCAGAGGACCAGAGAGCATGCGGACTCATTCGAAGTGTCGCACCGTGCTTGATTAAACACACCTCGCCATCCGTATATTTCATCTTTATTGGACTTTGAATACCAAAATTAGCATAAGTTGATAGTGCTCGATCCAACACCAGTGATCTACTTTTCCTTCTTCGTTTTACGTCGCCCTTCTTCAAGATGGAATAGAATTGGTTTTTCCCACCAAACTTCATCCACGTTTTCACTTTGGGCTGGTGGTCCCCCTCGGCGACAAGCGAGTTTCAGGGCATTTAGTGAGTCCGAGCGCTAAAGTTGTGGTGGCTGCGGGATGGCGTTCTTAGTCTGGGGAACAGGTGGGCCGAACAAAAACCTTAACTAAACTGTTCGATTGTTTTTTTTTTGTTTTTTTTTTGGTCTGTTGCTGCCTCCTACAAAGCGCATCGATCTTGTCATGATATCATTAGTATGAATGGACTTTATGATTTCAGAATACTAATGATGACAAAACATGGCTATAATCCCGGGTTGCTAACTTACATCATGCTGCGGTGCTGTTGGGCGCGGCACAATGCTTGGCCGTTCCCTTGGCTGTATATACGAGATGAACAGCCACAATCCTTTACATAAGTCTTTTCATCCATAATTGTTGCCTTGACTCTGGAAGTTGCGTACCTTCATTGATTGCTCCAACCCTACGAGATGCCATCTCCTCTCCACACTCGATTTGTCCGACAATGTCGCGACTGAAAACCATCGGCCAAGTCACGGCTGCAGCTGGTGGTGCTATATCATGCACGGTATTGGTGCGTCGGTTATCTTCCCAACAATCCGAGACCTCTTCCGAGTTGCTGTGCTGGGTCATCTTGCCATTCCTGTCAAGAATTAAGGCTTCACGAGATATCAATACAAACTCGAGAGCAGCTTCTCCATCCATTGCCGAACCTCACCATGCATCTTCAAGATCATTATGGGTTGTTGCAGCATGCCTTACGGTCGCCAGCTGTTTCCAAGCCGAGATTGGCACTATTGGACTTCTTGTAAGCAACTCATGGTGTGTAAAGAACAGTTAGGATTTGACTAATCCGTGGTAGCCGGCGTTGACTCCTCTCCTTCTGATAGCTGAGAAACAGTCTTGGTGTCCAATTCGAAGCCCAAGATTGTCTGATCTGGGGCAATCTTCGTCTTTTATCTGGGGCACAGCTTTTGTTGCTTCGCTTGCCGTTTTGACTGCACCAGACCGGGATTCTCTGGGGCTGATTCTTTCAGTCGTCCCGCTTGCTTGTCTGGTGCTCGTCTACATCGCTTTCACACCAAGAAGTGAAAGCACACCTTACCTTCCTCGCATTGATATCGAGGAAGCTATTCTTACACTTTCAAATCGAGTTGTAGTCTTCCTAATCCTGGCACTGAGTCTTCAAATGTTCGCATTTGGATTGTCCAGCACTGGCATTATGTCCATGTTGTTATTAGGTTTCACTAAAGCTTTTTCTTGGTATTTCATGATCAGAATGGTTTGTGAACACATACTCCCCAAACATTGGTATGAATACTCACCGCTTTTTAGGCCCGAAAGTCTTCATGGAGCATCGCCACTACCATAGTGACATTCAGCATGGTGTCCACCCATGACTTTTCCATGCTGTCTTCAGATACTATGGCTTTATTGCAAGTTATAATTGCTTTTCTCCTCCTTGGTCAAGTGATTTACATGCTTCCAAAGCAAGACAGAGCCAACTCAATCCTCTGGATATTTATCCTAGTCCCTTTGGTACCGTACCTAGCAAACATCGCTGCTATCAGAGAATCACATTCTTTAGCACGAGTAAGCTTTGGCCGTTTGCGGAAGCACCCTGTTGAAAGCCTGTACGTTGAACTCAGTCTTTGTGTCGTATTCGCTTGGGATCCGAGCTCTTCTGGATTCTCCTCGAGAACACCTCTCAAAACAGATGTGATTCAACAGCTCGAACGAACTCTTCGGCTCCCGAAATGCTGGTCAGAGTGTATACTGATTCTTCAATAGCGTTCAACAAGCTAAGACCGATTTCAAACAAATGTTGCAGAGAGAATCAAAGAACTACACCGCAGCATATCAAGAGTACGAACGTCGATACATGATGAAGCCTCCACCAGGTTTCGACGCTTGGTATGACTTCGCCACATCAAATGAATCACCCATCATCGATGAATTTGACGTGATTTTCGACATGATCTCTCCGTACTGGAAGCTCAGTGGTCATGAGGTTACCAAGGCAATGTCGGATACGCAGAACGTACTTGATGTGGACCTCTGGATGTGCACTTTTGTTGGAGAAGACACCAAATTCCATTGTAGCCATCCGTCTCGCACTTTCGACAGAAATATCGAGCTCATGTTCAACACGCTTATGGTAGATCTAAGTGGATATTTACCCAATGTCACCTTCCTCGTCAATCATCTTGATGAACCAAGGATTCTGATTCCACCACATTTATTGCAGAGGAGAGCTCTCTATGATAATGGTGACTTCAAAGTCATGGACCTGTCCAGACAACCCACCTGGACCAAGGTAACGAAGTTCTGTACATCACAATCTCATAACGAGTCAACAATACCCGAACATACCGTGGAAACATTCGGTCTTCCATTCGTGGCGAATCGTTCCTCGACGATAGACGTGTGTCAACATTCCGAATATAGCGCCATGCATGGCCTGTTCATAAAGCCTACATCTTTCAGCTTAATCGAAGGCCTGGTACCTGTACTCTCCACTGGCTCACTTTCGACAATGGGCGACTTATTGATTCCAAGTCCAGCTTACATCGAACCAGGGTTTCGATACAATGGGGCACATGACGTTGACTGGGACCAGAAAAGAAACAATCTTTACTGGGCTGGCTCTACCACCGGCGGCTTCGCTTCAGACGATTCGTGGCGTCAGTACCATAGACAGAGATTTGTGAAGATGGGTCAAAATTTGGAGAAACAGAATAGGTATCTCCGAGAAAATGATGGTGTGGTTAGCTCCAAGAAATCTTCGTTTCTGAACGGCAGATTGTTCGACGTTGCATTCACGAGGATCTTTCAGTGTGAGAGAAAGTTTTGCAGAGACCAAAGGGCTTATTTCAAGAGCAAGTCTTGGGCAGACAAAGACCGAGCCCTTGGATCACGACTCGTGTTTGATCTTGACGGAAATGGTATCAGTGGCCGATACTACAAATTGCTTGCTTCGAAATCTACGCCCTTGAAGCAAACGCTTTTGCGAGAATGGCATGATGATAGGCTGGTACCTTGGGTGCATTATGTACCTGTTAGCCAGAGCCTGGAAGAGCTTCCTGAGTTGATCTTCTATCTCACGTCGACTGAATTCGGTCGGCAAAGGGCGAAAGAAATTGCGGAGCAGGGTAGAGAATGGTTTGAGCACGCTTTCCGAGATGTTGATCTCAGCATTTATGTGTACAGATTATTGTTAGAACTAGCGAGATTACAAGACCCCGAGAGGAGAGCAAGCTAGATCGTGGTCTACGCATGTATCATCGCAATGTAGAGATTTATGTGTCATAAGAGTATATTATAGGAACGGTAGTCTTGATGTCACAGACCGTGTTAACCAAGTTCTCGTCCTTCCTATATAACCGTTATATTAATTGAGAATTAATTATCGTGTTCCGGAAGGTTTGGAATGAGTTATATAAGGAAGTGCGCCAGCTTAGGTTTATCTTAACTCAATATCCTGGTCACGAAAGTGGCGTGGATTCGAGTCCCACTCTCGGCCTTGATTTTTTTGCCATTATTGGGTTGTTTCTAGAGTATATACAAGTCGTGTCTGGGAAATTGACCTTTTGTTTTTGTGTGTCGGGAGCGATGAGTCTGGGAGGCATGTGATTTGTTTGCTCACCCTCGCTTCACCCCAACTCCCCCTGATCAGCGTACCTACCTAGGTAGCTGATGAAGCAGCCCTGCTCAATTTTCTGATATTAACAGATTTAGTGCAGAAGTGTTATTCTGGACAACTAGTTGTTATGCCACCACAACCTGGAAGTGATGATTTAAATTCTAAATAATCACGTGACTATCCTTTTCGTCTGCTTACCAGACGTTTTATCTTCTCGAATATACATAACCCTTAGACACGATATTCGTCTTACGTCTGCTTTTAATTGTTGATTTAAGCAAGTGTTCCAGAATATTCGATGGAGCTTGATTGGTATCGCTCACGTAGTTTCTTGTAGCAATCGAACCCTCTCCGGATCCCATTCAAATCACTTCCAGGAAAGAAGACAGTCACAACCGGAGCTTTCTCCAAAGTCCTGCTGCTATACATATGGTAGAACAACGCCATTCGAATGTTATGATCTCATACCAAGGAATAGGAGGAATATTCAAACCAGAATCTAGTTGCAGTCTCGAATCATAGCTCCAAAATATACCAGCAATGCATTCACGATGTCCTCCACTCGAATCTATAAAAAGACGAAGATGTCTATCTTTTCTTGCAATTGTCTTTCGAAAAGTCAGAGCCATCAACTACAGCCAGATCGACTCAGTGCAAATTCGAAATACTCAACATGTGCCATTACGAAGGTATCAAATACAAAGAGTGCGGGCACGTTATCAGAATGTTTGTAAAGTGTCGCACTGGAGGTAAGGGAGGTCACGTTGGTGTTCTCGACGACAATTACCTGGAGCGAGAGGGTTGGTGTCCAGACTGCGCCGTTGCTGCGATGAAAAGAGGCTGGACTACCGACAACAATAACAATGGCAAGGGGGGGAGCGGAGGTGGCAGTCGAACTTCACAGTATTCGAAGCCTGTGAAGTATGCATCGTATCGCTGAAATGGTGCTTGACCGAGATTTGGAGAGAGGAGACTTGGGAGGAGTGACGAAATTCGCGAGGTGAGGAGGTATGGAGGATAGGGGGAGATGGTAGATATATGTGTATCAAATCGATGAGCTTGCATGTGATAGCCCGTTATCTGTAAGTTAATGACAGAAACTACAGCTATGTTTCATTCAACCTGTCCGCCGTAGTGTGACTCAGTATAGATATTTATGAAGTTTCATCATGCTCATCATAGGTATAAGAGTTCTTTTTGTCTTGTAATCTTGTTGAGTGTCAACAAGTTGCATAGCTTTTCGGCCACAATTTGGAAGCGACCTTGGGATGCTCTGCTTTGAGTCTCACGCAGACTCTCCTGTCCTTTCGCTCGCTTCGCTGTGCTGATGATTTTACATGTACTGCATAGCTTGCATTAGAGAATGAGACGACCATCACGGAAGTTATAACAGTCGTCACTGCAGGAACGGTCACGGTCTCAGCGTGCTGGTTCAAGTCTGTGAAGTCTGTATAGTTGGTGCGTCTCTGAAGAGCTGAAGTGAGGTTCTGAGGATATAAATATGGAAGGAACCAAGCTAGTGCACGTGACCACCCTAACAGAAGTCCTCTACTGAGCTACAAAGAAGAGAAGCTACTTGCTTCCTCCAACGGATTTGTCAAGGCAGAATGCATGCAAATACGAAGCAGCGAAACAACGAGGAAGAGGTCATTTACCAAATCCAACTTAACAACCTAAATCGCCAAAGTTTGTGCTACGCACCACGTATCCACTACCAAGAAAAAAAGCAGCATACCTCAACAATTGGCCCATACGTTGAAACTTATATTTCAAGCCAGGACAAACATGATCTGAGTGAGACAGAGCGTACGAGTAGTGATACCTGAGGCATTCAATTATGCACTGAGCAAGCGATCCAATGAGGCTGAACATCATGAGGACCGCCTCTAAATCAGGCCTAGCTTGACTTTACAGCCGACCACAATCCTCATTCATCAGCGGTCTTCATGATACAACGACAGCACGACGTTGACAGCCGACATAGTAGACTTGCATACAATTATGATAATGTTCCTGCATCCGGCTCGCAATATGAGAAACGGGGAATCTCATCCTCGAGATCACAACCTTGCGTATACGTAGAGTGTTCACTCAGCCTCTAGATTCTTGACAAGTACGCATCGAGAAAGACATTAAGGCGCTGTCATCCTGATTTTCTTAGGCCTCTAACAATGGATTGCTCCATCAATTTATCTGGAATTGGTCATCTACTCACGGCTCACCATTGGCTTTCACTAACCCGCGAACAGATATGAATGACCCCGAGACCGTGGCAGTATATACTCGGCTTGTTCGATTTCAGTCGGATATATTCTCGGAAGAAATAGCATTTGGCGATCCGGACAGTTCTCTACGGAGAATAATCCATGATTTGGCTCATCGCCTAGGCTTGGAATTTGAATTCTCCTTGCTCACTAGATGCGCAAGAGTTACGAGACCAATCCCTGCAAATCCCTATTATACTAGTAAAGACCAGGTCTTCACACCTTCTACTCTCAATGGATGCGATACTGCAGGCTATCCAGTCTGGTTCTATGCTGGAGCGCAGACTGGAGAGATTGACTTTGTTGCCGAAACCATTGTATCTGAAGCCAGGTCTCCAGCTACTTTCGCATATCCTGGTCTAGATTTGTCCTCTAGCAAAGTGGATAACACGAGCCTGTCAACAACTTCTACCTCAAACTATGCGAGCTACTATGGCTCTATTGATACGAGTCCAGCATTGGGCTTGTTGGCCGGCCCCACCAGTTCGGCTACCAGTACCGGAAAGATAGACCACCCAAGAGCGTTCAACAACTCATCCGTCAAAAGATCGAACTCAGCTGCATCTACATGCTCCAAGAATCAGGAGACAGTCTTTGACGCACGCGCGGGGCAATCCGTCTCATCTAGGTCTTCGCCATCTGTGCGGAGAGGTACAATGGACTCGACGTCTCGAGAGTCAATGAAAGCAGTGAAAGCTGTTGGAGCATGCTGGAGATGCAAGTACCTGAGAAAGACTGTGAGTTTGTCGATTTCATTTTGGCTGATGTACTAATTGAAGCAGTGCGAAACCTCCGACCCGTGCGAGGCCTGTCCGAAGCCATCCCAGAAGTCCACGAACACGAATTGGGGGCTCGTTGGATGCAGACGTGGCCCATTTGCAGATCATCTGCCAGTGATACGTCTTTGCACGGGAACAGGCGCTAAGACTACGATAGATCAAGATGTGCGGAGTCAAGGAGAATCAATGCGTGAAGGACAGAACTCGCCAGCCGTCAACAGCGATAACTCATTCTGGAAGGCCCAGACCAAAGAGCGGAATGATGACATTGAATCGATAAAGGCAGCTGATGATCCCGAGAAAAAGTTCTTCGAATTGATATTCGGACATGCTGAGAGCATCAAATGCTGGAAGCCACTGCACAGACTCCAATAGAAACGGACTTGCGATTCTTGCCAACCTTTCTTGGCGAAATCAATTAGAAACCTGGACGAATGTATTATTGCTATACTCTGGGAAGCAAGCCGCTGTAATTTATCTCAAGACGTACTGACTGCTGGTAAAACTTCAATCTTGTCCAATTTATGGGATGCAGCAGCATTTTTTCGCTCGGCTTCATCGTATCAATCCGAATACAAGAGCGTGGGTTTCGCCCTGCAGCCTCCAGTTTGAATAAGAGATCATCACTGACTGCGTCGAAGAATAATTTGATCACGCTCGCGCTTGACTGTCTGCGAAACTGCCTTGAGCTTTTGCGCTTAACCAACTCAGTGTGTAATCACAAGTTCGTCCATCAAGATTGCGATAAGTCGGCATGTAAGATTGATTGCGTACTGAGTGCAGAAAAGTGCATCAAGCTATTCGTTGACGAATTATCATGTGTGTTCTTCAAGAAAGACAATATCCGGTCCAAAGAAGGATGGTGGCTTTCAGCCTTTTACAGCCTCTGTATTCAAGGTTTTGTAAGACGGGCGTTGATTCAATTGAATCCAGAGTCTTGTACGGACGATGAAACTAATCAGTACTTATACCTCGCGATCCGATTATTTGGTGCCAGTTCCGGGACATACGACCCTTTGACTCGAGACTATGCTACTTGTAGCGAAGGAAGTGACAACTCTATGGCGGGAAATTTTAAAGCCGCTCAGCTCTCCTTACACCAATACAAATGGACATCAAGCGAGATTACTGGCTCGGTCAATTATCTCAAAAGGCTGTTTGAAGACAAAGGAGACTGTCTCAAGCCTAGAAGGATGACTGTCCAGACTTTAGGTTGGACGGCGGATACCCAGCTATTGAAACTGTACAAATTTAACGTCCCGGTGGGGCAGGAGCCATATTTCGACTTGCGTCCACAATGGCCCGTGAGCCCAGAAACTCCTCAGCGAGTCTACTTAGATCCTCCACCGTATGATGTTTTTCAAGTTCTGGTTTAACACACGCTAATACATGTCCCAGCATAAACCAAACAAGAAATTATTCTTGTCGATATCCAGGTTGCACAGGAAAGGTTCGTGTTTTTGGGCGGCCAGCAAATCTCATCAGACATTACAAAAATGTGCATCTGGATCCTGATATAAAGGATTTCTTCGCATGCGATCATCGTAACTGTGGACGGTCATTTAACCCTTTCTCACGGAAAGATCATCTCAGAGATCATTTTCGAGATTACCACAAGGAGCCAATCGGAAACGCCAAAGGGGAGAAGTCCATGAGAAATACCCCAAAGTGGCTAGAGGTACAGAGTTGGCTCAATGATAGAGTGTATAAAGCCAACTGGTGGAGATGTGGGAAATGTTTGTGTAGGATTATGATATCAGATCGGGCTACGAGTGCAACGCTTGCAAGACTTCTTGTGAATCCGAGGTGGTCCAACTAATCGTATCTCTCCGTCAAGAGCACGAAGAACGCAGCCATGCCGAAAATCCATCGCAGGAAATCCCACCCCCGAGTTCAGCGTATTCTTGCTCAATGTGCAGCGACACTGGATGGTTCTGGGTTGAGCTTAACAATGGCTGGGATCCTTGCACAAGTTGCCAGCCAAGTTCGTGGTCGGCCCAGTTTGAGACGAATGAGTCGTATTGAGATATGCCCCCCTACTCATGAAGCAGCGGCTACTTGGGAAAAAAATCGCAATTCACGACTTCATGCACAGGAAGATTTGAAATCCTATGGGACGCAGCATATCTTGACATTCGAAGCTAATATTCTCAATCAGTGTCAACTAGTCGGAGCCATTCTCTCCAGGCTTGAACGTCATCACAATATGCCCGTCAAAGGATGATTCAGCCACACGTTGCACAACATTAGCGCCAGAATCCACGAAACCGGGAGTTGTGACCCACTCGCACAACGTCGACTTGTGACGAGGCTGAATTTCCAGGCACATGAAAACCATCTTTTTCTCCAAATCTATTCTACTGATGGATCGCTGCCAAAATTATGGTGATGGATATCTGGATTGAGAATAGAGAATAGACAAGAAACGTTCAGGATGATGCCTAGGAGACACTGCCGTCGAAACAATTCATTTGTATTGGTAGCCTGAGCGAGGTAAGAGGCATCCAAGGATTCGGTTCTCACAACACATCGTCTGGGAGGCGACTCGACTCAAATTATCCACCATTTTAGCCTACCGACAACATAAACAGCCTGCGTAACAGAAGCCATCGAGCACTTGTCTGTCCTCATCGAACATCAATCGCGAAGTAAGCACTGCATTCCCATCTAAAAGAAAATTCTCGTGGCGCATGAAGCAATCAAGCTCCTCACCTATCCAACCCCTTTTCTACTCACTCGGCTAATCTCCCGGATGCATATGACATCAAATGAAGCTCGATGAAATGATCGTAAGGAGATGGAGCTCTCCGTCTCGGATCTTGGTTATTGCTGGGTGTCTTTGCCTGCTTTATTGTGTCCTGTTTGTTAGTTGGTCGAGGGAGGCTTGGAAGGAGGTTGGGGTTGATCACGTGGCTCAAGAAGATCAGGAAAAGGATGAGGCCAGATGGAGGAGGGATGTGGGGAATCAGACGTTGGGTGTGAGTGTCCTTCTCTTCTATTGCTTTTGCGATCTTTGATCCGAGTAGCTAGGAAGTCTTTTAGCGTGGTAGTCTTTCTGTGCATCATGTTCAAGTCTGGGATTTTGGGACTTGACCTTTTCAAGTGGTGGTATTCTCAAAATTCTATTTACTCGAAAGCCAATACCTATGTTGCTTTTTTCCATCCCCTGGTATCATCAGTAACACAAAAGCTGATTTCACACAGTTTCAAAAACTCTTCGTCATAAACATGCCCTCTCGAACAGACAGACGAGACGCAACAACGCTTGCGTTCGCCACCAGTAACATTGCAATATATTTCATCGAAGGTGTAAAAGGAGACAGTATCCCAGAAGAAGCTTTGCCTCCAGGAGACAGTGCTGAGAGTATCAAGCTGTCGAAAGGGATAAAAGGGAGTTGGAGAAGCCATATGAATGCTTTGCAGCAGTGAGTTGCTTCTTGCATTCTTTTCAATGCTTAATCTTCTAGAGGAAAAGGAGCTGAGTATGACAGAATCGTTTATCAAAATCTTACCACGGCCATGATATTTGAAGACGACGTAGACTGGGACATCCGCCTCAGAGCCCAACTAAACACCTTCGCCATCGCATCCCGCTTCCTCTCCAACCCAAGTTTCTCAAACGACCTCCCCCGCTACTCCATCCAAACATACCCAAACCCCGAAACCGAAGAATCAATCCACAACGACTCATCCCCCTACCCCATTTCACCTACCCTCTACTCGCTCCCCATCTCGTCGCTGCCCCTATCCTCACTCCCTCCATCCTCCTCCTCATCAACGCCATACGGCGACCCCTCAACCTGGGACGTCCTCTGGCTCGGACATTGCGGCGTCGGCTTCCCCCGCCCTTCATCCACAGATACCTCACCAAGCACAGCAAACATCCTTCTCACACACTCTCCTGACCCAACAGTCCCCTCCCCAAACCACCTGCGCGCCCACCCCTTCGGCCCCTTAGACGCGCTCTCCGCGTCCCACGACCCACACACGCGAGTTTATCAGTACGTCAATCTCTCTTATATATAGTACTTATCCTGGAAACCATCCGAGAGCTGCAGCTCATTAAAGAAGAAGTTCTCCACTTCCTAAGATCCCAGATCTCCATCAAAACCATATACTGACTATCCTATCTACAGCCGCGGCAGCGGCGGCGCGCTCTGCACCGTAGCCTACGCCGTCTCGCAACGCGGCGCAAGGCGTCTCCTCGCCGAATTCGGCGTCAAGCGCTGGGGTCGAATATGGGATGTCGAGCTCGGATCGTGGTGTGCTTCTCAAGGGCTGTGTATCACTGTTCAGCCGCCGATATTCGCGCATCACCACCCGGCGGGAGGAGAGAGTAATATTGGAGGGTTGGGAGGCGGGTATGCGAGGGCGGTGGAGACGAAATATGTGCGGTGGAGTGTGAGGATGAATCTTGAGAGGTTGGTTTGGGGGAAAGGGGAGGGGGAGTTGGTTGATCAGTGGCCTGATGAGGCGGAGTGATGGTTTGATTGAGAGGAGGGTTTGAGGGCTGTGTGATTTGAAAGAGAAAGCAGCGACGGAGGAGCGAGCAAAAAAAAAAAAAAAACAAGGAAGAAAAAAAATATTTGGGCCTCTCAAGCCAAGCCAGCTCATTCATTCACTCATTTCATCTCAGGGGAGGAAGGAAAGGGAATTTGGTACTTACAAACTGCTCCGATTATCTTCTCGGTGAGCCTATGCATTGTGGAATTATACAAACGAGTGTGAGCCTTTCTTGGAATTTTACAAACGTAATGTTTGTGAGCCTATGTTGGGGTTTACAGACGAATGTGAGCCTATTAATACGGGAATTTTACCGTGAACCAAGACCATTGGCGCAGCACCCCGAGCCTCGGAGCTCGAACTCTCCGAGCTCGGAATACCCGAGTCCACACGTAGCAGCCGCCCCCTTAACCTGGGGCCCCCTAACCTGATGGTGTTGAACGGGCAGGAAGAGGGAAAGTCCTGGCGTTTCAGAGGCCTGTGATTTTCTTTGTCAGCGAGGTAAACTCAACAGCCTTTGATATTAGAACGAGATTCATAAGTGAATGAATGACCTTTTTTTTGGCTGAGAGGCTACCGTTAGAGCCAAAGTGCCTTTCGGCAAATTATATCGTAGTTGGGAAGAAACTACTTGTTTAAAATTATATAGACGAGAGGTTAAGCTAAGCTATGTTGGGACAGGAAAAAAATACGTCAGTAGATAAGGCTGTAAAGGCAAACCAGAGCTACATCGCAAGGCTGGATAGGAATGTGAGAACCTGGGGATACAGAATAAAGATATAGCCTCATGCAGATGTCAAATTTAACAAGCTTGGGTTACGTAGTACTTACAAGATTTTTCGATCCAACCATTTCCTGTTTGTAGACAATACTGGAGCTTTTTGATCTTGTCAAGTGCTCTTAGCTTTTTCCTTGAGGCACAATAAAGCTCCGAGTAGTCTATGAGAGACAGAAACATTTTTGAGGTGTGAAGCAGACTCGAATGGCGAAGAAGAAACAGAACCCGCAATCAAACCTAGAATCGGCAGGGCAAGAACATATCTTCATAGAGTAATCACTACTGGTGGGACAAGACAGGAAAAAATACCGCAAAAGAGGTTTCAACATCAAAAGTACGCTCAGCCAAAAAAGCACAGTCCCAGATTCGCAAGTGAGGACACTTACACTCAAAAAGACACCAGGCTCTCGAAGCAGCAACCTGAGAGAAAAGAAATACCATTACTATGTTGAAGAGTAATCTACGCCCGATAAAGCAATGATGTAAAGCAAATACTCGCCCACCCAGGAACGCCTGCCTCTATGCGAATAACCACACCAACCCCTATCCCTCCTCATCTTCATCATCCCCTTGCCCCTGAATCGGATGATGCTGATAATGATGATGCTGCTGCAAATGTCCCATAACAATCTGCGCCAACACATCATGCAACTGGCTTGCCGTCTGCCCACCCAACTGCAGCTCCGTAACCAGATCGCTCTCCGCCACCGTGCCGAGCTCGTACACATGCTCTTGCCCTTCTTCTCCTCCTTCTGCTTCTTCGTCTTCCTCGTCTTCATCGTCGTCGTATTGTACGTTGGCGGTGGTTTGGTGGTACATGGCGTGTGGATGGTCTGCGTCGTCGTCGGAGGGCTCTCGGAAGCCATCGCTGACTTTCCAGAAGGCTGTTGGGCCGGCGGGGCCGTGGATGTCGTGATCTCTGGTGGGGGTGTTAGTGCTGTTCGAAAGAAGGGAGGGGAGATTTACTTGTCGAACCAATGACCGAGGACGCCTCGACCAGATCGTATACCACCGACCTGGATACCTTCACTTGCCCATCTCTCCTCACTATTCATTTAAGTTAGTTCCAAAACCCATAGCAGAATCAAAGTCACTTACCCAGCAAAAACGGAAATAGTTTGCCACCTAACCTCACCTTCCTTGGTCAGACGGACTGTCCCCCTGATCGACGAGTTCGCATTCGGATCCCAGGATGTGTTCATACTAGATGTTGAGATGCCCTCGAAATGATATATCGGCAATGCCTGGCCGTCTTCTGGTCCTGGCGGTTCGGATTTCGTGGCGCGAATCTCCATCGTGATGAGACGGATGGCTTCTGTGGTGTTGAGCGCTGGTCGGGCTTGGTCTGGTTCGGGTTGACCGGTGGTGAAGTTGTATGCGAAGAGGTCGTGGAAATCTAGGCGTGTTAGTTTTGCAATTGAGTTCATTTACGATGTGAGAGATTACCTAAGAAGCAAACAACCTAGATATCATAGTTAGCGCCAATTCTCTCTCTTTTCTCCAAGAAGGGACATCACTCACCCTAGTCCACGTCCCCGTAATATTATACGGATCCTCAAACCCCTTGGGCAACGGCCTTCTCACCTCCTCCGCCATCCCCTCCCACCCCGTAAACACCCTCTCTTCCTTCTTATCCTTGTTGAACCTGCCATCATCCACATACGAATTGGGCGCTATGCCACCAAACGGCACACTCCAAACCTTAGGAAACATCCCATGCGTCTGGCGACAAAAAGCATGCATATTATGCCCCAACACCAGCATCACCGCTTCCATCTTCTCCCAATCGACGCTCGCTTGGCCATCTGATAGATATGGCCCCCATTTCGTCTCCTCCGTGTAATTGCGCAAATCATACACAACGGATACGGCGTAAGGGTACGTGGTATGCCATTTCCTTGTTCGCGGAAGGAAGAGGGGGACGCCGTAAAAGACGTGCAGTTTTGCAGACGCCTGGCGCTCTTCGAGAGTCAGGTTCGGCAGGGTATTCTCGATGTGACGAGCGCGGAAGAAGGTGCTGGATTGGCAGAGGAAGGCTTCGATATTGTCTCTTTGTTTTCGGGGGTATCCTCTGTTGTCATCGAACCAGTTTTTCATGCGTTGTATGGTTTGCGATTCCTTTGGAGTAGAGATGTAGCAGGCTTCTGTGAGGTATTTGGATATTTGCACGATGTCGTTTCGCTGCAATGGTTAGCTAACACCGCGACATTCTCAGTTTCTGGGGCATACCTTGTCCTCGACTTTCTTGTCGCTTTGGAGGATCCTTCGGGCGATGCAGAACTTGATGAGTTCCTCCTTGTAGTCAAATCCAGCTGGCTTGAAAGCATTTACTGGACCATCCTGAACGTTATCAGTACAGAACTCCGGCGCATTGTGCGACAAGGTATTACGAACCAGCAGATAGCAGTAGACCTCCTTAAACAGCACCTTATCTGTCATAAATTTCTTCAATTGCTTGCTGACCCTAAAGATCCGTCCCAGGTCGCGCGGATCGAGATATTTGAAGATATTATGCAATATCTCGTTCGGGAGACCATTCAGTGTATTCGCCATTTCGCCTGCATCCGATGATGTAAATTACGAAAAATGGACGCTGGAGGTTTGTAAGAGGGATTGTTACTCGGTGCTAGATAGTGAGGTATATTCGTGATAGTGTTGTGCGTCGCCAGATAGTACAAATCACTCTATCGTCAATGATGGTGAGATGTCTGGAAATGATGCAGCGTCAGCGCTGTCGGATTTCAGAGGAGATAGCGGGGTACCACGTGACACACTTTCTCAACTCCGACAGCCAGCCACATCGGGAATAGTTAGTCCTTGTTCCTTTTACGTACAATCTTCAGTTCTGTTGAATATCCAATTCAATTCCTAAAGGCCGCTTTAACAAGATATCAAGATGTGTCTAAGTATCGGTGAGGCCCGACGGAGGAGATGCTCATTCCTTTTGCCGCTGAAGAAGAGCGGGAGAAGATGGGTCGAGAGACGTTCCTTTTGTCAAACCTTAAAATTCAATCCCAAGTAAGATTATGTCCGTACAGGCGCAGAGGACCAGTAGATACATTGGAAAGGCGAGTCCATGTTTAGCTGAGATGAAATGTCTAGCTATTTGCTGCGAGGTGATGTAAAGTATGTCTCAGGCCAGTCTGTCGGAGAGACAGTGGCTTTGAGCTTGTTAAGAAACAATGTCTTTCTTTTTTCGTGAGACATATAGCCTCGTAGTTGCGACCTTCAAGTCTGGAACAAGATGCGAGCATCAGGCCACCAAGTTTGAATCATACGAGGGAGACTCCAATATTTTAGCAAATACTAGCTTCGATTACTACTGTATGCACTTTGCTATCGAACAAGCTATTCTCACAAGAGCCGCCCAAGTAAGTAGTGTAGTGTACCGCCCAATCAAACGCAAGCCACCACAGACGCGAGACGCATAAAGCCAACCAACCCTGTTACCAAAATAGACAGCAAAACTCCCCCAAACACCAGTTTGTGTGCCGTGAGGCATGACCTATCTAGTTCTTTTTACTCCCTGCCCAGCTTTGCCATCCGTCCCATGTACCCTGCCAGTGCCGTTGCCAATGCCCCACAGAATAAACTTAAACGACCACTAAATCAACAAACGACATTGAAAAGAAAGCAAAAGCAGACCAGCCAGCTGATCCGCCTGATCGAGCCATGCAAAAGACGTCGATTGTAGAATCGGCAGCGACAACCCCTAGATCAACTCCAACACCAAGCGCAAACATGAGGAATTCGAGTTCGACCGCACAGTTGAGACAGCAAGTATTTCGGTAACCAAGTTGATTTAGGTTGTATCCTCCAGGTCCAGGCTAGCCTTAGACGAAGCTTTTCTGATCCTGTTGGAGTACATAGACGTTGCTTCAAAGTCTCCAATAACTGCAGGGGCCGTTTTCGGATCCGTAGAAGCTACTTGCGAAAGCATTTTCAATCGTTCCAAAGTATCACTCTTCAATTTCTGCAAAATTCGCTCTCGAACACCACGATCGTTATCACCAACACGCGCAGTGCTCAAATTTTCTGCCGAGAGATAATTTGAGGATGCAGCTTCTCCCAATACCCGGTCTCGACCATCTAATGCAGAAGTCGAGATGGAGTCGGAAGAAAGGTCTTCCCGAAAGGGTATTATTGACCCTTCCGGTCCAACCGGCCAAGCATATTCCGGTCGATTTCGGTATTGGGTCTGCTCTCCATGATATTCCCTAAGCTCATAGGATCTTGTCTACCCTCGCCGGGACTTGAACGCGGAGGAGGAGTGCGTGACATAGATGGTAGGCCTGATTGTTGCGGGGGTTGAAGATTCGAATGCGAGGAAGTGGAGGATCCAGGAGAGTAATTTGCGGCGGATGAGGCACCTGTCGGCGTAACTGGCGGGAGTCGAAGATCATCTTCAACGGCTTGGCGTCGGCTTGCACTGTCTGCTCGTGCATAACTGGGTTGACCTGGGATAGGAGGAGGAAGGATGCCAGTATGCGGATCTGGCTGAGGACGCTTGCGCGATTGGTCGTGTTGTGGAGGTTGTGAGCCACGATCGTCCGAGTAAGAACTGTAAGATCCAGTGGGAGATGGTGCGGGGTAGTCGTAAGGAGAGCCTTGTTGTGGAGGAGGAATAGGTCCTAGAGGTTGTCCATGTGCACCAAACAACTGCGTTCCTTGTGGATATACCATTGGTCGCGGTCGACCATCTGGCCCAACACCCATATTTCTCATGCCAGGATAGACTGCGTGAGCTGGGACGAAAGCTTGAGCTTGAGAGGATACAGGTGTGAAGATACACTCTTGTTGGAATCGCTGGCAGTTTGAACAGCGACCTTCTGGATTTTGGTCGAACCCAGAACAGCGAATCTAGTCTAGTTAGCTACATTCGTCAAAACATCACATTGTGAAGATCGGAACGTTTCAAAGTGAACCGCCACTGGGCGTTCGACACGGGGTTTGCGCTTTTCTAGCTTTCTGTCTTACCTTGCGTCTTCGGCAATATCTGCATGCAATTGCGGTACGTTGTCGCGGAGCGGATTGACTGAATGCCATCTGCTGTCCACCACCTCTGCCATAGTCTTGATAGCCACGATCGTCTCTGTATGGACCAGGCGCAGGTCGGTACGGATCTTGCTGGTAGGCGCGTGGATCCGGTGGGTAGCCATTTGACGACTGACTGTACTCGTATGGGGATATTGAGGGAAGGGTGACTCCGCTGGAAGGTCCACGGTGATGATAGGCCCTCGCGCGATCGTCTTCTTCGCCTGGAGGAGGAGGATATTGTGACTCTTGCTCGCGAGGCGGGGGGTAACCACCGCTCTGATCCTGGTACGACATCTCTGAATGATAGATCGCCACGGTGACGACGGTTTCTCGACGATTGGGATACTTGAATGTCCACCGACTCTCCGTAAATTAGAAGGGGATGAGGTCGATGTACGTCGGATCGACTCGGATGCTGTATTAACAATGTGATGTATGTAAAAGAGAATGGTCTACTAAGATGTCGCCTGGACTTTCCAAGTCTTAAACGTTTTGCCTGCCTGCCTCGAGTCTAGAAGGAACGACCCGACCGTAGGTTGGTGTACCTCGTCAGTTGCCCTCGACCGTCCGAAGTCGCAGCCAGACAATAAGGAGAAGAAGACAAGCAGCAGATTTCGAAGACCTGCTCAAAACCAGACAAAATGAAAATCCAGAATGGAAGGTAGATTGAAGTGGGAATGAGGTAGGTAAGATGAGGGAGATTCTTCTCGGGCTGGTAATCGAGAGATGTCAGACTGGTGTGCGCAGACTCACACGGTAGTCAGTCTTTTGAGTGGGGTGGGGTGCGGTGTGCGGCCTGATGAAAGTAGTTACTAGCACCACCGGAAGAAGACCGACGCTGGTGGGCGGTCCGTCAAGTCGAATTTGGCGTCGAGACGGCGTGTTTGATTTCCCAATTCAGTCCGATAGCGCCAATTCCGCACTCCGGTCGAGCAATCAAGTCTTCACGATGGACCGTGTCGTACCTTCCCTTCCCGTGGCCGCAGTTAAGGTTGCAGACTGATGTGCAGCAACGGGCTGATGCAAGATCGTAAGATCCCTTTTGCTACGCTGCAGCTATTTTCCTGCACGCAATTGGGAAGTGCAAGTGCACACAATTGCCTCGAAGCTCTTGCAGCTTATAAAAAGTTGGAGATCTCGGGGATGAAGCCGAGGGGTGCTTTTCAGACCTGAACGCACAAAAGTTAGTTAGACTTTTGTGCCCTGCCAATAGGAGGTCTGACCACCACACACCTGCACTTAGGGAGAAAGGGCGCAAATTCTTGCACACGTACCGTTGGTGGTGCAAATGCTCAGCTGGTCGGGCCACAATTTGCCCCTCTTTGGTACCGTCTTTGAAGGGATTTTCTTAGCGGGGTAGTTGGCACAGCTCAATGACGAATCGCAGGCTCAAAACCACCTCTACGATCCCAAATTCTTGTAGTTCTCGAGGGGAGACGGTTTAGTGGGGCAAGATAGCTACGTGAAATCCTCTGGGGGCAAGTGTGCACAGTCACAGTGTCCAATTACTTCCACCTGTCCAAATTTCGTGGAGATCCACACCGAAACTTCTGCCTGCGTGTATATGAATCTTCTCCTGTTCGATGGCCGGTCGTCCTTCTGAGTGTGCGGTGCGGATCGTGGGCTGCTGACAAGGACCGTCTTTAGACTGCTGGTCGGCGGATCTCGAACCAAGAAGAACCACCAATACGAGCACTTGAACTGGTGCTTATGACTCCTTGACACACAACAATGGGACTGGTGGTCCAAAAAAGGGGTTTGCTGGCGCGCGGATTGGAGACTGGCTGTCAGCGGCGGATTTGTTGCCTTGAAGATCTGGGGAGCGGTCCCAAACGTTGGGATGGACGGCCTCTGTTCTGCGACCCAGTGAGGCGAGCTGCGGGTGATTTGCTGCGATGCGGTACGATGCGATGCGGGCGCTTTTTGAGCAGTGGACCTGACCCTGGAGAACGAACGGCCGGCAGAAGGGCCACGAAATCTTTCAATCGACGTCCTCAGACTGAAGTATATGTTCTGATGCGCAAGTGCGAATGTGAGAATGGGTATGCAGATGTCGTTTCGAATTCGAAGTGGGAGGAAAGGACAGCGCTCGACACAACTGAATGTCCTGTATGAAATGGAGGTGAGGTTCTTTGGTGGTCGAAATTTGTGAGAGATGTGAAGTTGGAGAGGGGTCCGAAACTCGGTGTCGGGGAATATCACACGGGGCGTTCGCGGTGTTCCTTGCTTGTGCTTGTGCTAATGAATCTGCACCTGCAAGCTTGTGCGCCTCGAATCGAAGCCTGGCTCTTCTGCGAGTGTCAGCCTCGGTCTGGAGCAACGCTGCACGGCCAACTCGATGAATGCAGATATTTCGAGTCAGGGACAGAAAGAGGTGGCAGATGCAATCGCGGACCGCGCGCCCGCGATAAATGCACAAACGGTAAAATGCAAGAGACAGAAAAAGGAGATGGCAAGGGAGTGGAGATATGCGCCGTGGACGTACCGTGCTGATTATACCTGAGGGTATGCGGTGTTTGCTGGTCTCAGTGGTGGTTGCTTATGGTAGTGGTGGACGGGTGCGCACACAGCCGTCGTCGTCGTGGTGAAGAGCGAGGGTGAGTGAGTGTTGTGTGAGCGGCGGCTTTATTATATGAAATAATACTGGATGACGATATCGACGAGGGGAGCCGTGGAAAGGCCGGGCGAAACCGAAAGTTCGAAAGTTCCAAGAGGAAGGGTAGGCAAATGCAGGGCGCGGCGGTCGTATTATTATTATGAAAGCGGTGCTCCGGTAGGGTAGGGTAGGGTAGGGGAGGCAAACTGGCTACCTATGGATCAAGTGATGATGGTTTGCGACAACGAGTGTCCCGCTGGAAGGGAAAAGGGAAGGGATGGCAAGGGGAGGGATGGATGATGGGGGATTAGGCGTTGATCAATGAGCGTGCAGCGTCCGGAATCCAAAGCCAACGCCGGGCTCGCAGCCGCTGGACGGGTCGAAGTGGATGAAGTAAGTGGGTGTGTGGGTTTGAGGGTTCCTCCTAGGTGGGTTGGGACGAGGTGCTCTGCTCGCTCGCTCGGGTTGGGTTGGCGGTGGAGGCTGGATAGGCGGAGACTTTTTTTTTCTTCGTTGGAAATGGAGATGGATGGATTAAATGGTCGATGGGAGAGGAGAGGAGAGAAGAGACTAGGTGCTGACGGGGATGAGGGGAGCAGCAGGAGAAGGAGGAGGAGGAGGAGGGATGTATGCGGATGTATGTATGTATGTATGTATGTATGTATGTGGTTGATGTGGATGTGGATAGAGGATGAGGAGGAGGCTTTTCTGCGGTTGTGCGGTTGCAGCAGGTTGCAGGTTAGGTCAGTTCTGGTGTCGGAGGTCGTAGAGCGCAGTGCACTGCAAATGCGGGCGGTGATGATGGCGGATGGAGCCAGGTAAACTCTGTCTTGGATAGGGTGCCGCAGAGCTGGTTGGGGCGTGGAAGCAGAGCAGACGAAGTCGACGTAAAGAAGTGTGGGTGAAGTTAGTGACTGAGTGGTGGATGGATAGATGACGTTCGAATGAATGAATGGATTGTATGACTGAGAGCCGAAGATGGTGTAGACACAGAGGTACAGTAAGTAAGTAGGAGGTACTGGAGCTGTAAAAGGTAAAAGCAATAATAGTTGATTGACGGGTGACGAGTTATTGTTGGTGATGATGATGATGGACTGAACGGGACTGGATTGGTGGTAGCTCCTCCAACTATTATTATCTTGTCCTCCTGATGGTTGATTTCATTCCTGGTTGACTCGGGCCGGTAGGTTTTCCTCGGTCTCAGTATCTATCTATCTGTCTATCTCTGTTTGTTGCTTTCTTTCTTTCTTTCTTTTTCCTTTCTTGGATTCTTGCTTTGCTTGCTGCTATATTAATCTTAGGTCTGCTCTAGTATTGCCGTGGTTCGCTGGTGCTTTTCCCCGTCGGATGCTATTACAGTATTGCTGATGTTTTGCAGTCCGGGTTGGTGTCGCTGCACGTCGCTCGTGGCTGGCAGCAGCTGCAGCTGTGGGCGAGGGAGAGAGGGAGCGAGTGCGTGCTGGGATGGGGGTTCAGTGCGCGACTATGCCCGAAGGAGTCCCTCCACAACGTCCCAAGCGTCCCAGGACCACACCCCTGGCTATCGACGGCTTGAGAAAAAGAAAATAGGCATGTAAAGTAAAAATCCTTGGGACCTCCTCGCACCGCCGACCGTAGGGTAGGACTCCCTGGACCGATCCCTGGCTTCCCTGAACGACGCACGACACAGCCAATGGCCGCCCACCCACGTCGACTTTCCAAGAGCCGGTGTGCAGGGTCCAGCTCTCCAGGCAGTATCCGCTGGGGGCAGCCGCTGCGACACGAACTCGGCCCTTAGCGTCGCCTTGGTGTGCTCGGGTGGCAAGCAATCCCAGGTGTACGACTCGATAGAACAAGATGGAGACCACCACTCACTCGTCCAACCTAGCAGATCACGGCCACTCCGTCGCAGCACGGCGTCCGCAATCAAGAAGAACGAGAGGGACAGACAGCACGGCGACGACGTAATCTTTTTCTGGCAGCACGAAGCACCGGGTGGTGGGTATTCAGGGGCGAGATGAGATGAGGTGAGGTGAGGTGAGGTGAGGTGGGTGAAAGAGAGGTGAGCTTGAGTGAGCTTGAGTGAGGGGCGAGGTCGAGTGAGGGGCTGATGCGTGAGTGGAGGAGGAGTGAGTGAGTGAACGGATGTATGGGAACGAGGGGAGTCGACAGACGTGAGTAAGGAAGTGCGTGCGTGCGTGCGTGCGTGCGTGCGTGCGGTAAGAATGGATCGAGCCAAGCCACGGCCAGGAGATATCTATCGAGACGAGAGATGAGATGAGATGAGAACGAGACACCGTCGGGATCGCTCGCGTGGAATGGACGATGATGCCGGCTCACGGGAAGGGAGTCTTATAACCTTACATTCATTACATTACATGACATTACATTACATTACGACGGCAAGGCATGCATGGCAAACGAAAGGAAAGAAAAGGGGTGACCAGACATCTGCAGATGCTGCAGCAAGATGCAAACAATACTCACTCCCCTCCTCTAGACCAGAACTCTACTCATTCGTTGCTCCTTGCTCCCATTCTGGTAAGCCGGTTCAGACTCAGAAATGGACGATGTCTTGTTTCCCCGGTCTGGCCCAGAATGGAGACTCGAACACTGCTTGTTTACAACTGCGTCTAATTCTCCCCACCATTTACTTAGTTATTTCTGTGCGTGCTTGTGTCGCAGCAGCCAAGTCTGGCCGCGACTATTCTTAAGAGCTATAGCTATCAGGGACTACTTCGTAATCTATCTTGATAGTGAGGACCGGCTACTATTGCCTGCATTTGCTCCTACTGCTCCTTTGGTGCATGCAACTTCACCATTCCATCGTCTGTGTCTTCTGTCTGGCTTCGACGCCGGTATGCATCAGAGGCCATGTTTTGGACCCAAGGGCAGGGCCGCACCGCCTCGAGTCCAAGACGCTTCTGCACGTTATACACGCGCAGGCCACTTAGAATCCAGCCCCGTGTGCGCGCGCGCTTCTTTGACTACGACTGACTTCAAAGCTTCAAACTGATGGCGGGCCAGTTTGGATGGCGGTGACCTGCGGGGCTCCTCCATGCATCGCCATACCATCCCCATCTTCGCGCCTCCAACGGACAGGTGCATTAGTGGGGAAAGTGCCAGACGCTCGTTGTTGTATGCTCGAGGGATCTTGAGGTCGCTGCTGCTGTTTGCGACAAATGACAAAAAGTAGCTGCCGACTTGCTCCTTCCTCCTTCGACCAGAAATCAGTACTACTGTTGGCACTCTGTTTCTCAGAATGGGTCTCGTCACACCTGGATGTCGTCGTCTAACCACAACCCAACCCAGGTTAATCTATCTTATATCTCCGTCCATGGTACTGACCAGGGTGGTACGATGATCCCAGAGATCATTGTCACCACTTGGGAACATCGGAGCACTTGGGTCGTGGAAGTCCTCACGTCTCAGAAGCTCTTTCGCTCTTTCTCTATCTATCCGAGTCAGTAGTGTGAACCACGTCGCGATGATTGTCTATTCTTTTTTTCTTCTATCCCTTGTACTATTATTATCATGCACCAGCATCCTCTCCGGGCTTACTAGCAAACACCCAACAATGCGAGCTTACTCTTATGCGGTAGCAAACGAATAGGATCACCATAGGCGGGAGGGAACGGAAATCCCGTAGCTCATGCAGATTCCATCGCTGGTTCTCCCTACTCCTCTTCTAGCAAGGCCAATGCGAAACGCTCCTGTCATACCAGACCAACAATCCACCAACACCATCAAGACTAGCCGGCAAAGGAAGCTAGCAGCTTGATTTGACGGCTCCAAGCGTGCAGATGCAGAGTTCCTCCTGGCTCGAACACGGTCTGACAGAAAGAGAAATGAAGAAGCTCCACGATTCGTCCACCCAGCGCCCAGCCCCCATCATCATCAATCACAACCACCACCACCAACATGCCACACACAATCTGGAGAATGAGGGGCACGGTCGTGCACCCATCCATCTATCTTCTCTGGCTAATCTCGACGTGCGTGCCATCATCGTTTCCCGGGCCGGGTAGACGGCGATGGAACGAGCCGGAGGATGATCTCCCCTCGATCCAGGTTGATGGGTCGCGGCGCTAGTCCATCGAGAAAAAAATGCCAGCCGCTTCTGGCGAGGAAGAATGGAAGACGGGCTGAGACTGTGTAACCTGTGGTTATGTTTCGATTGTTCGTTGAGACATTGTATTTCTTTGGAATCCTGGTCTCAGATTCATATCGCGTTACCCGTTCCATTCCAGCAACGTGGAGACTTCAGGATCTCAGGATTCAGCCCCCAAAGGGCGCTTCCGAGACAGGAGAGATTAAACACAATGGACTGGACGATTCTTTGTTACTTACACATCACTTTCTGTCCCACGCCAGTGGACTGGCCACAGGAGTTACTTGCTCGGGTGGAATGGATGACTCCTTGAGGAGGAGGAAAAGCAATACAGATGGATTTCTGGAGACGCTCTTGCCATCTTCTAGACCGAAATAGTCACTTTTCAGCTCATTCCCATGCTCCGGCAACTTAGTCCTCAGAAGCACACCGTCGTTCGATAAAGCAAGCAAGACAGCTCATCGGTCTCAAATTGGTCGAGTTCTTCGCCTTGTCGAGAAGAATTCGTCGCCCTCCTATTCTTGCCAACACATGGGATCTGCAGAAGCATGTACACATCAACATCAGCTTTGCCGCAGAAGGACATCAAGATATGCTTGTTTCTGGCGACATGCAGATACTTTAGCTCGCTTGGTGCTGTTGGGCAGGCCGCCACCCTCGGATCGCGCATCCGAATTTGGACCTGGAGGTGGCGTCTCGAGGGCAGAGGATGGCTCTCCGGGCATACCAAGGGAGAGGTGAGGCGGAGTCTACATTGATGCGACGCGGCTTGGGAGGCTACGACTTGAACAACGACAGCGTATCGATTTCCAACATTCATTTGGGTGACCATTAATCCATTCCTTGAAGCGTCTCCGGCAGAGACAACACATACGTGCAGCGGCTTCTTTGGAAAACAACAATCAATACTGCGTTCCCCTCGAATGAAGAATGGGCACCTCAGTGGTCGAGGAGAAGTGACTGCTCACACCGCCCACGATTTCTAACCCCTTTGGTCGGTCATGTGAACAAACTCTCATGCGAGTAGCCGCTCTAGTCATGCCTCTGCTGCAGCTCTCTGCATTGTTCCCGCAAGAGCGGCGCGGAACGAGGGACCAGGGAGAGAGTTGGGCCCAGCCAAAGCGAGCGAGCTCACAAAACAGGGCAGAACAAGGGGGCCGTCTCGGCACCACTCCTGGACCTCCACGAAGTGGACGCAGAATCACAACCAAAATTTATTATTATTATCATCCTTCTTCTTATGATCCCTCGCACCACACCCTCCATCTCGCAGCAGGACCGGCCAGGTCAGGTCAGGTCAGCAAGACCTCGAAACGGCGACCGGTGGCTAAACAGCGCCCCCCCGCTCTACTGGAATCGCGCCCCCGGCGTGCATGCCAATAATCCACACTGCTCGCCATGCAGCCCCCTGTCCTGCACGCCTATCCGACCGCTTCCCATCTTTCGACGTGCATCGCCCGCCGCTCCACAATGGTATTAGCCTCTACCAGCACCCATTCAGCTGGACACCATTGCCAAGGGATGTGCAGGGCTGATCCCCGTCACCTGGTGGGCTCTAACCCTGCCGATCACTCAGCTCGGGCCAGGAAAATACAGCGCCGTTGGGATGGATGCTGCTTTGCCAGAGGGAAGCAATAATAACAAGAAATACAGAACAATAATGGGAACATCATTGATGGGCGCCCAACAAGAGCCAGTCCAGTCCAGTCCAGTCCAGTGTTCATTGGGCTGAAAGGACACTGGGCCGAGCTGGGGAGGAGCGTTTCGTGTTTCGCAGTCGGGGAAAACCTTGCCTCATCCTGCATCGATATCCACTCCACGTCCTGCTCACCTTGCGTGCGTGCACACATGTGCGGTGCTGGGATGCGGGATGCGCTGGGATGTTAACGTCCTGCAGCGGGCCGAGCAGCAAGCAAAATCGCCATCACATCCCACCCAAGCGACCGAGCACAGCACACCACACCTATCCATCCCTTAGCTCCCCTCACCCTCACCCTCACCCTCACCACCCTGAATATCCTGTACGCCGTCGTGCAAAGGCAAAATGTTGGTTACACGCGAGCGTGAGTGGTGCTTGCACCTCCACACCTTTGTGCCACCACGACTATCACTCACCAGTACTATCGCCGGCTAGATAGAGATCAATCAATGTCCTTGGCCTAGCTGGAAAAACAATACGTAGTGGTGATGGTGATGACATACCTCGAGAAGACGCCCGTCCTGTGCTCTGCTGTCCCCACACTGATTTCGACGTCTCGCTGAGCACAAAGCCTCTAAGCGAGCCTGAAAAGGAGATTCACCGGATACCAATGCTAAACGAACGTCCACACTTTACTTTACCACAACTTTGAACACATGGACTATCATGATTTTTCATCACACTCGGTTCTCTCACGCTTAGAAGTCTCTGTAAGCATCACGAGGATATAGACCGTGATCAGCCTTTTATTTTCCTTGCCTCCGTGCTAATGCGCTTGCTGACCGGCAATTACTCGAAACGCAAATTCAGATGCACTGCAAGCAGAACACCACATATTGTACGTACATTGACATGACAGCGATAGGAGTATCGGTGAGCACAGCACAGACGGGTCCGTTACGAGAAGGGGGTTCTTGCATTCTATAATCTTCCTTCGGGCAAGGGCATAGACGGCGAAGGGCTCACCGCTTGCTTTCTTCCTTTCCTCATCTCATCACATCACAAGAGTGCAGTAGATCAATGATGATTTTCTGGAGACGAGGAAACGGGAGACGGGCATTCATCCTCGGAGATTAAGCTTGAAGGTCGGTATGCAAGAGGAATGCTTCACGCAGCGCGCATGCACGGTCATCATTACACGGTGGTCTGGTGGTATATACTACTATATGGTTTATTTTCTTGGCGGCTATCGTGTGAGGGGAGGCAACTCGACACTACATCGGAGCTTCATCGAACTGTGCAGGCGGTGCGGTGCGGCACGGTGCGAGAGTCTGCATCTGCTGTTCAACGGCAGGAGACCACTCTGATTGCAGAGTAGGATATTAGATTGACCCCGCCATTTCGACGCACTGCACGATGAAGGAAGCGAAGTAGCAGGAGGGGGAGTAGAGTGGAGGGGTGACGATGTTCAAAGCGCTTAATTCTTGTGGCTGCTGCTGCTGTCAGGTTTACGGAGTTATGTGCAGTAGCATCAGGATCGTGGCTTTGGCTTTGCCCTCGGCTTGCCTCGCTCGCCTCAAACTTTCAAACCCAGTTTCTCTCTTTCAGCAGAGCAGGCCTCAATACCACCACCACAACCCGCAAGCGCTCTTCTTCCATCCAATCCTTCTCCTTCCGAAGGAAGCCGATGCCGAAATGGTTCGCCCTCCGTCAGGTTGTAAGGTTAAACAACAAGAATGGAGACGAATGCATCAAAGGAGGCATCCACGATCGGCCTGCTGACCCGATCGTTCTCGAACAGGAGGAATACCCGTCCCGCACTCTACGACCGCGCCTCGTCGTCGTTGAGAATGGCAAATGCAAAACTGTAAATGCAAATGCAAACACAGCTCACTCAGATCATAGTGCTGACGACCCCACCATTTCTCATCAACCGCGTCATATCGCACCACACCACCAGACAAACGCAAAGCTGTCTATCAATCAACCAGACGAGATCTCATTCATTGCTGCACCCAGACTTTCATCCACACCCACAAAGCCTGACCAGGCACAAGGCTGGCGTCACACGAAAACGTCCCGACCCCATCTCTGTTTGCCATTGCCGTGGACAGCAAAGACGGGAACCCGACCCCTCACCATCTGCAGCAGCGTTGGCGTTTACCTTGTCTCGTCAGATTTTGGAAGCATCTCGCATTAAGTCTCGTGCAGGGCTGGGCTCCTCCATTCTGTGGCACCTAAGCCCGTTCGAGTATGCCAACAACAGCCACCGCAAGTCGACAATGCGCGAAATGTTTGCTGTGGAAAGAAACAGACAAACGCCTGCTTTTGCCGAGACATACGGGTACGGATTTCCCGTATTTCGCCTTGGGCTCTCGGTCTCAACGCGGGGCAACGGTAACGCGGTGTTGTGCTGTACTCGGTGAGCCCCAACCTTTCAAACAAAACCAACAAACTCTCTCTGCAGACTCGCTGCAGTGAAGATCCAAAACAGTCTCCCTTCCGTTCAAGGCAGAATGAGAACAGTGCTCGCATATATTGCACCCCGAAACCACCTATTATTGCCTGCGTCGGCTTAGCTACCTACTGACATACATCCCGCACGGTAAAGCTTCCTTCGATCCATCCATCCAGTACCAACGGCGGTTTGGATGAATGCGGTCTCACAAGCCCTGGCTCGGCTACCTTCTTCGGGCTTTTGAGACACCGCCATCATCACTTTTGTTCGTACGACTTTCCACCCCCTTCCCCTTCCTCGCTGGGCTTGCATTTGCAGATATGTTCGATGCGGTGCGGTAAGTGCATTGCGTCGAAACCGCAGCAGTGCATCAGTCGGGTCTGTTTTGTTCAGCTGATGTCCAATTCATTCGTCGCTTCGTGTCAAATCCATGCATGGCGTCGGATTTGGACATCTTCTGCGTGGCCTCCATGTTCGATTTCTGCATTACATGTTGTTTTTGCTTTCGATTTCTCCACATTTCCCTGTATTGTCGACATTATCTGCACGCAACGCAAGGGAGACCTTGAAACCAACAAAACCTACGAATTAACCTTACTACGACGGGTGAGGGAGCGATTGAAGGTTATCGGGAGCCGCCGATGCCTACTACTATGGGCCGATGCGCAAAAAGCAATATTGGTGCACGTTCTACAATGTCAAACCGTCCATTATGATATGATGTCAGATATCGATATCCTTTTTTGCCTGTTTCATACCCTCATAGCTTTTCGCATTGGCACGCTCAAAGCCAGATATGATAGATCATTTCTCCCCGAACATGCCCTTGCGTTGCGCAACCATACTTACCCCATATCGCCAAGATGGTCGAGGCGTACTGCGGTAATCGCGGTATGGCTGAATGAGGCGCAGGGTTAGAGCTCTGTGCTGCGCTGTACAAGATTCAATTCTTCTGTCGCACAAATATCGGGAATTTGATTGCACATGCTTGATGTTAGATTTGGCGGGCCGCGGGGGCGCAAGCGGCTGTAACGTCAATCACTTTCTATCATGATGTGACGAAAGTGTTTTTCCTTCAGCGGACGGTCCTTTCCTCCCGTTTCCCGTCGGGAATATTGTTTGTCTGGGAAGTCTGTGCGACTGCTGCACCGGGAGGAAAGTGGGGTTATGGGACGGGAGGGAGGAGTGGGATGTTGGAAAGGATGTCGCAATGCCTTCAGCCACCTTTCTCTCCTTTCCTGACTCTTGATACTCTTTGACAGGTTGGAATTGGAGACAGTCGTGTCTCGTGCCCAATGAATTGTGCAACAGCATATACGAACAGGCCCATGGAACAAAAAGGAAGAGCGGTGTGCATTTGCATTCCTCCTTTTCTATAACTGTCATATACGTGTCCCAATCCATCGGGAGACGGGAAATAAGAAATCCTGGGGGTTAGCCTACTTCCTTCCCTTCGCTCGCCTTTACCCGAATCCCACCAACTCTGGTTCTACGAAAATCAGACGAGCTATACGACATTCAGCAGGTGTGTGTCGTGCCTGCCGCCGTTACAGGTCCCAGTTCCAAGGTTGGGGGCCTCGGTGAACGTTCCTAATGTTACATTCGGAGCTCTCTTGAAGCTTCAGCACTTCTCTCTCGGGCTAGAGATATGTTGTAAGCACTCAGCACGGGAACATCTCCGTTCTGCTCTGTCCAGCTCACTCGTCCACCACGTCTGAGACCGAGAACGGGTTATACCTGATGTAGTTCTGCCTCCCGATGCTACATCCATACACACGGAACGTGTCGAATCAAGGGAACACGGCGCAAAGTGGTGAAGGAAGGGAGTAATAAGCCGAACGAGCGAGCGAGCGACATGTTGTGCTGCGGCACGACAGCACGGCTCGGCAATGAGTTGGCAGTCGGCTGGTGCTCACTTTCTTCCCTCCTTTCACGTATTCATTCCTTCCTTTTCTCCATCTCGGCGTGCGTCAAATAGTTCCTACCCTCTCTCATAAGTCGGAACCGTTATGATATGATAATTAGTAGTTGGATATCGCGGTTATAAGCATATTACAAAGCGAAGCTAAGTTTAACATGTACTGTGCCGCAAGTCTGGCCATTCGAGACAGGATAAGGCTGACGGATATTATGGCTACGGCGCAGTAGGTACGTCTTGCTCGCTCCGAGAGAGGGGTGGTCAGATGGAGGCCAAGCGAGAATAGGTAGGGCTGAGGTGGTTGGTCACGTTGTTTGTTCTGATTTTTGGAATTCGCGGAGTCAATTGGTGGTGAGACGATCGATATGAAGCTTTCTTCACGTTGTGGGTAAATTTCTCCTCTTGTGGCTTTAGATCCAGTATTTGCGTTTTCTTCTGATAACATTCGTTTATCGTTTTTTTCTGCCTCGGAGAGCCTCATGCACCCCCAAGCGGGTAGACAGCGGCTCGTCCCGTCTCGTGCAGTAGTGTGATTTCGTGGACTGTGCTTTGCTTCTGTTTTCTGAATATACTGGTATCTTTCCTTCAAATCCATCATCAATAGCGTGCCTACATGATACATGTAGAAGAGCAGGTCGTAAGCGTCGAGAATTCGTGAGCTAAAACAATTCATGTTGGTCGGCTGTTGTTCTTGACCTCCGTGCCTCGTATCTAAGGACTGCACAGGGTTGGCCTGACCTTCGACATGGTGTAACATGAGAGTCGGTGACGAACTGGTGTCTACCTGTCTGATAATTCTAGTACGCCTTTAAGGCCTTCCAAAGCTGTTCATACTGTTTGTTTCGGTCATCGTCAGATTTTCAATTCGGAGACTCGTCTCATACTTTTGTGAATTTCTATCCTTCTATAATGGTTTCCAAGCTCTAGAAAGATACCTTCGAAATGGTAGCCACCACAATCTGTAGGTGAACAAAGAGATCAATGACCATTCAACTTGTTCATCTTCTCAGTTTTCCGAAAATCAACTGGGAGATGATCGAGGCACAAGAAAGTCAGACGGACGGCATCGAGGTACTGCGAGGTGACAAGCGAACAGTTGATCACTCATAAGACGGCTTCCAATGTCGCTCCTGAGGGCCGAAAATGAGCACAAAACTAGAATAATGCTAAAGTTGACATTTCCGTGGCGGGAAATTGTCCGTGCTGATATCGGATATCAAGTCTGCCCTCAGTCCTGATTCTGCGGTACAAACATCGAGCAATGAGCTCGCATTTGTCTAAGTCTCAGACATCGACCTTCAATAAAACGGAATTGATCCGAACATCTGGTCCGAAGAAAGATCTCAGGTAATAGTCGTTAATTGGGTGACCCTCCACACCCCGACGTACAGGATTGACACGGCGTTCGTGAACAGCAGAATGTCGGTCCTGGTGGAGGAACAACAAGCGACGAGCTGGCTAAGAGTGTGTTAGCTGCCCACGAGACACAATCACCCTAAATAGATTGTGTCATTGCTACTGATCTGCGACGTGCCGGACAGACATTCATTGTTTGGGTGTCGGTATTCAATTGCATATTCTTCTCTCAGCAGGATGCAGGAACCATTTGAGGGTATTGAAGGTATACCACACTTCTTCGTCAAACTCTGTTCCTGAGTCTATTCCAATCCAATCCTTCAGCATATAAATCAGAAGTCTATTTCAAAGTGTGCTTAGCTTCGGCCACTTGCAAGTCCAGCGGGTTCTTCACTTATGATATGTCCCGTTCCGATAGAGTGGCTAAGAGATCTTTCTCCAGAGTCCAGGTGCTTTTTCGCTTTCGAGAAATATATGGAGGGGTATAGAGGATGGTTGTTCAGTCATTCGCATTTAGAGCTATACTTTGCTAGGCAAAGATTTTAGCTTAAGTCAACATTCTCGCCAACCAGTAAGAAAACCTCTTACCTCTTGGGTTGTGTCGGCGACGCTCCTGAACACAAAGTATGAATCTCCCCTCCTTTAGGAAAACGAAGATCTGCCACCAATATTCTTGAACATTTTTGCTTCGATACTTGGCCCAGATATGCCGTTGTTATGTCAGCAGGGGAACTTTGTGACGGACCAGAAGATCAGGTTGGTGGTTTCTTGAAGAGGCGGCTAGTGTCAAGCTGAGTGAGGTCTGAGGCATTGATGTCAGTACTATAATTTCATCAGGCCACTTAAATTCGTGACAGGAAGCTGAAGGGACTTTGACATACTGAGTACAAGGTCGCTGTAAGATTACAATGTCCAGATCGTCTAGAGCTTCTACCTTCGCAATTGAACAAGCACTCGGATCGAGGAATATTTGGAAGGCCCATAATGGTGTTGAACAACCGATATCTACAGTGTCATACTCGTCAGTACAGCACCGGATGCAAGCATTCAAAATAGGAGAACACAAAGGAAAGAGTCCTGTGTTGACAAGACTTATAACAGCCACCAACCCAACCCAACCCAACTGCCGACCACACCACAAAAGCACAACGCCACAGCCTCAGTATTTTATAAACCAACGTAGCAACGTTTGACGGAGCTTGAAGGGGATACATCAACGGCAAATGATCGCGACTCTCCTCCCTCGTGTTTCTCGGGAGGCACAAGATCAAAAGAACACCTAACAACGACGTTGCCATGAACGACACGAAGACTCTTTGTGTTTGGCTGACGCTCCTGCCTCGGCATTGTAAGACGCAGTTGGAACAGTAAAATTAGTCCAGAGGGTGATGCGTCGTTGGCAGGAAGCGCGCGGTCCAGGGAGAGCGCGTGCGACAGTGGGCTTGGTGGTTGGAGGGTGGGATGATGTGTGTGTGGTGTGGCGAAGAGAAGAAGAGGGAGAAATGGAGACGGAGTTTTAAGGAAGTGAACGTGGTTGGAACTAGTGGGGAGGTCTGGGTTGGGAAGGTGCGAGGGTGGAGGGCGGGCAAGAGCGTTGCTACGAAGCTCTTTCCGCTTTTGCGTGCACATGTAACGAGGATGCATTGCAATAGAACGTTGAAACCAAGCGTCAGAGAAATATTGGGAATAACCTTTTGCATTGCTTTGAAGTCTCGATGCCCTGACTTGGAGTTGTATTTTTACTGAAGTTTTCAAATTTTCACCTTGTGTAGTCACATGCACTTTTGGTTTAGGACTAACCTCAATAGAGGGAAAGAATAATCATTTGTTTTATCTTCGTGATCATTAAAATCGATCTCGACTTCTTACATCGGAATCCCATCTGCTTCTTCGGGGGCTGGCCTTCGCCTAGCTACGATGACTTGATCCCCAATGACCCCTGAGCGGAAAGCAGCTTCGCAGTATGAAAAGTAGTATATCCCTGATGTCATAATTAGTTTCATTCGGCTAAATGTATTCAGGATAAGGGAAATATGGAAATGCAGAAATTTAGATAAGAGGAATTAAAAGGGGATGGCAAGACACTTGCGTCCGACCCTGAAGCTAAGCAGCGCAACCCACGGTATAAGAAGACTTCTCCTTTGACCTCTCAAGAAGCAGGCAAGATTAAGAAATCAGACTCACATCTCCTTCTCCAAGCCTCAACCTCTTGCTCCGTCACCTTCCCATCAGCATCCCCCTTCCCCTTTCTACTTTCCTCAAACTCCTCTCGAATTGCTGGCCAATTCTTTAGAAAGTTTTCTCTCCAGCTTCTCAAAGTCCTCACATAATGAGGTCCGATACTTTGTAAGCATTCGATCTCTAAATCACCTTTCGAGCCGACTTCAATGGCATTCAGAAGCCGAGCTACTGAAGCGAGGTAGCCGCCAGGGAAGATGTAACGGTCGAGGAAGTTATCGACGCTTTTGGCGTTGTTGTGTAACTACAGCTTGTCAGGACATACCATATACAAGAGAAATAATGGATCGAAGCGCAGAAGTTTGAGTACTACCGGATAGGTAGAGAACTTACCTGATGGATGGCAGTGATTCCTTGAATGACCATAATTCCATGTGTTGGGTTAAGCATGGAGTTGATGGCAGCAAAATACCCGTCCATGTATTGCTTTCCAACGTGCTCCAGCATCTCAATGCTTATGATGCGGTCATAGCCACCTTCAGGCATAGGAGTTTTGCGGTAATCTGCGAGAAGGATCTGGTACAATATGTCAGCCTCTTCCAATCTCCTAAAAATAAACGTCTGGACACCACCCATTCCGCTGACAGTCAAGCTAAGCTCACCGCACTCACCTCGATCTTGTCCTCCAACCCCGCATCTTTGACCCTCTGCTCTCCCAACGCTTTCTGTTCAATGCTCAATGTCGTTGCCGTAACTCTACACCCTGTTCTTTTTACTGCCTCAATAGCCAAAAATGCCCATCCACCCCCAATATCTAGGACATGATGCTCCTTCTTGATCCTCGCTTTGTCTAATATGTTATGTACTTTCCTGATCTGGGCCTCTCCCAAACTTTCTTCTTCACCTCCTTCTGCGGTAGATTTCCACAAAGCGCAAGAATACATCATATCGGGACTAAGAAAGGAGGCGAAAAGGGAATTGGAAGTATCATAATGGGATTGGGCATTGTGAAGGGCGTTCGTCTCAGTGTTTGAAGGGTTGAGGAGAAGGCGTTGGAGTCTGTTAGATTCTGCTCAGCATTCCCAAATTAAATAATTTAGTCTCTCGATCATTGTCACGTATGTCTCTCCATCTCAAACAACCCAAACTCAATATTTTGAAACAAAAACACTTACTTGGGCAATACTTGTAAGATGAAGGCACCAACGGGATTGCTCAAGGGCGTCCAATTGGCTACCAAAAAGAATAACAGCTTGACAGGATCCTCGCATTCCAATTCACGAAGCATATAAGCTTCACCCAATCCCTGCTCAATTTGTCAGTACTGACATGCTTCATTTCTCGGAATGGTCTGCCTCATCTCCAGTACTTGACTGCGAAGTTGGCATGTGACAGGGTTCCACGAACCAAATCAAGATTCACAACCATTCTCGTCCAAGCATTTTTGCTCCTGACCGTCATCTCAGCTTCCGGTGCCTCATTGCCAAAAACAAGAGTCTCCTTTGGGTTTTCGCTATCTTGTTCCTGGACATGAATGGTGAGGCGGCCAGCTTTCGATTGTTTGAGGGCGGAAAGAATGATTGTTTTTGAAAGATATGAGAGCCGGCTAAGGAACAGATTATGAACGGAATCGTAGTAACTCATATTGCCTAATCTGCTAATGTACTTCCAGCTTTCCTTCCTTTCTCACGTGGAAACGACAAAGTAAAGAAATGGGCGATGCAATTGAAAGATACAATGATTAGAAGGAGAGAACTTTTGAGACATAGATTGCACGATAAGATAGATAGCTTGCGTATCCTTGTTCCCTCCGAATCCTCCGTATTCAGTTTATGTAAAAGCTAAACTTAGCAAGGGTAAGTGCTGATATTGGTGCTGACGCGGAAAGAACTTGCAGCTGATGGCGAAAAACCGTTACACTTGACAGGTGCTGGCATGCAATGGTAGGAGCACCACGAATACTTTTCTGTCTTCTAGCTGATGGCTAGTTACTATTGACAGGATGTGAGACAACTGCCCCTCCATCTCCTACTCTCGCCCGGTGCGACGAAGTACGAATGTTGGACGTTACGTCGGCGACAAGGCTGACATAGCCAAGAAACAAGGTTGAGGGTCTTACAAGTCGTCATTATTATCCTTGGAGATGCACATTCCACGAGGTACCCAATCAGCGATCAGGTGGACCTCACAAGCTCGGTCCGTGCCGCAGAGCATGGTGAAGAATAAAGATCTCGAATACGAGCAGTGAATAAAAGAAATATATCTTCCGATCTCATCGATGTAGACACGTAAATATTCATGAGAAAGGTGAACAGGAAAGAAAGAAAAAGACGGAAAGACGGGACATAACCTTTGAGCCAGCATTGTCACGTGAGTACGGGCTCTTTTTCTAGGTACTGAGTAGGTAGTTAGTGGTTTTCCTTTACGCTTGAGGTTAATAAAACGCCTTTGAAAGAGCTTTAAGATAGCACACTCTTTAGAGCACATCATTTCCATTTTCCTCAGTCGAAACTTATTCACCCTCAGCTCATAAGCGGGTATTTCCTTCTCCGTTCTTCACCGCCATCTTCTTGCCGATTACACTCAACGATTCCACAATTACTCTCTGCATGATGAGCGGGCAACACGAGAGCTCCAGTGGAGGAGTTCCTGATAGCGCCTGCGATCCGCCGTACTCTGGCACACAGTCTCACCCTGAGCGAGTTGAAAAGAGCATCCAAATCTCCATCCTCGACTCTGGAGTCTAATTTCCCCATACCGGAAAAGGCTTATTTGCTCTAGAGCCAGTGAAAGGCGGAGATTTGATATTCAAGATCAAGCAACCACTACTAATCATCATAAATGATGACGAGTCTAAGCTCATCAGCACTTGTGATCATTGTCTGGGATCATCTGCCAAGTTGCTCAGAGAAACGGGTGTATCGACCAAGCCGGACCCACAAAATCTTTCAGCTTGCGCCAGATGTAGAGTTGCGTACTATTGCAATAGAGTCAGATCCCAAACCTCCCCTTCGATGAGTAGCAACTAATCCAGAGCGATCTAGGAGTGTCAAGGAGCTGCTTGGGTACATCACCACAAATACGAATGCAAAACATATAAGTCTATGAAAGCAAACACCGGCCTGCTATATGGCAAGAACCTTTTACCAATGATCTATAACTGCAAAATCGGAACTGTGATTCGATTTCTCCAGCTCCTTCGCAACAAACAAATCTCCGACCCCTTATTCGAGGAACTGAAACGTCTCCCATCCTGCAAGTCGTTTCTCTCTCGCGATTATGCACTCTCTGCCAACAACCCAAACCAGGCGATGATGTTGGGTGGGTTCACGGATTCTGATCTTGAGATACGAGAAATTGAGTCCTTTCTCTAATCCGCAAGTGTCCCTTATCTTCTCAGTGCGTTCATCGACAAGTGCTAATAAATTTAGTTTCAACACAACCAAGTCCAAGTACGACTTCCCAGATTGAAGGGAGACACAAGAGCGTTATACCCTCAAGTCGTAGCTACTGTCGATGTTGCGAGAGTTGTCGAACCTTTCGTTTCCATTATCCATCACACTTGCAACGGTAACGCATACGTAACGTTCAACGGCAACGAGCTGCAATTGCGGGCGGCTCGAGATATCGCGGCTTGGGAGGAAATAACCCGGAGCTGGATAGCTGGATGGACTGCTGGACCTCGCCAGCCCATGATTAACCGTCTGCTTGGTCGCAACTGTAGCTGCAGTCTCTGTAGCAGCACCCAAACGCTGCCCCAAAGATTAGCGGGCCGAGCTAGCAGTCTTGAGGAAGTTGGTCCCGACAAGCTTCCTGGTAAGCTAAGCGAGGTACAACGCACCATATCAGATATCGAGAAGGATGGATTCGGACACAGCCTGTCAGTGCGATTCTTGCACAAATTGGCAATGATCGCCTTCCTCATGAATGGGAACGAAGCAGAAGCATTCAAGCATTGTATTAAGATTTACTATGTCGTTGAACCCAAGATTCCGCCACCAGAGTATATTTCTCCTCAAGATCGCCTAAGTACTCTCTATCGACTCTGCTGCTTCGCTGCTCCCATGGAGATCGACGATCCTGAGGTGGGTACCGTCGAAGTTCCCCCAAAGATGATGGCTTTGATGACAGGTTCGTGGGCCCATCTGAGATATAAGCTTGTGAAAGAGATAGAGAAGTGCTTTGGCGCTGATTCTGCTGTTGCTATGGTCGAGAAGTCGGACTTTGAGGATAAGACGGCGCTTATTGACGACACTAATAGAATACATGGAGAGGGTGGTTTCCGGTATGTACCTCTGGCTGAAAGCCAAATGGCGAGGGAGAAATTTGTCGAGCAGATGAACGAACTCTTGGTTTGGGCTGGGGTGGGAAAGTTGAGTGCCGATGAGCTGCTTGCTGGGAGCTGAATTGACGATTTACAATGGGTCCAATATGCTGATTGACCGGAACTGGGCCTGAGTTGCTCTTGCCGAATCGCTCAAGCAAAATCCATAAATCTGATTACTCACCTCTTGGTGTTGGACTGTCTTTGGTGAGTGTTTTATTGTTCATCGCCATTTTTACTCTATGATTATGGGTGCCCAATTACCCCTTGTAAATGATCTCGAAGATGCACAAAAGTCCTTGAAGACGGAGAGGAGTACCACTTCACTTATACCCTCTACTGTCAAATCACTCTAACATGAGCCTTTTGAAAAAGGCTTTAACATGGGGAGCTGCAATCGGTATTGCTCAAGCTCAATGCAACTCATCATCGAAGAAATTACATTTCAATCCCTTGAAGAGGCTACTTAGCTCTTACAAATTTGTCAAGAAACAATTCCGATATGCTGTTAGGGTTAAAAAACTTCGATAATTTCAGTTTACCAATGTATGAGTACAGTATACAGGAGGGCGATGAGGGTGTGATGTTCCAGGACTGTGGCTTTATGTAAATACTTCTTGCAATTTGTAAACAAACCCAAAATCAATAGCATATGGTCAAGATATTACTACTGTGACTTCTTGGACCCTTTCAAGACAGCTTCCGTCATTCACCCCTCAACCTGCTCCCAAGCCACTTCTTCCAGTACTAGGTCACGTGAGACCTCTCTCATCACGACAAAGCTTCCCCCGCACTCTCTTGCCTGTGTTTTCGAACTTGAGTATCTCTCTCACCCGTAAAGATCTTTATAATAGGCTTTGTAATCTCTCCAGGCCTTATGAGTGGTCGCAAAAGAACACAGAATGGCGGCAATACTGCGGGGTTCGCTAACCCTTTCCTTAGCCGAAGGATAGCTTCGTTGAATCATACGAGCGCAACACATTCTGTCCCATTTTATATCAAACAGAAGTATAGCTGTGCTATGGAAGAAATAGAGACCATTAAAGGTGTCCATGATCATGAAAAGATAGCCGGGCGGGGAAAAAAAAATTAAAGATGCAACATACCAAAAAAACTCCTCACTACTGCAGTAGTGGCTAGAAAAAACCCAGACGGTTTATTTTCAGATCCTGGTATTGGTTATTTAGTATTGTCATGTGTTTTTCATGTTTTTGGTTTAACTAATTTCATTTATTATTGTAAGTAATAGGATCAACCTCTAGGCGGTATTTTTTCCATTAAATCCGGGAATCCTGGAATCCGGGTCCTGGGTCCTTAATCCGAAAAGATTCTGCCATTAAACTCCGGACGGTTTGTGGGTTTCGATCCTGGTGGCCGGCAAACTTTTGCTTATTTAAATCTATAGGGTGTCTTTTTGGTTTGTGCGGTCCAAAATGGGATAGCGTGATCCTCAATGTCGGACTTGTGCTCGAGACTCGAATTCGGTGCCAAACACTTGAGTATGAAAAGGAAGAGATTTAACAAGTCAGAAGAACTAGCTGTTTCGGAAATTGAGGAGCATACCACATCCTCTTCCCGGAGTTGTAGCTGCAGCGGATCCGCAACCTTTTTACGATACTAGTTCTGGAATGGAAAAGCTACTCACTGAAAAGGATGACATAGTGAAAAAAAAGTCGTAAATTTTCGATGCCTAGCTTTTCTAACCAAATTCTGTGCTATGCTTTTAGATCTGTTCTGGTTCAAAGTTTGAATGTCCGCATTGATTGGGCATTATTTGGGCACAAAACCTGACGCCACTCTAGGTACGATTCACCTTAATCATACAGCCTCCATCGATACCTCTCAAAGTATTGTCGTATTCATGTGCATTAAAAATTGCATCGCTTCCAAGACGGCCCCTATACGTAATGAGCACTCGCTTAGTGATCCAATCATCGCCACAACTAAAACTGCTCTCGTCACTTCTACTTGCTAGTCTACCAGAGTACTATCACTCGCGGGAGATGATGTAAGACGTTCCTCTACTGCTAGTAATCCTCAAATGCTTGCAGTCATTGGCTGCTAGAAATAATCAACAGATTCGAACCATTTTTCAAGTGAAGAGTCTAGATGTGTCTGAAATAAGGATGACATGTGAATAATTTGATGTGTCTTTGTTAATATGTATACAGTTTCAATCACCCTTGTTTCTGCGTGAGGTGCTCCAAAGCTTTCTTTCCATTCTCAGATGATAATGGCTTTCTCTACTTTATCCGAGATACTTACCGCCTTTGTGGTCTTCACAATTGCGTCGGGCTCTCCTCTACCCCACCGAGATGTATCAAAGCCCCCTACGAAAGACCCATTCTATTCTCATGCATCTGGCTTCAAGGATGCATCGCCTGGTACTATCTTGAAGCATAGAACGCCTCCGGGAGAATTGGGAGATTTTGGAACGATTCCCTTGAACCTCCAATCATCACACCAGATCCAATACCGGACAACAAACAGCCAAGGAAACCCTGATACTGCCGTAACCACCGTCCTAGTCCCCGAAGGCGGGAATATGTCTCGTCTGGTCTCTTACCAGGATATTCAAGATGCTTCGTATCTGAACTGTGCTCCTTCATACGCCATTCAAGTAGGCTCAGATTCCAACAATTCCCTCTCCAAGTCCAGCTCCATCTTTGAAGCTGGTCTTCTGTCTCAAGGTTATATTGTTAGTATTCCCGACTACCAAGGTACTCAAGCTGCTTTTTCCTCCGGCATTCAAGCAGGACAAGCGACCCTCGATTCAATCCGAGCGGTTCTGTCTTCATCCTCAATCACTGGTATCTCATCCAAACATGTCGATGTCACCATGTGGGGATATTCAGGTGGCTCGATAGCTACAGGATGGGCTGCCGAAATGCAACCTTCCTATGCACCTGAACTGAAGATCGCTGGAGCTGCGATCGGAGGCACTGTTGTAAACCTCAACAACACGATCCATACCATGAACAAAAGCCAATATGCTGGTCTTGGCCTAGCTGGTCTATGGGGTCTGTACCAAGGATTTCCATCTCCCGAGCTAGAAAAACTCTTGGATGACGAGACATTTCTTGAGAACCGGACAGAACTCGAGAGTCCAAGATCACAATGCGCAGGAGCGGATTTCAGCCAGTTCGATGGAAAGGATGTGTTCAAATACTTCCGCAACGGAGAAGGCATCTTGAATAGTTCGCCTTTGAGAGAAATCATCGAAAAGGCTGGTGTCATGGGGAAACGAGACGTTCCTCAAATCCCGCTTTACTTCTACAAGGCAAAAGGAGATCAAGTCAATTCCATCGACGACAACGATGCATTGGTTAAGAGTTACTGCGATCGAGGCATTTCTTCCCTTGAGTATGTCAGAAGCTCGATCGGGGATCACACCAGTGAGTCAATGGTGGGATCTGGTGGTGCTGTAAAATTCTTGAAGGATAGATTTAATGGTGTTCCGCCTACGCAAGGATGCAAGACGAGCGACTTCTGGTTCATGGATCTCGATTGGGATAACTTTAAGATGTTTGGGAACGAGCTTGTTGGGGCTGTAAAGGCGATGTTCGGTGTACCTTTCAAAGTTTAGTTCTGACGAGCTAATGAAAAGTTTTGCTTTAAATCTTGTCAGATATTCGTAATAAAAGAATGCAAAACGACTGTGGATACTTATGATGGAGATGAATGAGGACGTAGTCAGTTGTAGGATTAAACTAGGGGTGATAAGCGTGGTTCTTCTTTCCCCCAGCCCATTGGATCGCTTGGTACATGACTGCTGATCGAAGTGTATCGATCCTCTGTCATTGTAATCTTAATCCCTCACTATTCACGATGCATCGGAAGTTATAACCTGGCCGTCATTTGAAGTTGTTCTGTCTCAACTAGAATTTTGGTTGTCTCGAGAGCATCTCCCCAAACATGAGAGAGTGCGGTGTAGTAATCCGAAATCTCTTCTTCATTTTCGTGCAGAGTGGTATGGACGCGGCTGCATCTTATTTTCGCGACTTTGTCTTGCGATGGCTGGGGCTCCATGAGACGAAAGCTGTCGTCATTTGGTAGTGGACGGTAGTGATATCGAGAGGATTATGCAGTATCCGGACTCATATTGTCGAATTGATGCAGTGGTTGTTTGATCCGGCTGAAGCGAGGTGAGGCTGGATGGAAGTCACGTTCAACCTGTATGATCAAAGGCCAGGTTGCAAACGACTGGCTCCTATCGATTGCCTTGAAAAGATCCAATGAATTTGGTGACTTACAAGGGCCTATTTGAACGTCCGGAGTTGGAGATGCATTCGAGAGAAGGAAAGTTTAACAATCTCGCCTCTTCACCACTTTGAGGACTTCCAGACTTAGCATGCCCGAAATTTAAAAGCAGTTCCTTGCAGGCTTGATCTGCCATTCCTACTCCTCATTTCTCGAGTACGGATCATTTTTCTGGCAAAAGAGCTCGGGGGCCTAGCTAAAGACTTGGTCTAGTTTGAGAAGAGGAAAACGTGTTATGTACAATCTTAATCTAAATTGAATAAAATTTAAGTGAACGGAAAAGCTAAATAGAAAGAAATGCAAGTTCCAAAAGTACTTTAAGTCTAGTAAAATTTGTGAGACTAAGAAGAAGACTAATTCTTTTTTAATTTAGCACACTGTCGACCGACGAGTCACGTGCCTCTCTCTTGGAATGCGAAATGTAATCCTAGTTATAGGACCAAGAGTTCGGATAGACAAGCAGGTGAGCCTTTCAATCTCTAGAGTAAACATGAGTATTGCAATAAGCTATACCTCGGAATGGTTGTTGACGTGAGTCAAGAGCATTGAGATATATTGCTGAAGATACATATCGCGCAGTTAGCAGGAAGGACATCAACAACAAAAGACCTGAGATAAAGTCGAAGATATTCTGATGTATTGAGAGGAGCCTCAAGGTAAATGGTATGATCACAGATGCTATAGCTATTCAACCTATGTCGAATCAAAGGGAGGTAGATAGCTACGCACAATTGTTCCGAAACAATACCAGAACCAATTGCTGTAACAAATATTGAGCATACACTTGTACCGCATGATAAGACAGAGTAGAGGATTCTCATACAGTCAAAAAGACAGAAAGAATAGTGCGGCGTTCGCCTTTGAACAATTTGCGGTGAATCTGAGAATGCAGTGTTGTTGAATTTCCCCACTAGAATTCCTCGCTAACCTTAAATAAAGTCTTGGCGCCCACAAAGAACTTCACGATCACGTCGACGACCTCATCGCGAGTCTACCATCCCAGAAAGACCTCGACACCTACTCCTGTACGTATGCTCTTCATCTTCTGGACCTCGAGATCTTGTCTACAGATCTCGCATCAAGAGCGCAACACTGACAGCCAACCCTGCAGCCTTACGGTCTTCATCTCCTTCCTTCGAGCCTCCGCATCTCCGACGAAGGTCTTACTACCGCCATCATGGATATGGAAAAGCTGAAGAAGATGCAGCAGTCGGTGCGAATTGGTGAGTTCCTTCTGTGCTGTTCTTTGAGGGTATCATGAGGTTTTGTGATTCCGGATTTGGAGTGCACATCCATGGCCAGCCCAATTGAACAACAGCTAATATTGACTGCAGGGTACGTTTAATCCTTCGAATTTGTTATCCTCAAGCTCGATACCTACATGGAAAATCTGCGAACGAGATGGGATAAAGGTTGATTCGTTGGGCAAATGCTGACAAACGGTGAACAGTGGGAAAGGTACACCTAGAAGAAAGGTCAAGAAGGTTCACAAGAGCGCGGGCATGGACGACAAGAAGCTGCAGACCGCACTCAAGAAGCTTAATGTCCAACCTATTCAAGCCATTGAGGAGGTGAACATGTTCAAGTCTGACGGCAACGTCATCCACTTTGCTGCACCAAAAGGTACGATTCTTCAGTGGTGTGAGAAGGTGCACATTTGAGAATGGTTTCGAGAATTTTAGCTAACATATGTTCTGCCTATAGTCCACGCTGCCGTCCCATCCAACACGTTCGCTATCTATGGTAATGGTGAAGACAAGGAGCTCACAGAACTCGTTCCCGGTATCCTCAACCAACTTGGCCCCGACTCCCTTGCCTCCCTTAGAAAACTCGCCGAGAGCTACCAATCGATGCAAGCCAAGGAAGCTGGTGAGGACAAGAAGGACGATGACGACGATGATGATATCCCAGATCTGGTTGCAGGCGAGAACTTCGAGGACAAGGTCGAATAAAAAGTTGATCTCACACCATTCTTGCACGTCGCGAATCGCGAATATGGAAGAACAGAATCTGCCTTGAGTTTAGGGTTTATGGCGGAAATTATGAGCAAAACTACACGGCTGCTAGCATGAAATAAGGCGAGATTTTCGGTAGTCATAGGGTTGCTTGCGTGTACAAAATCATACAGCGCCTTTCTGATTCTTCCAAATCATGGGTACTTTCTTGGTCGTGATTTTGTTTCAAACACAGCTTGAAAGCCGAAGCTTGGGTGTTTGTTAGACCACTTGGGTCACTGACATAGGTGGACTACGAATTGGAGCGCAATAAATCAATGGGAAGAGTATAAGAAAGCGTTCTTGTAGCACTCGAACATCACGGCAATCACTATACGGCACCTGGCTCAAGTGGTTTATGCAATCGGCTGTAGGACACAAAAATGCTCTGAACTCCTCTCCCCCAAGCAATCCCCAAGCAATCTCCAAGCAGTGAAGCTAGAGTTCGTGAGGCGAAGGGAGACGCTGGATTCTGGTCATGTCCTGCTATTGAAAACGTTGTTGTCTATCCTACCTTGCGTTCAGGTCTCCTGTTCTGTCAGTGCAGTCTCATTCGAGAATTTCCAGCATCGAGGTCTCATGAAGTTAAATCCTGACTCTTGCCAAGTGACGAAATACAGATTATAGATCAGCGAGCGGATCGTGTATGAGCGATGGTCAGACTGAGCCTGGAAATTGAAACTAGTCACGTGTCTTCCTCCGCATTTATTCCTGATTTTACGGAGTTCACGGAGTTCGTCTGAGGCACTCGGTATGCTTACCTCACTTTTCAAGTATATTTCTTAACGTTGGTGCATGGGTTGCAATGCTAAGGTGAGGAATTCCGACATGTCGGAAATGATGACTCATATAATCGGGTCATCCTTCAATGAGTCCTTAAGGACAAATAAGTCTGATTGTTTGGATACATAAATACTACAATGTTTCCCTAGCATCCCGCTTGTTTCTGCCCAAGCACCAAACCATGACAAAATACGTGGTAGAATCCGAGCGATTGGGTTTACAGCACCTATCATTAGAGGAACATCTGGAGGATTATCATGCTAAGCAAGCAAACGAGAAGACTGGAAAGTTCATGTACGTTCGCTTTCATACCTACGATAAATGATGTTGACATATTGGCAGACATCGCGAACCTTCTAAAAGCTTAGAAGAGTCTAGAAATCTGATGATAGCAAGACACTTGCCATCAGCAGAAGCACCTTACAGAGAACTCTATGCGGTCTTACTTCGGGGGTCAGAAAACTCGAATGGAAAACCGAAGATGATTGCTTCGGTAGGAATACCTCGTGTATCAGCGGATGGGAAAGCAGTAGAAGTTGGCTATGGGGTCAACCCTGAGTATTGGGGCTTGGGATATGCTCCTGAAGCTTTGAAATTATTCGTTCATTACTACTGGAATATTCGAGGCAAGTCTCTCATCTTCTGCTGGCTTCAATCAATTTGCTGACACTGCCCAGACGGAGAGAAGAGGGACAAGATCATTGCCTACACTAGCCCTGAAAACATTCCGAGTCAAAGAGTACTCGAAAAATCTGGCTTTGCTAAGGCAGAACTTATCGAGAAAGCTTACCCGGCGCCGGACCCAGTGACAAAAAAGATGAAATGGTGGCCAGCTCTTCTTTGGTCTTTAGAACGACCGCAATCATAAAAGATTCTCACTTCTAGGATTCCAATGTTTTTACCAAATCTACATTCTCTTCGTAACCTTCATTTGTATCAGAACCTCCTTCCTCATCCAGTGCCAAGCCGGACGCTCGTAAGATATCTTCACGTGACAATATATGTGACTCACGTCAATTGAGAAAACGTTAAATCCGGCCATAAGAGAACGACCAGGAAGGAGAGCTGTTGAATTCTGCAACGTAACTATTCAAAACTTAAACATGGCAAATTACGCCGCTGAATCTGAGCGTCTTCGGTTGCAAGCATTAAGTGAAGAACATCTCCATGATTATCATGCCATTGAAAGCAATGAATACTCTATGATATGGTCGTAGGTCTTTGATTGCCCACGATCTCGGTCCTGTCTCCTAATGTGCCAGTACTCGAGAACCACAATCCACTTTGCAGCAAACCCTCGACAGACTCCACGACCAACTAGCGGCAGAAGAGTCTTGGTACCAACGTTGGGCGATCATTCTGAAGAACAACGAGAGCCCGAAACCCAAAATGATTGGCATCGTCAGCATTGTTAGAGAACAAGAGATCGGATATAAGTTACATCCTGATTATTGGGTAAAGGCTACATGAGTGAAGCATTGAGAATGTTTTTGGATATGTTCTGGGCTGCTGAAGGTGAGAAGTCATTTATCAATATTGTTAAAGATTCAATGATCCTAAGAGCGTGCAGAAAACAAGAAGTACGACAAACTCTTCGCCAAGGCCGATCCAGAAAACTTGGCAAGTATGAATGTATTGCAAAAAGCTGGGTTCAAGAAAGGACTTTTGTTCAAAGACGGGTACTCGCGTGCCTCTCTGAGGGACAAGAAACTAAAGAGTGATCTGCAAGGATTCTACGTGCCGAGACCTGGTACTGAAGCAACTCACTCTGATTCTGATGAGGCAGAGGGTGCCACTTTGTGTGTATAAGATGGAAGGAATGAGCTCCAGCTGTTTTCATAAGAGGTCGTGCACGTGATCCACGGTAGCTTGAGGAGACTCGGGATCGGCAAGGTTAAGTTAACACCAATAGCTTATGTCAACGCTGCATGAGGTAGTATCATGCAAATTGACCCCGCCATTGTCTTCTTCGAGATGCTGTTCAGTGATCCGTGAAATCCAGGAAACAATATGGACTATGAAGCAGAAACACTTCATTTATATCTAGGCCGGCTGACCGAAAGATACTTACTCGATTTCCATGCTCTCTGGTCTTCAGAAGAAAACCTTAAGTGGTCGTGAGTCGCATCTCATTGCCCTTCATACTGGCCTGCTCCTTTGCTCTCAGTCACTGACAGAGGACAGAGTTCGACCGCCCATGAAGACATTGGAACAGTCAAGCGATTGGATGAAACAGGCGTTTTCAGTTGAAAATCCCAATCTCGATAAGTTTGCGATTATTATCAAGCCACAATTCGATGCTTTTCACACAGAAGAACGTGGAACTCAGCCAAGAATGATTGGAATCTGTGGGACTCTTGGAGAAGGTGCTGAGATAATGTATATGCTGGATCATCACTATTGGAGGAAAGGATATGCGACGGAGGCTTTAAATTCTTTAGTGGGACCAGAAGGTACCTTTTGGAAGTTTCCTAGTAAGTCAACTGCGTTCAAAGGTCCTCAGAAGTGAAATCTTCCTACTACCTTGCTTGAGCTGCAGTTTCATGTTACGCGACACCCTAACACTAGTTGCTGACTTGGCCAGATCGTAAGCATATTAAGACTTTGACAGCACATATTGACGCGGACAACCTCGCATCCATAAAGACGATTGCTAAGGTCGGAGGCAGGGAAGGCGAGAGACAAGTGAAGTGCTACTCTTTAGCGAGAGATAGGAGTGAGGACGGCATGGTGCCAAAAGAGAAGCTAAGAGATATGGTTTATTGGCATGTTGACAGACCAGATGAAAACATCGATCACTTCTCGCTTTCTCTCTAGGTCACTCGTCATTTCGAAATACTTCTCTGCAAGTCTAGTGTTTGTTCAAGTCTCGTTGAACAGCTATTTAAGGTACACCATCCAGTCAATAGGCACCGCCTCTCCTGTTCCTCAACTCATTTTGCTTGCGACAGTGAATCTCACATTACCGCGCACTGAAATCATCAAGCACTCCGGACCCAGTCATTCGATGGCTCACCTCACTCCCAACAACCTTGAATCGGCGACATCAATTACCTCATTAGTAATTGTCTCTCAAGACCCGGAAGCCTTGCAGCATCAGCAGGACAATGAAGCATCAGTACTCTACATACTCATCCACTTCACGACTTGCCCAAATTGTCGGGCCCCATGCCAAAGAGCCGGTGGAACCAACCAAATGAAATGTAAGTTCTTACTCTATCATGACACTATCAAAATCTACAGTCTAAGTTGGCGTAGGTATCTGCAACCACCAATTCGACTATAGCTGTGGCCATTCATTGGATCCGACTCGTGAAGCAAGTTGCAGAAAGTGTGAGTCGGCACGTATGAGCCGATGAGAGTGACAATGGCGACCTTGGTTGATAGCGGTTCAGCCATATGGCAAACATAGCATAGGCAGACAGTATGAAACATTCATACAATTTGCTGATATCTTTACTGAAGCTATGACACCACCGGGACCAGAGTCCCAAGCACGTAAGCATCTCATTCGTGGTCTGAAAGATTCTGATTAACTCGAACACCAAAGATACTCCTTGTGTTCCAAACTTTGCAGCTCCATAATCTGAGCATTAAGCTTATTTGTCTGTGTATTTATTTCTACCTGTGAGGACCGGCAATAGGAAGGTTGGGGGGCGGTACCTAGAGGGAAGGGAAGAGGGCCTTTTTTCTTTTAAGAAAAGGTCAAAAAGAAAAAGAATTTGAGAGTAACCTTCAAGAGAATAGAAATAATTTTACAGGTAGAAGTATGTTGTCACCATTCATTCACTGTTCAGGCATATGCTCTCGAGGGCTTGAAAGACAGAAACCTTCGTAGGCAACTCTCTGATACTAATAGACACCGTAAGAATCAAACTTCCAATCTACAACTCGTCTGGATCGTCGTCTACTATATGCCATGCAGTCGGCATTGTACATGTGATTCCATGCAGGGCACGAGCTGTTGCCCAAAGTCTTCCACAGCCCCAACAGAACTCACAATTACACAGTCGACCTATGAGGAGTTCAGTACTGATATCTTGAACGGGAAACACTCACATGTCATATGATCACACCCCACAGTTCTGCATATTCGTGTTCCGCACTGTCGACACGGCCTCGTATTGACACGAATCTCATCTCCAGACGCCGCATTCTCTTGCTCATGGCGAGCATTTTCCATGAGCTGGAGATCATACTGTTCGCAGGTTTGGCCTGTGTGCCAAGGAAGCTGATGCCGGATACAAGTCATAAAAGCGCAAGCTTCGCATACCATCAGTATAGCATCCTGCTGCTCGATGATCTGACCTGCCCCGCAATCGGGACCTAAGCAGTGATGAAAATTCGGGTCGAGCCGAAAAAGCTCGGTCAAGGCGTTGTCGGAATACCTGAAGGTGTAATTAGCTACTAAATAAGCAAGAGATAATCCGAGGCACTCACGCAACGAAAAGTTCAGCTGTAGCCCAGCGCTGCACATCCTCGCTCGTTAATCTCTCCGCGCACAACGGACCGCCAGGACAACTCAGCCTGTCGACAGTTCTATCCAGCATCTGCACTCTGATGTGCTCTCGGAGGCAGGTCAAGCAGACATCCGCTTCGTGTGTGCAAGAGTTCGTGATATTGAGATATGGAAAGTTAGCAATCGGCAGCTCATCCTCACATACCGCACAAATCCTCATCTCCTCGACCTCGACCTCCTCGTCGTCCACATCATCCTCTCTGGCGCTGATACGAGTAAGTAGAGCCTGGAACTCCGATTCTTTGGCTTTCAAGCTTCGTCTTCGATACATGAGGTCGTATAGAGAGTCTTCGATTTGCTGACGGGTCCGAGCTGGTAGGCTGCTTTCAAAATCCTGGGCTAACGCGAAGAGATCTTCCTTGGTGTCATTTGCTTCGTCGAAATCAAGACTGACGAGCATGAGCATGTTTCGTAGGTTAGAGACCGTTAAGTGAAGGTAAGGCTGTCCGAAGAGGTTGGCCATATTTGTTGAGTTGTCGATTTGACGATGCTTGTAGGGTAATAATAATTGCAAATAATAATTGCATAACGAAGTTGAAATTAGTGAGGACGTTAGGATATATAGAACATATAGATATTATCACGTTGTTTGAAACCTCGATCTTTGTCCGTGAGAACCAAGGTGCGTCCTCTCGAAGATGATTGTGACTTACCAATGGAATGTAACACAATCCGAGACCACATCACCTTCGAGAACAATGATTGAAGCCTCGGTTTTGGAAAAATTTTCGGGATCTGAGACATTACAATGTAAACAATACATGCCGTTTCAGCAGATTCAAATGCTTTGTGCTTGATGCCATAATCCTTACAAGCCGTACCCTGACACCTTTCCTGGCGCCATCCATGTGCGAATTTCAAAAGATCTCTTCTTTCCTCAGACTGCTGGGCCTATGCTTGCTACCGGCAAGAGTCCAGTCTCGACTGCGCATCTGACCTAATGTTTTATTGAGGGTAGAATATCCTCGTCCCAGCCCCGTGGTCAGAATATTGATATCTTCCCATTCAGCTCTCTCCTCGCCATGCCAGTCCTCAAGGGCTTGCTTCTCCTTTCCCTTTGAGCCTTGCTTAGAATCGAGCATTCTCAAACGCTCGATTTCTCCCATCATGACCTCCCAGCTTTCCACCACACCAACGCTCGCCTTATCGCCACAATCACAGTCGCAACCACCTGGACAGTCAGTATTGCCGAGCGAGTGGTATTCGGACAGACACTCTTCATGTGTTGCGCATCCGCAAGACAAGCAAGGCACGAAGAGGCCACTAAGAGGTTCCATGCATATTGTACAGCGAAGCTGTCGTTGAATAGTCTTGCATCTTTCACATCGACCTGCGGCGCCTCCAGCTGAGCTATTTGGCAACGGATCGAGACGAGACTCGTGTCTTAGACAATATCCTGCCACATCCAGTCCCTGGTCACCATTGCATGGTAAAGCAAACGGATCCTTTTTGCCTAAGATGATAGGCGATGGGGGAGATGGTTCGTGAGTCGAATTCCGAGAGTCCGTGGAGCGTATAGAAGCAGCGAAGGACTTGTTATCAGGGACGTCAGGTTCTGAAGTGAAATAATCTTTGAGGCCATTGAATTTCAGGATCTCAAGCCGTGCGAGCGGGTGACCCCAAATGTAAAGCAACTCAGCGTACGACCTTCGATAATTTGCGTAGAGTGTCGAGTATTCAGTGTCTAGTAAGGATGTGCTCATGCAGCCCTCATCGTCAAAATTGTTCTGATTCTCGATGATCAAGCTAATGCCAGTGCAGATAGTAGGTTTCCAGTCATCCTTTGAGGCCTCGTCATCTGACATTGAAGACCTGTCCATATAATCTTGTTCTTTGACGCTTCCAAGGACCGTCGTGTTGCCCCAAGTGATCGTACTCGGAGCCAACGAGTTCAACATATTCTCCACAGGACTTGGACGCTTTCTGTTTGGCGGAGGATTTGGTGGGGATGATGACGAGGTGATGGAGAAGGGTCGAGACAGAGCTGCAAAGCTAGAAGCGATTCCAGAATTCGCACGACGGAAGCTGCGGGGATTGTCTGGCGAAGTCGATAGGCTTTGAGTATGTCGATCGAGATGTTCAGAACTAGCACGATTCGATCTCAGAGGAGGCGTCTCTCCACAAGAGTATGAAGCAGATGCAGGATCGCTGCCCCAAGCGCCGTTCGAGGAGCCAACTGAGCCATATAAGCCAGAGGAGGGATGACCAAACTTTGGCGTGGACGCAACAGAGTGCAATGGGGTGCGTTGATACATGCTCCATGCGGCAGCATCAGTTGGGAAATAATCCAATGAAAAAGCTGGCGTCTTCATAGATAGGGGTGTCTGCGGTTGACTCATGTGGAGATCTGCAACTGATGCTGCATCTTTGGCAAGTGGCTCACTGAATACACATGATAGCATAGCCAGCATCTGGATATCTGCAAGATTCTCAAAGTGTGCGAACAAGTCGCTAATAAGCTGCTTGGCAAGTGGACTCGTTCCCCATTTCACTCTGCCGGATAAGCTGTTCGACTGACCTTGGGCATCATACGAAAGATCTATTGCACTATCGGAGCCACTGTCGCTGCGATTGCGCTTGATTGCATCCTTTGCTATGACCAAAATCGGCTCACGGCGATGAGATTGATCAAGGACTTCAAGTGGCACTTCGTTGTGAAGCAGCATAGCAGCATATCTCCACACGTCAGCTAGATCTTTGTAGCCATGCTTTTCGGCGGCGCTAGCGTTCGTTTCACAAACATCTGGCCCATCTCCAAATATCGCATAATCCTGTGCCAGGCCCTTCTTAGACGGCAAAAGGTCGTCCATGAAATGAATGGAGACAATGTTCTTCGGCTTAGAAGATCTAGCCCTGCCCAGACCTGTTCCAGTTCCTGTGCCGGTCCCCGTTCCAGTCCCTGCAGCACTGGATTTTTGGGATTGAATGGTGGGAGAGCCAGTGCGATAAGGTCGACGACCTGCACGGCGAAAGTAGTCTGACATAGGAAATCTCTCAATACGAAATTGTGAAGAATCAGAGTCGCTAGACAACGAGACGTCAGAATCATCAGATGCATCTGAATCACTTCTGCTCTCTGACATGAGCGACATGGACTTCCCACGAGGAACGGGAGATGTGTTGTTGTGAAGGCGGCCAAAGCTTTGGAATAACGATTGTCTCTTGGGCCGAACGCTATTCTTTGACGCCCAAGTCTCGAAAAGTGATTTTACTTTGTCCTCTTTGGGCGGGAAGAAGCATACCAATTTACCACTAGGGGAAAATCTGGCACCGCATTTTCTCGGAAGCGGTACATTGGCATTGCGATTTCCGGGTGCTAACATGTTCTCCGTAGCACTTGTGTCAAGCTCCTGAGACATCATTGCCGAAGCTCCAGCTGGAATATCGTCATCCTCGTCGTCACTCGAACTCTCATCCGCTAAAGCATCTATGTCATCGAGATCCTCAACATCTTTGAAAAACGTAGTGCTCGTTTCCAAGTCTACTTCGCCTAGGAGATAGCAAAGTGTTGCATCGAGACATCCTTGCCGACGAGACACGAAGCCAGCTGCTATCTGCTGTATTTCTCGCTTCAACTTGCTATAGATTTCATCTGACATGAGCGAAGTCTTGCCTATTGCAAAGCTAGGTGCCTTGGTCTCGGGATATTGCTCCGGAAAAGTTATTGTGACTTTGACGTAGATCGAGCTGCCCATTTCACCCCAAGGCCCATTCATGGACGCAATTACTGTCCTCTTGTCCATGTCTACATCTTCGAATGTGATCTTGGGAAGCTGGTCATGTATGCGTATAATCTCGTCTTGGAGGTTTTCGGGCGAGTCCCACTCGCTATCTGCTTCGAAATCTGGGTTAAGAAGCGACAGGCGTCTGGAATTCGGTCTCTTCTGCTGGACTGGGCCATTTTCATGCTTTGTAAACTTGATGCCACTCATCCAATCAATCTGCTTTTGATTTTGATCATCTTGTTTTGCAGACTTGTCCTTGATTTTCATTGCAGGCGCTCGTATCAACATGTGAGTTTTGGCGGCATGCGGAAGATGCATCTTTTTCATCCCAGCACTCAAGCCACTGACTTTGAGCCCCGAACTCCCGGGACGCGGTCCGGTGATGGTGGGTGCTTTCTTCTCAGCGGAAGGGGTCTCTACTGTACGGAAGGTCTTGTATACGGCGCCTTTCCGCGTCACATTGAGTTTCCTACGGACCTGGCTACCTTTCACATAGCCAACACCTTCGAGAGTATCGGCATCGACTTTCTGTAGGCGTAACTGGTTGTCTTCGCCCCAGGACACGAGCTGAAATTCTCGATTGTCAACGCCCTCCTCTGTTATACCGCCTCTAGGCCTCCACAGAAATTCTTTCACTTTATGATTGCCATGACCTGGAAAAGTGGCCACTGTTGGTGTGAATGAATCTTTCTCGTCGCCCTCTTTCAGTCGGCGCTCGTAGAGATGGAGATTACCCGGAGTATCTTGAGGCATAGCTAGCAAACCCCAGCCAAATGGGGTATGTCGTGCTCGCCATACTGGGAAGTCGGTTCTTATGATGCGCTCTGGTTCGTCAAGGTCGTTGCCATAATCCCAGAACTTGATACTCTTGTCTAACGAGCAAGTAACCACTCCCGTAGATCTTGTTCGATTCCAATCAACGCCGTAAATCTTCGAATCGTGCGCATTGATAGATCTGAGAGGTGCTGCTCCTTTACGATCATCCCAAATCCTCAGCCACCGGTCGTGTGACGAAGCTAGTATGTGAGAGTCTTGACGATTGTATTTGACTTGTGTAGCCCCAGCAAACCAGTCGCAGAACGTCAAGACAGGTTGTCTTGGTCGTCTCAGATCCCAACAGTGCACATATCCATCCACAGCACAAGTAGCCAGGATGTCAGGGTGATGAGCCGAGAAATTGATATCTGTTATGGCCCTGGTATGCCCGTGTAATGTGTGTTCAATGGCGCCTTGGGAAGCATCTTCGTTCATGTTCAGATTCCATACAAGAGCTTTCTGATTGGCTGAGCTGACTACCCAGTAGTCTCGAGCTGCGAATGGAGACCATTGCACGTCTGCAACGAGCCAAGGTAGGCCGTGTCTAAGATGGCGTGGAGGGGTCAGAGGGGAGTCGAGGTCGATTATATCAAGTCCATCAGTACTGTGGCTCTCAGTAAGCTTAGATTTATACGATACACAAGGGACCTACGATGCAAGGGCGACATCTCTTCCAGAAGGAGAGATTGTTGCAGACCCAACCTTGCGATCTACATGGATAGACACACTGATGTCGAAAGTACTGCTATCAAAAGCAGACTTTATTGTCTTTCCTTTCTTCGACTCGTCCATCATGAAAGCTGAGAGTTCGTATCATCCTCATCGTCTAACCTCATGGTCGTGCTACACTTATGAAATGGTCCAACTGCCCGCTGCCGTCGTGCATAATGTAGCCAGGATCACCAGGCGACACCGACCAATTCAGAGGGACCTGCGGCCGGAATATAATGATTGACTAGTCGAACACGACCGTGCTCGGGGGAGTAGAGATTATTTGCTCTTGTATCTCGAGCAGAGGAGCTCGGAGGTGCGAGAGCTAAAAGCAGTGCTCACCGCCCTTTATTGCCACCAACCAAATATTCTGCCTTTTACTATAGGGAAGGCGGTGAGCACTTCTTTAGCCCTGTCTTGGGAAAATACATGCCAGCCAGCTTACACCAGGAGCACACTTGAATCACAAGGAACGCTTCCCAAACAGCTTGAATCACAAGAAGTACGCTAGCCTGGATTCCGTTCCTTCCTTCGCCACCACTCAAGACGCTTGATCACTGGAGCATCGTGCCTTCTCTTGACCCCGCCAACGCAAACTCTCTCTCTGTCTCAGCAGCGCACCACGTCCCAGACCCCCAAAGTCTTGGTGTAGTCTTATTAGGCATTCTTATTTCCAGTGCGACTCCGAAGAGCTCTTCTGAACAGACAAGATCGGACTGTGACTGAGTGGAAAAAATGGCATTGCCCAAGCGCATTATCAAGGAGACGGAGAGGCTGATGGCAGAGCCGTAAGTGCATCCCTTGTTTGATGAACGTGGATCGCAGACTAACAGTTGTAATCTGCAGTGTACCAGGTATCAGTGCGGTCCCTCACGAGGATAATCTACGATACTTTGATGTCTCGATACATGGCCCGTCGCAGTCTCCTTATGAAGGCAAACTCCTCCACTTCTCCGAATAAAATAGCGTATTGACATATTCAATAGGTGGAATCTTCAAGCTGGAGCTCTTTCTACCTGACGATTATCCCATGACACCTCCTAAGATTCGCTTCCTCACCAAGATCTATCACCCGAATATCGATAAACTAGGTCGTATCTGCTTGGACGTTCTGAAGAGTATGTTCTTGGTGTATAATTCAGTCGAGGACTCTGCTAACCACTTCTCTAGGTAACTGGTCACCAGCCCTCCAAATTCGAACCATCCTTCTCTCGATCCAAGCCCTTCTCGGTGCACCAAACCCAGATGATCCACTGGCACCCGAAGTTGCAAAGAGATGGAAGGAGGACGAACAAGCTGCTATTGCAACAGCAAAGGAGTGGACACGAACGCATGCTATGACTTGATACTGCTTTTCTTTCATGAATGACGATGCTGGAGATGATATGAGCGAATGACATGATGTGATGGATTGAGGGCAGAGCATGCGATGAAATTGTCTGGAACGGAGCAATGGTAGATGGATGATGGGTGTTGCAGTCGATCTGCATGTTCGTGTTGACCTCCATTGGACGGCGTTTGGTTGGCTTGTGCGTTCAGATAGAGATCTAGGACATGGAACGTGGCTTCGTCCCTTAACTCTTGTTGTCAGTCTTGACATCAAATCTGCAACCAAAGTAGGTTTATCAAATGACGCGACGCACAGATATTGAACAGAGGTAGCATATCTTCCAACGACAAGGTTTTCAGCTTTTATGTTTCCCCCTGCTGTACTGCTGGGTGCCTGAGGACCAAGTATACAAAGTATTACTACTGGAAACAGCTGTAAGGCAAATATATGCACGTACATCATAAGTCTTCGAAGCACGAGAAATGGCTTGGTGGTATAGCAGTTTTTCTCCTTCTCTAGATTGTGTTAAAGCCGCAATGTAGTAGCATAAGCATGTGAAACAACGTTTTGCATCTCGATGTCCTATATTCTGATTCGGAGTCGACTTCTCGTCAGGTGAAAATGTCAGCTTGGTCCCAAGCGAGATCATGAGATGCTTTGGCAATTCAAGTAACTCTCCAGGTTCTTTGTATTTCTCTCTTACAAATTTCCACCTCAAGACCAGCAGGATGATTCCTCGGCCTACCAATTGATGTCGATAATGACACCTCCCGCAGAATTCCGATGTCAGTTATCTTCCACATGGCCAAGCGTCAACCAAAAACATTGATAACCAGGTCCATGGCAATCAGAGCTGCAAATCATGATCCATGCTTTTAAACAATGCCCGTCATCTCGCCCTTTCCCAGCAGAATGGATGCCCACGAGTTTCGGTGCTGCAAAGAGTTGGTTGATGCGACTGGCTCCCTTCTGCATTCCCGTTGAACGCCTTCCCGCACCTCGAGACGGCTCGGCCACTTACGCAGCGTCTGTGCCGCTCATCGTATATCGACGTCCCGAGGTTCTTTCGACGACACGTCCTTCCATCGAACAATCTCAAGGGCTAGTCAAAGCAAAGACATTTGAATACCCTCTTGTGTCACAGTAAGGTGCTCTTCGTACAACAGACACGAAACACCATGAAGGAAGACTTAAGATCCTTTAGCTTCGCAGCTTACGAACTTACGAATCACGAGAGGCATATGCGAGTTGACAAATTATTGCAAGCCGCCATGAAACAAATCCATTTGGTGTCACCATGACGACACTTATTGGCTACGAGAGATTTGGGATTGCTTTTATCAACTAAATCAATGGACTCGGAAGTCGCCGTGGCATCGAATTTCTCCAGTTCAAAACAAATGACTTCCACGGATCTAGACGTGAGTCAATTAACAGTTAATTGTCGTCTAACCCTACCCAGTCTCCACGAGAAGTGGAACGCTCATCGTGACAGTCGGAGACATTTTAGAATCTGGCAACTGAAAGATCTTCTTCCCCACCTGTCAATACTGTTTGACATCGAGAGTCTCCCGACCGCTGGTCAACCAGAGATATCACGATCCTTGTGATGGGAAAGTGCTTCGGGAGATTGGCCCGACTAACGTGGAAAGGGGCAGCAAATGCACAGTCATGTCGAAAGGAAACGCCACTTCATGTTCTAGCAAGGTCTTTAGCAGCACATGGTCCACGTTGGCTCCCCACACTACTCCTCGGGATCGTCGCTCTCCAGATTTGTTCCCCGCACCCCAGTCACGCCTACCGAGGTCTTTCTAACACCAAGAGATAGTAGCTTTACTCTAGCCAGTGGAAACCTTGCCTCTCCTGCACTTTTCAACACAAGGTTGGCCGTTTTTGATGCATTGCATCGCCGCAGATTAAGTGCCATTTTCGTCCGAAATTCCCTACACTGTTTGCAGCTGCGACTTTGATTTTTACAACCCGCGGGATATTGTGACTAGGATTGTGCGATGGTGCTCAAGTGAGCTCGAGCATGTTGAGTCAATCTTGGTAGTCTTGCATACTCGGGGTACCTTTTAAACGCTTACCGATACTATCCCTTCAGTATGAGGTACGAGACTGTAATCCTCGCCAGTCAAGCACTATGCCTCTGGTTCACGAGCTTATCTAGTGGCTTCTCCACCCCGAAGCAAACCATCAGCCAGGACGCTTCATCTTGATGAAAAGTACCTCGGAACCTTCCTCCAAGACCTGGATCGGTCAAGCTTTGCATTCCAGAACACTGGATCTATGCCGAATCAGAGAACTTCGCACACCATTTTCTTGCTCCTTCAAATGAGGATCGTTCCTTGATCCCTGGTGGTGCATTCCACCCCAGTCTTGCGCTAAATACCAGGGTAGCCTGGTAACTCGTCAAGACCTCCCCTCCTTTGGTGTTGCCCGTGACTAGGATAAAGGACGAAGGTGGGTTATTCAAGACCAAGTTGTTTTGTTGATCTATAATACAGAGCGAGTATCCCCTTGCTCGATGTTGAAGTGTTCTCCTATATTCTACTCCTCCCTTCTACTTCTACTACTCCTCGAAAAATCCTCCTGAACGCCAGAATCTTGGGATTGAGTCAAAACATCATGGAGCACCACAATGCCGCTACGGCGTCAGATAACTCGATGCCAAATTCTATCGATAAAGAGACAGGTCCTGGTGCTGCTCGGACTGAGCACCTTGAAACCATTAGGACCGTATCCAGAGTTCCAGGGAACACCCATTACTACGAAAAGGATGGATTGAGAACATATGGTGACGATGAGGACCACGACCATGAGCCACCAGTAAGTGTAGTCTTCTCCGTTCCTAGAAATATATGCTGAAATTAAACTCAGATGACTATGCACCGCCTAATGTCCTTGATTGCAATGGCTTTCCTCTGGACCGGCTCACAAATTCCAGTCTATCTTTTTGGTAACATATCTCAAAATCCTTCAGGTCCCTTTGCTAACCTCTTCGACAGGAGGCATTCCACCATACATTTACCGAGACATCGGGGGCACGGACAGATGGGTCTGGTTCGTGTTGGGAAATCTGCTTGCCCTGGCTGCAGTCTGCCCATTTGTTGGCGCTTTGTCTGACTTGATGGGTCGTCGATACGTTGCTATGACGGGAGCAAGCTTTATCGTCATTGGCATGATCGTGTGCTCCACAGCCCACACTATGAACACATTCATCGGTAAGTCCTTCAAAGTCAGTGTATGTTGAGTTGACTAATAATCATAGCTGGAATGGCCATTGCCGGCGCTGGCGCTGGTATCAACGAGTTGACCGCACTTGCTGCAACATCAGAGTTAGCACCCACCGCCAAGCGAGGAAAATACGTTGCAGTCTTGATCTTTACCATCATTCCTTTCTGCCCTTCTGTCCTCTGGGGACAGTTGATCGCCTATCACTCTACCTGGCGATATGTCGGACTATTCTGCGCTCTGTGGGCCTTCATCGGTCTCGTCATGACTGCCATCTTCTACTTTCCACCGCCCCGTGTCAATTCCACAGGCCTTTCTCGACGTGAGATCATCAGCCAGATCGACTTCGTAGGGGGTTTCCTCTCAATCGTTGGCATCATCCTCTTCATCGCTGGTCTTCTTTGGGGAGGTTACCAATACAAATGGCACTCGGCACATGTTCTCGTTCCTTTGATCCTAGGAGCCGTATTCCTCATCGCCTTTGGATTCTGGGAGGTTTATGGAGCCAAATACCCTATGTTCCCGTCTCGTCTGAAGAAGGATCCTCGAATCCTCGCTCTCACACTCGTCATCACTTTCATCTCAGGCGCAAATTTCTTCTCTGTCCTGCTCTTCTGGCCTACTCAAGCATTCAATGTCTACGGCCATGACCCTGTTGGTGTCGGAATCCGTGGTATGCCCATCGGCTTTTCTATCCTGGTCGGAGCATGTATCGTCCTCTGGCTTTTGTCTGTCTTCCGCGGTGGTAATAGATGGTTGATGATTATCTCCTCTTGCATGATGACCGCTGGATGTGGCGCTCTCGCTGCTGCTCGTCTCGATAACCTCAAAGCCGTCTACGGTATCTTGGTCGTCGCTGGTCTCGGAATTGGTGGAATCGTCGTCCCAGCTTCCATCATAACAACAATTATCTGTCCTGACGATTTGATCGCCACCGTTGCCGCGCTCACACTTGCTATCCGCGTCGTTGGTGGCGCGATTGGTTACACAACTTACTATAACGTATTCCTCAATAAGTTCGTTCCCAAACTCTCTCTCAACCTCTACCTTGCAGCTGTTGAACACGGTATCTACGACATAGCCACGGTGACGGAAATCGGAGAACTCACTGGTGCGAGTTTATTGAACGAGATTTTGCTTTTGCCCGGTGTGGACGGCAATGTTACGATTTGGAACGCTCTTGTAATTGCAGGCCAGGAAAGTTACGCATACGCTTATCCATATGTTTACTATACTAGTATTGCTTTTGGGGCAGTGGCTATCATTGCTAGTGTTTTCTTGGGGGACATTAGCAAGTATATGGATGATCATGTTGCTGTGGTTATGCATTGAAAGATTCAAGAATACAGGAAAGGATGAGGGAAAGGAAGGCAATGGCAGCCATGGAGTTGGGAGTTGTGGCTTTGCACGTATTGGATGGAAGGACATCTTGGGAAATGTGCTTATTAGAATGAGACATTTATGTAACTTCGTGCATTATGTCGGACGAGATACGGAAAGGAAGCAATGAATAAAACTGGTCATCAAGCCTTCGTTTTCTTGCGATCTCCTATTGAAGCTTGAAAGTTCTTTTCTATGAGTCCATGGACTCACGCAGCCGGGCAAGTCTCGGCAGCTAATGCTGCATGTCAAATCCTGCAATTCTACCCTAGCAAAGTAGATCAGTGGACCTCGGTTGAAGACAGACCCACAAATACACCAACACAGCGGTGCGTCCTCCATCCTAGTTCTCCGCTCCGAGCACGAGGTTTTTCCCCGCATTACTCAAACTAGTATCCCGTAATCAACGGGTCGGTCTCCAGAATCCCACATGAAAGCAGTCGCAATTGAGGCATTAGAAATTCTGGATTTGCACCTTCCTTCATGACATGACTAACTGTACTCTAGCTGGGTCAAGCAAAGGACTCCTCAAAGCCTTCAGAGCCTTGCACTCGCTTTTATGATCCTTCTCACTCCACCCTTTCGTCTGACATTCCTGTCCACAAGTTAGCTTCTCTTCTCAACTTCAACCTTACACGTTCAGCTCACCCTATTACAATACCACACTGCTCCACAGCCTTTACACCTCGACAACTCATCCTTACTCTTCGTCTCCCCACAGCCCTGACACTCCACCGTTCCTTCGTCTCCAAATGCTTTCGTCCACTCTCTATTATGCATCCCCGCCAACTTCTCCAGACTGGCCGGAATAACCTATCAGTTCTCATTAGGTCAATCCCCATTTCGTGACCAGAAAGAAACATACCAAACTCTCCTCCAGCTCACACTCCACGAGCCCCTGCTTCCCGTCCTTCACCCCACTCCTACACGGCGCCCTCACAACCACCGTCCACCCTTTCTTATACTGCTTGAAATCCAGAGCGCCGCCTCTCACGCCTTCTCTGTGCATGTGACTCGGTAACTTCAACGTAAGTGCGTATGGGGCTGTCGACCGGTCTTTACAGATGAATGTTGGGTTCATGGCAAGCGTCATGTTCTCTCCTATGGTTCCCATGAGGAATTGTGTCCTATTTCCTATCAGCTATGAAGGCACGTGAGAGGTTTAGGAATGGAATACGTGGTTGATGTGGACTCCGAAAGCGTTTCCTTCAAAGGGCATTGGGCGAACGTGGGGAATATTTCTTCGTTACTGAAGTCTGGGAAGAGAGACATGGTTGCGGAAGATCATGGACCGTAGAAAGCTTGTTGGATAATGACTGCTTTTCAGATGAAGTTTCTGTATGTTTTGGTGGAAGGTGTTACTTGGAAAGACTTGCTGTTTTGACGCGTATCTGAAACATTCGGTTGAGCCTCTTCGGCCCCTTTTTGGTAAGCGAGACCTCTCGAAGTGCTTTCCTCAAACTTCTTCATCATTACATTCTTTTTCACTCCCCTCAATATCTCTATCTATTAGCGAGCGCTTTCGACTATTGGTACGAGATGGATTCCCCTCTGCCACTACATGTCTTCTTATCTATTAATCATCCGGATTTGCGGAACGATGAGGGGTATGCAGCACGTGACTACATCTTGGCATCCAATGAAGGTCGCAACTGATTTTGACAGGCACAAGCAAACGTCTTCAGTAATCAAATACAAGTAATTGGCGAGGTCAACTTCCCCATCAGAACGCGTACCACCACGGCAATGACGGGAAGCAAACAACCCCTCAATCTAGCCTCGTACCAATGACGTACCCGTTCGTCTTTAGTACAGTACAACATCAACGGATATACTTCAACACCCCTCTTGGCACCCATAAACCAAACAATAAACTTATCCAAAAAAATTCAAATCCTCAAAATGCCATTCTACGAAATCATCCATCACACAAACCTCACTCACACTCAACGCGAAACCCTCGCCTCAGAAATCACCACCCTCCACAGCAAGACCTTCTCAGCACCCACTCACTTTGTCAACATCAAGTTCTCACCCTCTCACAATGCCTCGATACTAGCTCCCTCTTCACCTACTGTACCAGATTATTTCGTAGCCGGCCGAGCACGAACTCATCCCAATCTCATCTTTGCTCACGTCCGCGGCGGCGCCAGTCGAAGTAATGTCGCTTTTGCTAAGCTTGCCGAAGATATTGAGAAGATATGGGATGATGTTGTAGGGCTACCTATGTATCATCCTTCTGGTCGTCCGGCGGAGACGCATCCAACTCAGGCTTCTCAGGGCGGCGGGGATGAGAAAGAGAAGGAGAAAGAAGGCGGAGAAAAAGAGAAAGAGAAAGGCATTAATTGGAATGATGAGAGGAGGTTACAGGCTGTGTTTATCGTTCCTGGGTTGATTGCTAGAGAAAGTGGACTGGCTATCCCAGAGGTGAGTGATGCACGTGATCATTTTTGAGATCAAGTTCATGACTTTTCCTGTAGGCTGGTGGCGAGCGAGAGTGGTTGCAGCAGAATATGGCAACGTTCAAGAAGAGAGCTGAGGAAGGTGATGAGGACATGAAGTCGTTGGTTGACGAAGTGGAAGGGAGGCGCAAACCAACCACTGCGGAACAACAAAATGCTGAGCAAAACGGCGGCGAACAAAAGGAAGTCCCTGACAGAACCAAGAACTGATAGAGGCGAAAAGAATGCATCCAATTCATGTACAGAAAAGGAATTCACAGAAAAATCCCGAATTTCGGGGCCTTTCCTCAAAGCATCCCATCGATCCCAAAGATATATCTACACGTAAGCCACTCTCTCCGACCGTGCGACATTCCTCTCGCCCATGTTAAAGATAAAACCAAATTCCTCCATCCACACAAAATGAAACAAAATCGAACGACATAACGCTCGTGGTCTGATTTTCAGGGTGGTCGTCGGCGCGAAGACAAAACAACCCCCTGTCTCGAACATCAAAAAATGCCTGAGAAATGGGCTGATCGCGAATCCAAAGCGCACGCAACATGATACTTACTTCATATAAGGTATTGGATATTTCCTTGTTGTATGGGAACGGGTTGAATTTTTCAATTTTTGTGCATCTATCGTGAAGTACTAGACGAGTTCTGCATTTTTTTCTTTCATCTTCGCGTTCGAGTTGTGTTGTCTAGCAAAAATATCTCATAATGCCGGCTCTCGATCCGCGGATTGTTCAGGGACTGAGTGAAGTCGGTGCTAGTATTTTGGTGGCAAGAGATAGTGTACCGAAGCATGAGATTATCGAGGCGTTTCTTGTCAGTAAGTGGTTGTCCTTGTGCTCAATCATTCAACTTCTCGCTAAGCATGGAATGAATAGTCTTCGTATCTGTCTTCGGTGTGGGAGGAGCGATTATTTGGGCTGCTCGACAATGAAAAGGACCGATCTATCTGAAATATAGGAAAGCGGAACGAACAAAGCGACTACGAATACGAAACAGAGATAGGATATATGGTTCACTCCGGCTGGTACCGAGGATATATCTTCTTAGAGCTTGGTCATGTGTAAGATAATTAGAGCTGGAGGGAGGAGTTTCGTTGTTGGGACACGATTTCTCGAAGAGGAATCGATACACAGTGATAAAAAGTTAAATTAGGGTTGATCCACCAATATGATAGTGTCGTAACGTCATTGTAACATCTCCTAATTGATAGTAGAATGGTACTCGAATCGGCAAGGAGTGTTTAGAGACTCTAGAGACCATTATTCTTTCAAAACTTCATCATTTTCACGTCGAGTTGGATTTTGAAACGAGGCGTGTGTTCTGTGAAGTCATCGATTTGTCATAAACATCTGTGTTGAACAGCTGTTGAAATTATGGAGCCAATCCTCAAAAGCAAGAAACAAAAACTCCAAACAGACACCTCTAAGCCAGAAATATTGATATATAGAGAGCGACAAGTGTACGAAAGATTCAAAGAAAGCCCCGATCCGGTCCAAGTCATTCACATTCGAAACAGAGCCGTTCAGATGTAGCATCATTGCCACTCATCAACGACACTTCCTCGACTGAACACTCAGAGAACAGTAGCCGCTTCGACAACCTGACCGTGCTTCTTTGCCATGTGCTTCGCCATATCTACCTTGCGTCTCCAGCCTTTCGTGCCAACTCGATCGCAGGCAAGAAATGAACATCGATACGGAAGCGCATGATCATTCTTGGCGTGAAATTCGAGCTCGTTCTTGTTGGCGAAGCCGTTCATATCCTTTCGGTCGCAGTCCTTTTGTCTACAGATGTACGGCATACTTTGGTGTTCTTGGAGTGTATGGTCTGTGTATTCTTCCAGTGATTGAAAAGATTTGTGGTAGCACGAACCATGGTAGCAATATTCGTTGAAATCATAGTCCTCAATCCTATGGTATTTCCGGATATGTTGCCGCAGGTGATCTTTGCGCTTGAACCCATTCATGCCTCGGTATCTACACATTTGTTAGAAGGAGATCACTCGCTTCATTGCTGACAAATTTTGACAGTGATCATAACGCTTACGCTCGACAGTGATTGCATGGATACCTTGCGGTAGTCTTCTTATGTATCAGTTGATGCTTTTGCAGATCTCGACTCTGACCACATTCTGAATTGCAATTGGGGTAGGGACAATGGTAACCGGCGTGATTACTAGAGGAACAATGCTGATCCAACTTGGTAGGTGTATCGAACCCTATTTGACATTTGTTGCACCGAAACTTGACTTCGGGATGGTGCTGAAAATGTTTTTCGAGACTCCAGCGGTCTCCTGACAGGGTTTGCTGACATGTTGATACACCGCACTTGAATGACTCGTGCTTCGCTGCGTGACAGTGCTGCTTGAGGCCTTGAAGATCTGGAATCTTTTGACCACAAGCCTCGCTTCCGCAAGCCAGAGGAAGATGATCTGTGGTTTGATTGAGAGTACAAAAGATGGTTGGATGAACAAAATTCAAATCTTGCTCAGATGTATCGAGGGGAGCATCGCACGACGCGCATGTGTTCTGAAGATACACAACTCTTGGAAAAGTAGAAGGACTATAGCTGTTAGGAAGATCGTAAAATCGTAAAGTTAGTGGGGTAGACTGACATTAGAGGTTCTGAAGAGCTCAGGGTATCGATGGACGTTTCTTCACGCGAGTTTGGGCCGTTCGACATGGTGACATCGTTGATTGGGTCACGAAATTCAATTTGCCCGCAGGCCCTTTTTCAGTGAGCTTCGGAAGAAAAAAAAAAATTACCAATCAGGCTCTGGCTGCTCGACGTTGGACCAGGCATCGAAGTCGAACAGGTCATCCATGAACGAATATGATTCATTCATGACGCTGTGGCTGTCAGGCATCAGCACTCATTCAGCTCCATGCATGGAGAACTCACCAAAGCAGGGCGCTCTTGCTCTCGAAGCGGTGTGGGTCGTGCTCAGGTTGTACACAAAGCGGCGAGGATCTGAGGTCGGGGGAGATGGACGTCGCAGCTGAGGTGCGAGGATTTTGGTGGAAGAAAAGAAGAGGGTGAGGCGAGGAAGATATGCTGCGAGGAGACGAGGCTCGGGACGCGCTTGCTGCTTTTAAATCTCTTCCTATGGAGGAGACGGCAGCCAAAAAGGGCCGCCATGCTCGTCCGCCTCACTTTGTGTTCGAAAAAAAGGGCGCGGAAGAGACTGCAGAGCTGCCACTGAGCAGTCATCACAAGGCCGGGTAGGAGTTGGGTAATAATTTGACAGGGAATCGAAGGTGCACACTAGTGACTTGGGGCTTCGATGGGAGAAGGATATCGCAATTTCCTTGCTCATTCCTGCCGCAGCAGGAAGTGTAATACACGATCAATCAGCACCCAAATCAGGCCAACCTTAAGGAAGACTTTTCAAGGCTCGCAATAGAATTACGATTGTCCTACATAGCATAGCACCGCACCTCTCTACAAGGAGCCCACATGCTCAACAAAAGAAATTCTAGAAACGAAACAACAAGACACGTTGATCCCATACCCTGTCTATAATGCCAACGCCATTCTCAAAAGCACCCCTTCGTGCGTCTCTATAGGAATCTTTTGCGTGCATGCATGCTGCCGAAAAACAGTCAAAATCCAAATGCATGCATCTAGGAACTCTCTCTATCTTCTTGTTATCTTTGCACATGATTACATTTCCTCCCCTTTCTTCCCTTGTCGATGTGGATGAACTTTTGATATGTATTGGTGTGGGTATGACATTTACGACTCGTCGTCCGTGTCTGGAGGGTGGGGAGTACCCTTGGGCGAGTTGAGCCTGTTGATGTTAGTACGTGAAAATATTGTGAAGCAAGGAGGACAAACCATTCAATATGTCTCAATCTTCTTCTGACCTCTCTCTCCTTAAGCTCCTTCTTGGTCATCTTCTTCTTCTTTTTAGCTCTGAAAGCCATATCGCTACCATTATCCTCGGCACCACTGTTGACAGCGCTAGCGTTGGCACTGCTGACAGCACTGCTTGCAACACTGCTGTTGAATCCGCTTGAAGGACGGCTGAGATCTTCGAATCGATCGGCAGCCACGGCCAAGTGTCCTTTGTGGGTAACACGACCAGCCTCAACGTGCCATTGTTCAGGGCAAAGCGCACCAACGAACTCTTCGTTATGGGAAATCATGACGACACCACCCTTGTAGTCACGAATAGCGACTGCGAGACCTCCAAGAGAGTCACGATCCAAGAAATTGGTAGGTTCGTCAAGAACGAGAAGATGGGGATTGTTCCACATGGCACCAGCAAGCACAACCTTGACCTTTTGACCTCCAGAAAGACCACCAATCTCGTTGTGATCTGCGATCTCAGGATCCAAACCAAGATCTTCGAAATGCTTGGAGATGACCTTTGGAGACAGCTCACGGAAACCAAGACCCTCACGAGAAGCTTCGTGATCGTCGAACTCTTGAATCAACTTGTTGAATCCGAGCTCGACAAGAGTTTCTCGAGAGACTTGAGAATTGTACTTCGGGAGCATGCCGACCCACTTGATCTCGTACTGGAAGGACTTCTTCCACTTTTGACGACCCATGATTGCCTCGATGCGTTTACCTCCCATACCATCCTTAAGGTCGACCAGCTTCTCCATTTGCGCCTTATCTTCGTCAGACAAGATACGGGTTTGCTTCATGTGGACTTCTCTGTCGTCACCGTTGGCGTATCTCCATTGAAGATATTGGTTAGGTGTTTTCTCCAAATGCATTTCGACGTGCTCAAGAGCATGCTGCTTGATGTACCCAATACGCAAGTTGGGATGCTTTTCCACACGGCCAGTGGTAGGGACAGTTTCACCAGTCAACATCTTGATCAAAGTTGACTTTCCGGCACCATTTCCACCAATGATAGCTGTTCTGGAGGACAAGGACAGTTGGCAACTGACATCTACCATGGAGGGCTTCGATGCTCCAGGATAAGTGTAAGAGCAGTTTGTCATACGAAGGATTGCTCTTGTCTGTGACTTGACACCAGTCAATATACCGGGAGGAGGGAACTTGAACTGGACGTTGGAGGATGACAAAGTGTAGTAACTCTTGGCCTCAGGCCTTTGTTTGACGAAGTCGGCCAAATTACCCTTGAAGCACGCCAATTTCTTCCCTGGTTCGTAGTGGTAGATGTCTGTGCAAACCTCGTCAAGGAAGCCGGAGTCGTGGGAGACGATCAAACTCGTGATCTCAGTGTGAGATTTCAGATACTCCTGCAGCCACTTGACATTCGCTACGTCCAAATGATTGGTAGGTTCATCTAAAAGCAACACATCGGCCTTCATCAACATCGCACGGGCCAAAGCTAACTTCATCTTCCATCCACCTGACAAAGAACCAACCTTTTCAGATTGGCGTCCGTTAGGCCCTGCAGTAAAGCCAACTTCGGAGAGAACTTCGGAAATACGCTCCTTGCCTTGATTACCGATTGCGGGATCCTTTGAAACGAACTCCAGAATGCTGATGTCTGCATCTTCGCCTTGGTTATGCTCAACGAAACATGTTCGGAGTACATCCTGGGGAGGAAATCCTTCAAGCTTGCCAGTTGCAATACTCCTCATCAAAGTAGATTTTCCGGCTCCGTTTCTGCCGCAAAGACCGTATCTGTGGCCCTTGAGGAGTCGAAGGTTGGTGTGGGACAATAACAGCATTCCACCATAGGCTAGAGAGAAGTCGGCATTCACAATCTCAATCTCCCCATCGTCTTCCTTTACTGGCACACCAAACTTTCGGGCATCTTCATCCACGTAAAATTGTTGGACTGCAGCACCAACTTTTTCGACTGCTCCAGCATCCTTCATGATGTGCTCAAGGTATGGAGTAACTCTAGCCGAAATACGGGCTGTTTGTCGGAAATTGGCATCCTCAGCAACCATGCCGCAAACATATGGTCTCAAAAGCTTGAAAGTATCGAGATTCCCACCGAGACCACCAGCTTTCTTGATCTCACTCTCGAGAATTGTCGCAACATCTTCCTGAGTGGTTCGGGCAATTGCACCGCTAGCGAGAACTCCATCATCGTCGCCCATAGCCTTGTTGATAACATTGAATGCACGAGTTGCCATTTCTCGGACTTCTGGTAACGAAGCACGATCTTGAACGGCCTTTACACCAGGCTTCAGTTTTGGCAAGAAAGTTCTGGCCTCAACAGGATCATGAACAAGCTTGGTCAAATTCTCCACAACGACAACAGTTTGTCTGAGAACTTCCTGGGCGGTTGTGGGGGTGTTCAAAGATCTCTCCAAAAGCGGGGTGAGTAGAGCGAGGACTGGAGAAGTGACGATCGCAACAAATGTAGTCTGGGAGAGAGCGTGAATTGCCTTTTGAAGGGTCTCGGTCGAAGGATTTTGCATCGTGGCAATGAGAAGAGGGATTCGTGGGGCGACATCGTCGTTGGAAAGAAGGTTGGTCAATGAGTTCATGGTCGCAACGGCTTGCTTCTCAACCTCGGACTTCAAATCGTGCATGCCAGCCTCAACAATCGGAATCAAGCCTGCCAACTTTGTGCCCATTGAATCTCTCAGAATATCCTTGTCATTGGCCTCCTCTTTGCTTGTACCGACTTCCATCTTTGCCTTGTCTGCCATCCTCTGCAGTAGCTTATATCCTCCAACGGTTCCCTGCCATTTTCCTGATCGCTTTCCGAGATATGTGCAGAGCCCTGGCATCAAACCAATGACCAGAGCCTCGGGGGACAGATTCTTGAACAGCTCGTCCAGGCCATATTGCGCCGCATCACGGACGACTGAACCTTTATCTGACAAAGCATCCAGAGCACAAGCAACCATGCCACCGTCTTGGAGCAATAGTGCAACTTCGCTGATCTTCTGCTTCGGTGGTAGACGCTCGAAAAGAGCGCCGAGCAAGTTTTGAGCGCTCTCTCTTCGCAGTCCGCTCTTCTTATCGGCTGCCGCCTTCTTGATCTCTGCAAGGATACCGTACTGAATCAATCCGCGAAATCCTACCGAATTCAGGAGAAGATCGCATAACGCATATGATGCCGCAATCGAAGCATCAGAGGATGGTGCGGTGAAGATTGTATTCAGCATCCCAGAGACTTCTTCCTGTGTTGGCGCAGGGCCATTTGCGGATTTTGAAATCATGGTGGGCTGTGTGCGGGGCGGCGATACGGGGTGCGGCATTCTCGAGCGTGGAACGCCCTCTGAGATTGAAGTGTGTGACTCGCAGATGTCGAAAGGTATGATATAGTTAGTGACTGCGAGGAGTCCAAATTTTTGTTGCAAAAAATTTGCGGAAAGTTTCGAAATGGTATTCTTTTATCCAGGAACGACGTGGCTGAGGCAGTGGTCGCAAGAAAAGATTTGCAAGAACTTTTGGTAGAGTGGAGATTTGGGAGTGGAGATCTATCTGACCAAGCAGACGACTGTGAGAGAACAGAAAACGGAGTTGTTCGAGAGTCCAAGCCGCGCGTGGCAGAGGACAAGAAGAGGGAGAAGAGGGTGATGGAAACAGCGCAGTCCAAATGGAAAAATCTCAAGAGAGCGCCGAAAATAAATTTGGATCGAGGCCGCTTTCAGTTTAGCCCCATCTAGGCTTACCTCACTCAGCACCTGCGATATCGATTGGTGGAGGGGCAGCGATAAGAGAAGGGTCACATGATGCAATATGCGACCAAACATTGGAAAAGTTTAGAAGCACTTTCTGCAAGACGACTGTTGTCTGTCAAGAATACTCCTTCATCGTAGAATATTAAGACTTCTTTTTTCTCTGTGCTTTCTGTGTTGTGGGTAGTGCAGCACGTGCTACTAGTCTCTTTCTGGACCCCTCCAAGACAAGTGAGCCGCTTCCGTCACCTCCGGAAGCTTCCTTGACAACGCGCGCCGTCGCTTTTTCCAAAGTCTAACAATCGTCATTCCGAATCTTGAATCTGCGACATGTGTAAATTGCCTCTTGTCCACTCTGTTTAAGTACGTCGATCCCCCCGTTTGTAACATTCTCCAGCACGCCTTATCAATTGCTCGTGAAAAAATGACAAAACCCAAATCTGTTTCCCGGAGCCCTCAGCCCAGTACTCCTCTGCCAACGACAGAACTCGACGACGAGCCTCAATTGAGCAATTGGCAATCGGCCTTGGAATACCTCAACCGCGAGATCCACCCCGAATATGCTGATATTCCTATTATCCTCTGTTGCTTGGTAGCTGGACTTTGTGACAGCAGTGCATACAATGCCTGGTCGTGTTTCGTTTCTATGCAAACAGGTGAGAGACATTCCTGACTTGGGTTGAGCGGTGAGGACTAACATATTTTTGCAGGAAATACCATCTTCCTGGCCCTCGGCGCATCCAATCAACCAAAAGGCAAGCCATATGGCTGGCTGAAGTCTCTTGTTTCGATCTCGTCCTTTTTATTGGGATGTTTCATGTTCTCAACCACACGATTCATCGGACCCAAAGCACGCGGCACTCTCACAACTTCCTTCTTCGTCCAGAGCATATTCATAATAATTGCTGCTGCATTGGTGCAGTTAGAGGTCGTGCCCGAGCCGATGGATCTGGTAGCAATGAATGGAGGAGCAACCGTCGGCGAGCAGATCAATCTCCTAGAACTTCTGCCCTTAGGCTTCTTAGCCTTCCAGTCAGGAGGACAAATCGTGACATCGAGAATTCTAGGCTTCAATGAGGTTCCCACCACGGTCCTGACAAGTGTCTACTGCGATTTAGCCAGTGACCCGAACTTCTTTGTGAAGGATAACGTGAAGAGAAACAGGAGGATATGCGCTGTCCTCTTTATTCTAGTGGGCGGTATTGCGGGTGGTTTCATCTGCAGGACGTCTGCTGGACTGGCTGCGGCTCTGTGGACAGCTGCTGCAATTAAACTGGGCATTGCGATTGGATGGTCCCTTTGGAAGCCTAAACCAGCAATTCAACTGTAAGATGGCAGTGTCACAACGCAGGTTCTAGCAGATATTTACAGACAAACTTAGTAATCGCATTGGGGGAATGGTAACAACAGCGGGATAATGATGTATCAGTACGTGCATAAAAGCTTGGTTTAACATTAATTTACGTGCTCTTCTTTCTATCTTGGGCCTCTGTCATATTCTTGAAAGAAGGAAAGAGAGTATTTATGGCCTGACATGTGCTCAAAAAGCAAGGATATGGCTGGAAACGTGTCTTTTGTTTTCTTTTCTGAGTTGTCTCTTCTGGAGAATTCCAAGGAATGGCTGGACCATTTGTGTGAATGATTATCTTACTAATCATCCATCATGTAGTACTTGTTCTACGCTGCAGTGTAATACCTGGCATCGGTGCAGCAGGCCTCAGTCTCTGATCTCGCTTCTCAGCCCCTTGTTCCTCCTCCATCGAACCGCACAATTGTCTCTCCAGATGTTGCAGATCGAATTCCTCCGGTTTGATGACTCCCTCACCTCTCGACCAGTCACTAGCCACATCCGAATCATTTCCATATTCATCAGGACCAAGTCGTTTCGACTCATCATCGCCATCTTTCTCTCCAATCCCACTTGGCCACACTGTCCCTCCCGAATCCATCGAATCTCGTCTCTTTCCCTTATTCTCCGTCATGTCTGAGATGGACGCCTCACCCACATCCACTTTCCGCCTCAACTTCAGCTCACTCACATCCCTCGCTGGCTTTTCCTCCTCATCCTTTACAAACCCAAAAAACCACGCCTTTCCCCCAGCACTCGGGACTGCACTCGGTGTAATCGGCCCATGATAATCAGACTCGAGTCGGAAATCAGCAGCGCGAGCCCGTCGCGATTCTTCCGAGATGGAATAGCGGTCCCAGAAGTGCCGGCAGCGTTCACAGTAATCGTTGATGAAGGCTTCAGTAGAATTCGTTTCGCAGCGTCCGCGCCTGAGGAGGAATGTGATGATGGGGCGGCAAGATCGGAATTGAGAGATGTTGTGGAGGCAGAGGAGGTACGTTATCTTGGTGTTTGTGCACATACTTGTTGTTGGTTTCGATTTTCGAGAGGGAGGCTTTTGGAGGCGAAAGACTTTTTCTTTCGAGGATGTGGAACGACACTTGAAGGGTGGATGGGCGTGGATGACCAGAGAATCTACTAGTGAATGGACGTTTTGCTGTACATGTGGTGGTTGTTATTGTAAAAATCTGTGCTTGTTATTGTTGCAAACTCTGCAGTGCAAATAAAGAGATGTCGAGACATGACTGTTGAGGCTCGCAAAACATGGGCTAGAGCGGGTCCGAGTTCGGATACCATGACAAAGGCCTCGTTAATTCTGGAGAAAATTTTCGAAGTTGAAGACTTCATTCGTCATCCGGGCGTTGTGTCCAATGCCCAGCACTCGTTACCGACTTTGTTGGCCGCTGGGTTATCCTTCTTCTGAGAGTGCCTACTGCCTAGCGTCGACAAAGACACCTAGGTAGAGACTGGTTTAAAATATCACCTGTTTCTTTATTGGCAAGTTGTGCCATTGTCGGGCCTTGTTTATTTAGTATAACGTACAACTTCATCTTGTTAGCACGTTGTTCCACTGTCTCGGACTACAAAGGAGATTGTCCTGAAAGACAACCAAGTACTATAGAACAAAGTGTTCTTTCCACATACAAAGTCCTTGTCAAAAACCATACATTGTCACAACAATTTCTGCATACTCTTCAATCTACTCAAATCTCAACTACGAATCACTTATTTCACAATGTGTCGCCACTACGTTGTCATCTACACCTGCGGGCACTTTAAATTCGACGTCCGATTATGCTCCAACAGCATCCATTGCAACACACTAAGCAACAACAACCCGGTATCTATCCCATTTCACTGTTCAGGCTGCATTTCGGCGCCTGGCTACCCATCTGCCGATCAACGGTCGCTAATGAATCCACCCAACTCGGTTCAGCTGGCAGAAGCCACACATTTATGGAGTGGATTCGGGAGACTCCTTTCCGGAGAAGACATTGCTGACACAAACAGAGGACCGAATGAAGATGTTCGTCCTCGCATCTGCTGCTCGCTCCCAAAGAAAGACGTCAGTAGACTCCGCTACTGGTTAACACTTCTACTGAATACTCGACAAATTCCTCAATCCTGGGGAGCAGGCGAGCAGGTATTTTTGGGCAAGATCATCGTGAATGAAATCCATCGTACAATCGTCCTCAACGCGGTCAACGAGAAGGAAGCTGAGCTCCTCGCCGTCGAGCAAGGGAATATTCCATTTTTACTAACAAGGATCGAAATCGAAAGTCTTGAAGAAGATAATCGAGAATGTTTCATCTGCCTGGATCAGTATGGGCAGCGTGAAGCACCGGACGAGGATCCGGAAGCCGCTGTCAAGTTGCCTTGTGGACATTGTTTTGGGGATGCTTGTATTGGTATTACCTTTAAGCAGCTTGAATGGAAGTGCCCATTCTGCCGAAGAGCGTATTCTGATAAAGAGTATAGACTTGAGACTCCGGAGATCCGCAGTCCTTGGTGGATGGAGTGGTTGATAAGAGCTGAAGATTAAACAGTGTAAGTCGGAACGGTAAGCAGAATTGCGCTTTTTCATTCTACTTGTTGCTTGCCAACAATCATTCACCGTTCCGTTTCACTCAAATTGTCCGATTAAATTAAGGAAGATAAAAAAATTGCTATTATATTACTGCTTCCATAAATTCCTTTGCTACTTTCAATGCCGTTCTCAAGTGACTAAACTTGCGGAGGTAAAGCAAGACCATTCAAGGTCAGTGCTTGGAAAATTCCACTGGACATGAAAAGTGCCAAAATCAATTTTCTCTCGACCAATATTCTGTATTTACCAAGACTTGCGTGAATTCTAGAGCCCCTTGCATTCGTGAACGGCATAAATGTACGAAAACCAAATATTTGGCTCAAAGTGCTTAGTCAAGAGTGTATATGTGAAGTAATTGGTGGTATCATTCGCAAAAAGGGGGCAGGAAGGGAAGCGAGCTCTTAGATTTACCCCGCTCACATTACCCCGCTTACCCCACTGGGTTGTGTCCATCCCATCTTTCTGCTTTTGGAGGCGAGTCTGCGAGTTTGATAGTGGTGTCAATGATTCATATGTAAGCGAGTTCACGAAAAGCATACCGATATTTTTCTGACTCACAAGCGTAAGTGTACGGAAATGGAAGCTCACTAGTAGGTCCTGGAAGTCAAGATCCGTTGATAACGCACTTGCCGTAGTACTGATTCAGTTCAGAGGATATGCTACGAAACACTGATTCTTGGAGCAGCACAAATTACACGCGGTTTCCATAAGATGATGAGCAAACCTAAATCGTGTCTTTCGCTCTTATATGAGCTCAAGAATCTCGAGAGACTTCTTGGCTCAGGTTTTGTCTTCCATATAAACCACTTCTTGAGACCAAAAAATTCCTTTCCAAAAGAACGTATGTATAGATGTAAATCCATATACCTTCGTTCATTTTTTCAACAAGTGATAGGCAAGACACATCGATGCAGTACACGTGATTCAACTCCTTCCAAAGCAGCGCAGTCTTGGAGCGGAAGGGGGTTCTCCGGCCCCACATCAGCACATGGAGAGCCCCACGTCCAAATCATACCCGAGTGATGCTGGAGCAGAAGTCTCTGCGACGGCATATTGCCTCTTGTGAACACTATTATATCCCAAGATTAGCACTGGTTTACCCCAATTCCACGTGACATCAAGGGGCTTCATTTGATAGCTGCAGCTCCCTCACCTTACTTGAAACGAAGAGCCTGGCTTGCAACATTTACGAGGATTTCGGAAAGTAGTGAAAGTGGGATCAGAGCAGTTATGACATCTACGCTTACCCATTCTTCTCTTGGTGAGATTCGCGGCAAGTTCGGTGACGGAGTCATCCAGTTTTGGGGTATTAAATATGCTTCCATCAAAGACTTATTTGCTCCGAGCGAGCTTTTGAAGGGTTCGAGTGACAATGTTGTTGATGCAACGAAATACGGGTAGTTATTTTCCTTGTCCTATTGATCACAAAAACTTATCATTTTGTAGGCCTATGGTGCCGAGTCCTATGGAGAAGGCTTGGGAGGATGAGTTTACATTCATTCAAAAGTCGCTTCCAATGCCTAAAATGAGCATGTCCGAACTTGAAGGACTGCACCTCAATGTTACGATGCCTCTGATTGATGGCAAAGTACCAAGTCCGGAGACGAAGTTGCCAGTCTTTGTGTTCGTTCATGGTGGTGGCTTTGGTCTTGGATCAAATGCTTGGCCACATTATGATCAGGCAAGATTTGTGAAATTGTCAGCTGAAATGCAAAAGCCTGTCATAGGCGTTGGTATCAAGTAGGTCAAAAGGTGCCTGAAATCGTTGTTCACCTTCGCTGACGCCTCTCGAGTTACCGAGTTGGGATTCCTGGTTTCATGACATCAGCAGAACTTCGAGATGCTGGATACCTCGGCAACAATGGTATCAGAGATCAAGCAAACGCATTCACTTGGGTGCAAGAGTATATTTCAGGCTTCAGAGGAGATCCACAAAATGTAACCTTCATCGGAGAGAGTGCTGGCTCTGGTATGTTCATCTTGCTTGCTTCACTTGATTGTTCTAACTTTTGTTATACTAGCTTCCGGGTTCTTGCTATTGCATCAAACGAAGCCTCTCTTCAATCGCTTCATTTCCATGTCCGGCAATACACTGATGATGAGACCTCTTCCACCCCCACTCTCAGAATTTGTATACTCTTCTACCATGCAAGCTCTTGGTCTCGGAGCACTTTCCGGCTCAGAAAGAGTAAAATCGCTTTGGCAAATTCCCGTCGAGAAGATCGTTGAAGCTGGATCTTCCGGTCTCCCGCTATTACCAGTCGTTGACAACGATTCAGTACCATGTGCCCCCACGTTCGCACAGGTAGGTTCGAAAGCAGAGGATCCCGCTCTCTCTATGCCTGGGAGGAGTTGGTGCAAAGAATTGCTCGTCGGAGATTGCCAATTTGATGTGAGTCCTCCGCAACTCTCAGGAAGCCACATCTAATCCTCATCTAGGGCTCTATACTATCGTTCATGCTCGGCCCAAGAAAGTTTGGCCTCGCGAGAACCTTTTGTGACTCCATAGAGAAGACCTTTGCTGCACAGCCAGGAGCAGCAGAGAAGTTGCGTCACACTTACAAGATTACCCCAGATCTCTCAGACTCTGTCGCCCTCCGCAACGTCTTGCAGTTTGCAACAGACATCGGATTCTTTGCCACAGGCGTAACTTGGGCTCGTGGTTGGCCTGGTAAAGCTTGGATGTACCACTTCAATGAACTAAATCCGTGGGATGGAGAGTGGAAAGGCGAATCAGGACATGTTCTCGATGTCGCTTATTTATTCCAGAACTTTGATGAACATCTCGCGCAGGCGGAGCAAGCTGTTGCAAAGCAGTTCGCGGGAGACTTCATCAACTTCATGAATGGCGAGACGAGATGGCCTTTATTTGAAAGTGGAAATGAAGGAGCGATGACATATGGACCAAGTTCTGATGGGAAATGCTCCGAATATGTGGAAGGAATCACTTCAGAGAAATCCGGGCGGAAGAATACAATCTTCGAGCTCGCGGATAGTGTTGGGATTGAGGAGCTCTCAGCTGCTTGGGGAAATTTCTTGTCTGGCAATTAGATGGCAAATTTGCATTTGTTCAAGACAATGAAAGCTTCCACAATCCAATATTGCATTTTCGTTTATCAGTAAGTTACCATCTCGAATAAGAGCGAGGACAGCAGTGGTTCGTAACAATGGACCAATCTGCGTCAAGTGGTTCTGGTCTGCCATGGTAATGGGAATGGGACGTGCATCTGGATAAGTATTTGGCCGGCTACACCCGTTGGACATTTGCCGGTAATGATCGGACCATTCACTTGCATGCGATCCGACGGTCGGTGATCCGAAACGGAGAAAACACTACCTATATACAGTACCCCCTGATCATATGTTAGTTTGCCACTTTTATGGAGACTTGCTGCTTGAAAGTGTGATAGGATTGCACGGACGAACTTTGCGTGAGCACTAGAATTTCCACAGCAACAAAATTTTAAAAAGCAGCATAAGATCTCTCCTCTTCAAGTTACTGTAAAATAACCGAGTGGCAAGGAACTAACATATGATCAGGGGGGGGTACTGTACAGACAAATGTTGGAACATTTTCGACCGACCAGTCGCAGTTTTGCCCTCTCGGATCCATACTACCGAAGGCTTTATAATATCTCAGTCATGTCACAATTAAAGCTAGATGCTTTGTGATAATCTTGTAAGAACGTTCCCCACCCAAAACTACCCCGCATAGGAGTGTTTACTGGTTCTGGCCAGCCCGTTAGGGCTATCGCGTAGCATATCCGACCCTAAAACAACCATGTTTGGCGGCGCCTCTGCTTGGGTGGGGGATTTCCGGTGTTGCTTGGTGATGGTGTAGTGTCTAACGTCAGCTGCTAACGACCTTCGATATGAGGGTCTTACATGTGTATTGAGACTTTGAGACGCCTAGAATGTGGAAACCTTGCGGGGCTCAAGTCTTTAAAAGAGGAGGCATCTCGAAGTGGCGGCGCATTCTCCTCCCAAGATTGCATTCAACCGCAACGTGACCAGTACTCGAAGACTTTAACAATCTTCCAACCTGAAGAACACTAAAAATCAACAGTAAAGAAAGATGCCTGCTCAGACTTCTGAGAAGCCGGACTACCAGAATATCTTTCACTGGGCAGAGACCCAGAAGGATGGCGCCATCCCATCTTTTGCAGTGAGAAAGAATGATCCGTACGAGGTACATAAAATCTTTCCTCTGAAAATCCCCACTTTACTGACTTTTGACAGTATCAATGTGGCTTTGGAAACCAGTGAGTCGGATTCTGGGAAAGTCGCTTGCATCGGAGTTGACCACCATTATAGCTTCGAGTCCGAAGTTATTCCAGGAACAATCCCACTGGGACAAAACAGCCCAAGATGTGTCCGCTTCGGTCTCTACGCAGAGCAAATGACTGCCTCTGCGTTTGTAGCTCCCAGAGCCTCTAACAAGAGGTCATGGCTTTACAGAGTTCGCCCAGCTGTTGCGCATGAAGGATTCGTAAGCCAGCAAAACCATATTCTACGAGAGTTATGCTAAAGTCATGCGCCAGACTGATTTACCAGACAACAAAGATACAGAGTCAAACTTTTTGCCTATTAATCCTCGTGTCCATGTTTCTCCAACTCAATTGGCATGGATGCCCTTCGACATTGAAACCGAGGGAGAAGTCGACTTCGTCTCTGGCCTCAAGACGGTCGCTGGCTCAGGTGACCCAACCCTGAGAGAAGGTATTGTGACACATGTTTACACCGCAAACACAAGCATGAAGCAAAAGGCCTTTGTGAATTCGGATGGGGAGTTTTTGATCGTCCCGCAACAGGGAGCTCTAGACATCCAGACCGAGTTTGGTCCTCTTTTCGTGCAGCCAGGAGAAATTTGTGTCATCCAACGAGGAATTCGCTTCCGTGTCGAGCTACCAGAGGGTCCATCTCGTGGCTACATCCTCGAAGTATGGGGAACGCAGTTCGAATTACCAGAATTGGGAGCTCTGGGTGCGAACGGCCTTGCCAATTCACGTGACTTTTTGACACCAAAAGCAAAGTACGAGGTGAAGAAGGAGAGATGGGAGATTGTGTACAAGCTCGGAGGAAAGTTCTTCAAGAGCACTCAAGGACACTCCCCTTTCGATGTCGTTGCTTGGCATGGCAACTATGTGAGCATTCCAGCTGACAAGAGAAGTCCTATTCGCTGACTCCTCAATCAGGTACCATACAAATATGACCTAACAAAATTCGTCAATGTTGGCTCCATCTCCGTTGACCATATCGATCCCTCGATCTTCTGCGTTCTCACAGCGAAGTCTCGAGACCCAACAGCACCACTCGCCGACTTCCTCATCTTCTCTCCACGTTGGGACGTAGCTTCTCACACCTACCGACCACCATATTACCATCGAAACGTCGCATCCGAACTTATGGGTCTCATCTATGGCGACTACGGCGGACGTTCAGATGCTTTCCAACCCGGAAGTGTTTCCTTCGAATGCGGAATGGTGCCACACGGCGTAGCATACGAAGAATTCAAGGCAGCGTCTGCTCAGCCCCCGCCAGAGATGCAGATTTCGAAGGGATCGATCGCTTTCATGTTCGAGTCCAGCAGGCCTTTTACTATTACAGATTATGCCTGGAACAGCAAGAAGAAGCATGAGCATGAGCCGAAGATGTGGGATAATCTGGTTGATAATTTCTCGAGCCATGCGAAGGAGGTTGAGGAGATCATGAGTAAGGTCAATGGATTGAAGGTTACGAATGGGCACTGAGAATGAGCGTTAAATTGTACAGCATTTCCTATTCATAATAAATGTTCTAAAATGAGTGTGCCTTGTTCGTGAGATCTGGAGAATACATTCACACACAAAATTTGTGATCTCACCCGAGCTAGCGTCGGAAGAATAGATACATTGAGATGAGTGATGTTTAGGAAGACAATAACAAGTGAGGAGACGTCGGAAGTCTCAGTGCGAGAAAAAGGGGCAAGATTTCCGTAGAAATCTCTGGTTGCTGAATTAGCCGTAGCAGCTTCACCTGATAACAGAAGAGCAGGTCGAGCCTTATAATTCTTAACTTCCATAGACTTACAACATCGAGAATCCATATATTGCGACGAAAGCGACTCGCTCATCTGTATCGCACAATGTGAATAAATCTTCGAAAGTGATGCTGAAGCAGAAGCCCTTGTCCACAAAGTCTACCAAGGGTAAATGGCTTGGATTCAAGGATTTGGATAAAGCGCAATACTAATCATGCAACAATGAGATCAAAGGGATAGGTTAGACGAACTCTTCCTTTAAGCATTCACTCGGAAAGAAATTTTTCGAAGCGAGAGGCTGTTGGTATTGTCCATACGCCTTTTGCTTCTCGCTTAGCAGCCCCTGGATTTCGCGATCGAGAGCCAACGCCTTCCACTTCTTTCTATTACCACAGTAGATTTGTCTATTCCTCATAGCAGAAAGGCCATAAAGCTCCATAGGCTGCTAGAAGAGACTTGCCTGGAAATTAGATTTGGAATTTTTTGTTGGCACTTTGCAGTATATCTGATATTGTCACTCGCATTGTGGAAGATCAAGGACAATACAGCGGTAGCCGTAGCGTGACCTATTTCCTGTTTTCTTATGTCTGATTGATGTGGTTTATGGTTGGGTGTCAGAATTCTTGTGCAACCGGGCTTGGAGGCAGCTAACGCAGATCCATCAACACAATCATTCTCATTGAACATATTCACTCTTTCACATATGAAAATTTTTGCTATTGTCTTCACCTAACAGCACACACTAAAAATCATTTGCGTATAGCATAAAATCTCGGTCTCCCTCCAACTCTTCTCAAGCACAACTCATCAATCCTTCTTCGACGATTGCGCACCACAGTTGATCACTCATTCAAAATGCTCTCATCAACTCCTAGAACGTCAGCAAGTTCTACCACCACTGCCAACGAACTTACTGCCACCAACGACGAAGCCATTGCCGCCAACATGTGCCGAAACTACGCTTTTCTCGACCCCGACACTCCAATCCCGTCCATTGAGACAGATCCCTTCGCCGATCCAGAGACCGACATTCCTCCCACCCACAATTACCAAACCTGTCTCGCTACTCAACGCAAAGAGTGGTTGAAGATGCAACTCGATCTCAAGAAGTACTGCGAAGACAGACAACGCCAATACCGCCGCATCAGGTCCGCCAAAGTCCCACCTGTCCGTGAACTCTCCGAGGAGGACTGTGACCAAAGTGACGACGGAACGGAATACGACTACCACGACTTTCAGACTCCACCTCGACCAATCAACCTCATCACGAAGTACCAGCGAAGGCTGGCAGTTAGCTGGTCGCCAAGTTCGAGGTCCACCAAAGTTACCAAGCGTGCTGGCAGTGTTCGTCCTGGTGTTGGAGCCTCTGGAAAGAGGATTATCTGGAAGCCGTATCGTTCCTCTGCCTTCCTTCACTAGATCAAAGAGAGCATCATGTACATAGTAATGAAGGACATTGTCACGGGGAGATTTACCATAATGCTATTGTGATTTCATGCTGTATATATTTATTTTTCTATCGTCACAGACTGAAGGCTTTTGCGAGTGTGCCGAAGTCAAACTTTGCTCGTGTTTCACCTCAAGTTGAAGTTCTCAACCACAAACCTAGCTTCAGTTCCAGTCTAAGTACTATTGTTGTAAGACAGCTCTGTTGGAATTCTATGTCATTATTCTGCAATAAATCTTCGCACGCTTGAATCATCATAATCATGGAAGACCATAACCCAATCACACTATCCCGTCGTTACGAATAACTCCTTGCTCCTCTATTACTCAAACGATAGCTTTGACTCCCAATCACACCCCTCTATTTCTTCCCATCCCGCACCATGTGAAAGTTAGGGTGCGGCAGCTGCTCCACACCAAAGTCCTTCAAATTCGTATTCAAAGTCCCTACCACCTTACACCCAAACTTCTCATACAAACCCTTTCCCTTCACTGAAGCGAAAATATAAAGAGGTCTCCCATCCTCATCAATAGGTTTTAACCACTCCTGCATCATCTTTGCTCCAATACCTTGTCTCTGGTGCTCAACGGAGACACAGAACAATTCCAACTCTGCTCTCGAGTTAGAGTGAAATCGATAGATGAGAAGAGTGATACATACCCCACATATCAGCTGCGTGATACTTCTTCTTGTCTCCTTCAACAACACCTAGAAAATACATAATGACATCCTCCTGCGTGCCCTCAGGGAAGATCGGTTTCCACTCCTCTACTGCCTTAACGTCGTTCTCTGGCAACGTGCCAACCAATATTCCAACAATTTCCTCACCGCTGGGTTGGGAAGAAGAAGGTGTGGTAGCGACCAGGAATTGGAATTTCTCGGGGTGATTGAGGAAGTAGAGATGACGAGAGAGCCAGACGCCGTATTTGTGAGAGAATTGCTTCCATGGTATTGTCATTATAGGGTGGTCGGGGTTGGCTGCGATGTCGAGGGACACGGTTTGGGGCAAATCTGTTGCGAGAGCGGGGCGAATTTTGATTGTTGCCATCTTGTACTTTCAATTGAATGTAATGGTCTGGCTTGACATACATAAAATAAAATCTTGGGAACGTGCCAAGGTCCTGGCTTTATGTACTTTACAAAGAGTGATAGATTCGGGGTTCGCCTGATCTTCGGCATAGATGCCTAAGCAAATCCGTAGTACGGAGTAAAACGATAGCACTCCTGCAAAATAACATCAAAATCAATTAAAGATTTCGGATCGGCTTACGACTCGCCAAGAATAAGGCAAGTGAAAGTTGAACAAAAGCATGGGATATAAGCGGGCCTTTTGAGCGAGCAGAGGTCTAATTCGATGGCAAGAGGGGCAGGAATGCGTGGAAAGATCAGGCAGTATTGACGCCACCAGAAGATCGAAGGATAGAAACCGAAGGACAGAGTGTTTGTATTCGAAATTTGATTTCGTCTGGGATATTCGCTGGCTTAGAATTGGCCTTCCGTGTTCCCTTCACCCATACTCTTACTGCTACTGCTTCCACTTTGGATAGCTCCCAATATGCCATCTATGTAAGATGCTCCACTCCATTTTTGATGCGTCAACACATCAACGCCTAGGTCCTTCTCTCTCCTCTGTACTAGGTTGACATATGCCAACATTCCTTCATCCTTAAATGCCTTGCTCAACTCGTTTGTAATGGTAGCTGTGCTGTGCAGGCCGGCTAAAGAAATCAACTGAAGCACGAATCCATGCTTTGCGATATCCCATATAAACGATTTCAATGTCTCGGGAGTGAAGCCGTGGCTCATCCAGTTAAATGATGGTGATAAATTATACACGAGCCCCTTTCCAGGATACTTCTCTCGGATCTCTCCTGAAAACTCTGCGGCGTTGGCAACGTTAGGGTCGCCAGTCTCAACCCACAGCAGGTCAGCGTATGGTGCATACTCAATGGCGCGTTTCGTTGCAGCTTTCATGCCAGCACGGTAGTGATAGAACCCTTCTCGTGTTCGTGGAATGTCAATGCTAAACTGGATAGGTTTGTTGGTATATGTCGAAGCCAGTTGCTTCCGTTTGGTGATAGACATGTCGCGGTTCTCAAGTGTCGCCTGCTGGTATTCGTTGATCTTGTCTTTTGAAACCCCGTGATGTTCTAGTTGCTGGACAATAGCTTCGTCACAAGTGACTAGCTTAGTTTTCTTAACCCAATCTGCTTCGAAAGAGTCAATCTCAGCCCCAGACACACCTGACATCTCCATGGCTTGTAAAGTCTCCGCCAGGGGCTCAATACTCTCGTCCGCAACACCCAAGAGGAATTCGTGATCTCGGACATCAATGGCGCTGCTCAAAAGTTTGCCACTTTCAGAGTCTGTTCTTGCAATGACAAGATTTTCTGACCCCATAACATCCCACTGGAAGCGTGCTGCCACAAGTCGATTGATGTGTTCGCCCACCGGCACCAGGACTTTCCCTGCGAGATGGCCGCATTTCTTCCCTCCGTGTAGTTGATCCTCAAAGTGTGCAGCTGCAGCGCCATTCTCAGCAAAGAGCTTGGCAAGCTTCAAGACTGCTGAAAGTCCACCATGACCAGTATCTCCATCTGCAATGATTGGCCGTAGATAATCTGTATATGGGGTCTTGGCTCGTTCTTCGGCACTCAATTTCCTTCGCGCATCCCATTGCTTTCTATCATGCATCGATTGTGCTTTCGCCAACCTCTGGACCTGGTTTGGAACGGTGTTGTATGGATAATCTCCAAAATCGGGGGAAACTTCATTTGTGGTAGTGAGGACTGATGAACATGCCCAACCAGATATGTACAGAACTTCTTGATTCGGAGCTTGTTGAGTCATTTGAACAGGATCAATTGCACCCACTATAGTGTTTTAGTTATTGTCCTTGTATCTTGGTGAAAAACGTACTTGTGTGTATTGGCTCGCCCTTCGCCTCTCTCTGCTTAATCAGGTCAAACAATTTTCTTGCCATCACTGAGCTTGGATATGTTTGCATCTGACTCCCTCTTTTCGACACCACATCTGCTGGAGAGTAGGGTCTCTTGATGCCCTCATATCTTGGACTTGCCCACCAGTTTTCGACATCCTGTATTTCTTGCTCATACAATGCGTCCTCCGCCGCCCCAGCCTTTTCTGATTCGGGAAGTAGCTGAAACGAGTCGGAAGGAAGAGCTGTAGAGACGGGATAATTTAAAGGTTTCAATGCGGACATTCTTTGAGCTGATATCGAGAAATATCGGGAACAAGTAGTCGTTGACCTGGTGGCCACCATTCGCCGAGGGAACGTTGAAGCTACTCTGCGAAGCATTGTGAAGACTGTGAATCGGATGAAAGGAGGAACGAAGAGAGAACTGGCAGAACAGTGAAATGATTTCTCCTACCTCGCTGTTGCTTATTCAAGCATCAAGTCCTCAGCAATGAGATCCGTCATCGGCTGTCCGACTCTGGAATCTGGAGAAAACGAGGCAACATCCGGTTCAGCTCGGCATAATTTGGGCGGTGACTTCTTCGGTGCCGTTCTGCCGTGCCCCAATTCCCACTCCCTCGGCTCACAACCTCAAGCTCATCCGGTGACGATGTGAGACTACCGTTGATGGTCTGTGTTTGCTAAAAGCAAAGAGTTTTTAGGAACGTCCGGTTGAACTATCTCTTCTTTAATTCTTATATAAACGGTTTCAAGGAATTCGTATTCCTATCTTCACATTACAAGCCACGATTACCCCACGTACCCCGCCTCCAAGATTCCAATATGGCAATGAATTCTAGGACTGCCTCATCAGCATTGAGGGTTTTACGAGTAAGCAATGGCAGAATTCAAGCTCGAATAACCGATCGCTGACTTCATTCAGCCAATTGCTCCTCGTTCTGCTCTACTCCCTGCATATCGAAACTATTCCTCTGCCTCCGAACCAGATCTCAAGACCACATTCAAGGAAGCAATTCCAGCTAAGCGTGAATTGTTGAAGAAGGTCAAGGCTCTAGGAGGAAAAGTCATTGGAGATGTCAAAGTCGAGAACACAATTGGTGGCATGAGGTTCGGATAGAGCTGCTCTGGAATGCTGCGTTGCTGACCGCCAGACAGAGGACTGAAAGCTATGGTGTGGGAAGGATCCGTCCTCGATGCCAATGAGGGCATTCGATTCCATGGACGAACGATAAAAGAGTGCCAAAAAGAGCTGCCAAAAGGTACTTCTGGCACAGAAATGTTGCCAGAAGCCATGTTCTGGCTACTCTTGACCGGCCAAGTTCCTTCCACGAATCAAGTCCGAAAGTTCTCTCGTGAACTTGCAGAACAATCAGAACTGCCAGACTTTGTCAACAAGATGCTAGACAACTTCCCAAAAGATCTCCATCCAATGACACAATTCGCAATTGCTGTGTCAGCTCTGTCACACACATCTAAATTCGCAAAGGCGTATGAAAAGGGTATCAATAAGGCTGACTATTGGGAGCCGACCTTCGATGATAGCATCTCACTCTTGGCAAAGCTCCCAGTCATCGCTGCAAAGATCTACCAAAACTCGTATCAAGGCGGTGGAGCTCTCCCGGCCAAAGTTGACCTTGAGCAAGATTGGTCCTACAATTTTGCAGCTATGCTCGGGAAAGGAGGAAAGGAAAATGAGAACTTCCAGGATTTGCTGCGATTATACTTGGCATTACATGGCGACCATGAAGGAGGCAATGTTTCAGCACATGCGACTCATTTGGTTGGTAGCGCTTTGAGCGATCCATTTTTAAGTTACAGTGCTGGTCTCCAGGGTTTGGCTGGACCTTTGCATGGGTAGGTTTTCTACTACATAATGTGAAGTTGCTAACAGCAATAGGCTCGCCGCCCAGGAGGTTTTGAGATGGATTCTGCAAATGCAAGAGCACGTTGGAACCAGCTTCAGTGACAAAGATGTCTCTGATTACCTATGGTCCACACTCAAATCAGGCCGAGTCGTACCCGGCTATGGTCACGCTGTTCTCCGTAAACCCGATCCTCGATTCGAAGCCTTGATGGACTATGCTTCATCACGACCAGAAATCGCCAAGGATCCAGTATTTCAACTTGTCAAGAAGAATTCCGAGATTGCTCCTGACGTGTTGAAAGAGCACGGTAAAACGAAGAATCCGTACCCGAATGTTGATTCTAGCTCTGGCGTCCTCTTCCATCACTATGGCTTCCACGAGACTTTGTACTATACTGCTACCTTTGGAGTCAGTCGAGGTCTTGGACCCCTTGCCCAACTGATTTGGGACAGAGCACTTGGCCTTCCAATTGAGAGACCAAAGAGTATTAATCTGGAGGGATTGGTCAAACTCGCTGAGAGCGCATGAATTTGGGAAAATGCGTAAGGTTTGGAGTACTTTAGATCGACTTTTGGCGTCACGCTTCTATATTGCATGTCATCATGTGACTCAAAGAGTTCACTCATCTCCCTGCAGTTGAATCCTCCCCTCGATCCACTTGACAGCTCAATTATTATTCTGTATCCAACATCTTCTGATTTTCAATCCTTGACAAATGATCTCATTCTTATCCATGCATCCCCACACGTCTCGTCATAATGAAGATTTCTCTCATCATGCCACTTTCATATGTCGTCCGACGCCCACGCAAATTTTCACTCGTCCATTCTTTTCATCAAGCAGCCATACCACACCACCACCGTAAGCAAAAATGCCCTTCGCAGATCTTGGCCATGATATAAGGACTCACTCCCCTCCTCAATTCATCGAAGATTATCTTTTCCTTGAAGAAAAAATAAATATAACTGCTCCGTTGAGAATGCCGTCTTACATTACATCAATTACTGCTGCGCAACGTCTGGATTCAAGAGGCAATCCGACTGTTCAGGTCACACTTACTACTGACAAAGGTGTTTGATTTATTCTCCCTGAATTTTAGGTCTTTGCTAATAGATTTCTAGGTACATTCCGAGGTCTTGTGCCGTCTGGTGCAAGTACCGGCATCCACGAAGCCCTTGAGCTTCGAGACACAGAATCCGCTGCGTATGGAGGCAAAGGCGTCCAACAAGCCGTTTTGAGTGTTAAATCCACGATTGCACCAGCACTCATAGCGAAGAGATTCAGTGTCGAGACACAGCAAAAGGAAATTGACGCCTTTCTCTGCGAGTTAGATGGCACGAAAGGCAAGAAACGACTGGGTGCAAATGCTATTCTCGGCGTCAGTATGGCATGTGCTAGAGCTGGAGCCGCTGCAGCTGTGGGTATCCTTCTTCTTTTTGTCTTCAATTCCTGGCGCCAATTCCCACATCAAAACTGTCGATTTTCAAAGTGGTGTGACGAACATTGAGCCTAACACGTGACCAGGGAATTCCACTCTACGAGTTCCTCCGACAAGAAGCTGGAGCTCCGAAAGCTCCCTATGTGTTGCCTGTTCCATTCTTCAATGTCTTGAATGGAGGTGTGCATTCTGGGAACACGATGGCTTTCCAAGAGATTATGCTTGCGCCTGTTGGAGCAACCAGTATGGCTGAGGCTATTCAAATGGGTGCAGAGACGTATCAACATCTGAAGAAGGTTATAACAAAGAAGTTTGGTGCTTCTGGTAAGCATAATTCATCGCTTTTGCGTTTTTAACTGCAAGATTCCAAGGAGAAAATGTTAACAGAAAATAGCTACCAGCATCGGCGACGAAGGAGGATTTGCTCCTCCTATTTCTCAACCCCACGAAGCACTTGATCTCCTGGTCGAGGCTGTAGCAGCAGCTGGATATACCGGTCGTATCAAGTTCGCCATGGACCCTGCTTCATCAGAGTTCTTCCACGATGGCATCTACGACCTGGGAATTAAAGACAAAGTCTCTCCTAAATTGACCCCACCTGAACTCTCGGACCTGTATAGGGAGTTGATTGCAAAGTATCCGATTGTGTTACTAGAAGATCCTTTTGCGGAGGATGATTGGGAGACTTGGAGTAAATTTATGGCGAAGGGGAGGGAGGTAGATGATGGTGTGGAGAGAATGCCGGAGATCGTTGGAGATGATCTGACCGTTACGAACGTGGAGAGGGTCAGGGAGGCGAAAGAGAAGGAGGCGTGTAATGGATTGTTGTTGAAGATCAACCAAATCGGCACCATTACGGAGGCTATCGCTGCGTCTGTTTCTCCCATCCTTTCAAAAAAGAGGTCATTTTGCTAATGAGAGGACTAGTGCGAATCTGGCATTCAGCTACGGATGGGGAGTCTTTGTCTCGCATCGTTCTGGTGAGACAACCGATGACTTTATCGCAGATTTGACAGTCGGTCTTAGAACCGGTCATCTGAAGACCGGTGCGCCAGCGAGAGGAGAGAGAGTTGTGAAGTACAATCGTCTCATGGATATCGAAGACGAGATTAGAGCGAGTGGCGAGGAAATGAAGTTTGCTGGGAAGGAATTTAGAACCACGCATGGGAAAATGGCAGATCCGAAGATGCCGTTCAATGTCTATGGATACTAGAAGTGTCAATGGAGGAAGCTTTTTGGGAATTACTTTGGTTGTTAATGTGATAGGGTTGGATGGATATGCAGGATTTCTTTTCGTGTATGTAGTTCAAAAATGGGATCTCCTTTTTTGTAATTATGAGCATCATCAGTATATTCATGGCTTTTGATCTTATGATAGATTATGGAACAAGAAGATACGCCGAGTACCGCGAACGTACACTAAGTCAGATGTACAATTGAGAGAGTTCGACGCTCACGTGTTAAATCTGCCAATGCATGACAGCACTCGAGATATCTACGCTTTGCGCGCGATGTGCGCTATCAGCGCTGTCAGCGCCATATGCGCAATTTGCGGGCGAAGAGCTGCTTCCAGTTTGCATGTTCCAAAGTCTTCAAATACCACGTGATAACTCTGAGTTCATCGAAGTCAGCCGGGATATCAATGAGGCAAAGGTAGTGGATATGAAGGCTCAAATCACCCTCCTGATGAGACAGCTACGAAAGACTTCTTATGCTTCTCATAAGCTGAGAGTGCAAGTAACAGTTTCTGATTTCCAGGGGCTCAATCGCTAGAATTTTAGCGCCTCTCCACCGAGGTCAAGATTATTGCAAGACTTTCCTCGTCAACTCATTCTCTTTTCTTCATCAATAACCTCAATCTTTTCCTTTTCATGATTAGAACTCCTGAGCTCAACTGGAATCACGTGGGAGACGCCAAAGCTCAAAGTTTGAGGCTCTTGAATATGCAGTTGAGATACTATATGCAGGTGTGCAACTAAAATTAGTTCTTCAGTCAATACTTGGCATTGTCCAGACTCAGCACCATCACGCCGCTGCATGCATTTCATGCTTCATTCTCCGTATATGCAAGGGAAAACGAGTTGTCTTTGGAGGCCATCACTTCGCAGAATCTGCCGTCCTTTGCTCGTATTGATGCCGCTGGTGAAAGGCTGAATGCCAATCGAGACCGTTCTGGTGGCTGGCGTCCTGAAATTCTGACGATGAAGCCACCGAGCACAATGCTCAACCACTCCTCCTCGAATGCAGGGAGCCCCGAGAAACGTTCCTCGCTGATAATACCTCCATTTGAAGTCCCATTGTAAGTCGTTGAGTTCACGCCCTAGCAGACCGTTGCCCCTCCCGCAAGTGTGCATCTTGAGCTTCAGCTCTCAGCTTGCGAGGTAAAAACCGACCACAGGCATTTTCTTCCATTGTGGGGAAGACTACTGCATCTGGCACGTTCTCCTGAGTCTGTGCCTGAAGATCTAGACCTACAATGCCAAGTCGTTATTCCGATCATGATCATGGCATTTGCAAACGGGATGGGAAATTGGATGAGTTGAATGCAACGCTCTGACGAGGTGGAAGCGCCTATCGTCCATTTTTGAACCGTGCAGGTCTGATGATGGGATGGTAGACATTCAATCAGGGGCAGATACCGGTAACCAGATTTCGCCCTCGCGGATTCCAATCTCGACCTGCCAAGGCTGCCAAGGCTGATGGTAACTCCTTGACCAAGGATGGCACCAATCACTTGATTCGCCCAGCTTTCAATAGTCGACAAGCCTTTCTTGCTCACTGGCCAGTGGGATGCTTGTTAATAAGCCACTCTTAACCATTGCTGCTTTGGGATAAGGAGTACAAGCCACAATTCGCTCTAGTTCTTGTATGTCTCCCTTCGAACTACGTTTTGGAGTATGTAGCGAAGATAACAGCAGTGGTTGCCAACTGTCAGGCCTTCATGGCCCGATTTCGATGTTACTTTTCCATCCCTATTTCGACTATTGTTTCCATCTTCTACTCGAAGTAGTGACGTTCTGTCCTAGACCTGGTTACCAAATGCTAACATTGATCTGTTCCTAAGTCATGATGACAGTGCACCATCAAAATGGTCCACAGATCTGTGTTCGTCGAAGCTTATCCCCTGCATCCTGTACTTGCTCAGCTTTAGTGCAGCAGTGTAGCCTGGGCAAAGGTCGGACAGACCTCGACCAGGGCCGGGATCTTTCTCGCGTACCTGCTTTATCCAGTCCAATATCTTCCCGCCATAAGTATGACAGGCATTTCTGCTAGAAATTTTTCCTTTCATCTCCAACAAACAGTCGCTCGTTTCCTCTGTATTTCCCCATCTCGGGCCCACGTTCACTACAAACGGGTTCAAGATGTGGTCGAAACTTTTCTTTCTCTTTTTGGCATTCGTGCCGGTCTTCGTTCATTCATTGGCAGCCACGGATGAGATCCAAGATGCCGACAATGCCCAGTCCGGATATATGGATAATCATAACATGCACCCGGCCACTGTCGGATCCTCAATTTTCGGTATTTTATGGAAGAACACATATGGTGCAAAGGAGAAATGGTATGCCAAGCCACTTGTCTACACCCCTCCAGGGAGTTCTCAGATCGTGTTCCTGGCTTCGTCGATGAATGTTTTGCGAATCTTGGATGCTGTCAATGGAACGCTTTTGAATTCGAGGACGGTTCAACCTCCATTTCTCCAGAGCGATATTGGCTGCACAGATATTCCTGACTACATCGGAATCACTGTGAGCATTTCCAATGCTGGGGAGCTGAAATTTAAGAATACTAATTATCTCGCAAGGGGACACCAATCATCGATCCGAATACTAATACCGCCTATTTCTTCTCCAAAGGATACAAGAATGGAGCCTCGAATGGTGGTGTTGCAAATGGTAGCGTCTCATTTAAAGTCGTTATTCGAGAGCTAACATCAACCAGGAATCTACAGATTCTATGCCGTCGACATACGCACACTGGCAGATAAGCCTGGCTTCCCAATCTTAATTGATGGACACTATGCAGATAATGATAATACCAGGTATGATGCTCGCGCCCAGTCTTGAACCTTTCGCTGACAAGAGCAGATACTTCATTGGAGGAACCGTACTGCAGCGGCCTTCTTTGTCACTAATCAATGGGGCTGTAATTGGAGCCTTCGGAGGTCATTGCGATCTGTTCAACTACACTGGCATGCTTGTTGCAGTCAGTACTACTTCAGGCGTTGGTAGGTTTGGTTTCTTTGAGATGGATCAATAACTGATCGGATGAAAGGCGTCACCTCACTCTATGCTATGGAATCGTCTCCTGGAGCACCTGCGGTCGTGTCGGATATCACAGTACAACAAGGTGGAAAGGCTGGGATTTGGCAAGGCGGGATGGGTCTTGCTTCTGATGGTTCTCGAGTTTTCTTGGCCACTGGGTATGTTCTGTTTCCGCATTTTTTCATCATCCAAGCTAAAGTGTAGCCAGAAACGGTCTGGGCCATGCGAACGGCGATGTCGCGGCTTCTGGAAGAACACCACTTTCGACACTGGACGAGGTTGTAGCAAACTTTGCGATCTCTAGCACAGGAAAGATCACACTTTCGGATTATTTTGAGCCCTACGAATATGTGTCGATGGATGCTGGTGACAGAGATCTGGGTTCTGGAGGTGTTGCGTTGCTTGATTCGACGGTCTTTAGTGGTACTGGAGTCTCAAAGATGGCCATGTCCATTGGCAAGAATGGCAAAGCCTAGTAAGTGCTCTGTCGAATCTTGCTCCTCATATATGGGTGTTCGCGCACACTAACCGAGATCAAAGCATTCTGAACGCGAATAATCTGGGAGGTTTCAAGCAAGGATCAGGAGGTAATATTACTCATTCTGACCCTGAATAAATTCTGACAGCTACTACTAGGTGTTGATAACATTATCCAAACTATCATCGGACAAGGATCCGTCTTCGGAGGAGCAGGATCATATCCCTTGGAAGGAGGTTACATCTACTTTACCCCTGTTGGTGAGTATCCTCATGACGCGCTTCACATGCATACTAAACGAGCATAGGATATCCGACTGTCGCGTACAAGATGGGTTTGGACTCTGCGGGAGCACCATATTTTACTCAAGTTGGTCAGACAGCCGCTAATTCAGCTGGCAGAGTTGGAATTGGCAAGCAAACCCCTCCTAGACATGCAAGCTTCGCTAACAAGCTCAGGTATCCCAACCGTTACGACCTACAAAGGCCAAGCCGGGACTGGTATCCTTTGGGTTTCGGACCCAGCTGCAGGACTGCAAGCTTACAATGCTGTCCCTGTTAATGGCATTCTCACCAAACTTACAATCCCAGCTACCGGTGGACTCAACAAGTTCCAGCGTCCTGCCTTCGGAGATGGGCGACTGTACGTATCAGATACGAACGGAAATGTAATCTGTATGGGATCCCCAGTCGCGCTACCACTTCAATGCTCTCAACCCGTCGATTTTGGAAGTTTGACGATTGGCGATACTTCAACCGTGATCATCAACTGTACAGCGCTGATTGCCATCACTTCGATCAATGGATGTACAACTGGAGATGCTACCTGGCAGTGCTCGAATTCTACACTTCCTAAAGGTGCCTTGGCCAAAGGTGCTACCTTTTCATTCCCTGTCACGTGGAATTTGACTCAAGCTTCTATCAACAACGCCCAGAATGCCTCGTATGGGAAGGTTCTACCCGGAGTCGACAGTACCAGCTTGGATATCTATACGACTAATGCTGTTACCCAATACAGCAATATCCTTCCAATCTCGTTGTCCGGTACTACAGTTTCGAAGACAGCATACTTGACAATCACTCCTCCTGCTGTGGACCTGGGTGGTGTCGTTGTTGGCTCTCAAGCCGCTGTTTCTGGCCTATCGGCATCTGTCATTCTTTCCAACGTTGGAGCTGATACCTTGACATTCCTGGGCTCGGCGTGGACAGCATCAATTGACACCACTCAAGGAAAAATAATAACTTACCACAACATCACGAATGGAAATTTTGGGGCAAGTTTTAGCTCTACCAATCTGCCGAAAGTTGGCGATACCATTGCCCCAGGTGCATCTCTGACCATTCCCGTACAATTCATCTCCAACATCACGGGTGCATACTCCACCTTCGTGCAATGGTGGACAACTGGCGGTTCGTCAGATGTCATGTTGACAGCGTCAGCATCAACGGCTCCTCTTGCAAACATCTCCGTCTCCACTATCGAAGGTGGATGGGATTACTCAGAACCTGTTGTTATGGACTTTGGCGATGTCCTTGCTGGCACCACCGTCTCGAGAAATATTCGAGTTTGCAACGCCGGTGGCTCGGCTTTGTTGATCACGAAGAGCAAACCTCCCATCGATACTGAGCTTTTGGCACCTAATTCGAATGTCGATCTTCACGAGGGACAATCTATCGATGTTAACTCTTGTGCATTGGGTCAGGTTTCTATCGTTGCTGCACCGCTTGGTGTGGATCGTCTTGCCCATACTGTGTCTGATGTTTGGATTCTAAATACTGAGTGAGAAGCCTGTTAACCTCTGAAAGTTTTTAGCTGACTTTACCAGTGACGTTACATTTGGTGTACACGACGTTCAAGTCACAGCCAATATTGTGACTCGCCAAGTTGGACCTTTGTTGGCGAATGGCTCTTCCGAATATCTCTATCTCGGATGCTACTATGACGGCGGTGGACGTCAGTTGTCGAAGCAGTATAACAATGCGACCAATGAGAATGGTTGGTGCCAGAACACCTGCTTTGCTGCTGGATATAAATTTGCTGGGACTGAGTATCGTGAGTTGTCCTCACTTATATTACTTATTGGGGCTAACAAAATCTAGATACCCAGTGCTGGGTCAGTAATCTCCTGTAGCCTCCCTTTCACTTTCTAACATTTTCCATCTAGTGCGGAAACACAGCACCATCTTACACGAAGTTGTGAGTGCTTATTTCATTTCCTTTGTTTACAAGATATACTAACACAGCTAGCACTGCCGATTCTCTCAAAAAATGCGCCTTCTCCTGCCCCGGCGATGTCTCCCAAGCCTGTGGAGGTGATGGAACCTACATCTCAATTTACTATGATCGAACGAAATATGTTCCAGGTCCCGATTCCATCCCTGGATCATCTTCGAGTTCATCGTCCTCGTCAGTCGTTTCCTCGACGACCTCGCTCAGCTCAAGGACAGGATCATCCTCGTCAGTTTCGATTAGTGTTAGCTCGTCATCTTCGTCCCTTTCCGTGTCGTCTACACGGAGCAGTACATCTTCTAGTTCCATCTCTTCTCTACTAAGCAGTACGACCTCGCTATCCACGAGCTCAGTCTCGAACACCGTGTCAACGAGTGCTTCTGGAAGCTCTACTTTAAGCAGTACATCATCTTCAGCGTCTACGAAGCCTACAGGTCCAGCTATTGTGAAGAATGCAGGGAACTTTGCTTATATTGGATGTAAGTGCTGTACTGATCATTTTGAATGATTGAGCTCTCGTCCCATGCCTCATATCCTTTCGGTTTGTTTACTACAGACATAATACTAACATATTGTAAAGGTTACACCGAAGCAACGAACGCAAGAGCCCTTACAGGTCTTGTATACGCAAACGACAACATGACTATTGAGATATGTGCTGCTACATGCGCTACATTCACCTACTTTGGTGTTGAATATCATCGAGAGTGTACGTCCTTCTCACAACATCTGGTATGACATAAAACTTACACAGCCAATAGGTTACTGCGGTAATACCTTGGGGACAGGCAGTGTTCAAACAGCCGATAGCGGATGTCTTGATACTTGCACGGCTAATTCATTTGAATACGTGAGTCCTCTTTCCAAACGATGCTGGGGCATCTAGACTAATCATCTGAAAGTGCGGCGGAGCTTCAAAACTTTCCATGTACCAAGTGAAAGCTGCTGGATCCAGCTCAAGCTCATCTAGCGTTTCATTGTCAGCTGCCTCGTCAAGCTCGAGTCGAGTTAGTAGCTCTTCGAGTGTACTCAGTAGCGTATCCTCGCTTTCATCTTCATCAATGAGCCAGCCAAGCAGTTCTCTACCAGCCAGCCTATCATCCGGTTCATCAAGCAGCGCATCTTCCCTCTCCTCAAGCTCGTCCCAGACCATCTCCACCTCATCCTCCGTCTTAAGCAGTCCCTCAACAACAACCACCTCCCAAACCACCACTCTTCTTACCTCATCGTCATCCCCATCCCCAACCGTCCTCACCTTCCGCGGCTTCGCCTATTCAGGCTGCTACTCCGACCCCGCTGGTGGTCCCTACGGAGGCCACAACATGCCCAAACTCTTCAGCAACGACAGCATGACGCCCGATCTCTGCATCTCATCTGCCTTAGCCCGCCTATCCGCTACGCCCGCGACCACATATCTCTACGCCGGCGTCGAATACGGGCGGGAATGTTACGCCGGAAGCGTGGCCCCTACGCCAGAACCTACGAGCCTTGTGGGAGCGAAGGCGTGTACGATGACTTGTGCCGGGGATAAGAGCCAGAAGTGTGGCGCGGGGAATATGTATAATCTTTATGTGGCGACTTCAGTCACTGTGACCGGAACGGCGAGTGGACATTGGAGTTCGGTAGCACCCACTAGTACGATTGGATAGAAAAAGCAAGTTTGGTGTTGAAATGCAATATAGAAACTGGGCTTGATGGACCATACACAGGTTGGATTTTGTGTTGGAGTTTGGGTGAGATATACGAAAAGTGATAGAAACAGGAATACTTGACGGCATGTAAGATATATTCAAGAATAATGAAACAATTTCTTCCTACGATCCTTTTGGGATGCCCTCGGCGAGACCTTTACTGCGGGGATTAAGTGTTTGCAACTGGTACTGAGTTGATATGTAGCATGGTCAATACGAAGGTCTACAATCAGAACAGAAAATCAGTCCCGAGCTCCAGTTAAATCTCGCACCTGGTGCTCGGTACAAATGGAGTCAGCGCATTCAGCGCACAGTGCGCAGCCAGCGCAATTAGCGTTACAACACCTCATATTTGACCTCTCACTTCCGAACCCCGCACCACGGTAACTATCAATAATTCAAAAACCTTCAAGTGCCGTTGAGTTGTATTTCAAACGATAAAATATCACCAGATGATGTGCTCCAGTACCTGATAAAACCCCGAATTGGAATTAGAACGAAAACAGAAAGAAGGCCGCTTCAAGAAACCAGACAACCAGAATGTCATTTTGATAAAAACTGTCACGTCCAGGCACTTTTGGCGCGGCGAAATAGCAAGTTTCAGGCTCTGATCACTAAATCTCAGTCGCTCGGGTTCTAGAGTCACTATTTAGGCTCGAGACCCCTGAAGTTTAGCGAGTTGTAGCCTGGAAATATGCCGAGTAGTTAATTAGACCCTACCTACCATTCATCTCGGGCATTTCACCTACCTCATGCATACCACTCATCATACTGTAAGATTCCAAAATTAAAAGATAACATATCGATTGACCTCTCAGCGAACTAACATCATCTCAAAGCTCTCAAACCTATCCATTTCCCGCACCAACTCTCGCCCCCCTCCACCCACGAACCCATCTCGGAATCCCCGTCACCAACAATAACGCCCCAACATTAAACACAACATAAACCCTATCAACCAATTATATTAGCTCACATCCCATCTTCATTTCCACACAATCAACTCACCAAAGAACCCCAAAATTCCTCCATCGTCCACCCCAGCTCATGTCCAAGGTCCCCAAGTACTCATCCCCGGTTCCATAGCGACAGTATTCGCAATCCTTTGTCGCGCTAGGATTATAAATCGCCCCAGCTCCGTACGTAAGGAAAGGAGCGATGAAGGACCCGCACGTTTTGTTAGCCGGTGGTTGGAAGATGTTGATTTCCGAGGGCGAGCAGGTTACTGTTGTGAGGTGGAGGATGTTGGAGAATAGACCGCTTTGTTGTGTTAGCATTGAGTGGGGATCTGGTGGGAAAGGAATCATACTCAATAAGCCAAGTAAATGGACTAGCGTAATGTACCCAATGCCAGAAAAGCGGGAGTTGCGAAAGAGGTTGCAGGACGCCGCAGAATAGGGCTACGAAGACGAAGAGCATGGGGATGAAGAGGGGAGCTGTTTGTTCTGTTGGTGCGATGGCCGCGAGGAGTTGGCCGAAGGTTGAGAGCCAGGTTTCGAACATTAACTGCGTTGTTTACGTTAGCTTGCTGCTACCATTGCTTGAATTGAGGGAGACAGTCTTACGAAGAGAATCCATTGGTATATCCCTCTACTCGGAGCGTTAACCATATCGTTCTCGAAACCAACAACAAAGTACCAAGGAAGGAAGAACAACGTCCCGGTGAGTAGATTCGCGGTTATTTCTGTGATGACGGTAGTGAAGATGAATATGGACCAGTGATACATTCTTGCTGGTTCTTCTCTTGATACAAATAGTGCTCGGACTTTGAAGAATCGAGGTTGGAGTTGATTCATCAATGCTATGTTTGACCATATCAGCATTAACACACACAAAGCGAAGGATGGAGGCAACATACGAGCTGATAAAATCACAGATGCAAAGGTAGCAAACATCTTGTTTTGCAGTCCTTGAGCAGAATTGTTCTGTTGATAGAATGTAAAGCCTAGGAAGAGACCAGCGACGATATTCAGGATTATTTTGCCGCGGATGTAGACTGGTGAGCGCCAGTACCACTGAAAACTTCGTCGTTGAACCAGTCGGTATTGGTGAAGATAGGAAGTCGTGTCCTTCCCTCTTGATTTGTGAGCTTTGACCGTGGTCGGCGAGGCTTCCTTCTCGACGATATGGGCTTCGTTGGATTTCTGCCAGATGTCTGCCCAATTTTTGCGGTCTCTATTCAAAGGAGCTTGTCAGTGCGTTCAATGCCGAGGAGAACACTAGTGGAACTCCACACTTACTTAGCTTCGGTTGCAGTTAATACATCTTTTCAGGCAGTCAGTACTCAGTTACATAGAGAAGTCATGGCACTTACATTCACCTGCATTGGTTTTCGCTACACACTTCCTTGCCCCATTACCCTCGAAATAGCTGATTACGGTCTTGCTGTTCGATCCAATATCTCCAAAATAGACACATCGACCGCCTTTCTGTAGAAGCAGGAGTCTGTCGAATTGTTCGAATAGAGCAGAGCTAGGTTGATGAATTGTGCAGATTAGCGCTTGACCTGAGTTTGCAAGCTTTCGGAGACACTTGACAATAGCAAAAGAAGATTCTGATTTATCGAGTCAACACCTGAACACCCTAGCCTGAGAATGGTTCACTTACGGGAATCAAGACCACTAGTAGGCTCATCCAAAAACAAGAGCGATGGTTTTGCAACCAATTCGACACCAACCTTTAGTACATGTCAGCTTATTTATCTTCGCCAACTGCCACATGTACTCACTGTCATTCTCTTCCTCTGCTCCAAGCTCAACCCCGATCCAGGAACTCCCACAACAGCATCCGCAAACTCTCCCATATCAAGCATCTCAATGATCTCCTCCACATACTCATTCTTCACTTCATCACTGATATGTTGAGGTTGTCTCAATTGTGCGGAAAAACTCAATGTCGCCCTAACAGTAAATTCGCTGAGATGTACGTCTTGACTTTCCACGTAACCTGTTGTACGAGCGAAGTTGAAGTCTGGTCGTAAACCGTTCATCATAATGGAGCCGTGGACGCTGCCAAAATGGATGCGTTGGGCGAGGACGTTCAGGAGGGTTGTTTTCCCGGCACCGGATTCTCCCATCAGGGCTTGTTTGTTAGTAGATTTTGATGCTGGTTGTGGATGTGGGCTCACCTGTCATTGTTCCTGGCTTGACGTATCCTTGGATGTCGGTTAGGAGTGTTTTGGCTCCTCCCCTAATTGGGATCTGATACTCGAGCTTGTCCCAGGTAAAGCATTCCTGTTCTACTCTCGCGATCGGAAGATCGTTTAATGTAGGCAATCGAGAAGTAGTTGGAGTCACTCCACTTGGCAACGGCGGGTTCTTCTCCAATGCGGTATGTTTCTTACGCCTCAAGAAGATGAGAACATCTCCTCTGCCTTTCTCGACTTGCGGAACAAACTCCACAACCAGGCCATACGCAACCACCAACCCCACAAAGAAGGCGAGTAAAATTCCATAATTCCGCCACAGATGACTGTATGTATACTCGAAAGAAGCATCGATGTAATGGTCTCTAGAAACGACACTAGATCCTGGAGTAGCGCCGGTCACAGGACAGACTTGGTTTTGAGGTGATATGTTTGGGTATGCTGGACCGCTGGGGACCATGTGTGAACACGGAACGAGCCGATCGTGGCTGTGGGAATGTTAGCACGCGGTATATTAGTGAGGTGTCAGGAATCACAATTCATTTGCCTATTGAACGTTAGTGTTGGCTAGAATTCGTGAGGGAGCGGGGCAAAATACCATGAGGCCCTCGAACGCATAAGAGAGAGGATTGATGTATGTAATCCACTTGAACCAAGGATGCATAGACGGCTTCGGTATAATATCTGTATTCCATCAGGATTGTAAGCAAAATTTCCAGCTCGGCGAGCGAAGCTCACATCCAGTATAGATAACAAGAGGAAGAATGAAAACCCCACCAATACTAGTAGCAATCGCTTCATGCTTGGTAAGTGCCGCGATGAGTCGAAACAAAGAAGCCATGATCAGCACCATTGTATACGTAAAGAGCTCGAATACGAAGAAAGCAGCAGGCTCCCTTTTCAAGTTCGCCATGAAGTACAACACGATGTTGAACAACGAGACACCGATCAGCTTCAATGGGTAGATAGAAATCAAAGATGCGATAGCATCAATACTTGCGTGATACATTGCGAAGCCGGATTGCTTTTTCTAAAAAGATGTCAGATCGACCTTTTCACCGAGAAATGCGGGTACTTACTACAATCGGCCTTTGAGCAAATTGAGAGGAGATCTCTACCATCGTCTGGACTGAGTTGAAGAGCAGCTGGAATTGAGTCAGAAGAAAAGCTTCAATTCACGTTGAATAATCCCTACGCTGAAGAACAGAACACCTTGGCGACTGAAGAAGCCAGTTGTATTATCTGCAGAATTGTAGAAAGCGCTTCCTGCGAAGACGTTAGTGCCATGCCGCTGACGACAGACCGACAACTCCTCACCAAATATTAGTGAAATGAATGTTGGGCCGATAATACTGGCTCCTAGAAAGGGCTTGTCGCCTGCTAGTCTGATAAAGGCTCGTTGCAAAGTTGTGGTTCTGCTGAATCTCAGTGTCTGTTTTCACCCAAGAGTGTAAAGATTGTCTGGAAGATGATATCAGAAGATCAGGATATTCCACTCACAACTGTGCTGCCCATGACAAGACATATGGGTTACGCCTTCGAAGTTGTGCATATGAAGCTAGTGGTGAGCCCTCCTTTGCTTCTATGACCTCGTGTCCAGTGTTAAATTGGCCGTCGAGAGCTTTTTGTAGTCTCATGTAACAGGCACTATCTCTCCAGCATCTTTCCCAATCCTCAACAGTCCTCGGGACCTTTTGTTCCCATCCTTCCTTCGTGACCCTTACGCTGGGATCAGTGACCGATATCAAGAACTCGCTCAAGCTTTGCCTGTCAGACCACACAAAAGCCCATGCTTTCGAGAAATTCTTGAGCCTCAGCAATGGTACCAAAGAATATTTGTCGTCCTTGGTGGAGAAGGGTGACCTTGTCGAATAAGCGAACCAATTCGTCGCTCGCTTGGTACAAAGCTGCTATGGCGATATTGTGTCCAGACTTCACATATGTCTGAAGAGCTTTGCCGAAACGAAGAGATGTAGTTGCGTCCAATCCTTGGGTGCTGTTATCCCAGAGGCTGATTTTCGCATTCGTTGACATCTAATTCGAACGTAAGTCACGATAGAACTCCAGGACACTGTAAAAAGTTGACTCACAACTTCGGCAAGCGAGACCCATTTTCTCTCTCCGCCACTGACGCCGTTGATGAATTCATTACCGAGCATCGTGGTTCTTGTTGCTTCGAGGCCAAATATTTTCAAAAGTGCGTTAGTCACGACGTCGATCTTCCTCCTACGTTGAGAATGATTCATGTCACTGGGTGGTGTCTTCGTTTTGACTGCGAAAGAAAGAGTTCTCAAGACTGTCAGGTAGGGGAAGTGAACATCTCCTATAAAGCCCCATTATCAGCCTGTGACCAGGTGCATTGAGGTCGGAGAAACATACCTTCAGCATTGTACACCAGAACTCCTCTATAATGTTCCCTCAATATGCTAACAGGAAGTCCAAAGTAACAGACGATCCCGCTCCATCCATGATAGGTTTCGGTGCTTCCAGCCAGAGTCTTCAAAAGAGTCGTGCAACCACTTCCTGGTCGACCTAGAACGAGAAGTATCTCACCTTCGTGGATGAATCCATCAATCCCTTGAAGTATTACCTTCTTTGATGGCTTTCTATGAGAGAGAACTTTGCGCGCAAGGATGACAGGCTGCATAAAGATATTTGCTACTGTCTCTAAGAATTCGAGCTGGGAGTCTCTGCTCCAGACCTTAATATGCCTGAAGACAGCAATCCTTTTCTCGGTATTTCCAGAGCCTAGCTGATATGTATGGGCGTCATGATTGACCAAGCCGAGATATTCGTCAACGGCTGATGAGAGTGGATCTTGGCCTGGGTCACCGCTCGAAGCGAGACCAACGGTTTTTTCAGAGTTACCGCGCATGATATCAGTTGATTGAGAAATTTGTAGCGAGTTTATTAGTAATATGCTTTAATAAAGTTGCAGAGCTTGTAGATGACAGATTGAAATAAACTCGTGATGGATACAACACGTGATCGTCGAATTCGAAGTATTCAACTCATCAAGCTTTGCTTGGAACGGCATTGTAAAACATTGTAAATCGTTAGAGAGCAGCAGAAGTAATAATAATGAAGGAAGCAAGCCGAAACTGAGGATAATAATGAGAGTGATAATGAGCAGCATCGTCTTATTATTCTTGCCCTATCGGTAAGACAACATCGGCATCGGAAATTTGTAGCCCGCCAAACGCTGTAGAACCTATGGTCTGATGTTCTCAAGTAGGTATGCTCTGCGAATGAATTGATGAATCAATAGAGAATGGTGGTGTGACTGACGCCACCAAACGTGAGCGGAGGAATACAGTTTTGACTCTCCGGGTGTGAAACAGCTGACCGAGGTCTATACTCTCGAACTTCATATTGTGCTCGTTGATAAATGCTCATTAATGAGGGAGGATGATTGAGAAGTTTGTCCAGAATATGATAAGAAGGAGGAACGAATCATTAGCTAACGAGCAATTGCTAGGCCGTTTCTGGTCAGCTATTAGTTAACTATTCGTTGCCGATTCACCATCGATTAGTGAGTGTTTGGGTAACGATTCAACAACGATTTGACAACTGTTCAGCAACTATTCGGTGAGTCCAGAAGTGCGACGTGCAACAAAGATTTGTTCTCTGGTATCTGAGCTTCCAATTGGTCAAAAAAATTCCTGGTCAGGGACGGAGTGACTTCACTTGACTCTTGTTCGGGCAGGACAAGTACGGATTGTCAGAATTCTGTTTTGGTTGGACTTCACCTAGGCTTGTACAATGCACGGTATTTAAGTCTGAGTCTAAGTACGCATTTGGAGCAAATACCTACTCACGAGCTTGAGAAGGAACCACACGTGACTCTTCCTACTCTCGCTCAAGAATTTCTCCTTATCTTAAGTTACTCAAATTGTCACCAAGCAGAAGCCCACCCAAGTTCAAAGACTGCGAAGTGCAACAAAGAGACCCCTTTAATCTTGAATGGCCGTCCACCACCTGCAGAAGAGGAAGAAGAATCCACGTGATTTCAATCTGCTTCCCTTTCAAATCACCTCCTCTGTCAAACTCAACCCAGGTTCAAAGAGTGCGACATGCAACAAATACTCCCCATTAATTCTTAGAGTCCCGTCTAGTACCATAGAATGGATTCACGTGATATCAAACTTCTCCCTCCCGTCTTCAAAGCTCCATCTCCTCTTCCAACCTCCAATCTCAAAACCCCACCCAGGTTCCAACCCCTACGACATGCAACAAAGATCCTTCCCAGCACGCTAAGTCTTGAGACAACAATATATAAACCTCCAAAATCTCTTGCATCAAGTTGTCATTGCGATAAGTACGCTGAGAGTGAATTTCGAGGAGGAGAGGAACTTGATCCCCGTTACACGTTACACGTCTAAAAAGAGGCGAGAAGCTAAGAACCTTGAAATTTGTCTTTCTTTGTTGACGAGGAGAGAAGAGAGATAACAATTTTGATAATAGAAGGTTGGGCTGGCAATAGAAGATAGTTCAGATAAATTCGCCTTCAGGTGTACAGCTTGCTGAATCAGAATCAGCAGCTGTGGGAATGAGAAAATGAAGTATGGACGTCGAGATAGGCATTCAAACATCAGGAATGTCGGAATATATTTTCGAAGATTGACGCAAAGGGCAACGCAATTATAATTTAACTAGATATCTCAACTCCCATCTTTCACCTCAATTCTAACCCACCAACAGAGCAGCAAATCCCACCGCAGCAAATGCAACAACCACACTCCCCCTCTCCACGCCCGCCGCTGCACTCTTCGAGCTCGTCGACGCCGGCGTACTAGACGTACTACTCGGCGACCCAGCACTCGTGGTACTCGGCATCGTCGAAGACGCCACAGCCGTACTAGCCGATCCACCCACATCGTTCAAATGCATCTGATCATACGGATACACATTCGTATAGTTAAACGAACCATCCGACTTTCCCCACGTGGTCGCCACATTACCTAGCACGCTTCCGGTGAGACATTTAGCGTTCGTAGCTGGAACGGGCCAGGATGGCAGGTATTGGGCGTCGGACAAGGGGCCGGGGTATGAGGAGTTGAAGTACAGGTTTGTGGTGTCAACAACGGTGTTTGTGTGCCCGGTTTTGTTGGCAACGAGAGCAAAGACATTGGCATTGCAGTCCCAGCGGCCGAGGGAGGGGAGACCCCAGTTTTGGGAAACGGTGGAGATCATGCTGTAGTGATTGTAGAAGGTGCTGTCTGTGGAGCCGTGGAGGGAGGTGGGGATTGCTCCTCCGAGGAGGATGGTGAACATGTTGTTGTGGTTTGTGTAGGTTTCGTCTTCGTCGAAAGTTAGGATGAGGAGGGTGTTGTTCATGAAGTAGTTGTTATTTAATAGTGGGGCAATGAAACCGCGAGCCCAGCTGGAAGTGAAGGCGATTGTGGTATCGTGGCCATCGTTTGTCATGTTCTGGAAGCAATTTTATTAGGAGAGGTGATCCATTTGAGGTGACTAAAGAAAACTTACAGGAGTAACGAACGACCATTGTGGCAGGGTCTTGGCAGCAAGATCCGAGGCGAAAGAATCGAAACTCTTAATCAGAGAAAGTCGTGTAGCATTGGAAGTAACCGATTCATAAATGACCAATGGGTTGTGTTTCCGCACGTAGTCATTGGCATAAGTGACTTGATTTGACCAATTGAAGCCCTGGAATCCAGGGTACGGAATATGTTCTTGGTATTCGCCCCAAGAGATGCCTTTGGTATCGAGCAGATCCACGACAGTAGAAATATTGGCAGGAATTTGATTGAAGTCATCATTGTCCATGCCTGCAAAGGTTAGCTATGAGCAAAAGACTTGGAATTTTGGAACAACTCGCCGAAAGTGTCTCCACCTACGCTTGCGATATAGTTGCTATGTCAAGATCAGTATTGTTTTATAAACCCAGATTGCCCATCTTCACTCACGGTTCAGACGGATGCGTGACAGCATAATAATTCGTTAGAGCAATACCCTGACTGGCAAGCCAAAGCAGATCCGAATTTGTAGAAGCCTTATCATAATCCTATGGAAAGTCAGTTTCGGATGAAGCAATGGAATGAATTGTACTTGCGGTATTTTCTAACCAGATTTGCACAATTCTGTCAAATGCCACACCTGGGACATTTGAAGTTGGTGACAGAGCTGTTGCGCTTGGTTCGGCGGCAATGATTGATGAAGCAGAGGGTTCGATGGTTGAGAAAGGAGGCCTTGAGGCGTACGTAGCAGTCGCTCCAAGAGCAAGCTTGGTGCCGAGAACAATCGCCAAAAGAAACTTTGAAGCCATGGTGACGGAGCAGTTTAACTCGTCAATTGGCTTGCCAAGTCAAGATGGACTAAGATCAAGCTTAATCAACGAAGATTCGAAACTTGTGCTAGGTCAATCAGTGAATGTGAACTTCTGCAAGGTCATGTCATACTGGGCCGGCATTACACTTTATAGTCTGGGAGCTCGTGCGAAGCTACTAATTGAGCAGTCCACGTTCCATTTGGCTGGAGTCAAGGATGTCGACTGTCGTGTTTCCAATACAGGGCATGTGAGTGGTGAACGGTGTTGCTCGGAGCAGTATCTAGGAAGAAGAACGAATTCCAGCAGCTGCACGAGGGGAAGTCTTTCCAACACTTTTCTTCATGCAAGCTTTCGCACTTGACAGGGTTCACGACAGGGTCTTGAGCCAGCAAACAGGCACAATCAGGAAACCACAATAGGTTCGGTTGACGGATGTTTCGAGATCAGCGGATGACACCTGGTCAAGGATGCTGGTACTGTATCGTGGGATGCGGGATGGATTGGGCAGGAGGTATCAGTCTCCGTGTCACTTACCCCTCATCACGTTCTTTGTCGTCAACAGGGCATTCGCCAATCTGGCTGAGTGGCTTCAGGGCGCATTCTGAAGAACTGTTGTGGCTTGGAGGTGGGCTTGGAAATATTAATCGTATGATTGTATGTCCAGGGAGGTGGAAAGAGCACAGTGCGTCTTCGAGATAGGACTGAGAAAGGTTGGGGATTTTTCTCCGGGGCTACCAGGCCTCAGATAGGATATGCAGGCCAAGAACGTCTGGAAGCACTCGGATCAGGCCAGGGCAGACAAGCTTTGCAGGAAGCGATCCAGTGGTTTCAGACCATGACTAGCGATCACCAGCGGGAGGTCAAGCCCCGGGTTAGACCCCCAGTCCAGCCCGCAACCTCCAATCTGAGACCTTCAAAAGCCTCTCCGTTGGACCCTCGGTCTGACCGTCCAATATCTTCACAGAACTCGCCCGACGGCTGGTATCGCAGCAAACAATCAACATACGTGCATCTTACCCTGCCCATTACCAATCATCACGTACACATGTCGACCTTCTATTTCTCTTCTGGAATTCGGTCGGCATGTCACTTATCTTTCCATCTCCATTTACAAATGTCTTATCTGATGGAAGTACGACAGCCACCTCCACGAAGTCTCGTCCGTGAAGCTCGTATATGATATTTGCAGGTCTTATAATTGTATAATAGGCCGTTATTTTTGATCTTTCCTTGTACTGAAAAAAGTGAATTGATATTCGCTTCTGGAGTCGCGTGCTCAACTGGTTTTTTCTTGCAGCGCGCAAATTTGAGCCATTGGAGAGCAACCACCGGGACACTTCACCTGTGGCTACGAGATGCTGTCACGATCCAGTTTCTGTAGCACATTCACACTTATTTGACCACCATGGATGACGAGAAGCCTGACAGAGTCACTGCTGCAGTCGATCCAGAAAAGCCATCTGCTACAAGCTCAAAACCTAGCAAGCTCTCCTTATTGATCGGAGGGGCTATCGTTGTTATTGTTGTCCTTGCTCTTGCTCTCGGACTGGGCTTGGGATTAGGTCTGAAGCATCATCATAGCTCAGCAGTCTCCTCTTCATCGACGGTACCTTCAGCAAGCGCCTCTCCGTCCTCCACGCCATCCGGACTATCGGAAAATATCCCATCATGGAGGAGAGATCCATCTGAATACCTTCTAGATATGGATTGGGATATCAATGCTGCTCCTACAACGAGGATATTCAATATTACAGTCAGTGAGATTCAAGCTGCTCCTGATGGTAAGTGACGGGAAGAAGGATATTATGCGTCACGTGCCTACTCACTATCCTTAGGGGTTATGCGAACAATGCTTGTTATGAACGGACAATTCCCAGGCCCGTTAATCAGAGTGAATGAAGGCGATCGGGTGTTGGTCAATGTGACAAATCAATTGAAGAATGGCACTTCGATGCATTGGCATGGGTTCTTTCAAAATGGAACCAACTGGATGGATGGAACGGCGGGGATCACACAGGTCAGAAACATTCGATGACATCCAAAAGTAGATTCTAAGCTAGGCCTTATAGTGTCCAATACCTCCGGGCACATCTTCTCTTTACAATTTCACTGTAGAGAACCAATTTGGGACCTATTGGTATCATTCCCATTTCTCATCTCAGTACACGGACGGCCTTGTTGGTCCCTTTATCGTACACTCTCCATCTGAAGCAACTGTTCGCTCGACCTACGATTATGATCAAGTTATCCTTCTCTCGGACTGGTATCATGATCTCAGCAGCGCCTTACTGCCTGCTTATCTTGCATCAGGAAACGAAAATGCAGAGCCACTGCCAGACAGTGGTGTAATTCAGGGGACAAATTAGTGAGTCTCCTTCAAACCGTGTACCCACAATACTGAGTAGACTAGCTTCGACTGCTCGTCATATGACCCCGACAGTGGTTACATTTGCCAAGATAACTCCACTCGTGCAATTCTCCCTATTCATCCTCAGAAACGACATCGTCTCCGCCTCATCAACACAGGAGCATTCGGAGAATTTGATGTCAGCATTGACAATCACACACTCTCCGTCATCGAAGCAGACTCGACCCTCATCACTCCAGTCACTGTACACCGCGTCCCAATTCACATCGCACAGCGCTATTCGGTAGTCGTGAACTTCAACCAGTCCACCTCCACCAACTACTGGTTCCGCGCTCAAATGAACGAGCACTGCTTCTCCGCCGACAACCCCGTCCTAGATCCCGACGTCAAGGCTCTCATCTCATACAGCAACACAACATCCGAACCCACCAACTCAATAGACTGGACCGACGTCCTCGACGTCACATGCCAAGACCTAAACACCACTCTCCTCGTCCCCCTAACCCCCATCTCGCCCCCCAAAAACGACCTAACCTACCAACTCGACATCTCCTTCCAAATCGGCTCCTACGCCCTCGACAAAGCCTACATAAACTCCACAACCTGGACCCCCTCCAGCACCCCGACCCTCAACCAAGCAATCTCCGCCCTCTCCTCCCAAAACACCACCCTCTCATCCTCCTTCTCCACTCTCGGCCTCGACACAACCCTCTACTCACCCTCCGGCTCCCAATTCATCCTCTCAATCCCCACCCTCCAAACCGTAGATATCCTACTCAACAATTTCGACGAGGGCGCGCACCCATTCCATCTACACGGCCACCAGTTCTGGGAACTCGCTTCGGGGACGGGGAATTTTGATTGGGGGACCGCGTATCAGGGGATCGATACGAGGAATCCGATGAGGAGGGATACGTTGACGGTGGATGCGTATGGGTGGAGTTTGATACGGTTTGTGGCGGATAATCCGGGGTTGTGGGCGTTGCATTGTCATATTAGTGTGAGTTTTTCCTCCTTCTGTGTGGGGTTGAATGTTGGAGGTTGGATGGGAGATTTGCTGACAAAATTGTTCTGGTAGTGGCATATGGAGGCGGGGCTTTTGATGCAATTCCAGACGAGAGCGGATATTATGAAGACGTGGACATTGCCGGCTGATGTAAAGGGATTGTGTTCTACTTAGATGTTCTATGCATGATTCATTTGCTTTTGATATAGATGGAAGTGAAACTCAGTGTCTGATCTTCTTCTTTGTGGTGATTTGTTCCCTAAGTGGCGTTCGTTAGGCTCAACATTCTGGACGTGAAGTCGGACATTTTCAGCTTGATATGGTAGTCAGTCGTTCTTTTGAATCGGCTTTTGGATCTTAAGAGGCAATAGAGTACTCAGGTAGGAAATCGAAATAACTTGGGCGTGATCTTGGTTAGTCGGAAGATGAGGAGGGTTCGGAAATGTTAAACGTGTATATCAGCGAAGAGGAGAGGTCGATATCATTTGATGTCACGGATAGTGAGGGAGAGCCAGAGAACGAGAATGAGGATGGCATGGATGAGGGTCAACTCCGGGGTGCGAAGAGGCAAAGAAGAGAGGGAGGATCATAACGATGACATGGGAAATAGAAGTTTCTTTTCTGCCCCCTTGTTATTCAAGCCCTCTGCGGCATATTAAAAAGAAAACGAACCTCAATCTTGAATCTCTGGGGCATCCTGGAATAGACACCTTAAGATTGTTGACAAAGAGGTTCTTTCAAAAAATTAGGGGGAGCTACTCGCTAACTTCGAGGCCCACTTAAACTCGCACCGACTTCTCGCCAATCCATTAGCCGCTACACAAACGGATCTCAGAAACCCTTCTATTTTTCCTTGGTTGCAAAATAATAGCAAAAATAAGTTGGAAAAGGCCCAAAAAGAAAAGTTCAGGGACCAAAAAAAAAGAGATTTTGGACTTGCAGGGAATCGAACCCTGGACCATTCCCAAGCTGGATGAATGCTAAGGGAATATTATACCACTAAACCACAAGCCCGTTTCCGATTGGTTGTTGCAAGAAAATTGCTTATTGAAAATAATAAGAAAAGGAATATAGAAAGGGGTAAAGGTCAATTTTGGTCGAAGATGGAGCTTCACGTGATCTGTAGGGGATGGAAGTTCATGTTAGTAAGACGAGCCGTAATAGTTTGTTTTATATTGTCAATTTCCTATCCCTCTTTCGAAGATATGCTTGGTTTGATGATACTTCTGCTAAATCAAGTAGTCTGTGATCTTTGATCAAGTGAAAACTTATCACGTGAGACTAATCAGAGAGTTGATTTCAAATGTACTTGGTCTAAGTGGAATATGATCTAAACTGTTCTAAGCATCATTTAATAGGAATTTAATGTCAGCATCTAAATAAACATCTACATTTCACTTTCTCTCAAAGTTCGTACCTAGAGGAACGTTGGCAGGAGAGAGAGCTTGACGCTTGCGATTATGATTAAGGTTCTCTATTCTCAGTGTTAGTAACACATAATATGGCAGAGACATGCTGAAATGTCTACTGATGTTCATAACATTTTCTTTTACAGGTTGCTCGCATCCAAAACGGGTATTTACAATAAAAATGGCCAAATTGCTACTTCACCCAGAGAAAGTCATGCATGGAGATTATCTAGTCGATTATCTACGCCAGGGATTGATGATTTGGCATAGCACTTGGTAAGGAACATGACAATAGACAAACGATAGCATAATTATACGGGATCTCCCCGAAGGAAGAAGCCTCTCCAGCATTGTTCATTATCACAGTTCCATGTTTGATAACCCGGACCATGAACATTCCCCCGGTGGCGACAGCCTTTGGGTGTGAGCGCCTTGCCTAATCTGGCCGAATTTTCCTATTTCAGTAAGGTGGAGTGGTCAAAAATGCTGGACTGCGATAGGTTTAACCTTTAAGTTTAACCTTTAATCTTTAACCTTTAACCTTTAACTTATAACTTCATACAACATTAATATTTTCAACCTTATCAACTTTACTTTTTCTCTCTCAAACTCTAACCCCTCTATCCCCTTTTCTTAAACTCGGTTTTTATTGCATTTTTACTTCCAAATTTATGATTCTTTTTCCCAACATTTAAATGCCTTACCATCTCTCTCCTTTATTCCTAACCCTCACTCTCTCATCCTCACTCCCTTATCCTCATTTATTCTCCCTCCACCGTCTCCCTCCCACGTCTCCCTCCCACTCTTCCACCCTCATTTCCACTCACTCGAGTCACCTCACGCTATGACGTACTAAAGGTTTCACCAACAGTTGGAATTCTCGCTCAACAACCCTTCTAAGATTTAGGATAAAATCTAAAACTTAGTCTCTCCCTCACTTATATATACCCACTCTCCGCCCTCCTTTCCCTTTCCTTCTTTCCTTCTCTCCCTTAAACACTGCTACTAGGTAAGAATGTAAGTCTCACTCTCTCACCCTCTCACCCTCTCACCCTCTCACCCTCTCACCCTCTCACCCTCTCACCCTCTCACTCTTGTTACGGATCACCTGGATCACCCTGATCTGGATCACTTGGTTAGAGATCACGTGAGCACTTAGGTAGCCTCCACGTGATCCTCCCTGGGAACGGATCGGGCTTAGAGCTTAAGCATGTTTCACTCTGGCGTATATAAGCTCTAGCTCTCCCACTCCCTTCTTCTTTCCTTACTTTTAAATTCTAAGAAATAGTCGAATCGATTCTTCGTCTACGTACTAAGCTTCTCACTATGCTATTATCTTATTTAAAAGTCACTAAACTCTTTTAGCCTAGGAAGGCACTCTAAAGAATATCCCACTAGCAGCGGCTAGCTACGGCCTTGAGAATAGTAGGCACATACGGCACGTACGGCCAGAGAATAGTACCAGAAGTATATCCTCATTTTTCACCCCTTACTATTCGACGGGAGTTTTCTCTTTCCTTTAGCTGACCTTCTGGCTCGAGAGCGCGAAGTGGTCCCAGTAAGTGGATTGGTATCCATCGTCCGGTAAGAGGGAAAAGAAGGCTTGTCGAATGGTAAAGGGTATCCTGCAAGCTCGAAAATGGTACGTGACATTTCAACTCGGTGGGGCCGACTAACATGACCGTGGACAGGCCAGTTGCTAGCTTGAACGATGTCCGTGAGTTCTTTGGCCTGAAAAGATATGAGAAGATGGAAGAAGTCAATTCCGATCCCGAGATCGCTGACCTTCTCCGCAAACTCTATCATGATCCTGACATGATCGAGTTGTACCCCGGGCTACTTGTCGAGGATCCCAAGCCAGCTATGAGCCCTGGTCACGGAGCATGCTTGAACTTCACCTTGGGGAGAGCTGTTCTCTCAGATGCTATCACCCTTGTGAGATCTGATCGATTTAGCACAATCGTCAGTACAGAATAAGATACTCTTCAAACGAATGCTAACAAGATTCCAGGATTATACACCAGCAACATTGACAAACTGGGGATTCGATGAGATCAGAGCCGACCCAAAGACGTAAGCCACCGAGCTTGTCCTCTTTGTCTATTGGTTTCTAACAATACTTAGATTGGGTGGATCAATGTTTTACAAATTGATTCAGCGAGTGCCTGGCTGGTTTCAGTTCAACTCGATCCATGTCATGCAACCATTCTATACCAAGAACACCAACGAGAAGATTGCGAAAGACCTCGGGACACTACCCCTTTACACAACAGCTGATCCAGCGCCTCCTTCCGCACCGATTCCCGTGACTAAGAACACGACAGTACGCAGCATCTTCAAAGATCCGGCTCACTTTGCGGAGACAGTCGGATTTATCTTGGCTGGCCTGTTCCCCATTGAGAAAAGAGACTTCTCTGCATACATGCTTGCTGGCGATTCTGCTTTGCAGACTGCCCAACGTAATCTTGTGGGAGATATCCTTTATGGCTCCGACGAATTAAAGACGACCCTGACCTCTTTCTTGACTACGTATGGCAGTGAATGCCTAATTGGTGAAACACTCAGCATGGCCAACAATCTGGATCAAATTGATATCATGAGAGACTTAGTCCAAACTCTCAGTCCAAACTCTCTCTCCACTCACGTGGTCAAGACTGACTTTGCGTGCCATAGTTTCGCAATCCCAGTGAGCACTCGCCTGATCGCTGATCTCTGGAATCTCGACATGCAGACTCCAGAAAATCCAGATGGCGCCATAAGTATGATTGATATCCGTACAGCCCTGACAAATCTTCGAGCTGGACTCTTTGCTTCTGCTGACACCGCCACGATTTGGAACCACCGACGACTTGCTCAAGAGGGCGCCACCCTCCTCACAGAGACAACAGATATTCAAGTGAACAATGTGCTGAGAGACAACTACCACGTTGGGTGGACTGAGAGCCTCGTCCGACCTTTCTCAGGGTAAAAACCCGTCGAGATCTCTCTAAGCAGGGTTCTATTCGATGGTATGGCCGTCATATTGTTGCCCAACTTCTCAAAGCAGGTAAGTCTGTCAGGGAAGTCTCAGACCTCTGCTGGATAAATGCCGTTGGTGCGATTTCCGTCACCGAGGGAGCGGTAAGCCAGTCCCATTATTGTCCGATGGACCATTTTGACCTGGATAGTTCGGCGAAATCCTTCACTTCTTCTTGCAACCAGAAAATGCGCAGTACTGGGCAAATGCGCAGGACCTTGCTGCTGCAAAGAATCCCGAGTCCGACAAGACGATCCGAGAATATGTTCTTGAAGCTCAGAGACTGACTACCTCATTTTCGCTTCCACGAGCCTGTATCGCAGATGTCACCATTGATGGGCAATGTTTCAAGAGAGGAGATACTCTGCTCTTACTGTTGGTAAGATACAGACAGAGAGTCCTCATACACGGTACTAATTCTTCCAAAGGGACCAGCAAGCAGAGATGCAGACTTTGTTCCAGAGCCAATGGCATTCAAGCCTGGGCGTCCCAAAGAAGCTTATGCCCAGTTTGGCTGGGGAGCACATGTGAGTGGGCCCAATGTGGCAACGATCCGTTCCGACGTCTCCTAGTGTAATTGTCTCAGTGCTCCTGGGACATTATACTGAAATCGAAGTATGCTGATACCTAGATTGTACTTTGTAGGAGTGCCTCGGTCGTGAAATTGCCATCATGTTCTGCGTTGAGTTGATTAAGCTTGTCGCAGGTCTCAAAAACCTTCGTCCCGCACCGGGTGATATGGGAGAGTTCAAGAGTATCGTTGTCGGCCAACAAAAGAATTGCCTCAGGTTAGTTTTCCTTTCCAGGAGATTCTGGTCTGGTGCAGGAGATCTTCCTCAGAGAAAACGTCCCTTATGATACACTTCCGCTTTTGAAACTCCAGCATCAAGACTTCTTATGCTCAATAAAGTTCATCATACTGATGAGTCAATAGTGAGGACTGGTCCAAGCTGACTCTGGATCCTACAAATGAGTGGTGCTCCGTACTAGTCCTTATTGACCGTCTCTAATTGGTCACAGCTTGGAAATTGCACTTTGAGGGTCGTGGTAAGGGAATCTACCAGACTGGAGAGACATGCAGCCCCACGCAGCACGATCTCGACGTTGCCGTTTTCAACTTGCGAAAGGCCATGGCCAAGGGACAGGTGGCAGCTTGAAGACTTTTGTCAGTGGACGACAGAGGTTGATGGCTAGAATAAAACTGAGCTATTGGCATGAGTATGCAGTATCTTCTATCTTGAGTTCCAGAAAATTCTCGACTTATCAATGAATTGCTGTGAAGTGAAGTCGCGAACCGCCAACGCACGTGAGAAAGCGACCTTACTTTATTCGAAATATTGACTGTTATCCAAAGAAAACAAAGTCTGTCAGAAATAAAGACAAGATATGACAAGTAAAGTGTGACCCGCAAGAACAATGTGAGAATCAATTCCGAGGTCGGAGAAAAAGTTGGCTTCGTGCAACCTCTGGCTCTTTGCTTTTTCTTCCATGAGGTGGGGTAATCCCACTTGATCGTTCGGGTTATGTCGCACATCTATCTTACGCTCCCATCTCAGAACCCTATCTCCCGCTTCTGGACTCATATTATAGTGTGGCGGTGTGTCGATGGCCTCGCAAGTAGAGGGAGGAATAATGATGACAGAACCCCTCACTGATATCACGTCATCAATTGATGATCCGTATCTCACGGAGACATTACTCAGTAGCGACAATCCCAACGTGAGCGAAATGAGATGCACACTCGAAGGGGAATGCACAACATTTTGTCATCCATATCCCTCACCAGTTCCAAACCCAGTCGAGCAACAAGCAACAGATGACTTATTATCAGTTTGTCTACGTGATGTTTTGTCAGACCGCCTTACATCATGGAATACCAATGCGAAGCAACTTTTTTACTACCAAGACCATCAAGACAACCCCATTGCCGGCGCGAGATTTATCCGACGAACCCTGTTGTTCGCATTCACGAGACTTTATGACAAGAAGCAAGAGTTCCGGTCAAGAGATCTGGAGTCGCAAGCAAAGATATTCTTAGGTGATTGGTTTGATGGTGATGACATGTGGGGTAAACATCGAGTCTTCCCAAGGAGCATAGACAAAAGTGTATTCGTCGCGGTTGCGGTAGGAACTCGTATGAGGCTTTGGAAGTGCTCGAAAGTTGCAGATGCGGCAAATGGTGTGGATATAACGCCGCTATGGGGAGGTGTGAAGGAAGGCGATTGGGGAGAATATCTTGAAATAGGAGATTCAGTTGAAGGAGTCTGGTTAAGGAACGAAATAGTGAAAATGCTTCTCGGGGCGGGGGAGATGGTGAGGTGACATGCCGGTGAGATAGATTCATATGTGCAGTACAAGTAGCGTTGCACAGCACCGCACTCGCTCAACTCAACCATAGTGATTGGGAGAAACCATATCTAATCGCTTTCGCTTTCGCTTTCGCTTATGCTACTTGCTTATATTTGCTTTGTCTACGATGAAGCCGTACTAGGTGCACATCGTCTACGATATGATCTTGGAAATATTGGGTAAGAAACAAGTATCTTTCGTAAGCTAAAACCTGCTTGGCTTCTTCATGTACCTTTCATTGTCTGCAAATGAGGCTCTGACAAGGCAGCATTGAGGCCACTCTACGTCGAAAGCTTTTCTGCTTACCCCCGCTATACCCGCTTCTCCTTTTCAGATCAATGGCAGTATCTTAGGCAAAACATCCGTATAGCCTACACCACTCGGTGGTTCCATGGAATAGATGTAGTTTCCCCACCATGGTCCACCTCCCCACCACAGAGCACCAAGCCAAACATCAGTATTCTTGCCCATATAAGTCAACATGTCTGTCACAGCACTCTCGCACTGCGCATTTGCCCCACCAGCAAACTCTCCGATGATTCCCTTCTTGTTGTTTGTCTTGAGCCAATTCGTTGCAGCAGTGATTCTCTCAGATCCAATGGTTGCTGAAACGCAGTTTGCCGACGTGCCAGATCCATCTGAGTCGAGGTATTGGTGCATTTCGTAGACAATCATATTTTGGGGATCCGTGAGAGAGGCGAGGTTGGTGTTGCCTGATGTTGTCCTTGTAAATGATTAGCATCGCTCAGGAGATCGTTTTGCACGATGAAAGGAGAAACAAACCAGGTCCAAGCACCGCTATAGCTAGTTCCCTCAACGAAGATATATTGAGAAGTAGCACCTGCAGCTCTCACACCGTTGATACAAGCTTGCATGAGGTTCGGAACGCTCGCAGAACCCATGTCATGGGGCTCATTGTTACAATCAAAGATGACCTTGCTGTTGCTTGCAAAGAGGCCAGCTAGAGTCTTCCAGAATGCTTGGAAGCCGGTATAATCGGTAATCACTGCGCCGTTGTATCGTGCGAAGTTATGGGGGTCAACAATTGCGTAGGCTCCTTTAGAAGTGATATAGTTGACGTAGTTTGTGAGGCCTGCTTGGTAGGTTGCATTGGTAGTACCAGTCATGCTGGTAGGGATGATTCGTTCCATCATGATCGGAATACCTGTTTCTTATCAGACTTGACTTTCTCGACTAGGTTAACGGATCTGCTTGCGGAATATATTCATGCCCTTGCCGACCATAGTATCAATAGTCGAGCTGTTTGGGATATCAGACGCTGTCAATGGAATTCTCGAAAGAGCGATCTCACGTTGGTGGCCATGTATAATCTTTGTCTACCCGGCCTGGAATGGCAGTGTTTCCAAACTCAGCACCCGATTCATTGACACCGAAGAATTGAAAGATCTTGGCTCGTTTCTTCTTCTCAGCTGTGGGAGCAGCAACGGCAAGCACAACTGTGCTGGCAACGAGGAATAAATCACCGAAACGCATGATGAACGACTGAGAAAGAACCAGTCAAAAGGAACAGTTGAAAGTCTCTGGCGGAGTGCAGAACCGCACATGAAATGGAGATGCTGGTCATACTTATAGCCATCCGATGGCAATATTGTTAAAGCAAAATCAGAAATTTAATATCAACATCTGGAGATTTTCCATGCGGAACATCAATGCTTGTCAGGACACTCAATGTACTGGCTTGGCATGCTTGGATCATCTCGTCCCGCTGACCTCGACCAGGAACATCTAGCAATTGGAGTGGAAGACAGGGGAAACCAGATGCGGAGTAAACTTCTCGCTGGGTCAAGCCATCGCGGGATATTCCCCCACATTTGGACTAAACATGAAACAGCCAGATTGCCGAGTCAATTGAGTGTGGTCGAGGGCTTCCAAAGGTCCAAAATTGGAAGGACCTTGTTGATTCTATGTGTGAACCTTACTCATCAGTGAACACCAAAAGATCGATGACCGAGGCAAATCAACTCGCATACTTTGCGATGGCCATCAAATGGTCAATGGTTCTATGGCACAGGCGCAAAGAAATGGTACACAACGGAAAGTTTATCCATCTGATTAATATAAACTCATCAGCTTTCACTATCAATCTCACCCCGGCACTCGCTGGTCTCAATCGTCCGAAGTGGTATTCGGAGGTGGTGCCTCCGTTACTTGGCGCCCGCATCGTACCTGCCTCTCGGCAACAACTCCGGCAATGCGGGGTGACTTTGATGATAAAGAAAAAGTTGCATAAAAAACGGCACTGCGGGCCTTCCAGGCAAATAGTGTACTGGAACGCGTTGAAGGACTGGCCGAGATCGTACAGTATTGTATACCTAACGCTGCCGTGAAATGGTTATGCCCGATCAACGACCAAAGCCCCTTTCTTGATCACTTCTTCCATCCACTTTGGGTCTATCTTGTCTTCTGAAAGATATGGAGAACAGTCGACTTCTTCGATACCGAATTTCCGGTTTTCTATTGTGTATCCAAACCCAAGGAACGCCCATCTGAAAGATTAGCACGCGATATAGCAAAAAGCAAGCAGACTTACGGATTGAGTTTGTTTTGGTATGTGATATTATAGTCTTCGTATCTTGGCTCTTCGATGACCTGACAATAATGCAAAGAGCTGCCTGGATATACAGCATTGACGCGACCAGTCTCGTTGTCTGTCCAGGTCAGTGACTTCCAGAGGAGTCATGCGAGGCACTCACTTCTGTACCAAGCTCTGCAGTTGCTCGACCACACTGTATGCTTGATGAATTCCTGTGTATGGGCATTGAAAAGATCTGTAATATCTTGCTTCGGGACGATCGATTTGATAAATTCATTCTGCATCTTTTTGATGAATTTAATCGCATATTCTCCAACATAGCCCAATGGACCCATCACTGAACCATTCTCCACAGGCCATGTCGGTCCAATGAATGTGACGAAGTTGGGCATGTCAGGAATGGTGATCCCAAGGTAAGACTCAGGACAGAGCTTCCACTTCTCACCTAGCTCTACTCCATTCTGACCCACGATAGGGAAGCGAGGACGATAAGAGACATTGAAACCAGTTGCGCAGACAATCGTGTCCACTTTCTTTTCTAAGCCATCAGTGTCGATGACTGAATCTTCCGTGATTTTGTTGACAGCTGCAAAATGAACGTCGACATTAGGTTCTTCAATTGCTCGCATATACGGGTCACCTGTAATAGTTAGAACGAAACCTTGTGTTTGAAAGAGTGTGTACCAGGGGTGATTCTGCGACAGCCAATTGAGAACTCAGGAGTAAATCCTTTCAATAATCTCTCGTCTTTGATGAATTCGCGCATGCGCGCACCGAACATCTCGGCCGCTTGCTTCTGAGTGTCGCTATCCGTGAAGAACATCGACCAAAGACCATTAATCTGATCTTCGAGAAACTTTGCATGCTTCATCAGAGCTGCTGTATCTGCACGAAACTCATTGCGTTGCTCCTCGGTATAGATTTCTCCAGCACCGTTATTGCCAGCGATATTGATAAACCATACGGCTGTGCGCACGTATGTATCGATATGTTTGACATAGGGTTGCATATTCGGCAGCGTCTGGATTGAAGACGCCCCAGATCCAATGATTGCGACCGACTCGTTCTTCCATTGTTCTTTCTGGTAGTCCTTCGGCCATCTTGCGGTATGGACGACTTTGCCCTTAAACTTCTCCAAACCTTCAATGTCTGGCCACTTGAAATTGTTGAGGATCCCGGTAGCATGAAGCAGCAAGTCGCACTTCTCCTCGAACTCTCTTGGCTCCGAGCCGGGTTTTGTCTGTCGAAGCTTTACGGTCCACTGGCCTGCTTCCTCATTCCAGTAGCAACCAATGACCTCTGTGTTGAAAGTCATGTATTTTCGCAGATCGAATGTCTCGCAGACTTTGTCAAGGTACTTGAAGATTTCAGGCGAATGACTTGCATATCGTGGCCAGTCTGGACTGCAATGATTCTTAGTATGTAGAGCCACAAAATCAGGAAATTCATACTTCATTGCAAAGTTGAAAGTGTATGCATGAGACGGTACGTCACAAGCAGCTCCAGGGTATCTATTCTCAAGCCAAGTACCTCCTATATCTTCGTTCTTTTCATAGATGACATGCTCAACACTGCTAGACGTCAGAAAAAGAGCTCAAGATGACTCTAGGCGGTCCCTTACTTCTGACACTGTTTCTGAATAAGGTAGGCCATCATAATTCCCGACACACCAGCACCGATTGTCAACACTTTGAGCCTGCGGTTACCTGGGTCTCGAAAAGTGATGTCTGGAATCTGATATGCCTCTGCCGAATCATTGTTGCCATTATGGGTCTCAGAGCCGTTGGCCGTCATACCAGAGATATCTGGTGCCATCTTGCCGTGCTGTGAAGATCTCAAAACCCTCGAGAAGAGATGAGTACAAGATGGAGAAACGGAAGTCAAAAGTCAAATGAGAAGAAAAGGAGAAATCTTAAAGAGAGTACAGTGGTTTGTAGAGAGAATGGAATCATGTCAGATTTGCCGAACACACCAATCACAAAAGCTATGCTCTTTCGCTCTGGTCCTCTCGCTGGCCTCGATGATGCCATCAAAGCCGAGGGCCTCTTGAACCCCGCATTGAGTTTCGAAGTTGCACTAAGCACTGTCGAGGCAATTTTGCGGCGGGTGAGGCACAAGTCTGACTCTCCTCTTCATGATCAATCAACTTCGCATTTCACTGGCTGCCGTACGCTTGAAGACGATCACCCCGCCACTAGGCGTTGGCAAACACGGCAGCTCGGCTGTTGCACACGACGGGAACAGACACTTGTGGTGTTCGGCGTACAAAGAAAACTTTGGGTCACTTGGTTGACCTTGGGTGACACTGCGCGCTTTGAATGCTCATAGACATGAAGGAAGGGGATATCGTGAATGCTCAGGATGACTTGTCAGCAATCCAACCGAGAGCAGGGTACGACGCTAAATTTGGACCCATAGCCGAAATCTGGGGTAAGGTTAGTTAGCGTAATCTTTGTACAACGACAATCATCTTTGTGATCTTGCTTCAGCCTCATCAACCTCTGCTCGTTTCAATCTTCAACAGCCTGCAAACAAACCGACATCATGGCAGCAGGTACGATCGATATCGACAAGCCGGGGAAGTATCCTATCGTACTCAGCGACGCATTACTGGGCAAAACATCAAAGAATGTCTACACGGGAATTCGATGTACGAGCCTTGCTGCTTTCTCTCGCGGGTATAAGCTGACAATTTTGCAGACAATCACAAACCAGATACCTCATCCGACTCATCCAGCGCCCTCCTACAACCCTCGTCTGATTCTGATTCACGATACGACCTCACTTTGACAGATGCTTCAAAAATGTATTCCTACGAAGGATCCCGAACCTCTGCAGACGGCCAATATGTCCTGATATTCGACCCTATGAAGAAGCACTTTGTTCTCCACCGAGTAGACTCTACTTTCGACATGAACCTCGTCTCCGCCCCTTGGTCCTCAGATGTTCGAGATCAATACCCTCAAATTGAACCCTCCGAGCCCAAGCCCGCTGCCACGACCGCACCACAAAGAAAAGCCTCAAAGGGCGGAAAGAAGGCTGCTGCTACAAAATCTACGACAGCCAAAGCTAGCATACCGAGGCAAAAAGTTGAGAAGCCGAAGAAGGCAGCGAAACCAGCACCCCCTCCACGAGAACCTACGCCTGAACCAGAAAAGGATAGTGATGATGGGCTTACGATTGAATACCCCGATGCACCTGCTTCAAGACCGAGTGCGAATAACAGCCAAGCATATAATTCAACGCCGGTATTTCATAGGAATGTCAGTGAGGATGTCAGCGACGAAGACGAGGATGCAGAAGGAGAAGAATACGAGGATGAAAGAGAGAGGAATCAAGATGTGGATCATTTGAAATTACCTAGTCCAGCAGGCAATGTTGGGGGTATGAGTGATGAGGATATTGAGGATGAATTAGAAGCAGAATTGGAAAAGGCGCTGGATGCGAATGAGAGTGATGAGAGTGAGGAGGAATAAAATGTGTTTATGTATTTGGTGTCGGATTTGTGCTGAGATGCACGACGTTCACAGGCTGGGGATTCACTTGATGCACATAGATCGGCGTGCCATTCATGAGCCATATGAGAGAGAAAACTACAGAAAGTCCTAGATCGTGGCATTCTTTTTTTCATGCTGTTGTCTCAAGCAATACTTTTCATGTTCTTCTGTCCTTCATTTCCCTTCCTATGCAGGTGCATGTTCCACATACTCTATAGAGGGAACTTTCCAATTGGCGAAATCGTCGAAGCTATATACCCGCTCACCGGCGTCTAGCTTGGCCTGTCTTTCGAGTATTTTGCGTGCTTTATAGGCCTCTAAGAGCGCCATTTTCTCTTCGGCCATTGCATGCCAAGTCGTGGTTGAGACATCCTCACCGAGTGTAGGACCTTGCTTCGTGGGTTCCACAAACGCGATGTTTCTGCAAGTGAGAGGCTCAGTATAGTTTATTACAATGTATAGCTTCTGGATACTGTAATAGTTTGCGAGGTCTGCCACTGGCGTATGTATAGCTCTTCCTGTGAAGAAATCTGTTTGTCCAGGTTCGCCCCATCTGGAGGCGTTCATCGCGAGTGCGTAAAGCCCGTGTTTTGGTCGGCATAAACAGTGATGGATGAGCCTTGGTTGCGCACATGGGCTCAAAGGCGACTCGTTCCACACCGGCTCACAGCGGGAACAGACTATCTCCACTGGCAACTGGATATCGGGAACCCAAAACGTATCTACGTCCCAGTTCACATAATACTCGAGAGATGTGAGGACACCACGAGGGGCGCCACAAGTGTATCGATAATAAGGGAGCTTCAACCGCAAGCCCTCCTCCCGTGCTTCTTTGCAAGCTTGCATGACGATATTGACTCGGCTCTGTTTGTGGCTTGGTGATCCTATGATATGCACTTGGGGAGCCATCATCGCAAATTTCCACTACAGAAAGTTAGCATCCGGCCAACTCTGTAAATGTCCCAAAGAAAACAAAAGATTCAAAAAAGGAAAAAGAAAAGATACAAGGTTCCTCGAGAGCTAAATAGAATAAATTCGATAGCTATTCAGGATCATGAACAAAAGAGCTTGTGCTTACTATCAATCTGCGGATCTCGCGAGGAAGCTTAGAAAACGGAGAGTGGGTGACACCTCGTAATTCATCTCTAAGATCTTGCACTTGATTGACAAGAGAGCTGTTCTCATGTCGCAGAGTTGATACATCTGCCTTGAGCTTGTTCACGGAGGTGACGAGCTGAGTGAGGATGTTCGACGGTATCTGGACTATAGCCTGGTCTGCAAATTCCTCGAAGAGGTGTTGGGATTTGTCTTCGTTTGATGCCATGTTGAGCTGGAGAGTCGATTAGCTGGAAGCTAGAATCCTTGGGGAAATCGTTTGAAGAGAAGCTTGGCTAGAAAACGCGAGGTCCTCTCTTGTGCGACGCCTCTTCACGTGATGCTTGTGGATCTTCCGTTTGATTTGACGATTTGATAGCCTCCTTAGGCTCTAGCTTTTGATAAAAGCAATAAGGAATCTTCTTGGTACTTCTGTGAGATTGCAAGCAAGTGTGAACTGCTGGGATGAGTCGTGTGAGAGAGACGATATATTCTTTTCACAAGGTAAGAGCCTCACAACCGGTGACCTTTCTATTCTTCTCCCGTTCTCAGCTGTACTTAGCAAGTAACAAGGAATGCCACTTTGGATGGTGCAGTGTCAGTATGGCACAAAATGCAGAAAATCTCGGGAATTATTGAATTTGTGATAAGATCTGCACTACCTGGGGAAATAATACGTGCAGTATACCTAGTCTATGCTGCTAGAGATCGGGTGGTTCTTATCTATCCATCCTGACCGACGTATTACTTTGTTTTGTATAAGCTGAGAAATCGATTCCTGGTGCCATACCTAAACTGAAAAGCACGTACTTGAATCGCTCTGAGTGTGGCCCAAAGCTGTCTTGGAAACGCGTTGTCGGTGGTGTGAGGTGTTATGAAAAGAAAGGGGATAATGCAAAAGAAAAAATCATTGTTCCAGAGATTCCGGGACAATGAAAGCGGACTAAGTCGCAAGTGTCGATGTAGCGGCTGCTCTACTTCGTGTTCTTTGAGGTTCAGTCTCACGCATAACCGCAATTGATGGCCACCAAGGAGAGTCCGTTGGTTTTCCATCTCTGATCATGACCCAGCTAACCACCGCTTCGAGGAGTCCATAATTTGAGAGCTCGTACTGAGGATGGACTTCTGCATATGCCTGTAGTAGTTCGTTCGCCGAGTTACTGTTGGAGGGACTGAACCAGAATATTCCGAGTCGAAGGCTCCAATTTCAAAGTGGTAGACACGATCCGCTGCCGACCAGCTACTCCACAGTGCTATCGTTGCGTTCCACTACTGCTGTTAGAACACTAAGAATATTTTAGCATAGACTATCACATACCCGAGCATCTCCCTCACGTCTGATTTGTTCAGCCGCGCTGTAAAGCTCAACAACGTGGGCAGCAACCGCTTGGTCACTTATCAGCCGAACAATGTAGGTGTTGGAAAGTTCCAACTCGTTTTGCATCCGTGCTACTTCCGATCTTGCTTCTTCGAGATTGTTCTGGACCTGGATGAAGTTTGCGATGGTACTTGCTAAATGTTGCATGCTTCCAATATCTTCTGGTAACCCCGATGCTTCTGCTAAAGCTGCATTGTAGCTCAGCCTTGCTCTTACAAGCTCTCCGTCTAGGCGTGTAACTTCGTTCTGCTGTGCTATCCATTCTTGATGCAAGGAGGCATGGCGTGGCATAAGTGTTGTGAAAATTGTGTTCCTCTGTCCAGCACGATCTGCTTGACGTGCAAGCACATACCCATTCCAAGCACGGTTCTCAGCGCCTTCTAATCGTGTAATGGAGTGGATAGAAGCATCGGCTCTGTACGATGAAGCTGGATGCAGATTAGTCAGGCGTTTCAGGGGCTCTGCTAAGTGACTTGCCCATTGTACTGCACTTCCCGATTACAGAAGCAAGTGAATAATTCCGAACACGGCGAAGTGGAAGGTGAGGCATTCACTTGCAATATCCTTGTTGCTTTGACAAAATGATGATTCCTGTAAGAGAACTAGGTGGGGATAGATAAAGACGGCAGATCTTGTAGCTTATTCTTTCAGCTTGGTAAGTGTGAATTCTTGAGATATATGGTAGATGAGTTCGAATATGTCAAGCACTGAAAGTTTGTTAGGAAGAAGGTAGCTTGCAATGCTGGAAATGTCTGATCTTGGAAGAGAGCTTATAGATACCAGAGTATTCGTCTGAAGAACAGTTCACTTGAAGTTGTTCTTCTTGTAGCTCCTTGGTTCAGGATCCGAGACGGTTCCTTAAGATGAGAGCGTACATTAGTCTATTCTGCAGGTATTCGAGACATGATCCTGTCCTCTATCTTCTCATGCTGTCCGACTTTGCGTTCTATTCTGGATCCACCTCTCGCAATTTGGAGATTTGTGGATGGGCTCCCACAGTTAAGGGAATATAATCCACAAGATGTACATTAATCACAGAACCATCTGTCGAATATGTTGAGATAGAGTGATATACTTCATTCCTTCTGGTTTTTTCTGCATGTTGCGTCTCTGATTCGACCTTAATCTTGAGTCTACGACTATCAGGATATACTTGCAAAATCGAAAGACTTATCATACTGATGATAGGTACTTTGTGAGGGTAAGGACGAAAGGTTTGGTTTCATCGGAAGTGAGGTTCGCGTCAACCCCCTACCGTTAGCCGAGAGACCCCTGTTTTCCGACGTCACTGCAAGTCCCTACACTTCAGTTTGCTACGTGCAACTTCATCGTGCCAACGCACCTCACCGTACCTCTTCTTCGAGTTGAGTTGACGGCTGTCTTTCCTCTACAACTACCTCGAGGAAATCTTGCGACCCTACCAAATGTCTTCTCCGATCGTGAAGACTACGATACAGAGCTGCGTGCTCAATGCGACAAGCAATTTGATCGCGCAATTCATCACAGCATACAAAGCAAATGTGCGTCTCTGCTACTACCGCCCAATAGCAAAACGTGCTAACAGAAGAAGGCACCGTATACGATAAACTGGGTCCCTGTTTTTCAATTCGTACTCTTCAACGCGATCTCAAATCCCCCTAACTTCCTCTGGTACAATCGCTCGCCTTTTCAACCCTCCCCACTTGTTCTAACAGCTTCATACAGGCAATCATTCCTCGAAAGCACATTTCCTTCGAACTACCTCGTCCCATCTGCATCTGCCATTCATGCTGCATCCGAAAACGACGAAAAAGAGCTCGACCGCGAAGAGAAGACTCACTCCATCCTCGAATCCAAACTCCACATCCAGAACACACTCATAAAATTCCTCCTCGACCAAACAATAGGCGCAACCCTCAACACGCTCCTATTTTCGCTTGCTTTCGCAGGCTTCAGAGGAGAAGGATACGCAGATGCGATAGCTACTGCGCAAGAGGAGTTCTGGCCTATGGTGAGGGCGGGGTGGACGCTCTGGCCGTTTGTCAGTCTGCTGAATTTCGCTGTGGTCAAGAGTGTAGAGGGCAGAGCGCTTGTAGGCAGCTTGTCGGGACTGCTGTGGGGGATTTATTTGAGTCTTTTAAAGGGATAGAAGGTGGACTACGGAAGGACATATGATTCACGATGAACTATGGGCGTGCATGGTCTAGATGTTGGTTGGGTTTAGAATAGATGGCAGTGCCTGGATGGGTACCACGAGCGTGGAGTCTACGGAGTTCTGCTTCTGTTCACTGGGCGTTCATCGCATCTGTTTTCATACATAGATCTATACTCGATGTATTTTTCCTTTGCGATATTCTGTTCGTCGTTTCATGTTTTGAACGCTTTGAGCATTTTGGTGTCGCTACTCCCACATTCCGCAAACGGCCAACACACTGCAAGCGCACTGCCACCCGCACCCGACAGAGCAGACAATTTTTACAAAGACCAATGCTACGAATTCAACAATCGCATTATGCACTACGAGCACAAAGAAACATTTTTGATCAGCAAGTCATTGATATTGGTCCAGCCCACGAGATGCAGAAAATAATATCTTCCCAGATACCTGGAACGAAATCTTATCAAGAATCATATCCTATCTCTATTACATAATTTCAAATGGAGTCAGAACTAGTGTATCCCGACTGCTACGACGCCGAATCGCAAACGCCTCTGACACCATTAGAGAGTATTCGCTGCGACGTAGAATACGTCAAACATCTCATATCAAATATCCAAGACAACATGTTCAACATCACCCAAGCGCTAGACAAGCTACAATCAATTCCCGAATCAGCGGAAACAGACATCATGTCAAGTACTCCATGGTCGACTCTTACGACCCCAAATGCTACATGGGGCGAAACACAACCAAAGCCCGATCCTCCTCTATTTTCCGAATGGAAGAAGAGGAAAATAGGAGAGGAAATGGAAGGAGAAGATCAATCAGAGAAATTCTGGCCGAGACCTTGGACTTCGTATACCGGGTATATGGCCGAGGGAGAAGAGGATTCGGAGTTACCTGGTAACTCGCCATCTACGGCTGCAGGATTGGAAATCGATGATGATAATTTGGAACATGGTGGAGAGCAGGATTTGGAAGGTCTGATTGGCGGGAGTGACTCCAACGAGGAGCTGGAAAGGGATATTGAGATTGAGTTGAATAGGGCGCTTTTTGGTGACAAGGGAGATGGTGACCGGAAGGTGTGTCCAGATGGATCGTTGAGAGGGCAGTATGAGTCCTGTCCTTAAGCAGGATAAGCAGGGAGAGGTAGACTTAGTGTGCAAAACTCTAAATTCGAGATCCTTTATCCAACCATGAGGGTTTCATTTGTTGAGAGTCAACATGGATTCTAGGCTTGCCTTCCTTTCTTAGAGAGATCCATTACATCGCCCATGTGCCTTTCACCTTTCACCACTACAACGAAGCTGTGAAGTGCCTATATGGCTTCAACACTCATTCGCTCCAAGAGGCGTCGTTTCACTTATGACGCTTGCAGAATGGGATTGCCTTAATACTTGTCTACATATTGTGACATGCAACGACAACGGTTCTGAAACTCTGAGTGGCTCAAAACCCGTTTGCTAGATTAACAAATGACTCGCAATTCTGTCATGATGAGGTAGACTTACCATTAACGGTGATTCTAACAAAGGAATTCATCCCCAAAGAGAAATTCCATGACTCAAAGAACTCCCAAAAGCACCGATCTCTTATTCTAATTTAAGAAACCCCCAAGCATGGCTCTCCACCGACCCTCATCCAAGCGATAACGAAGATGTGCATACTCACCAACACAGTCTATACCGACTGCGAGTGTGTCATTCCCGAGGTCGAAAAATGCCCTCGATATGAGGAGAAAGATGGATATCAGAAATGCAAGGATTTCAAGAAAGAAAAGGTTATGCAGAAGGGAATTTGTACGGGGTTCGAAGGCGCATGTGCGCATGTGCGCAGGGTTTGTTGAGGAAGAGGTTGTGCGCTGTTGCGAAAAAGGGGTTTTGGGGGTTGGGAATGTGAAGGAGGTGGAAGGGGATAATTTGGATGTAGAAGTGTAGTTCCGCTCTCGAGCGTTCGTAGATTCTGGAGGGTTGAGGAGGAAATGGCTTGAATAAAGACTTTTTAAGAACAATCGGTATGGAACTATGGAACAATCCTCTGTGCCGTCGGAATTCAGGAAAACAGCAGCGAAACAGAGTACATAAACAGCGTCTACTCGAAAATCGAGGCAAGAATTGTAGAAACAATGCGAACTGGAAATCTATAAGGCGATGGAGAAATTCATACTCATATCAGCATCAGCATCAACATCAACGCATTCTGAAACCAACTCAACTCAAAGCAACCTCCTCAAAGCAAATCTTTCCACAACTCTTCAACATGTCTACACATACAAGAAACAGTGGTGCCTCCACCATGGCAACCAAAGAAACCTCCACTCCACGGAGAGAGCACAAGCCAAAGTTGACAATGGCTCGGGGTGGAATCCTTCGCAGCACTCGTGCTGGCGAAGCATCCCGCAAGTCCCGTCTTACCAGCTTCCAGCTCGACCATCTACGTCGACACCGGGGTCCATACAGGGCCTTCCCGAAGACATTCCTCGTAGAATCTCTTCTCGGCGAGACCAGATTCGATCTGGTAGGAATGACCAAGAATCAATTCCAGCATTGGACTCAAGTCCTCGAGGATGCGCTGAATGGAGCAACGTCCTACACGGAATTTGATCTTTCAGAACTCGAAAATGAGAAGGGTAACATGCCGGGAATATACTGGCGTGAGCCAGGTCTCAGTATGCGCAAGGACGCTGTCATAGTCGCCATGACGGAAGAGCAATTCCAACATTGGAAGTCCCTACGTGCTTTACAGCACGCGACAGACTCGACTCTTGCTCATCGAGAGGCTGAGGAGCAGCGTGCTCTCTTCGTATGAAAGAGGAGATCCACACATGTACCGTCTGTGAAACTCCATCTCGAGAGAGAAAGGTACAATCCTTTCCACTAAATAAATGTCTAGCGTGAGTAGGCGGCGAAGTCCTGTCGTCTGATAAATAGGCCAAAATGAAAACAAAGAATGAAAATGTTCTTTATCAAAAACAATAATGATTCCAATGAAATGTGATGTACCAGTGAAAATTTCCTCCAAATTTGTGTGAGTGCAAGTCGGCTGGAGCTCGACTTCCCTACGTCCCCTATGCAGCGACTTTAGTTGCAAGATGAGAGAGTTGTATTTAGCCTCGGTCATTTTTCTCCATCTAGCAACCTAGTAGTGAAGTGGTTTCCTTTAGGTTCTGAATCAACCTGACTACTGGTTGTCCAGAACTTTTGATGGCAATTGCCACTTCGCCTCCGACTGAAATGCATAATCTGAATCGGTACTTCGTCTACGGGATATTCCTGGATTAGGGGGGCAGATCTAGTTGCATGTTCTTCTTCGATTCTGTGCAACCGATTCCGTGAACGGGGAGAATACAATCGAAGCCGCTGAAATAAACACTTGTCCGGTGAAGAGACCATGCTTTCTTGTGTGGCAAGAGCTGCTCTTTCGAATCTGCTGGGAGCAACCTCGAGAGACCAAGAATTGAACTAGCTTGGTCCTGCTTAGATTCTACCCAAATTACAAAAGGTAAGTCGGGGAAAAGGCCCGCTTCCATCGGCAGGCTAAAAGAAGACATTGCGAAATGGATTAGGAAGTTGCATCTAACACCTCCGCACAAGTTCGGGACGCGCGGTAGGTATAGTCACGAATAGCAAGAACCTTTTCATTCCCCGTTGCGCTATCTGCCAACTTTGTAAAAAGACAGCGCTCACTGCTTTGTGCCTCGGCGAGAAAGAAACGTCACGTAACATTCCCCCTCACTGTGCCCGTCTCGCATTCTTGACTTTGACAATAATCATACTTTGATTTGTCGAGAGAATTTGCTTTTCTTAGGGAAATTTCTAGACGATGACTTAGTTGTCCCACTCATGCACGATCCGCTTGGAGATGCAATGCAGCAGATCTAAGATCTTTGATAATTTTTTAACATCTTCGCGGAGGCAAACTCCGATCATCTGGTGTATCCAAGGGAGTCCCTTGCGTCGATCTGCCGTTCTTGGAATTGGAGATCTTCACATGGTGGAAAAGTCGAGATCTTGAGAAAGAAACGGCTTCGAGTCCGTCATGACCCTGATGGTCCGAATAGCTGAAGTACCGGCAGTGCTCTTTGTTGTCGTTCATAGATAAATTCTCAAAGATCTTAGATGTTAAGATGGCCAACTTGCAGGGGAAAGGATGGTCAGCACCATCCAAGAAATCCTTTGCATCACTCGATACATCGTCAGTGGCAACAGAGAATAGGGGGAGACAAAAGTGGATACCGCTAGTGACTGCATCCTCGGTACCTTGCTCACCCCCTCCCCCGCTGTCGATCACTGCCGAAAGCCTATTGCGCCATCTCCACAAACAGAATAACCTTACGGGTAAGCTTGCTTCCGCTAAATAAGCTTCAGCGGAGCGGTATCCAGTCCCTGGAAACTGCATTGCAGCTTCGCCTCAATTCAGACATGCCAAGTTATACTCAGACGTCGGAGACGCCTCATACGGATCTGTGCTGCCGAATGTGGTAGAATAGTGAGTGCCACAAACGCCAATGGTGACTTGTGATAGCTCATGGAGGATTTCAATGCGGAGAAGGGCCATAGAAGTGCGAAGGGCACGTCGTCAAATCGTCTGGAGCTTAGTGGAACCTGCTAAGACTAATGGCGAGATGTCGAGCTGAAGCCGTGCAAGATGCAAGACATCATCCTTCCAAATCCCCGAGTCTCTTCAATTGTCTGAAGTATTTTCAAGATAGATAATTCGAGGTAAGTGCATGTATCAAACACTCTGCGTACTGGCTCTAGTTTGTGCTGAGAAACGAGAAGGTGGTCAAGTCTGAGGAATACACAATCGTTAGGGATGCGCGCAACTACAGACGAACGCTCTCCCAAGCCTCGGTATTTATTTCAGGCCTTGACAGACGATTGGACATATCTGAAGTTGGGGAGGCCGTTCGTTAAAGTTTGTGCGCTTGCTGTCGATCATCAAGCCGCAACCCCTTGGCCCCTTAGCGGCTGGAAATGAACTGAACTTCTGACCAATGTGGCTTTTCTAATTCGCAAATGACCTGAGTTGTCATCGACTTCGTATCCACTTCAGTCATCGTTGCTTTTCGAAGGTGTGTGGCTTTCAGCCATGATCCCACCCCCTTTTAAGCCCCTCGGCAGGCTTCAGCCAATCCCGCAAATGGGATCCTCATCCCGCCTCATATGTCTGGTCCGGAGTTTCTCGCGAAATTGTAAAAAGCTCCTCAAATTTGGTCAGCGACACAGAGTGGGCCAGCCGAGGAAGCATCCACAGTCCGTAGGTGGCAGTTGCCCTTAGTCGATTGTGGGGTAGGAGGCTTTTCGGTACTTCCTCTTCAATCCTGGCGCCTTGAGATCTTCAGAATATATAGAGCCTTTGGATCCTCCGGAATATTGTCCACCAAATCACCAACAAACTTACCCCTATTTCGAGCAACACAAATCAGCTCATTCTATACTCTGAATCATGAAGTACTCTCTAATGACTGTAGCCCTTGCGGCTGAAGCAGTAACTGCCTTCCCTTTCGTGGCAAACATGCCAGGCGTCGACTCCAGCATGCTTCAAGGAGCAAGATATGCAAAGCGCCAACAGTCGGGAGGTTCAAACCCAGGCGGACCAGCAACTTGCCCAAACAATCCAGATCACGTCCCAGCACCTGGCATCACCGCAGAGTACCCATACAACGGCGCGAAGAATGGCTCGCAAGGTAATGGCAAGGGTGGATATCAAGTTCCAGCTCCTGGCGACACTGCCCATGCGTTTGTGGCACCTGGACCAAACGATATCCGTGGCCCCTGCCCTGGACTGAACACCGCTGCCAACCACAACTTCCTCGCCCACGACGGTATTACAACATTCAGCGAGCTCGTCGATGCTCAGCAGAACCTGTACAATGTCGGCTACGACTTGGCCACTCTCCTCGCTGCTCTTGGTCTCACTCTCACCGACGGAGATCTTGTCACCGAGAAGCTTTCAATCGGTTGTGATGCTACCACCAGAACCTCTTGGAGCCCACTCTTAACCGGTTCAGAACCAGGTCTTGATGGACACAACAAGTTCGAGGCTGATACATCGTTGACTCGAGACGATTATTTCCTCGGCGATGGCGATAACTTCTCTTTCAACGGAACTCTTTTCGGCATGATGACCGAAACTACCGGCGGTCTTTACAACAGAGATGGCCTTGCCAAGTACCGATACCAGCGATATCAACAATCTCTTGCTGAGAACCCCAACTTCTACTTCGGCCCTCTCTCTCTTTTGCTCTTCGGTGCATCTTCCTTTTTGTACGAGTTGATGCCGTCCGGACCAGACTATACTCCAGACGAGGCTACCATCTCCTCCTTCTTCGGCGCCGAGAAGCAATCAGACGGAACCTACACCTTCAACCACGCTGAGCAAATTCCAGCGAACTGGTACAACCGAGTCAGTCCCTACACCAACAACGATGTCGTTGCTGAGATTCTTGCTCAATACCTCGAGTACCCAGTTCTCTTCGGTGGTGCCACTGGCAACGGTGGCTTCGACCTCTTGAACTTTGGTAGCATCACAAACGGTACTCTCGTTGCGGCTCCTGGCACAGCGACATCTTGCCTCCTCTACCAACTCGCTACCCAGAGCATACCATCATACCTCAACAGCATTATTACTCCCACGGTCGATGCTCTCAATTTTGTGGCTAGCAAGGTCGCTCCTCAGTTTGAGAACCTTGGCTGCCCTTCTCCACTCACCAAGTAATAGTCTTGGTGGTTGATATGATGGCCATTGGAGAGAGAAAATGATTAGCGGTGCTGCGAGACACGCGCTGAGTCTGTTGATGAATGTTTGGATGTTTTGACATAGCGGGGCGGAAACAACTTTCTTGATGGATTCCAATTGTATATAGTTCGATTCTCAATAATGAATGAAAAGTCTGCAGCACTTTCAAGCAACGTTCAACATACCATCATCTATATTTTTCTCGTGTTTCAAATCGCTGTTCGCCGTCTAGCTCAAATAGGCATAGTGGCTTTGAGTACCCCGCTTTAGAGGGGTCGAGTCGAGGAAGATATCACACTTTACGTTTAAAACTTCTTGTGTAAACATATCTTTTTTTTTTCAATTTAATATGTTCACATAATACGGAGAAAATTGAAACCGAGTCTATCACTTGTGTCGTGACATGCCATGACTTTGGATTCATGGAGAGGTGTGAAAATGCGCAAGTGCTGTCACAGAGGCCAGAATGAATCATTTTAAGAGCAAGAGAGAAGAGCTCGACTACCTTTGCATTCTAATCATCGAATTACTGTCTATACCTTCTTCGCACATGTGTTTTGTTGAGCCACGAACGTTCACAACCACTGTTTGTTCCCAAACTGAGACAACGACTTTCCACCATCGCCAGCTTCAACACTCGACTTGTCCATGACAGACAAGATGCGTTGAATAGCGACGTCGATAGGAGTCGGGCCGTTGAAATCAGGAGCATATTTCATGAATTTTCCGATCATATCATTAAGTAATGCTTTCCTCTCATCGGTCTCTGCATCACCGTTAGTTCCGTACAGTACATTGCGCATGACGTTGACGAAAGAATAACCTACCCGTTTCCGGATCAATGTAGCCAGTATCAACCATTCCTGGGGAAATACACATGAAAAGAACGTCATCTTTACGATACTCGGCGTGAAATTTGGCAACTGCCATGTCCAAAGCAGTCTTACTGATGGAGTATGGAGCATTTTGGAAAAGCTCATAGTTTATAGCCATTTCTTGATCTCCCAACCCCGAAGAAATCGCTATGATTTTCTTTCCATTCCCCTTGAGAACGAGTGGTGTGATCAAGTTGAACAAATGAATGTTTCCGACGACATTGACGGTGAACATATCTACCAACTCCTTCTCAAGTTTTTCGGGTTCCTTTGCCCTGTTGGTTAAGTGTTAGTCTCATCATTCTGGACACATATAAGGACAATCAACTTACAACAAACTAAAAGGTTCGAAAGCAGCCCAGACGGACAAGAACGCGGCGTTAGCGATAACGTAGTCGAGTTTCCCTCCAGTGATGGTTGCTATCTCGTCGACAGCTTTCTTCAGTGACGCGTAATCCACCATATCTCCTTGAATGAGATGAACATTCTTGCGACCCGAGAGTTCCTCTGAAACCTTCTTTTCCGTTGCGGTTTTGTCACGAACAAGTCCAATGATGGTGTTTGCTGGGTTAGTCGACAGTTGACGAACAAACTCGAACTATTTGCAGGAATTAGACATTTTGCTCGTGAGGCTTCTTAGGATGCTTACTCCAAGCCCACGTGCGACACCTGTAATGAAATACGAGGACATATTGATGTTGGGATTAAGATTTGTTGGTGATGTTGGTTGCTCCTCTGCTGGAATCTATTTGATGATTTAATCAAGATGTCCATCGACTTTATATCAATAACTCGGAGGCCACAAGGACCTCTGAGTCCGACACTTCTGACAAACTTTCCTCGGACTTTGGCAGACCTCATCGTGTTCGATGATAGTTGCCAATCTTCTTGTCTCAAGTCAAAGGTGCAGATGCCATACAACTTACGTTCCAGGCGAACACTCGCTAATGACTCAGGGCCTGGATCGCTAAGTTTAGCGAACACCGACCATCTTGATCACCCTTCACTATTGGTGCGATCAAAATGTGGGCTTCGTGGATAGTTGCCATTTTTCTTCCGCCAGGTCCAACCTGCATGAGGCGCAGCCAACTTCGGCATTCGAATCATCCCAACTTGTAAAACATTTCTGCTGACATATCAACACACATTTGTCAGGGCATATGTACATGTACCCCAGACATACACTTTTACTCTGCGATATGAATCGAGGCAACTTTCTGCGAATACGACGGAGTCTTTGAAAACATAGAATCTGATATTGCAAATGAAATCCTCAGGTAGAGCCTGTGGGACATGCAAAGGTTTGATCCCAGACTCCCTCCCCAGTGCCCCACATCTGCTGATAAATCGTCTAGATCGCCGCATCTCATGTGATCGGGGTTTCCCAATCTGCTTGCAATGCATACGTTCAAACCGCAAATGTCAAGGATACGAAATCCGCCTATCCTGGCCAAGAAGGAATGACCGTAAACGATCTATACTCGGCAAAACATTAACCGGGACCGGAAAGATCAATAGTGGCTTGTACTCCCCAGTTCGAATTGTGAATACGTCGACTTCGGATATCGAATTATACCATTACTTAGCCAGCACAGGCTTCGGTCACTTGCCTTGCTTGCCTATTGTCCCCAGAAGTATATCATGGACCTCGATAACGACAGATACCGACTACAATCTGCTTCAGTATTGTGAGTGCGCTATGCAGTTTGCGCAGATATATCACGTTGACGAAATTAGTTACGTGTGTTGCTTCTTCATCCCTAACAGCGATGGGGCCATGCGAGGGTTCTCCTGAACTTCGAGATGTTCTCATACGTGTAGCTTTATCCCCAAGTACATCATCATCCTCAGCAGTGTTACATTCTCTCCTCGCGCTTTCTTCCCTCCACCGCCACGGCTTCCAGTCTCATGCAGCTCGGATGAAGTTATCTGCATTGTCTGATCTCGCGACTTCGGCAAAGACTGGTGTCGATAGTGATACGGCGGTATCCCATATAGCCGCTCTGATGCTGTTGTGTTGTTTCGAGGTTAGTTAGTAGAATACTACCCAAAGTTGCAAAACTAATTTCAGTCTACAGATACAACACTCTTCGGAGACTTCGAACCTATGGATAGGTTATATTTCCAGTGTCAAGACCGTTTTAAAAGCGGCCAACATCGACAAACTTCATAAGACCGGCGACTTGGCTGCTCTGTTGTATTGGGCGTCCTATCATGATGTCTTAGCCCCATTTAGCCTCCACTACTGGGGTCTCAGTTCCCGAGAGAAAAGACTCATTTCTGGAGACCACGATATTCTGGTTCAAAATAACAATCTCTACTCTTTATTTGAGGTTTGTTCATCCCCAACAGATCAAGTTGAAGAGTTGCTTATATTGTCGGAAATAGGCTTTCAATGAAACATCATACCAGTGCCACTCAAATCTCAGGAAGTTATCAGACGTGCTCACCATGATTCTGCAAGCGAAAAGTCGCCGAGCAGCTGGACTTAACCACAAAGACCTACTGGCTGTCCTGGAATGGAAAATCAGAAGTATTAATGTGCCAATCGCAAACCCAATGGAAGGTTTAGACCCCAGCGAAATGGTCTCAGAAAAATTGATGACAGAGGAGCTATTCAAACTTGCGCTGTTTATCTTCGTTGAGCGTTCGCTAGGTGACTCTTCGACCAAATCTGAAAAGTTGCGCTCGAGGACTCGAAGCGCCTTCCATATCTTCTCTAGGCTCGAGTCGTTGCACAGGCAGTTCCCCTTGCTAATCATCGCGAACGAAGCACGGACCGATGAAGATAGACTGATAGTACTCGATCTCATTTCTAGGACAGAAGAGAATCGAAGCTTGAGATGTCTTCGAGGTATGAAGGAAACAATACAGTCTCTTTGGGCTCAGGACGATCTTGCAGAGAAGGAACCTGGCTACACCGAGAAGATCAGAGCTGTTCTTAGTTCTGGTGGGATCATGCCGTCCTTCATCTAGGGAAAGTACATTGTTCGATGGTATCAATACTCCGCGGGCAGTGGCCCCTTTGAAGCGCCCCTCGCTTAATGGGCGCATGAAATTGAATCCGCATTCATAAGTCCAATCTATGACCAGACTTGGAGTGTGATATGTTCATAATTCAATACAATTTAACAATTGATACTTTGGAAAGCGATTGAACCTAGAAGTGAGAGGTTGCGCGGCACGTGAAATGTCTATTTTAAACATCCCTGCTCATCTAGAACGCCTCTAACCTAAAGATCTCACCGATTTCGACGACCTGTGACCTCCCAATCCACGTCAAAGCCTGCATTAGGATAATCGAGGCTCTTCGTCGCGTGACAACCTACATGATGAGGCTCCAGGTAACAATGTTGTCTCGTTCACAATTCCTTCATGCTTCTGCTTTCGCCTCGTTTCTATTGTGTCTCCGAGCCCCTGGCTCACTCGAATTGAGATGGAGGTTCCTTTCTACACGCTGTCTTCTGCAGGCAGCAGCAGCACGGCAAGCTGACCATTGATCGCATTTAAGGACGAAACACTGATGACAGAAGGAGGAGAGTCCGTTAACCCCACCAACCCCGGCGACTCACGATACTTCTAGATCAACATACCACATCAGTGATATCTCAGCATTTGCAGATACCCTTCAAGATGTACGATGCCAATTGGAACATATGAAGTAATTTGCTCACGAAAGTCAGGCTGCTAATCAAGCCTTTCCAAACCGAGGACGATCTCGATACCACACCGTCAATGTCTGCCTGATCCGATGGCAGGAAGATGAACTGCAAGTCAAAGACGAGATAGAGACGCTGTGTGATGTATTCGATAAACTCTATGGCTTCAACACGGAAATATGGCTCATCCCATCGACCGCCTCGCAAATCCAACTCACCAGCATGACCTGCACATTCCTGCAAAAGTTCGACGAGGAAGGTAATCTTTTCATTGTGTATTATGGTGGCCACGGCAAGATCAACAACGCACGACAGAACCAGTGGTGGTGCAAGGCACAACCAGATTCTCCAGTTGTGGATTGGTCTGCGATTCAGACTCTGTTCGGGACTGCTGTGTCTGATGTTCTGATTTTGCTTGATTGCTGTGCCGCTGCAAGTTCAGCTGCTGGGTCAGGTTCAGGAACCATGGAAGCAATTGCTGCTTGTGGCTGGGAAACGAGAGCACCCCCACCTGGAAAGTATTCGTTCACACATACACTCATTGAGGTACTCGAAGATTGGGCCAACAAGCCATCATTCTCTGCTGCCATGCTTCACACCGAAGTGCTTTTTGTGTTGAAGCAGAAGCGGCCCGAGAAAGGAAGAGATGGAAGAAAATGGGAATGGTGCTCAACGCCAATCCACTGGGTATACACTAGAGATCCAAAGGCGCCTGGTATCGAGATATCGTCGTTGCTGAGCATCAAAGCGGCCGAAAAGGCGCCGGCTCGAGAGGAACTTGCACAACCAAGGTCAACTTCGTACATTGATGCGATGGATCTTGATGACGAGGAAACATTCGTCAATCCCTTGACAGACTGCCGACCAAATGGAGACTACAAAGTACCGCATGTCCTCATTTCCATTGCGCTCGAAGGAGATCAGGGTGCGCTTGATGCCGTATCTTGCCGACGCTGGTTAGCAGACTTTCCAGCTCTGGCGAAATATGCCACAGTGGAAGGAGTATACAAAGGATACTCGACCCTGTTAACGCTTTCGGTTCCTGTAATGATATGGGATCTTCTTCCAGCTCATCCGGCTTGTTCATTCATTGGCTATATTGTTTCGCCAAACAAGTGCGCTGCTGTCATCCGTTCGGGCATCACATCTGGACGCAACTCTTTCTCTTCCATGTATCAAAAACCGCCATATCTATGCAGGACGCGGAAGCCGGACACCAATATTCGAAGTGCTGACTCCTCTTATGGCTCGGACGGAGGATCGGACGCTGGATCTGATGGTGGGCAAAAGTACGTCCCAATAATCTTACTTCTCTTATGTCTCATACTGATTGCGACGTAGCGATACAAATGAACGTCCCATCTGGGTACCAACTCGTCTAGAAGATATCTCAGACCGAGACGAAGAATGCGACAGCAGCGAATGTGCCATCGAAGACGACTCGATGTCGGAGTGGGAGGATTCGATTGACGGCCGCTCATCATCCAATAACCACGATGTCCTTTCCATGAAAAGCAGCAGCTCGAAACCATCCAGCAAATCACTCATCACTTCAATGCTTACTGAAGGAGAGACTGCAAAACCAATCGATATTGGAACAAAAGGTCAACCTAGTAGGGAGAGATATAGATCGGCGGATCAGATTGAGCTTTCTCCGAGATCTGTAAGGAGGAACATGTTGGCTTCGGAGTTGTCGGCTTCCTTGAGACGGCAGATGTTATGGGAGAGAGATCAAGGGGGAATGAGGACGCGAGTGCCGCTCTCGAATCAGCCGAAAGACGACGGTAACGGAGGTGTCGAGAGGAAGAAGAGGTCGAACTCTTTTTGAATTTATAGTTGAATTTTGGAGAGTAGGGGAGGGGGCGCATATATACCAAGATCTCATTGTTTATGTATACCTGCGGCAACTTGGCCAGGATGAAGAATAAAAGACTCTACTACTTACGATCGTTCGACGAATCTCTACTGGGAGCTTATTGAATCTCCAGACCGTCCCACCGGACACCTCTTGCAGACGTCTGAATTGCATCGACAGGGTAGTATTTTCTGCACAAAGTTTTGCGATGTCATTTTGAAGGCTATCGACAGATGCCGAAAGCGTGCTCAATAGGTTGGCGGGTACTTGGACGAGTGTTTTCAAGTTGGAACCCTCTGCTATTGTCGCTGCAGGACCTTCGATGTCGGGAGCTGTCCTTGGAATCCTGTTTCGAATCTTCGCAAACGCGCCTTGCAATGACGAGAATGGCACATTGCAGAGGTACTGGAAGTCCTGCAGGAACGAGGATATTCTTACTATGCGTCGAAATCAGCAATAATTTGTTCTATCATGTATTATTGCTCGCCCTGGCAGGCCCCGGAGATGGTGTCGAAGGAAGTAAGAGAACGGAAGAGCGAGAGCAGTTCAATTCGGAAATCGTGGAAGAAAAAGCAAACGCGAGACCACGTGCCATTCCCATGACGCTAGTGCTCCATTTGGTTTTTGAAGAATGCTTCTTCACTCCCTTGCCTCAAACCCATTTAAACTGTGGGACTTCATAATGACAACTATTCATGAACCCGACAGATCACTCGTCCGTTCTCCAACAGCAACGGATTGTGTCGTCAAAGTCCCAACCAAAATCCTACGTCTCTAGAATCTGTTTAGTAGTTGCCGACATGGATCCAACAAGCATTGCTCAACTGCAAAATGAGATTGCCACGTTACGAGCCACGAACTCTTCTCTTAGCAGACAAATTCAAATCCTCCAAAATAGTCCATCGTGTCCACGATTCTTGAAATTCAAGGAACTGCCTTTCGACATACGGCACATCATAGTAAGCAACAAGTCCTGTGCTCTTCATCCTCATCGATCTTGGCATATTAGGTCTTCTTCAGCCTTATTCCCAAGAGAAAACTAAGCACTGACTTGCTGTAGTGGCACATTGCTTTGACGCTCCCCCATGTACATATCATAAAAGGCAGATTGTTTAGTCGAAGCCGGGTCAATATCATCATGCAAACTTGCAGAGAAGCTCGAGAAGCGGTGCTGAGATTCAGATTTCCGTACTTCCAAGTCGGTGTTCCAGGACAGGAAGTTCATGAAACCAAAAGCTACATGAATATCAGTCAGGATGTTGTTTGGGTACCTGGTGCAACAATATTTTCATGGTGGAGTATCGATTTCTATTGCTCAAGCTGCCCTCGATATCCATGGTCGCAAATTCGTCACGATGCGAAAATACCTGAGTCATGCCAATGTCAACACAACAAGCTTGGTTGTCTCGCTTTGGACTACGACAAATGGAAGGAAGTCAATCAAAACTTGGATTCGCAAGCAGAAAGCGTAGCTGCCATGTGGAGAGTTGGGGACCTGGCCAGAGTATATATCGTCGTCAACAGCGATGACGCTGTCGACCCTATCCTAGATCCACATGTTACCTTTGCCGAACCAAGATCACCACTTCATGAATTTGAATTTATACAGCGTGACTATCCAGGCGTCGAAGATTGGGTCGCACTATCAGCACGGAATACCCAGATGATGGGAGCCTTCAAGAGACGGCGTATGTTCCGAAGATCATATTAGATGAGGATTGGGAAGACTGAAGAGGATCTTCAGGTCGACGGTCTAGATGACCTTTCCGAATGGAAACTTCCTTCGATATACTTTGTAGAAGCACGCTTCACATCTCATCGAGAGGATTGGGGAATGGTACCACAACCTCCTCAACCTCCTAGACGACGCTAATGAGACTGAACTGAAATCGAATGCAACGGCAATTATCAACAAAGTGTACAAGTTTATATTTTACCAGTCATTTTACAGGAAACCAGCTTCAAAGAAGGTACTTCTTAACTCACACTTGTAAATTCAAATATTCGAGTGGCCAGAAGGTACCAAATCCAAATGTTGAAGTTTATGAGATTGTAGATCTTATTAGCGACTATTAGTGTCAATTCATCCCTTTTGCCCTTTTGCCGTGGAGATAGCTGCATGGTTCCATACCTATGTTCTCAGTATTTATAATCTTAATGATAACGTCACACATTCGGTTCCATTTAGACTGCCCCGCACCTTGACCCCTCTCTGATACAACGCCACTTCTCCAATTTCAACCTCATGCGATTGCAATTGTTCAGAACTTCAGTCGCACTGTCAAAACCAAAGATCCGAACCGCTCCATCATTTCGACTCGAACCCCAAACAAAACCTTCATCGATCAATAAAAAATACCACAAGATGGCAATGCACGGACACAGCGCAGCTTGCTGCAGCATCCCTCCCATTGTATCCAAAGGCTACGAACCCAAGGGAAAATACGAAACAATCGGTGGTCTAAAGACCTGCAAGTATCTCTACAGCTTCGTCGCACGTCAATTGCTAACAGAAAGACCAACAGACGTCACTGGTCCAGCCGATGCAACCAAAGCCATTCTGTACATTTACGACATCTTCGGATACTTCCCTCAATCGCTCCAAGGAGCCGATATCCTCTCAACCGCAGACGACAAAACCAAGTACCAAGTTTTCATGCCTGATTGGTTCGAGGGTAACCCTGCTGATATCTCCTGGTACGACTTTCACCTAGCTACCATCTGCGACGGCATAAACTGACTTTTAATCTCTCAGGTACCCTCCCGACACAAAAGAAAAAGGCGAAAAACTAGGAAACTTCTTCCAAACGACCGGTGCCCCTCCCGCAACCGCCGCGAAAGTCCCCAAAATCCTCAAAGAAATCGAATCGAAATACAGCTCAATCAACACCTGGGGCGTAGTCGGCTTCTGCTGGGGCGGAAAGATCGTATCTCTGACTACATCCACAACATCTACACCATTCAAAGCTGGAGCAGAATGCCATCCTGCGATGGTTGATCCCTCCGAGGCGGAGAATATCAAGATCCCGCTGTGCATGTTGGCCAGCAAGGACGAGCCGAAGGATGATGTGGAGAAGTTTGAGAAGAATTTGAAGGGCGAGAAACATGTTGAAATTTTTGGAGATCAAATTCATGGATGGATGGCTGCTAGGAGTGATTTGGAGGATCAGAGGGTCAAGAGCGAGTACGAGAGGGGATATAAGACTTTGTTGGAGTTCTTTGGGAAGTATTTGTAAGTGGTATTTCGTTGTAGAGCGGAACGGGGGTGAAGTGGATGCTGAGCAGACACTGATGAGTCGTTCCTGGAGGTAGGAATGGGAATTATGCAAAACTATGAGGTTAATGCTGATGGAGGGGCGATGGTGGAGAAAAAGCTTATATATATGAAACTAGCAAAATATCAATCGCTGAATTTGAAGTGATTCAATGTATATTCTTGCTTAAAGTCCAAGCGTGTTGAGTACCGCTGTCTTGCTTTGTCTGACCACACCAGTCCGTTTGCTGAGACAAAGCCCAACCCGTATGTATGCCCTTAATCTGAATCTTATCTGCCATTGAAGCTTGTATCAATCAGGATCTTGTGTCTAGCCCTTGACGACTTCTGGGGTGTAGCTGTATCAACATTAGCTCTTGCTCAAACAATCCTTCCCATTTCGCAAATCCACCCGCAGCCTTTCCCAATAAAATGCCACTACCTCATTAATCAAACCAAAGGGATTCAACTCACTAAACAGTCATAACCCCCTCAACACCCAAAGTCTTAGCACCTTTCTTCAACTCCGCATGCGCCTCGCACCCATCATCATAATACTTCATATCCTCCATATCCTTAAACTCGGACCTCGCAACCAATGTGAAGCCCTGCGATCGCACATCCTCATACGCCGGGCCCGCCGCCAAAGACAGAATATACGGCTTACCACCCTATAAGCTGTTGTCAGAACCGTCTCATACATAGCTTTGGGAAGGAGGAGTGATACCTTGGTAGCAGTCTCGCTCAACGTTTTGTAGAAGCCCAGGAGTTTCTGCTGGTCCTCCTTGAGAGGTAGCTTGAACATGGTAATGCGAACAATCTTAGATGCCATTGTGCTTCTTGCTCAGATTGTTTTTCCAATTGAGTTGATGCTGTGTTCGCTGCTGTGCAATGGAAGGAAAGAAGTTGTTGCAGTGCAGTAGTGGGGAAGTCCGAAGCTTTTATCCTGTAAGGTACGCGAGGGGCAATGGAGGGGTCAAAAATCTAGATCTTTGGCAGGACAATTAAGTGGTCAATGAAGAAGATGAGAAGGATATATAGAATGGAAGGAAAGAATTGAGAGGTAAGCTCCAGACGGCAAGCATAGAAAGGTTATTCCGAGTCTCAGCTTCTGGCTCATGGAGGGGTCCGTATGAAAAGACCGTGGGGTTCTCGGCAATGCGGGGTTCATGCGGAATCTTACCGCATCCCATTATTGAAGCTACTTCTCAGCATGACTACCTACATGAAAAGTGCAATTCTCTGTCAAGGGAAAAATTTGCGGCCTTCGAAAGCTCAGAAAGGTAGCCAGATATGGAGTTGTATAGAAAATGAGAAGCCCAGCGGCTTCAATTAAGCTATTCCGGGAGTCTTCGGGGTAACTAATCCCATGGCAGATGTATTGAAAGTTTGTCAGCTGATTGATAACCCTGGATACAAGCGGACTTTTTCTGAGGCCGTAGTGCGAGAGGTGGACAAATTGTGGAGACTGGTCATTGTCGTTTACGCTGGGATGAAGTGAGAAGCAATGCACTTGCTGGTGGCTTCCACGGCGAGGATAGCTACTGATTATTGCGAAGATTGCAGAACAGAAGCAAGTGCCAAAGTAGCCTATCCCAGAATTCGGGATTGCCGAAGCTAGTGACATTGTGGGAAGTGGTGATAATATTGGTGGAGCTGCAAGTGTCTCCTATGCTTTGGTTGAATTTGGAGAACGAGTGGCCAAGGTCTTGTTGAATCTGCCATATTTAGACTGAGTTGCAAATCCACTGACGGTAAGAATCGACAGTTTCAACAAATCTAACTCTGGGAATCACTCCATCACACAGGCGCCTTTCATTCTTGGTCACCTTTTTATGATCTACAAACATCGTCAGATTTGGTACTTAAGCGAGACAGAGGGATATCGACCTTCAATCTTTTTCTTCATCTTCTCCATAAGTAGCTTCTTCGCCTGTCTCAGAATGTATTCAGCTTGCCGAGCTGCACTCTCCCATGTAGCGTTGGGCGATATTGACTCGTCACGGCCGTTTCCTAGGAGACTTTCATTGTTCGCCAACGATGGTGCCAGCAGAAATGGAGTCCCCCTTGGCTCTGTGAAAACGATATCAGACGCGCAGGGCAGACCGGGTCCGCCAACAACCAGAATTAGTTCTCGATTGTTATTTAACATTCGTATTAATTCAAATGAGCAGAGGTAGAGCCTGCCTTCATCATCATCATAATCATCTTCATCGTCATCCATGATAAATGGATCTACCCAATTACCTGCGTCCATGGCTAGTGAACCGAGACTCAAGGTCCATTCTGGATACTCTTTATCGAGCAACATCGGCTGTCTAACATCGTGCCCATCATAGAGGATGACATTTTTGGGAAGCCGATCAGTCGTATCAACCCATAGTGTATCGATGTCAGAATGGAAATATTGCACTCCACAGATGGGACGTAATGTTTCAGGATGGTGGACATAATAGAACGGCATCCGAAGACTGAGGCCCAGCTCCTGGGATTCTTTGCACGCGTACATGATCGAGTTGATTTGACTGCGACTGATATGGTCCTTCCTCATGATATGTATGCGTGGTGTCCTGAATGCAGATCTCCAAATTTGGAGGCGAATTTCGGTCGGGAAGGCGGAGAATAGAGGAAAACTCGGTTTGTTTTGTTGGATTCTGCGAAGTTCGCGTGCCATGGAAGCATTTTCTGCGACGATGTGTTTGAGCTGCTCGGCCGAACTCAGCAGTGACTTGTATAGCTCTGCAGAGATTTGAAGTGTAGGGGCGTCGCTTGAATTCGAAGAGGGTTCCTCGTTCGGTAACGCGGAGTTTTGATTCATTGCGGCGTTGTTTCGTCGAACCTTGGTGTATGTTAAGAGCGACCTCGAATGGTGTTGAGAGACAAAAGATAATCTTCTGCAACAAAATGTCTGTAGACGCGAAGTCGCGAACCCCTGCTCTTCCTTTCGCCGAGGTCCTTCTCAACCAATCAAATGGCGAAAGACCTAATACCATGCTCGATCCTTTTAGCAACCATCTTCAGAGTCTTCAAGGGAGATACTAACCGGAGTTGACAAGGTAAAAAAATAAGTAGAGTACAACTAGTGAAGATGTAATCAATGGCTGTTATCCGTGCTTCAAGACTCTGATAGCTCGAGTCTTGTGTCAGGGGCTTTAGCGAGGGAGGATTTGCGGAAGCTTTGAGAATTGATCGAAGGCACTCTTCTTGAGGCGATTGACGATTGAGGTGGCGTACGGACACCTAATCGTAGCCCTTTTTCCGAGTTGAGTCCGAGAGAGGAATGCCCTGTTGGAGTTGCTGGATCTTTCAGAATTAGATGGAACCTCGAATTTCGGACGATGGATATCTATGCTGATGACACTTGAATTGTTGATGAGATGATGCTTCGAGACTATTAAAGTAGGATCGTAAGACACCGAAAGCTACGAAGGAAAGAGGCATGGACAGGTGATACGTGAGTTGAGGCCAAAGCACCTTCCGCCGCAGGCACTCAAGTCCTCAATGCACATCAATTTGTGAAAGTCAGGGCAAGGAAATGAGAATTGTTTTGATGTATGTACTAAGTGACTGTTCGATGTTACCTGCCTTTTCCGTGTAGATGAAGCTGTAGCATGTTCCAGTGTAACGCTCCTTAGTCCTATGCAGCTGCCCAGCGTCAGTTGGTCCCTCCAGCCACGTAAATGTCCACCCACCCCGTCCTTAACAGATTGTTCTCCCGCTGTCAATCCCTAAATATGTTTGTTTGTACCCCCAGTTCATATGTTATTAAAGGACAAAAAAAGCTCCTCCATCGATCTTCCTTCGCATAGATGTCCCAAGCGTCAAATCAAGTCGTCGAAGACCAAGTCTAGCATAGCTACGGCTCGCTTCTCGTCCAGGTCAGATTGAGGTTCCAGATTGGGAACTCAGATCTTCTCCATATTCTGTTTGGTGAAGCCAGAGCACCAATCAGGAAGAGCCGAATCATTTGCAGCATCCGTCGAAAGTTCCAGACGCTCTCCCTGTGCTGATCTCTCTTCGGGGTCATCTGTGCTGGTCTCGAGACGAGGGGCAAGAGGAGCAGTCGAAATAGGATTGTCCATCTTGACCTTCTTGGCTGCGCGCTCTTCTCCGACTTCGCTCTTGACAGAGTTGTCGACTCCCACGTTTGCTTCGACAGCAAGCTGACCCGAGGAACTCGATGAAGCGGTAGCAGTGCTCGATGCCGAAGTCTCTCGATTTCTCTTGCCTAAGACAGTGTCGTTGTCCTCGGTCTTCATTGGAATTTGTGGATTCGGGCCGATGGAGTCGGATTGGTTGACTTCGGACTTGATCGGCATTGGTGATGGAGATTGAGCTCCGGTTGTCTTGCCCACAATCGACTCGCTGCTGCTGCTACCATCGGTATTGATAGATATTTGTGATGGGTCAGGAAATGCAGCACACTCAGGATTCCAGAACTTGCACTTCCAGGGAGTGGAGCCCTTTTCGTTGTGCAAGATAGACGAAATTGCAGTGAGCTCAAGGTCGCTCGGGATACTGGGAAGGCCCATTTGTTGGTATGCAGAGCTCAGCTTCAGAACATTATGTTCCTTGGTGAAGGGCTCATAATAAATGTCGCCGTTCTCCCAACGTCTGACGAGCTCTTCGGGTGGCCAAGATGCCCAGTTCATACGATCTTGATTCTTCTTCTCAGAGTTAGTATGCAAAGAGACAGGGATGGGAAATGTGGGGATCTAACCAAATACTCCACCTTCGCCTTGATCTCAAGCATCTTCTTGTGCACCTTCTCATGGCGAACCTCATCCTCCGTCTTATTCTTTAGGCGATTTTCCTCTGCGCGAAGCTTCTCGATGGCATCCTCCTCCTTGACAAATCTCTCATTCGCCACCTTGGCTTCTCCTTCAGCCTGTGTGAGCGACTTTTGGGCGCGTGCGAGCTTCTTCTCAGTGGCCCTATTAATCCTGGTAGCCTCTTGGACTGTCGCAGCAGCATTTCCAAGCTTTTCGTAAACCTCCTTTCGCTGAGCTCTCAGTAGCTCGACAACTTTGATAGTCTCGTTCAACTTCTTCGCCAGATCATTCAACTCCTTCTGGAGGTGATCAATCTCTTCAATGGCTGCTCAAAGTGTCAGCAACGTCTTGCGAAAATGATCAGCTTCGGTGCTTACCCATTGCGTTGGTGTAGTGAAGATTTTGAAGATGAGTTTGAAAAGCTGCTGGCAAGCTCGAACAAGAGGTGTTGAAGAACCTGAATATGATTGAGGACTTGTCTGTAGTCGAGAAAATCAAAGGTAACTAGGTGATTGTGGGCTGTGAAGCTCGCGGCTTTTCAAGGTAGGGAGGATTGCGATTGAAGGTGGGAAGTGTGAAGTCGTTGCTGAAGAGATAATATTGTTGTCTGAGATTAGAAGTGTAGTTGGTTGGACGTTCTCAATTATTTGTCAGAGCTGAAGTCCAATCAAGGAAGTGGAAGTTATGGACTGAAGAGATGGGGAGTTTCAAGTTGTGGGTAAAGTTGAAGATGAGATTCAAAAGAAGAAGGTTTCAATTAGGAGTAAGCTTCTTGCCTGAGGTTGAAAGTTTGATTGTGGGACCTTGCCAATTTTTACGTCAAGCCGAAAGTAAGATGGAGACTATATGACTTTGAAGCCAGGAGAGACATTTTGTACTGGTCACACAATCAGAAATGGAAAAAGATGATGAAATTGCCGGACTTTTCAGAAATCTAAGCTATCAACGCCCACCCAGCACTAACGCCAGCCCGAAAAGTCCGTCCACCCGCAGAATATCAAGGGAAACCAACGCTGTTATTGTAAAAGACCAGAATGATCGTATGTGAATGTCGAACGCATGGAGGTGACTTTTGTGAAACAAAAGTCCCATTGCGCCACTGATGATTGAGCTCGCTTAGAGGTGGCGAGAAGCACCATAAGGGCGCATAATAGTAGCCTCAATTGCCAACTCAGGGGTAGGCTGCAGCCAGCTAGCCACATTGAACTCCTTGGGGTCGGACAAGCGGGTGCGCATGTCTGACTCGATGTCCTTATCAGAGACCAACTTTCGGCTCATGAACATTCCAGGACCGACACTGGTACCAGGTATTGTTTGGGGGTCGAATTTGGCCGGTGCAGTCTCCTCGGCAAGGGTGACATCAGAATTCGAACCAGCTTCGGCACGGTATCGAGGCCAATGGATGGAGTTCAGAGGTGTCTTGCAGACTTGGAAGTTGACCTCATAGGCGACACGGCGAACAACGTCTCTGGTGGGGGCGAAGAGATCGCGTTGTGTGGTCTTGTAAGCAGACACAAGCTTGTCGACATTCCTAGCATGCTCTCCAGATTTGGTCATGAAGTGCGAGTAGTCAATGTCGCCAGACTCGAATCTGGTGATAAGCTCCTCGTCGGACCAAGCATGCCAATTCTTCAACTCCTGGTTCTACATGTTGTTAGAATAATTCTACTTGTTTGTTGCTCTATCATACCTTCTTGTCAATCTGCTCTTCAAGATCCAAGACCTTACGAGCTGCCTTAGCACAAGCCTCGACTTCTACCAATGCAAGTCTCGCCGTCTCATGTTGGCAACGTTCATACTCAGCCGCAATATCTCGTACGCTAGCCTGCCAGACTTGCCGAGAGGTATCGTTTTGATTTCCCACGAGTTGAGGTAGAGCTTGGTTTCGTGCTGCAACCAGTGGTGTCATTCGTCTAGTCATCTCTTGCTGGCATCGGTCGTAGTTGGCCGCCTTGGTATCGCAAGCTTGTTGGTACTCATTCTTGGCGATCTCGAGTTGGCCTTTGAGTTCAACCTTGGTGGAAGCGGTGGAGGCACTAGTAGCTGAAAGACTTATTAGTATCATAGAAAGTGTAGCGTGCATCAACAATAGATAATATACTTACACATCTTGAGCAACCTTTGTTACAAAGTTGACGCCGAGTTGGAGGGACGGTACTTGTCGAAAGGTTGTAGACGAAGGAAGAAGATCGAAACTGTTGCCAGATCGCCCCATTATATAGACCTGAAATCGAAGTTCGCTAGCGAACTCACAAACATCAGACGAAGCCTTTAACACGAAATTTTGTTAGGTGAATAGGTTTCCGAATTGAATAAAGAGCCTCGTCGCCTTGCGTTGTCTAGCCTGTCTCGGCCCGAGCCGGAGCTCCACATAAATTGGATCCTGCCTGGTCCTTGAGGCGCTAGCACTCTAACATACAACATAAAAAGCAATTGTCTTTAATCCTGTCCATCTATCGTTCGCACCTTTATTTGCGACGACTTCCAATCACAAAAGCAAACAGGAACACAGGCAACAAATAACGGCGCACTATTGCAAGAGTAAAAAAGATCCTTTAAAGAAAATGGGTACGTTCAAGAGGCTCATGCAACTACCCTTTCCCATTGAAATTACATACTCATACTTTTGGCTAGCTTCCGAAAACGATTTAGGCTCATCCAGCAAGGGCTCAAGCAAGGAGGAAAACGTCGCACGTACTGTGACTTCCCACTCCAACTCCTTGGTCGACTTACTGGTGCAACTATCTTCGGCATACAACAACCCCGGCGACAAGGTAAGTTATCATCTCCTTGCATCCGACTAGCAAAGGCAGAACTGACTCCGATGATCAGGAAGCTGTTGAGAAAGCAAAGCTGTCGCTCGTAGGCGGCTTGCAATCAGAGCAGAAGATCGTGCACACTAAAGCTGAGGATAAGATGTTGGCCAGTGTTATGGAGACTTTAGCCGTGAATAATAACGATGAGGGCAAAGGAAAGGGCAAAGAGATGTAAAGTTCTGCTAATTGCGTTTCGGGACATGAGAGGCAGCAAGTTTGCGTTGGCACTTGCCAAGATAAATCGAAGCGTCTGACCTGCACCTATGCACTTCCGTATTTTCCGCTCGCAGTCCATGATGTGAGGCTCGATAATCGAAGATTCGGAAGTGTTGTTCATTCTCATCTATAGGGATTCCAGTTGGGTTTTTAAACAAACTTACTGTCTTTGCTGACATACAAGTCAACGTATTCATCCACAGCCATGTTTTCTAGCTTTTTGCCATCGTTTCCGAGGTCAACCAACTCTTTCACCTTTTGTTCACTGTAGTGTGGGCCCAAGTGTCTCTTATATTTGGCCAGGATTTCTGGCTTCGCTTCTTCTCTTCGTAATCTGTGTCCCAACGGGGCCTCTACAACGATTTCTTCCAAGACAGTGCCATCGTTCAGAGTGACGGTTAAGGCATTAGGGATGGTTCGCATGTTCTCGTCATGGTAGTCCTTGGTGAATTGGGGATCTTCAACGCACTTGATCTTTTGGCGCAGCGACTCAACGAGTGGCGAAGTTGCTGCCTCACCTCCGTCGGTATAATCAGTAGCCTCGAGACGGCCATAGACAAGCATGACTGAGCACATGTACTGAATGCAATGGTCACGGTCCGCAAAGTTGTCCATAGGCTTGAACTGCTTGTCGATAATGCGAATACAAGCTTCGTGAGTTCGGCAAGTAATGTCCTTAATATCAGCGGCGGATTTCCCCTGGTCTGCCAATTGTTTATGGATTCTCTTCGCAGCTTCAATCGCGGTTTGGGAGTGAAACTCGGCTATAAAATGTGAGAAGAGGGGTAATAGTGGGGCATCGAGGGCGTACCTGGGTATGAGACTTTGAACAGCACGTTCTCCATGACATAGCTACCATATGGTCTCTGGAACTCGAACTTCTTGCCCTTGAACAGGACGTCGTAGAAACCCCAGACTGGGGCGGACAGGACGGTTGGGACCCCAGGCTCGCCCTTCATGACCTTCAAAACAAGGTTCACTGCACGTTGGCAAGCATCACCAGCAGCCCACGATTTCCTTGACATAGTGTTGGGAGAGTGTCTGTAGGTCCTCAAACTCTGGCCATCAACCCAAGCTTGCGAGACGGCATCGGCCGTCTGCTTCTCGGACAAGCCCAACATTCTCGAGACAACGGCAGCAGAAGCAACCTTGACAAGAACAACATGGTCAAGTCCGACCTTGTTAAAGGAGTTCAGAAGTGCTAAGCATCCTTGGATCTCGTGTGCCTTGATCATAGCCTCTAGAACCTCTTTGACGGTTATGACTTTTCCATTGCCCAGATTTCCGCCAGCTCGATTCGTTCGTGAGATCCAGTCTGCGACGGCTAAGATAGCTCCCAAATTGTCTGAAGGGTGTCCCCATTCCGCAGCAAGCCAGCAGTCATTGTAATCCAGCCATCTGATCATAGCACCAATGTTGAAAGCTCCATTGACAGGATCAAGTTGAAATGGGGTGCCTGGAACCTTAGTGCCATTGGGAACCACAGTTCCCTCAACAATTGGGCCAAGCAGCTTCGTGCATTCTTTAAACCGTAGACCTTCGAGGCCGCAGCCTAATGTATCGAGGAAGACGAATCGAGCTGTGTCGAACTTTTGAAGCATTTAGTAAGTGGGGTCTAAGCCGAACTTTGACAAACTTACAGCCAGGTCGGAATCGATTGGCGTATTGTGAACATAGCTTGCGATGTCTTTAATTTCTGGATCATATTCGCGGGCTTGAGGTGGTGGCGGGGCACTAGATTGTAAGGGTGACATTGTGGAGAATTGTTTGAAGGATGAAGTGCGTTGTGAAGCTGCGAAGTTCGGTCTGCACGTAATAAGAGGGGCACGAAGAGCTCGCGATTGGAGGAAGGGCACTCGTAGATTTCTGCTAGCAGTTCGAACACCTCGATTGATCGCCGACATGGTCATCAATTGATGTCAAAAAGAGGAGTGAGGTCTGGAGAACGAAATGCACGCTTCTCACAGGAAGTCACGACTCGACGTAGAGATTTATGGCTGGGTCGTTTCTCTTTGGCATCCTTGGTCTTGCCTCGGCTATGAACGGCACGAAGGATCGTTACGTCACGTGCAGCCTCCTAGATTCGGATCGCCTCGGTCTCGGCTGTGAGGAAAGGGGTGATCGGTGCGTGGGATCTTTATTGTAGTTGATATGGTCATTGAGGTTCTGGATGTGGTTGAGGCAAGTCACTTATGAAGGAATGTTGTTTCACAGGATTCGTTGAGGAGTCATTCTTGTATCACTATGTTTGCCATGTTTTCTAACCGAGCATTGTAATTTGTGAAGGAGGCTTTGAGACTGAGCTATTAAATGTCCTAGAGATGAGTTAGGGTCCCAATGTTACTACTCTTATGTGGCTCTAGAATATGCCAAAGGTGATCGCAAGAATGCTGTGCTGTGGCAATGATAGCTGCATCCGCTACACATGATCTGCCCAGAAAAAAACTATTTGTTATTCATATACGCCCCTACTCTCGATCCATAACCTTGCTACTAGAACGCTGACTGAAACCCTGTAAAACATGCCCAGAAAAATACCACCAGAACAGGTATATAAGGTACAGATTGTAGTAGGTTAGGGTCATGTTAAATCAAAATTCTCTGGATAAGAAGACTCTTCGAGACTAAAAGGAAATCTGGGTCATTTTAAATCATCCTATCTCTTTAAGTTTTAGTTCATTGATGAGACTTGGTTCGTAATATTGTTTTCATATCCCAATGTTTATGGTACCATCTTTCTTTGATCAAGATGACCGTAGCAAACAGACGATTTTCCAGATTCAAGAGTCTGCACATGAACCACTTACAGACAGGTAAACAATAGATCGTTTCCAACGGACGATAGGACATGCCATTCCTTGAAAGGCCAGAAAGCACTTTTTGTAGTAGGCCCAAATATCTGACCTGGGTTGGGAAGGCTATGTTACGCACACCAACAAACAGACTAAGAAATAGGACGTAGATATAAAGGAAAACAAATATACTTTGCTGAAACTATCTCTAGAATGAATCATGTAATATTTCTCAAGATAATTGAGGGGTCTGTCCAAGGTATTTCTGGGTATAACCCACCCCTTGGGAGACATTTGAGATGAACTTTCAACTTCATTACCCATGATGACTTCAGCTTTAATCACCAAAGCATTATTGAACGTGAATATAAAGATGCCCGCACATCGCCTATCACTTCTGAAGGTCCCAAGTTTCTGGAATACCTCTTTCCAGAACAAACAGCCACAATGTCAGCAACGCGAACAGTAAGAAATTCAGGCGGACTTGGAATCAAGTTCGGCGATCAATATACTGATATACGTCGCTCCTCTGTTGTTGTGTCCCAGTCGTCCTCCATTTACAGCTTTGAAGAGGGTATTGACAAGATCGATACGCCCCACCCCGCCTATGGGTTCACAACAAGTCCTGAGCCAGTTGTTGAAAAGCCAATTGCTCCAAGGAGAGTCGATGCCATCGATCTTGAAGCAGATCCCTACGAACTTCTTGAAGAACTCCTGGATTCGACGCTGCGCGACCAAGCAGTGACATTTGTTCGAAAGTCGTCGTCTACCCCTCGCGCTGGATCTTCGCAGTTCACGCCAAGGGTTTTTTCTGGCACAGCCACATTTGCGACAGGCTCTCCCCTTCCTCCCAGATACCAACGACAACGACAAACACAAATCTACACAGGCAGCCCTGTACGAAATCATCGCTCCTGCACAGTCTCTGGTGCTGAAGCCTCTCGAATCCCCCCATCAAATAGTAGCCCCGATCTTCGTGGGTTCTCTGAATCACATTACCGCTCACAATCCACCCCAACTGCCCTGACGCCAACCCAAACCGACTCACATTCCTTCTCGACCTTTGGAAATCGACTCCTGAAGAAGCTTCCGAAGCTGCCAAACATCTCGAAGAGGATTCGCCTTCCATCGCAGATTTTTCCTTTCTTTACAAAAGCACAAGAAGCTGAGACTGCAGAGAAGGTGTATTCGAAAGTCCACGGTTGTGAACGCCACCAGAACTGCACAGATTGCACGAATATCGAGTTCGCATACTGGGAAAATAAAATCATGTCTACCTCTATTCCAGCCGATGAGCGTCAAAAGATCATTGCCAACAACAAATCTCTGCGTACAATCAAGAATGTAAGTTGGAACTGTCTTCAGATGAGGAGGGCGTAGCTAACACGCCTAGGAACTCGAAAGCCTTCTTGAGAATGGGATGATTAGCGATGAAACATACGATACTGTTATCAATTCTCTGCCTGCCGAAACCTCACTCAACAGCGCTGCACGAAGAAATGTGGTTCCTCCTTCTCCAATCCCGACGCCTGAAACCAACCCTCTCACGGCTGCGATCAGCAACATGAGAATCAACAGCAACAGCAGCCAAGAGCCTCCTTCATACTCTTCCTCCACGGCTGCTCCCCCAGCTCTTCCAGGACGTGCACCTACCCAGCAACCCGAGAGACCAGAGATTGGTCGTGCCACCAGTTTATACCCTTACGAAGGCGCCCCAGAGGACTGCTCGTTCGGAGTCAATGAAACACTCGTCATCTATGAATACATGAATAATGAATGGTGCTATGGCAAGAACTTGACTACTGGCAAGCAAGGCCTTTTCCCTACGAACTACGTCCAAATCAAACAACAAGCACCGACACCAAACCCCAACGCGTACGGTGCATATGGAGCTGACAAGCAGAATGCTCAATGGGGAGGAGGATACCCAGGTCAATATCAACAAGCACAGGCACAAGGTCCCCCACCACCAGGCCCAAGCAATCCTTACAACAGCGCTGTACCACCAATGCAAATCGCGGAGCAACCTGTAGACGGCAAGCCAGGCAAGGGCGCGGAAATGGGCAAGAAGTTTGGCAAGAAGTTGGGTAACGCTGCTATCTTTGGTGCTGGTGCTACGATTGGAGGCAACATCGTCAATTCGATCTTCTAGACGGATACATGGCTTGCACTTGGTGTTGAATCGTGACATCTCAGCCATCAAAACTGGTCTGACGATTGGTGGAGTTCTGGCGTTCTTATCACGTTCATTTATGACGCATTAATTTCGCTTGCTGCGTATTGAAATGGCTGATGCGTCTTCATCACATCCGCTATTCATTCTCAATACTATGGTCACAAATGGACCTCTTTCTGGTCTCTTCGCTGCTGTTCTGGACATCGGTCAGCACGATAATGAGAAAATGCAAAGGAAGGCGGACATTTGAATGGAGGTAGTCCTATTTTTCTATCCTTGGTTGATGACTTGGGGTTCTCTTTCTTGCATTCGCGAGCCTCTAGTAGACCAAAATTCAACTGATATCGAAAGAACGCAAAGTGACTAGACTTAATCAAATATCGTTGAAGCAGCAGTATGACAATCAGTGGCAGAAGTCTCTACCTTCTTACAGTTTCTCGAATGAAGGGACTATGACTTTTTACAGCGGTCTGATTATGCATGAGCTTTTCGGATCGCGAGAGCATCCTAGCTTTCCTCAGAATCATCTTGCTTCAAAATCTTTTCTTTTTAGATTGGCTTGGCATGGGTCACTCTTTTTGATCGGGTAGAAGATTCATTCAATCTATAGCCGAAATATATGCCAAAGGAAGTTGCTCAAATTGAGAAAATCTCCCACCTCTCTGTCTTTTGAATTTCTTTTCCCCTTCAAGCTCAGTGAATCTCAATCAATCAATAAACTCAACGCACTCTTCAATAACTTCCTGTACAACGTCTGCCCGAAATGAATACAATCAATCCTATCGAAAATGGGCATTTCACTGGTACACCAAGGAATCCCGAAGTCGATTACTTGTGTAAGATATGACGTTCATACCCCAATCTTAGACAAGTATTGATATTCATATCAGCCCGCAGCCCTTTACCTACTCTCAAGACACAATACCGACAGTTCAAGCAGGAGTTGGTCAGAGTAGAAGCCAATGAACGTCATCTGCGCCGACAACACGCGTTGGACCAAGATCCGTACTGCCCAGACTTAGGTCCAGAACGTACATTCCAACCTCTGAAAGACAAGGTCTTATTTCTTAGGCAAGCCATCGAGCTCAGGGTACAGACCCCCTGCACACTCACCCTCAGAGCGCACATTCTGACAACCCTCCCAGTTGGAGCAGACCAAGAATGGCCAATACTTCTGGACTCCCAAGGAATACGTCCTCAGATTCGAAAGTGGAGACATGAACTACGCACACTTGGCAGACCCAATAGCTAGATATCGTCTTCAGAGAGCCTTCGCGGAAGTTCATCGCGATCGTATCCCGCCATCCCAGGAGATGATCGAGGAGGTTGCTAGGCAGATCAACAATGCTTCGCTCAATTTCCCTATGACCTATCGTCCTTACACTCAAGCCCGCGAGAGTGCCGGCAGGACTATCTACTCACAGAATGCTTTCTAAGTCTTTCGTTCCATGTCATGCTTCGACCACAAGCCAAATGGCCGTAGCTTTGGAGGGATGAGAACTGGAAGCGGAGATTTGGATGGGAACTGTGATGGTGGTATCGTGGCTATGGAACTGGGACATTATACTAAAAGCTCTTATTGTTTACTCTGCTTTCTGGCAGGAGTTGCGCTGCTTTCTCCTTTTCTGAGATAGACAACAATCTAGTGGACGTCTTTTCGGGCCAACAATTGAGATCTTTGGTAGAACTTTGGAAGCATCTGCAATAGAGTTGTCTCCATAAACCTGAATTCGTGCTATTTGTCTTTCACAACAGATACAGGAAAACACTGGTGGTCGCTCTCTCGCAGAGAGTGCTTCATCTCCGAAGCCATTACTCGTTGGTTATTCAAAGCTTTAAGCTTGTGGCCGACTCGCTCGTCGTTGTCGTTTCCAGGCCGTTGTGCTCTCTCCCGCATTCGCTTCCCATCATCCCGTGTTGCGTCTGTAGTGGCGCAGCCTCGCATCAGCAAAAGCGAACTGGTTGGTGGATGCTGCATGCGGGAGGCACATATATTGGTGTTCCCGGCATTCTAGATTTCTTTCTTGCAATGGGGAATTCTTTTCAGGTGGGCGAATGAAAATATTCGCCGAGATGGTGGGGTGGCGTTTATGTGCAGCGCTTGCTGAGCGGCACGGACGGGTAGATTGCAGGGGGGCTTGGGGTACCTGAATGGAAGTCTAGAAGGAAAAGAAGAAAAGTAGATGCGAGAAATGTGATTTTCTTTCTTTCAACCCCGAGTAATGGATGTCTTAAAACAAGTGCTTGATGGTCTAATTCCATGTGAAGTGAGAATAGGAAATAAAGCATTAACATTGCCAAATATCAAATGGTATCCTTGACCCCGCCAAAATCTAACAATCCATCATCCTGAAGGAAACTCGTATACACTGTATCAAACGCCCTTGTGTAGCGTCTAATCGACTCTTTCCCCATGGGCTACGTGGTCGTCATGTTGAGTTCTGAATAATTGATTTCTCCAAATTCTGAGCTATTGCATGAATCGTAGTCATCGGAGACCTGAAAGTCGAATTAGAAAATCTGTCTCAAATCCGAACAAGCTGGAAGAAGTTACCTTCGAAGTCGGAACAGTATATCTGTCTGGCGTCCGACCTTGCAATCCTGGCTCCATATCAGTTCCAACTTTCGCTCCGCTCATTATCGACAGTTTCTCTTCCTCCTTCCTCATCTCCGAGACTTCGTATGCGGAAGCGTTGAGGATATCGTAGGTTTCCTTGAGTGTCGGTCCACTGGTCTTCACCATCTTGGCAACAAGTTTCATGTGTTCAATGAAGTCATTCTACAATGATGTTAATCGATACACCGATTTCAAGTTGATCTCAGCACTCACCACTTGTGTCAAAGTAAACGATTTCCTGTCTGCCCTTGTGGTTGCCTCCTTCTGCCGCCTTTCACAGTCGTTTCTCATGGCTGAGATTATATTGACTTGCTTGTTGAATGGAACTGAGCCAACTGCCTTCTTCTCAACGTTACCAAGGGAGTCAAGTTGCGCATCTCCGAGTTGAACTGTTTTCAAGTCAACATTGTTTGAGCACCATAACTAAGTGACATACCTAATTTGTTGAAGATTTCTGATCTTGCTCTACGAACCTTCTCCAAGAAGTTCTCTGCGCTGATTACAGTCTCTCTATTCAAGACTACATTCACTGGAAGTGAAATGCTTCCATTCAACATGCCACGAATCGTAGCTTCGACTGCAAAGAACTGTCCAAAGCATTTCGATATTTCGTCCAGGGTAGCCGCAATGGGCTTCCTGTCGCTTGATGTTTTTGATTTACTCATAATGAAAGACAGAATGGTTTCGTCAGATCAAGCTAACAGTAGCAAAGATAAGATGAAAGAAAGACGAGGCCTCCTTGAAAAAGGGCATGCTTATGCTTTTCGGGGTCCTGTTCTAGTACGACGGCGTCAAAGCTGCGCCGCGGTTCCCGTGCGACCCCGCCACCCCAATCGTTGGAAAACGCTTTTGAGGCGCCCGCAAGTGGCATGATTGAATTGTCAAGTCTGACTGGTCATTTCGGAGGATGGATCGCGCTTGTTCAGGTTCGCTCAGTCCGCACCAGTAAACCCGGATTTATATTTAGGGCGTCTTCCGACTTCGATTGTTCTATACCCCGCTGTGCCTGAATAGATAAGGCTCGGTCGATTTCTACTCGTGGCCTGCATGCCTTGCATGCATCGGGGGATCTTTATAGCTTGATCGAACAGATAAATGAAGTGCGAAGAGGGTCCCATAGGCCCGAGCCGTCACCGAGGTACTTTTGGTCGTAACATGGCTCACTGCATGAATGTCATCTTGACCGGTGCCTAGACCTGTGTGACATTGTGTGACATTCACACATCCAAATAAGCCGACAGTGTCTTTTCTATATCGTAAAAGTTGATGTTATGAGACGCAGGAATGTAGCGAGGAGAAGTAACTTTCAGCTCGGGCAGTGGACGAATAGCACTGCGCATTTCGACTTTCTCGATGCAAGGAGAAGCCGGGATTCCCGGAAAGGCTGCTCCTATTGTAGCTTAGGTCAGCCTTGCTGACAAGGCTTTTCCATAACACCATGATCCATGCCACCAGAGGCCGAGGGATGTGGGGAGAGAAATCATGAACAAATGTCAACTACCTACACAACGGTCAACCTCTTCACAAACCAACAATCGAATCAGGCAGGTCCAATCGCACTTCAGCATGTCTTCTACATCAACTTTCAATGATGGAGCCTGGCATGGCCTGATTGAACCAGACGGACAATTTCCACCTCAAGACGGAAGATATCATTTGTACATCGGTCTGCGAAACATACCAGATACTTCAAACATCCGCTGACTTGTGCAACAGGATTATTTTGTCCCTTCGCACATCGAGCAAACCTCATCCGACACCTGAAAGGCCTGACAGACATTATCGACATATCTATTGTGAAGCCATATCCGAAAGGCGACGACAAAGGCTGGCCAGGATGGAAATTTCCGACTGCGGATGATCCATACGAAGGCTCGACTTCCGACAAGCTATTTGGAAGCGAGTATCTGCATGAAGTATATTTTAAGGAGAAGAAGGACTACGAGGGCAGATACAGTGTGCCAGTATTATGGGACAAGCAGAAAACCCAGTTGGTCAATAACGAGAGTCTGGAAATACTGCGAAACTTCAACACTGGGTTCAATACTATATTGCCAGAAGAGTATAGGAACCGAGACTTCTATCCCGAAAAGCTACGAAAAGAAATAGACGAGATTGGACAATGGATGCAGGCGGATCTGAATACAGGAGTTTACAAAGCTGGTTTCGCTCCGGATCAGGCAACATACGACAAGAATGTTATACCAGTGTTTCGAGCGTTGAACCGACTAGAAGAGATGCTGTCAAAGAATGGTGGACCATACGTGCTAGGCTCTGAGTTGACGGAAGTCGACATCAGGCTCTACCCAACACTGATCAGATTCGATACCGTTTATGTCCAACACTTCAAATGCAATCTCGGAACTATTCGACATGACTACCCACGACTGAATGAATGGATGAAGAATCTGTACTGGAATATTCCTGGTTTCAAGGAGACTACCGACTTCCGCCATATCAAAGAAAATGTAAGGATATTTCACGTTTACAATAGATTGACTGACCAAGTGTTAGTATACCAAGAGCCATGCAGACATCAACCCTAAGGCTATTACTCCTATGGGACCGATACCTGATATTGAAAGCGGTTTTGAGAAGGATTGGAGTAAGTTGAAAGCTGGTGGTGTTGCTTTGCCAGAATAGGAACTGCCTATGTACGAATTACGACACGCGAAGGAGCAATCAGACCTCCCGCTTCGGGCCCTCAGACATGAAATGTAAAATTACAATATGATCGAGAGAGAGGCTAGATCGAGTGACGGTCTGTGATGAGTCTCGTTCGGTTGCGAAGTCATTTCTTCTTATACAAAAAGGGGAAAATTAAGCCGCATAGTCTTGAGGCTCAAGTCCTTTTCCTCTCCTCCCTGCTTACAGGAAAATGTACATGATTCGTTGGACATTGAGAAAATTGCTCTTGTAAGCATACATATCAAGTTTCAAAATTCCAAAGTTCTCAAACAAGGGGACATTGCTTACCGAAAAGGATCCCAAGCTCGCCCAGCACTTTGTAGTTTGTGTTAGAGGCCAAGTCGAATGTCGTACGATGCATCGGAAGGTGCAACTCCTAGAGGGCCCATGGTTCCATGAGAAGAGTGTTGGTCTGAGAATTTAAGAATAAGACGGGTTGTCTATGGCTCGTCTTTGGTCCATTCTCCCGACCCTGAGAATTTTACTTGGTCGCGAGGTGCGGCAAATACTGTAGCAGGGGAAAGTCGGATAGATATCACTTCACCTTAGAACTTAAGCGAAATCCATTCCTCTTGAACTGTGACACAATTACGAGGGAAATTTAGAAACCTTTGTAACCTGACTCCGAAGTAGCAGGAAGGCTCAGTGAAGGGAAATGGAGGCATAAGAGACAAAACACCATAGGCGTCACTAGTTTGGAGAGTTGGTCTTGAGGGTTTGGTAGTTCTTCAAGAGTCCTGGCCAACCGTGCGCCCAGGAGAAATTGGGCCTTTATCCAGTACATGCCCGCACTTCCACCTAGCGAACTACTCTCGTTAAAGGCTCGGCACTGGCTTCGAAAGAAGGACTCGACAAAAACCACAAATGTGATAATGCTACATCTTATAATTACTACTCAAAATTTAACCATATAAATCGAAAAGCAAGGGTTCCCTACCTAGGCATTCTTCAATCAAGTAGAATCAAGTATTGGTACTCAATCTCATGGAATGAAAATCGAATTTCAAGAAGCATAAAAATTATAAGAAAAATAAAAAAAAATAAAAAATAAAAAGAAGAATCAAATAAGCAATTTCGCGCCGCCCGACGAGAGGCTCGAACTCTCAACCTTGGGCTCTCATAAGCAGAATAACTGCACCATGAAGATACAATTAACGTCTTTAAAAGGCCCACGCGCTAACCAATTGTGCCAGCCGGGCAAATATTGTTTTGACCAGGATTTGCTTATTTAAAATAATGATCACTCTAGCCAAAGTGAGACAGTCCGTGGATACTTCCTGAGTCACGGTTGGTGGACCGACCTCGGCGGATGACACATTTCTCAGACTAGTCTAGTCTACACTACTTAGAACTCCAATCCATTCAGACGACCAGTAGAATCATCTATAATCTCAAATCATGAGCACCTTGTCTCACAGCTCCATGGTGCGTACGTCACTTAAGAGTATCGCCTGAGTAGACGTTTCTATCGGATTATGAAATTATCTAGGTAAAGTATGCATCTTGCAAACTCCTATCGGCGGAGCTCGTACCGACCCCGTACCGGCCCTTCTCTCATTGGCTGCAATGATAATTTCATCCCGAGCTCAGATTCGAAGACTGTCCATCATCATGGTTTAGACGGCCATTCACCTCGCTCTAAATCGAATGCGACAGGTTGCCTCCTATTGCTGTCGAATATGCGTCTCATGCTATTCCATAGTTGGAAGTTGCTGCCATATATATATTGCAATGGAAGTATGTTCTTTTTTCTACTTTCCTTACTCCATCTGCATTTCAGTCTTTACAATTTTGCACACTTGATCTACACCCTTTTTCGCATAGAAACATGTTCTCCTTGTCTCACGTCGTCTTGGCTATTGTCTTTCTTTCGAGTGTGGTCACGGCACAGTACTTTCCACCGGTCCCTGAAGGTATCACAACCATCAAATCTAGCAACTACGAGAATGCAACCATATCGTACAAAGAGGTGAGCCTCTCTTGTTCATAAATTGACTGCAATTGACCGTTATTAGACCTTCATCTGCGAGACAACCCCTGGTGTTCGTGGTTGGAGTGGTTATGTTCATCTTCCTGCCGATGCATCTCGAGACTACCCCATCAATACTTTCTTCTGGTTCTTCGAAGCTCGCAATCGATCAACCGATACCCCTCTTGCTATTTGGCTGAATGGAGGTCCAGGTGCTTCATCAGTAGCATCTGTTGTGAGCGAGAACGGTCCATGCAATGTCTTGGCGGACTCGAACAGCACCGAGTTCAACCCTTGGTCTTGGAACAACGAAGTCGACATGCTCTATATTGACCAACCTGTACAAGTAGGCTTCTCGTACGACAGACTAGCCAATGGAACATTGGATGCACTGTCTACGTCTCTGTTGCCAGTTGTTGCCGATTTCTCGATTTCTGGGGTACCGATGCAAAACGATACATTGTTTGTCGGTACATTCCCATCACTCAATTCAAGTACGACGGCCACGACGAGTACTATCGCAGCATCAGCGGTTTGGGAATTTCTGCAGGCGTGGCTGAATGGGTGAGTTGGACTTTTCGTTCAATATAGTCGCTGATAGTATGATAGATTTCCCTTTTATGAGAGTTGTAATGATAAGGGCCTCGGTATATGGGGTGCCTCATATGGAGGCCATTGGGTCACAGCTCTTGCTGGATTCATTGAAGATCAAAATGACCGCATAACCGCTGGTACTCTGGAGGATGCATTCCTAATCAAAGTTGATACGGTCGGCATCATCAATGGACAAGTCGACTTTACAATTCTAGCAGGCTCATATCCAGATATGGCATACAACAATACTTACGGGTTTCAAGCTATTTCCGAAGTGGAATATTTGAGCGCCAAAGCCAATGTCACGATGTGCGAAAACCTGTTTCAAGAGTGCCGGGATCAAGCTGCTTTTTACGATCCAGAGAATTTAGGAAATGTCACCAGTGTCAATAGCTTATGTGTAGCGGCGTATGGGTATTGCGCTCTCTATGTCGAATACGTCTATCTGATTTCTGGCGTCAGTCACCTTCCTGTTTCACTAAACTTTACTAAAACCAATCAGCACGATTCATTCGACATTGGTCACACGACCCCGGACTCTGAGCCGACAAAATATGAGCTGGGATACCTCAATCAACATTGGGTGCAAGCAGCGCTTGGCGTTCCTCTCAACTTCACATATCAAAACATGGTCGTCTACAACGGTACCTCAACCCACTTTTCTTTTTCAACCATTAATTCAATTGTTAATTCTGTTGCATATCGCGATATCATATTGTGTCCGACTTAATCTTACGTGAAGCATAAGACTGATAGTTGCGGTCTTATGGATTATATAAGATGTGCTAAGGTGTTCCTTCTTCTCGCTTCGAGCCGAGAGATGAAGGATCGTGGCTGGGAACAGCCATGGAGCTGCAGCCAGAGAATCCTTGTTCTCATGAAGACCTCAGATTGGATATGGAGACGCTGACGATCTTTAGCTGTGATGGCATCTGGTGACATTGTCAGAGGAAGATTTCCGGAAACTCTTGGCGACCTGCTAGATCGCGGGGTACAAGTCACTCTCATGTATGGAGACCGAGACTACATCTGTAATTGTAAGTGCATCAAAGACACAGTACTGCGGAACTCAACTCAGCGTATGCAGGGATAAGTGGTGAGCGAACTAGTCTTGCCCTCAATTCAACACTGTCCTCCGGATTCCAAGAAGCAGGTTACGTCAATATCACCACGAACGACACTTATTATGGTGGGGTTGTCCGTCAACATGGCAACTTATCTTTCTCCCGAGTCTTCGATGCTGCTCATGAAGGTAAGTCCACTGCAATCAATGAGTTTCCAGCTAGGCCAAAGCAAAGCAGATTTTACTTTGCTCACTACTAGACATAATATATCTCAAAGAAATACCACTAATTACCCTGTAGTGGCTTACTACCAACCCGAAACAGCCTACCGTGTCTTCACTCGAGCCATGTTCCACACAGACATTGCAACAGGTGGTATCTCTATCGCTGACCACAACAATTACTCCACTACTGGGCCTTCTTCAGGCTTTCACATCAAGAACACGATGCCTGATAATCCACCAAACATCTGCTATACCTACATGGCAACTACAACTTGCACCACGGATCAACTTGCAAAGCTACAGAATGGGACGGCAGTTGTGGAAGATTGGATTGTCGTTGGATAATGGAATGTCGGTGCAGATTGATGATGCAGTGCGCTGTTGCCATTGCCACTGCTCACGAGGTAAGGAATTCCAATCCTATCTAGAGGGAAGAAAGACAATAAAATCGCCCCCCGTAATTACAGGGTATCAAGTCTTATTACTCGTATTATTTATTTTGTAAAAATACAGTCCTGTGCGCTATAACAAAAAGGCTTTCATCACGGTGATTGTGGCATATAGTGATGCGGCTGCAAGGCATTTAAGGGCGTTTTGACCTTGTTTAAGCTCATTGTAAGCAATGTGGAAGGCCTTGAGTGCTATTTGGAAGGTTAATAAGTTTCCGTCCACTTGACTTAAGCGAAGGCTTACATATGTTTGTGTGTTCTTGAGTAGTTGATGATGGTAGAGGAGTGATAGTGGTGAAGCGATTGCTTCTATACTGTCTTGACGCTCAGAGCCGCCTTCTCTCTCTGGATTATCCGCCGAGTTCGCCTTCAGGTTGGTCGCTCAGCAAGCAAAGAGTCGAAGCTGTAGAGCTACGCTGGAGGAGTGACTTCGACAGACTAGAAGTCGAATGGTTAAGGTAACGCGTTGTAGAGCTGAGGCTGAAGTATTCAAATTCACGGAATGAGCCCTTCTTGAACTTGAAGAATCAAATCCTAGAGTTGAAAAGATTCAAGAACGAGGGGAGAGTGATGATAGCAGGAGCACATAAAATGGGCACATAACACAATAAAATACGCATACTCTAGCTATGTCATGTATTACTTTTTATCTTGTTCTGCCGGAGCGCTTGCCAAATTATTGAGACTCTCAACACTCGTCCGCTGTGAAATAAGGCTATTTGCACTGCTCCGACGCTTTCCAAGCACAGGCCCAATAGAATCCTGTCATCCCAGGCCGTGTATACTGACGTCGCCCTTCAAAAGCTCTCCCCTCCCTCATGGTCATTTGGTCGTGCACATGTGCGCATGTTTGACTGGTATCTGGCAATCTGATCCTTAACATCCTGAAGTCTTCGTACAAGTCCACTCATAGCAGCCATACCACGATGATCATCAATTTGATGCTCCAACTGATCCCTATCGGATGTTGAAACGGCCTGAGCCAAGGATTGACTTCCAATTTTGGCTTGCTCCTTAGCACTATAGTTGCTTCCGAGAGTTTGCCGAAGCTCCTCGTTGGCACGGTTGCTCTCCTCCCGCGCAATACGAAGAGCGGCAAGAAGAGGCTGCACTCTATCGCGACGTTGGCGAAGGGGGTGTTGAGGATCTTTAATCAAGTTCTCGATGCGTTGGCGCTCATGTTCCAGCTCGGAAAGAGTGGGAGATGCTACTGAATAGTTAGTATGTCAAGGTATTCTCTATTGTCATACTCACACATAATCGCGTTACAATGAAGTCTGCGCAATGGCAATTCAGGGATCGAGAGGAACTGAAAAGCGCATCTGATAGCAAATCTGCGAAATATTTGCGTGATTGAAGAAAGATGTGCTCGGGGTCAAGCAAGAACACCTTTAATGAAGGTATGGATAGAGGGCTTTGAGTGTCGAAGTTGCTCTGGGGAAGAAAGAAGTGGATAAAAAGATTTCGGAAAGTTTCTTAGTAAAATTCCATGGAAAGAGTTGCGCTCTATTATACTCAAGTGTGCTGGTGGTGACCAGCTGCTGCCACGTGATTAGTGTGCTGTTCTACAACCCAATGCGGAAGGAGTCACAGAGAAACGCAAAGTGGAGAATGGAATGATCACAAGAGTATTTAGTGTTAATTGCTTGGAGTTGAAGTACAGAGTCACCCAAAAGCATGAAGACTGAAAACAGATCGATCCTCAGAAGTTGGAATGACTTGTCAGAACAGTCACTTTCCTTGTGGAGCAAAGGATTGACTGTGAGATTAATCTGTAGAGCATGAAAGGTCTCCCCAGTCACAACTGAAATTTTCACTATGTTTGCACGTTGATCGAAAGTCATGATGCGATTTATTACAAGAAAAAGCTTCTCGCATTGCACCGCTGTCCGCCAGCGCAATACTAGGTCTTGGTGATGTCTTAAGCTGAGTGCTTGCATAGTCCCTTTCACGAAAGCAAATACTCCACCCCAGCAAACCTTATGATGTCTCCAAAACCACAAACAATCCCCGCAGTCTTCTAGTCCAGCTGCGCCAAAAAAAAAAAGCAAGTAGAAGAATTATTTCTCAAAGCCACAAGTTATCAAGCTATGCCTTAACAGTGGCAACCCAGTCCTTCCACAAGTCACCCTCAGAGGGTTTTTTGTACTGTCCAGCAATGATCTCCTCGGCGATACACAAGACGACCTCCTCTGGCGGGTCCTCTGGCGGGAAACATCTGTCGTTGGAACGGTTGCTGTAGCCCACACTCAAGATCTTGATATTGCACGGCTTTCGCAGAACCTCGTAGTTCATCTCACCAGCCTCGAATCTCTTTACTCGCTCTTGCTCAGACCACATATGCCAGTCGATCAAGAAGCCATGTTCCTACGAAGTGTTAATTAACATGTTGTGAAACAGGGTAAGGTTACTGACCATATTTGTTCGCAGCTCACGAGCGTTGTCGTAAATTCTCTTGAGAAAAGTCTCGGCCGACTCAAAGTGTCGGACCAGTCGACGAATGTTGCGCTTAAGGCTCTTGATGTCTTCTGCGCGGTCAGGACACGGCTCTGCTTCATTTTTCAACCGAAGGGTTGCGATCTCAGCGTCGAGCTTCGAGATGGCGAGATCGCTACGTGCAGAAAGTTCTTGGCACGCGCGCTTTGCACTGGCTTCTTCGGCTGCGCAGACTTGGAGGGTGACAGAGGTAACAGCTATTGCATCATGTTAGCAATGTCAATTGCAACATGCGCTCATGGGCGCAGGAAGGATACGTACACATGATGCTTGATGTCGCTTTGGTTGTCTGTTCTGGTGTATGGAGGAGTGGGACTGGTAATGTCTTGATGCGAATGTGCCAAAGTTGATATTGGTGTGGAGGAGATGGATGTTCAGGAAGGAAGATGGTGGATAGAAAAGCCTCGTTTCCTGTATCTATATACTATGATTTGCGCCACGATAGCATGAGATTACTAGTGCGCCAAGAAAGACGAAGATGTGAATTGGGACGCTTCGAGCGCAAGAAAGGGTTGGTCTACTAAGCCTCTCGGGTTCCTAGCGCACAACATTTCCAAGTGCAACTTTCGATTTTCTTCTACTCGAGACTCTCCCTATACCAAAATTCAATGTTGGATGAATATTGCATACTTCCAGTCCATATGTGCCTGAAAATATCTTGTAGTATAGAGTTGCTGCGTTTGTGGCCAAAGGAAGCGTTAAGCGAGATAATAGGGGGCGGGGTACGTGGGATAATTTGCGCGGTCAGCGCAGGCCGCGCAAATTGCGCAAATTGTGCAGTCCTTGAAGTGGCAGCGAAACCATCTTGTACATGATGATATGTTTACGAAGTACCAATATTTACTATGGTGCGGAGTGTAACGTGGTTCTCATCTCGCTCTGCCACTCGGGTATCAGGTTGAAGTAGGTGTCATAATACTGCTAACAAGACTTTGCAGGGCATTCTAGTGGATCAGACTCTGTAGTCACATCGCTTTATGCTATAATGTAACCCTCTTATGATATGTTTGTTTGCTATGAATATGAAGATTTCAATTCAATCTGAGGAGCGTGCATAGACAGATTTTGCATCAAGATCTAAGTCCGTCAACAATTGTGTACTTCAGTCATCTCCTCTATGAAATCAAAGTGATATACATGCGTTACCAAATATGTGCATATCCTGAGCATATGTATACATATATAATATACAACATGTACTCGCTGCAGAAGTAGCCTCCTGGCTCCTCTTTCCGTGAACATAATGACCATCCTTGTGATCTTTTATACAAACATACAATCATTCCTCGTAAGCCCATCCATCGCTATGCACGCTTAACCAAACAAACAACTCAGGCCCATGACCTTTCAAGAGCTTTGCTCCTCATCACTGGAACTATTCTTCACGTCATACCTAAACCCCTGCTCGGTCTCCAACTCCCTCTCCAAACTGATCTCTTTTATGAACACGAGACTAGCAATAAGCATCAATCCAGCAATGGCGCACATGATAATCCACACCATCTGTAGACTCTCAACGTATGCTTGAACAACGACTTCTCTCATGACACCCTGCTCACCCTCCGTGCTCCAAGCCTTGACGACTTGGACAAGGGAGCTTGCATCACGTGACCATTCGTCTGCGAACGACGAGTAGGCGGTGTTCAGGATTTTGTTCTTGAAAGTGTTCTGGAAGATGACTCCAGAAATGGCAACACCTAAGGTTTGACCAAATGCTCTGAAAAAGGAATACATTGCACCGGCAAACGGCAAATCGGCATTCGAGGAGGAAACTTGTGCGGCGAAGCCTTGAGCCGAGAATAGGATGCCGGTTCCAGTCCCAGACACGAGGGAGAGGAAGATCCATGATGGGACGTTTGTTGATTGTTTGAGATAGATCAGGAGGCCTAAGCCAAATGTTGTGAGGAACCAACCAATCCACTGGAAGAAGTTAGCTTACATCACTCTGAGAATGTGATGGACTCACAACTGATGGCCTATATCTTCCTGTCTTGGCAATTATGATGCCCACAACAACCGCAGCCGGCGCAACTGTGAAGGTAAAAGGGAAGATTGCAATCCCGGACTTGACTGGGCTGTAGTTCTTTGCGACCTCAAAGTAGACTGGCATATAGTACAACAGACTCCAAACAATGATTCCGTGAAACAACGTCCCGGCATATGCTGTGATGGCTGTCGGTGTATTGAAAAGACTTCGACGGATGAGTGGTTCTGGAGAGATGTATGTAGAGTATACGACGAAGCCGAGGATGCCTAGAACGCCAAGTATGAGTGGTACAAGTGTTCTCCATGAATTCCAGTCATACATAACCCCACCCTTCAGATAAAGTCAGCATAAGAAGGTTGGATAGAGACGTGGAAACATACCCAAGTAAGTGGAATGAGGAAGCTTGTAGTTGCAGCAATGAAGACAAAAGATCCGAAGAAATCAAACGTCTTCAGTCGTGCCCAGACAGATCCATCTCTCTTCTGCAGGCGCAGACAGAAGGGGATGCCAATGGCGGCAATGACACAAAATGGGATGTTGATCCAGAAAATCCATCGCCACGTCGTCTTCTCTGCGAACGTCCCTCCGATGACTGGTCCAAGCACACTTCCTATCGCCCATTGCAAGCTGATCACCGACATCCATTTCCCTCGCTCTCTCAGTGTAACAAGGTCTGCCAGGATGACATATGTCAAGCCAACGAGACCGCCACCACCTACACCTTGCACACTCCTCCCAACTAGCAATTCTCCAACATTCCTTGCAACGGATGCGATGATAGTTCCAACGAAGAACAAGACCAGTGCGGTGAGTAGTACTGACTTTCTGCCGATGATGTGCGAGAATGAAGCCCAAGTTGGTTGAAACACTGTTGAGCAGAGAAGAAATGATGTGCCGCACCAAAAGGCTTGGATTGCCGTGGTACCTTTCAGGCTCGTTGCAATAGTCTTACACAAATTAGCGGATCTCAAATGGAAAGAGTACTTATCATACCGGCAGTGCAACGGCCAAGATTGTTGCGTCAACAGCACAGATCAAATTGAGAATTGCCAAACATGCAAATGTGCCATAGAACCGCCAGCCTCGCTTCTTCTTGACTTCAACTTCCGTCTTCTCGAACTCTAAGCTCTTGGTAACTTCCATTGAGATCTCTGAGTCGTTGAGGCTTGGAATTCTGGCGTAAATCGGCACCGGCTTCCTTGGTATCGATATCCTTCGAGATTCTTGTGGCGGCGGGTACGGCATCTTGTATTGAGATTGCACATACTGCCCCCTTTCAGGGGAGCCAATATCAAAGTGGGTCGAGACTCTAACTTCCTCATCGAGAGAAGAGAATAGGTCTTCGGTGGAGTAGTCGGTGGCACAATACATGATGAAAAGGCTTCAAAAAGACATCCATTCTAAGCTGAACCACAATCGAGACCGCAGCCATATATTAAGACGCATGCTGATATCTCTGCAGAACCTGCTGAGATCCCAGACTATGGGAACTAATGCAGAAGGATTATTTTGGGGTCTCGAAATGCGCACTTGCAGCCATTCAAGAACTTGCTCCGAAAGAGGTACAGCTGCGACGGCCATGTGTCGCGTACCAACCTACACTGTAGATCCGACAAGCGGGAGTTCGCAAATACAATATGAACTACTCAACGAACGGAAATGGAGAGTGCGCGATTCCCTCAGTAAGCCCTTCAGATACTAGAGCCCGTTTCTGCAGCTCTTAGCAGGCTTCGCCGCAAGCGCTTCCAGTGGCACCTCCCACGAACGCCAGTCAGCCGCACAGTCGTGCATATCTAAGCCACAAAATAGAAAACCTTCGGCCACTTCTGCCCTACCAGAAGCGATACGATTGGATCTTGCCTTACATCATGATGAGATGAAAGCTTGCTGCCAGAAGACGGCGGGAGTCGAAGGATTCTGCAGATCTCGAGATGTGCTTCTACTGTACGAAGTACACCCTCATGATGACGTTCAGATCAACGGTCCGAGTGAGCATTTGACAGATTGCTGTCCACGGTCGCAATACGATCGCGTTCGGATTAGTAGGCAGTAGACACACGTGTGATAAGACGGGAGACAAATACTTACTACTGAACCACACACCGGCAGAGTCCAATAATCCTGCGTGTGTCGTTCTTCCAAATTCCTGCTTGACCGTACAACCAACCTCTCACATCACGACAGGTGCATCGTGCACACCCTCAGCATGAGGCTCCAAAATCTCGACTGTTCGCGGGGACGCCAATCCGACGCCAATCATGGAAGCCACAAGTATGTTGTGCTGGCAGTATGTCATGAATGGTTGATGCTTCAAGACGTGGCGCAATTTGGATGTTGTTTTGGATGTTGTGAAAAAGTCTACGCATCCTTCAGCTGTCAGAGGGGCGCCATGCCTCGCTAAACCCTACAGGCCTCCATTAGAACAAAGTCAGCCCTGAAGAATCCAACCCAAGTCCGGCGAAAGACTTGATAAGGACAGCGACGCGCACGTTGTGGGCTTTATTGAGACCCATTGCTATGCTCTTGAGCCTCAGTGGGCTGTTGGCTCTTCGAGATTGAAACTATTGATATCTTGGTCCACACAGAGGGGTTTCTGCTCAGCTACAAATGGCCCATCCGATCGGTTTTTCCTATGAACTTGTTTGCGAGTTTCTCGAAGGCAGAAGAGAATGCAGGTCAACTCGTGGGCCGTCAGCACTAGCAAGCGCGCTGTCATGTTTTTTGGTGTCTGTTACGGCGCAAGTCATGATTTCAAGCACAGCAACTCAATCGCCCCCACCATCTCATAGAATGTTGCTTCTCTAATGATGTCGAACCATTCAAGAGAACTTCTCCCCGAAGCTGCGATTCCTATTTACATCTGCCTGGGTGACATGACAAGTAATCACGTGATTACTAAAGAAGACATGTGGACTGCTCAGGTAGTTAATGAAATACCGGTATTTCGGTGCAGATGATGCAGCGAGATGTCGCTGGAAGCGCTTTCCTATGATTCAAGCGCTTAATGCAGTAGTTGCTTGGGGTCCAAGTGTCTCGTCACATGCAGCTCCCTAAATTGCGTCTGTGTGGCGCATGTTGATGTTGACTTATCACTTACACATCGCCTTCTCATCGCAGTGATACAATCCAAGTGGCCTATCGTTGCTACGCAAACCTATTTTCGCTTCCAACTGCATCGACGTGCAGCAGCGAAAGTCGGGGTTTACCGTGTTTGCATTTCTACGGTTTCCTCGCTTAATCTGCCGATAGGAAAAGGGGAGCTCGCAGAGAAATTCAACATTTGTATGCGCTCCTAAGGCTCAGCAGACATCTTAAAATAAGAACTTAAATCCGCGGCAAGCATTTCTTTGAATCTTCGGCATCTATTCTGTGTTTTCACAGACAGAATTATCGCTGTTGTAGCACGTCGCACAACCTTCCCCGGTTGCGTGCAGGCACAGCCCTTGCTGGAATGCACGAACGATCGCTCAAGGTTGTGGAGAGAGTTCAAGATAAGGTTAAAATTATAACAATTATGTTTCTATGTATAACCCGATGCATCAGATGTTAATCGTATTTTTTTCTTCTCGCAAAATCAACCCTCAGATTCAGCCCAGTAGGCGCCACCCGTCTTGAAATCCAGCTTCTCACTCAAATCAGCAGAAGCGTACCTCACGGCTCTCTTTCGCATTGCTGAACTTGTGCTATTGATGGAGAAGTTACCAAATCCTTCATAGGTCCCAAGACTCGGAGGTAGATCCGCAACTTGAGTTCCCCAAGCACTTTCTGTGCTGCCAAGAGTAAGAACCAATTCTTTGCCCTCGGTGAAGAATGAGTGATCAATCCAATTCTTGGTATACGGTTCTCCATTCAAAGTCGCAGATTGGATGTATATATTCTGATAGCTAGCATCGAAATTGATGTTTCTGATCATCGCTGTCTTGTTGGTGATTGGTGAAGTGACGGAAACACTTTCGAAGAATGGAGGAATGATGAGGTAGACGTTTTGGCCTGGGTTGGGAAAGAGACCCATCATTGAGAATGCAACGAATGATCCCATTGCCCCAGAGTCATCGTTTCCTGGTAAGCCAGCGTCCGTGGGTTGGAAGAAAGTGGGGATATAGAAGTGAGAGCGCTTTGCTGAGAGACCAGGTCGTCCAGCATAGTGGTATTGATAAACAGTAAGGAAGGCGGGTTCATTTCCGATGTAAGTGATGTCTTGATCATGAAGATAGTTCAAACGATCGACAAATGCTGCAGGGCCACCGAGAGTAGTGATCAAGGTTGCTTGGTCGTGGGGCACAAAGCTATCACGGATGAGCGAGCAGGTCATTATCACATTATGAAGATCTTACAATGAATACTCCCATATCGAGCTCTCAAAAGTCTCGGCTCCGGTATTCTGTAGTGAACAAACATCATTTTCGTTCGTGTCGATGTTGCTACACTTTAATGGATCCTGAAATCCGAAAGTCTTGTTCAGATATCGAGGTTGGAAGAAGCCCACAAATCCGGTATTCACATTGCCGTCGTAAATGTTGTAGGAGGTTTGATCTGCCTTGAAAAGGTTCTTCCAATTTCCACTGCGACCGGTATATTTTTCCACATCGCCTTGCTTCCCAAGGCCAGCTGCAATTTGCGTGATGACGAAGTCGTTGTAGGAGTATTCGAGAGTTCTCGAAACACTTCGCGTCATTGTTCCGAAACCTTTGTAGTCGAAGTCCTGGACAGGGATATAACCCAGAGACTTCCAGCTATCTAGACCACCTCTGCCCTCGTTAGACCAATCATAGGGCTCATTTTCAGCGTCGTTCACAACAGCTGCATAGCCAAGCTCCCAGTCGATTCCGTCTGAAAGGCCTTTCAAGTAAGCGTCACCAAGCACATTGTCAGCGTTGGAACCTCCTTGAGTGTATCCTTTGCACAGACTCATGCGGCAGTCAGGTAGCCAGCCCTCATGCACATAGGTGTCAATGAGCGAACGAATCTGCTTTGTGACAGTAGCAGGATCCAAAACTGTCAAGAATGGCATCTGAGATCTGAAAAGATCCCAGATACAGTAGAAGGAATCGAAGTATGGTTCATCACTTTCCCACAGCGGATTCTCTCCTGTGTAATCCTGAGGATTGACCATTGTCCTGTAGATTCCTGAATAGAAGTTTTGCAACATCGAGTCATTGACCCCACTCCTGTTCACCACAATTGGACTGATTTTGTTGCGCCATTCGGTCTCAGCAGCAGTATGAGTTGCCTCAAAATTGAATGATGGAATTTCACTCTCCGCGTTTGAACATGCTTGGTCACTGCTGATCAGACTGACTCCTACTCTGGCAAGAATCGCATTGTCGCCAGGTGACTCGAAGCGAATGAAACCTCCTCCTGGAAGAGGATACCCGTTGATCGATCTTGAGATTTTCAAGTCCTTGACATCAGTGCTTGCGCGACTGTTGGCATAAATTCCATTGTCCCGGATCGGTGATCCAGAGAAGTCCGCACAAAAGTAGGCAATATAATTTCCACTACCAAAGCTTGGCAAGAATCTTGCATTTCCCTGCATTCGGCCAGTCTCGGCATCAACGGAGATACTTGCATTATCTTGGCGAGAATCCGAAAGATCCGTAAGGTCCATCAAGATGAGTGGGCTAGAGGCATTACCCTCGGCCTCCATCGCTGGAAATTTAAATCGGAACAGTGATGTATGTTGCGTGGTTGTCATGTCTACCGAGACTCCACTTGCAAGCTCGATGCTGAAATAGCCAGGAGTTGCAACTACAGAACTGTTCACGTATGGAATCTTTCTCGATTTTTTCGGGTACACACATTGATCGATATCGTCGCCCGGGCATGCACTGTAGGGAAACAGAGCAAAGTTTCCCAGCGACGGAGAGCCGCCCGTACCAGAGTCATGCATTGAAGAGAATCCCGTGACATTGGAGCCGTCATCAGTGAAGCCGCCTTGGTTGCTACCAGAATCAGTATCGGCTACGGCTTTGGCCATGCCTGGACTATGTTAATTATGTCTAGGACAGGAAGAAAGAACTGCTAACCGTAGGGTAGGGTAGCTCCAGAGAAGACATTCCCTAAATATTATTAACACCAGCGTCGTCTCGCAGGAAGAATGCCGTACCTCCATTGCTACTTCCGATCAATTGATTCACATATTGCAAAACATCGTATGATCCACTTGTAGAGTTCTGAGAGACAACGGATCCGATCGCAGCGGCAGCAAGCAACAACGAGAGACCTTGACTTCGTGCCATGTTGAGAGACATTCAGGGGCAACAGAATCTCAACGCCACCAAGCCATCTGCCCCACGAGGGGGCGGGACGGAGATATAAATCATAGCTACTTGCACGACCTAAGATTACGATCGGCTTCCGCTATCAGCAGCACGTTACATGATAAAGGTTGAAAAAGCTTAAAGGAGAAGGTGCCATGGGGAAGCATCTTGAAATGCACGAGCGTATGTAAAAGCTAACCGGGATGGTGTTCCTGATGCTGATCTCGGACTGGACTGCCGAAGTACCCCGCTCAGGTCCAGGTACCCCTCCATCTTGGCCCATCGTAGACTTCATCATTTCCGCTTCTCGCAACTTTAATCTTCCTTTCGCATTCGCGAAGTTTGCAGATATACTTTTGTCAATTATTCTTCGATTCCGAAAGGATTTCCCATCGTTCCCTCAGGCACGTTGTTGAAATCGCATTCGTTGCACTCGAGATGATCACAAGCCGAGCAATGTGTTGTCCCTGGACACTCCATCGATGCCGGGGTGTCACTACCGCAATCGCAGCAAGTCATCCACATGACAGGGCTTAGTGCAGCTACACACTGCATCGATCTATTGGTAATGTCTGACCGATTTCTGTTGTGTCTTGTTGTTTTGTCCTAGTCGCTTCTGCGTTTGTCCTTTTCTTGTGCAACCTGCCACATGAGGAAGTTGTCAGAGCGTACATATATATTGCTCTACCCCCATGAGTTATTCCCACATCGTTCAAGTGACTCTTTTCATTTATATAGCTTACATTCAGAAGGTCGAGTGATCCGAGGCGGATTCTGAGTCAGGAGCAATATATTTTGAAGGCGTCCTACCGAAATCACACAACTCCGCCACCCAGGACTTGGAATCTGGGGATTCAAAGTTGTCACGACTTGCAGGGTCACTGAAGCAGAATTCCTTGAATTGTCGCATTTGTTGCACGAAAGAATAGCCTTGTGGGCATCACTTGTTTTTCGACAGAGAAGGTAGAGCTTCCTGTCGTCACGGGATATGTGCTCCAAAACTCGAGAAATGACTCGAAGCCGCAAGATAAAGTCTGAAAGAATGGACTTCAAGTACTTCCTTTAAACACTGATCTATAGTCCCTCAGCCTCTTCCATCCGCCTCCAGAAACCAAGTATGCGATACATTGCAACGCTCACATAGCTTGTGACCGCATTCGCATCTCCTGCCCTTCGAATCCACTGCTTCATTTCCTTCAGTCGCTTCCCCCAGCACATGCAGCAATACACATGCCATTCCTCTTTCCATTTGAGAGCTCCATCGGGCTTGTTGGAGACTGGGCTCGTGTTGGAGCGTTGCGAATAGTTTGAAGTATTCTCATTTTGCTTTGAGGATGGCCCAGAACCAGACTGCAGATCCATGGTGAAGTGTACGGGTTGAAAGGGAGATAGCGGTGGTGTATCTGATTTCGTTCAGGCGAGTTCTAAGACGAACCTTGGGAACGCGAATTTGAGTAGTAGGAATGATGTCTCAGAGAGATATTTATCTTATCCTTTGCAGGCTACAGCTCATTCTGAGACAAGAGTAGTGAATGAGATGGCGTAAAAATTTGGACAAGGTAATATTGTTCCTGAATCTTTAGGATAATATAAGAGGGAAAATTAGAATTTTCGAGATTCCAGATAAACAAGAGTGTAAGTCGTTCTTACACTATTTCATCTTTCGAATTTCGCCTCGTTGTTAGGACTTAGCCTGTTTATATTGTCCCACCATATCTGGAACAATATTATCTTATATTCCAACTTTTATAGTAAACTATTCACTAGTATTGTTTATTTCCTGAATCTTGTATCATGACTCGTTTTCTACTATCGCATCCCACTCATACCACATCGATCTCTCTCCCTTGATCCTCATCTTCATCCCCGTCTCCATCCTCGTCTCCATCCTCATCTCCATCCTCATCCTCCATCCCAAAATTGAGACACCAAACCTCCCTCTTCACATCATAGTATTCCTCAACATCCTCATCTGTGTACAACTTCTTGTCCAATACATGAAGAACCTGGATACGTCCGCAATCGTCGCAGAGCTCATGTTGGCATGAACATTGATTCGGCAAGTTTTCGTTGAAATCGATAGCGTTGTCTTGCTCGCAGTCGCAGCAGAGGAAGGTGCCTAGTTCTCTGAAGCGGGAATTTGACATCTTGGTTATTGTTATGGTTTCAAATTGGTAAGAGTTGTTAATGTCTTGAACCCTTCTTTGGAATGCAAACGTATTATTTAGTCGAGGTCCCTTTTGTGTTCACAGGAAATTGTCATGTGATTCAAGCATGGAAACAAAATATTCATAGGAAACTTTCTGTGACACCTCTGTAGAGTGCAGTGTACAAAAGCGATGACCATCTAGCCGCATTACTCTTTCTGCTCGTGGCAGTCACGAAAGGTATCCCGCAAGAGTCAAATCCATCCACTAGCAACAATGTTTGAGAACCTGTTGGAGAAGATAAGGTTCCCATTATCCCAGTCTGAATCCTAACGTTGGATTCTATAAAGTGTTGAAGGGACTGCAGGTAGTGCTCCCTGAATGAATATACATTCTTCTACTTTGGGACCCGAGTTCAACTTAGCACGAATACCTTTCGAATTTCGAAAATTGGTATAGTAGTACAAGAACCAAGGACGATAAGTGGTTTATGGCAGAGCAAGAATTGGTGGATGCGGTGTTGGATTATACCAAGAAGAATGTCGGATTCCAGCGGTACAATGTTAGCTCCAAATTCTCCCAGCCTCTTTTGCAACCAGGTACTCCATATATCAATTATTTCCTGCCCACAAGCGGCATACTGGTTTTCGGAGAGAACTTCAAGCAACGGGATACTAACCCCGAGCCTAAAAGGCTTCCGGTGACCGACATCGTGAGATCATTGAAGTGTGGAATTGAGAAAGCTTACTATAATCAATCAAATGCTCACTTATGAGCAATGAGCCTTCCATTGTCTGAAACTTGAATTTTACTTTGAGCTTGGTGGAGTGAGTTAAAAGTTGCCGAAAATGCGAAGCCATTCTTCCTCTTCTCTTCCATACCTAAGACTCGGTGGCATTGCAGCCTTCCTGCATTCCTCGAGCACGAGCAGATCTCCTACTGCTTGGTACCACATATCCTCCTCGATATCAGGGTTCAAGACCATGTCCACCAGCATTTTGCGTAGTATCTCATCTTGCGGCCCGTAACCCTTATGTGAGGTCTTCCCTGGATGGTATTCTTGCTCGTACGGTTTCTCTCCATTTCCGTGCCAAGAATCCTCATTTTCAGACATTGGGAGCGCCTGTACCACGTTAGACATATGAGAGTAGCAGTGAAACTGTCAGTTACTTCTTACCAATGTCAGATTATCATCAGTATGTACAGTCACAGCTTCGAGGCATATACCAGATCTTTCGTAGCTCAGAATGCCGAGAATTAGAAGCAGACCAATTCGTTTTTCGTAGTTATCGTCGTCAATTAATCTATGTAGCGCCGAAGCATGCTGACCAGTAGGTTCGACCAACAAGGATTGGTCTTGTACCGTAGCTTCTGTCTGAGGTGAGGACAACTTTTTCTCGACTACACTCCCCTCATCCACGGCTCCAAGGTGAAGTCTTTGCAGAAAAGTTTCACTTGTCTGACTGGGTGTACGAGTTTGAAATGTTGAATATAGATGTGGCGGCACTTGTTCTCTCTCCTTTTGGGCCTTATTCGTCATGGCCTCGATGGAATAATGTTGTCCATAGGTTCTCGTGGGCTGCTGTGAAACGACCAGTTCCCGTGGATCTATGCAAGGGCCTGGTGGCACTTGAACACTGTGAACTCGCACGATGTTCAGCCCGCTATCACAGATCCTGAATACTGCAGGAACCTCTGCGGGAAAGTCTGCAGTAACCAAAGGTGCCGCCGAACGAAAAACTCGACTTGTCCGGTCCCCATAGCTCCTAACAGCCGCAACCACGTCTTTAATCTTGACGACATTATCTTCCGTCAATTCATGCAGCTGGCTGCATGGACAGCACCCTTTGACCCCACAAGCCGGGCACTCGCTCTGTTGGCAGACCTTGCTATTGCGACACCAACAACAGTGCAGCATTTGTAGATAATCTTGTTCGTCAGAAGTCGACAGCTCCCAGATGGTGTTGCATGCTAACGGCCCGCAAACTGTACAGGTATCCCACGACTGTTGCTGTAAATTTCCTGCGAAGTCCTTGCATGTCGGGTTTCTGCAAATCGTGCAAAGCGATTCCGGTGTGTATAGTGTGACTTGACTACACGTCCAGCAATGGCTTACAATGTGTGTTGTCGAGCAAGGAGGATGGTCGTTCTTGTGAATGTTGTCCATGGCTTATGTCGAGGTGCGTGAAAGCTATTGGGAGGCGTTGAAAACGATAGGGATATCAATGACTTCAATGTATCGATGGACAAATGATATCTTTCCATTCATAGCAGATGTACTTTGAAGATAATGCTGAAGGTTCAATTTAAACTGCATTTGACATATGGAAGGCACGCAGGAGACAGAAGAGAAGGAGCGAATATGATACAAGCTTAAAAGTAAGGGAGGCACGAACCAGATATTTAACGCTCTCCGGAGGGGCAAATGTGAACCAATGTTCGTACCGCTTTGAAGAACTTTGGGTGACAGAATGTTTGGAATGTTGTGGTGCTTTTAGGCGATAGTTGCCTCGCAAACATAACCTCAACCTCTTGAAGAAGCCTTTTTTGATTGCTGAAATCTCTTGCAGAAATAAAGTTACACTATCATTCCTGATCTTGGACCTCTACTTGAAGGAGGCCAGAATAAAGGCCGGTCTCTCAACCCAAGCGAGTCGCTACCGGTACCGCAGAAATGATCACACTTGTTCTCGCCAAATTGTCCTCCGCCCACTCTCGAAAATAACTCTGTTGCAAGTCGCACCGTAAGCGAGTAAATAGCCCGCCTTTGAGTTGCCCGTCTTCGGAAAGGCCTCAAATTGTCTTTGAGGTAGCGAGAACAAGCGACCTCTTCAAAACGTGGAAGATGCCGCTATTCACGTGAACGTGGGGCATGAGAGGAAAAGGCAAAAACGCAAAATTGAACACTTGTTGAAGTTCCCGACCTACATTCGACCTGGACATGTTCTCAGACATTGTAACAATTCAGAGACCCTCGCCTTCCCATACAAACCACCTTCATCATCAATACCAACACTCAAAATAACCTCATCATCCAGGTAGCCCACTCCCTTTTCCCTGATGTCTGTCTCCTCTCTTCCCCATGCATATGCGATGGTTGTGGTGTAGGTAAATCGCCCCCATTCTCCCTTTCCCGTCTCGAGGTCAATCGGTGAGTCGTCCCAGATCTCTTCGATAGTCCAACCTCGATTCGTTTCATTTGCAAAGAGTATAGGATGCTGGCTGACTGCGAGCATGTTGAAAGGCGCTGTCGCAGACCAAACAACAAAATATCGCTCATATCGAACAGGCAAACCATATCCATTGACATGCTTTCTCTGAATTGCGGCAAAGAAGACGATATTTGAATTTTCACGAACGCAAGTTGCGTTCGCTCTTTCGCACAGAATAAGTTTCAATGCTGGAGTGGCTTGGTGCCATGATGCATCTGCCATGGAGTGGCCGCTGGCTAATTCTTCTGGGGTAGGATCGCTCAAACAAGGTTCCTCCAAAGGATCCGTCATGTTTGTCGTAGTAAGTCCGCTTCCGACAAGCTGTGCGAAAGTACGAGTAGTGGAATTTAAGTCGTATTGAATGTAAGATGTGGACGGTGACGTTGAGAACATAACCCAGTTTTTCTCGTACGATCGGCGAGTCCAAGGAGGGTTTCGAGTGAGCTCTGTCAAGGTCGGGTATGTCATGAGAGGACCAGGTCCCAAGCGTCTAGGAGATGACGAGAATGTTTCCTCAATGGTTGGATACACAGTTCGCAGGTCGATCGCCCAAAGTCCAATGCACGCATATCGCGACCTAATTTCAAATCGTTAACAATGATTGACAACATACAAATAGCATTGGGCTACTTGCTGTGAGACAACCATCAAGATTGGTTCTCCTCTGCCAGAGTAAAGTAATTTCGGGTCATGAAAGCCAGGAATATCTGCGAGAACTTGCTCCATGCCTTCACACTTCTCTGCCGGGGTTGGTGGCACATTGACTTCAAGCGGAGTTGTAACGCAACGAAGTCCGCCGCTAGGTCCTAGGATTCTTAAGTCGTCTTCAGTGCAGTACTTCTCCTTCGATATGGTAGACTTCGTAGATTTCGGATGGCAGATATTCGCTTCGCAGATGACGTTTCGTCGATATGCCTCGTCATTGGGAGCAACCATGTTAACAATGATATATTGATTGTTTGCCCAATGTGGAAGTGCGAATATGGTAGGATTCCAGAATGTTCTTTGATCTTCAAACAATGCTGAAGCTGGTGACATGGATATATTGTAAAGGAGATTCGGAAGTCGAATATGACCAGTAAAACGATTGGGCTCTTGAGGACATGCTGCAAGTCCAAGAATTGGGGCTGGAATTCTGATCTTTTCATCAGTGGGCCCATTATTGGGCGAATCCGCTTCATTTAGCTTTGATTGTGCGACATCGATTTGTTGATGCAAATCGAGATGATGTGAAGCATTGAGAAATGGATGAGTGATTGGAATGTGTAGTTGCTCTTGAGGTGTGAAGGTCTTGGTACAGAATGGTGCCGTGGGTGTCTCGAAGGTTCTTGATAGTAGGATAGAGCACAAGTAAAGCGCTGCGACAGGGAAGAAGAGGCGTTTTAAGTATTGCCACATCATCTTGACAGTGTGAGCCACCGTTTTTGAGATCAAGACGAGAATAGCAACTCAGCGAAATGGCAAATGTTTGACACGCGCGCCGATTTGCAACCTGAAGGAAGGAGCGATGAGAATTCAATCAGACTGTATACATCGATCACGTGGTATGGAATTGTCTAGATGTCTTTCAGCTACAGACTTCATCTCTTCGTCGGGTCGGTATGATGACTTGCGAGACAATGATCTATAGGTCTGAATGGCGAATAAATGCGAGAATAACATCGTGTTGATGATCTGAATGAGAATGGTAGGCAGAACTGGATCGCACTTGCCATATCCATCATCATCATCTCCACGCCAAAAGAAAGTCCCAAACAGAAATTCAACGTGCAATCAACAATTCAGTCATCTGAGTACTACTCAATAAGCATACCGCATTCTCTAGGTATTTAATTACCTTGCAGCAAATAGGCCAGAACTATGAGTTACAGATCGCTTTATTCAACACCAGAGAATACTCCTCTGCGCCCTCAGATCGTCGAAGCATCAACGCCATGGTCTGAAGTGAGTCTAGAGGATCATGCTTCACATCGCTTCGAATCCCCAAGAGGATATAGGAAACTCATTCGCAGCTTTTTCAGAGCACACTTACGCAACTGGAATCGAACGCTGTGGCTAGCAATGTTTCTGGCCGTCGGTGTCTCTTGGTCACTACTGGGCGGAACGAAGTATATGGTCAACATACCAGGCAATGAGGAGACTCTCAACCACCAGACCAATGTTGATGGCATGCAATTCATCGATTCAACGCATCCCTACATTCATGTGGGGAACTCTCACCTGCAAGACAACTCATCTGCTGACACTGAAGGTGCAGTACGTCGGTCGCTGGTTGTCAACTTCAGATGGGGTCCATAAACATGGATCATTCCCAGGTGGTCTCTCCGAAACTACATGACGGTAGCTGTCTAGCTGACCAGAATCCAGGTGTATATTTTGACTTTGCAATGAATGGCAGCGCAACCGTATTGCTCGCCCTCCACAACAGAGAGAAGCAATCACTACAATCAGCGACAATACCCGCAAAGCCACTACCGGCTCTACCCTTCTTGCCCTTGACGAACACTTCGAATGCCGCTCCGATATCTCTGTTGGCTAGAGTCGATGATGATGAGTATATCGTGCTTCCCAACGCCACCTCGATCGTCGCAATCCGCAAAGGTAATCTCAACAAAGCAGTTCGCCATGATGTCCGCATCATTGCTCCTATGGTAGGAGACCATACCACAGAGACGTTGCAAGTTGAGGGATTATGGATCGACGAAGGGGGTCAGCTGATGCCTATTGAAGGCACTCCGGTCGATGAAGACGAATGGTTGACGGGAAATCAAGCAGGAAATCAAGCATTGCCACCTGCCTCAACAAAGAAGAAGATGCTAGAGATTGTCACTGATTTTCCTGGCTCTATGGCAGGTCGTGATAAACATAAAAATACCAGGACAGCTCGTGGCATATTAGGCGGTGTGATGGGATGGGAATCCTTGTTGCCAGACATGTTTGGAGCGGATCATGCTACGATTGGAATGGACGGCATGTGTTTGATTGAAGACTGTATAGGTGGTCGCGGGAGTCCATTTGGGCTCGCTGATGTCTTCTTCCAGAGGTTGGCCGTGTCCATGACTCGAGTAAGTGGTGGCTGACATCATTTTCCTTGTAGTGGTCCAGCCGGGACAGATGAGTATTCTCATGCTTGGATCTTCCAAGAATATACCCCAGATGTTATTGTAAGTGTCCTGAGATGATCTGGACATTGTCGAGCTAATGGATGCCGCAGGTAATGAACATCGGTAACTCCGATTGGGATTCATTCCAATCTCACTATCAGGAATATAACAAGACATTATGGGAATTGAGCGTTGTCTTCGAAGAAACGTATATATCGATGATCAAGGCGATCAGAACGCTTGCATATCCCAAGTACTCGACTAGCATCGACTCTCGTTACACCTACACAGCAAGGAATGCTGCAGTAGGGATACCAATCTTCATCATGAGACCATTTCGAGGACAACTTGAGCAAGCAACGCACTCGGTGGTCGACAGGCTTCAGAAGGAAGGTGATAAAGCGATTTTCTGGCTCGATACCTCTGGTTGGCTCAACACAGAAGTGGATTTCCAAGGTAGAGCCGAAGATCAAGACTTCTTCTTAGACGGTATGCTCCCATCCATCATTCTGATTCATAGGTCCTAACGATTTACTATAGAAGAGAGCCCATCCAAGCAGTGGCGTCTGACCGAACGAGGTAACCAGAGAGTCGCGATACTACTGCACATGCATGTTTGTAGGTATCTTGCTCGAGATAGGGAAAAGTGCGCTTTCCTGCCACCGGAAATATATCAAGGCAAAGCACTTGATCATGAGGCGATTCATTTCGACGAATTCCTGGAGAATGAGCGAGAAAGGAAGCTGAAAAAGATGTTTTGGAAGTAACGCGACTGAATCGTGGTCGTCGGGCCCGGCGATTGGGTTGCGATGCGTTTGCGTTTGAGCTCAGCGGATGATCTGCAGTGCCTGAAAGCTTCGTTCGTCTGATGTGGGAGCATTTCTTTTGATACAACATTGCTTCTTTTCCTAGGTAGTTGTTAGAAATGAAATAATATAATCCTTGAATTGTCCTCAGACGTCAATGTCTCCAGTCTGGCGAGACACCCCTTGCGAAAAACCTGGAGGCTGGCGCCTTTGCCGCTTTCTGCCCGAGCTGCAACGACATCATCGCTCGCTGCAAAAATGGGTGTTCTCGGCTTTTGCCCGCCATGACTTCGAAATTTTGCTTTTTGCACAACCAAGAGCCATTCATCCCACCATTGACAATGGACTGAGTATTATTACATATTATGGATGAGTCTCATGCCTCTTCTGATCTCGACCACTCATCTATCATCATTATCAGATCCTCACATTCTTTCCAAAGCTCCCCGCGTTTGACCGTCCAAGCTCAATAAGCACACGACCTCCCGTCGACCCTTCAATCGTCAGGAAGGATATCTCATTTCGCGAGAGCTTCGCAGATATTGCAGAACTTCTACCGTTTCGTCTCGGCCCTAGCAATGGCCTCGAAGGGCCTCCAAATGCCGCCAGGAATGGACCGTCGGAAGTCGTCAACAGCTCACTATAGCTCGTTTGCCGTACCTCCTCCGAGAAATCGAGGGCGACCACCAATTTCCCCAACAGGCTCCGGTGGCTTCGATGGTTCTACGAATGCTCCAAGTAATGGCGGCGACGGAGATCATGATCCTCACAACTCTCCTCTGCCGACGAAACAGCTAGTGATACTAGCTATTATTGCTCTGGCAGAACAAACAGCACTCAATTCAATATCGCCATACCTCCCAGAGATGACCTCTACCTTCCCCGAAGTCGATGTTGGGCAAATAGGACTGTACGTTGGGACAATAGCTTCGAGCTTCGCCTTGGCACAGTTTGCGACAAACTTCTTTTGGGGCTGGCTGTCGGATCGCATTGGGAGGAAACCAGTCGTCATGCTGGGGACTATACTCACTGCTGCATGCTTTCTGGGTTTCGGCTTCTGCAGGACGTTATGGCAGGCTATAATGGTACAGGCGCTCATGGGGTTGGTCAATGGGAACCAGGGAGTCATTTCAACATGTCTGGGCGAGATCACGGACAGGAGCAATCAGAGCAAGGCATTTGTTTATCTGCCAGTCATATATGGAATTGGTGGGATCACTGGGCCGGCTGTGGGAGGGTTACTGGTGTTCCAGGAACATCCATTCAGGAAGGGCGTCAAGAATCCGTATCCATATCTCCTACCGAATCTGTTCTCAGCTGTCATACTGGTTATCGACCTTGTTTGCACGGGATTCTGGCTGGAAGAGAGCTTGGAAGAAGCAAAGGAGCTTCCACCCCTCAAGAAAAGAGTTGGCAACCTATTTAGCTGGATCTGGCAATTCACGGGTGGATCACATCGGCCTACATATCTGCGCAGTCGAGGACATCGGGATTCGAGACATCGAGTGGATGGCGGGGTGGATGGGTCAGACGACGAGACCTCAGATCAAGACAGCGAACGCCAATCTCTTCTATCCATACCTGAGATCTTCACCAACAATGGCAATCACTTGTCAAGCAAGGAAGTGTTGAACAGAGACACGATTATTCTGCTGAGCACGTACCTTGTATTTCAGCTTTCGAACATCTCGTACAATTCTCTGTACCCTATTTTCGCTTCCTCTCCAATGCCAACAGGCCGCGAGCTTTCACCCGAAGAAATTGGTCTTTCCCTCTCCTTTGCAGGTATCGTGACAATTGTATTCCAAGTCGGTATCTTCGGGAAGCTGAAAGAAAAGATGGGAAACAAACGCACATACCGCGCAGGGTTATTCCTATTCTTTATCTCCATGATGATGATGCCATGGGTTGGTTACAACGATTCGCGTCCTCTGTTTGGTCTAGGCACAGGCAAAATCTGGTTGTGGATCGAGTTGGGTTTTGTGCTGCTTGTCAAAACCGTTGCCGCAGTGGGGGGGCTGACAAGTGCTTTGTTGCTAGTAAGTACTGATGCAAGAAATAACTAGATTGACTCTGGGCTCCTCCTATACATACTAACATCAGCTCCTGTAGATCACGAACTCAGCACCCAATCACTCAGTCTTAGGTACACTCAACGGGCTCGCCCAAACCCTTTCCGCAGCCGGCAGAGCAGCAGGTCCTTTCCTCTCAGGAGGCCTCTTCTCCATCGCCACTCGTGTACATCCCAAAGGCGAAGCATTAGCATGGGGAGTCTTCGGCGGCATCGCATTTCTCGGATGGCTAGCCAGTTTCGGCATTCGAGGCGAGGGACTCGAGAGCGCTGAATTTGATGAGGAGAATGGAAGTGGAGAAGAGGATGATGACGATGACGAGTATAATGATGACGAGGATGATGCCGGTGTGGGCAGACGGTAGGCTCAGGTGTACAGAATTGGTTGATGGCGCGGCGTTTTGGTGTTTGTCTCGGGATAAAAGGCATAGCGGTAGATGGTTACATGGCATAGATGATACACAGACTGCCGTCAGCGGCTGGTTTGGTAGAGCGGAGTATTGATATTATGCATATTGAACCAAATGTCACTCAAAGTTGTGTATGGGCAAGCTGCTCTCGAAAGTTCAAGATTTGCTCATTCTTCCAGATACGGGCCCAACATTATCGTAGAAAATGCTACTTCCATTGTCGTAATTTTTGGTAGCAATATGTTGGTTTGTTCACTTTTGACATTAGTAAAGCCGAGTTGCTAGGTTTAATAGCAGTTTTGAAAGATAAAAAGACTCTGACAAGGCTATCATTCGCCGCAACAAGGACAACAGCAACAACGGCAACAACACATCCTCCTGTACCATGTCCGCTCCGCCATCCCACCAACCTCGACAAACGACGCCGGAGCCGGTCGACATGCAGCTGAAGGCACAACCGGCCCAGACAATTGTGGAAGCGGCGACAGGAGACGAGAAGGAGATAAAGAAGGAAGAAAGACGAGCTTCGCTGAACGTCGTTATATACTCTTTGTAAGTAGAAGACTAGGTACTGATCATGCCATTAGGATTGCTCTCAAGAAAGATTGTCGCCGCCGATCAACGTGAATGGAGTAAAATGGCTTGAGGCTCATAGAGTGGATAGCAGTTGAGCTTTGAGATTCACTTTTAAACAGAATAACGCTTGCTGCTCGATCTTAGAGAGCGACTTGATAGAGATATCAACCGATTCACTTGTTGCTATCTGCTCTTTGGAGGTAGGAAGACTACTGGTGAAGTAATGAATCTTCAAACTTGTTTGAGAAGTCTATCGGGTCAACCTTTTTCCGATCGTCTATATAACGATAGAATCTCTGCCTTGAAAATCTTTTTACAAAGCTTCTGAAGGTGTCAAAGGTTTATAATCACACGACCAGACAGATCACCCGGATCAGATGGCGGCTGGGTCTGCTTGTCTTGTGATTTTCTTTAGGGGCCGGGATATGGGTGGCTGGAACTGATATCTGTTGTTCTCAAGTTATTTTTTGTTGTCAATCGTTTGTATGCTGTCAACTGTTGTTTTGTTGTCAAGATTGGCATATTGTGAGTGAACAACCAGGTCAGTATGAGACTTAACACCCGGGTTCAAAGCTGAGCGAAGAGTAGACGTATAGTTGTCTGCTGTGACAAACGCCCCGGGACCTGGTCAAGTTTGCGCTTCAAAACCGCGATTAATCCTTGATATGGTTTCCATAGGTGTAGGATTATGCGTTTGTTCATACACGAACATATCTTCCGTTATATACCAGATTCAATAAAACGTTCGCTCGACCTATCCTACCTCCGAAGACATTCACTAATTGCACACTTGGATTAGAAATTGAGAAGAAGTGAATATTGAAAGCCTTATGTCAAGCTTCGCCTTTCGCAAGATGGGCGCTCAAAAGCCGTCTTGCCTTTGTGGACAATCTAACGGTGAGCTTATGTGCTCTTATGTGCTCTTGGGTTGCGGCTCACTCGGCTCAGGGCGGCATTGGCGTTCGGGTTGTTTTCATGTTTACTGCCTTTGTGTTCTAGCCGCTTCATACTGTGGTGAAGATGTGCTTGTTGTCATGCTCTTGCTTGTGGTCGGATTTTGCGTGTTGTCAATAGTACATTGTTATCACATCTTAGAGAAAGTGAATGTCTGATTTGCTGCCCAAACATTGAAGTCCTGAAAATGGTGGACCAAGATAGGACATTCTCCAGCTCATTCTCGAGAAATCTTGATTCACTACTTTTGAGAATGAAAAGTCCTCAAAACGTTTGAATTTTAAGGTATAAGTAATTAGAAGACATATGATTGATGTCTATACAAGAAATGAAGCACGCTCCTCTCCCATTCAAATTTCATGTCCTATCCACCTTATGCAAAAACAGAAGGGTAAGCATTAGTGACTTCCACGATCGCAGGTCCAGCAGCTACCGTATCATCCGTGATCCTGTCCTTGCAAGCAGTAAGAACAACATAGCTCTGTCCATTGACACCATTTGGCACAACAGTCGTGAAGCCACCCTCAATAGCCATGGCATCAGAATAAATTGGTCCAGTGACAGTGATGAACGCAGCATAGATTGGCGTATTCTCATCAGCAGCCTGCAAAACGTATCCTAGAGTCTCCAAAGTGATAGTCTGGCCCGAAACAATGGTACCACTTGTGCCGAGAGCGACGGAAGGGAAAGCCTTGAGGGGCAACATAGGCTTGGCAGTGTTGGCAGATGGGCAAGAAACTATGAAGCCAGCGGCGAGGGTATAGACTTCGTCGAAGTCCAATGGATCGTCGAATGGTTGCGGGAAAGGCGATTGATCGAGAGCAGCGCGGATGTATGAGCTGTGGCGCGACTCGACGGTCAGTATGGAGCCTGCGTCTGTGAGGTAGGCCTTATTGGCGATGGAAGCAGCGGCTCCTAGGTACGCTGAGACTCCAACGCCTTCGAGGACGGATGCTAGGGCGACGAAGGACTTCGGGTCCGTGGAGGGGAAGGAGTAGGTGCACTCTTCGACTGCGGCAGCGCCGAGGGCGGTGCTGAGGAAGGAGACGTGGGTGGTTTCGTCGAAGGAGATCTCCTTGAGGTTATCGTAGAAGGGATCTGCGAAGCCGGCGGCGATGAATTCGGCTTGGGTGTAGTTGGCGAGACCTTCGCGGTAGAATTTGTCTTCCAGGTGCTCCAGAGTCAATGCGTAGTTCAGGATGCCGACTGTCAGGTGTAAGTATGATACTGTGATTGGGCATATGGAGGCTTACCATCAGTGACGCCTGCTGCTTGTCTTTTGGTGATAGTGCCAGCAGATACGAGAGCTGCAAGAGCAGCGAGAGAGAATGCGTGCTTCATTTTGAGAGAATGAATGGTGTAAAAGAGTGACTAAGTGAGTGAACGAGAAGATACTTCTAGCAAGATATTATGAACGAGGAACAAGTTTAGGAGGAAGATGGGAAAGTGAGGAGACAGCTTCTTTATAAATTCTTCTCAAATGAGTTCGGGCATCACCTGGATGGCCCCGAAGCCAACAAACTCACTATGGACATTGAGTCCCCTTTCGAGCTACCATGTTTATCAGATCGAGCTACTCCACACTTTCACACCGTTAATGCCAACCGTTTCTGGATGGGAGGAGACAAGGAAATTGCATCCCGAATTTGGAATGCGATCTTCCCGCAAAGTTCTACTCGGCTCGTGGGACATCCGTCTTCATCTCTTCAACAGTGCTCGAGACCCTCATGCTGATTGGATCGTATACAAGGTCTGGAGAACTTCAGTACCGGGTCCTTGGGAGCATGCACTTGGGGAAATGATGTGTGGCAACGACCAATGAGAGGGGGCTGCGAGATGAGCCTCGACTTAAGCTTAACAGTAGCGTGGACTAAGGGACGATCTTGTGCCCGATTCATGGTGACCAAGGAACTTTTGCAAGCCGATTTCGCGCATGCCAAAACTCGGCAGTCTGGAATGTGATGATGTCGTGGCTTTGTGACTCGCTTGAGTCCTCGGTTGACCCCTTTTCTGACTGAATGTTTCGGATAGATGCAGAGTTTTGCTGAAGACAAACATTAAAAGCCTCTGTTGTGTGGAGGAGGAGTTCTATAGAGAATTGGAAGAGAAAGCGCAAAAGCAAGACAATTCTTACCTCTAATTGCGTCTATTTAAGAGCACTGAGCAAAAAGTGCAGACGTGTCTCTGGCATTGAGGTAGCACGTGATTGAGCTATTCAGAGTTCCATGTCTCCGAGTCCTAAACAGCTGCTTCAAGAGTGCTTGACAACCTCTCTACGACGTTGTCTGCCCAGACCTATAGCGGAAGCCTCTGCGAGTGTCTCTGCCCAACAAAGGCGGAGGCTCACGTGCACTTTTCTGGAATGGAATCATCTTCTCGGTCCCAAGAAAAGAAACGGCTGAGCTATCGTCATATATGATCATCTTTAGGGATGATCAGATTGCGGCTGAAGTGAGAAGTGGGGATGCGTGGGCTGGCGTGGGATGTTTCATATTTTCATCTGAGCTGATCCCAAATATCCAACCAGACTGCTGGTACCAAGTCTGAGGTTCCTTCCGTAGGCGACCAGCAGGTCAGCGGGAGGGCGGAGTTGCTGGAGCTTTCTTTGTCATGATATTATTCATGTATCCCGAGAATAGTTTTGGGGCGAAAAGAAAGGAGAGAGAATATACGGAGTACGGCTTGTGGAACCCTCCTAAGCGCGGAGCGCTTGTTTGTTTCTCTCGCCGAAGTTTGCGCTGGTTCTCGATTACCTGCATCACCACATCCTGCCTCCTGCCTACCTCTTGCCTCACCTCTTGCCTCACCTCAACAATACGATCGTGCAGCATATGATGTGCATACGATAACCGGTCTTCTCTTCTTTCTCCTTTTGCGACCGTCCTTTGTAGCAGCATGTCGCTGCCTCGGGGCTCTCGTCATTTGCTTCGAGTTCACTCCACACATCTGCCTACCAACCCTCAGCTCATCATGGTTGAAACACCGACGTCTGAGGCATCGATGACTCCAATGCCGAGCAAACTCACGATGCTCAACCCTCACGACATATCATATCTGTCACCAATAAGACGGAGAGGCTCGTAAATAGGGCTGAGCAAATGTGGCTACTGAGCGTCAGCACTTGAACGATTCGCCACACGGCGCTTGCTGGGTTGCGGCCGATACGGATAGGAAATTTTGTGTCCTTCTCCGACGAAAGTATCTTTCTGATTTCAGGATCCACGGCTTGATGATTGACGGGCAGCCACAATCAAGGGAACAATGCTCATCCGTCAGTCAAGTACCCGTCGGTTCCTGCGCTGGCGTTCATGCAAGGCTGTTGAATGGTGCAGGCGGCATCGATTCCTGCTTCTCGATCCGACCCCAACGGATCTGGAATCGCAAACCATCCAGTCGGTGTAAACAGCGAGCATTTGGACAGAGACCTTTTTTGTACGTATCTTTTTTCGTTGCAGCTTCTCAAATCTTTTTCATCCTTAGCATGTCGGAGGCCACTTCTGACAGGCTAAAAATGGATGTCAGCACCAAAATACTCGCGTGTCGTTGCCATAAGTCTTCCTCATATGCGTCTACTCGCTTTTCCTTCTCACCAGTCAACGTCCAGAAGTCCTCATGTTCAAAGAATCCCTTATAGATATTAAAAAGTCGAAATTCCATCCGTTCACTACGGACACGGATTAGGATTTCCTGCCTAATCCCTCGTTCAAGTCGGACGATGGCTCAGACGTCCAGGGACCAGGGCCAGCACCGAGCTGTAGCCATACATATTCAAGGACGGAGCTTCGATCACCAGAGTGAGACACTAGCACGTGGCTCTAAATGTTCTAGTAGTTTTCTAGTTACACGGGGCTGAACGAAACGGTGCCTTATTCAGGCTTGGAATTCATTGTCCCTTGTCCCTTTACGCTTGCCTCGAGTTACATTCTCCAGTATTTCTTGGATTTCTCGTCTTCATGACCAGCTTTACATTTGACTCACTCGTCCTGACGTATCCACTCTAGTGAGATATATGGCATTACCACTCCCACTAGTTCGTATTCCTCTATGGGGTACCGGACTGCGGTCAATATCTCGGATTCTTATCTCTATACACGATCGTTACACATTTCTGAAGGCTTCTTTCTATGCTTCTTTCCATGTTCATGCGTATCCATTTTAGTATATATTGTTACTGTACCTCCTTTGCTATTTCCGTTACGCTCATCCTACAGACCTGTATCAACATAGCCTTCTACTGTCAATTTCTCTCCCAACGGAAAATTTGGAAGGCGTAGTCACAGAGGGGAGACCGTTTATCTGGCCCAAATCCGCGTACTCAATCACACGCACTGCCACGAGTGCCGCATCCTTCCTCGCCTTTAAGAAGTGCCGAGAATCAATTACTTGAATTCAACATTTCAACACTCGCATCAAGAGATCATCATTAAGACCCATATCATCATGCCTCCTTCAGGAAGTTCTAGACGATCCCAGGGCGGCCACAGTTCTTCTAGCAGAAGATACACGACCCAAGTGAGTCACGGGCTGTTTTTCGTAACTACCCCTCCTTTTAACCCCTCATGAGAACGGAATGGACCTTCACTTCTGCTGGGAAATTCATGTCACAAGAAATCATGTCATCTCATATAATATCCCTCATCTTGTGGCATGTGACAAGATTCTGACTAAATTATAGCAGAACATCGGCGACATCATTCAATCTTTGAACACACACCGAGTCAATACTCTCACCGAACTCTGTCGTATTGAGCGTATAGCTGCTTCCGGGTCCGAGGATGACCAGCTCGCCTTCCAAGAGCCCATGACCTCGGCTTGGAGTTATTATGTCAACTCCAACCAAATGCTCAATGAGCTTCGAAACCTCACACGCGACTACCCCTTTAGTAGCGATGTTTTGGACGATGCCAAATGGAGAGTAAGCAACGACCCTGCGAGCAATCGCACATGGAACTATGCTTGGTTGGTGTTGATCAAAATGAAAGACGAGTAAGTTCAGGAAATGCCTGCAGTTGACTACAATTCTGACTTTCGCTGCAGTGAAATGATTGAAGCCTACGCAGCTTCTGAAGCAGCCAAACCCGAAATGTGGGCTGGACGAACACCTGATGACGAGGAAGCACAGCAACTTGCTGCTTGCTTCGCTTATGCTTGGAATTCAGCTCTAGAGCAGATGTTGCGCCATTGGGATACTGCCCCATCTAGAACTGGCAACTGAACACTGTTCACAGACTGTTGCTTTTCAAAGCAACATCAGAAGGATACGAGATACACGAGCCACGGGGCGTATGAATCAATAGATCTCTTTGTTTTTCTGCTATGATTTTTTGAATTTCTGGGATTTCTTTAGCGATTGATGCATAGCGTGCAGGAGCAAGGATACTGGGTTTCTTTTGGGAAGCGTATCAAGGCGCAAAGCGATGGATCTCATTTTCTGTTTTCATTCATTTCTACACTATCGATTTTTGTTTCGTACCTTCCTGAAATATGAATGCCACTCATTCTTGCTCCGCCATCAAATACTTCTTCATTGACTCAATAACTCGTGTTTATGCATAGTTTCCAGGCTTTCAACTTTCCTTTCGTGTTGCTGTCACTTGACCAGATAAACTCACAGTAACCTTCTGACTCGTTGTTCGTGTCGTCCTTCGCGCTTGTCGATAAACTCTCGTGTTCATCTAACAGCGCCTCATTTATGCATCTTCGCTTCCCGCTTCCCCAATCTCCCACCGAAAAAATTGACCCCCAGCCCTACCCGGGCACCGCAGCCTCAAGTAGAGGCACGGACTTCCTTTCGATCTATATCCAAAACTCCCACGAATCTGGTACGACGATCCTTCCTCCGTTGCAACGCCTGTGCCTTCCCTTTGGAAATAAACTATATCTTCACTTTCTATTTCCGCAAGTTTGTGGGGGCGGGCGGGCCAGGTTGCCAAGCCCCTTTTTCTCAAAACCCCTCAAATTTCAATTTGTACCAAGTGGCAGTGAAATCAGGGTAGCACGAAGACATGTTGCACAAGGCCGATTTGAAGGCTTTCTTCTGTTCTGCTCCTGTTCGCCATTTCTGGGATATTTCGATCGACGGAAATTTCCCAATCGGTGGATTTCGGTGGCCGAATGGGCACGTGATTGTTTGGATGCCGAAGGACTGCAGAGTTGCAGTTGACATAAGATGGGGGCGGGGCTTAATCTAAGATACTTCTGCCCTGATTTTTATGTTGTATGTATGTTGGTAGGGGCGTTCGTGACTCTCCTCGAGCGGCCGTTCTGTGGCACGTCTTTGTTTCCGAAGCCATCGTCACTTCATCTCGAGGAGAGGCCTAGTTGAGCGGCACATTTGTGTCATTGCCTGCTCCTGATGCTACTCTGTCTGGGGCTTTCACGATGTCCGTACTTTTCAGTTTGTGGGTAGCTGTTCCTTCTCTGTGAAGGAAGAGAGTGCTGTTCCCGTCTTCTGTGATAGTTGCACCCTTCCTGTTCTTTGGAACCCAAGCTTTCGAGCTTGGGAACGCAATTTACGGATAGTTGCTTCCGCACGGCTTCACCACATTCATGCATGGTAAGGAAGCTTGTCATTTGAGTTATATCTTCCAGTCTTAGCGGGGCATGGCAAGTGGTCACATGGCCATGATTTGCAGGCAGAAGGAAGCGTCGGAAATTGAGTCTCCAATCCTTTTGAGATCTCGGTGGAAGCCAGGCCTTCCATTTCCTCTCCAAAGTCATCTGAAAGATTAGATGACAGCAATTGAGTACTGTCAATAATCTGAAGACCATTGGGAGTCCTGAAAAAAGGAGTGAAAGAAGAAGCGGCACTTGGAATGTGGCAAGATGCTGCTCAAGGTTTCGTGAGTTTCTGCAATCAGTCTTCATCAACTGTTTCAAAACACTGTTACTGACGATTCATGTCGTACTAGGACATGAAATTTGGTCATTATAGTGCTACGAATTGCCTACGTACCTAGGTATTTTACAGAGCAAGCAGCAAGCATGGTCACGTGCTCACATGCTTCTCGACACTCCAAGGCTGTGTTTCTCATATCTTGTCGTAGTGGATCTACTTCTGCAAGTCGGCATCGGTCAAGAGATCCTAACGCCTTGAGATTCCCATTCGGGTATCCCTTTCTTGATTCCTGAAAGTTTTCTCGTTCAGCGCATGTAGCGCCAAATGCGCGGGAAGCGCAAATCCCGCAAATAGCGCAGATGGCGCGGAAAGCGCTGAGCGCGCTCATGGCCAGTGTGCTATTTGAAGACAATCCACTTCAGAGTGCTTCTTGTTTGGAAGTCGTACAGTGTATCCCCCTGATCATACAGTTTCTTGCCACTCGACTATTTTACTTTAATTCAAAGAAGAGCGAACTTATACCGTTGTAAAGTTTGAATTGCTGACAGACTTTCCATATTTCTACAAGTTCTGTCTATGCACTCGAAGTAGCATGCTTCTATATTCCTGGCGCGCTAGTGTATGATTAGGGGTACATTGTATATCAATCATCTTGTTTTAGGTATGCTCACTTGTCAAAGTTTCGTTGTTTGGCGAAAGCATTGCATAGATGCCGGGTCACATTATCGGACGATAGTCTGTGTTTCTTGAAGAATATAGACATTACCTCTTGTTACTTGAAGCTGTAAAGCCCAGTATATAGCTGAAGAAATTCGTCGAGTTTTTTCCGAGATATAAATTCCGATGTCAATCCTGCATAATAGAGAGATTTTCCCAACAGACTTAATGCTCTTTCTGCCACCACTATTTTTTCCCAAATTTCTATGGGGTGCAGCTTTCACCAACCTGATATAATAGTTATACTTCCGCGCTGTAGCCAAAAAGTAAATTGCCAACTCTTTTCTTCGCAAACAAGTTCATGTCCGTGGCCTGAGGGGCCATTCTCGCTGCCAGTATGAGCGAAATGTCGATGAGACTAGGTATCTCGAAAACTTTAGATCTCGAGAGTTCTGGGCAATTGTTAGTCTAAATTCCCTGCTGATTCTTCAGATCGATGTCTACGATGTATAGCGAAGTAAGTGGATGCAACTTTTTGTATATCAGGTTGATGTAGATGAAGCTTCATTTGGTTTCACTAAGAATCGGTCGTAAGTTTTCAGTATTAGGAGGAAGAATACCTTTCATGGCAAGGACTATCTTTGGTCTTTAAACATAAGAAATGCCTCATAGCTACCCTTCATTGTACGACTTGAGCGCTAAACCAGAGCCTTCTTTGTTTTGTCTCAGTTCGGAACGCTCTCGCATTGGCCCTCTAGACGCGCGCTCAAATGTAAGACCCCGCATCCCAACCCGTTGAACACTCAACTCCATACTTCCAGGAAGTAATCGACATCTTCCGGGACTCAATGAGGACCACGTCGTATTCGAATAATAGAAGCGTAGTTGATTCATGTCGAATCGGTCTCTTAAGCGTATGGTTTTTTCCGCCCGGCTCCGACTTTCGAAACGACGAGGCTGCGGGAGCCTTGTCTTACGATGAACCATGTCCTCTGATCTTGACAATTGGCACATCAATGCGACAGTCTACGATGACCGAGTCGAGGAGCTACATTTTATATCAGACCCTGCGAAGAGAGTTAGGAGGAAACCGCACACGAAAGTATGGCAGGTGGAACGACTTCTTGGTCGCGGGAGCTTCGGCGAGGTTCGCTTGGAGAAAAACAGAGGTGACGGGACGGCTAGGGCTGTGAAGAAAGTGCATACAGAAAGCTCTACTCTTAGTAAGAAAGAGTGTGAGCAAGAGTTGAAAGCTCTCCTGGAGTTTTCGAAACCAAAGGCAAGTTCTCCCCACAATATATTCGTCGCAGAGTCGTCCTGATCCTCGTAGTCAAAAGAGGCTGCTTGTTTTGTCGAGTTCTTCGGATGGTTCCAGCATGGATTCGATATATACTTGGCAATGGAGTACGTCGAGCTTGGGGATCTCGAGCAGAACATCAAGGCACGGTCTGGGAGACTCCCTGAGAATGAAGTGCGAAGTATCACGGAACAAATACTATCTGGACTCGCAATCATGCATGCACAATCCTTCGCGCACCGAGATCTAAAGCCACAGGTGTGATTATAGTCCGTCGAAGGTTTGAGTACACGTTGCTAATGTGCCCTAGAACATCCTGGTTGTCGTCGGACCACCAGACTGGTGGATAAAACTTGCCGACTTCGGGCTCAGCAAACGTCTAATTGACGCCTCAGTCTATAGAACTGCTGTTGGAACTCAATCGTACATAGCCCCTGAGATTCTCAGATACCTTGATTCAGTCTCAGGTTACACGAATGCGGTAGATTTGTGGTCTGTTGGATGTATTGTCTACCGATTGATCAGCGGTATTGTCCCTTTCCCTCCAGGGGCAGATCTTTTCAGATATTGTCAGAATAAAGCCTTATTCCCTGGTGTTTCTCTGGTAAACAGTGGTATCTCAGCCAGTGGATTGCTTTTTGTACAACAAGTCCTTATCACAGAGCCAGCCGAGAGGTTGACGGTGTCCCAAGCCTTGCAACATCCTTGGATATCAGCAGGTAAAACGGCCCTAGGAAGAATTACTCGTACCTCGAAGAGGATTTGCTAACACACATGCAGATCCTAAAGTCACTGCCGTTTCTCTCGATGCTTCCAATCTGTCTATTGAATATTCGGAACGGGATCCTTCCCATGTCGCTTTCCCCAATAATAGGTATAGTCCAGTTTCATATGCTGGACTCCAGTCCTTCCAGTCATCGGTATCTGCTCAGACCATTTTGCCCCGAGTCACAAAGTCAAGTCCATCGAGACCTTCTTCATCAACTGTCAGACCATCGACTCTTGCCAGCTTTTCGTCGCCAGACATCGTTCGAGAGGATGGGTTTGCAAACTCACGTGTCAGCTTTGGTGAAAATCCCGAGGGAAAACGGTTTATGGATCGTTGGAAACGTCAACGACCAAAATCCACAGGGCACAAACTACCAAAGTCCAAGGACCTGAAACTGCGACGTACCGCAGAGTCCAGCACACCTCGGACGATTGCCAAAGATATAGCACCAGCTGGCAGTGGCGAGGATAACCTTTGGAACAAATTAGGTGGAGTTTTCGTGAGAAAAGCGGACACTGTATTCTCAACAGCAGCTTCAACACCAGGAACGGATACTAAAGGATCCTATGACCTTCCTCCTAGAAGAAAGGTGGCAATCGATTTCAAAGGGTTTTGCGGTCCAATTAGAGCTCTAGCCTTTTCGCTAGACGGTTCGTCAATGACAGTTGTATCTGATGAAGGCTATGAGCTCTGGAATGTGGCAGAAGGGAAACTTTGGAAGGCACACAAAGACTCTGCCTTCAATATACCTGGATGCAGATCTGTGAAGCTTTCGCCTCATGGAAACCTCTTTGCTTGTGCCGTGAAGGGCGAAATGGCAGCCAGAATTTGGGAAATAAACGCGGAGCCTATGCGGGACTACTCTACCCTTAAACTACAGGACAATTACAAAGTTCAAGATATAACATTCTCACCGGACAGCACTTTAATTGCCATCGCTTCCGAATACATCGATCTATACAACACCAAGACGAATAATTTTAACCGAACGTTCGCGAGCAACTGTGAGGGCTCCATCAACCACATATGTTTCTCACCAAACGGCAAATTCATCGCTGGTATATCCGACGGGTGGAAACATGAGTTTTCGAACAACAAGATTCGTTACTGGGACATAGCGGACCAAGCACTCCATCAAATCGATTATCACTATCGAACTCCCATCACCTGTCTTGCTTTCTCGCCAGACAGCAGACTGATCGCTGCAGCATCTATGCCAGGCTCCATTCGACTCTGGGATTTTGCGACAGGCCAAATGACACTGGCATTGAGCTGCAACGACAGATTCAGCAAGATTTCATCCTTGACTTTCTCGCCGAATGGCCAGCAGTTGATCGCGGTCGATGAGGGTCGTCTGAGTGGCAAAGCTGTGCGTCTTTGGGGCTTCGTGACGGGAGATACGTATGATCTTGATAGAGGTCATTCGTCTTGGATCAATGATGTAGTCTTCTCACCTAATAGCAAGCTCATTGCTACCGCGTCGTCTGATAAAATTGTTGGGCTTTGGGACGCGGCGACGGGGCAGATTTGGAAAGATTTCAAGGATAATACTGGCACAGTTACTTGTGTAGCATTTTCCCCGGACAGCAAGATCCTTGCTTCGGGCTCACTTGATGAGACCGTTCGACTTTGGGACATATGAAGGGCTTGGTTGTCAGTCGAGGTTCAGAACTGTGGAAGTGTCGGTTCTATGTTGCGCTTGAGCTTGTAGGCTTTATCTTTAATATGCAATCGGAGTATGAGCGTGGGGTAGATGCGGGGTACATGGAAGCGGCGTTACAAGAGTAATTTACAATTGTTCACAGCTAGTCCTGTTCTAGATACCACAAATATTCTTCAATCTGAGAGCCTGCCGTTGATTGTGGTGGTAGCTTGCATCAACTTTGATTAATTCATCCACATTTCCACAGATGCGATGGGCAGCTTGAGAATCCAAGCTTGAAATCACCAAGCCGAGGACTTCCACTATTTCACGTTGAACAAACTTCACTCTATCACAAAAGATTACCCTTCGAAGTCTCACCTTAAAGGAATGCAAATTTTGTGTTCTGGGTGCGATGTATTCGAACCAAAGAGGTAAAAGTTCGCCATCGTCAGAACAACATTGTTGCAGTTATTCACTTATAAGATTACTCTTCGAAAGTCACAACAACCTCGTTGCAATTAATTCACTTGTAAGATTACTTTTCGAAAATATGAGACTACTTCAAGAACTCTCATCATGAATGCTTCCTCGAAGTATATATACTCCCATCATCGTTCAATTCCACTCTTCAACAGCAACAGCGATGACGACAAAGACGATGAGGAGTTGGATCCGCCTGTGTAACCCATCAGGATCGTTCCCCGGGTCTGTAATTCTTCAGTCTGAGGATCGAAAGTACAATACAGGAGGCTCGCAAAAACGAAATCAAAGTTGAGACCATGGGATGACAGCAGGAGAACAGTTGACAACAAATTTGATACGTTGAACAGCCTGTAGACAGTAACATGTTAATTATTTGTCCATCATGGGAGACTCTACGGTGTAACGGGCTCAACACTCAACTTCCCAACCAATCTTGTGCCGGGGGCTCGTATTGATTTCCATATTCTCTTTCCGCATCCTCGAAACACTTGCTTATATATACTACGAAAGATTCCTTCACAGACTCAAATCGAAAAAAAAAAATAACCTTTGTCTAGTTTATTCACTGTTCCCGTGTTTTAAACTTGATTCGTGGTTCGATAATCGCATTCACTCTCAGAGCAATTTGAACCCCCTTCCAAGACAACGCCCTTACGCTTACTTCTACCGAATTATAAAAGCATCCATACGAGGCGCGGTATTTCTGATCTGCAATAGTTATTTGGTAACAAGCAGAGGGTTTCCGAATCAAGCTGTACATACAGACACGCTTTGGATACTCTAGGATCTCGGCGTGATTCAGGTTTTTGCATCTTTCATTGTGGATGAGTGAGGAATTGATCCATCCGAAGTTTTGCCAAAGATTGACAACGAAAATAAAATCTGTAACGAGAAGTCTTTTAGATCTTCTGTTCAGAATCTCAATTTGGGTGAAAGCGAGATGATCTCACATTTAACGATACTAGCTGGCATCCTCATCCTAGATTTCGATTCTGAACGTTCAATTGGGAGAAGCTGTACTGGCTGAAGAAGTTGTTTGTTTGTTCGTGAAAGTTTGCGTCTGCTCAAGAAGGGCAATATATACTTGTTTGACGAGTTTAAGATTGAATTGGAGACACCGATCAAAGCCAACGACGTTCCAAGATTCACTCTTTTTACGTACCTGACTGCACTTAGCAAAGCCTCGCCACGATCAGAATAGAAGTATAAATACTCCTCTTCGTTGATTCACGAGCATCTCATAAGATTCGGAACTCAATCTGGAGGAAAAGAAAGTGTGTGCTTCCCAGCATGCTAAACTCAAGTCAATATCTCTTCCCGTTGATATTGAGACTACAGTTATAAATCCAAAAGTATTGTTACTGTTCGCCTCATTTCCTGCTTCTAATTACTGACCAGTGTGGGAGAGATATGGTGACGATGGAGCAAAACACTTGACAGTCACAAAAAAGTTGACAACAATCAACAACAAAGTCTTCTTGTCGTCTGTTCAGAGTCAATTTGGCTGAAAAGGATATGAGCGTATACCAGCATAACAAAGGTAGGCTTCAATATTACAAACTTGGCGCCCTAATCACTCCTCTAATGAGATTAAGATGAGTGGAGTGTCAGTCACTTGTCGGGAGTGGGAAATGTTCGGCCGTCTGCACATATGTATAGTCTTCCTTGGATGGATTGTGGGAAAGGATTGACTTGCAAGTTCACTTGCTGTCTACATTCTTGACTGCGCACAGTTTGGTACTTCTGTTTCACCTCATCTCCTTATTCTGGCACTTCTGAAACAACTAGCTCTGTATTTGTGAGAGGTGAATTCTGATAACGCCGGTTCCGGTGGTGGCAGAGAGATGGTTGATATGAATAAGTCAATTGCTTTCTAGTAGGTATTATGCAAGTATATCTGCTCCATCTGTGAACACATCATGTGGTTGTGGGTTGCTTCTTAGCTAGGTCAGGATAGATCTGGTGACTAATTGCTAGGCTTGGTGTCGTCTCGGGCTATGGAGTATCATTGAAACGAAAGTTGGAAGGAGGAAAAGTGTTGATAACGGAGAACAATGTGGTGATAGGTAGAATTTCACCTCAGGCTATGCCCAGCTGTCGATTTTGTCGAATCCTGGGTATATCCAATCTCGGACCTATATACATTTCTTGTCTCATGTCAGATTTGACATGCGCAAAAGGCAAAGTTTCATTGTCTCTCCACTCAACATTTTGACAAATGTCGACAGCAACCCAACTTTGACAACCAAAACAATCTGATGACACCAACAACAATCCCTCAGACCTCGCATCTCCACATTTTCAAACCAAGCCACCACATACTACCCAGTCCCGATGCATCACCAGTCCCGGCTGAAGTCCATAGCGCACAGTATAAGCTAGAATGTGATGGATACTTTTCTTAACTGGAGCGTGAGCGCTGATTATATCGTCACTAGCGTGCCGCTAGTGGGCTGTCTGCATAATGAATCAATTCGAGCAGTGACTCGAATTCCAGACTGGAAATAAATTCACTCTCAGCCTTGCTCGAGTCTCTGCTCTAGCCGTAGGTGGAATTTCAAATAATTAACATCCACCTAAACCCATTAGCTTGAGAGTCATAGAAGACACGAAGAAAACAGCAGAGAGGTCAAGTATAAATAACTCTTGATTGTTGTCAACATGTATGTGCTACCAGTAGTACTGTTCGACATCCTTACACTACGACCTGCCTAGACTGATACAAATGTACTAAGGTTATAACGTCTCTGATGGAGAATCATGCACCTAACATTTCTTGGTATCCTGGGTGAGTTCGGCATGCATCATCCTTTTTGTTTGACCTTCCAATAAAGCGCAAAACCGCGTTTATATCGTCGCTAGCGCCGTTTAGCTGCTCGTGTATGGGCTTGAAGTGAATTTCTCCACTACATCATTGCACTACATTCACCAAGTTTGGGTGTCAATATGAAACAAAGGATCAAGAGAGCTGCAACGGTATATAAACGCGTCCTCAACCCGCAGAGCAGTTTGCAAATTCTAAACAACGTTGTTGTCCAGAACCAGATTGAAAGGTCCCGAGGTTCAAAGACGATCTTGTTCAGAAAATAAAAGCGATGGAGCGGGGTCTTTGAGGTCTCGGTGGTTCAAGATAACTCATGACTTGAACATAAGGAAAATGATTTAAGATAAGGATGAGTCTGCAAGTGTTGACAGCAACCAAGAGAAGAGCTTGACAACGAAAACTCATTGGAAAAGATTTGGCAGAGAAGACAGATCACCAGATAGGACGCTCTAGGGTCTCCAGTTCAATCTCCGGAGACTTTCTTCGCCGTGGTGATCAAGGACGAGGCTGTAGGTGTTCTGAAGCTTAGATTTTTGAGGGAGAGACAGTCCAATATATACCTACCGGGAGGCTCTCTTGCAAACAAGGCTTTCAATGGAGCCAAAAGCAGTGAATTTGTTCTGCCTTACTCGCAGTCCATCGAAAAAGGAGTAGGAGGGCAAGGGTATATAAAACCCTCCTCAAACTCCTCAGTAATGAATTCAATAGCGCAAAGTATCGATTGAGCATAGATTTCAGGAGCAAGATCCCGGTGTTCACGATTGATCTTGTTGGAGAAGGAAAACGATGAATCTCACAATCTCGAACTTCCAAAGGAGAATGATTGCTGTGAAAAGGTAGCACAGCGAAGAGATTAGATTGGAAAATGAAAATGGAAAAACCTGACAACATGAAAAGGTTGACAACAACACCTCTAAACCGATAATCCTGGTAAATCACACCTCTCCAACTTCCGCAAATCCACACAAGACAAAAGAAAAACGAAACCCCACTGGTAGAGAAGTGCTGCTTGAGTTCATCATATTTTCAAAAGAAGTGTAGAATACAATTGCAGAATATATACCCCACCTCCACCCCGCTCCAGCTTAGCGTGTTTACTTCAGCAAGGCAAGGACTGTGAGTGAATACCCAACTTCGAATCCACAGCTCAAAAGCTCTCAAATATTCACTCTGTACAGTAGTGAATCCACACCTCGACTAGAACCCACTCAGCCCCGAAACGAAAGCAAGGCATGAACGAGTATAAAAGCTCCACACCTTGCACCTTTACAGGGCAAGAACAAAGTAATGAATGTGACGAAGATTCAGGAGAGGTACCGGGTCCCCAACTCTGCGGCTACATAGTTCCGTCAACGTCAGGGCAGAAGGCGTCGGTATGTGTATGAGGCCTCAACTCAACTCTCCCAAAGAACGACAATGCAGAGAGACTTGACAACAATCCCTTCACAATCTACAACTCCTTCCCTTCAGCATCTTGTTCCCCTCCTCAGTATATCCCTCTTCTCCTCTTCTCATACCCGACCCCGGCGCCTTATCTCCTCTTTAATTTTTCGCGCGTTCCGAATGATGCATGGCTAGGTTGTCGAACTTGTTTCTTATATATTCTTTGGTTTTTGCTTTTGAAGGCTTGGGGATATGAGTGAGGTCTTGATTAGGGTGAAGTTTGAGTTTCTTCGAGCGTGACTCATGAAGGAGTGGGAGGAGGGGGGGAGGGGAGAGGTATAAATACCCCCTTAAACTCCTGAACTTATTATTAGACATGCATTTCTTTCAACTTTCCCTATTGCTAGGGATCAGAGGGAGATCATCGGTGCCACTCATTCACCCCCGCTATTGGAAACTTCCTTGAGGAAGGGGGAAAATAGTTGATGATGTCGAGAAGCTTTTATCTCATCTTGCAGAAAGCAATTGACAACAACATTTCATCTTTGCTGTCAAATCTTCTCGTCCTCTCCTATCAAACACTCCATTCCTCATCCGAATACTATCCAGAAGAACACCATATGCCCCATATAGAAGGTCGGAGACGGAGATAGCGTGAGATCACAGGAACGAGGTCTGGCTCCACTTGTGCTGAATTCAATATGGTTGAGGTGTGCTGTACGAAAAGAAGAAGAAACAGAAGAAGTGGTGCTTATATACCAAATCCAAGAGCCGCGCTTGCCCTTTTACAATTCATATCCACTGATTCACCACACCATAACCTCGAATCAGTACTTCTTCGAATGAAGTCACCCTTGCGACCGATTCACCAGTTCAGAATCTCTACCAAAAACCCACCTACAGAGGCCCTCCCTCGACCGTGACCGTAGAGATATATAAACACCCCAACCCTCCTTTCTTTCCCCCTCTACAAACCATAGAAGTAGCACACATCTATCCATATTGTGGAGGAGGTGGGATTTTTGCGCGAAGATAGCCGGCCGGGCGTTTAGAGAACAGAGTTGGGTCTTGATAGTAACTGCGCCTTTTAGACCGAAAGAAAGATTGGTTGATGGTAGATTCCATTGATGACAGAGAGTTGAGAACAGAAATTCGGTCTGGAGATGGGATGAAAAGGGGTCTGAAAGTAAAAAGTATCACAACACGACAAAAATTCTGGTCCAAAATTCTTCATAAATAAGACAGACATTCAATGACATGAAAAGCAGATCGGTGCTCACTTGAGCCGAACATCCAATATGCATTTCCACGTTTGTCCCAGAAAAGCAGGAATTGAAGTATCAACATTACATTAAAGAGTAGATATCTAGATAGCCACCCATTCATCATCCAAACCATTTTATCCCATCCGTCATCCTCATCTATAACTATATACCTCATGCCCTCCCCCTCCCCCTCCCCCTTCCCCCATCCCTTTCAAAAGAGCATCCTCGCTCCATAGTGGTATAAATAGCAAAACACGCTACATCGCCATCGAATTCAAACCCAAATCCAAAATCCAAACTCGCTCAACCAATAAATCAAAGCATCATAACCGCACCCCCAAGCGCAACCATCAACCCCGCCGCCTTATTAAACCCGCCCGTCTCCCTCGCCAACGCAGCTCCCACCCCTTTACTACTACTCGTCGTAAACGCCGCGGCGCTCGAACTACTCTTCGTCGCCGCCGTCGTCGCCGTGCTGCTGCTGGCCGTCGTGCTCGTCACCGGACAGCTGCTCGTACACGGAATCGCGCTCGTGAAGGGCAGATTGGCGACGTCGGACGCGGAAGCGAAGACCTGGCCCTGCGATGCAATGGCGGGGTTAGGTTGCGCGCCTGGACCTTGCGGGTTCAGGATGTTGGAGATGACGTGGAGAACGCCGTTGGCGATCAGGATGTCGGTCGTCAGGAGCTGGGCGCTGTTGATGTAGACGTTGTTGCCGGAGTGGGAGACGGTGATGTTTTCTCCTGAGAGGGTGGCGAGCTTGGTGCCGTTTGTGAGGGCGGTGGAGTAGATTACGGAGCCGGAGATGAGGTGGTAGTCCATGACTGTGGCGAGCTCCTCGGCGGTCATGGTAGTGAGGGCGGGGCCGAGGGCTTGGAAGGCTTCGTTGTTGGGGGCGAAGATGGTTACGTTGGGGACGGAGAAGGTGGGGAGTTGGTTGGAGGCGTAGAGGGAGCCTTCAAAGGAGGTGAGGTTGAAGGCTTGGGTTGTGTTTTCGATGGCGGTGGGAGGGATGAGAAGGGAGTCGATGATTTGGACCACGCCGCCGGTGAACATTAGATCCTGGTGAGTTTGGTTAGATGTTGTAGAAAGGGTGCTGGAATGTGGAGGACGTACTGCTTGCACCAGAGTACTTCTGCTTCCTTGCCCACTGACGAACACAACCACATTTCCTGACTGCTCAACGTTCTCTACTCGCTGTCCTCCAGTCACATTGCTCCATTTCGAGTCGGTCAACAGTGTTGGAAGGAATACTGGTGTACCAGGCACTAATTGTGCTGCCACCTTTGTTCCCTGCAGGATGTGGTATTCGAGGACGTTTGTGATGGTATCTTGGTCGTTGTTGGCAAATGCCGAGTTCAATTGCGTGTAAGGAATCTTATTGAAGGCATCGTTATTCGGGGCGAGGATCTGCAAATTGTTGTCAGTCCTCAATTCATCTCAATTGATGTTCTGCTGGAGGAAAACTGCTCACCGTGACACCCGAATATGATGGTAATTGTAAAAGAATATCAGGATATTTCTAGGGACCCAGTCAGCAATCAATGCTCCTTCTCGAATCCCCGTCTTCATCCCAACTCACCTGTATCAGACTGTAGAAAGTTGTCAAGTTCTTCTGACCCGCTAACAGAGATCCCAGATCCGTGATGGTTCCCTGCGCATGAACTCCCACACTGCACAACCCCAAGGTAGCAGCCACCAGGCCTCTCCAGCTATAACTTCTCATGATGTCTATATATCCTCAATCTCAATGGGTCGTCGGGAAATAATTAAGACCTCGGGACTGATAATATCCTCCTAACGAACGTCTCAAAGCTTGCACTATAAACAAAGTACAATGCCGCCGGGTCGTAGTCCAAGTAGCGACAGTGAGAGGAGCAGCGGCAATGGCAGAAAACTCCTTGAGACAGCGAGCGAGCGAGCGAGAGAGAAACAAAAGAAGATGAAAGACAACACACAGGAACGATAAGCGCAGGAGGAGAGCAAGCAGTCTCAGTATCAAACCCAAAAAAAAAAACGATGTGCACAGCGGAAGCACCAGCCAGCATCTCGGACTTTTTAGACGGAGGCTTGGCGTCTGTCGAGTCGAGCGCCCAGCTATCTTTTTTGGGAGGCAAGGATAAAGGGACCACTCTCCACTGGCCAGCAAAAGAAGGGCCCAAAGCTGCAGTGCAGCTCCTCATCTCGTTCTCGGCTGGGGCGTGTGAGTGGAGCGATTGCCCTTCCGGACGCAGTGCAGTGCAGCTGGGTTGCAGCTCGGATAGCGTGTTTTGTTTAGCTCTCAAGGGGTGGTTAATTAGGGGTCTTGTCTTGCACTACTGTAAATGCTGCGTTGTGCGGTGCCGTGCTGTGTTCGGCTGGTCTGTGTGAGGAGGCACTGACTGACTGAGGATCTCCCAGATACGAGGCCATGCCATGCCATGCAAACCTGCCATTCTTCCGCCTCGCATCACGCATGTGAAGAAGACCACGTTAACTGGCCTGAAAAGCGTCCCCTTTGATTGGATGCTGTTTTTATAACTGACTTTTGCTGTCCAACTTTCCAAGGTTCGGCATAGAAGAACACACAAGAAACCGTGAAGGCGATTGATTCATTGACTTGGGCCACAAACGCCGCGTGGCAAGTCCCGACCTTCGCGAATCTTCAGCTGACTTCTTTCCCATCCTGTATCCAAGATCTCGAATCTCCTCATCATCTTCGACTATCGCGAATTCGTCGTCGTCGATAGATCCGGATACAGAAATTGGGGAAGACGGCGTCGTTCCACAAAAGCAGTCAAACTCTTTCCGGCAACACTATTTCTCCATCCCCGCGGCGCTCGAGTCTCGATCCAGTCCAGTCCCAGTCCAGTCCCAGTCCAGTCTCCTTTCCCCCAACGAACTATCTACGCACCGGTTCTGCTTATCTTACGTACCAAGAAGATGTGCAATTTGGAAGAACAGCTCACGATGTCACGATTTCATTGAGAGCCGAGCCGAGCCGAGCAGCCACGAAACGTTGATTATCGAGTTCGAGACTTTTGCCAGAAAGGCGGCTGAGAGGGCATTCTAGAGTACCTAGTGTACGGATGGTATCACGGCATGGCATGGCATGGCCTGTCCACGAGATTGATGTTGGCCGTGAAAAAAAAATGCACGCATCACCATGTATGTGTATCAGTGACCATGTACAGTCTGTCTTCCCAACCTCTCAAGTCGCCAGCTGAAGGTAGCAGGACCCTTCCATGCTTCCTCGCTGCTGTGTTGTTCTTCTCCCCTTCCACACACTATCGATTATGCAGAATCGCCCCTCTTTCAACAATAATGAATAAATGAATAAGACTTCGTACTATGATGAATATGATATCTTGGTTTGACCTTGCATACATACTGCAGTACTTGCTTGCGTGCATATTCAGCCAACACCATCGAGTTGTGCATGCATATCTCCTTCCCGACCATTCCCAATCGACGACAGGCTCACCCGTCTCGATTTCCTTGAATCTGTATGTTGTGACTGAGTATGACTGCAGATGTGGTCTCTCTCTCCTCTTGCCGCTTTTTGCCCACTCACTCACTCCCTCCCTCACCAAATAATCCACCACCATCAAAGCACGGAAATATCAAGCTTATCCATACCCATAAAATAATCCATAAAACAAGAATAAGATACAATTCAGTAAGGTTACTCGGCCCCTCCCCGACAAAGCACCAAATCGCATTCATGCCCTCTTCTCTCTCTTTATCAAATTTCCATCCCGCTCGATGATGGACCCCCACTACCCTCGTATTGAACGGAGATCACAATAAATGCACCCTGACCCCTGTGACGCTGACCTTATTTGTTGGAGCCCCTGTGGCGATCTATCGTGATGGGATGTCGAGGCGGAGATTGGATGCTGGATTTGGTGCTTATTGATTTCGGTCTCGCGTGCACGAGTAGAGAGAGCTGGGTGGTATGGAAAGTGCGCATATGTGCGCAATAGTTGTCATGGACCGCCCCACCAAGCGAGAAGGGGTTATGAATATGACCCCTTATAGCCGTCACGTTTATGCAAACAATATCGTCTCATTTCAACCCAATAAACAAATCCCTTCCCATTAAACAATTCTTCAAAGAATGAAATAAACACTCCCTCCATCCCCTCCATCCTTTCCATATCTCACCGTCCCTACACTCCAAACCCGACAACGGCTCTCTGCATCTCCCATCTCCCATCTCTCCAAATTCTAGAACTCACCTTCCTGCACCTGTCCACATTCACATTCCTGCAAACTCTTCTCGTGCCGTCCCGAAGCCTTTCTGCATGTAGTTATCCATTTAGAATCTCGCTTGATTTCTCATTCCGGATTTGGATATTTGTGGGAAAAAGAAAGAGTGCTCTGCAGAAGCCTCATCTCATCTTTTTGAGGCTGGATTTGATGAGGCTGGGAATCATTTATTCCATGGATTGATTGTTGATTGATGATGAGATGGTTTTATATGCTTTTGAACACTGCGTTGATTTTTTTAACTCTCGTCGTGTTCATAGACTTTCATCCAAACTCCTCAGAACATCATCATCATCACCAAAACTTAAAATCCCCCCTCATCTCCCCTCCTCACCACCGTTTCTCACATCTCGAGCCTCATCACTCATCCTTTCCCGCCAAACGTCCAGCCCAACTCTACCTCCCACGCCTCCCAACCTCTCCCAAACGCTCAGTTCCTGCACCTGTACATTATGTATGTCTCACCAACACGCACAACACAACACAATCAATAGCCCCCCATCCACTGTACCTACATCACTATCCACCATCCACCTTCACCAAACCAACTCTCACCGCTCCAACACAACACAACACAACACACTCTAAGTCTCACCTTACGAGTTAGACACGTCACCCCCACCCACCCACCTACCCACCCACTCCACCCACTCTGCCCTCTATCCTCAACCTCATCCTCTCTCAGCCGCTGCTCCAGACCCATTGGCGCTGTTTCTCCACCTCTCGCTAGGAGGGAAGGAAAGATAGAGTGCGTAGCCGCCGCGAGAGAGAAGAGGCTGAGGCTGAGGCTGAGGCTGAGGCAGGCTGGCTGGCTGGCTGAGACGGAGGAGATTGGGGCGAGACTGTTTTTGAGGGCTGGAGGATTGTGGAGGGAAGGTACCTACACCAACCATAGAAGTCATTGATCATCGTTGAGCACGATACCAAAGCTCTAAAGGCAGTAGGTAGGAAGTAGGAGGCAATGACATGAAGAATGCCCTCCTAAACCCCCTCGAAGAAATGACGAATTCACATTCTACACCCTCACACTCTAGAAAAACAGGAATCATGCTTCAAAAAATATGTATCTCTATTATGATAATTATACCTCAAAAGAAATTCGTTTCTCCTCCCCCTATCCTCCACCCCCTCCCTCTCCATCTTGAAAGAAAGACTAAGAAACCAAGAAGCAAAAAGAGGTAATCCATCTATATACATATTCGTAAAAACTCCACCCATCCACTTTGCATCCAAGGTCTATATATTGCTCCACCAACCATCCGATCCAACCCCGATACCAAAGATTAAAGGAGTGTATGTAGTAAACAACACCTCTCTCACATGTTTCTTTCTTGCTGCTGTCTCTTTTTTGGCGACTTGCTTCTTGAATTGCTTATACTCATTAACAATTACCAGCTCTCACTCTCACACACAGCAACAAACAGACATCCCCATCCCATATCTCCAATCCATCTACCCTGACTGACTACCAACCCGCTCTTCATATACAACGACAACACATATGCCAGCCATGCATAACAAACTCCTCATTCGTGACAGCTGCTGAAAAAAGATTCAAGTTTCCCATGTGACAGAAAGCAAGCAAACGCGATACTCGTCCCGTGCTCCGTTTACCACGAGAAGGTCATCAGAGCAGGGTTGAGCGCGAGCGGTAACAGCAGATGCGAGGCTGTGACCGTCGCCATGGGGAGGATAGCGACGAAGTCCTTGATTTGCCAGTCGTATGGGACGAATGGAGCTTCGGCGAGGATGATCATGCCTGCGATGCCGGTGATGGAGAACAGGATGGAGAACTTGAATTTTGAGAGCACCTTGGGGACTTCGATGAAGAAGTTAGAGAATTCAGCTTCCTTAGAGGTGGCACCCCATGTCATGTCAATCTCGAACATGTGTGCGAGAAGAGCTTGAGACACGTGGAGGGAGAGACCACCCAAGAAGATGGCGAGGAGGAAGGTCCACTTGAAGTTCTCGAAGATGGCGTACAAGAGGGATCGTTCACCAACACGGTAACGGAGGACAGCCAGAGCGATGTTTCCGAGACCGTTGAAGACGATGATGATGGAGAACCAAACCTTCCACGAATCAACGTAGTACTTGTCCAAGTAACCGTTGTACCATCCGATGGCGAAGTAGTTGGCAGTTGTCATGATCCAGGCAGCGCCGATAGCGTAGTAAGTTCCGATGTAAGACAAGATGGTGATCTTTGAGGTGAATCGAATGTTGGAGAACAAGAAAGTACGGAACAATGGGGTGAATGGGCCCTTGTAGATCCACTTGCGGATTGGGTAGAACAGAAGCTCGTTACATCCGTAGGCATATTTCTCCCATCGAGCCAACTCATCGTACACAGTCAAAGACACACCCTCTTTGAACCCTTCACCAGCCCAGGCAGCGAGACGAATGATGTATCCATTGCACTGAAGACGGAGAGACATATCGAAATCCTCAGACACGTGAGATTCAGACCAGAACTTTTCGTATCCGTCCTCATCGTAGTAAGAAACTTGTTGAATGGCAGACCAGCGGAGAATGGCGTTGTGACCGACGAATGGTGCAACATCACCGTTGGCAACAGTGTATCGAATGGCAGTGTAGATAAGGTTGGTGAAGAAAGTGATACCGTTCTCAAAGTAGGTGTTGACGACTTGCATGACACCGGAGGAAAATTGCATAATACCGACATCAGGGGATTGCTCCATTTCGGAGCAAGCATCCAAGAGACAATCAGCGGGGACACGGGTATCGGAATCAACTAGTTTTTGTTAGCTTTTGAAAGCACGTGTGGTTGGAAAACATACTCAGCAGGATGTAGTCTCCAATACGGATATTGCCATCGGCCCAGGCACGTCCGTTCTCCTCGAGAGCTTCCTTGAGGCATCGTTCATAAGCTTGAGCCTCGTCGGCTTGAGTCCAGTCGACAGGACGTTGAATTAAGGCCAATTTGTCTTCAACCATGCAGGAAATGTTCAATCCGAAGTTCATGTTGGAAGCCTGTTGGGGTAAAGATCGTCAGCTTTCAGCTCACACAAAACCATTCCGCAAAACGCAATAGCCGAATTTTCAGCCATTGACGAAACATAACGGGACCTAGGAATGCGGACCACTGAGCCCGCACTCATAAGCTTTCGCTGACGCGTTCGGTGGATCGAATGCGGATGTTGGATTAAGCTTACTTTCTTGACTGTGGAGATGGTCAGCTGATGGTCAGAATAATCAGACGACAGAACAACTTACATTTTCCTCTTCGTACGAAGTTGTCACCATGCTTAGGTCTTGCGACCCATCCGATGCTGTGGTCGGCATAAAATTCGATTCTGGCACGTCGCTCCTCCTCGCCGATGATTTGGAGACCATCATCGTTGATGAACATGTTGGCCGAACCACCTTGGAGTTCGTAGGTTGAGATGGCCTGCTTGATTGACTTGACGGTGGGTGCAATGACAGAGCTCAAACCCTCCTTGTAGACAGGGCACTGAATGGTGAGGTGGGGGAGAACAGCACCTTGAATCCTGGGAGGAGCCTTGGCGGAGTAGAACTTGGAGTTGATGGTCAGTTGTCGGACGGGACCGAAGATCTGCGCCAAACAACCCATGATGACTTGTCCGAAGAAAAGGGTGAAGAAAATTTGTACTGGTGTCAAGCACAGAAGTGCGAGACGAATGTAGGTGCCATCAACATCGGTTTCAATCGCCAATTGTCGGGCACCAGCACCCAGTGTTGTCATGATCAGCATGATCGTGAGAGCCACAAGAACGGTATTCTGCAAGTGCAGTGGTCGCTTCTCTGGAATGACTTCTCCACTCTCCTCATCGATTTCATACACACCAACATTTGCTTCCTTCTTGCCATCCTCATCGTCGGGCTCGCCGGTCTTCCATACAAGTTCCATCAACTCAGACTCGATAGCCTTTGCACGTTGAACCAAGTGGAGGGCCTCGTCGTCCCAGACAACCAACAAAGCTTCTGATGCTACGAACGCAGCGAACTGATGTTTTCTCGCACGAGGAAGGTCCTCGATTGTAGGAAGAATTTGAATGCGGAGACCATTGAGTAAAGGTACATCAACCGCGTCGGGAGACCATTGAAGGAAGGTCTTGATAACTCTGGAATTGACGGTCATGGCACACTGTGGCAGTTAGTCGCTGTCCAGTAGATGCAAGAAATCAACATACCTGAACATTAAGAGCAGCACATGCTGCAGCAAAGGGAGAACTGCCCAATTGTGGCGGGCAAGCCATGTATGTGTTTTTCGACTTCCTGAGGAGAACACCCTCGATCTCTCCACTTCCATCACTGACCCAGAGATGTGAACATTGTTGTTGGTACAGGTAGTTGACCATAACCTCATGTTTGATATCATCCAAGAAAGTCGAGCTCTGTGTCGATCGATTTGAAATGGAATTTCGTGACGATCCAAATCTCGATTGAGGTGGTTGAAGCTCCATGTTGTAACTGTGGTGTGGTGAAGTCGAAGCTGGCTTTTCCGTCATGGTTGGCGCCGCTGCTGGCTCAGGCTTCTTCGCCTTGAAGTAGTTTCCAATTCCCATCTTTGCGGTGTTGTTCTTGCTTCTTCAATTAAGGTATATCGGTTCGACGAGACAGCAAGAAGCCTCGTGTATTCCGGGGATTCGCTCGACTGGTGGGGGGAACGCGTTCAATATACTTCGGAAGCGAAAGACTGGAGGTGAGGAATTAAGAGCAGCTCATGGATAACAGAGTTGCTTCGCGTTGGCCTGTGCTGGTCGTGGGTCAGTCAACCTTGCTCTCGGTGAAAAGTGGAATTCGGTGTGCGTACAAGGAAGCTGTGGAGGGAAGGGGTCTCGACAAGAATGCTTTGAGTTCCTCCTCTTGGACCTGGTGATACAGCGAGTGTCTTTACCGGCGGACACTTGACTGCTGGTGAACTGAACGATTGTATGACAACGAATGTAGAGGGTGTGCGAGCCCAGTGATGTATATTGCACAGAGCTAAACGAAAGGTGAAGGGTTGGTGGAAGGGTGGAAGAGGAATGGTGAGAAAGTGAAGGTCGAGCTGAACCGGGGGGAGGTTCTGGGCTACTGGCAGGGCCCGAAGGGGACAAGCGTTTAGAAACGAAAGACTGTAGCTTGTTGGGTTCCTGGGCTGGCTGGCTGGGTCGGCGGAAGAGGAGGAGACCAAGAAACGTCCGGGATGGGTAGAGACCTTGAAGGGCCTTGTGAAGTGGATGCTGATACACCTTTTTTCCCACCGCTCGGCCAGTGCTGATTTGCCTTGACCCTTCACGGAAACAAGGCGCCAGAGGCTTTCTGATAGTGCAGAAAGACCAGACAGGACCCGACTAGCTGCACGGCTGAGAGTGGAAAAAGATATCGAAGAGAGACAGGGGCAGTGAAGCTGTGATCCGGGCACGACCGGGGTAGGGGTCCAGGGTAAGGGGGGCAGACTGGAACCCGGCGTCGATGAACGTTGACTCTCGCTCAGCCCTCACTCACATCAACAATGGACCTGGACCAGGCACGGCGAACGAACGATACGGACGACGATCAAGTGGCGAGTGCGTAGTGGGGGAAGATCCAAAGAGGGTCTGCCAGCTTTGACTCTGCTGATACGATGATGGCCCTTGTATTCCTTGGCTGATCTATAGCGATGCGAATCGTATTCAAGGTCAGAGAGAGAGGGGAAGAAAGTCGGCATGCAGACCTAGGAATAGCACCACCACTGAGGTCGTCGTTGTTATTGTTGGATCATCGTACCACGGCCAAACAGAGTCTTGAGCTGTCTGTCAGTCTGATTCCGTGGCTCGTGTTCACCACAATCACAGCCGTTACACCGGCGGCAGGAACTTTCCTGTGGATGGAGTTACAATCACTGCCACTCCCCAACCTCACCACAACACTCACTGAAGAATTATTTGGCCCACTGAACAGCCTTCTGACCCAGCATCGTGTACACTATCGGAAGAGACACATCTACAATACCCGGATGCACTGTGCTCGTTGGATTGACCCGATGCTCTCAGGTCGAATTCTCGTGTTCATCCTTCCCGATCAGGGGTTGAGGTTGAGTTGAGAAATTGAACTATCGGCTTACAGTATATTTAGCGCTCACTAGCGGCAAGGTTCAGCAATCGCGCATACCAGGCCCAATGAGGCAGTCAGTAGCTGCGTCCCCTGCTCCGTGCTCACAGGGGCAGATTGCAGGAACAGGGAAGACGACCGGGATGCAATCTTGGCTTTTTCTCCACTTGTCGCTGGTCTAACGAGGTAACGAATGTCGAAAAACACATGTCAGCAATTCTCCGCCCGCAGACGAGTGGCCAGTATTGCACATTTCACATTTTGCCTGCGCTGCACCGTACTGCACAACTCAGAACCTTATCAAGAAGTCATCGAGTGCCGCTGTTACGATGGCATGCCACAGCATTTGCCCATCATCACCACCAGCTGCAGTCCTCAGCTTGCTCGATTTCTGCTCTCAACTGAATCTCTTTCCCTGGACCCTCTTATCAGCATCCCTACCCAGGAGAACGTATCGCCTGGTCACTATCATGGCCGGTCAATAGATAGAGGCCTCATTTGCAATCTTTAGCGCTCCACGGCAGCGATTATTTTGAGATCTTGGGCGCTTTGAGGCTCTGACACCAGATTGCGTTGATATCATCGCTGGTAACCCGGCGGCGGCGGACTCAACCCGACTGCTGGATCCTCTCGGTTTGACCTAATTGTTATTCGGAACATCGGCCTTTGCAATCTCCAGCAGGGTGGCAAATGGGAAAGAGTCAGAATGTCTCCTTAAGTCAGATCTCGATGGACGATTAGAGGGGATCCGGGTGACATTTGTGGAAATGAGGTCGAGACCGTGCTCACTCTCTCCGCTCCTGATGGGGGCATCCGTATTGACCAGGAAGTTGTGAGCAATGCAATACCAAGTCAGCACGATGGCATATCCATCATGTCATGATTGCAAATGATCGCTGACCATGATGACGAGAAATACGAAGTAGAGCAAGTTCTCCAAGAGAGATCTTCATGGTGAGCGTTGTTGAAGCGTTGGAAGGTGGACTTGCCGTTTCTCGTCTAAAAATGGGTGCAAAATAAGGTTAATCGTCAGACGAGCCGTCGTGAAGATCTCGAAAGTTCTCCAAAGTCAAAATTGAAACCGCACACTTTAGATCACCAACCAGCCAAGGCGAAAATCCACCCAGATCACTTCATCGATGATGGAGTTATGAAGTTTGTGAACAGCCTTACGAAAATTGTTGTGCAACCATCGAATTCTCTGCTTCCAGCCTCTCTCCGATTTTCCATTACTCCTTTCTTCCCCTGGCGATCCGTCGGGTGCAGGTCATCCTCAATTGTCAGCCGCCTCGACAATCTCCGACCCGTGCCAAGCCGGATTCCAAGTTTTCCCACGCGAAGAAATAAACGCTCAAGCGGCACAACCGATATGTGGAGAACAGACTTGAAGACTCGAAGACTCCAGATTCTGCGAGAAGAAGCCCGTTCGACTCATGGTGCATCATCGATTCCCCATCCCGAAGAGAGTTAAAGTTTCGAGTGGCTGGGAGCTGACAGCTATGTCCACGTTCTACCAAGTCCTCCTAGACCTCGTTGTACCAGCACCTGTTCTTCTCGTGCTGCTTTGTTGTGATTGTGACTTCATCACACTAGGTGCAGTAGTTGCAGTACCAAATATTGGTGTCAGGCACACGGATGTCGTCAGCCACATTCCCTATCCGAAAAGCAGCGAGCATTAAGCGATCGTTCCCAACGCGGGCATCTAGTGCACGTTTGCATCTCAATCGAGGAAGATGTCAAACGTCTTAACCTCATCCGGAGGATAAAGTGCCAAGCGACGCCCAGTCTAACCATTACTATCGAAACTCTAAGAACGGCCAGCGCATATCCTGCAAACTATTTGCTCGTTCGTGGTTTAGCACGAACACGGCCCGGAAGTGTCAAGCAGTTCTCTGGGTCGTCTGGTCTGGAGCCTCAAACATGAACAACGTGAGAGCTGAGATAAGCATCCATTCTCATGGTTCATACGAACAATGTAACCTACAACGGAGCGGCATACAAAACCTGGAGCTTGCTGTCGCAGTTGCCCCCATTCTGGACGCAGCACGGCTGATGTCCTCATGCTGATACACAGGGTCGAAGCCGATGTCCCTGCTTGCTGCACGCTGTGTTGTCAAATACGAGCCACATGCAGGAAATGGAAACAACTCCCAACGCCCAAAACTGTCAAAACATGTTCTAGGTCCGCATTCGGGCTCGCTCTTCCCTACAGGCAATCCTGGCAACCAACGGCTGTAGCGGAACCAAAAGTTCTTGAAGCATGGCAGCTACCTTGGAGCCGAGGACCCTCCCGAACCAGGTTTTCATCACCTTGTCGCCTTGGCCCTTAGATAGATTCTCAAACGGTCAAACTCCCCGATGATCTAGGTCTCTCGTTCTCAGCGTTGACGAGAAAACGAGAAAACATGCGAGAAAGCCAAAATCCCATGCCAAACAGTTGGGAAGAACGGGCTTCCCGTCAGTCCCCTCTCTGCCCCATCTCATCGACACTTATCGGCCCGCGTCCATGTGGTCCCAACAACGACTTATTGAAAAGAATGGAGCAATATGTAATATCTGTAAGGCTAGATGTAAAGGGAGCACCGAACAGCTGGACAGCGAAAAGACGCAATCAACCCTTATCGTGTCTCCATCGCGGGGCACACTCCAATTCCACGACGAAAGAACTTTGACCGCCACTATCGTATTCATTCCTGAGGCTCATCACCAAATGATGCCTCAAAAATGGACTCAAAGCAGCAACAGCGCAATCTCCACCGACGCATTGCCAATTGTCGAGGATTTCAGAAAAGCAGCAACCGAATCCCCACGTCACCATTCTATTTCCGTGAACCTGCATGCACGCGAGAGCGCCATGGACGGCACATCTTCAAAAGAGGCGTCGCTTCCACCCTTTTTTTCGTCCCGTCTTTCTTTCGCTTGATACGAGAGCGACGCTGATTTGATTTCTCCCCTGAGTGGCAAATCAAGCATTTGCCATCGTAAGCATGAGCCCCTTACCATCACCTGTTTACCTCAGGGGAGAAGTTATGCACGTGAAATGAGGTTGATGATGCCAGTGCAACGTTTGAATCTGATTTTCTGTTTCGGTGTTTTTTTGGTAATCTGTTTTCGTTCTTGTTGTTGAATGCTATCGCGTCGTGTGATTCGGCGGGATTTCTGTGGCACCAAATATTTTCCAAGATACCATTTGTTACCACAAGCATGCAGAACCTGAATACCCCTCAGTGCCGTTGTACAAGGCTATTGGCTCTCTATTGAAAGCCTCGAGTGTACAAATATTCTATCAAGTCCTCAGCCTCAAAACTCCAGCTGGAATATACTTCTCAAGTACCACAAGAATATCGTAACTTTCTCTACACCGAATCTGCCCTGCTATCCATCATCAACCCAAAACAATTCCTTTGTTGACCGTGCCGTACTTTGCCTCTTCTTGATATCACAATTAGACCGTAGCACCATTCCACTCTCCACGTTCCCAGGGTCCCTCTGCCATGTTCCGTGTAACGTCGGAGGTGCAACAAATTTAGCTACCAATATTCTCCGTCGGAGTAAAAAGCGGGCAGCTAGTAGTCCAACAATCAAGCTTTGAGGCGCTGCCTCCGAATCGCTTCCTTTTGCTGTTTGGCTCTGACGAAAAGGTGAGTGATTCATAGAATACGAGTGGCAGTTTCACCATCCATACAATCAGTCTGCACAGCACAGACAAACACCTGATTCTCAGCACATTCATTCATACCTCAAACTCCAGCGCTGTCCAGCTTTGTCTCATCTCACTCTTCAATTCCCTGGCCCAAAGCCCAAACCTAACGCCGAAGGAGTGCATAGCTACCAACACAGCCTCTCACTGTACCTTACCGTACCGTACCTGCCTCTACCATATTCACCGACGGCACGACCCGAGAAACAACCAGTCCATCCATCCATCACCAGTCAACAGAAATGAACCTCTGAATCATCTCTATTTTAACACCTCCTCATCAAAACCTGTGCCAGCGCGTCTGCGGCTGACAGCGCGTGGCCATCCAGTGACAATTTTCCGCTGCTTCCACACCATTTCAGCCCCTTCGCAAAAGCAAAGAAAAGGGGCAAGGGCAACGAAGAAAATCGAATTTCCAGCCTCAAAAATCCAGCCTCGAAATATAATGATGATTCAGAAGTTAGACAGTGGTAATTGTGCCCTAAGATAGGAGAAACGAGGAAGGAAGGAAGGAAGGGGAATAGGAGGTTTTTTGTTTGATTGCGCGCGCGCCACGAGGAGATTTGATAGAAGGAAGGAAAGAAGATGACGGATGAGGAAGATGAGCTTATCTCACTGATTTTCCAGGTGTATGGAGATTGGAGGTGAGGCTGGAGAGAGGAGGAGGAGGAGGAGGCAGGGTGAGGCTGAAAATACTTAGGTACATAGTGACATAGTGACAATTTGACTGACAATCTTTAATTTACGAAGCTTAAACTCCTCCTCAAAGACAAAGACAAAAGTGAACGAACGAACGAGCGAGCAATCCTCGGGAATTTCCCAAGACATCCCATCTCCATCTCCATCTAATCCGATATTCCAAAGCGTGCTTCCCAGCCTTAATGTGATCCATCAAACCAACCTCAAGCAAGGAAACAAACAATATATCCTCAATTAGGTAGCTAGCTAACTAGCTAGTCGCATCACATTCCACTCTCTCATTTCATTGCATTTCATTTCATTTCAGCCTCAGAAGTCCCAACACTAAATTTTCAACATGTAGAAACCCCATTCCATTCCTAACCTCCATCTGCAGACAGCTGCAGTTGCCCATCTATCTTCCTTGCTTCCTTGCTTCCCTTCTCTTCCCTTCTCCTCCCCGAAAACCAGTTTGTTGGGTTTGCCAAGTGAGGTGAGGTGATTGACTGATGTACGTACCCATTTAGAACTACACACATGCATGCACACACCCATCAACCCTCAAGTACGTACCCCATCCAGCCCTCCTCCCTCCTTACCTCTCATCCCACACACCAACCACCCATCCCAAGAACCAGCAGCTGCTATGATAGAACCCGCAATTCCCACCCACCAACCAACCTCGTGAAATCCCATCAAGCTGTCTGTCTATTCAGCACAAGGAACCCCATCACTTGCACCCCCAGTAATTCTAAACTTCCCAGGCCCGCACGCACGCACGCACGCTCTTGCATGTAAATATGCACACAACCTCTCACTAGCCTAGTCCAGTTTAAATCCCCAAAGATAAAGAAAAGTGAGTTAGCTAGCTAGCTAGCAAAGCATGGCAAAAACGTGGTGGAGCGAGGACTGGAGATCGTGGTCGGGAGGGGACTTTTGACTAATGCGGGTGAAAGTTGAGAAATCTTGGAAAATAGATTGATAGATGGTGATCAGTGCTGGAATTGGGTTGGAATTGCCCACGCGTTAGAGTTCCAGAATCATCAATCGTACCTTTATGGCAATCCAAGCAAAGTCGAATTCGGGCATGAGGCTTTCTCAAATCAAGCTGAGGATTCGTAACTCACCTCCTCACTCCTCGTGAGAAGAACGAGCGGGGTCACCACAACAGCTTGTAGCCTCATTTCACGAGAATAGGAGAAAGCACGAGCTCAGAGATTATTTTGTATATGCACACACACAGCTAGCTAGCCATCGTAAAGCCTCTCGCACACAAGATAACAAAGGAAAAACAAGAAAAATCCCTATTCCCCCTACCTCCCTCCTCATCATATCTACCCCAACACATCTCCAACCACATCCATGAGCGAGAAAAACAGCAACATAAGAGTAGTTTGTGTGCCCAGAGTTTCGTGTGCGCGAAAAAAATTGTCCCCAGTCTATATTTCCTGACAAGCAGTCCCAGCGCCGTACATCCAAATATCATTCCATCTACTACTACCACGCTCACAAGTCCTCCTGAGCCTCATTGCCATCACACTGGCTCCACATCTTCACGCTGGAGACCTCCATCTGGCCAGCGCCTGTTGCGGTCCAGGTTGGATACCATGTGTCTCTCGCATCCCAGAAATCCTTTCGAGCAGAAAGAGAAGCATCAATCCACGGCTTGCCGCTCTTGCCATCCTCGAACCAGCCGTTGGTTCCGCCCACTGCAACGTTGAGGATGAGGTAGAAGTCCTGATCGAAGGGAGTTTGGTCGCGGCCGGTTTGGGACCAGACATCCACGAGACGGGTACCGTTGCTGTCCGAGATGGGAAAGTCACCAACTTGCCAGAGAGGCTTGTTGAAATTGGTGTAGAGGACCTGGAGGAGCAAGTTGTCGATGTAGGTGAAGAGATATTTCTGGGACCATTCCATACCGAAAGTGTGTTCCTTGGCAGCGTAGGTAGTGTGGAGAGCGGATCGCTTGACGTTGGTGCGCCACCAGGCGTCGTTTGCTGGGTCGGGACCCCAGTGGAGTGCGGAAGAGACGACGTTGTTTCCACCTTGTTCGTAGGTGTGGTTGTTTCCACGAGACTCGCAAATATCGATTTCACCAGATAGAGGCCATGGTCCATAGGTGTCGTTGACAGGCAACATCCAGATGGCGGGCCACAGCCAATCTCCAGCAGGCAGCTTAGCAGTAACCTCAACCTTTCCGTACTTGATGGTTGCTCCGGCCTTGGTGTTGATACGTCCAGATTTGACAGGGTTGACATATGTTCCGGCAGTGAGATTGGTGACGGCAACACAGTTGGTCAAGATGTCGGATGAGCAGGAACCATCGGCTGTAAGATTGATCACATTGTTTTGCTCCATCAAAGTAGCATCTTGAAGGGTAGGCTTGATAATAAGAGTGCCATCTTGAACGAAGACGTTCTCGTCGGTCAAAGTGGTCTGCTCGAACTCGCCATTGCTAGAAAAAGTCAGCTTGGACTGTGCATTGAATGCCAGGTGCAGCTTACCCGAATCCACCAACTTCTGCTTCTTGTGTCCATATTGAGGGATTCAATCCACCAGAGAAATCCTCATCCAAGACTGGGCAGTATTTGTGGTGTACGACGGAAGAGAGGCCATCATAGATCAAGAAACCTGCGATACCAAAACCCAATGCTAAACCGATCAAAGGAATGATTGTGACCCATTTCTCCTTGGGATCCTTGTTTTTTCTCCATGGTTGTTCGACCTCCCCCTTTCGCACTCGTCTCGAATGAAAATATCTGGAAGGCAGTCCTCGAACGGCAGATGAGGAACCGAAGGAAGACGCCGGTCGTGAGGGAAAAGGTGAAGAGAAGGGATTCGCTCTGGGCGCTGGGGAGATGTCGTCGCCGAATGGATTACTTCTGCTCTCGGGAGTCCCTGGACGCATTGGAGTTGTCGCGGTGGTGGAGATGGCACTCCCTCTGAATTGTGAATGATTCTCCATCTCTCGTGTTCCCCAACGAGGGAAAGGAACACAACAACGAACAGATATTAAGTATTAAGATTTGGGGAATAGATGCTCGAAGACTGCAAGCAACGATTCAACCTGCAGTGATCTTCGTCAAACGAGCGTCGAAGTCGAGGTGTAAGGGTGAGGTGGAAGAGATGGCTGTCTTGGAACGAGAGACAAAAGGGTCGTGGTAAGTGAGTGAGTGAGTGAGTGATAGATAGACAGGGTAGGCTATTATCAGCGTGGTGGCTCGAATTCGCTAGACAGCTAGAGTCGAGCGAAAAGATTGCTGGGATTTCTAGTGGGTGCAAGGGCGCGAAGAAAAGAGGCGAGAAGGGAGGGAATCCGCTCTGAGCACACGGGCCGTCGATCTCAGCTCTGGGCCAGGCCAGGCAGGGCAGGGCAGGGCAGGGCAGGGCTAACACAGGCACCGCAAACAGGAGAACGCTCAGGTGAGATCTCAGGCAGGGCAGGACCGGGCTGTTGCCGTATCGCGATTTGGCCTATCGAGTTCTGGTTCTGGGTCTGGTTCTGGTTCTGGTTCTCGTGGGTGAGTGTTGGGGGTCTAGTGAGCATTCAGTGTGACGGATATCGGCTGAAGAGCATGGTAGTTGATGTCGAGACTGCTGTGAATAATGGAAGTTTTCAGGTCTAGCAGCCTAGCAAACCGGCTGGTGGTTCGATGGCCGCACTTTGACACAGTACTTGGCGGAAGCTACAAACAGCAGACCTGGAATCGTGGCTGAAGAATAATGGGCAAGGACGAACTGCCTTCCACTTTCCTACACTGAATCCCCCTTTGGTCGAGCGCTAATCCGAGTCACCGTCACTGCAGAGAGGCCAAGGCCAAACCCAAAAAAGAGACATGACGGTGCCTAATAAAGCAATTATTGAATACGATAACCAAGCCAGAGCCTCTAAACGCCTGAACGCTTCTCTTCCCTCACCTCACCTCACCTCACCTCACCTCCCCCTCTGCCGTTCTCTCTCGTCCCACCCTGAACGAAAGCCGACCAGTCCCCCCCAATGTCATTGTCCTTCATGCGTATCATCAGTCATCTTTTCCCACGCTGACTTGTCAGGTTCGACACCGATCACGATCAGGGGCACATCAACGTGGGTTCTCAGCGTTTGCGGTGCTTGTCTCTGCTCGGAGGTTCTGAGGTTGGAATTGACCATTGACGACCCACTTGCCATCATCGCTACGGCACCAGCTCCATCCCCCGGCCCTAAGCTTCTTCCTAGCTCCCCGTAGCGCAACTCTAAAGGCGGCGATCCATGGATCCGAGCGACACCGAGGCGCTTTTTACCCCTGACCGACCTTATTTTTCAATACGAGACTAGCTCAATCTGGGAAATTGCAAAAGAATTAAAGCCTGCACACTACTGTACGGGCTAGGGGCGAGATAGTGAGAGAGGGGCATCCAAGATGCGAAGGGGACAGAGATCGAGATGTCTTGCTCCCTTGGAATTGGGACCGGGTGTTTTTGGGCATCTCATCAGTAATCTCAAATCTTGCGTGGGACGATGGGATCCATTTTTTCTTTGAGGAGAATCCGGCATCTCCATGATCCATTTTCCTGCTATCGATATGATCAGGACCAGATACCGAAAGTTTCTTCACTCTCACCCGGTAAGCAAGAAGGCCTGCAAACACCCGAGTAGGCAGCTCACTGTCGGGTGAACCTGGGCCTGAGCTCGAGGATGCCAACTGCTATCACCGCATTTATTCTCTTACAAGATCACTCCCAGCTTATAATTGGAGCGATACGCCCACGAACTTCTCCTGCTGCTGAATTGAGACAATTCAATAACCACAGCGTCAGCCATGATCCGCCCCGAGGAGAGAAATTATCTCTTGAAAGGGTTGAGCCATTTGTGAAGCGGCCGTTCCCACTATGGTTCCTCGGCGTAGAGACTACTGCACAAACATATTGAATCTTTATACAATATATGCAGGCACACGTCACATTTTGTCCTTCTTCTCAGTAGACTACGGTGCATGTACGTGACGGGTACTTCCAACGAGAATACAGTAGTATAGATGAATACCTGCAGCAGCGTCCTTTTATTGCATACAGATGGCAACAACTTAATTAACAACAACAATACCCCACAGCCCTTCGTAGCAAATAACGCTACGGAAAAAGCGTAGCATAACAAACTACACCAGCTCTACACAACCAAGGCCGCGGCCAGGATGACACTCCAAACACCACCGCCATCCGTTCCTATGTTCGTCTCGTTTAAGGATCGTCTTTGTGCGGATTATAGAGAGGCCGGAGGGGGGTTTATATAGAGGGGACGGAGGACGGGGGCCGAGGGAGGTGAATGGAGGGCGGAGAGTGGAAAACGGAGAGCAAAGGACCGAAAGAGGTGAATTTATAGATTCACTAGCCGCGGAGAACGGTTCGGAGAGTGGTAAGGCTGGGTGACATTTCCTCGTCTTCTGGCCTCAACGTTCTGGTTCTCAACATTCGAATTCTTTGTGGAACAGACGAGATGTCCAATCACGCTTGGATTTTCCAGAACATTTATCTTACCTTTCCTGCCTGTTGTCAGAAAATCCACTCTTTTCAATAGTTTGTTCAAGTTCATAATCAAGTTCATATTCTTGTTCCTCTACAAGGCTGAAAGACCGACTCTCGAACTCCAGTGAGTTCCATTCCATTGTTGAGTTCGGGATGCACGTGACTATTTTCCATGCCTCCAACCAACATCAATCCAACAGCTGCATTCATCCATCCCATCACATCATCTTCTCTTTCTCCCTCTCCATCCAACCTCCTCACCTCCTCACAACCCAATTCCCCTCTCCAAATCTGCAATCACCTCACCAGAAAAACCCTCCTCTCCTCAACCCCTCCATTCCAACCCCACCTTCAACACATGTCATCCACCCACACCACCATTCACAACCCACACAACGTCTTTCTTGTTCCTGACTCCTCCCACCCAACCATCTCCCCCATCTATTTATGGCTCTCTCGCGCATCATTCGTCTGGTGTGGTGCGGTGTGGCTCGTATTCTCGCCACCACCAATCGTGTCGATCGCAGGCCAACCAATGACATCTCCCATCTCCCATCCTGAGGAAAATTAATATAGGGTGCGTTTGAAACGTTGCTAGAAGTTGGATATGCTGCAGATGGGCAACAACAAGTCAGAGGCGCCGGAGGGGGGTTTGGGGCATTGGAGTTGTATGCATGAACGGTTCAGTAGCACGAAGAAGGGCGGATAGTTGGTTTTTTCCCTCCCCTTTCGTCTCGTATATTATGTATGCAGGCTGGCTGGCTTGCATGCATATCTCCATCTCACAGATCGAGGTTTCGTACTGGCGGGCAAGCAGGCAGCTCATACTTGCATACATGTCATCAAGTGAGGGGCAAGCAGAGTGGCAAGAACCTCTCCATTGGAAAACAAGCTGCCAACTCATCGTGCCCCGTGGTGTTGGGTGCTATACCTACCGTGTTTCTATTTCTGAAGGATCCGCACCGGTGTTCTGGACCTTGGAGATCGACGGAGGTTAAAGTGTAAGTGCAAGCCGCAGCCGTGGGGATGTGTGTGTGTGTTCCGGGAGGAAGCTGGTGGAGGTTTGGAATCTTGGTTGGAGTGGAGTGGGGTGGGTTGGGTAGCTGGGTTTGGGGGTGGTGGTGCTGGGATAGAGTGTGGCGAGAGATCTTCGAGGAGGAGGATGGATGAATGTCTTGATTTCTTGGAGTTCCTCCGAGAGTGCTGGATCCTTGATTTGAAGCGGGATATCCAGGTTTTGGGATGGCTGTGCTATGGATTTTGGGTTTGTGTTGGGAAGACCTTGCTTGTTCGTTTGGTGGAATATCTGTGTCCCTCAAAGTCTTTCCCTGGAGGGAGATGGCCTTGCTGGGGATATTTGCTCGACTTGTTGAGAGAAGTCTATTCAACATGGATGTTTCGCTCCGAGACCAGTTATCATTTCTTGTTACAGTCATCTCGATCTCCAGATCTGCATTGAGCCTTTTGGTATTCAAGATCTCCAACTCACTTACTTCTGCTTTCTTCCTGTCAAGCTTGGATTCATCTCCTTTCCTGCAAGGTTCCTTTCGAACTTCTTTCCTGGGACAAGAACCGTGCTTTAGCTCTGATTTAAGTCTATTGGAGTGAAGATTGGCCTAGGTTGACACCAAAAGTATATTTGACAACCAACTTATCAATGACAATGAAAGCATCATTGATAATTCTCCTCGCTCTAGATTTCAGCAGTCCTTCCCTCCTTGTCTTTAGCCACTCTACCAAAGCGCTGTCGCTTTCTTACATGGGGTTCTCTCTAGCCCAGGGGAGGAGCAGCATGTCATAATCAAGCAACAAAGTCTCCAGGACCGATCTATCGACGTCCTTCTCCTCCTTGTTGTCTAGATTTTGGCAAAAGTCATTAGTGCGTGAATGTTCGTCTTTCTATGTATCATGTCATACAGTACTCGAGATAATTCAGCGTTAATTCAATGACATCCTTTCCGCCTTATTGCCTAGCTTGATCTTGACTCGAGTCATGAATGCGTGAATCGGTATCTATCCGAGGTACTCATAAACTATATATAACTGCCAACGTTCCAATTACTGGTTTTGACATTATCAGTCCCGAGCAACTCAAGATCTAACTGGAGACCCGTGCTAGGTTACTTACTTCTTCTACAAATGAGTAACAAACAGTGGTGGTTGAGTTCAATACTCTCTTTGCGTCAGGAGAGTCTGTTGTTAGTATATTTTCTGCTGTCATTTAGATATGCATCTCCTTCTTAGTTCGAATCTGAAAATCATTGACAGCAACGCTACTATCACGGGTATCGAATACTTGATTGTCCGTACTACGCCGAAGGCATTTGTGCGAGAGAATGTGTGATGTTCGCTAGTCTGGCACCTGCTCATCCAAGCCCCTTTCAGCGCTTTGTTGTCAAGAAAATGTTTACTATTACTTCTTTCAATTGTTACAAGATTCATTACCTGTCATAAGGCAAATCACCATTGTTCTGTATTGTGCAACATGGCATCCACACATATTTCCCCATACAGGTAACTGCCCTACTATCTTAGTACTTATTATGGTGTAAACCTTCGAGGACTGAGTAACTACTGCATTGAGTGCGATGGTCCTTCATTCCATGGCGCCCAGATCCGAGTAATTGGTCGTTTACGTCGCATCGGGCAATAGCTCGCGGTAGAGAGCTTCGAGATCACAGTTTTAGCATCGCGTGTGCGAGAGCACCATCTTCAAAGCCGTTCCGAGTGCTGCTGCCGAGCTCACCCTGAACATCAGTGAGGACTCTAGACACCTTCAAATCTCTCAGACTCCATTGTGGACTAGTCTCTATTCCCTGCTGCGTCTGGAAATGTACGGTCTTAGTTGTCTGGCAGTCGAAACTTTGCTGTTCATGCTTTTGGAGGTGCGAGGAATTATATGTCTTACTTACCATTTTTGCGAGCTTGCAAATGAGGAGGTGAATCGATATTTGGCTGTCAAGATCTAGAAAACTTCAAAGTGCTTCACTCAAAATGTATGCTCTTTCTATAAAGCTTCGCCTTGGTCCAACATCTGAGCTTCATTCAATCCCTCATCCGTGTCAATGGAACGAAGAGGTCATGTGTTACGACCTGATCCACGAGCCTATCTTTACCCCAGAGCATCCGCTACGAGCGGCGAGGCAGATGTTTGGGTCAGCCTTGGGTAAGTGTCTGCACAGCGCGACTGCTCAACCTTTAATCGGAAATCATTGGTATCAATATCAATAATATCATTGATATCGGAGTCGCCTAGTTTACTCGGTAAGCTGCTGCTGCTTTCATGTTTTTGACATTTCTGCTCTGATTTACTTCTTGTAGCAAGAACTCTACTTCCTCCAGCAGGGACAAGGAGAATTGATAACAAAAATACTACTGATCAATTGAATTCCGACGTAAAGGGCAGTCCTCAAGTGAATTCTCGAACATGCTGTCCGAAGTTGCGCCTCGGCGCTAGCGCTATTCGAGCATTCTACAATATAAAACTGAAAGCCTTTCTGGCGGATTTACCTTTTACCACGTCTCATAGATTCGAAAATTATCTCCACGGACTTTCTTCGTCACATAGGTTTCTTGAAATCATACCGTCACAATTTCTTTCATATTGTAGCCCGATTGAAAGTAGCGCGCCTATCATGTCTTTCGAAGCAAAGCCACAGGTATGAGGCGCAAGATTTTGGGCATCTGGAGCAACTACTAATCTCGAGATCTAGGAACCTAAGCCTTTCGATACAGCTCTTTCGATGGCGAATTCCCTCGATATCGCAACTGCGCCTCCCCTGACCTCCTTCCGCCGATTCCGAGATCTACCCAAAGAGCTCAGAGACGAGATCTGGAAGCTCAGTCTACCGCGCCTTCGCTATGTCAATATCTCCGCTCCGATGGTCGGCATAGGCAGAATAAATAACAGCAGCACCCTTACTCAAAGGAAGTGTGTAATCAAGACTCAAATTCCTGGACATCTGGGTGCTTGCCAAGAGTCTAGAAGCATAGCCCTGAAATACTATCCTCCGCAACTCCACAATCGCCATGGTGGCTATCCCATAAACCTCGACTACGATACCGATATCCTCTACTTCGAAAGCAAGGACGATTTCTGTGCATTTTACAGCGCCTTGGCGTTGTTCGGAGCTTCAGGTGGCGCCGAAATACGACACTCCTTGCGCAATGTTCGCAAGTTGATGATTCGAGGCAAATTCCTGAGTGAACACCACCGCAGCCTTCTCATCTTGGCTAAGATGGATCAATTAGAGCATCTGGCGTTGGAAGGAGAGTCATGGTTGGTTGAGGCAGCCTCCGCTGCACGCTTTTGCTATCGGTATGCACCTGTCACGTTGCACTACAGATGCAAAAATGCTGGTAGACGAGCGGGAGAGTTTCTTATTCCGAATTTCCTGTCATGCAACAAGATGGATGAGGCGGTGGCATTGGGTCGAAGTTTTGTGGGGTATCCAAGGGATAGAGGTAGGTTTGTCTAGCCTTGTGGTATCTTTGTCCTATTGACCTTGCATAGAGAGTAATCAAGACTCAGAGGTAACAGTAGTTAACTTCACGCAATCTCACTGAATATTATCAATGGGAATTTCACCTATCTGGCACCATCAACGTTGTTCTTAGTCTAAAGTAGGAAGATAACTTAGCGTCACTTTAAATGATTTGCAAGCCGATTAACAGACTGTATTACAGTTCTTTTCTTTTTGTGGCCTTGTTGCCTTGAAACCATCAATTCTACACCAGAACTGCGTGAATCAACTCAAATAAATGCTAAATAGGAAACAATAAATAGTTCTCCTTGCACATGAATGGCTCGCAAGCTCGAAGTTTGGGGTTCTATCACATAAAGGAGATGTTGTGGAAAGAGAGAGGGCCGAGATGCTTTGGTCGGTGAGTATGTTGGTTTGTTGTTAACCGAGGCTTTTATTGCCATTCTTTATCTTTGCTGTCGTCTCAATCTTGAATGCTTGATAGGCACTAGTGTTATTATCCGTTCCCCCTGAATTAAGCGAACTAGCAGAGAAACGTGTATCATCCATCTTGTGATGCACCCAGGCTTCTTCTTTCCAAGACTTTCCAACTTTTCATCATCAACTGACTTATCCACTATCAAATTCTTCCCATTATCGTTGAAGCTTTTGTCGAAGTCAGAAGCTAGCTAGCTTATCATCATTCTGCATATCGATCCCGTTCAGGCATTCACGTCACTTCTCCCCGATCATCTGAAGGCAAGTTGACTCATTGCCTTGGTTCTCGTGGTGTCTTGCACACTGGTGATCTGAGATTCGCAATTTTGGTCGCTGGGTAGAAGGAGAGGTGGTTGCTTGTGTTTGTTGTTAGTGAAGAGTTGAGCAAGGTCTGAATCTGGACTTCACTTCGTCTTCCGTTAATGTTTCACCTTTTTCCAATGCCTGGGTTGTTCTCAGCGGTCCACCGTATCTGAGCCCTTGGTTTTTTCTCATGTCTGACGTTTTCTCAGCGCTTCACGTCTTTCCAACGCTTATCACTTCCAGAACTCAACTCACCACGAAATGGAATGCTGGTTTCTACAATCTTCGAGAAAGTCTGGGATGAAGGATTCTTGGCAATAGTTCCAGCGATCAGCGACGAGCCATTACCAGAGGAGATAGAAGCTTGGGAGGAATTGGAGCCTAAATAATATAATTCTCTCAGTGCCTCACAGGACCTTGAGGTCTATATATATCATCTCGCACAGTCTTCTTTGAAGTGAAACGGGTCTTCTATTCTTCTCCATATGCTGTAGACTGGAGGTTGTCTGCACCTGCTTTCCTGAAGTCCAATTGATAGTGTTTCTGCTCAGTTCAAAGTCTCTGGAGGTTTATTGCTGCCAAGTGGTCTTCTACTTTCAATATTTCATGGACATCAGATGATAGGTTAAATTCTTTCAGTTGTCACCAAGCTAAATGACACCAATCTTTCAGAGATTATATGTTGGACATTATTGCCCTTCTTTTGTTTTCGATCTCCCTCTTCATGTCTTGACCACATGCCTTGCTGTTGCCATCCACCTGAAAACAGTCAAGCAGATACAGATTCTCGCCCTCACAAGTCACGGTAACAAAATAGACATCCGCAAGACTTCGACAACACTACCTGCGCTTCTGTTGTCAACATACCACCTCATAGTTGCACACACACCAACATATGTGTATTTCATTCGATTGTGTCCTGTTTTTTCAATTATAGACAAGGTTTCTCAAATCATGCATTGGTGCACAAGGTTCTAGATTTTCGTTATACTGAGATTCTTTAATGACGAAGGAGGATCCCGGAATCATGCACAAGGCTCCAGATTCACTGGAAGAAAATCTTCAAATTCTTCAACGACGGACCAAAATTGCGGTCTCACCGCAACGGTGAATGACGGGTTCTAGAAGCCTTTCTGTTCGCTCCTCAAGACCTCCGCCTATAAATACAAGCGGCCGCACACCCCGCTTCTTCTTCTTCTTTTCTTATCAACAAGAAAGCTTCACCGCCTCGTATACCTGTGTCCTGTGTTTGTTGGCTTTGCGGCTCCACGTTGCATGAAGCTTCGTGCTTGAACAAAGAGTGTAGAGTCGAGGTCGAGGATTTCTTTGGAGATGGAAATTATCCCTTGTTCGTGATTTCTGTTGTCAATCTCCTTCTCATTGTCAAGTTCAGTTCTATATACTCGTCTCGTGCGGCAGCTGAGGAGAACTCGCTCATTGGTTGACTTTGAGAAAGCAAGAGCCGGCCCCAAGATTGTGTTAAGCTCGTTGTTAATAAGTCGCATTATTTTTGCAAGTGAATTTACTGAACATAATTAAAATTACTGAAAGTATAAAATCATTTTAAGTATAAATTTTTTTTAATTATAAAAGTTATAAAATCATTTTAATTATTACAATTATTTTAGTTTTAAATAATCGAGCAGCGAAGCTTTTTTTCCCCCTCGTTATATGCTAAGGCTCCAGATGAATCTCATCTCATTACAAACCCATTACAAACCTCACCTTTTGTATATGATACAGGATATGCTTCCTTTCCTGGAATGAAAAATACGTTCATTACGCACGGTGATAGACTGTTACATTCGACGAGTATTATCGACGATAACACTAGAGCGGGGTAAATGTACCCTGCAATCCACACTCCTTGAGAGTGATTACTCTTGCCGTTTTGCTTTTTGATTCAAATCCTGCACAATTTGTTTCGAAATATAATCTCCGCAGATATTTGAATACGCTTTTACCTCCAAAAAGCAGGTGGTAGGGGAAATTTTGAGGTTTGCGCTTCAAGTCACTGATCTCGCTTAATCTGGAAAGGGGCTTCGGGAAGACATAACAAGAAACATTTGCAATAATACTAGAAGCTTAATAACATGAGTTTCGTCAGCATGCTGAATAATTTCTAGAGCAAGAACTCTCAAACTTGTTTCAATGATGTCAGCAATTGTTAGGATGAACCACATGGTTTGTTATCCAGTTCCCCAGAACTATTACCGCTAGCGATTGTTCAACCTTCTCCTAGATTATCTTGGCATTCAAACAATTAAGGTTGCGAAATCAAACAACCACGAAGGCATTATGATCTAGAGTATGATGGCACATTACCAGTTCAGAATAACACCTTCTTGGTCCTAGGTCTATAAAATCTCCAACAAAGAATTTGCTTCTTGTATGCATTTCTTCAACAGTCTCCAGCTCCAAACACCATCGTCCAACTCCACAGACATACCAACTTAACACTTAGGTACATATCTCCAAAACCAGAACATACATCGAAATAAACATGCCTAGATGGCAACGCCGGGGACGAAACGACAATATTTCTTTGGACTACTTCATGTCTGACCTCGACTGGAGAGATTATCCACCCTTATTTTACCAAAGAAATTCCACGTTAGCTGGATTTTATGCTCAGGGAGCCAAACTGCAATACCCACGTGGTCAGGGCGGTGCTGGATTCGTTGGAGGCTGGGATGCATTCATAGCTGGTGGGCCGATGATGCCGGGAATGATGGACTAATGGGGTGCTGGGGATAGACGTCGATGAGATGTGCAGCATGGTGGAAAGGAGGGAGTGGACGGGGAAGATAGGAGCTTGGGAGTGCTTCTGAAAATATACATACCAAAAGCAGAAAAATCATTGAGCTTAACTAGATTTTCATGATATATGGATTTCTTCAGTTGTAATATAATAATGAGCATATCCTGTGTAATTCCTTTGCGCACATGAAGCCATTGAATTACAATATCGCTAGAGGGGTGATTCGCTCCATGAACTAGTCTTCTCAAGTGGATATCCATTTGCCTTTTGCTCAAGAGAAAAGATTAGACTCGTCGGTTCCACAACTACTTTGGCTGAGTACCGTTAAGGGAATATATATTGAGTGATTGACTGTCAACATTGGGCAATGAAGAGCTGTATTTCAAATTTGCAAGCGAGAATACTGTGAGGCCGCGCATAGTGTGGAGGTCAGCCGCCAGCGCCCTCTGACAGCATGAAGCTTATACAGATTCCTTGAGAGAGGCTTTTGGGGGGTTGCAAAGCCCTGAAGCAAGCATACTTCTCCACAGCAGGGAAGCTGTAGGTAACACTCCATCGTCTATATTTTGGTCTGAGCAAGACGAGCCATCTCCATACTCGAGCAAGTCGCTTTGATCGCAGTGAAGCACATTATATCTTTTTTCCCCAAGCTTGCTTGTAGACATTCTCACGGCCACGATCTATCTGCAGGACACAGTCGTTTCCACTTTATCATTTGCTATTCTAAGATAAGGGAGAACGGTATCATAATATCCTTCAGCATGTCACTCACTCTCCATAACCTTGGGATTCCAAATAATATCTTACGTGTCTCAGGACGCTGCATCAACATGGGTATTGCGAATGGAAAGCCATCAATGATTGGAGCATGCACTAGAATACCATGTCAAGTAAGCTCTTTGTATCTTACTGTCAATCAACCACAATCTTGTGTTTAGCTCTACATTTGCTTGATATTCGGATATACCCCAGACTGAAAAATTAGCTTACGAACATGGGGACAAAAGTCCGTGCGTTCAGGCTGTAGAACCTCGAAATTAAAACTCTTCACATTAGGACTAAACTATCAACAACTCCACCATTATGGATCCTTTTACCACTCCACCTATGTCTCCACGTCTCCCAGGTGCAGAGATCAGAACCAAGCACAAAGAGGGCATACGCCGGCTCTTCAAATTCGCTAAAATAGGCCTGCAACAGCTCCAGGGCTACTACCACCTAGGAGACAGCACAGTTAGGAAGATCCTACTATACGATGTGCCTGAAAGAGCGCGCCCTACACGCACAGGGAGACCCAGAGAATCCCTCAATGAACAGGAGGTTAGAGATATTATTGAGTATGTTTGCACCGACCATGCAACTAGAGTGCTGAATTGGATCCAAATACACGATGAATTGCAACTCTCTTGCTCTGTTAAGACCCTCAAACGCCGCTGCAAAGAAGCTGGATACTACTCTTGTATCTGCTGCCAAAAGCCCTACCTCACTAAGACCCAAGCCAATGCGCGGTGGCTGTAGGGGATAGCACACATGTTTTGGACTATTTGGGAATGGAGTCAGATACTATACTCAGATGAGGTCACATTTCAAGTTGGAGGGAAGAAATACAAGCAGAGGTGTATTAGGAATAAGAAGGAACGCTATCATCCTAATTGCATTCAATTCCAAATGCATAGAGGTGGTACTATTCCTGTACACTTCTTTGGTGCTGTAGGCTACGGATACAAAAGTCTATTGATCAACATTTATGGAACTGGGAAGAGTGGGGCATTTACACAAACTGATTACCTTGCTCAAGTACTCAAGCCTTATATTCAGGATTTTTTAGCTGCTTTTGCGGCTGTTTTGGGGCCTGGGAAGACCCCTCAGTTCATGGAAGACGGCAACTCTGCTCACAGCCACAAGACTACTAGCAATATTTGTGCTACTTAGCGTACTTCTATGGGTATTACTTTATTCCCCCATCCTGCAGTTAGCCCTGATATGAATCCTATTGAGAAGTGCTGGAGGAGAATAAAACAAGCTCTCCATAGGCGCCTAAGGCAGCCAACAACTGAGGTTCAAATGGTTGTAGCAGTATTAGAAGAATGGGACAAAATTCCTCAGGAATGGATCAATGGGCTTATTGAGCAGCAGGACTTCTGGGTACACGACTTAATTAAGCGATGTGGCTGGTCTACAGCTAATTAATTAATAAAATTCATGATTCTGATGCCCTGAACGCACGGACTTTTGTCCCCATGTTCGTTACTATATGCCCAAATGCGGGGTAAGTGATCACACTGAAGTAAACAGACCAAATACCTTACCAGACGTGACAAATAATGACCGAGAAACGATGAACGAGAAACGACCACTGTACAAAAGTCCCTACCTCGCAAAGCGTAGATGGTCATCTTCTCCTTGTTCGAATTGCTTGCTTTGATTCAACAATTTAGGTTACAAGAAGAGCCTAAGACTTGAAAACTATTCAATTTTGCTTGCTAACATGGATAAAAACGTTGCTATTATAACCGGAGGAGGTATGTGCTTCAATCCGAGTTTCGAGAGCTTCCGAAAACTGATAGGAACTGCACTTAGCATCTGGAATGGGTTTCGCAGTTGCAACATCACTTTCAAAGAAAGGATGGCGTGTAACTATCGCGGATAAAAATATGCAAGCTGGCAAAATAGCTGCGAGGGAGCTTTCATGCTCCTTTTTCGAGACTGACGTTTGCGATTTTGCCTCGCTATCTACACTTTTCGACCAAGTTTTCGGAAAGGAAGGCCGTATCAATTTTGTGTTTGCGAATGCAGGAATTGGAGAGCATAAGAGTTTCTACGCCCAAGCAGACGGCGTCTCCGGTCCACCAGCAGAATTAGACACCGTCATTGACGTTGATCTCAAGGGCGTGATCAACACTACATACCTAGCACAGCACTATTTTCGCAAAGTTCCAAAGGGTACGAAGAACTGCCTCATTTTGAACGCAAGCATTGCTGGTATATACCCGGCGCATTATTGCCCCATCTACACCGCTGCGAAGCATGGAATTGTGGGTTTCGCGCGGGCAATCTCGACACGCTTCTACAACAATGATGGCATACGGGTCAATGCTCTCTGCCCAGGAAGTGTGAGGACGAATATTTTTGAGAAGCACGAGTGGGACCATTTCGACAACGGGTTCATCGAATTCATCGAGCTTGCTCAGATCGTGAAGATTGTGGAGTTGATACTGTTCGATGAGAGTATGCAAGGACAAGTCGTTGAAGTTGCCCCCAAGGATCATTATTTGATTAAAAGATTGGAGTACAACGACTCTAATGTTGCCCACACACTAGACGAGACTGCGGCAGCCTCACTTAGCCAATGAAAATATGTACGGTATATATTGACTCACACTTTCCACCTCGCCACTTGCCTCTGATCCTGTTTTGTCTTGTTTCCTACCCCCTACCCTATATATCTTTTGACTTGTGGAATTGGACACACTACGCACAACAATGTTCAGACTTAGAACTGTTGAAACGAAAAATCTCTGGATTTGTGCATTGACAAAGGCTTGAGACAATTTCTATTCAAAGATATCTATTAGTGAGAATACGATGGCTAGGGATCTTTTGGTTGACTTAATGGCAAACGAAGAAAAGGGGATCATGCGGACAACAGGGTAAGTCTTCCTTCGAATTCGCGGCTTACTGCAAGCTGCTCTATATGGCATCAGTAATATCTTGACCTCGAGATTTATGCATCTCAGCCTTGACAGCATGGTAGTGCTGATCATGTCCAGAAGCGTACTGTACTCCGTAAGTTTGAAATAAAGGTTGATCAGCAATACATGGGGAGTCGAGCGGAGGCACCGATGTTCCCGGAGACTAGCGGCCAAGAATTAGAGAAAAGATCTCATGCGGGAACATACCATGACTGAAGCAGTCCCGTTTCGTTAGTAGCGACTACTCGGACGAGATAATAATTTCCTTTCTCGTGAGTGTGGAAGAGGAGTCCTTGTTCCCCAATATTAAACAACTGTACATTGGCGGATGTAATGCAACCTAATACTCTCTTGGGTTGCACGAATTTTGATGGCAATAGCTATGTTTGTGGTGCTCCATGCAACTATTCAGGAGCAAAAGTTAAGCGATAAATTTGGAGGCTGTAAAAGGGGCTGACAATGGGATGGGGGCCCCAGTCTTCTTACGTGCGGCTTCTCTTGACCACGAAATCATTACTTTCCGCTGCACTAGTGAAAAATTCCTGGAATGATGCTGTGGTAAAGATTTCAATTGGCCGGGTTGACAAGGGAAGCGTTAGATGTAGCAGAGGAGATCAAAAAGAGACTCGCGGAGAGTAGCGGGGAGTTCTGGTGGAGCTCTGTCTAGAGCCACAAAGACCACAGAGCGAATGTCATCTACGTAAGCCCAGACGGCTGACGCGTTAAAAAAAGAGCTTGGCATTGGTGGGTTCTCCGTAGCGCTCCAGAGAATACTGTTCTCTCTGTCGGGGTAGAAAGCGGCTTTTTTGGGCTTGCGAGAACATCAAAATCCAATGTACCAAATTAAATGTTTCTCAACGCCTAGCTCTTTAAAAAGAATTTTAGTTTTGAAAACTCTACAAAATACCCAAAACATATTTCGATTTAGAAACAATTTGATACTGCTTAAGTTTTCATCTGTAACCTTCTAGATCAATTGGAAATTGCTCACTTGTCATAAGGCCGCTTTTTACCCCGACAGAGACACCGTTTTAACTCATCCTTAGCGTCTTTTTCAAAATTTTGCCAACCCCCCGACGGAGTGAATACAGCTTTACAATTAATCAAAAATCCTTGTTTTCAAGGATTCTTCAATCCTGCAGATCAGACTCTTGGACTCTCACGCCCTTCAAAGTCCGGTTTTTACTCGTTTGAGCGGTGGGAAGAGGCTGAATTGAGATACGTGAAAAGGCAAAAATGGCAGGAGAAAGAAAGCCACGGAGAGCTGTGAAGAGTAGAGGAGAGTAAGGGGGAGCAGCTGAGAACAAGGGAGAGTTGCGATGTGTTGCTAAGAGGATCTCTACATACTGTGGATCATGGAAGACATATATAAACCCTCGTTTCTGCTACATAGAGCTTAGAGCCATCAACGATCACAGACATCTTCAACAAACATTCAATATCATCAATAACGCAGTATTTTGCAATCCCAGGGTCGGTCATAATCGTTCCATTCCAACAAGATGCAATTCTCTACCACTCAAGTGGCAATTATTGCCTATGCAGCATCATCCTGTGCCCCAGTGGCCCTCGGATTTCCGACAGATGTTCATGTCACCGAGAAGCGACAAGATTGTTACACTGAATAAGAGCCGGCATTGGCCGTACAAACCGACACTTGCACTGGCCCTAACGATTGTTCGGTACAGGTCAGCGGAACCTGGGATTTCCAATCTGGTCCTGTAAGTTTTATGCCTATTTCGCTCCTTGTCATTCACCAGCTTGTATCAACTCAGCACCGCAACTCTGAAGTGGACTAAGATATTGACCTTTTCGCAGTGTACCTTCAATACTGTGTTAGTGATACCACTGGTGAAACAGGTCAAATACAATGGTCAACAACGGGGTATTGCTGTTCTGGACCATGCAGCCAACAGTATAATTCCGATGAAAGCTGTGCAGGAGTGTTTACTATTTACGCTCTCTGAAGCATAGAGTGGGCCACCCAAGTGTGGATTGTGTCGGGGCGGCAGTGGTCATTGGCCATTGCAGTGTCGCTTGGAGTGGAGTAGGTAGGAAGGTTAGGAAGTGAATGTAAAGATTTGTTTGTGAAATATGCATCTGGGATTCCTTCATAATCTGTTGTTTGCGATCAATCCTCACCTAACCTCCAGCGCACATGACCTATCACTGCTTTGCTTATCTCTGCTTCACTTCATGCTCACTCGGGCTCAGCTCTAGTAACTCTTTCCTAGTCGTGCTTAGCAAATGTGCGGTATTAAGTTATTTAGAAGGCACGATTCTCTAGGTAACCAAACTTTGATGAGAAGAATGAAAGGGTTCCGAACAGGCTTCTAAAAGTATTATACTTTAGTGTACTTCAGGGTAACGTAAGTATCTCGAACGTACTATCGGCTAGAGTACTCCTAATTGTAGTATTGCACTTCAGATTACTCCCGCTGGCAGTACAGCAATTGAGAGCACTCTGCCCTGTAGTACCTAGATTTGGCCTCTACTAATTATCTCGCTTTTACTATAATTACTTCGATTTCCAAGAATGGGATTTACGCATGGGATACCCTCTTTTTCGCATTTGGTGCATTTGCCAGCGCATGAGCGCACATGCTTATTAAAGTACGACTCAGTTGAAAACATACGAAATTGACCACAACGTGGGCAATCTCGAGTCTTTAGGTCGTGGTTCTCTGAGTTGTGTCCTCTGGATTGATTCGTTCCCAACCTGAGCCTTTTAGCATCATCAACTCATTTCCATCTGCAGAAACCACATGTACAAGTAATTCTAACACAGAGCTTAAAAACAGTAATGGTTGGTAAATAAATTGCTTTCTACCTATTGTTCTAATATCTTCCTAGCAGCAAATGCATGGTCGTTTGACTGGAGCATAGCAAACATACATGGGTCTCCGAAATTGTCGCGCTTGTTTGAAGGCCTGGAGATAGAATGTTCTATGGCTATTCTAGCTATGTCTCTAGACAAAGACTCCTTGGAAGAGTATGGGTATATCAGCTAGCTAGAACTATCACGGCTCACTATGGGACTGGAAGATTCTCAGGCTCTCAAACTTGAAGTTTCACCACGTTCATCGATTCCGTTATCAAACCGACAAGCTTAAGATCGTGAGACTGGATTTTTATCATGTAGAGACTCTGAGTTAACATTCCGCGGATGGAATGTGAGCCCTCTCAACGAAATATATGTCTTTCCCAAATATTCAACAAAAACTTCCCTCAATGCCCAAACTCGAAACCTGGAAAAGCTAGAGGCTCAAACGAATGAGTACGAACGGAGGCTGGATAAACTAACACCACTTTGTGGTACTCAACACCTTGGCATCAGAACAATAATGAACGAACTTGCTAAAGTATATCATAGCCAAGGAAAATACAAGGAAGCAGAGCGATGGCATCAAGCTGTCTTTGAAGCAAATCGGGATGCATTAGGAACGGATAGTTTCGCAACTTTGGCTTCTGGATTATCTTGGATTAATGCACTTATGGCAGAAGGGAGGTACATCAATGCGAAAAATTCTCACAGTCCTTGGCCGTCAAAGTATCTTGAGCACGAAAGCTACTTTTATAGAAGCCAGAATAGCGGGGACTATGGGGGACTTTGCAAAGGCCGAAGCTCTGACTCGCGAAGTTCTTCAGAAGAGTTTGAATGACTTAGGACCTAGAGATCCCGATACGTGGCGTAGTATCGATTTCTTGGCTTGGGTTCTGGAGCGACAATTTCGATTCTCTGGAGCCGAAAAGCTGTCACGAATTGCTCTACAGCTTTACCACGAGGTTCCGGGATTGGAAGAACAGGAAGTGCTCAGTCCGAAGAGATGTTTATCTCTCATTTGCTCTTACCAAGTTCGATATAATGAAAGCAGGGATCTATCGCGTCTTCTTCAGGGAAATCTAGAGACATCCTTAGGTGACGAGCATCCCTTGACCTTGGAGGCACAGTATGCAATAGCTTTCTCGCTGAGGCGAGAAGGCAAGTTTCTCGAGAGCCAGAGGCTATATCGAAAAGTCTATAACAAGCGGATGAAAGTGTTAGGAGAATCGCATCCTGACACTTGGAACACTGCTAGTAGTTTAACATATCTTCTCTATCGCATGAATAATTTTGAAGAAGCCATAGTTTGGTATGAGAAGTTCTTCTGGCAACGGCTTGAGATATATGGTGCAGGTGGTGACAAAACGATGAATGCTTGTTGCTGGCTAGGAGACTGTTATCAGAAGCTGGGGCGATACGATGACGCTTTGAGATTGTACCAGCAGATAGCAGGAAAAATAAGAATGGCGCACGAGGAAGAGAGTCCCGCACTGGCACAGGTAAAAGGTTTGATCGACTGGATGATGTTCAAGACATGGTCGTGGTCTTTTCCCAGTGACCGAGTGGCCGAGTTGAAGGGGCTCGTGATAACTTTTGAATTAATCTGTCTCCATCTCTTTGATGACATTTTTCCCAGCAAGGAAATCAGACTTATAATTATATTCGAAAAGGCAAAATGTTGTTCCACGGGCCAAGCGGTCTCGGCACCAGATCCTAGCCCCTCAACCGATTCGAGGATTATTTATCCATATTATCCGCTTCTATCTCTTTCATCCAGAAATCTTACTAACCCCATACCCCGCGTCCATCATCGTTCATCCGTACTCCACACAGCAGCAATAATAACACTTCCAAGACCCAATCACTTTCTCGCTGTATGAACTAGGTATTAGTTCTACCGAAATACCGAGCCTCACTTAGGCGTCATGGTAATGATCGTCGGCGGAAAGTTTCTTCCTACCCCGTGGAGTGGAGGATGCATGGATAAAGGTAACGTGATGGGAAGTATCCCGCAGTCAATCATTCCTGGTTTATAATTGATCTGAAGGTTCATTTTCAAGCAAGAGACTTTCGAACACTCATATCTCCTCAATTGTCAATCCAAGTCTTGGAGATTTCTGAATAGGCTGAATATGTGTGGTGCACCATCACGATGAAAACACCAAGTCTCCTCACCCTCGCTCTATGCGTGAGACTCATAGCAGCCTCCATCGACCGCCAAGTAATTGTCTCTCAATTCAACCCAACTCGATATGCGAGCTCAAACTCGACGCCCATGCAAGTAGGTAATGGCAATTTCGCATTCGGCACCGATGTCACTGGTCTCCAAACTTTCTTGCCGTTTGGAACATTGTCTTCTTGGGGATGGCATAATTTCTCTCTGCCGACGGATGCGAATCAGACTGTACCCGAGGACTTTACGGGGTTGGATTGGTATGTTTCTTTGGGTTGTGAGGATGAAGGGTAGATGTGCTGATGTGGTGAGGATAGGTGGACTCATGGACGGTTGGTCAATTATGATCAACCGAATCCTGCTGAGCCTGTGATATCGAATTGGCTTATTCAGAATCCTCAGAGGCTTAACTTGGGACAAGTGGGGTTTTGGTTTGAGCCTAGTCTGAATGTTACAGAAGAGAGCTTGGTTGGGAAGGTTCAGACATTGGATCTTTATTCTGGGATTATCACTTCGAAATTTGAGTTTTTGGGGAAAAATCTTCAGGTTAAGACTGCTGTGGATCCGGATTCCGATACTGTGTCGATTCAGGTTGAGTCTGAGCTTCTGGAATCTGGAGAACTAGGAATCTTTTTTGACTATCCTTACTCCGATGTCAATAAGTTCGATGCTCCATTTGTTGGAGTCTGGAATGCGACTTCGATGCATACGACGTCTCTCCAGCAGAGTGAGGGCCAGGCACAAATCACACATGAGATTGACGCCACCACTTACTACACCTCCATAAAATGGGACGTCGAAGCTTCCATCACCGGACCAGAAAATGGCACGCACCGATACACCCTCCTTCTGACCTCAAACTGTGGCAACACCCTCGACCTAAGCGTCAACTTCTCTCCCTCCCTCACCAAAGACGTCCCTACCGCAGACACAACATCCCTCACCTCCCAATCCTGGTGGCAGCAGTACTGGGAAACCGGCGCGTTCATAGACCTAACATCCACCCCCTCCACAAACGCCACTGAGCTCCAGCGCCGCATAATCCTCTCTCAATATCTATTAGCCGTAAATTCCGCCGGCCACGACTCGCCCCAAGAATCTGGCTTGGTGAGCAACGGCTGGTATGGAAAATTCCATCTCGAGATGCCTGTCTGGCATTTAGGGCATTGGGCACGCTGGGGCAAATGGTCGTTGTTGGAAAGAGCTATACCTGGGATGTATGAAAGATTCTTACCAACTTCGATACAGAGGGCCCAAGAACAGGGATATGAGGGCGCGAGATGGGGCAAGATGAGTGATCCGACGGGACGGTCGGCGCCGGGGGAGATCAATTCGTTGTTGATTTGGCAGCAGCCTCATGTGATGTATTTCGCGGAGATGGAGTATAGGGACTTTCCTGGTGAAGAGACTTTGAAGAAATGGGACGAGTTGTTGACGTGGACGGCGGAGTTTATGGTTTCGTTTGCTTGGTGGAATACAAGTACTGGTACGTCTCTCCTTTCTTATTTTGAGGGAAATCCTTGATGATAATGAATGGAATAGGAGTCTATGATCTAGGACCACCAATGTACCCGGTTTCAGAAAACACCAATCCAAACGCAACCATAAACCCGACTTTCGAACTCGCATACTGGCGTTTCGGCCTCTCGATCGCTTCTTCGTGGAAAAGTAGACAGAATCTCTCGATCCCAGCGAAATGGACACACGTCCTCAACAACCTCGCTCCGTTACCCATCGAAAATGGCACATATATAATCTATGAAGGAATTCCGAATATGTGGATTGACAACACAACATACTACGACCACCCCGCCATGACAGGGATCTACGGCTTGCTCCCTCCCCTCTCGATCCCGTCTTTCAATCTGACGATTATGTCGAACACTGCGTCTAAGATTGCCTCGATCTGGGATTTCTCGCAGCTGTTTGGGTGGGATTTCCCGATGTTGGCGATGAATGCAGCGAAGTTGGGGGAGCCGGACAAGGCAGTGGGCTATTTACTGGATCCTAATTTTGTGTTTGATGGTGTGGGGATGCCGGTGGGAGGGCCGAGAGTGGCGACGCCGTATATGCCGGGCAGTGGCAGTTTGTTGCTGGCTGTTGCTATGATGGCTGGTGGATGGGATGGTATGAGTGAAGGTGTGAGTGCGTGGCCGGAAGGGTGGGTGGTGAGAAGTGAAGGATTCGCGAGAGCGATGTAGTGAGGAGGGTGGCGGAATGAAGTTCCATCTGCTTGTTGTTCGTTGTTACATTTGTTTGGAGTCTTCGAGATTCATGAGGGTGCTCGAGTGAGCACCAATCTGCTCTCACTGCGTTGACTAAACAAAACGGACGGACGTCGCTCGCTGCACCAGTGTGCAGGAAAGGCATTAACCTTTATGATCAAGTGAGATTTTATCTTAAGCTTGAGGATTTTTTTTAAACGTTCAATAATTGGATATCATTTACTTTGGATTTATTGAAGCTCGAAGCGTCTTTTCAAGATGGTCGAAGGGCACATCACTAGCAATATCCGCCATTGGAGAGATTTGATTCAAAAACAAGGATTTGCAAGAGGAAAAAGACCAAATCTTCTGTGTTATCCAAAATTCCCATTGCTTCTTAAACAGGAATTCTACAAGACGAGCGGCGCGGTGTACAAAGCGAGCATAATCCTTACAACAACTACACCTCTCCCATTCCAAGACCACTTGCGAGCACCGAGCCTCCAAGTACAACAAGAACAAATGCCCCAGCTAACGTAGTTTGGTCGACCACCATCCTCCGTGCCTTCGATGTCGACTTTTTGCCCGCAGAGCACGCGAGTATATTACTTTGAATGGGGATCTGATCGAATGCGTTGCTTATGCAATTTACTACATTTGGCTCGTTCGTAGCATTCGTGATATTGCAGTATTGGAAACAAAGCTGAGGACCGAAATTCAGGTCTGGGTAAGAAGCGATTTGGGATGGGCTGCCACAGCACCTGGTGAGTAGCGCGGTGTTGTTTGTGGTGAGAGGAAGAGCGCAGAAGGCGGAAGTGGTAGGCGGGTCTGGAATATAGGTATTCGTATTTGCGCAGCCTGTTGAGTTACTCATGGCGATTATGGTGGATATTGTGTGTGTAAGGTAAAGTGGTCAATCCAACGAGTTCTGTTTGCGCTCTTGACTTCGAGAATTCGAATTTTGTGGCAGAAGGCTATCTTAAAGTAAAATAGAAGTCGGCGTTCGTCCATGAGCAGAAAATGGCAGTATACCTCACTTGTGTCAGATTGCTGCCTGGGAAACAGCTGTTGGGTTATACAAGCGTGTCATCGGATGTGGTTGGATCTGAATATAGCAATCCAACATTGACCGCTGCTGCAACAAAAGCGCCTGACAAGGGTTAGACCTTTGAAGGATCTGCCTCTCCAACATAAATCGCGCAAATTATTGTTTCATATTCGGTTGGTTGGCTTGGCTCTGAATTGTTTGGTTCAAAACACAATGGCACAACTGTTCTGTATGATCCTCCATCCTTTCGATGTTTCGAATATACAACAGCATTATGGGAAATGCAACATTCTCAACACCACATTCCCGCAGTGTTGCTTTCCATTCACCATCTTATCTATCCAAAGCCGATGTTGATTGATTCCTTGTATTCGCTGGTCCAGTTCTCCGAATGCAATTCAAATTTGTCTTTGTGTCTACTTTTGACAGAAAAAGATGCTGTTGAAACCATTGTTGGAAGCCTTGGGAACAACGCAGATGAGCAGGAGAAGAAATCTGTCCAAGACAACTTCCTGTACCAGCGAGGCACTCTAAACCTAACATTTGTGCTATCCACATCGCAAAGAATGGGTCAGAGAGCGTTGCTCATGTAATCAAGCCAACTACATGCTGGCTCTATCTTCAGCTTCTTGAAAGAAGAGAGTATCTCAGTCCAACATAACATCACTACACCCTTTGCGATCCTCAGATCCTCGTTGGTGGGATGTGGGACTTGGTATCGTAGGATCTTGTTTTCCTGGAACAATGATCTGCTGAGGCCAGTGAGTTGTAAAAATCCTTCTCTGCTCTGCGGCCCAGTGATTCAGATCATGGTTGCCAACATCTAGTTGATGTTGCAGGTATCTTCAGAATACTAGGCATCAGAACAGTGTTGAGCTGTTCTGGGATTCTGCTTGTCCTTTCCAAGGTGATAACTGTCTAAGAATACTTCCAACAGACTACGTCCTGATCCTTCAAAATGCTTTGCTTCGTTTCGGGGGCACAAATTGCTATAAAAGCGGGCGAATCTCTCCAAAGTCTTTGGATAGATTCTCAATATTCACCATCACCTCATCAGCAGCAATCCTACGTCACAACTAGTCCACGGTGTTTCAAAAGCTTCGTTCTATACAAAATGCATACCTTGAAGAATTTCGCCCTCCTGAGCATAGTTTCGATGGTCCTAGCAGGTCCAATAATTTACGCCCCATCCGGTTTTGATATTCTCAAACCTCGAGTTGCCCCATGCACCCCCGAAAACATGACACCGGGCGTAGTAAGTGTTCTAGGCAGACAGTGTTAACTATGACACTAACAAATTTCGAGGACGATTACAATTGCCCAAAGAAAGCCACTCTCGACAGCAAGGGGCACTGTTCTTCTCCAATCCCCAATATTCCAGAGAACGCGGGGTGCACTGCGTATTGCGAAATAAAACTTACTCCGATTTTTGGGCAAGAGATCCCCTTTGCGGATGGATCTTGCCAAAGCTCTACCACTTGCTACATGTCCACCGGCCAATCAGTCGTTGTTACAAATACGTATACAGTAAATGTCGATGTCAGCATCAATGCCGGAGAAGATCCACTCAAGACATTAACATCAGCCATTAACATTGGCGCCACGTATAGCTATAGCAAGTCGGTAGGATACGAAACAACTGAGGTTCATAGGATGCCTTTGAACGCTACCGCATGCGGTTACTGGACCTTTATTCCTTATCTGTTCAAGTTTGTTACCTTCCTTTCGGCCTCGGAGCGCATATTAACATAATGAGTAGTTCTTGTGGAACTCGTGCGTAAAGACAAGCCTCTTTTTCACTTTTCGAGTCCAATGGTTCGATAACAACCGTGTTCGGGGCATAAGCAAGGCTGAAGACCATGATGAGAAAAGAGATAAATCTAGTTCTTAGGCTCTGCTTCTCGGTTTCCAAGATACTTTCGAGAGTTTATGCTAACTTTTAACCAGTCACAACAGCCGCTATCGGTGAAACCCCAGCCGGGTACTACAATCAAGATGAATCCCCTTACTGCGACAAAAGTTCTCTATCAGACGTCGCAAACTACTGTAACACCACGCCGCACCAAGATGCGAATGGTCACGCCGATGGGAAGGTTATTTTTGTCTACACAGATTGCGACACCAACATTGCGCTGCCAAATGGCCAAGATCCGGCGTATTGGTTTCCGGGAGTGTCCACAAGCCACCCCTAGTCTTAGTACGATCAATTTCTACTTGGATGATATTCAGGGTTGAGATGTTGAAGACGGGGGTAAGATCGTATCGGGAATGAGTCGTCCAGGGTTTCTAAGTAGGATTCTGTTGATGGTGGGGAGGTTGAATTGCAAATTAGACTTTCATACTATAAATTCGGAATTCTAAGCTTCTGCATGACCTTTTTATAAGCGAATAATGCTCTGTTGACTGACAAATGTGTGCAACACAGGGCGTAAGATCTTGACATCCTAGCGCTGGCTTAGGACTTGAGGTTCGGCACTCGCTTAAGGTTTCTGGGGCTAATGGGCCTTCATAAATTTGCGCCTTTCGAATCGAAGACATTTTTGCGGAAGCCCCATTCTTCGATTTTCCGAGAAAATTGTCGTTTCCTATTGACTTGTCAGCCTCTGTTCTTTCTCTCGCCTGTTTGGAATTTTCAAAAGGTGGAGAAAGCATACGTTGGCTTCAAACCAAAGTTTATTCGAAGACAATTTACAAGATAATTAGAAGTCTTGTTTTCATCGATGTATACCCTTCGGATGAATGGTTTCATGTTTTCCCACTGTTGCCTAGAGATTATACCATCTTTAGCGGGAGTTGCCATGGTGAGAATACTCTGCGGCTATTGCTAGGGATTCGTAAATGAATGCTAGCCTGTAAGGCTACAGTTGTGTTCTCGATTCCCCGTGTTTCCAGAACCACAGAAGGATTTATGGTAAGCGCTTTTTATGCCAGTAGACTTCCACAGTTGAGGCATGATATATCTCACCATTCTAAAGTAGCACAAGGAGAAGAAAGCTACAGAAATTCAGATGCTAACCTAAAGGTAGGGCTTAACGATTGGAGGAGAACATAAGTACCCTTCGCCTCGGTGTCACAGTAACCGTACGTACCAGTAGGATTTCGAAGAAGAAAAAAAAAATCAGACCTTTATTTGGTATGTGCAGGATCTACCACCTTTTGGCAATATATACAGAAGCTGTTTAGCTATGCCGGTATCCCTTTGATGGTTGCACATCTTAACGACTTTTAAAAACCTTAAACCCAAGAATCAACGCTCTAATCAAGAGGAATGCCCTCATACTCAGCAAATCCGAGAGCAAGGTTCATGTTTTCTGCATTTGATCAGCCTTGGATGAAATGTGAGGAGCCTGATTTAACTTACGCAAGCATTGTGTTGCAGCTCCCTTCAACAAATTATCAATCGTCGCGCAAACCACAACTCTCTTTCCTGAGCTGTGCACCGCGAACCCACCAATCTCAACACCGTGCTTTCCGCTGATAGCCTTCACGCTTGGTGCCTCGCCAATAACCTTGACAAGCTTCTCTCCTGCGTATCTCTCCTGGTATAATTGTCGGACATCTCTGCTTGTCATGGTCTCCTTCAAGGGCAAACTGATGGTGTGGTGGATACCCTGGAACCACATTGCAACGTGGGGAATGAAAGCGACTGAGACGCCCAATTGGTTGCTAATTTCACGCTCGTGAATGTGGTCAGTCAAACTGTATGGGATGATGTTGTTCTTCAGATTGTCAACATCGTTCTTTGGGCTAGGCTTGGTACCAGCTCCAGAGTATCCAGAAACACCAAATACAGTGGGTTCACCGCTAAGGAACGGTACTAATGGGGCAATACCAAGCTGTGCTGCTGTAGCATAACACCCTGGGTTGGAGATTCGAGTTGCCTTGGCAATGTCGGATCTGTTGACAAGCTCTGGTAGACCGTAAGTCCATTTGTTATCGAATCGGTAGTCGGCAGACAAGTCAACGATGACGCTATTTTGAGGGCCTTTGCCTTCGTTGATAGCCTCAACGAACGGCTTGCAGACACCGTTTGGAAGGGCCATGACCCAACAGTCAATCTCGCCCGACTCTTCCATTCGACGGACATCTTCAGCAGAGAGATTCTCGTAAGTGATATCCCGCTTCTCATAACCTTTCAATTTTTGGCCGGCGAGCTCTCGGGAAGAGACGTGGCGAAGGTCCATGTTGGGGTGAGCGTTCAGAAGGTTGATCAGGGCTTGTCCAGTATATCCACGAGCGCCAATCAGGGCAACCTTAGCTGGCTGAGTATTTGAGGAATTCTTGGCACCGAAAGGAGGGTTAGGATTTGTGGTGGTAGCATAGCCACGTGATGAGGTAGCAAACGATCGATTGAAGTTTCGGGTCGTCTTAGAAAGTGGTCGTCGTGCATTGGTAGAGAAAGCTCGAGCTTGTTGCTTCTGTGGTTGCTTCATAGAAGCGCTCATTCCAGAGGCCGCTCTCGCAGCTCTATGAAGTCTCTCCTCCAGGTTAGCATCTCCAAGCATAGCACGGCCGTATTTGGTGAATTCAGTCATAAGCTCCTTGACTTCATCGCCATTCTCGATTCCATACCAGAACATGACCTCGCCATCCTTGGAAAGACTGCCATCAGCTTTGTCAAAGAACCAAGTGAGATTTTCATCATCTTCCTTGACAGTCCAGACAAGCTTTGGGTGATCCTTCTTGATCGCAGCGAAAACGTTGTCCGCAACATTAGTCAACCATCCAGACTTGGTAATTGTGAAGGTAGCCAGGTTAGCGAGGTGAGTCTCGGAGGTTGGTGGCAGGACAATAGCTAAAGCATCCATGGGCTCGTCGAAGTAAGCTTTGAAGTCTCGGTTCTTCAAACCATCAACATATCTGTCCACTGTAGCTCTGGCGTCAAGACCCTCACGGTCCCTAACAAGAACGTCCTTAAGCTTCTCAAGATCCTCAAATTGTGAGATGGCGGAGGCGGTGGCAAGCTTGTTGCCTCGTCGAATGAGAGTTCCTGCACCAGTGTCTGTGAACAACTCCTTTTGCAGATCAGCCGGGTGGATGATGGCTACGCTCGATGTTCGTGGAAGGCCGTCTAACAATTGCTTGGTCTCCTTGATCTTTAATCTTGTTCCATATCGGCACCACCATTGCGACATTAAGTGTTCGTATTCTTCGTCCAAGTTGATAGCAGAGATCTTCTCGTTGGTATCGGCATTGAAAAGACCACCCTTCTCTGACAAGTATACGATCTTCAAGGGTTGGAGTTCCCGAGCCAACTCCCCAGCAGCGACATCGGCGTTAACGTTGAGTACCTGACCCTCTGGTGTTTCTGCCATTGAAGTCAAGATTGGCAGACATCCTGCATTGATAGCTGCCTCGATTGGTCCCTTGTTGACCTTATTAATCTTGCCAACCAGGTTGTATTTCTCCTTGTCCAGATAGTCTGCTCCAAAAACACCAGATGTGATCGGTCGTGCTCGAACTCCCATCTCCTCCAATTTCTCTACAAGCTTCAGGTTCTCCTCCAAGAAGAGCTTTCTTGCTACTGCCAAGGTCTTGCCATCTGTGACACGAATACCCTCCTCGAATTGGGGCTCCACTCCAGCATCCTCCAAGAGCTTGTTCAATTGTGGTCCAGCACCGTGTACCACCACTGGGTACAGACCAACGTGGTTAAGGAAGGCGAGGGCAGACGTGAGGGATTCGAGATGTTCGGTGATAATAGCTCCTCCAACCTTAATGACCGCGAATTGCTGAGAAGACACGGAGCTGAAGTGGGATAGGTATTGCTGGACCTCCCTTTTGGAGCCAATGTTGCTCAGCAATTGCACAACCGTCGACCGAGTGGAGAAGTTTGCTGCAGGAGCAGAGTATTCTCGCCTGCTTGTAAGAGCTGAAGAAGTTGCAGCCTTTGGCAGACTTCGTGTGGAAGCTGAGGGGAGTCGATTGGCAGCTGTTCGCGCCCTTCTGGCGACGGCACCCGCCGTAGATCGCAGAGCCAACATCTTGGGTATTGTGTAGGAGCGGAGATTCAACGTCGAGGATAGGAAAGCCCCTGCAGCTCCAGTAGAGCGACCACACTGTGTCGAAGTTCCCAGCAGGACTTCGTGTGAATTTATCTCATAAGGCGGGGGTAGAAGTGACTCTTTCGAAACTGCCGTGAACTAAATAAATGCACGATTGTCAGCGTCAGCGTCTTCAGACAGTTAATTCCCTCAAAAAAGTCCGTGAACTTGAGGTTATTACGGATGCACAGAGGAATTCACACCTTAGGAATTGAAAAGTTGATTGTTCAAGATTTGGAGAGATCAAGACATCTATCTACATGCCAAAGTTTGGTGTGGGGTCGTCCCGAGTTCGGTCCAATCCACTGCCACACCAATGAGGATCTGACAAGGGAGAAAAATTCTTTTCCTCGACATCTGACCATTTGCAACACGATACAGAACGAACCTTGGAACTGTAAATCTGCAGCTAAGAAGCTCCTGCAGCCGTTAAGGCGTAAAAATCTACAATTTCATGTGCAGAGTTTTAGACCTTGCAATGGCGTCAACTCATGGCTGGTCTGGTGCTTTCTTCTCTTCATGCGGGCTGCAATACCTACTCGACGAAAGGCAAGAAGCGGCCCTACAAAAGCGATCGATCCATTGTTATTCACAAATTGTCATAAGTATCCCAGATCAAAGTCATGATATCTCAATTAGGTTCCACCATCCATGAATTCCACACATAATACAGAAATTCCGTTGAAGAGGTTCATGAGTTCATCGTTCTGCATTCCCAGAACAACTGTACCTCCAATTCCTCGTCAACGGTATGCAACGCCATGAGAAAGAAACCAACGTAATTCCAAGTGTCAACTCCTGAACGCTAAAACCTTCGTTGATCCTGCTTGCTCGAAGCCAGCGAGTGTATCATGCAGACAAGACCAGAGGTTCCCAGCGTTCCTGCAGCACTATGTAACCGTAAGAGCTCGTAAACCAACGACTTTCTCTCGCTTTCTTCGCCTCCACTCTAATGTTTGGTGGCCACAACTTTGGAAGAGTCAGTATGTATTGACTAATTTGACTACAGCTTCACTCACCAGCAGGTACAATGATGACAATAAGCAAGATGATGATTCCAGCAATCAAGCACATTCTCATCTTCATGTCTGCACACAGTTAGCTTCTGGCAACCATTTTCGAAGAAATCAATGGGCTCACCCTTCCACCACATCTGCTTGCGGACTCTGTTGGCACCCCGACGGAAACCTTGAGCGGATACAGCCAGGTTGTCGGTCTTATCTTGGAGGGAGTCGAGACGTTCACCACGCTGAGACACCTTGTTGATGTTCTCGCGCATCACACCGACTGTGTCATCGATTTGCTATAGTGAAATATGTCAGCCATCTGTGTATAGATCTAAATCCCAGTAACCCGTTATGTCGTTGGCAACCATGAGAGTGAAGCATCCGTTGTGAACTGTTGGCCAAGCAGGCATTTGCGGCTGAAGAGCACGAGAACACAAGCTCTACAGATATAGTCTTTCCAGGGTAAGACAATGTAGTCCGTATGTTTCTTGATGTTTCCTCCTTGTCTGCCGATATCCACAGTCTGAGGTTGATGAATTCCGGGCATCTTGAAACCCATTTGCGGCGGGCTGGGCAACAGTGGAAGCTCTGCTATCGGACCACCCTTTCCTTCGGCCCATAATCTCAGGTCTCGAGTGAATAGAGCGCAGAGTGTATGCAGAGTGTATTTCGATCATTCAGTTGACTCTGTTGAAGTCGCAGGGTCGAGGCTGGGGCAGATCGGTCGGTATTGCCACGGTCGCATTCGATCCATCGTACATCGCAGTGGATCGGTCTCTCGCTGTGTGCCATCTCAGAAGAAATAAAGAAATACTTACTGCTTGTAATGCCGCCGTTCTTTGGTTACCGGGCGCACCTTGACCTCCAGCTGCTCCTCCAGCCGCAGGCTCGGTCGGGATGTAGGGATCATAGGGCCTATCTCCTGCGCTTGCCATTGTGATTGTAGGTTGTTCGAAAGTTATTTGGAAGAAAGGTTCGATATCGTTCGTGTGTTGCGGTGAGTGAGTTGGATTGTAGGAAGGTTGGTGGTGAGGTTGTAAGATGCCAGATGCGAGATGACTGTAGATTGCTACGGGGAAGGTTTGAGTTTGGGTTAACAGGTTAGCGAGCTCGAAACACTGTTCTGGAAGTCTCAAAGCGGGCTGGGCAATAAAGACAATAACAACTCAACGAACTTCTTCAAATACACGCAGGATGCTAGGTGAATGTGTTATTAATCAGTTCTATTTCTAGTTTCTACAAATCTTACTTCCGCTGCTTCCTGCCTTGCGGACGTACGCAATCCGAATTCTCCATCCGCCGCCGCCGCCACCGTGATACACGTGACCGTGGCAGTGCTGTTTCTGGGCAAAGCTGATACCGGGAAGATCATGTAAAGTTTCAATCGAGTCAGACAATTGTAGGTCAATCTCTGTGCGCAGCCGGCGCACAATTCATGAGCTGTGGAGGTATGAACTGGCGTAGATAATTTGCTCCAGGTATGCTCATGTTCCTTATGCTGACAGGTACCTTCCAGGTTCCATTCTCCTGATTGTTCCGGACCTCGTGATGACCGACCATTGATGTTGTGAATGTGCTGGTCCAGTTGGAAAAGGGCTGTCTTTAGATCTTTTCCACGAAGCAGTAGACTTGCGCATTCACGAAGATGGCCGAGGTTGTGTTCGTTTGTCTCTGGAGATATCCAAAGTCTTGCTGAAGTGGTAGGAGTCGTTGTCCGAGAGAGATATCCAACGGCCCCTCTCGATATCTGCCTCTATGTTGAAAATAGAATAGGTTCTTAATACTTAGTTGTTCTACATATTAGATCTCAAAGGTCGACGTTATGTATTGCCCGTACCTTGGGTAATTTGTCGTCGAAATCTTGCGGTGAATTTTGGGAACACGTGAGTGGACCTGGCAGGGTTCCTGTTGCTTTTCCTTCTCCAGGGGCTAAGAGATGAAAACATGTTTTCTCTCGTTTCGAAAACAATGCTCGTGGATCACTGGACAACAACCTCTGAACTTTTAAGGTTATGTCATAACATTCATGCTGGAAATACTTTTCTTCACCAAGAATGACGATTCCTCCGCCTCAGAGGCTCTCAGAGATGAGAAAGGTGTTGTGGAGGGGACCCCAAGGTTTGGGTGATTTCTGTTGTCAGTCCTTGAGCTTCCGACTCTCTCCAGTGTTCACTCCTCACTGCTTGCTCTCCTCATTGTACTATTGCTTTCAACAATTTCCCTCTCTCGGATACGAGTTTGCCGCATCGTAGTCCGTTGTGGTTCATATTCTAGCATCTTGGCTAGCTCTTGACAAACTTTTCCCCACTTCAAAGATACCGAGTTGCGACTTCCCCATACAAAGCAACACTTCACTCCTGATCCCCTACGACGAACTTTTCTACAACACCAAGCAGAGATTGGACTTGCGAGGAATACATTTCACACTCTTTTTTTGACCACTTGGACACTCGTTCACCACATACATTCTTCGCCTCGCCTCTTACCCCGCCAAGTCCACCGGCTCTGTACTCTCGTTCTCAGCACCCTTTACGACCATCACACGCTCAGTAATACCTCTCGGACCTTCGGAAGAAGCGGAGAGAGATGTGAATTTGCTGAAAATTATATCTTTATCCTGAATTTGCCAACTATTCATACGAACCCTTTACTTCGACGTCATCGACTCAGAATCCCCGCACATCAACGCGGGAATTCTGATTCCTTGCAGTACAACATCAACTTAGGATGCTTTTCTCAAGGTGCGCGGCCGGAGCGGCCACTGCTATATATGCAGGGAGTCATGTTGCGAAAGCAATATCTCTTGACTTGAGCTCTACAGGTGCGTTGCGACAATAAGTCTCAGTACCGCATGGAAGCACCACCGAGACTGACTTCTGCCCCAGACTCGATCAAAGGTGTGGCAAAGACTATCGCATACGACATGATGAGCTACTACAATGGAAACACTACAGGTATTCAAGGGAATGTGCCTCTGCCGCATGGTTGTTAATAGACGTTAGGAGGTATACCGGGAAATCTGCCAGCACCATACTATTGGTGGGAGGCTGGGGCCATGTTTGGCAGCCTTATCGATTACTGGTATTATACCGGAGATTCGTCATATAACGATGTTACCTCACAAGCCCTATTATTCCAAGTAGGCCCGAACCAAGACTACATGCCTCCGAATCAAACGAAGACCGAGGGGAACGATGATCAAGGGTTCTGGGCACTCGCGGCAATGTCTGCTGCAGAAGTGAATTTTCCCAATCCTCCTTCTAATCAGCCACAATGGCTGGCTCTTGCGCAAGCAGTCTTCAATCTCCAAGCGAGTCGTTGGGATACAACTACATGTGGCGGTGGTCTTCGCTGGCAGATTTTTACCTTTAACAATGGCTACAATTACAAGAACTCAATCTCCAATGGTTGCTTTTTCAACCTTGCTGCGCGGCTTGCGAAGTACACCGGAAACGACACTTATGCGGAATGGGCAGAAAAGGCTTGGGACTGGACGGCAAGCGTTGGGTTATTAGACAACAGCTATTACGTTTACGATGGTTCAGACGATACAATAAATTGCACGCAGGTGAATCGAATCCAGTGGACCTATAATGCTGGAGCTTTCCTCTTAGGCGCAGCTAATATGTATAACCACACAAACGGGTCTGCGCTCTGGAAAGAGAGGGTTGACGGGATGCTTCAAGGAACCGATGTTTTCTTTCCTAAGAATAACGTCATGGAAGAGGTTGCTTGCGAGAATAACGGGATGTGCGACGTCGATCAACACTCTTTCAAGGCATACCTTGCTCGTTGGATGGCTGCAACTACCAAAATGGCTCCTTATACCTACGATGCAGTGATGGCTAAATTGGCACCGAGTGCACAAGCTGCCGCACAGCAATGTAGTGGCGGAGCCAATGGCAGAACATGTGGCCTGAGATGGCAAGATAATACCACTTGGGATGGCAGTTATGGTGTTGGCCAAGAGATGGCCGCTCTTGAGGTAATACAGAGTAATCTGATTGCACAAGTCACCGGCCCTGTGACGAACAGCACAGGAGGGACTAGCAAAGGAAATCCAGCTGCAGGAACCTCTTCGAATTCCAACCCGACGGTAATCGGTCCAACCACAACGGGGGACCGAGTCGGCGCAGGCTTTTTGACCACAGTTGTGCTCATCATTTTCGTTGGATCGATTTGGTGGATGATTATCTAATAAGTTGCCTCGGTCAATTACTTGTACAAAGTCGCATTCGTTCTTGGAAGGTTGGGAAATATTGCATTGCTCTTACGATGGCGTTGTCTGGGTGTTCAATGGACGAACCTCTCATGATGGAATTGGGGTGTTTCATGCTTGGGGCATCACTGCATACAATCATTGGGAGGGGTTGGCAAAAATAAGGATGGATATATTCGTGTTTGGCGTACATAGGCTGGCTGTAGATTATACGATGTACCGATTGATCGCTTGCATAAATGGTCCTTCATCATCATCATCGACTGAATACGTCTTCTTCATCCACACATACATCCGTATCCGGCAAATCTTTCCGCTTTACGAGTTATTTAAGCTTCACTCCACATGTCGAAAAGTGGTTCCGTCGGGAAGTGGACCGAGTGATTCGTTCGCCATACCTTCCTTTTTGGTGGAAAAGTAAAGCTTTAGAACGTGGGGCAAGAAAGTCAGCTGCATCTCAAGAACCATCTCAAGAATCGGTTCAACACTTTCCTCGAGAATCTATTTTCATTGTATTTTGCAGCTATCTGGCATATCAAGTTCTCAATCATGGCTCCAGCACAGAATCTCCTGCAATTGTTGCAATCACGAACAATCGTGGACTGTGATACCATGGATGTGGAGGGTGTGACACCTTCCCCTCGATTTAGAATTTTATCTGACGTTCAAAAGTCCCAAAGACTCTAGGGCGATTCGTTGATTGTACTTCGAATCAGGTAATCCTCCAAATCAATTGTGTGTTTTTTAAATCTACTGACTGATGCAATTGCTAGGCAATTGCATACTTTGAGCTTCAGAAGCCTATTCACGCCTCAACGATTGAGAGTTCACTTAGCATGGCGAGATCGCTCGCTTCGAAGTTCCCTGATATATCGGCTACGGAATTAGCTGTCGAGATCGCTGTGAGTTTTCTTGTCCAAAGAAATTCCTGAAATTTGGCTAACATGAATAACAGATGGTGAACTTGCAACTCGCAATCTCACATCACGTTTCCGGCCTCGTTCATGTACAGACTAACCCATATTATTCATACGATACCCCCAAAACCGTTGAGAATGCACGAAGTATGCTCTTCCTTTGTCCCCTCTTCTTCCTATTCTGACAAAATTTCAGGAATCGTACATATCTTCAAGTTCCTAGATTCTGCGTTCGACACTAAACGAGTCTGTATCAAGATCCCCAGCACATGGGAAGGAATGCAAGCTTGTCGTATCTTAGAGGAAACCGAGATATCAACGCTCGCCACGACACTGTTTAATATCGAGCAGGCTTCATTGGCTGCGGAGGTCAGATGCCGGTATATTGCTCCTTACGTGAATGAATTAAAGGTTCATTTTGAAGCTGGGTACTTCTCCCTTTATAAATTTCGAGTTGCTGTCTTTAACGATGAGCAGATTCGTAGATCATAATAAAGCCCAAAGACTCTGTCTCCAGGCTCAACGATTGTATGAGGAGAATGGACTCAAGACTCAAGTCTTGCCTGCTAGTCTGACTTTGACGGATGAGATCATGGTGTTGGCTGGTGTGCATCATATTACTATCGCGCCTGGGCTATTGAAGGAATTGGCCGCTGCTCCAGCGTCGTCTTTGAGCGTGACTTCGCTGTTTGATGAGGCGACAACGAAGGCTTTGCCGTTTGTGTCGTATAAAGATAGCGAGGCGGCTTATAGGATAGCTTTCACTAGAAGTGGGAATGGAGAGGGAGAGAGGAAGTTGGGTCAGGTATGGAACCTCAGAAAAGTGGATCGAGGGGTGAGTGCTAACAAGTGGTGTAGGCTATCAATATCTTTTGTGATATGCAAGACAAGCTGGAAGTTATGATGAAGCGGTCTCATTAAGAATAACCTATACAAGAGAAGCAACAATGATGACAAATAGTCTAAAGTCAAGCTTGACTGTTGATGCGTCTAAGAAGAACCGACTGTCAGAGATACCTCGACCACCACTAGTCACAAAATTGAATACTGGAGCAACGGGACCAGAACATTCTCCTTTCAAGCTTAAATAGCTGCGCATCAACTTGGCATATGCTCTCACTCAAAGAAGATAGAGCTACAGTATATCCTTGTATTTCTGTTGTTCAGGGGTTTACTTCAATCAATTATCGTGGAAGTGAGGGCTTTCATGAAATCCAATCCTAATGAACAATCTCTTTCCTACGCATTCCCCTCCCTTTATTTCTGGGCGTGAGATCATAATCAGTATAGTTCTCACCAAGCGGTGACATTAAAAATATTGATTTGGAGGTTCCCCGCGCTTGTCTCGGAAACGATGCGGGGTAGCCAAGCCATGCCTCTAGGCATTAGAAAGTATATACTCTAATCACAACAGAACTGGCAATAGGAACAAGGAGTCAAGACGCCATCTAATGGATGTTGAAAATCCCAAAATATTTCGAGGATGACGACGCTGTCCCTGGTCAGAAGATCGGCCTATCTCCTCAATGCGTCCCACCTTCGCAGCTGGGATGGTAACAGTAGCCTATTAGCTCCCGACCCGAAGAATACCATCTCACTGGACAGGCCAACACACAGCCAAGAAATAACTAACGCATCAATAAGAAAAACACAGCTTCATGGGTCCCTGTCAAAGTAGGTGGGGGAGACTAACTGCGGGGCAAGCTGACATGGTAGGTATGTCAGATTTCAACCCGTGGTAATCCCGCTGTACGACGTCCTCGAAGACCTCATATAAATTCGTCCAACAAATTGTTCTCTTCATTATCCCTATAATCCAGCTCAAACGAAATCATGATGAGAGCCGCTCGCTTTTACAATAAACTCGATATCCGCATCGATGAAATTCCCATTCCCGTCCCCAAAGAGAATGAAGTTCTCGTAGCAGTAGAATGGTGCGGGCTCTGTGGTAGCGACCTACACGAATACACCGACGGTACAACCCCATCCCATCCCTCCTCCTTATCTTTCACAAAGTAACAAAGCCCAGGCCCCTATGTCATCCCCCGCCCAGGAAATCCTCACGTAATAACCAAAGAAACCCTCCCCATAACCATGGGCCACGAATTCTGCGGCCGCATCTCCCAGCCGCCCTCAAACCCCAACTCAAAGCTCAAGAAAGGCGACGCAGTAATGATCGACCCTCGGTTCTACTGCTCAGATTGTCATCGTTGTAGCAATGGGAACGACAATGCGTGCGTGAAATGGGGATTCCTAGGTCTTTCAGGAGGCGGAGGTGGCTTGTCTGAGTTTATTGCTGTGCCGGAATCGGTTTGCCATGTTTTGCCTGAGGGAGTAGATCTGAGTGTTGCGGCGTTGATTGAGCCGTTGGCGGTTGCTTATCATGCGGTGAGGAAGACGGGGATTGAGGATTTTGGGGGGAAAGATGTGTTGGTGTTGGGAGGGGGTTCGATTGGGATGGCTGTTGTGGTGGTTTTGAGGATGAAGGGTGTGAAGAAGGTGGTTGTTAGTGAGCCGACGATGAAGAGACAGGGGTATTGTAGGGAATTGGTAGATGTGGTGTTGGACCCTGTGAAGGAGAAAGTTGGAGATCGGTGTAGAGAGTTGACGGAGGGGAAAGGTGTTGATGTTGTTTTTGATTGTGCTGGCATTGAACGTGCAATGGCAGATGGGATGGATGCATTGAAGTTTGGGGGGCTTTACCTCAATGTTGCGGGCTGGATCACACCTGTGAGATTCCCCCCTTGACTAGCCCAGAGAATGATTGCTGATAAGTTATGGGAAGTTCGTTGTTCCGCAAGGGATCTTCATGACGAAGGAGATGGAGATTAGGGCATCGATGGCCTACACTGGTGAGGACTTTCGAGACACCGTGAAGGCCTTTAGTGCAGGTATGGAGCCATTAAGACTGAATTATAGTCTTGCTAACGTCGCATTAGGAAAGTTTGTTGGTATTGAGAAGTTCGTTACGAGTCGGGTCCTGTTGGAAGACGTCGTCGAGAAAGGGCTCAAAGAATTGATCAACAATAAAGACGACCATGTCAAGATTCTCTTCACTCCTAAGAAAGAGTATGTAACTTAAGATAAAAAGGAGAAGGCTAAGTGGCAGAATCTGCACCAAGGCCATACCTAGGTAATGATATAGCGCAAGTACAGAATGAGAAGTACGAAAAATTTGCGTTTTTCGCCAAACGTGACTCTTTAGACGCACGCGAGCTCGAGTCATATTCAGAGCTTTGCTAGGTGGGGAAAAAGGTCACACAGGAACAGGTAGTCGCCTCATGTTCTCCGACATGCAGGTGTGAGTTGTCCATTGGAAAGCCACTGGATATGATCAATGTGGCGAAGCACGAACCCAAGACACCAGCTGAATTTGACGCCCAACCCTCGGATGTGGTCCCTATGGTCGCTTTCTCCCGTACCTTTTCAGGCCATCTCAGTTTCGATTGCACCAAGCACAGGCTGGCTCCAAGCACAGGTTTGCCCCGAGCACATCATCGGCAGGGTATACAAGAACTTTACCTTCTTGTCACGGATTCCGGTTTTCTTCTAGAATCGATCTTTTGACAAGACATTCCGAATGATCGCAATTCATGACGGCGGGCGATTCAGATCACCAGCAGCAGAATCCTTCCAGAATGTCGTCTTGTTGCGGAACTCCCAGACTACCTAGTAAGAGCTTTTGAGAATTCCCGTTAGATAAACCAAATCTCAAATTGCAGCCAGAAGAATAAACAAGTGTAGTCCTGGGATTTCTCCATTAGGGGCATCTAAGACAGTCAGAAGCGCTAGAACTCTACTCGTAGCTAGAAAGTCTGTCCCTGGCATTCGCGTACGCGCAATAATCTTTATACAATTACTCGTCCACAGACTTCCTGAACGGACGAGTAAGAATTTCATGGAAAGGGTCAAGATTCTGATGAGCCGGGCGCAATAGAGGTGCCTTTTCATCACACTGGCAGGGGCATCCAGGAGCGACACTGCTTGACATTACGAGTACCGATTTGCTGCACGCATCCGCGACCCAGCAGTCTGTTTTGGCCCATGTGTGTATATCAGTCTAAGCTGTCCCAGGGAGCTCTAACCACATAGGAAGCCTTCTCTAATCTGTATTTTCACGTTCTATGAATTCCTCGTCCATTCTATGCTACAGCCGGGCTGACTTTGATGATATATGATGAGATCTAGAATCTTACTCGTACTCATTCCCAAACCCATGCATTAGTGTGCTCACTCACTCCTCTCTCTCCGCATTCCCCTAGTCCCGCCCAGCCGTCATACAGCAATCGCCCCTCCACATGGCCTGGCAGACTCTGAAGTCCCAATGAGATCCTACCTTGTCTGGCATGCAATCATCTGTCGTATAAGACTCCCTTCGAGCCCCCTTCGATACAGCATGCAATATTCCTATAAGCACCTTCCTCTCATGGGGATTAGGTCAAGCTCCTTCTACTGCATCCCATCCACCTAAACACTTCACGTCAAAAAACAACGATCGAAAAGTATTCAGATAATCTCAATCACGCCCAGCTCCATCCCAAACAACTTGATCCAAATCTCTCCTTTCGGAACAACATACATCATCGAAGAAAGTCAACCTAACCTTTGACTGCGTTCAGCAGTCGTACCGTCTTCGTAGTCGAACAAATTGGTAGCCTTGCCTTTGGACGGTCACAAATACACCACACTGTGGCTTGCTACAAGCCACAGCTTCGTTCGGAACGTCGCCTACAGAAAATTACCACTTACTGCACTGCAAAACACGTCTATCTCTTGCGCCTCTGCTTGAAGAAATACTCGAAAATTCCTGAGCTCTTTTCCCACGGATATGCGCAGCGTATTACCAAACCCATGATGGACAATGACGATGTGGGAATGGGAGGGAAAGGCGGGGTCATTGGTTCCATAGACCTGGGCGAAAGTATCGAATGTCGCCGAGATAATTTGCTTCCGATTGCGACGAAGAATCTCGAGAGAAGAGCAGACGTGACACTAGGACAGCAAATGTCCATTGAGGAGAAATGGTTGGCAGATGAGCGACTCAAGCTTGAAACAGATGCAATGGAAAAATTCGAACTCCGACAGATGGCTGTAGAGATGGAGAGCTTCAGAAGCAAGGTAGAGGCATCAAGGAAACGAATCGAGAAGAATATGGCCGCTAAGATAAGGGCCGCAAGAGTCAGAGACGTACAGAGACAACACAAGAGAATGCTAGGTTCCCAGGAATATGTACAGGCGACACAGATAGACCCCACTACCACGAGTCAAAAATCCCGAGAGAGTTTGATCGAAGATCAAGCGAAGCATGAATATGCCAAGATCATACAGCAGAATAATGTTGAAGATTGCCGAGCAGGAATTGTGGAAGAGGGTGCCAGCGACAAGGTGTTCAATAATTGCGAAGAAGAAGAGCAGGAAATCAGAGATGGAGTTGCTGAAGGGAAAAAGCTGAATGATTCAGAGGACCCAGAACACACCACAGCTAATTCAGCAAAGCAATCACAGGTTGAGACTGTTCTTATCGAGAATAAAATCTTGACCCAGAGCCCCTATCTTTCCAGCGACGGTTCTCTCGAAAAGCCGGATCTCGAGAATTTGCCCAAGCGCCCTTTTTCTACCGACTGTCAAGAGGCAAACTTCGCTGCAAAGGAAGTCTTGGCAGATGACTTCACTACCCAGAATTCTACCTACCTGTCGAGCACATTCTTGTCCAGCATATATTTGCAAGCAACTCAGCCCTTGCATGATTTAGGGTCCTGGGAATCTTCTATGCGAGACCAGCCCACGTTGCTCACTGCAAAGAATGATGAGCATGTCCGAAGGTCAGGGAATATAATCTCAGGAGATGCTGTCCTATCGAACATAGCACCAGCGAGAGCAAAGACTCACCACGAGATGAACCACGCCGAAGACGAGAGCTCTTATCGCTACAGCTCTAATTTGAGCGAGGCCTGCACGCAATTGGTGGTGAAGCGTAATCATCTTTGGGGAACTGGCTACAAAATCGGCTTGACTTTTCTTGATGGAAGTCCGCAGCAGCACAGAGATGTCATGAAATGGGTACAGACTTGGGAGCGATACGCGAACATTAATTTCGTGGAGGTCAAACAGGCCGAGTCTGATATTCGAATTAGCTTCAAGTTTGGCGAGTGTTGGTCCTATGTTGGTACCAAAGCTCTCGATATTCCAAAAGAAGAGCCGACAGTGCGACTTGGTATTGCCCCATGGAACACGAGTGCAGAAGTACAACGCGTGGTCCTTCATGAGTTTGGGCATGTGTTAGGATGCCTCCACGAACACCAATCGCCCCACAATCCACTTCTATTCGAGGAAAAAGCAACATGCGAGTACTTTGCTGCAAAATATAACTGGCCTCATGATCGGACTGAGCGTGACGTCCTGCGAATGTACACGCCAAGGGAGGTAGATTCCACCATGTATGACAGCAAGTCCATCATGCACTACTCCTTCCCTGATACCGTCTTCTCGAATAAGGTCGCTATTTCGGTGAACTACGAACTTTCAGAAATCGACCGGAAAAAGATTGGCACGCTGTACCCATTTGACGTCGAATCATCCTCTTCTCAAAAGTCGAACTGGATGCAACAAACCAAGCAGGCTCTAAAAAAGAATGTCCTTGGCATGTCTCCAACGAATATTACGACCCCAAGTATACCGGAGCTTACAATACAATTGTTTGAGACAGCTGGAAGACCCTTTGACTTTGTACAAGACACTGTTAAACGGCAAGTACATTTTTTGGGATTGTTGTGCATAGCAGGTCAGCTACTCGTGGTGGGTTTGTGGGTGGTCTATCGATCTCTCGCATGGGCAAATCAGTGATATACGGCTGTGTTGTACTTCTATATAGATATCCTCTTTATTTCCCAAGACTTGCATATTCTTAAACATGTCGAAATGCCTTGTTCTCTCATCGTCTAAATTTGTAATTCAGGGACACTTGTCTACGCGCACGTCAATGAACATCTCAGTCTCAGCTGCTACTGCTGACATTGTGGAGGATAGTTGCCCGGAACTCAAGCCTTACTACTGCTTGTCATATGTTAGCGTTTTCACAGACTTTTAAAATGCAAGACGACCCAAAGATTTCAGAACAGCATCATGTTTGTCATCCTGAATGAGGTAAACCATACACTCTCAATACCTGCTTATTCCGGATTCCGTATGATGCTGTTCGTAGACAATGCGCGGCCGGGGACATACAGGATGAAGAGACGAGAGCGTGCGCAAAAGTGCTGAAAGAGTGGAAATCTCCAGATTGGTAAGTGCATTTGGCAATGACTGCTCTTGCGTTAAAGCCAACACCGTTCTCGTTGAGGATGAAACAATATCGGACGAGGGGAAACCAACAAATTTCAATTGTTCAGTCCAAAACTACTTGTATAGAAGATGGACAGCTCCGGAGGTACAGTCTCACAAGACCATCTTCCAATAGCTATAAGATGGTTATTATTACCAATCTTTCATGGCCGCGATGTAACGCGATACGCGAAGTACAGGAGTATGCAATCTTCCCCAAATTGCTTCGTTCTGCTCTTGTTCTTTCCTTCAAAGACGGCTTGCCACATAGATGGGAGAGCCGCTCACATTCGCCAATGACACCCCGAATGACTCGCGCTTCTCTCGTTATACTCCAGTTTCCAGAGGACATCGAAATACAATATTCCTTGTAGATCGTGCACTGCTTTAACTAGCGATGCGCAGGGACGAAAGCCATCGACTTACTTTATGATGCCCTTGGCTCTTTCCCAAGCTTGTCTCTGGTGTATGGAGCGCAAATCCGCTCACATTCGCCCATGATCCCTGAAGCAACTATTATTCCTCTTATTATGCGATATCTTCGGAACGTATTCATTAGTAGTTTTTCTCTGTAAGAGACACAAGAAAATCATCCGTAAGCGCGTACTTCCACAGTTTGTTGTGTTGTGATACCCCAAGCGACGAAAGCAAAGCAGTCTCAAACGACCCGACGATAATCTTGGTGCTTTCTCAGGCGGGTGCAGATCTTTGATGTATGGAGAGTAGGACCCGCTCATGTTCGCCCATGCTATTTCTGGACTCGCACTTCTTTCATTATGCCGAATTGTCAGAACGTATTGATTACAACATCTCAATACAGACCCTGCAGACTCCTTGATTATTAAAGACCGTGTCCGTGGTTGTATTGTATTGGTGACGAGCAAGGACGAAAGTGATCGACCTACCCGACGATCCAAGCATGGAGATTAATCCCGTTCACATTTCTGTATATTTCTAAGCAATACCACTTCTCTCATGGTACTGCATCTTCAGAAAGGATCCAATGGCAGTGTTTCTCCGTATACGACTCATTAGTCTCATCAGCGAGTGCGCACTCCCATGGCTAAGTTGTACTGTGATGCCAAAAGGATATAGGTAGATAAAGCTTCTCCCTCCCGGATTACCCGACGATCCCCTGATTTCTCTCACGTAAGTTGTCTCTATGGCATAGAGAGCATAAAGCATGTTCAGTCCGCCTCTTATCAATAAAGATCTTCTTTTATATATATGTGCCAGACTCTTGCGCGCTCATCGTGTGGTGGCTGGATGGGAGAAACCAAAGGTTGGTACTAATCTTGCATTGATCTAAGGATATTCTTCCTGTCTAGGGAGTTACTAAACGAACGCAATGAGTATAAAGGGAGAATATACTCTCTTACTAGATGAAAGCATTACAACAGACCTTAGATCTTGTTCTGATAGAAGTAGAGCGGATTTGTGTATAGACGCTATCCCATAGTAATACTTCGCTTGATATTTACATCTATACAGCACTCGCCTTAACGGGCCTTCAAACGGAGCTAGTACTCATCGCATCATTGGTCGACCTAGCACCACTAGTCCGACAAGGGCGAGAGTGAAAGTTAGATCTACTTCCCACCTTCGTGTATGCCCCTCAGAACTTCAACCTCGACAACACCACTTTGCACCCACAACAACAACCACGACCACCATCGCAGTAGCAAGAGCTTGTAAGTAACCATCTATTGTTTATCAACTCTACGAGTGTCATTCTAACGGCCTCAGAAGAGCAGCAACAGTAAGTTACGGGTTTGTTTCTTTGAGTCGAACTTGAGTACGAGAGATCTTTGGGCCCAGGTAGGCTGGACAACACTTACCCCACACAAGAGCACAGTATATCTTCACAGGTAAGACAGATCTATCTGATCCAGAGCAATCTAACGGTTCTACTGACTTCAAATCAAGAGAACCCACTCCTTGGTTGCAGCGTTGACAGGTGTTGTCGAACCTAAGCGCGAGAGAGCTTTAGCTCGCTCGCCTTGAACAACACTCACCGCTTACAAGGTCAACAGTATATCTTTGCAGGTAAGATAGATTTATCTAATTCAGATAGCTCTGATTACTTTACTGACTCCAGATCACAAGAAAACCCCACCTTTTGATGGCAGGACTGGCAAGTGTCGAACCTGAGCGCGAGAGGGGTCTTTAGGCTAGGAGCTTCAACAACACTCACCCTGGACAAGAGTGCAGTATATCTCTACAGGTAAGACAGATCCAACTGATACAATCCAATCTAACAGATCCACTGACCTCAATTTAGATCAGACCAAGAGAGTCGTACTCCTTGATTACAGGGTTCGCCAATCACATTGGTGAACTTGAGCACGAAAGATCTTTGAGCTGGCACCCTGGATTACACTCAAAAGGGGTCAGCGCCTTCGCGCAAAGCTTCGCGTAGAGTTTCGCGCGTAGGTACCTCCTTTATCCTACCAAGCACCCATTATCATACAGGACTTCCATCGTCGGGTAAGTCAGATCTGAAATCTCCTAAGTCTAATTACTTTTACTGACTTGAAGATAGGAGACAATCTAGAGTGAAGAATCACAACCCTCTCCTCCACTCCACTACTCCATTGTCCGCCATACTCTGGTAGAATCCCTTTCAGGCTTACAATCACACCTGATTCTCAACTTTGAGAAGTAAGATAACTCTCATACCCATGCGCCAGACAAGTCCCAGAATCAAAGTCCGCTTCTAGAGATGAGACTGACACTTCAGCAGAATGACCGCGAAGTCGACGGACAATCAAATAGGACTACAACAGCAACCTCAGCCACCGCGAGCTCATACTGCAACACCTGCAAATATCCTTTCAGATCTGTGGGCATTCAAAGAACCCTCAAAAATTCTTGGCTTCGCTTATTCTCGCTTCGCACTTTACTCCTGAACCTCACGTGGTCTGAGCGCTCAACATCTGAACACTTGAGATGAATGACTTCAACGTCACAGAGAGCATTGATATAAGTCAGATCTCTCATACATCGATGTTCCGAAGGCTTCCAGACATCATGATGTGGACCGAAACATTCAGACAACGTCCGGCATCCACTGAACGACATGCATGGCACAGATGCATCAAAGACGGAGATACCTCCGTACATCGTCTACAAACGTTCAAAGCACAGGCATTTGAGAATGTGGCACTTTCATCTCACCACTTGAGATGCGCTGCATAAGTTACCTAAGCTCTAGCACAACAGACATCAGACATAATTTCCAGATGTCAAATGCTGCCAAAAGGTATGTCCTACTCACAGACGAACATTTCCACTACTCATAGACACGACTGACATAATGAAATATACAGGATCCACTATGCATGCAATGCAGTTCAAAGATCCTTTGTCCCAACATGTCCAGCCATGTCTGGGACATTGTGGAGCTGAAAAGCTCGATGCATGGCAAGAACTAAGCAAGTGCTTCAAAGAGTCCGCTGACTCCTGGGACATATGATACTCGACAGATCTTCTCGTACTCGAGAAACAATGTTGCGCCTGAAAATGTTGTACGAATATGGCTGACTTTGAAATAGGGCACGATGTCTATGGAGTTTTTCAACTCCATAGACTGGGACCACATGGTAAGTTGTCCCTAGCATCGCGGAACAACAAGATCGCCTTTTCGATCTTGACTACTAGCGGAAAAAGGTGAATCTAACAAGCGCTCAAACAGGGTCCTCGCACTCCAATCCCACGACCCGCTTCCTCTCCTTCCGCCATCTCCACCAAAACCTCCTCCTCAACTTCCACCGTTACCCCCCACAACTACCTCAGAAACCTTCCCCGTCCCTCATCAGCAGAGGCGGAGATGGATCGACGAAACCATCATCTTCCCACCGGTCGAGGAGGCTACCCACCTGCCTCGTCCGCAGTGCCCCCCTACCTTGCTCCCGGCGCTCAACAATCCTCGAGCACTGGCTCGACCGATTCCATCATGACCCAAGTCCCGCTCCCTTACTACATGGCTGGCGAACCTCATGCGCAAGGTTCTGGCTTCTTCGTTACTCCTGAGATTCAAAGCCAAGGTACCTTCGAGCCCTTCAATGGTGGCGCACCCGGCGGTAGATCGAATTCGACTTCATTGAACCCGAACTCCGCACCTTACGTCCCACCCGGATCTGCATACCCTCAATACAATCAATACGAAGGCGCCTTCGGCCATCAGCTTCCACCGGGCACTTCGATGATGAACATGGCAGGTCCCGAGCAAGATTACTATGGTCAGCAAGCCTATGGTCCAGCTGACATGGGCGGTCTTATCCGTTCTCCTCAACTTGCGCCGGCTCCTCCGTTTCACCATCAGTATCCGATCGGATTTTTCGGTCCCTACCCCGGCGGTCAAGGTATGAACGATTATCAACAACAAGGCTACGGTATGGCTCAACCAGTCCCACCACCTGTTCACTATCAACAATCCGTTCACTCTCCTACTTCCAGCTTCGCCTCTGGTTCTACGCAAGGTTGGAACAACCATGGCTACATCGCTCCTCACGCTCAAGTCGTTGCTGGTCAAATGTTGATGCAATATGGACAACCTCACCTTGCGCCGGGCATGCATGGTCAAGCATGGGCTCCTCAATATGGTGCTCAATTTGCTGGTCCACCAGGTCAACACCCATATGTTCTTCCAGCCAACATCAACCGCGGTAAGACTGTCGTCAAGTGTTACCCCCGCGGTGGTGATCAAAACAACAATCGTGCCTCCAACAACAACGGCGGTGGTGGTTTGAAGATGAACAAGCTCAAGCATGGACAGAACAAGCATGGCGGACCTGTTCTCCCTCCTCCCCCAAAGATGAAGGATTTAAACAGCCTACGCAGCAAGACTTCCCAGGCTTCTTCTTCTATGGAGTATCGTGGTCAACCTGGCAATCACCTCGTCTCTCAGACCGCTTCTCAGGCTTCTTCGTCCAAGGGGTATCATAGTCAACCTGGAAACGAGCTCGTTTCTCAGACCGCTTCTCAGACCACCAGCGAAGATGAGACCAAGTCTTACTCTAGCATGGGTAGTCCGACTCCAGGCCCTAAGGTCCGAAAGGAGATTGAGTTTGCTTCTGAATCTCGTGCCGCAAACACTCCATCTTTGCGTTCTCGACGGGGACAAAGCATCCGACAATCGTTCACCGACCCTGCCCGCAAGACTACCACTGATTGGGTTAACACCCTTCAAGGTCCTCCACCAAAGATGATGAATCTCCTCAACGATGCCATCAGTGGTCATGAGGTCTCTCGATTGGGTTCCATCAATGAGTCTGATCCTTTCGTTGGCAACACTCCGGCAAGCGCTACTCGTAGCAATCCGCCTCTCCTCAACAATCCTTTCGGTCCCCACCAGCTCACCATCGCTAACAAGAATGCGTATCAACAAGGCGTAAGCGTTGAGCTTCTTCGGCTGACAAACAATTGCACATCTCGTCCAACCGCCGACGTTGCTGTGGATTCCATTCCATTCGTCGAGTACTGCAGACTCAACAGAACATACAACCATGGTGTAATTAAGCTCAAGAACGTAAGTGATGCAATGAATTGTTGAGCATCTGATACTGATATGCGACAGATTCCCTACACCGTCAATCGTCCCGAGGTTCTTGCCTTCCTTGGCCGCAACGCTCGCATTATCAGTGAGCAGGACTTTGAGCCGGTTCATATCGTCATGGAGCGTGTCACCAGCAAGACCCTTGACTGCTATGTCGAGTTTGCCGACCTTAACGAGGCTGTAGCTGCTGTCAACCGCTATGAGAACAACAGAATGACTGGTCGCAATGGTCGTCTTGGTCAACGTCATGTCGATATGGAGTTGTCCTCCCAGGATGCTCTCATGAAGGACCTGTTCCCCAAGGCTAAGAACGTCAACTGGCGCGATGGAAAGCCCACCATCATCCCCACCAATCCCCATGACAAGTACAACTCTGGTTTCCAAGGTTTCATCAGCAAGGAGGAGCTTGTTATGTTGGTCAAGCATGTTGAGACCCCGCAACGAGTAAGTACAGACCGTGATGAGATAGTCTTGCGCTAACAGTCACAGTCTCCATTCTCCAAGGAGTGTCCCCAACGTCCATATGAATGCTTGATCAGCACGTTGTTTAAGGTAAGTCATCTTCGTGATTTGAGTCGTGTCAGGCTGCCCTGCTTCAATTTTCCTGAAGCTGACGACACACAGTATCCATGGTACATGGTTGACTACATCACCATCGAGGATCGCGATTTGCTCTACGATGCCACCAGCAAGCTGCTTGATCTCCTTAGGGATCGTCTTAAGTCCACTCCCGAACAAGATATCAACCTGTCCCCGATGCTCTACAAGCGAGTCTGGCGTGCCGCAATCAAGTGCCAAGGTTTCACTCCGACCATGAAGGACAACATTGCTTTCAAGCACGAGCTCCCGTCGGATCTCATGCAAGAGATGGGTGTCCCCTTGTTCGCAGCTGATTGGCATTACCTCTGGACCATTGGACCTAAGCCTGGTGCTCCGCACGACATCATCCTGGTAAGTCGAGTTTGTGAGGATCTTGAGACCATACTGACTTCTCTTAGTGGTATGCCGCTGTCATGCGTGAGTATCTCGACTCCAAGAAGGAGCAGGTTCCACTTGCCGATAAGGCTGCCAAGGGTGAAAAGTTGGAGCGTGCCAAGCTGTTCGGCGATCTCGAGAAGTACTTCGGTCACCCCGTCGACAGAAAGGTGTTCGGCGCCCTCACTCTAGCACAAGTCGCCGCCAACGAATGGTCTGGTATTGAGACAGTCTTGCGACTAGCTCTCGCTCCAGCTATCGAGGCTCCTGCTAGCGCTTAATTCCTGCTGTGATCCGGTTTCTCCTTTCGCCTCCTTCTCGACATTCATCGTCTTGCTACAAACGTTTGTATCGCGTTTTCCATTTGGAGAATGCTGACGCGGACTCGTTGCTTGGCGTTGATCTTCATCGTGGCATTAAGTTGCTGGGTGTTTCGACTTGGTGGTCAACGATTTTCCATTGCTTCATTCGAGGCATCGTGGTGTTTCCGAAAGGGTGGAACTGGTTGTTTCTACTCTTTCCACAGAGGTGTTTCCTTCATTTTGATTTCTGCAATGACGATTGTTGACGCAGCATTATTTATGGTTTCGTGGTCTAGTTGCCTTTACTGGCATTCTGACTGCTACCGAACGTGGCGTCTCGTCCTTTTATTCGCGATACGATAGTTGATGATACGGGGAGCGGCTGTAGTACTGGAAGGGGGATGAGTTACAGCTGCTTACCAATGATGATTAACGGGAGATTTGATGACTTCAAGGCTTCACTTTGAAGATCGGAAGAGGCTCTCTGAGTCTGAAATAGTACGAACTCAATAAAAGTCATGAATAAACGCACGTAACAATGCATTGTGACTAGCCGTGATCAAACAATGAATGAAGGAAAGCAAAAGCACGCAAAATAGCAAAGCAGGCAGGCAGGCAGTAAAAGCACGATTAGTCCCATAAGAGCACGAAGGATCAATGCAGCATTTAGGGTATTGTTATCTTATAATTCTGGGAAGTCCAAGTATTGAAAGAATCGGTGTGCAACAGTGCCGTGTGAATCAGTTCAATTGGCTGGGTCGGAATCATTCAACAGCCTCCGAAGGAGATGGCCAACAGATTCGGCGAGAAGAAGGACATCATATCTTGTTCGTGGTTTCTAATAGCACAATAAGTGACGAATGTGGAGCGATGGTGGACATCGAGGGTAAGTATGAAGAAAGAACAAAATCCACAATCTCCAAACCACCAAACTCTGCACGGACCCACATCAACCCCTCCTTCCCAAACCACCACTCCTCAACCACCATGGCCGAAGCACTACCTCCCTCCTTCATCGCCAAGAAGAAGCGGATATTAGAGCAGCTTTCCATTCCAGCCGCCGAATACGATGATCTATCACCGAAAGGGTCCGTGGATGAAGGCATTAGGGTTCTGATCGATGAGATCAATGCGATTGAAGGATGTGTGACTACGAGTAGTTGTGCTGGAAGGGTCAGTGTTTTCTTGGAAGGGAGACGCAAAGTTGATGATGGATCGGAGGAGCGAGAAGGGGAATTAGAGGGCAGGGAGAAGAGTGCTGGTGTTGGTGGGAAGGGCGGTGGTGGGAGGTGGCTTTTTGTTTCTCATGATCCTGTTCAAAAGGATGGTGAAAAGAGTTGGATTGAGTTCTTGGGGATGCAGAGTACAGACGTCCAGGATTTACAAGCTCAAATGGGAGGTGTCCTTGAAAGGAGGTTGATTCATTTTAAATTCGAGCCTATGGTATGTCATGCTTTTTGGTTATAGTCATTCTTTGTTAACACTACACAGATTCTTCACGTTTTGACTGCATCCTTGAAACAGGCACAAAACGTCCTTTCAGCTGCCTTGCAAGCTGGATTTCGAGAATCTGGAGCTTTGAACCTCGTTGCATCTACAGCAGAGCCTGCTACTCCTATGGTGGGAATTCGCACAATGGGTCTAACTCTAGAATCTGTGATAGGATTCGAGAGAGACGGTTCAGAGATTTGTATGATCCCTGAGTGGCAACTGCAGAATCTAATAGAGGTGTCAAACCAACGATTCGTCGAGAATACGAAGAGGATCGAGAGATTCCGAATGTTGTCGAAGGAGATTGATGGTATTGCCGCCAAAAGGCAAGGAGAGAATGGAGATTGGGAAGATCCACAGATCAGAAAAGAGCGAAAGCGTGCTCAAGGCCTGGAGAGAGCACGAGCTATGAGACAGAAACAAGCCTCTGAACTCCCAGAAGAAATACCTGAAATGGGACTTCTAGAACAGAATTTATGACATTATCACAACGGTCACCTAAGCCTATGGCCAATAACTCTGAGTTCACAGCGCTTTCCTGCATTTCCATCTATGCGATACACTTATTCTACAATGTATTATGCGTGGCAGCCTTTCCTTATCTCACAACCTTCTCTACCCACGTTCCCTCCAGTTTTCTAACCTCGGCCTTGAACGTCTCGACCTCTTTCCAACAGTCCAGCGGCCTTCTATCATTATCTCTCAAGCACTTCACGACTGCACTCTTGGCACTCTCAACACTCTCATCGATATCTGCCAACTTCTTTCTCTGTTCCAGCTTTTTTCTTAATTGCTGAACATCGTTCTGAACTGCCTCTCTTCCCAATTCCCTCAAACTATCGCCGGCAGACTTTGGTTGGTCCTTCTTTTGTGATTCTTCGGCTGCGGAGATCTTGGCTTGTAGGGCTTCGAAATCTTTGGCTGCACGGTCTTGGAGTTGCTTTAGCTCTTCGGCCACGCGAGCTTGGATGTGAAGTTCGAGAGTCTTTGAGCGGGTCGAGTCGGACTAGATCAGAAGATTTAGAAGTGCACTAGTAGATAACGGACATTGAGCATACGTCTGGACTTGATTGTAAAGAGTCTACCAGACCTTGTGAGAACCGGACGGGCGTTTCCCTGGTGAGTTGTTAGCTACATTTGAGTTTGATTTGGGCCCTGGGGGCCTGGGGGAGGATTTACGATGTCCAAACTTGTGTCTTTGGCGAAGTGTCTGGTTTTGAAGAACCGGAACCCATTGTGAGAGGCTGTCGGGGATTCAATGGCTGTTCATCGACGTCCCGTATCAAGCTCTTGAAATTTGAGGTTCAGCGATCGGCTCCGAGAGCATCACCTGACTCGGCGAAACGATTTTCCATATGCCAAGACTTGAAGCCTGAAAAGTGCCTGAAAGCTTGGAGCTTTCAACCTTTGTGAATGTTCTACTTTGGGACAAGTCTTCCAAGCATCTCTCTTGTCACTTGTCGAAATACCCATGTCACCTACATGTTTCGAAACTTCTTGGCACGCTGGGCTGAAGGCGTTCTCCGAGAAACATCATCACACAAATCGTCAGACCGTATAGATAGAGACGCAAGTATCAGCATAGGTACTTCACATGTATTTCGTGACAAACATGAGCAATTGGATAGCAGTGTATCCGGGTCTCTACCTGCAACCGTCGCCTTGTCATCCCAGGCGGAAATCTCGTGATCGTCCCGAAGCTCCTCAAAACCTATCAGATTGACGTTGTTTGTAGCCCCTGAAAGGGTCCAGCTCGTTTCAAAACATTCCGCCAGTCAAAATTCAGATATCCGACTGCGCCAAGGACATGCGAGAAAACGCCACCAGGAACAACGACCTCCTTCCCTCCAACCAAGTGCATCGCCCCTGACTTTTTTCACGCTGGCAAAGTAGCCCACTTGCCGTATTGAGCACGAGTGAGCCTCAAGGCCAGAATCTGCAAGTCCGCCGGGCTGGTCTGGGACGAAGCGGCCCGTTCGATAGGCTGGCGATGATTTCCACTGATAACCCACAGCATGCAGTTGTCCAGCCGCGATTATGCTTAGGTCTTATCCAAGGGGCTGGAGGCGTACGACGTAGCTGATGGATCTTTTCCTGACCGTCAAACGGGTCTTCTTCTGCTTCTTGTGTCATTTATTATCTGCATCTCGCCCGCTCCATTCACTCATTAGACCTCAGGAGTTGTGATGTTTTCATTGTCGGTTCCTTGCTCATAGATTCGAAGCCGAATTTTCTTTCGTTCAAGCTCAACAAACATCTGCAGCGCAGTCACCTACCTAGATTGATAGATCTCCTTCCAGGATACGCACGTTCTCGAATCATTTTACGAGGGAAATCATCAAGACGACACCAAGTATTCGGATTTCATCCGATAAAGCGTGGCCTCACCCCACCCGCTCTCTTCAGATAGAGTACTGCAATTCACCTTCGCCCCACCACGAAATTTACATTCATTGACCACACTCCGAATTGGTCCAAGCTGTCAACCACATAAAGTCCTGGCGACGATCCCTTTGATGACGCTGCTCTAGACATTGCCATTTGTTTCAATCACGTCCTAGAGACATCACTTATTTTGATTCATTCGTTCTCGAACACGATACAACCTTCTTTTGACATTCAGGACAATGCTCTCTATTCACAACATCGCCTCCGTGTTTCTCAATAGCAGAGGACAATAGTAAGAATTTGTTTGAGTCACACTGTTAGACCACATTGATTCTCGAAGGTAGCTGACTCCCTTCCATTCCCATCTACGCCTTGTTATTCCAAATGTTTCGATCTCCAGAAAGCGGGCTTCTAACAAAACATACAGATCTACACGCACTCTTTTGCAGTTCTCGAGTACCTGCATACCGCATACAAAACATTTCAAGTACGATGCTACTTCAAAGGCACGCCGATGCCTTACAACAATTACCTGATATACTGGCGGCGATCGCCCCTGTTGTTAGCCGCGCAACGACGACATATAATGAGAGCGAGTCCAACCCTACGATTGCTGACTATGCAACTGCCCTCAACGGCGTTAACCAACCTCTCAACAATCTCTTCAAAGTCATCTTGTGGTTGGGTTTGGGCACGCTGGCCGCGCTCATACTCGGAGCAAGATGCGTCCAAATTTTCGAAATGCATGTTAGGCATATGGCGGGAATGGCATCACAGTCGCAGGCGTACTGGGCACAAAATCGCTGGCACTGGTGGAAGATCAAGAAGAACATCCTGTACGCACCCCTGGGCAGCAAACGACATAACCGAGAATTCAGACTTTCGTCGGCTCTCAATATGGGCACCCTACCCTCACGGTTCCACGCCATACTCATTGCGCTTTATGTCTTGAGCAACGTTGGATTCTGTCTTGCTCTGAATTACTGGAGAGAGGACAAATACTCGACCATCGCGGAGATGCGAGGTAGAACAGGAACACTTGCTTTGGTTAACATGATTGCGTTAATCATCCTGGCTGGCCGAAATAACCCCTTGATCTGGATGCTTAGAATTAGCTTCGACACGTACAACCTCATTCACCGATGGATGGGAAGGGTGGTGGTCTTGGAGGCGGTTGTTCATACTGCGTGCTGGGCCTACGTGAAATATGAAGCCACCGGCTGGCAGGGCGTCTTCCACCAGCTTGCAGTCGATCCTTTCGCGTCTTGGGGTATGGTTGCTACGGTCGCGATGCTCGTGATCTTTATCACAGCCTTCTCTCCAATTCGACACGCTTTCTATGAATCGTTCCTCGACATTCACATCATCATGGCTATCGCGGCCATCATCGGCATCTATATTCATTGCGAAGTTGCTAATCTTCCACAGCTGCCATATATCAAGGTTGTTGCGATTCTCTGGGGCATTGAACGTGTTGCTCGTTGTCTTAGAACCATCTACTACAACTACACATACAAAGCAGGATGGACGGACGTCACTATCCAGGCTCTTCCTGGCAAGGCTTGCAAAGTCACTATGCATCTCCCAACACAAGCTAAAATCAAGCCTGGAAGTCACGCCTACATCCGCATTTGGGGTATCAGCGGCTGGGAATCACATCCCTTTTCAATTGCTTGGTTTGATGATAAACCAGCCCTTCCAGGCTTGCCGACTAGCGAGAAGCAAGGACATGCCAGGCTCAGGGACGAGAAGATGGTTACTGATGTCTCGTTCGTGATTCAAGCGCAGACTGGTTTCACAAGGAAATTATTCAACGAAGCGAATTATTGTACACCTCGAGCGCTGCGACTCAAAGGCTCCATGGAAGGCCCATATGGTGGGCACCACTCCCTTGACTCATATGGGCATGTGGTTCTGTACGCTGGTGCCAGTGGAATTACTCATCAGATTCCATACGTTCGACATCTGATCAAAGGGTTCAAGGATGGAACAGTTGCAACGAAGAAAATTGTCCTGATCTGGATCATCCGAGACCAAGAGCATCTGTGTTGGGTAAAACAGTGGATGGATGTTATTCTGTGTATGCCGGGGAGGAAGCAATGTGTCAACATCAAACTCTTCATCACTAGGCCCAAGAGTCCGAAAGATGTTGTATCTCCTAGCAACACAGTGCAAATGCTTCCAGGACGGCCGAATGTCAAGCTTATTCTTCAGAATGAGGTCAAGAATCAGTGCGGTGCCATGGCAGTCACTGTTTGCGGGCCGGGCGGACTCGCAGATAATGTTCGAGAAGCAGTTCGAGATGAGCAAGAGAATGGGATGATTGATTTCATCGAGGAGTCATTTACATGGTGATGAGGATAGAAGATTAGAGATAAGGTCTCGTTCCACAAGGAATGTTCATTTCATGCATATATTTGAGAGCGGTTGAAAGCATTGTCAAATGGTGTTCAAAGGGTCTTGGAGGGTGTTAGAGTTTGTAGATAGAGGGAAATGCAAAAAGAGGGAAGACAACTCATCTTGTCCCCCACATTCAACCACATGATCACCACCGTTTCTGGCAATCCGACCCTTTTACTCCTTTCTGTGATGCCGGGCCTCTCAGATGCTTTGGTGATCTGCATGTGCAGAAAAGGTTCGTCCCGGATCCAATCATGGTGTGAAACCGAAATGCAGACAGCTGGATTCGGGATGAACATCGGAAGCAAAGCCGACCCTGGTTCACAGAGATGCAGCGGGAAAGGCTAGAACCCCTCATCGTACCAGAGAAAAATTCGTGCAATTCATGTCGGTATTGGCGTAGAAGAGGCCGAAAGCTTGATTCCCCAGCATACAAATATGATATCATTTACCACAAGAAGCTATAATACCCTTCATGCAAACCCATTACTGTGAATTGCCAAAAGTAGTGCTTGTTGGTTGACAATTGCAGGGCGCGCTTCGTTTGAACTGCTAAAGACGCGCCATCCCATCCCCGTCGGCCCAAGCCCCGCAACTCGGGGAACGACGAATGAAGATAATTTTTGAGGTGACTCAATTTCGCTGGCAGTGTACCAAAACACGGAAGAAAAATTACAACTCACATGTTACAAGTACACACGAATCACACGAAAACTGCCCCTGATTCCTTTTCCATATCTCATGAACGCTGAAGTGTACGCAAACTAAAGTCAGTAGTCTGGCGGAGAAATTCCTTTTGTCGAACCCCGCTATTATAGATCAACATGCCCATGTAAGTTCAACTACTGTTCTTCTGGCAAGTTTCGAAGAGGCAGAATATGGAGAAGACGTGGAAAGTTTCCAATTGCTTTACTGACATTGGACTTAAAGGCTCAAGGACCCCTCGAAGAAGTACAAGAGGTTTCCTCCTCTTGCACTCAAAGACAGACAATGGCCAGACAAAACCATTGACAGACCTCCACGCTGGTTGAGCACTGACTTACGCGATGGCAATCAAAGTTTAGTCGATCCTATGGTATACTATGTTCCTCTTCCCACGGTGACAATGGCTAATTGGTTGGCTTCTAGGACGGTGAGCAAAAATGGACGTACTTCAAGATGTTATGCGAGCTTGGGTACAAAGAAATCGAAGTCTCCTTCCCCTCCGCCTCCCAAACCGACTTCGATTTCACACGCCGTCTTGTCGAAACCCCAGGCGCAGTCCCCGACGATGTCTGGCTCCAAGTCCTCTCTCCCTGCAGAGAAGAGTTCATTAGGCGCACAGTCGACTCCCTCAAGGGTGCAAAGAAAGCCCTCCTACATATCTACGTTGCTACGAGCGAATGTTTCCAACGAATTGTGTTCAACATGACGGAGGAGCAGAACTTGGCTTTGGCAGTCAAATGCACGGAATATGCGAGGTCAATTACAAAAGATGATCCGTCACAAGCTGGCACAGAGTGGGCTTTTGAATTCAGTCCAGAGACATTCTCAGATTCTCGGCCTGAATTCGTCCTCCAGATCTGCGAGGCCGTGAAGAAGGCGTGGGAACCGTCGGTGGAGAACCCAATTATCTTCAATCTCCCTGCTACAGTGGAGATGTCGACCCCGAACGTGTATGCCGACCAGATTGAGTACTTCTGCAGGAATATCTCTGAGAGGGAGAAGATTTGCGTGTCCCTCCACCCACACAATGACCGCGGCTGTGCTATTGCAGCAGCGGAACTGGCGCAGATGGCTGGTGCTGATAGAGTGGAGGGATGTCTTTTCGGCAATGGCGAGAGGACTGGAAATGTTGATCTCGTTACTTTGGCTTTGAACTTATATACGCAGGGGATTCATCCTGGGATTGACTTCTCGGATCTTGGCAGAGTTATTGATGTCGTTGAAGTCAGCAACAAGATTCCAGTCCATCCCAGAGCTCCTTATGGTGGCTCTCTTGTTGTCTGTGCCTTCAGTGGCTCGCATCAAGATGCTATCAAGAAGGGCTTCCAGCTTCGCAAGACAGAGGGTGCTACGAGCGAGACGAAATGGCAGTTGCCATATCTTCCACTCGATCCTCAGGATATTGGACGAACATACGAGGCTGTAATTCGGGTCAATTCACAGAGTGGAAAGGGTGGAGCTGCCTGGATTATTCTTCGTAATCTTGAACTTGATCTTCCCCGTGGTCTTCAAGTTGCATTCAGCAAGATTGTCCAGAAGAAGGCAGATGAAGTTGGACGAGAGCTTTTGTCAGCTGAGATCCAGGATCTGTTCGAGACTACATACTTCCTCAAGGACAACCCAAGGTTTACTTTGGTGGACTACTCGATCACCACCGATAGATCAGCATCTCCAGCTCCACCGGCTCCAGGAAAGTCGGTCGACACCAAGAACCTGAAGAGAAGATTCGAAGGTGTAATTTCTGTTGATGGCCAGGAACACGAGCTAAAAGGTACAGGCAACGGTCCCATCTCCAGCTTGGCGAATGCTCTCCAATCAATCGGCATCGAGCTGGACGTTGCGGACTATAAGGAGCATGCTATTGGAGGAGGAAGAGATGTCAAGGCTGCCAGTTATATCGAGTGTACGGCTGCGGGATCGAATCAAAAAGTCTGGGGTGTTGGAGTTCACGAGGATGTGGTGCAGAGTTCTTTGATCGCTCTCTTGAGTGCTGCTAGCAATGTAGGTCCATTCACCACATCTCTTCATTTCTATACTAATTCTTTCAAGTTCATGACAAGCAGACCTAATACCCCACTTTTACTCAGAGGTAAACATGGGTCGAGGATGAGCCAAGATCTTGATCTCAACGGCAGCCCAAAAAGTCTGAAAGCAAACGGCAATCTCTCTATCCCAAAGCCGAACGGAGTTCCTAAGAGTGGACCCGATGCTGTGAGTGTTTTGGAGGCGAAGGCAAATGGCATGTAATTCAGGGGATCGCGGGGTGTACGGGACTAGCCTTCGGAGGAGGGGTAGTTTCAGCTTGCTTTTATATCATGGGCAGCATTTGCATCGGACTAAAAAGTGAAATTGAACGAACACTTTGCCTTAACGCGTCCTACTTGAGCTTAGTGATATTTTTCTGTGTGTGAACTTCGACGTTCCTCCAAAGGCTTCACCCCTCGCGACCCTTGTAACTATTCCCAAAAGCGTTAGCTCCATAAAATGCATCCACTAGATGGACCAAGCACAATGAAGACCTCCAGGAACTGCTCAAAATTCCTTGAGTACCTACTTACGATCTCGAGATTCTCTACACTCCTTTGCCATCTTTCAAGGCAACAAGACATTTTTTCCTTGAAGCGTCACAGTATCTGCAGGACTTCGCTGAAGCCTGGTCGCCTTAATCATCAGGTTGAGATCGATCTACAGTCAACAAAACTGCCAAACACGATTCTAGCTCTTCCATCTTGACAAACCCCCGTCTCGCCTTCAAGAGACAATTCCTCCCACAAAAGTGACAACTCGAATCCGCAGCTTCGCAACCCACATCTACGACAACGACGCACTGATAACACAGCGCGCCGGCTGTGATCCGCGAACATGGACGTCAATTCCGTGCTCCTTAACACCTTCTCTCCAGGTCCGTCACTCGTCGTCGAGCCGCCAGACTTTACCAAAGAAGATGAATGCTGACTCTCTCCAGATGCCGCCATTCGTGGTAACGCGGAACAACAGCTCACACAAGCTGCGGAGACCAACTTTGTTCGTGCCCCCTTGACCGCATTTCCACCTTGCGCGCGCGTCGAGCCTTGCTAACAACGATCTCTAGTCGACGTACCTCACCACACTTGTCAACGCCCTCGCAGACGAACAAGCCCAAGGACCCGTACGAGCAGCTGCCGGTATTGCGCTGAAGAACGCCTTTACCGCACGCGAATATTCCCGGTTACACGAGCTACAACAAAAGTGGCTCCAACAGGACGATGGCACTAAGAAACACGTCAAGGATGGTGCTCTGCAGGCTCTTGCGTCCGGAACTTCACAGGCTGGTCAAGCAGCAGCTCAGGTCGTTGCATCGATAGCTGCTATTGAACTTCCTCGAGAGCAATGGCCAGAGCTTATGCCAACTTTGGTCCGAAATGTTGGCGAGGGTGTCGATCATCTGAAGCAAGCTTCTTTGACTGCAATCGGGTTTATCTGCGAGAGTCAAGATGCGGAACTGCGACAAAGCTTGGTCCAGCACTCTAATGCTATCTTGACGGCCGTTGTGCAAGGAGCCCGTAAGGAGGAGCCAAATCCTGAGGTCCGTCTTGCAGCTATCTACGCACTGGGAGATTCACTGGAGTTTGTGGATAGCAACTTCAAGAATGAAGGAGAGCGGAATTATATCATGCAGGTTATCTGCGAGGCTACGCAGGCACCAGACTCCCGGATACAACAGGGTGCTTTTGGTTGCTTGAATAGAATTATGGCTTTGTACTATGACTTGATGCGCTTCTACATGGAGAAGGCTCTGTTTGGTCTCACTATCATGGGCATGAAGAGCGACGAGGAGGACGTAGCTAAGCTTGCTGTGGAATTCTGGAGCACAGTCTGCGAGGAGGAAATTGCCATTGAAGATGATAATGCTCAGGTAGGCACAAGAATCTGTCATGTCTCTAACTTTGCTAACAATATATGTAGCTTGAAAATGTTGAACAGATGCGAGAAATCTTCCACTTCTCATCTGTTGCTACCAATGAAGTTGTTCCAGTTCTGTTGATGCTTTTGACCAAGCAGGATGAGGATGCAGCTGATGACGAGTACAACATTTCCCGAGCTGCATATCAATGTCTACAACTCTATGCTCAAGCTGTTGGAGGAGCTGTTATTCAACCGGTTCTGCAGTTCGTCGAAACCAACCTTCGTCATGAAGATTGGCACAACAGAGATGCTGCTGTATCAGCTTTCGGTGCTATCATGGAAGGACCAGAAGAAAAGGTTATTACACCAATTGTCAAGCAGGCACTGCCAGTCATTATCAAGATGATGGAAGATCCTAGTGTGCACGTCAAGGATTCCACAGCTTATGCTCTTGGCCGTATTACTGAGGCATGCTCAGAAGCTATTGACCCAATTATGCATCTGCCACTCCTGATCAAATCACTCTTTGATGGCCTTGTCAGTAGTCCAAAGATGGCAGGATCTTGCTGCTGGGCCCTGATGAACCTTGCTGAACGTTTCTCGGGTGAGATCGGTTGTCAACAAAACCCGCTTACACCTCACTTCAACGAGAGTATCACGCATCTTCTTCAAGTTACCGAGAGAAGCGATGCTGATAACCAATTGCGCACCGCCGCTTACGAAGTGCTTAATACATTCGTCCAAAATGCTGCCAATGAGAGCTTGCCTGCTGTTGCATCCTTGTCCGAGATCATCATCAAGCGTCTGGAAGATACCGTACCTCTTCAAAGCCAAGTTGTCAGTGTCGAGGACAGAATTACTTTGGAGGAGATGCAGACGAGCTTGTGCACGGTCCTCTTGGCCATCATCCAACGTCTTGAGAAGGAAATCAACCCTCAAGCCGATCGCATCATGACCGTCTTGCTCCAAATCCTCTCAAGTGCTGGTGCCAAGTCGAGTGTACCAGATGCAGTCTTCGCAGCTGTCAGCGGCCTTGCCAATGCTTTGGAAGAAGGCTTTGCGAACTACATGGAAGCTTTCTCGCCCTTCCTTTACAATGCTCTCGGCAACCAGGAGGAGCCAGCTTTGTGCTCAATGGCAATTGGTCTGGTCAGCGACATCACCCGATCAATGGGTCCTCCTTGCCAGCCATACTGTGACACATTTATGAATTATCTACTGAACAATCTCAGGGTATGTTGCTGCTACCATGCTTACGTTTGTTATCTCCCCGTCAAGTTTCCTTTGAGCTGGCATCACATCGAGAATCTTGCAGAACGGAATTGCTCACGATCTGAACAGAGTACGGCTCTTGCCAACCAATTCAAGCCTGCTATCCTCCAGTGCTTCGGAGATATCGCCAGCGCTATCGGTGGTCATTTCGAGACCTACCTCTCAGTTGTCGCTCAAGTCCTTCAACAAGCTGCTGGTGTTCAAGCTAGTCCTGATGGATCGTATGAGATGTTTGACTATGTCATCTCTCTGCGTGAAGGTATCATGGATGCTTGGGGTGGTATTATCGGTGCCATGAAGGCTGGCGGGAAGAGTATGTTTATTTCCTGTTCCTACAATGATTTTAACTGACTTCTTTCTAGCTGAGCTTCTTCAACAATACGTCGAGTCGATCTTCTCCCTCCTGAACATTGTTTGGTTGGATCAAAACAGAAGCGACGCTCTCATGCGCGCATCTATGGGTGTCATTGGGTATGTTCAGTCTTAAGCTTTCGTCTACATGGTGCTGATTGTCACAGTGATCTCGCTGAGGCGTTCCCTGGTGGCCAGTTTTCGACGTATTATCGCCAAGACTGGCTCTCTGCCATGATCAAGGATACTCGTCAAAACCGTGATTTCCAAGCCAGAACCATCGATACAGCTCGCTGGGCTCGTGAACAAGTCAAGCGCCAGATTGGTGGTAACCAAGGCATCATGCAATCAACCTGATCTGCTTGTCCCTTGACAGGAATCGAGACGCCCAAGTTTAGTTCTTTTAATGTCCTAGCGCGGCGTACATTTAGAGCTTTAGCGGGCATCTCGGGTCCACCTTCGAACCAGGCTCCATCCACCACTTCTTCCCCATTTCGATTTCTTCTTTTGTTCAACCCACGGCGCGTAAGAGGGGTCTTGTCCTCGACCGTCGAGCACCGGCGTTCTTTGTTGTATCTCACTTACCACCACCGAATCATAATCGTCAGCAACACCTGTTTGTAATCTCCCTCAGAATTCCGGCGAAGTCGACTGCGAATCCATAGAACGAGCGAGACGCGATGTTTTGCACTACCCAGCACAGCACCCAATACACAGCACGTACAGCACACAACTACACAACACGGCACCAATTACACTACACACTTGTACAAACAGTCCCCCCCAACGTTTACCCGCGCCAATACCCCCTACACCAACGCGCCATGTTTCATTTACGATTCGGTGAAAGGCGAAGAACGGTATGAATAGAAGAAAAAATTCACACCGACCTTAAACCTGTGATGGACGATGGATGAAAAGAACGTCAATGCCATATCACCACGAAGTCTTGTATCCCTCTCAGCAGGGAATCTTTTGTATGTAGCGCTCTCGACGATCGACCGACTGGGTCCGTCGAAGCGCTGGTGAATGGCTAAAATGAGTGAGAGAGAGAGGATGAACTCCAAGAAGAAGGGTGGAAGTGGATGTTTGTCTTTTTTTTCCATGTTGGATTTTGTGTCAAGTGATGCAATTGATGGCTGGATTAACTAGATCAGGAGAGTGTATGGGGCATTAAATTTTGTGGTGGAGGTGGAAAAGATAGGATGAGAGATGAATGAAATGCGAACCCCCCTGATCTGATGCTGGCTTTTCTCTCTCTCGTGAAGTTCGTCGGCTTCTGTTGTAGAGCGGCTAGTGAGGTTCCTGGATCGGCTTGGGGAGGTGCGTAAAAGAACTTCTCCCCATCTCACAGATAGGCTTTCATCACCTTGAAATTCAAACCCCCTGATGTGTTCTCTTTGGTAGCTCATCGCCACCAATTATATAGCGTGATGCCTGAGGCAGGTGATTCGGTGAAGTCTGAAGCGCCCCTAAACATTCATACAAAACTTCTTTTCCACGACTTGGACCAACTTCATCGATTATATCGATCCATAGGCACCGGCTCCTGCAGGTGTGGGTCTGGGCCGTGGTCGCAATTGCGTTCGTCGGGGATGTGTTGTTGTTGGCATACGGTGATTAAGTTGACAACAGTCAGAGGACTTTCCGGGGCGAGATCCGGGTGCCTTGAGAAGATAGGTATGTAGATGGGAGGGAGACTAGTGGGGTGACGGAGAAGAGATGGGTTGAGTTGTGGGTGCGGGTTTTGGTGGATTGGTGGAGATGGAGTCGGCTGGAGATCTTGTTGGTTTGGTGGTTGTGTTGTGCGAAAGGCAATTTTTGGAGATGAGGGGCATTTTGGAAGGAAGTGGGATGATGAAGGGTTTTGGATTTGACGGACTCCTCATAGAAATAGAGATGATTAGGAGAGGTGGGATTTGGACTCTTGGTTGAAGGCTAAGGGTAAATATTGGAGTGCTAGTTAAATTTGGTTAGTGAGACTAAACCCTCGATGGAATGAAATGTCACTTCTTGCAAAAGAACATACAGACGGGAAGTGAGAGAGAAGTTGAGCCGAAACATGAGCTCGCCAAAATGAATCGTTATTTTGTAAAGTAAGCAAGGAGGTATCTACAGAAGAAAAGAGTATCGTAGGAACATCTGCCAGACTCCTCACTCGTTAGTCTTCTTTGCCTTTCTTCCCCTACGGCGCTTAGGAACAGCATCGGATGGGCCTGCCAGAACCGAGAACTGTCCACCACATGCAGCAAATGATAACTTTTTACCCTTCACAGCCGTGTTTTCGATCACAGTAGCTAGCTCAACCGTCTGCTCCGTGCCGAGTCCAGTCCGATAATTGTCACTAAAGCCCCAGGCGTGAACCTTCCCATCCGAGTCAATGGCAAAGGAATTGTCGATACCAGCAGCTACACGAACTGCGTTGATTCCTGGAGAAAGTTAGCATCTCTATCCAGATATCTTGAGATGAGAACAAACCATCAATGACCCTGGGATACAACAAAATCTTATCCTCAATAACATCCGAATCAGCCAAGTTCTCCAGCCCAACACCAGGTTGGCCATCATCGCACCGACCCCACGACATCACCTCCCCATCCTCATTACACGCAATCGAATGATGAGTCCCGCCTTCAATATCAACAATAACCTGACCCCTCAAACTCCTCACTATAGCCGGCTTCTCAATCGCCGCTCCATCCTCGCCCGCATTTCGTATAACGCCCGTCTGGCCATAATTATTCAGTCCCCAAGCCCAGACCCGACCTTCGGTGTCGATCGTGATGCTGTGGTATGCGCCAGCAGAGATGAAGGTCGTGCTGTTGCGGTGCAGACTGGTTTGGATGGCTGGACGGAGCGAATTGTCGCGGTATTTCTCGCTGACGAGCCGGCCGAGTTGGTATTGGCTGCCGTCGCCCCAGGTCCAGACGTTGCCGGTTTGGTCGAGGGCGAGCATGTGGTTGCCGCCTGCTGCGAGGGAGGTGATGTTCTTGAGTTCGGGGATCTTGAGTGGGGTCTTTTGCTTCAGGATGCCGTCTCGTTGGCATTGGAGGGAGAAGCCAACCGGGCCGTCGGATCCCTGGGAACTTGTTAGATGTGAATGGTGTTAAAAAGGGAAGGAAACTTACATGGAAGCAGCCCCAGCCATAAACTTCACCAGTAGAAGTCAAAGCGAATGATGCAGAGTCAGTAGCGGCAACCTGGACCCAGACTGGATCTCCCTCGAAACAGTCCGCTGGGATGGCAGTAGGAGTAGATTCAACAGGATTCAAACCACTGTCATCGTCATCGTCATCATCAGACTCGGACTCGTCACCGCCAGCAGCATCCTTAACGGGTGCCGTCCACGTAGTATCGCGGCCAAGAGCTCCATCATCATTCACGCCCCAAGTAAGTAACCGGTTATCCTCGGTAATCACAATGCAATGCATGCCACCAACAGCAATCTGGACGACTCCCACAGTGGCAGCATCAAGGAGGTCGTTGAGACGGGGACGAGAAACGTTGGTTGGCATTTTGCCATTTCGTTTGACTGATCCGAGACCAAGTTCACCGTTCTCGCCGGAGCCGAAGACGTACACATCGAGTCTTTGAGTTGGTGCTTCGTTGAAGTCAGGTTTGATGCTGGTCTTTTTGGCTTTCTTGCTGTTCTTGAGCTTGTCGGCGGCTTCGACAGCAGCTTTGCGCTTAGGGGCCATTCTGAGAAGGTCTCGAAAGCTGCGGTTTTGAGTTCGGTGAAATTATGTTGTGGGAGATGCTAGAATGTAGAATCTATTACAAGGTTAGTATGCGAGGTAAAGGGGGGAATGTAATGGCGAACCTCTGAAACAGAATCAGGTCTGATCTCGAGAAAGGTAATGGGAACGAAAATCGAATTAAGTTTGATGTTATGTCCTGCGTAACAAAGAAGGGATTTCGTTTTGAAAGTTGTGTCTGAATTCAAAGTGGATGGATAAAGGTTGTAGTTGAAAAAGAATTTTCTTCGAGAAAAGTCTGGTGCCTGATAGTAGGCATCGGCGCGCTTGCTATTGTGACGAGGTTAGTATTGTTCTAGCGAATGAGTTTAGCGATTTTATTTGGTTCTTGAAAAAAAAGTTTCGTTGCTATTGAGTGAATGCTTCTGAGGCTGGATGGAAAGGGGCATGGCTATCAACATTAGCGAGCGAAGGAAGGGAGCCGGCTATTAAGCGAGAAATGGCAAAGGATGACAAAGTGATGTGATTATGACAAATCTGGTATAAAGAGAAATAAAACGCTTCAATGATGTACACGGCTGTATCATGAATTAATCCATATTCTATACTCGCTCACGTGACAGTATATCCTCGCTGCAAACCCTCGCAAATAAACAAATATCGATCGCCTCGTCTTTGTGAGCAGCGAGCTTTGCCCTCGAGATCCGGTCTCTGTGGATGTAAGAAGTAGAAAGCATCTTCGAGACAACAGCTCACTGGCTCGTGAATCCAAACCTGTTGTTCCAAATTACATTGTCCCAAGGCACCAGTATCTAGGAGATAATGTTGCCTGCCTTCAAGCTTGGCGGGCCAGTCAGTATCTTAGCTTCAGGCAACTTCTCCTCAGTCTCGAAGATTCTTAGAAGAATACATGTAGTAGAGACAGTGGTCAGGTAGTCGGAATACCAGTATCTCAATCGTAAACCGGTGCAAACTTCGACTTCTTCCTCAACGCCAAGCCATACTTCATAAAGATGAAAGGAACAGGAATTGCCAGCGTGGCAATAGCTCCAAGGATAGACATCGCTGGCCCAACTCCCAAATTATGAAACATGGGCTTCGCGATCATTGGGAACCCAGCACCCATCAAAGAACGAAGCAGCGTATTTGCCGATACAGCGGATGCTGCATACAGACCGTAGGTGTCGACCAGGAAGTTAATACACTGCTGGAAGATAACATTGAAACCTGCACCAATGAACGCCGCAGCAAATACTGGCGAGATCCAAGAGATCTTTGGGGTTGCTGTCCATCCAAACCAGAAGAGGCCGATGGCGAAAAGAAATCCTCCAATGGCCATGGGTGCAAGTCGAGCTTCTGGGACCGGCTTTCCCTTCGCGGCATCCATGATTCTGGCGTATCGGGGTTGATTGGCAAGGTTGATGACGACTGCGCAATTGACGCCGATGAAGAGGCCTAAGAAAGGCAACGAGCCTACAACTGGACCCCAGCCTCGCTCCTCCTCGAACACTATGGGGAAAACTTCCAAAGTCAGGTATAGCAATGCATACACGAACGATGCATACAGAGCGATAGCGGTGATCATCGGCTCGGTAAGGAGCATGATTACTGGACGGGAGAAATGCTTGGTGATGATAGTCTTTGGTGAGATCTTGATGTCCTCGTGTGGATGGTGCCATTCCTGGTTGCCGGTCTGCTTTCGCAGGCGTTGCGCTTTCTTCTTCAATAATACCGGGGCATACATTTCAGGCATGGCGACAAGAGTGAGGCCAAAAATGAAGAAGGTCCAGATTGCTTCGATGTACTCCGTCCATCTCCATCCTAAGTTCTTGTTCACTACCAAAGCAGAGCCAATAATAGGCCCTAAAGTTGGTCCACCGACAACAGCTACGTAGCATTAGCTCTGTTGTTTCTCTTTTGAGTGATCGGTATTGGGATACTTACCAACTGCATAGAATGTGACAGCTGTGCCTCTAGCTTTTGCTTCATATATGTCTCCCAAAGCAGCGGACACGTTACTGACAGGAGCACTTCCAAAGACTCCAGCAAAGAATCTCGTTAAAAAGATTGTCGCGGCGTTCTTGCCAACAGCTGTTCCAATCGAGAATAGACCTAGGACGAAAACAGCTGGCAACATTGACCACTACAACAATTAGCTCTTATCAAGACGTGAGTGGGATGGGTCACTTACTCTTCTTCCATAGAGCTCTGCTAATGGTCCCCAGATGGAAGGTCCCAAGGCGAAGCCAACACTGTATCCATCGTGTCAGCAAAGTTCTCTACTGCAACCAATACTGGGATAACTTACACATATAACGAAATGACAAGAACCGATGTTTCTGTGCTGACCCCAATATATGCCGCAATTTCATCCTCGCCTGGAGCTATGATACTGGACCCCAAACTCGCGGCCAAAGCAAGCATACCCAGCTGGAATGTTATCCAAGCTTTGTATGAATTGCTCCAATTTCGAGGATTCGTTTTGTCGCTGGGACCATCCCAACCAACCAGATACCGGTCACCTGCTTCTCCTTTCTCGTCGTCGCCCGAAGGCAACGCGTTCTCCTCGTCATTGATCGGTGTCGGAGATAAGTCCGACTCTCTTTCTTGTTCCCGCTCAAACGCTTCGTTTCGACTGCTATCCGTGTTGAAAGACATGGTGATTATGCTGGACTTGTAGAAACCGTTGCTCTTGGCAGCTCCAAAACTGGGAGGGAATTGAAGGCATTTTATCTAAATCGCGACAGTACACTCACGATCTTCAAGCTAGAATTATTTTGAGGTTAGGACCCAACACCGCTTGACGGCACGCTTCATGCGGAGAGCGGCGCGGATCACACGGCACAACGGCGCAGAGGTTGACGCCTGGGTTTCGCTTCCTGGAGCAGCTAGGAGTCTATGACGACTTGCCGACATCGCAGTCTCTTACAGTATCATTTCCTTCAATCAAAACAAGAGGTTGCTAAAAGACTATCAGATCAGATTGATAACATGCTTAAGCTGAGTCAACCAATCCCTACGTGAGGCTCACAAGGTGCCTGTCCAGCGATGATGGCGACGGATGCAGTCATCCGTCAACGTTCAAAGCCCGACGCACCATGCCCCTTTTCAGTATATACCAAGAAGGTATAGAGCAAACTTAAGCTCTACGGACCGAGAAAGCTTGTCAATATGCCGATATATCCATGAGTTCCGAAGAGGAGGATAGGGCTGATTCGAGCACATTTCGGAATGACATGCATTAGTCCAGTAATGCTCTCCGCAACGTCCGCAATAGCCTGCCACTGTTTTGACTCATCAAGGCAGCTGGCTCGAGCTTGGATGCTGAACTGTTTTGAGGTTGTCTATTTGGTCACGAAGCGCTGCGAATGATCTCTTTCTGCATTTACAAGAATAGATCGTCATGTTCCTTCTCCGAAGTCGCCGTGTTATCTTCTCAATGCCTCCTTCTTGCCATCCCTCGCAATCTTTCACAAAAAAGTTGAGAACAATACAGTGTACCCCTCTGATCATATGTTAGTTTCTTGCCACTCGATTATTCTATCTTAACTTGGAGAGGAGAGAACTTATGCCCCTTTAAAGTAATCAATCACGGACGGACTTTGAATCTTGATACAAATTTTGCTTGTACACTCCCCTCAAGTTGAAGCAGCATGCCTCCATATTTTTTAGCAAGCTAATATATGATCAGAGGGGGTACACTGTACTCTCGCATCAGAGAGACCTGAATGTGTGAAGCGTGAGGAATTTCCGTTGTGAAGCATCGATATGAGTGTTGCACGAGCTCTTACTTTGTCTCTATTTGACCCGTGAACCCTTCAACATCCCTTTCAACGTCCCTTCCAAAACGCTGTGCTGCCTTTCGTTCTAGCACTTCACTCCAATCAATATCACCGTTTGGCGTCCACATGCCAATGACTTCCCCATTTAGTTGGACTTTGACGATATACACTTCATTATTAGCCCCCTTCTTGACCTGATATTGCCAATGCTTTGCTCCAATAGTTATCTAACCTTCGTTCAGGTGCCACCCAAATTGCGACTCTCGCGATCTTTCACAGAAAAAGTTGAGAATCGATACAAATTAACATGCCGCAAAATGCCGGAGCACCAAAGGACCCGCGAAAAAACTGCCACCCATCTCATCGTCGTCATCATCCCTCTTCTGATCTTTCTCGCCTCGAAGTTGGCCATCGTCTAATCCTTCATCAGCATCCTCTTCCTCGTCGTCGATGCCTCCTTGACTGTCAGTGACATCGGTTGACACCGAGACCTCTTCTTCAGTGTAGTATACTTCTGACATCTCGGGGTCCTCCAGTTCTTCTGAGACACCACGACCACGAGTCTCCCCTGCCTCCTCGTCGATCTCGTAAAGAACATCACCCTCTTCGATTTGCGATGCTTGCCATCGGCGGAGATTGTGTAACCATGGCTCCCCCTCATGCACTCTTGGTACTCTTCTCCTCTTCACCACTTCTCGCATGATGCGCTTTCGTGCACGCTTGGTGCGCCTGGTACGAGCTGAATGATCAGCTTCTCATCGTTGTGTGTTAATGATGCATCAACTTACTTGTCTTGATCTGAGTTGATGCTTGCAGAACAGAGGCAGCAGCAGGTCCAAGCTTGTTCTGCATCCGCGTCTTCATCTTCTTTGCCTTCCTCTTTTCCCTATTGGCTTTTTTCTTCTCATCAGTCACCGCGCCAGCCTTGCCCCGCCGATGTTGGCGCGAACCAAGTGGCCTCAAAATTGAAATTAGCATCTTGACAATACGCAGATGGTGATGAACTTACGAACTTGTCAGAGCCTGCCATTGTCGCTGGAAACGCTCGCAATGATACCACCGTGGACCTCGATGATTTGTGGTGCTGGGATCGCAGACTTCCACAATCTAAGTTTTGCGGTGGTGAAAAGGTATTCAGAATATTTTACCGATCAATTATGAACGTTCTTGAAGGTGAGAGTGGAAATTTGAAGAATGACGATCTTGAAAAGTGCCGTTGGAACATGACGATTTATTGGTTCTGCAAGGTACTTTAATTCCTTCTCAACTCCAACCGCGCGTAGATGTCTTGCTAGAATCCACTCCTTCCCCATTAGTTTCACTTTTGGATATCCAGATATTATTTAGAATAGCTATGTTTCAAACTAGTCAGCACAAATAAAGCAATAATGCAGTAAATTGAAAGTAAACAAATATTCCGCGGGTACTTCTTAGCTTCGCTTAGCGTTTTTCCGAAACAATCCATATAGATAACTTTAAGCATATATTCTTTCAACCAAACACAAACAGCAATAGCTGGCTCAATGGTAATTCCATTCATTATTAGAGAAGTGACCCCCATCCCCATATTAAAAAAGAATTTGTTAATAGTACTTAGAGTTAAAAGACATCTGCAACATAAGTCTCCCTACCTCGTTAGTCCCTTCTCTTCGGAGTCGGTTGATAGTGCGATAGAAGTAGCAGTCAGATGTCTCTTAACTCAAAAAGTTCTTCTGTGTATCTAGGGATTTCAAACAAAAGCTGTATAGCTTCAAACAAATTTTTTTGGGCTTATTTTCTGGGACATGTTAGCTTTCGCTCGCGTATTTTTTTCCAATATAAAAAACCAATTTTGACTCCAAAAGTTTTATGTTTACAATTATTACATTAAATTAAACGTCGACTCGGGTACAATCGAGTTTAGGACATATTTCGATCGAATCCCAATTCTTGCCGAGCCCTAAGTTCTGGGATATCCTGCTTAAGCGGAACTATCTCACCATGAAAAGGTCTGGGGTAGTTGTTCTTCTCTTGAGGCCTCGAAATAGGTACAATTTCATCATCGAAATCAGCCGCACCACCAGATCTCCATCCCTTCTTGTCGTCATCATCAGAATCCTCGTCGCCGCGCTCGCCAGTGCTCAATTTCTTCGGATCGCTTCCATTCGAACCCTCGACAACGGCAGCTTTTGGCTTACGCTTTGGTTGGTCCTTAGCCTTCGTTGGAGTATCTGTTCTTCGTGAAACATGGCCTGCAGCTGTGCGAGGCTCGAGGGAGAAAGGCGGAAGGCAGTCCTCTGGTTGAAGAGTGGAGAACATTACGTTTGGTCGTAGCTGGCGAGCAAAAAAATAATTCTGCTCCAAAATCTGTCCACAAATAAACGCAGATGGAAATTGTACCTAAGAAAGTTCCAGTGGTTATGTAAAAAGAAGGTTCGGAAGTGCGAGGACCGCTTTGTTGAGGTCAAGAGTGCGGCCTGTGAATATGCCCCGCGTGGCCCGTGGCGGAGGCTGAGTCCATGCAGCACGCATGTCCACAAATCAAGGCTCTACGCAGAACACCCACTGCAGAAATCAAAAGTGTGGTAACCGACTTGATAGCAGCCTTGTCGTTTCGCCTCACTCGTTGATTCAGCCATAATAAGCCTTCTTCTGCAGACTCATATGCTTTACAGACCGAGCATAGATTGTCGAATGAAGAGTCGAACGTCGAAATGAGACGAACTACGAAAACCTCTGGGAACAGAGTAACTGAAGTTGATGTCTGATCTTGCACTGAACATTTTGTCCAAGCAAATGGCACAGCAATAATTATGGTAGATTTTGAGAAAGCAACGATTTCATTGTTAGACCATCCGTAAAGCAAGTTATGTCCATCGAGACCTCGGGTATTTACCTGAACTCCATATGTGACGCTGAAGCAAACCGCCCCAATGCAATAAAACAACGCCATCCATGACCGTCATGCAGCCGCTCAAATGCTCAAATGTTCCCTGATAACGCCATCGTAGTCTTGTAGAAACCGATTAGAAGAGTTGAGTGGTGACATTATGAGCGTAATACTCCTTCGTCGCCTCTCTAGTCTCTGCATCCTCGATAATCTCCTTCTCACGTTCCTCCAACTTCGACAAGTCGAGCTTGAGATTGTTTTGAGATTGCATAAAATCTTGGTTATGCATCTCACGCCAACCATTATGCTTGCACTTCTTGGTCTTCTTGACGCAGATGTTGTTAAGGACATCTGAAGTCTCAGCAGGAACCGGGATGGGTTGGCCAGGGTATGGAAGAACTTGAGCAATGCTTTGAGTCTCCGTGGTGCGAGGACCCAACTTATTGGTCTCAAAGGCCTTCTTGCCCTCCTCCGTGCTCACCCAGCGTGCAAATTCGGCATCATTCATGGCAAGACGATTGTCGTAACCGCAGAACTCCTTGACCTCGAGGTTTAAATGCTTAGCAGCGACCTTTGCACGCTCATTGATCATCATGAGAAGCCTCAATTGATTGCCGAAGCCTTCGATTTGTCCTTTGATGTCGTCCTTCTTTGCCTGGATTGTTGCGAGCTCAGCCTCTTCATCGGGAGTGACATAGTCGAGACCAACTGGACGATCTGATTGGTTAGTAAAGGTTGTGGTTTAAGATTGGCTGTGATATACGTACTGGGATCAGCACCTTCCTTGACAGGGAGTCGAGGCTTCTTGCCAAGAGCATGGAACTCGGCTGCATTCTTAACGGATCCGAGAAGCATAGCAACTTCCTTCTGATTGAGAGCACCTCCCATAGATGGGGCGTCATCCTTGCGGACCAGACTTGCAACATACTCGATGAACTTGTCACAGCACTCTTTACTGCAATACTTGCTGCCATCCTTCACGTTGGCTGCCTTGCGGTGAGTCTTGTCGACATTAACGTAACGGCACATACGCTTCCATGTAGTGAAGAGTGTGTCGGTCTTGCAATTTGGGCAGATGAATTTGTCGAGCAATCCCAAAGCATCGTCCTCGTCGATCTGGAGGCATGAGCAATGGTACCAATCCTGACAGCCTCCATCGCAGAAAACCATCATACGGTGATCATCGGGTCCACGACAGATGCAATATTCGCCACCATCGTTGCTATCAGAGTCGTCGGCAGAGGGAGGCTTTGTGGCGGAGCTTTGTGCACCAACACTAACCTTGGACGTGCCAGCTTCTTCACATCAGCTTCAGCATCGCCAATTGAAAAATACAGGGTCAACTTACCTTCTGGTGCGGCTTTCTTAGGAGCTGCCTTCTTGACAACAGCAGCAGTGCCCTTCTTCTTAGCAGCTGGCTTCTCGATCTTTGCAGGTGCGGGGCTGCCTGTGTTGACTAGGGGGCTTGCCATGGTGTGACCAGTTGAAGGACCGGGGGAGCTTTGCATAGAGAATGCAGCGTTCGACGATGGCTTTCTGATTCGACCATCGCTCTTGATCTTCTCCGGGATGCTCATGGAATTATGATCATTGTTGTCCGCCATCTTGCTTTGTGGATCTGAGGTTGTTGCTTTCGAAGCGGATTCACCGATCTTTGTCGAAACAGCCTTGGGTTTGGCGACAGCCTTGGACACCTGCGGGTCGGCGGCCGCTAGGGTATTAACGGGATGCTTGTTCGCATACTTCTGTTTGTTCTCCAAGTGAACCTTGAGACTAAGAGTGTATGTTTCCTTCGAAAGGCGGAACTTCCTCGATTGATTTGCATCTTTGCCATTCTTGTTATACATGCGAGAGTCGGCAGCTGTATAGGTTTTATTCCATACCACATCGTCCTCTCCATCCGGAGTCGGTGCAGCCTCGGGGTACTTGTACTTGAATCCTTCCTTGTTACAGGAATGGACGAAGAATTGATGACCGGGGTCGGTGATGGCAGATGCAGAAGTCACTGTACCAGCAATCCAGCCTCGTGTGGCAAGATCTAGTTCTGCTGGAGAACGCTGAGCAAGATATTAGTACTGTACGTAGATAAAAAGGAAGCTGTTGTGAGCAGCAGGATTTGACGGTGAGGGGGAAGGTAACACAGTAGCTGTTAGAGGGCTGGGGATGCCGGCGCAACGCCGCAGCATACAGTGAAGTTTCAATACTTACAGTTTCTCTGTGTGGTGCGCGCGTATGCGCGTCGCTGCTCGAGGCGATATCATCCATCTCTGCGGTAGAAGGTGATGATATTGCTTGCGTATCTTGGGGTTGGGATGAGGTTGACGATCTAGGTAAATTTCGAACCTCAACCCCAGCTACATGCAGGTGCGGGCGCCTTTCCTGTTTGGGAAGGAGAAGCGAGTCTTGGCTATTTTTTAGCTGGGCTCAATCGAGGATCATCTCAGCCTCGCCAGCCTTGCCGAGTATATTCTCAATAATATCCTAAGAACATTACAGATATGTCAATTAATGGCACTTATGAGGCCTCATATTAGTCATTGTATGCATGAAACAGCCTTTTTTCTGTTTAAATTATATAAGTAACATTTCGGGGCTCTTGCATCGAAGCTGAGGCTATCAGTTCTATAAGTAGAAAAACATATTAAAATTAAAGAGTCTTCACCATACCGTTGCGGCACAAGGACATCGGTCATCGGCTCTTAACCGGCCCGTCTCAAACTCATCTGAAATGCGTATTCAACGCTATACGACCCGTAGCCTCATTGTAAAGGTCAATGGCCATGTAGTACATCAAAGTACGGGATCAGCGGAGTGCTTGGAGAACACATTATTGTCGGTCTTCGAACAAATCTAGTCTCCTACGTTATAGTATCAAGACACATTACGGAGCATGATCAGTCACATATTTCATCAAGAGTTATAGTTGGAGATTGTTTGCTGTAAAGCTTGAAACATATTTACCAAGGAACTACTAGAACTGAAGCCATGAACATCATCTCATTTGAGATGCTAAGAATATTATAAACTAAGAACATATTCACCCACAGCTACAGTCCAAAAGCCACACTCTTACAAGCCAGTATTCCCCCCCCATCCCTAGACGCTTTTTGGGTATTAACGCTGCACAAAGAAACCCCAAAAGTCAAACAATCAACGCCAAATCAGTGAGCCGCGAGGCTTATCCATCTTCCAGCCGTGAGGCCTGTGTCTCTTGCTCCCTCCTAGCCAAAGGGGTCTTGGTATATCCACGACCCTACTTTGTCCTGTTATGTCGGTCGTGTGACCATATAATGTATTCCTTCCTGCATATGCCGATCCAATATTCTTTGGACAGCATCAGTGTCGGTGATGTCTCCTGCCTGAGCTTCCAGAGCTCTCTCCATGGTGTCTGTGTCGATGACGGCTGCTAGAGCCACTATGTTCCATTTGCTGCTCCATCTCTTCCACCCTTTGTCTGTAGCTCCTGACGATGTCTCTTATATGCCTTATCCGATCAAAATCAACTTCCAACTCATCAATCTGCCTCAATATATCGTGGAATCTTGCAATCTCCGAATCTGCTAGCGCAATCGCATTTCCTGCCCTATCGTATTGTTGTTGAGCTACCATTTGCGATTGTTCTGCCAAATAGTCTAATCGGGCCTGTATCTGTTGCATCAAGCGGTCAAAATGCCGGCCTAACGCGGCGAGAGAAGAGCCATCGAGGAGAAGGAGGCCTTGGGAGGAAGCGCGCGAGGCAGCTCGTGAGGAAGATCCACCAGCAGTAGAGGCAGCTGCTTGCTGGTGATGGCGCAGGAGGGCGATCTCGTCGTTGGTTAGGCCGAGCTGCGTATCGGGTACTGAGTTGGCCGGCGATGCCATGTCGATTGATTTGTATGAATGCACGGGGGCAGAGGCGTCAGATTGATGAACGAAAGCAACGACACCCTCACAGAGAGCTGCGAAGGTGCTGTAAACTTCATGGTAATTGAGCGAAGGATCGGATCATTGCAAAAAAGCTCCCCTTGGTGATGTGGTAGAAGATGTGAATGCGGGATGGACAAGCCGAGGACTGGTACCACTTGAGGGTTTTTTTGTTTTTTATCAAAAAAGACGGGAGTTGGAGATCAGCTGAGAGGGCTCCACGATTGACTCTGGGAGGTATATATGTGCTTTTCCAGGGTGTTTCCTGCTGGCAGGCTGAGTGAGGCGACCTCTTTTGTGCTCATACAGATGGAAAGGTCAATGGGCGCTGATTGATGATCGATCATAGGTGGAATAGACGCTCGTTGCGATGTTTCCTCAGTTTTCTTACGGACCCCAACTCGCATCCAATCTACAATCTGGGGACATAGCGCTAATTTAAAACCCTGTTCGTTTGCACAAATATTTTGTGCAGGATGAATAAACGTCCTGCATAATAACCTTAACATGTCCTCGAAACTCGAGGATGATTTTGAGCCTCATCTTTGACGTTTCATGTTCCCGCTCGTCCAGTCCAAAAGGCCGGCCCTGCCATGCCAGAGGTCCTACATACATGTGCCTACCCGTATCTCGTGCGATGCAATGCAACGGAGGTTGTGCCTCCGCATGACCTATGTCCGGGTAAAGAGACTGCATTTCGCTGCAAGCCGCGGCGTCCTCGCATCCAACCCTGGTCGATAGTCATATATTCTTCCATTTGGATCTTGGACTTCAGTCTTTATACTCAGGCACACCGTCCATCATCCTATCAAACATCGGCCCGGAGATCTCTCTCGATCCCAGTGCCAATGATGCATTGCCAAACGCAGCATCATGATTGAGCTACCTGGCGGAGAGCACGGAAAAATATTCGTGATTGTCCGTCAAGTAGGCCATCATCATTGCATCACGATAGACCGAACCCCTCATTCTTCCTTTGATGAGATTGGAATGGAAAGCTTAGTTGAGCTGACCCCTCCCCCACGGGCCGGTGAAGTCCTTGGAAACATCCTTAATGTAGGCAAAAGAGGGCCTGATATATAAATCATCTCATTATTCTTTTTAATCTGTGTCGTTGTCACTCACAGCGATTTTCTAACTTGAGAATCCCCCTAAAAAGATTCAAAAATGAGGTTACCATTCATTTGTTCTGCCTTTGGAGCTTTTGTTAGTCTATCTTCTGCCACAATTCTGCAAAATGGGCAAGTTAGGATCACCAACTACCCCAACACCGTCTTCAATGGGTCGACAGCTCAGTTTTCGACATATCCTCCACATGCAACAGAGTTATCCTATAAAGGAAGGTGGGATAGCAAGTTTATCTCTTGGTGGTCGTATGTCATCCTCATCTGGGTCCTTGATTTCACACTAATGCCAATGTAGAGCGCCTGGGTTAAAATTTGGATTCACGGGACAGGAGGTGGCCATTACCTTTGGACCGTACACGACTGATACAGTATTGGTTGGGTACCGCATTGACGGACAAGATTGGCAATTGACCAACATCACAACCAATGCTACACACCTCCTCGTCGACTCGACCACCGTTGGAGTCAATCTAACAAGTCCCGTGAACCCGTCAACTTTCGAGATGCGAGTCACGAATTGGGCCTCTGGAGTGCAAATAGCTTCCATCCATGTTGGCAAGGGAGAGAAGCTCGTCAAAGTTCCAGATTTTGGCAGAACCATAGAGGTGATAGGCGATTCCCTCTCATCTGGCTATTCTGCTACTCTGGAAGGCTTGTCATCCTATGCGTATGGCTTGACTGCGGGTCTTGGAAATACTGAATATTCCCTCACGGCGTATCCTGGGGTCTGCCTATTTGACAAGCAATGCTATGGCAACCTTCGAGGCATGTTCTACCAATGGTTTCAGACATCAGATACCAGCGGGCGAGCAATTGATATCTGGGGCGACAACCCAGAGGTATGGAACTTCTCGAATCAGCCAGCTGCCGATATCGTGATCATCAATCTGGGTACAAATGACAACAATCATGTCAACAATGTGTCAACTACAGGCTATGTTGCACAGTACACGATGCTCATTGAGGGTGTACACGCTATATGGCCCAAAGCACAGATCATTTTGATAGTGTGTCTCTCTCATAGTTCGTTGGCTTCGACTAACAACAAGCTAGGCTCTTTGGGAAGGCTTCGACACGGTTGGTAACACCTACATACAGTCCACGCTGGACTCAGACGTTGGCTTTGTTCCACAGATATATTCGATTTACGAATATTTCAACTCCAAGGAATATCTCCAGAACCCTGTGCTCTACGATCCCGTTAAAAACTCGACTTATCAATCTCAAACGCCAAGCGATCCCTTTGTTCACTATTTCAACACAACCGGAATCCTGCAGCACAACGACATTGGTCCGCAATACCATCCTACTGATGCTGGACACATCAAACTTGCCAGTCACTTAATGCAATACATCAAGATGAAATTCGACTGGCCGTTGTACGCTACTGGACCTGAGGTGTTCCATGATACGCTATATTGGAATGACCAGACTTCGTACTGATCCGATGAAGGAAATATCAACGGGATATCCAAAAGGGAAACTAATTGGGCAAGAGTGGACTCTAGCAGGATATCTGCGCTCCGTTGGAATTAAGAAGGAATAAAGTTACATTGCAGAACCGATGTATCGTCATGTTCCAGTTACAGTTTTCAGGATCGTCGATATTCAAGGTTTCCACGGCCTCTAGCCTGTGATAGAGAAACAAAACAAACAGGTAAGCTAGGAGTCAGTAGACTCCAATCTCCGGTGATGATGCCTATAGGCTTCCTGACGGATAAGCATGGATTTAATGTTAACTGCGCCTCGCTGGCCCCAAGATAATGGTTGGATTTAAATCGTCTTCGCTAGGATCATCATCTCTCCTCGTCCTCTTACTGGTCGACGCAAGTTCTAGATCGGCAAGCTGTCAGTTGGATTTGTGCTTGGATATTTTCTCATATTTTCGTTTTCCTGCCACTACTGCAGTGATGTCTTTCTTTCTATTTTACCGGCGCGCATCATCTAGACACGTTCGAGAAATCATTTGCGGATGTCCATGAAGGATCGCAGTCGAAGATCTTCGAATCATGTTTCTCAACATTTTTGTTGCAATTACGACAGTCACTTTTGTCAGCCTTGCCTTCGCTCAGACAAACACCACGACTATCAATCCTAGCGATGTTGATCTCACAACTCGCGATGAATGGTGTCAAAGCCAGGTCAATACATGCGGTACACTTTGTAGCGGAGACCCGAATACTAATAGCTGCGATCCCGACACTTTGTCCGACAATTGCACTTGCGCTCCCAGCAACTCGACTCCCGACCTTGCTGCCTACACGCAAACACTTCCAACTTTCATCTGCGAGTATCTCTATACGAATTGCAACTCAAGTGCAGCGGGCAATGCGTCCGCGCAGGCGGACTACAAGACAAACATTGGAGACACTTGCGGAACGCTGAATCCCGCCGACTTTGTAGCGTCAGCTACAACAAGTTCTGCGACTTCCCAGAAATCAAGCTCAACCACCTCAAGTGATACAAGGCAAAGCTCGTCAAGCGGTAGCAGCTCAAGTACCAAGAGCCAATCGAGCAGTTTCAAAAGCACTAGTAGCTTCGTTTCCTCGACGTCGTCGACGAGTGTCCCAGGGCAGACTCAGGCAAGCATCACAACCCCAAATCCTGGGACATTGCCGTCTCTCATAAGCAAGCCGAATACCGCCACAGGTCTGAGTGCAGGAGCAAAGGCAGGAATTGGTATAGGAGCTACCGTCGGAGTCCTGCTCCTGTGTATAGGTGGATATATGCTATGGTGGCAGCGTCGCAGAGCATTGTTCCAGCTTTCTGATCCACAAGTACCAGAGCTGAGTACGAACGGGATACTTGAGATCCCGCAGTTGGAGACGAGAGAGAAGCCGGGCGAGCTGCAGGCGGATGCAATACCAAGGGTCCATGAATTAGAATGAAAAGTTTGAATGATGGATAATTTTGCTGTGAGTGGGTCGAAGACGTAAATGCCGGTCTTACTTGGGAGAAAGCATGCTATCCTGGATGTCTAAGGGATGAGTTTCAAGGAGATAATGCGTCGAGCTCATTTATAAAGCAGATGTATGTATCCTCAGGTTCGCAAGACCCACTTTTATGAGCGTCGACAGCTCAACAAGCAAAGCTTCAAAAGCTACCAAGTTGAAGGAGGTACACCAATACGTGGTCTTCATTACTTATACGCTTGGAAATCCAGATATCTCAGTCAAGTAAGACTCTCTTACTAAGGCGAAATTCCAACCTCCATCTTCTCTGCACCGGCGTCAAGTGCAGTCAAAATTTAAAGCTGCTTAGAAACCCAATAGATGGAAGTCCTGTCATCAAAAGGTTCATTGTTGATTGGGACAAACTTTGCCAACTCGCCACCGCAGAACGCATGCCGTATCTAGTATGGTTGGGAATGCCATAGTCAAGTGGCCGGATCTTCATCTCTTCCAGAAAAAATTCCTAAGGAGCTATTGTCTGGCTCCGGACATTTGAAGGAGTTCAATGGCGGTCAGGATATGCGAAATCTTGCTTTACCCAATTCTTCCTCTCATATTCACGTGCGCTCAAGGCTGCGAATGCTTCCGCTCACTCTTGCGCGAACTCCAGTTCAGCACAGCACATGTCCCCTTCATATCTTACAATGCCTGCCTCTTGTTTCTCACTTACACCTATATCTGCGCAATCAAGAAAGTTGTATTCCAGAAAATTGCTGTGCGATTTGGTCGTGTGCCGGCTGTGGAGATTGGCGCTATGTTGAAGATATGTATGTCTATTAGAGAGGAGTGTTGTAGATGAGGAGGCACAACTTGAGGATCCCCGTCTCACACAACATTTCATTGCACCTTGTATACGTCTTTTCCTACTTCGACAAACACCAGATACTCAGACACGATAAAGGCAACCTGCACAGCAAGTCCAGCATATCCAGGGCACTAAAAAGGGTCATCCTCGCGTGCTGAAGCTCTACACACGCACTCCATTCACAGCTCGATCCACGTCTGCAAATGCATAGCCTCTGGACACAGGATCCTCAGCAAACCGATGCTCAAGGCCGGGTTCAGGGCTCAATAATCAACTTCTTCCCACAACCCTACTCATCTCTTCAAACGCAAGATGTCCAAGCAGAAGACATGCGCTGAGCATAGCACATTCATCCTCGATGTCGCGAAGCCCAGCCCCGACTTTTCAAAGCTCAGCCTCAGCCTCAGAGTCTCGAATCTCGAGATTTCAAGAATCAGAGACCTGAGAATAATCAGCCCTTTGCATATTAAGCAGTCATTCTCTCGCAAACGACCATTCACAGCAGATGAGGAAGCCAGGAGAGTTTCTGTCCCGAGGCTTTATCTGACAACACGCTCCGTCCTGAATTTCAAGTCAGAGCAGAAGATGCAGACATGGAAAACAATCTCATAAGAGTATTCAGCAACGTTTCATTTGCTAGTGAATGAGGACGCTTTCATTAACTGTTGCCCAAGATGGTGGTTCCACTCCGTTGCCTCGTCTTGCTCAGCTGTGAATAGGGGGGCTGGAAGCACAAGCGAGCCATATGACAAAACAAGAATACCCCAATCCACACAGCAAGAATAGCCCTCTTTGGTATTTCTCTAGCTTCCACACTTAGACCATGAGGGATTGTTTAAGTTCTCTTCCACGCTTTATGCACCAGCTGAGAACTCTCTCCTTGCTGCTGCGAGGAAACAATCTGTAGAGGCTGAGACAAACGCTAGAATGCCGTGTCGCTAAGTCTTGAATTGGATCCATGAATCATTCACCGTTCCTTGCGTCATTCAGGGAGCAATTCTTACTGGTACCCACAGAAGAGAGTGAAATGTTCCATTGCTTCCACTTGACAGGAGAAAGTCAGCACAGTTCGATATCCCACCCCTCAAGCGAAAAGGAGCAATATCCAATCTCTACTGTCTACATGAATGTGCCCCTTGACTTTGTTACACCGTCTCAAGAGTTCCGCCAGCATGCGGGAATAACATCAAGAGTCCTCACAATCTCTCTACGATAGAAATAGCTACCGAAGCTTTTTGTTCGTTAGTGAGACGGTACAATTTGACAGATGGAGATTCAGAAGAGGCAAATTACTGTGATAATGACCGATAGCGAGAAGATCATTGACATTTCCATACCCAAAGTAGTGTCGAGATCGAGGATGGGATTGACATAGCTACTGGCGCGAATTGCGCAAAATGCGCGATTCGCGCTATTCGTGCCATTTGCGCTATTCGCGCAATTTGCGTGCAACACGCAGAGAGATCGAGACTTGAATACGACGCCGTACTTTGTACAATGTGCTAATTCCACATCAATCAAGAAGACTAGGAAGAGAAATATTCCACCAAAGAAGACAAAAGAGAGGCATTGTGAGAAAGTGGAGGGACATTGCCATGTCACAACGATGTAAGAATTAAAGAAGAGCAGTATAGTTGGAATCTGATCGATTGATGCTCGTTAAAGACGGGTTCGAGCCTCTCTTTTGAGACTTGGGGAAGGGGAGTGAGGTTGGTAATGAAGCTTGTTTTGGTTGGCAGTAAGATGAGAGGCACAACATAGAGCCGGACAAGGGAGATATCCTATCATTGCATGAACTATGCTTGCGGATTCAATGGTGAACTTTACAGGTGAAAGTAGCCAGGCAGAGAAACAACGAAAGGATATTGAAATATAAGTGCATTGCAACTGTGTACCTTCGCGCTACGTAGAATCCAGAATTAAAAGAATGCAGAATTTCGGTCACTAAACCCTAGACTCTTCTCCAAAGTATCACCACTGCCAACGAGTCCCCTCCCACGCAATCAACCTCAATTGAATGCTCTTCCACTAAAGAGACGGTTCAAATCCATACATCACCCCGTCACCTCGGTGTTCCAGTCGCCAATCCTTCACAACATCGAGATGTTTATCTTCACGCGGAAATTAAGGATGATCGGCGAAACGAATCATGAAATGAGAGGGGAGCGACTGCCCACGCGTTCGTGATGTGTTCGTCTGTGGGTTTTCTGCGAGTGCGAGGACGGTGGCTCATCAAACTGTGGATCTGTAGATATGAGTCTGTGATCTGAGATGACATTCTTCGTTTGGCTGGAGGTCAATGGGATGTGATGCTGGTTCCGTGGTAGTACCAGTTGATCCAAGACCTGAGGACAGTCAACGTACAGCACTCGACTCTCGACTTTCGTTTGCTTGGGAGCATACTCAATCACTCGTCAACCATCACCTTCGCCGTCCAAGCACATCTATCTCCCGCGTTCCCATCCCGACAATCTCAATGATCCCATCCCCATCATGTTTCAACACTACACCTTCTTCGTGCCTCTATTCCGTGCCCTCACAGCATGACCCAAAATATTGTTCTGTTTACCCTCACCTCTCCCTCATGCTATACCCCTCGATCTGTCAAAACTCTATCCCCATCTTCCCTCACGTTTCGATGTGCTCCGCTCCGAAGATCGAAACTCCCACAGACGGAGGGGTCCAAAGATAGCATTGTCACTCTCAACATGTTTCTCGTCCCAAAAATAGGCGAAGACATGTTTGAGGTGTAATAATATACAAAGCATAGGTAGTTTGAGATGTTTCCGTTGTCATGTTGCCAAGCTTCTTGACAAGTTTCGAAAATCAATGCTTGATCTCGAGACTGCTAACTTTAGCATTATGCTTATCTCAAAATGGTTTCCAGCTCCCCGGCACAATCTCAAATCTCAGATTGTCGAAACGTGCTTATCGCTCAGACTAAACCGGGGAACGAAACGACGGAGAATACTTCTTCAACAAGCATGCAGAATCTCGAGGATTGCTGAAACACACGGAAAGAAAATCATGGGATGGATAAATTCCTTCCTGGAAGACAAACCGTCCGAGAACAACGAACAGGACTGTGCGGTTTATTTTTGGTAGTGATAGAAGGGACGATAGAAGATGAGGCTGTTGATGTTTCGAAAGCTCGGACTACTGAGTTTCAAGGGCTGGATAAGGCTGAGACGTCTGGGGGAGGGAGATGACAGGCGCTGTCATATGCAGAGAGAGCCAATTTTAGATTTTGGCTTTGTGAATGGGATGGAAGGTGTTCCTTGGTAAGAAGTTGAACGGTTAAACACTGTATTATTGCGTGCAGGCGGTTGAACTCGAAGATATTCTTGGAAATCGATGCAGGTCATGTGATGTGCTGACTGACCTCCTGACAATAGCAAACCTGGAATGAAGCAGGAGCGGCTCCTCGGCAATCTTGACCGTGGAAGATGACAGCTGAGAGGAAGTGAACATCTAGACTCCCGAGCAAGCATCTCTCACTCCCGTGGGCAATCTATGCAGATTCTTCAAATGGAATTTTCTTGGTCACACATCCTCCCGAAAGGTCATCCCCTTCCAAAAGGATCAGCTCGCGTATGCTGACAGCAGCTCGGTTCCAAACATTCCACACATCCCACGAGCTTAGACTTCTGACCGAAATGAGGACTCGTCATCTCGGGTTAGGGACAGCAATCTAGCCTAAATCCCGTCCGTGTCCAGAGAAAGGGAGTCGAAATGTGTTTGAATTTCTTTTGCGGATCAATCAAGATCCCCGCACCGGCAGGATACAGCCTTTGTACAGGTCTTACTCCGCGATATAAGAATGCACCGATGAAGGGGCTGGCCTGTGCCTTAAGCGAATGCACCTTTCTCAACGCCACCAATATTCAAGACATTAGGGTGACCAAGGCGCGCGGTAGTCCAGCGATCACTGATCCAGGGTGGCTTTTTTTCACCCTCAGATCATTTCTGTACGCCACGGCGTTATGATTGTCAGGGCTGTGTGGCAAAATGAAACATATGTTGATGATCTGAACTCTTTGCAGAAGACACCGCACGTTTTTATACAGGGACACAAGAAGAAAAGAAGCAAGAAGGTAACAACGTAGGGTATATTTCGGCAAGTATTGCCGGCACGTACTGCTGGATCACAGGAGAGGCAACCAGACCGAAACTTTCTCCTAGATCGTAGAGGAGCTTGAAAGTTAATCGCTAGGTCCGTTGATCGAAGCTGCACGAAACTATC